TTAATTTGCTGTCCTTACTAAAGCTTGCAGCATTTAGCTCCTACGCTGCTTTTATAGCCTTACTTTTAGCGCAGGCGTAAGAGTAGTTACAACTTATATGTTCTAGCTAATAGTATAAGTAGTAGGTTACAGCATTTTTTATTAAAGCTGCCTACGCTTAGGGTGTTGCTAGAGTTATTAGAGCAGCAGTAGTAGTAGTAAGTTAAAAAACATTCTAACGCGTAAGCTTCTTTTTACCTCTCTGCGCGCGTTACGCGCTTAACTCTGCAGTAGACCTCTGCAGTAAAAAAAATATCTAGTAGGCTTACTTTATATAATTAAAAAAGCTAACTATTAGGTTATTATAGTAAGTCTTTATATATACTTAAAGCTAACTTAATAAAGTGTTATAAATTTTATCTTTTTACTACTTAAGCAGCAGCTTAGCTTTATTTATAAAGTATATAAACTAGGCTTTAAAGTTTCTAAAATTCTAAGATAGCTTTATTTTAAGCTAGTAAAGCTTAGTCTTAGCTTTTATTTACTAGTTAGTATTTTTAAAGCTTCTTTTTAGAAAGCTTATAATATTTTTAGTTATTACTAGCTTACTTTACTACTTTTAAGCTTTAAAGTAAGGAACTAGTTAACTTAGCACTTAACTACTTACTTTACTTTTAGTATAGTGTACTTAAGTGTTTTTTTTTTTATAAGGTTACTATCTGCAAGTATAAAGTAGTTTATGTTATAAAGTAGCTTGCCTATTAGAAGGTCTTTCTAGTAATTAAATTTAATATTATTTTTGCCTATAAACCTAGGCAGATTCTCTGCTTTAGCTAATAGTTTTAGCCTAGCTTCTTAGCTTATAGTACTAATATAAAAAAGGTTAGGCGTTTTTAGTATAGCTAGGTTAAATTATAGTTACTTTTTTAGTATAGTTAGTGTAAGTGTGCCTTTTAGCGCTTAATAAGCTTTATCTAAGAAAAATAATTAATTACACGCTAGTGTAGCAGTAGCTTTAAGTTTTTTAACTTTATTTTTATAATTAGCTAGGTGTTTAAGAGTTTTATTTAGTAAGCTTTAAAGCTTTTATAGCTTTTTACTAACTTTTACTTACTTAGCTTCTACTATGTTAACTACTTTAGTAAGAGTATTAGTATAGTCTTAGTAAGCTTACACTTTTAATAACTACTATAGTAGCTTATTTACTATAACTGCGTAATCTATAGCTATAAGGTTTAGTAGGTCTAGGTAGAGGCTAATTAAATTATAATTAGTAGTACTCTAAGTAATAGCCTTTATTTAAAATAATAGTGCTTTTTAAGCTTACTAAGCGCGCACGTGCGCAGTCTTAATAGCGTAGTCCTTCTTAAACACATTATTAGTATAGAACTAGGCCTAGCATAGCAGCGTCCTTAGTTTAGGCGTATAGGCGTTACTAGTAGGCTAGGTAGTAGAATTAATGTGTATTTTAATCTTTAATAGCTTTTTTATTCTAGTGCTTTTAGCTTTTTCTTTCTACTCTAGGGTCTAGCAGTCTGCAGAGGTATAGTGTAGTGTGAGCCCTAGGTCTGGTGACGGTGGGGCTGATAGTTGATTAGTGGTGGGTTCGTACGTGGGTTTGTACAGAGCCTGCAGCTCTCTTCGCGTTGTTGCGGTGGTAGTTAGTATAGTAGGCCCCCCCCTACAGTTAATTTAAACTAGAGTAGCAGCGCTCCTAGCTTAGAGCTCTTTAATAAAGTGCAATAATCTAATTATTACTTAGTGTTACTTTTATAGTTGCTTAGCCTAACTAGGGCTTTAAGGCAGATAGCTATTATTAACAAACTAAAGCTTAGCCTAGTTGTACTAGCAGATCTGTCTAAGTAAAAGTTAGTTAGCAGATTAAGCTTTTAAAGCTAACTGCATAGTAGACCTAAATATTATGTTGCTGTCCTCTAGCTAAATAAAATAATCTTAGTGTAATATAATAATAAGCACTGTCTCTACTACTATATAAAGCTAGAAAAGCATAGCAGAGTAAGTTAGCTTTATTTTAGCTACACTAAGATAGAGAGGAGAAAGGGAGCTTTAAGGGCAGCTCTGCAGAAGAAGTGCTTGCAGCGCTAAGGCGCTAGCAAGGACGCTAGCGCTAAGCAAACTAATAGTGTTGCGCCAGTCGCACCCCCTATATCCTGATTGGCTGCACGGGCAGCTCGTCATGTGACGCGCGACAGAGCTCTCTGCGTAGGACCGTCACAGCAGCTGTGCTGCCTCCGCATCCTCCAACTGGTTCGTAAGCGAGCCCTGCCCCAACCTAGCTAGATTGTGGAGTACTTCGGGTGGAGTTACGTTGGTCCAACCATAGACTGTAACAAACAAGTAGTGTGCAAGGACAGCGTCTAATAGCATTAAGTCCTTAGCTTAATTAAAAGCTGCTAGCTTATATTCTTTAAAGTAGTGCTAAGCACTACACTTAAGTAGCTTTATAAGTAGTTATATAATGCGTTTATAGTTCTTTAGAAATACTTAGTAAAAGTTTTAAAACCTTAGAAAAAAATATAAGCTTTTAATTAATATTAGTACAGGCTATTTATATATAGCTGCTACCTTCTCTTAGTTTTTTTTACATGCTGTTAGTACTAATAATTAGACCTAGAAACTTTGTCTTTATAATAGTAAACTTACTTTTCTTAATGTTTACTTAAAAACTAGTGTCTAGTAGTTAATATAGCATCTATGTAATATATTTCTTATGTTAGAATAAGTTTTTTAAGTAAATAGAGATGTTATTAAGGTATGCTATATAAGTTTTATCTAGTAAGCTATAAAGCACCTTATTAATATAGTGTTAAAACATAGCTAGTCTGTTACATAAGCTAAATAGTAGTATATAGTATTTATAGTTGCTATATTATGTTTAAAAGATAGTAAAGTTCTCTACCTTCTTATTTAGACAGATGCAGTAAAAGGCTTATTATATGTCTAGCTTAGTAAACACATTAGTACACGCTAGGCAGGTAAAAGTCTTCTAGATTAAGAGAACTAGGTACGCATCTTTTTTTATAATTATATTAAGCTTTTAGTAGTTAACATAGAACTACTACCTCTCTTTTAGCTTCTTAGTAAACAGCACTAGAGACACATAGCTAGCGCTGCTATATGTAATAAAACTATGTTATAAGTAATTATTAAAGTAGATTTTAACTAGCTTAAGTTGCTTTAGTAATATACTATATAGTAAGCTACTTAATAATGTGTTCTTTACTATAAGCTAAATATTATAGTTAACTTTTTTATAGTAAAGTAGAAGCTTGTTAGAGTCCTTTTTAAAGAAGTAGGCTAGTGTAGCTCCTGCATATAACAGTGCTAGAAGCTTTTGTTAAATTAACTAGCAGAGCTTCTTCTCTAGATTAAGCTAGTTTATTTTTTCTTAATAATTCTAAATAAGCTTCTTTACTTTATACACACTTATATAAAACTAATAATAACTTTCTTTTATTAAGCATGTAATATAAAGGTAGTAGGACTTATTATATTAATATTTAGACTAGCATTAATAAGTGTATTATGTAACATAGTTAAGTTATAGTAATTTCTATAATAGAGTTATAAGCTTAGCTTTAGAGTGCTAAGCTAGTTACACATCTTCTTAAAGTTCTTCTTATATACAAAATGCTTAGTTACCTTTTATTTACCTGCTAGTTAGAGCGCAGCTACACTTATAAGTTTATTGCGTTGCTTAGTGTCTTCTTAGTAACTTAGGTTTATCTCTAGAGACAAGCTGTGTATAAAGATGTTAATGTTGCGTTTATAATTAATTAGCTTGTTATCCTCTAGCTATCTTACTACACAGTTCTTATAGTTAATCTATACGCCTACTTTCTTTAGTAGCTTACAACTAATAATAAGGTTGTAACAACTAGTGTTGTAGGGTATAAAGTATAATAGTATCTAATAGGGTCTACCCGCATCTTAAGCTTTAAGAGTTTCCCTATGCTAGTATTAGTTTAATGCTGCTAGCAGTGCAGCTAGCTAGTTAGTGATGCTGCTAGCAGTGCAGCTAATTAGTTAGTAGTGCCGCTTTAGGTCCCGAGAGGGTGAAGCAGATGGGGCGGTGGTGCTGCTGGCGGTGCAGCTGTGTCGATGCTGCAGGTAGAGCAGCCTTTGTCTACTGCAGGCGGTGCAGCTATAGTCAATGCTGCTAGCGGGGCAGTCTATTGTTAATGCTGCTAGCGGTGCAGCTATTATCTACTGCAGGCAGTGCAGCTATTGTTAATGCTGCTAGCAGAGCAGCCTATTATTATTACTAATGTACACCTAGCATACTAGCTAGAGCTTATGCAGATTGTGCCACCTGCAGGTATTCTCCTCTAGGCTAGTCTTGTCTGCCTATAGCTACCTAGAGACTGCAACCTAGCTTCTAAGTTAACGTGACCAAGAGAACTACTAGCTAAGTCTACTACATCTGCTCTTTTGCTGTCTAAATGTGTATGTATTACTTTTAGCTATTAGTGCTGCTAGCTGTACAGTAGATGTTAGTAGGCCTGCTGTCTCTAGGCCTGTAAGATGCCTACTGCCTTAGAGCTTCTAATTATGTAGCAGGGGATTAAAGGTGGTAGTGGTTTTATACAGAGCCTGCAGCTCTCTTCGCGTTGTGCAGTAACAGTGTAGGCTCCTCTTTACAGTTAATTTAAACTAGAGCAGCGCTTCTAGCTTAGGGCTTCTTAATAAGGTTGTAGTAATCTAACTACTACTTAGTGTTGCTTTAGTTGCCTAGCCTAACTAGGGCTTTAAAGGCAGATAGCTATTGTTAACAAACTAAGGCTTAGCCTAGTTATACTAGTAGATCTTTTTAATAAAGGTTAGTTAACAGATTAAGCTCTTAAAGCTAACTGCGTAGTTTAACCTAAATATTATGCCGCTGTTCTCTAGCTAAAATAGGATTAATTCTAGTTTAATGTGATAACAAACACTGTCTCTACTACTGTATAGAGCTAGGGAAGCAAGGTAGAGTAGGTTAGCTCTATTTCAGCTAAACTAGAATGGGGAGTGAAGGAGGCGAAGGGTTTTCGCGAGAGAAAAGCTTGCGCAGCGCTAAGGCGCTAGCGCGCTCGCTTAACCCTTAGCAAGATCATGTGACTAGCAGCAGAGCTTGACAAGCAGCACCGTCACACAAATAGATTTATATAAAAATGCTTACTAAATATAAAAAACTTTTAACACTTATAGCAAGTGTTACAAAGCAGTAAGAACGCTGCTAGAGAGAAAAAGCTATGTGTTATAACCTAAAATAAGGCTGTAAGTAAGTGTTAGACAGCGCTAGAATTGTATAATTATTATTAGTAGACAGCTCTCTTAGCTACTTACTATTAGGCTTAGCACAACCTAGCTAGAACGATTAGATTATAGTATACTAATTAGGTATAGCTGACTGCAGTGACCGCAGCGACTGCAGCGACTGCAGACAAGAATCTGCGGACACAACAGTCACTACAGTTAGAACAGTTACTATAGTAAGTATATAGTCTTAATCTTAACTATAGTTAAAGAGATGTAATTAAAGTTTAGTTTTATTTTTATAATAAAACTAAGTAGCTATAATTGTTTCTAAAGACATTATTGCTTTTATATATCTTATACTATATATACACTCTAATTATTATCTTTACAAGATTGTTTTCCTGCTTCTTATACAGTTCTAAGGAACAAACCACAATTAGCCTACCTATCTCTACTGCCCTCTAGTTACGACCTGGGACTGTATACCCTAGCTGCGTAACTATTCTCTACCTGTATCATAACCCCTCCCGGGCCCGCGCACTGAACCTCGCGTCCTGCTTAGCACGTGACTAGTAAGTGGATATCGTAACATCTAAGAAGAGGGGAGGCTATGTCACGATTATGTTACAGCTATCCAACCCCTGAGTACCCTAGGCTTGGGACGGGGTACATAGGCTCCTCGGCCCCTGTACCTCTGCCTCCGACCCTAAGGTTTACTCTCTCTCGTTACACCCCCTATCCTGCATTCCTCTCTGTGACCTGTGTTTCCTGCTCGATACCTCTCACAGTAACTTAAGTATTATATAGTAAAGTAAGCGCCCTACCTGCTAAGTTAATACTATACAACTTTCTCCACTGTACTAAAAGGTACGCACAAGAATACTTAAGCTAAGTATTCTCGCATAGTATAATATATATATAGATAATGCTAGGGCTAGCACTAGCATTAGCAGTTGTCTCTAGTCTAGCCTAACCCTCTATAAACAAGAGAAGGCCACGTGGTTAACTGTGTCTACCTTGTTACACTTCTTATATACAATAAGCTTTAGAACAAACTATCTCTAGATCCTAAGCCGCAGACTAGGCTCTAAGCTCGAGCTAAAGGCTCTTAGTATACGCGACACATAGTAGTATACACTTATAGCTTTTTATTAAGACCTTGTTAATGTGTTAGTAGCTGTTGTTAAGTTAAAACTACCTTAAATTTTAAAAGGACTGTGCAAGGTATAAGTTATTAAGGCTTGGTGTTGCCAAGCATTGTCAGCCGAGGTGAGTCATTAGGTGGCCGGAGCTGTATGCCTATCTCCGCACCACACCACACCAGCCGCCCTCTGTCAAGGCCATGACATCCCTAAGACCGGAATCTATTACCCTGGATACATTCAACAACATATTATCCCGATACCCAGCTTCTGTCCCTGAACGTTTGCGAGACCTGGATGCCCTTCGATACGACACGATTCCCGTCAAAGTCGCTAAGAGGAAGGAAGACGACGACGCCTTTCTCTCGAAAGACGAAGTCGAGAAACTGGTGGAATGGAAACTGTACGCTAGTCCCGCGTCCTCGCGAAACTCTCGAGATTTGCACATGGATATGGATTTGTATTTGTTGGCAGCTGTGACAGGAAGGCTGAAGACTGAGTATAAATAACACAGGAAACACGGGGTATTCCGCCCAAAACTGTTACAACTGGTCCAATCCAATCCTCCAAATCTAATCCAATCCACAATACGGAAGGCATTCAAAACCCTTCTCTCTTCCTCCCTAAAATCTCCATCTCCATCTCCACTCCCGAGTCTAAAAATCCTAACGGAGATAAAAGGCATCGGGCCAGCCACAGCCTCCCTCCTCCTATCTGTCTATGCTCCATATGAAGTTCCTTTTTTTTCAGACGAGCTATTGAGGTGGATGATGTGGGATGAAGGAAGTGGGTGGAAGAGGAAGATTGCGTATTCGGTGAAGGAGTATGTAGGGTTGGTGGAGAGGGTTAGGAGGGTGAGGGAAAGGTTGGGGGTCGGGGCTGGGGATGTTGAGAAGGTGGCTTGGGTTTTGGGGAGGGAGGGGGCGGATGTTGGGGTGAGGATTGGGCAGGACGAGAGGGAGGTGGGAGCGAAGGGCGTTGAGGATGGGGAAGTAGATGAGGGGAAAGGTGATGAAGAAAAGATGGATGAGGATGAAGTTGAGGGATTTTAAGGACGAAGGGAGGGAGGGCCGTGAAAGGTGCTCTTATGAGTAGATTTACTAAGAAAGGGACGGGTGGAGGAAGAGTGGTGAAGAAGAGTGAGAAGCGGAAGAAAATGGATAAGTCTAAGGTTCTGGTTGGATTTTTACGAAGGACTGGGCGTAGAAAGGTGGGGAAATAGTTGAGAGACGTCTTTAGTGGAAGAGAAAGCAGGATGACATTGGATAGGAATCACCGGATGTTGCAAGCTAGTTTTCCGGGGTTGGCTGTTCTACAAAACTAGCATATCGCAATTCTGGGCTCTCGTTGTTGACAACCTTCTAAATCTGACTTGACCGAAAGAAACAAGACACAATCATATCATTACACGAATTGATCCAACCTAAAAACAACGCGATAGTTATATACAAACTCCGCGGCTTAGTGTAAACTTGGGGTATCCTACCTGAACGCCAAGCTTATTGCTCATACACCTTGAATTTCGCCTTTCGTTCTCATCCTCCCAGATTTTACGGAGCCGAGAGTAACCCCTGCCTCGCCTGTCATCCAGCCTGGCATCTTCTCGCCGTCGATAGCGCCACCTTCGACGAGTTGTCTGATACCTGCAAATACATGGGTGCCTGAGAATGTGAGACGGACATCTGGGATCCATAGACCGTCGTCTTCGTTCCGGGTGTCTTCCATGTCTTCGGTGGATCGATCGAGGAGCGGGGGTCGGCCTCGGCGACTACGCCGTCCTGCAGGTGCATTGCTAATCTCAGAAATGTTGTGGTCTCGTTGTAGGCCATTGCTGTTTGAGATGGTTGGAAAGGGATCATCAATGCGGACCTCGAATCGTTCGACACCTTGGCCGTCGCCTAGCTTCGCAGAGCTTCCGAATCGACCCTCGGCGATTTTTCTTCTTCTCTTAACTTTTAGCGTCTCCATTTCATCAACGACTCGTTTTGGACGCCCTGGGCCGGGCTTAACAGCCTCAGCTGCACTCTCTTTATCAGAAGCTCTTTTCTTCTCCTGGGAAGGCCGAGGAGCGGTTATGTAGTCAAGCACGCTCTGATTGAAGCTGTGATCTGCAAATATACTCCAACCTCCTGCTGCAGCATTTGTTTTGCCGGGGCCGCGGTATGTCAACAAAGCTGTTAAAGTCCTTGCAGAGAAATTTGTGCCTAGCAGCTGATACCGCGCTGATGGTCTTGAGAAAGCTTTTGGGATAGCTTGGTCAACTACGTCGCGGAGATGTCGCCCTTCATCTCCCACCGCTTGGCCGAGGTGGGTAGACAGAGACACAAAGACAAATGGAGATCCATTCGGCCAAATGAAGAACACAGCCTTTGCCCCATCGGGCCCACTTGTATCCATAGCGAGGGAAGCCTCGGTGCTGTACGGTGAGTCATGCATATAGACGCGCAGGATCGTCATCGGTAATGTCTTAACCCTTGTGATAAAAAGATGCGCCTTCATCAACGGTAGAAGCTCCTTCGCCAGATTCATCATGAAAGTCTGCGCCTGGAAGCGCGGAAGGTGCTCCGACTCGTTCGTAACCTCCATATCTGTCTCCAGCAATCTGGGATTCCGGATCTTGGTCAGGCGTCTCGCGTTCCAGCGCAGAGCTCCTGGGTGCTCGAGTAGATGGTGTACCTCTGCTGTTGCAAGCTGGAACATAGATATGCCATTCCTCCAGTCCCCCTCTAGTATACGATCTACCACCTCTTTCCTTCCGCCCTTGCGCGCCGCTAGTTCTTTGTATATATCCTGTAAGTCCTCATAGCTCTCTGCGGGTTCGTAAACCTGTCTATCCTTCTCATTCGGGTCCTCGTCCGCCTTAAGATACGGCCTGCAGAACTCGCGATTCTTCTTCGTGAGCCATTGGTGCACGAGCGATATGAGGCTGAGGCGCGAGAGCTTGGAGAAGGTCCGAACGACCTCGCGATGCGCGACGGGGAGTTTGTATGAGTGCGGGACATTCTTGTAGTCGGGCACGGTAACGGGAATGGAGGGTGCCATGCTTGCGTCTACATGGAGTAAAATTGGAATAATAAGACCGTGCGGTTCATTGTTTATGCGGCGTTATCGATAGAAACATGAGCGAGCGCGTGGTTGGGGTAATTTGACAAGGACTCACGTGGAGATAAGGGCAAGGAATTGCAGAAAGTGTGGCGAATTACTTCATCAAATCAAATAGATAAAGAACAGAAGAAAGTATGAAACACTATTAAGACACTACGGAGAACACCGTTGAGGTGGCCACAAGATAGTTGTGTCCACGTGATTTCGTATTATATTTAGCCTTCGACAATTTAGGTACCTCAGACTTGCGTCCTTTAACGGAGGAATAGACCAACATAACCCTTTCCATCTTTACTTAATACTGAAGAATAAGACGTAAACTGTTAATAATCAGACGCTGCTCAGGTCAAAGGGTGGAATTGAAACAATTATCTCGCTTCTTGGCTTTGAAGAGGTTCTCCAAATCTCACCGGCGGAAGCATCCCGCGACACAAGCCTACACTCCCTACGCACGCCCTACGCACGCCTTGCAACCTACAAACCGATACCAACCTCCTCAACCCCTCTATCCCATCTGCAAGCAGCAGCTCAAAGTAATCTCTCAATCCCTTCACTCCCACACCCCTTTATCCCTAACCCTCTCGGTCCAGACCTCCACTCGCCAAAATCTTACTCACAACCCCACATCCATCCACCGCACCCGCATACATATGCTCACCCTCCGACCTCGCATCTTCAGCCAAACACACCAATTCGATTTCACACGCATACCTCGCGCCACACTAAAGTTATCTACAATTACGATTCCGGCGCAAAGAGCACAATTAAGAAGAATGGCGACGTCAACAACACCTGTTCAAGAATGGCTAGTTATCTGTCCGGATTTTGAGGGTGCGCTGCAGAGGCGATTGAGCGTAAGACAACAACATCTGGCGGGATTGAAAGAGGATCCGGAGTGGTTTTGGTTGTTTGGTGGTACGGTTTCCCCCTCTCTTGCTGTCCTTCACTATAAGTAATGGTAATTGCCCGCACTGGGAATAGTGTTAACAGATATCTAGGCGCTATGCTCGAAGAGCCGATTAAGGAAGGCGAAGTTCCAAAAATGGCAGGCTCAGCTATGCTGATTGGTGCAAAGACAAGGGAGGAGGTGGTAGAGAGGTTGCAGAAAGATGTTTATGTTACTGGAAAGGTGTGGGATTGGGAGAAGGTAAAGATTATTCCTTTCAAGAGTGCGTTGCGGAAGCCTTTGTAAAGTGCATGGCAACGAGAGTGTCCTTACCGGCTCTTTTGGTGGTCGTAACATACTACATATTACATGGCTTTTGCAGGTTTGGAAGAGTGAGGAAATGGTAGGAGTATCTTATAATGATATTTGGAAGACTTTGGGGCTTGTATATATATGCTAGGTCCATGTCTGGCGCTGGCCTTGTCGCCCTGGAGATTGCGAAAATGTTCCTGCGCCAGAGGCTTTGTTTGGTGCCGAGATTGCCGACTCGTCGAACCTCCTTCAACCTTCAACGCAGCTCCTCAATTTCTTTGAGTCAGTCAAATTACGTTAAAACCTATTTATTAGTTTCACACCAAAAAATCCACGTGTGTCTGGCCCAAAAAATAATAAATGTAAAGGAGAGGGAGGCTGAGACTTCTAGACCATCGTTCTTGAAGCGACCAGTTTTTATCTCATTATTATGAATTTTGGGGGTCATATAGGACATGATGGGAAGTGAAAAAATCCCAAAAAAAATTAAAAAAATTCGATGTTTGCTTATTTAGGAGGGCCACCTTGCCTGTGGGAGGAGTATTTGGCGTCTCGGACGAATACTTGGGTATGCTCAGGGATGAGGCTATGGGTGGTGCGTTGCTGTTGCGACGCAGAGTTTTTAGCGACCTCAAGATAGTGGTATAGCTTATGTATTAGGAATTGTACTAGGAATAGGCGCTTGCCTAACCAATCCCGAAACAGTTGTAATCCGATAACCTCTCTTCTTAATTTCCGGAATGACGTTTTTCAGCATTGGAATCGTCCAGCTCCTCCTATCATGGCAAATGATAATGCCTCCTGGCCTCATCATACTCAATATATGCCTCGCATTGACTCTCCAATACGGAATCTGCGGATCATGGGGATAGATGCTACCAAGCACAAGTCTGTACTTCAACATCTCGAGCCTCTTTCTCATTCTCCCAGAAAAGAATCCCGATCCAGGCCGAAAATAGCGGGCCGGATGCCCCAAATCTGCAGCGTCGTAGGCGCGATGGATAAGTGTTTCCACGGTATCAATCTGGCGGATGAGCTCTGCGTCCGAGAGTGATCGTGAAGGCTCATCGCGCATAGCGTGATTCCCAAGTTCATTTCCATTCCGCACTAAATCCTCTAATACATCCTCTTTGCCGGGAACCTGTGATCCAATAATAAAGAATGTCGCAGCGACGTTGTTTTCTTTCAGGATTTCCATGATTTGCGACGTGTACTCGGATGGTCCGTCGTCAATCGTTAATGCTACGATTTTAGATGGCGTGGAAACCTGCCACAGAACATCGGGCCACCTGTATTGAAAGTATTTGATCAACAGCGTCGGCGGTTTATAGACAGTGTAGAAAGGCGAGACTATCAAGAGGAATACTGTGACTAGGATGAACATGGTGAAGAGGCGTGAGCGGCGGGCACGACGCCGGAGTTTGGACGGCAGGCGGCATAGACAGCAACCTAGACGGTACATTTGCGATGATATGATTGTATGACCATTGTACAGGAAGGAGCAGAGCGTGGAGAATGGAAATGTTTAGACCAAATGACATGACATGTTAAAATTGACCATCCTGGGAACGCACAGGCGTTAGCTTCTCAGGGGTTGCCGGTAGCCAAATGAAGTTTAGCGTTCCTTGAGCGACGAATATTTTCATGCAGCAACAGTTTCCTATTCAACGTCTCATTCATGACCGCACAAAGGTACGAATGTCTGTAACCTGCACTTGCCCCTATGATTATGTTCAACTACATCTGTATGAATGGTATATACACGATAGGCGATCAACCTCCTCCGCTCTAGCCAGCAAGACCTTTTCCTCCTACCAGGCTTGATATAGCGTCTTCTTTTCCACGACGTCTTCAAGCAACGTCACACATTCAGCATCCACTTGCATGCTATCTAGACCTCTCTGCAAAGGCCTGCAAGGTTTTAGTCCCCTATCGGAACCAATTTGTCACGCTTGTACGAATTCCCCAACTTCGCTATAAGCCCTCTCACAATGTTCCAAGATCGAACCTGAGCGTTTAATTGACCCGGCCGCCTTGTTACAAGTGGCCTTCCGGGTCTCATGGTGCTCAGATATATTCAACTTTCCTGAAAAATATGAAGATGAGAACATATTGTCTAAGTAGTTTCAAAGGGGTTGGTATTCCTGGATATCTGGCGCTTAAACTAGTAGATAAGAAAGTGTACGCTAAATGATGTTTGTCCCAATCCGAAACGTCTCAGAGTCATCAATTCTTCCATAGATTCCAGGCGTTGATGAACCCCCCCCCATTCTTGCCACCGCCATCAAGTTCTAATCTAAGGCCGGCCTCTGACTTCCTAACCTCAGCGTCGTCTAGATCAATCAAAGGGACCATACTCGGCCGTCCATGAGCACACATGAATGGAAATACGCATTTTGACAATTTTACAACCAGCCCCTCGCACTGCTCCATGGTCAGCTCATCATTGAACATGATTGCAGAACGACAGGCACGGGAGTTGATTAAATCTACAAGCCCTTGAGGACATATGGAAAGCCGCCTGATCCAATGCAGGGGTAATTCTTCCGTCTTGGTAGCTGGGCATAGTGATTCTTGGACCGGTAGAGGGGGAAGGTGCGGATCTTCAGCAAATTTCCAGACGGTGGCACGTAGAAAGGAGATGAGGAGCTTGGGGTGGGCTCTACAGCGCTCCGATATGCTTGGAGGGAGCGTTGTTACAGACAGGACTGCTTCCACTCTCCCTGTGCTGCAGAATCTCGACGTAGAGCTTTCGTGCTTAAGCGTATCAAATAGAATCCCCCAGGCACTAAATCGCCGGGCATGGGTGATAAAAAGATCCTGCTCTTGGAGTGAGATCATAAATTGAAGAGGTTTCTCCAAGATCGTAAAGGCTACTTGAGATTCGTGGCCTAGATTTGAACGGTAGGGAGGATATCTTGTGTTGCAAAGTGGGACGCAGAGCTCGTGCATCAAGGATTCAACGCGGATCCGTTCGTCAGCTGCATGCTGATCTATTAGGACCAAGGCGTGAGGTGTAGTTGAATGGTCTGACGAGGAATTAGGGGGGTATGGCATCTTGATGAGGATGAACTTTTTGTCGAGCTGTGCAATCACCTCTGCATTCTGCAGACCCTCCTTTGACAATTTGCTTGCTTCAAGCACCGATGACTCGTTGAATGCTTGCTCGATGAGGGGGGGTGAGTACCCGAGATTATCAAAGTGCTTTCGCTCTCTGCTATTAAATTGATACTCGTCTGATGTGACTTGCCGGATGCTCTTCTCCGCTGGCCGGAATATTGGATTATCCCACGTCTTCAACAGTCCATCTAACCATGGAGTATTGGTTCCGTTGGAAATATTAGACCTGGGTTGAAGTCGGAGAGACTTGTTCGAATCATCAAGAGTCCTTGCATTGCTCGGGGCGGAAACATCGCCACGAGACCGGGTTGAAAGACAAGGCATGATGCAGTCATTCCGGGAATTGGGAATATAGGTTTGCTTAATAGATGGATCAATCCATGTCATCGTTTCGTCTTTATCCTTGTCAAAATCTCGGTCTTGCATGAGTGGGGACTTGGATTTCTCTAAACCTATGTTGGCAGGAGGAACGGTGTTGAAAGCGCTGAGCAATGTAGGTTCGTCGTCAAATGTTACAAGGAGCGGAGGGGGTGGGTCTTCCTGCCTTGGTTCGGGCGGTGTAAATACTCCCACGGAAGGCGCTCCAACACCTCTGTGTGAAGCTTGTTTCCCCAAACCCCAGAGCGTGTCATAGAAACGAGGGTTACCGCTTTTGATCTGGGACCACTCAGGGAACGGCTGTTGGTGTAGTTGCTTCAGCGATGTGGTCGGCGTTGGTTTGGTTGATCTCCTTCTCTTGCAATTCTCTCTGCACATTAAGCCAGGCTCTAGTGACCTGACTGTTGGGGGCCCTTCTTCTGTAACCCACCGGCTAAGTGGAAATTGGGCACCTGGATTTGTGATATCTTCTTGGTCTCCGAAGCAACTCATAGCTGACGAAACAGTGCCCACTCGTTTCCTCTTTCGAGTCTTTCGGGGTCGGAAATCATGTACTGAAAGCCACCGTGTGATCATCATATCTAGAACCTCAACCACCGACTGTAGATTTGTTTCATTATTGAGGAATTCATCTTCACGTACCATGTCTTTCCGATCCTCTTTTAAGTTAATGCGCAAATGAAACATGGGGTATCGGTCGACACCTTTCCGACCTCTAAGCTGGCGATTAGTGCACCTGTCGTTCTTGAATTGCTTATCGTTCTGTCGGCGAATCTTTTCGTTGTCTTCGGCATCGCTGTTATGTCCGACAGTGCCGAAACTAGAGAGACCAAAGACTCGGTTGATCTCGTCGTACAGCTCGTTATGTCCAGCATCTATAGACAGAGGCCGAACTCCAATACAGATGTACTGTACATGTTTGCTCGGCGCGGGTTCCAGAGATATAGCTCCTTTGACGGAGACGAGTGAAGTGGAGGCAGATACAGGGACCCAAGACGTCCACTTTTCGATTGAGAGATATGTAGATTGTGTCAAAACATTGAGCAAGAACTGAAGCTCGGCAGAACGCGGTTTGTTGATATCCGTATCCCTAGAATCAGTTGAGAATGCGGGAGACTTGCTATTAAAGATGAACATTGTTTTGTTGTCTGCGTCTCGAACTCGAATCGATACTGGCTGCCGCCAACTGAGCAAGAGGCCCGTAACTTCCCTCTTTAGCAACTCCCATTGCCGATCATGCTCTGCTTTGTGTACCACCATCACGGCTCTTTGTTTAACTCGCACAGGCAGATTTCCGAAAAGATTTCTGACTACTACTCGGGTGCCGTGCTTCTGATTGCTAAGCTCATGCTGCGCAAGTGTCGGTAGCTGTCTGTCTATAGCTTTGGAGTGATGGAATGTTATAGAGTTATGCGAGCGGTGCTCGTGGTGATGCGAGGTGATGGTAAGAAGGGACATGGCGGCGAGGGATGCTAGGAAGGTGCCGTGGCAGCCAAGGCTCGCCTCATGCGAGTAGTACTTTGACGTGTCTGCAGCACTATGAGCTTGTGTCTTCAGGTTGGAGAAAGGCTGCGAACAATACGGCTTCCCTAAGGCCCCCTCTTCTCTAAATTCAATAGGAGCTATCCCCAAGCCATCATCTTCCACAGAACAGCTACCTCGTCCAAAGTCAACAGTTGCCTCGACCTTGGTAGCAGTGGCATCTAGAGCATTTTTCAGGAGCTCTACAACGACTGCACTGAGAGAAGTAATAACCGTCGACGATTTGATCTGAGAGGCCACATCTGCCGGCAAGGGCAGTATAGTTCGAGGCTGAATTCCCAGGCCATAGCGTTCCATGGAGGCGACTATCATCCGCCCATGCTGAGGCGATGTGGGTGATATGGAAGCTCTCTGCTGGCCCTTGGTGCTAGGTCGCCATTTCGCGAGCCCTGTGGCGCGAGCCGTTGTGGCTAGGGAAGGAGCCGCAAACGGTCCACCCAAAGCCTCAACTCGCCCCCCGAGCAGCCAGCAACACCGAACAGACTGAACACGCTGCGAATCAACCCCCTTCCCCCAACGCATTGTGCGCAAGTGTCATATCTCTATTAGTCGACTCCTCACCTCGTTCTCTAGGCCCTCAGTGCCCCAGCGTTCCAGCATACAGCCACCGCTCGCTCTCCCCGTACCGCGCACAGCTGTGTCTCCGTTCTGCTACCCCGGTAGCCTCGTCATCGTCTAATATATTCCACGTAGAGCCTCCCCAGGCCTGCAAATTAACCGCCAAGTGCTCCCACCGTCCACTGCTTGCACAGCTGAACTGCCGCTACACTCTGTCATCGCCTTATTCTCTGGCATTGAAACGGAATGGCCACCGCCGAACCCGCGTCAGGGCCCCATGGTATGTCTTCAGTCCCTCTCCGCTAATTTTCTCAATCACCTGTGGACTCCTGCTAATTGTTATGACAAAAGACCGCAACACTATGCGCAAGCGGCCGTTCACAGGGTGGATGAAGCGTCTCGCAAACCTGAAACCCTCGACATCCGACTCTCCGAACGCTTCAGGAAAGAAAGGTCAAGGAGCAGCCCATTCAAAATCAAAGAAGTCTGCAGCTAAGAACAATCCGTATCCACAATCTGGCCACTTCCGTGGCAATGGCAACGGTCATCCCTCTTTTTCGAGCCCCGTATCCACCGCTAGATCCAACGAGAGCTTTACGTCAGTAGAGGAGGCCTCCGCAGGACACCAAGGGGTACTTGCAACAAGCAACAAGTCCACGGCACCGACGGTGGCGACCAATCCCGAAACGATTCACTCCGGACGGTCAAAAGCAGAGACGGGCCACAGCAATACAATCAGTGGTGGAAGCACATTCTCCTCTCCAAACCACTCGGACCGCTCTCTCACTACCACTTTGACCACTATTCAGTCAAGCGCACCTTCGAATGTGTTGGCTTATCACGCACAGAATGCATCTGCTGCGAATGTGCCACCAGTGCACTTCTCCCACCAGTTCCCAACCTCTCCACCTCCCTCAGCCATCCCCCCTCATCTAGCACCCCAACCACATCCGCACTCTTACCAGGCGGCGACAGCAGGCGGTATTCTTACGGACAATGCGTCTATTTTGACCTTGGCCTCTTCTTCGAAGCGCCGCCGGCGAGCCTCACTTGATACAAACGCATCTGTCCGTGCCTTAGCTCCGTCTTCAATGTGGGGAGGCAGCCGGGACTCACTTCCACTGAGTGTACTCTCTGGCAACGCAGACAACAGCACAATCTACAGTCCCTCGACTAGGCCTGGAGTGGGCGGCTTTGCAAATGCGGAGCGAGCTAGCCTCTACTCTTCTTCGGGAGTGGCAGCTCCGGCGCTCAGCAGCGAGCGCAATAGTTATTACGCGAGCAAGCAGAATGCTGATGGCGTCAGCGTTCGAAGTGGATTGCCAGGCCATGGCCGAACAGACAGTATTACTGGCAGCATTGGGGCTACTGCTGCAAGCCCATTGGCTAGTCCGAAGGATCCGGTAGCAACAGGCAGGATGAGTCGAAGGAGCTCAGATTGGAAAGAAGCTGGTGAGGATAGTGAGCTTGGAGACGATGGTGAATCACCCGCGTGCCCTGAAGTTGAAGGGAAAGGAAAGGCACCGGTGGTTTGAATTGCTTTCAATTTTGGTTTGCATACTGCGTGAGGTATGGACAAGGAAAGGGGCGTCATTGGGACCGAGTGGATGCTTCGAGGATAGCATGTGGCTCTGAGTTTTCTACCTTATACCCTAGGTTCATCAAGGACTGCTTTCGTGTTTTTTTTGGGTTGTGGTCCAGATAAATGCATTCTTTATCGTGACAGTTAATTTGTCGAGTTACGTGAGTAGATGTCAGTAGTTTCATTTCCTTTCACTGTCACCACTCCTACCGCAATCCCACTGCATTCCCACCGCACCGTCATACCCTCCCCGCCACCTTTATCTCGACTCCAAATTTCCGCTTCTTTGCCACTTCTATATACTCTCTTCCTATCCTTACTCTCTTTCGTATTCTCGTCTTCTGAACGACTACAACCCTCCTTGCCAGTCAGATTCACGATTGTCTAGACTCGAATCAGTTCTGCTCTGCGTCTTACCTCCACCCCAATGCTTTTGGCAACATCTTTCTCACCGACGTTCAGAGTGACTGGACGCCGTCACTCACACCATCCCACTTCTCGCTCGCGAACCATTCCCAGGCCGCAACGCCTCAAGCCAGCTTAACTCAAACAGTCAGCGCTCTACTGCTACAAGATCCTTTCTGCATCCCAAATCCAATGATGCTCGCTCTGCCTACGGTCCCTACCTTATCCTGACTCCGATCTCCGACCCACAAGCTTCTATGTAAGTGTGTCTTCGCCTGACGAGTCATACCTTCCTCACCCCGATTCCGCCATTCTCTGCCTCGTGCCTAACCACGTCAATAGTTTACACACACTAACCAATATCTTAGCGTTATGAAGTCAGTTCGCCTAACTCTTGCTCCTAGCGTAAACAGTACTTTAGCATCAAAATCGACCCAGAAGATGATTTCACCATCCGCCTCACTCCATCGGCGAAGCCGCTCGCCGAGTGATCCAATACAGTCAACACACCTGCCAAACGCTCTCGTGTGTTCGACTTCACAATCTCCCCACGCGTCATGGCTGGTACCTCTGCTTATTTTAAGCATGTGCTTGGCCTTCAACCTGACCAGCTAATGATCTCTATGGAGAACAACGGCTTGAGCCGTGCCTTCGACATCTGGCTTCGCGCCCTCCACAATGGTGCTAAAACTATCCCTACTTCGCCCCAGGCCATTCGCGTCGAAGACGTGTGGAATGTCATGGGCGTCGGGTGGACGTATGGCTTCATCCCAGAAAATACTAACGCCATCAAGTCCTGGTTCGTTGCTCTGTACGACGAGAAGTTCGGCCAGGGGGTACTCTCTCCGATGCTTGCACGCACTATGGCCTTTACCTGCGCCATGCTCGATCGCGCTGAAGGCTTCATGAAACTAACCAAATATCTTGTGTACAACACAAATGAATTAATGTTCATGCATAATCCTACCGAATATGAAAATCTGACGGTCAAAGCCCGATTATTCGATAGTAAGTCCTCCCTATACTTATCCCAACATCCGCCGATCTTTTGCGCATCATGAGCTCACATATGCAGGCCCTTTGACCGCAGCGAGAACTTCTGTCCACTCTGTCCTTGAGAAAGAGTTGAACTTCCCATTGGAGAAGCTTCATGGTACTCATTGTTCCTGTCGCAAGGAGACCACCTTTGACTATGAGGACGCCCTTCTGAAGCCTGGCTGCTGGCCCATTGACAGGGTGTTGAAGCAGCATCCCCTCGAAGAGGTTATTGGAAGGCTCAAGAATTTCGAGTTCACCCCCAAGACTACCCAGTGCGAGTCTAATGTATGCCTCCGCGATTTCAAGAAGTCGGTAGACATCGCCACCTACCGAGCCCAGCAAGAGTTCCAAGGTCTTTGCGCAGACTGCGTTAAGCGAAGCAAGCATGCGCCGGGTCAGTCACGAGAGGCGTTTGTTGAGAAGAACTCTCCATATAAAGGTTGCTGGGGTATGGAATGCCGATTTGGACACGGCCGTGGCACGTAGTGTAGGTTATCCAAATGTGAACAGCAAGACCCTCGCTAACTTTCAGTCTTCTCCTGGATGGGACCTTCTTCAATTCGACGGCGGATTCTATACAGAGCTCAGCGAGAGATGACAGAGGTCAAGAACAGTCGTCTTCGCATTCTGAGAGGAGGCGCTCTAAGCTAGCTGTGAAGATTTTGACTGTCCACTGCAGCGACTTCAAGACTACATCTAATACACATACTAATGGTGGCGGCGCGATTGTCACAACCCTCAACTTCGATAATCTACCGACTAGAAACGGCGACAAAGAGACTTCATGCGATTGCGAGACGAACAATGATACTGATGACGACGAACAGTTCTTTGTGGCCGAAGAGGGCGATATCGAGCTAGACGATGACGAGGAAGTAAATGGTACTTCGTCATTGGGGAAGCTTCAACGATGTGTTAGTGATGAAGAAAAAGAGCGCTAAAGACAGACATATTTCTACAATCTATCAGTACAAGAGCCTATGATCAGCGTATTAGAGTGGCTCTCATTGGATTGGATATTGTTGCACTGAATGCTACTATATGGCTGCCTTTACGGTCCTCTATGATTCCGCTACCGCATGATACCTCGAATTTCTCTCCTCTTGCGAATTTGGAAATGACATCAACCTGGACACAATTTTTTTTCACTCGATCGCCAGCGGATGGACGAGCGGTTCACATTTCTGGGAACTGGGCGATCGGGTTTCCCACCTCTTTTCTCTCAGTGGATATCAAATAGAATACCAAAGGATTAAGACTCAACTTTCTCGAGGGATTTCCAGTAGAGCGGCTACGACAACTACGCTTGGCTTTGATGGGCCAACCCATTCTACCAAATCCTTCAACGATACAACGTCTGGATTATAGAAAAAATGCCTGCATCTAGCGTCTCTAAGAATATGGTACGGTGGACGACTAGCGTCTACACGCTATCAAATAGGAAAACGCGAAGAATTTCGCTCTTACCAGTGCAACCATGCCAACACGACCAATGCCTCTTCTAACATATAAGACCTTTTAAGAACAGAAAGAGGTAAACCCTTACACTTTATCACATTACAACGCACAACTCCTTGAGCATCTCAAATCCCTTACCCTCCAACTCCAGTTCCTTCTTCTCTTCAACAACTTTAAACCTCATGCCCCGTTCCTTCACCACTCTGCTTTGCGCCTGCTCCCAAAATGCCCGCTCTACCTCCCGATCCTTTCGAACCTTCTCAAGCCAAATTTCCCATTCCTCTTCCTTTATCGCTTTCTTCTTCTCGATGTTCTCTACTAAGGCCTCGATGTCCGCGCGAGTGCATTCAGGACATAAAGTCTCCAGCATTGTAAGCCCGAATTTGCATTCTTGCAGATACCATTGATACAAGGTCGCCGAAAACGGCGAATACCAATTCCGTTTACAACCCTTGCGGGTACACGGCCTAGGCATATATCGCCAATCCCACTGTTCTAATACTGGCTTACTCTTCTCACTTCCCCCTGTCTTCAGCGCCACCAGCGGTGCCACTGACACGGACAAAATCGGTGACGTTGGATCCTCCCACCCCAGCACACGCTGTTTCTGTCGATCCTCGAGCTCTGCAGCTTCACCCGATCGCTGAACGTCAAGCGCGCAGATCCAGGCTTCGTGTTCGCTGGCGATGACGGACAGGTTCTTCCGCCCCGCGTTCTGTCTCATGGATTCCCATTCGCGGCGACAGGCGTCGTTGGCAGCTTTTAAATCCTTGTAGGCGTGTGACGGACAGAGACCGCGTTTGTGGCGCAGTCCGTAAGGTTTTTGAGTTGTGTAGAAGGTGGGGGATAGAGAGGAGAGGAGGTAGTGTTCGGAGCAGAGCGGGTGAATGCAGGGGATGTAGTTTTCCATGAGGTTGTAGGTGTGGGGGTGTCCTGGCGTAGTGGAGGTTGATGGCGGGGAGGGGGATTGGAGGGTAGATTGTACGGTTGACATTCGGTTTGCGGAAGCTTTGGTTCGTGAGGGGTTTCGCGAGAGGCTTCGGAGACTGCTGATGCTGAGGCGGGTGGCGGTAGATCGGCGCTTTGAAATTGGGGGGTTTTGTCTGGTGGTGTTGGAGAGGGGTGTGGGGGTTGGAAGCGGGGATGCAGACAGACGTTTGGATATTCGTTTTGAGCTGGGAGGCTTCAGGGTGGGTTTTAGTGTCATGGTTGGGTCTAGTTTTGACATCTTTGCGTTAGGTGACGTGGGGCTTCCCGGTGGGCAAGCAAAGGATATGATGGAAGGGGCTGTAGAGGGAGAGGGAGAGGGGAGTCGTATGAAGTCTCCCATCATTAGATTGTTGTGTTGAGAGATGGTGAGTGGTTGATGCGAGGATGCTGCAGGGAAGTATTCCCTGAACAATTCGAGGCGCTCGTGGAGAGACCACCAAACAGTCACAGGTTTGGGGTTGAACCAACGAATGCAAGAGAAAACATCTCATTGAGACGAAAAATATCCTATGAAGATCATGACGAAGTCTAACGAAACGAAAGGAACATCAATCGGCGAGGAAGTGTGGGACGTCTTCTAGAGAGAAAATTGGAAAAGGGAGTAAATCTCCTTTACACCTTAAAGTCAAAGTTCAGTGTCCTTCACGACCTCATCTCGCTTTCCAGCCCTCTCATTCGCATATTGCATGTGTTCGAAAAACAAGTTCCACATCCCATTATCTCTGTGCAGAGCCAACGTGAGTAAATCAAAAGAAACCTTTTGGCAGCGGGGGGCCGAACCTTAAATTGTGACATTCTCAGCTAACGACATAGAATTTTTGCTACAAGAGATATAAGGATACGAGAAGGCGGTCAAATAACAATTATAACAATTGGATGTTGCGAGTCCAGAACGTGATATTGCGGGAAAGGCCGAGATTGAGGCTGCAGTTAGCGAGACCAATAGCGCCATCGACAAGGGCCGGAATTCACAGAGAGAGGGGAAACAGTGCGTTTAGCTAGCGAGAAAAGCCTTGGTGTTGGCGAGAAGGGAAGTCCATGTCCAATCGGTACCAAAACGTGGGCTCTATTCAAGTATCTTGTGCTATATGCAAAACGGTATCTACTGTACATTGCAGACAGAATGCAGTATGCTAAAGGCTAAAGCTTAGGCTTAGGCTCTTTCTTGAGCATGGCTTCGGCGACGAGGCGTCGTTGGATCTTGCCAGTGGCGGTCTTGGGCATGGTATCCGTGAAGAAGACCTGCGGTGATCAGTGAACTCTTCTGCAGGCACTGTGGAGCGCTTGGAAATACCTGTTTAGGCAGTTTGAACTTGGCAACCCTTTCACCCATCCAAGTCTTCAAGGCTTCGGCATTGAGCTTCTGTCCGTCCTTGACCACAACGGCGACCCCAACGTCTTGCCCGTAAATCTCATCGTCCAGCGCAAAGCTGACAGCCTCAGACACAGCTAGGTGCTGCGCAATCACGTTGTCCAGTTCAATAGGACTAATTTTCTCACCACCTTTATTAATGAGCTCTTTGATGCGACCAGTGATAATCACATAATCATCAGGGTCTTTTTTGCCCTGGTCACCAGTCCGGAAAAAGCCATCCTTAGTGAACGATGAAGCATTAGCAGCGGGATTGTTGAGATAGCCTTTGGTAACATTCTCGCCGCGGATGCAGATCTCGGCCTCTTCACCTTGTGCAACTTCGTTTCCCTCTTGATCAAGGATCTTAATCTCAACTCCCTGACCAATACCTACGCTGCCAGGTATGCGCTTTCTGGGAGGCAAAGGGTTACTCGTCATTTGATGTGCAGCCTCGGTCATTGCGTACGCCTCCAGGACCGGGGCATTGAACGCCTTTTCTAGTTCATGGAAAACCTTGGGCGAGAGTGGAGAAGAGCATGACCGGATAAAACGGATTCGAGGTTTTGGGTTTGGAGGTGGATTCTTGAGGAGAATTACATGGATCGTGGGGACCGCCGTAAACCAATTTGCTTTATGCTCAATGAAGTCTCCCCAAAATTCGGAAGCTGAAAACTTCAATGGTACAATGACCGATCCTCCAGAGGCAAGCGGTGCGAGGAAGCCGGCTAGTAGACCGTGGACGTGGAAGAGCGGCATGACCAGCATAGTACGGTCCTTGGGAGACAATTGATAGGTAGCCTGAATGTTCTTCATTGTTCTTAGCAGGTTGCGGTGTGTTAATGGCACAGCTTTTGGGCGACCTGTTGTTCCACTGGTATGTAGGACCAACGCAATATCATCTGGCTGCGCTGACTGGACGTTTTTGTTGCTCTCGCCCGCTAATTTCCCATTTTCCCTGACGTCTAGAACCACTTCTTTGCCATTGTAGAAGCACTCGGCGATTGCGGCTTTGTACTTTCTTGCTGCGCGAACAGAAGCTGCATCTTGACTAAACGCGCCCTTCGGCACCAGAGCAACCGCCGAACTCAGATCGTCGATGTAGAACTCGAACTCGGATTGCTTGTATGCTGGGTTGAGTGGCGCCGCAATGGCCCGTTGCCAGGATGCGGCAATGAAAGAGACGATGAATTCGTACGAGTTGGGTAACGCAATGGAGACGGCAGATTGAGCGGTCACGCCGAGAGCAGCCAGTTGCTGTTGGAATGCCTTGACATCGGCGGTAAGTCTCTGGTAGGAGATGTATAGGGGAGGTTTTGAGGGAACAATGATGGCAGTGGAGGACGAGTCCTCGGAGAAGGCATTTTCGAGGGTGGTGGGAGCCATTGTGTTGATATCGGGGCAAAAGTCTATGGATCTAAGCAAGTCAGGACTCGGTCAATGGGAGGAGTTGTGAGGAGTGGAATACATCTTAGTATACGCAACTGTACAGGGAAAGAACAAACAAAATTACACAAGAGGCCTGCTCGCATGCGTCTAGACTGATAGCACCATTCCCGTACAGCACGTTGATAGTTGATATCCACGTGACTTGGCCGATTACCCATAACTAAGCACAGTCTTGGCGACGCGCCAACTGTGCCTCCCTCATCCTCGTCCTCGTCCTCCACCTCCCCCTCCTCCTCTGCTCAACAATACCTTATCCTCAGCACAGTTATGGCTACTCAATCAGGTGCTAGTAACCAGCCAGGGAAGAGCCAATTGCCGAACCCCTATGCAGCGGTTGCGACACTCCCCAACCCCTACGCTCATCTATTGCCCACCCCGCCGGGTGCAGAAGGCGCAGCACAAGGCTGGGTGCAAGACAAGCAAGAGGAAGAGCAGAAACAGAAGAAGAACGGTATATCTCATGTCTACACCTTCCCATCTAACTAGGTTCACGGTTGCTCATCCCACCATGCTCAGCTCTCTTCTTTACTCCGTCTCACCTTACCGGACACCGCGCGAGGTCCAGTAACCAGCCACAAAACAAGAAGCCCAAGTTCCACGGCCCCGCCCCCAAGCAAAGCTCTACCGATGACGCCGCTTCTGCTGCCTCTCGTGCTGCCGCAGCCAGCCGCAAGGACTTCTTAAGGACTACTGAAGAAGACCTGGTCGCTGCCGACATATACGCTGCCAAACACCAAGCGCAACGGGGAGGCAAGAGAGGCAAGAAAAAGAGAGAGATGATGTTGCAACAGCAGAAGCAGCAGATGAAGTCTCAATGGAATCGTCCTTACGATCTTCATTACCCTACCGATATTGACGCCTTCGCGGCTAGCTCAGAGTCCAATTCCATGTTCATCAAATTCCTCCAAAAAATCGGAGTTGAGAACAGCAGCGACGAGTCGAATCCAGAGTCCCCAACAAGCTCTTACTCTCGAATGTCCTCCGCCGAGCCGATGGAGACGTCTCCACCACCAGAAGCTCCTGATGACGAAAATGATGCGTATCGCCCTCATATGAGCTTCGCACCGCCTCTTGGAACAAAATCTTCCACCCAGCTTCTGACTACTTCTCCTACTGTTATTTCAGAAGCGTCGACTGGCGAAGAGGCATATATGATCCGCATGCGCCTATCACAACAGCCGAATGTGATCCCTATACCTCCACCACCCCCACCTCCCGAAGACAATCTAATCCCATCACTCCCGCCGGGGCCATCTTATGAACCCGTCCCTATTCCTTCCCCCCCACCGCCGCCACCTGAGTCACTAAAGCCTATCTATTCCTCCGTGATTGAAGGTGCGCCAGTACGCTATGAACGACCGTCACCACCGAACCAACCGTACTCCGCCGTCATCTCAGGCGCTCCTGTGCACTATAAGCAACCGGATCAATCGGATCTCGAGATGGAGGATGCTCGACCTGAGCTAACCCCCAAAAAGAAGGAGAAGAAAGAGAAGACCAAACCGATGTCAATCGGCGAACGGATGATGGCCAAAATGGGCTACAAGAAAGGGGAAGGGTTGGGTAAGGATAACGACGGCATTCTCGAACCTTTGAGTCTCAAGATAGCCAATAGAAAGACAGTTGTGGATTCAGGACCAACCGTTCACGTGTTCACCGGTGGAAAACGAAAGCGGGAAGACGAAGACGGCGAATTTGGCAAGCCGTCATCTGTCATTGTGACTTGGGGCTGTGTTGACGGCGTCAATTTCGCAGAGGACGCAGATCGGTCGGACGGAGGTATCCGGCAAGAAATGGGCGATGTATTTGACAAAAAGGGGAGCAGCCCGTTAGAATTGTGCAAAATCATGCTGACGTATTGTTATAGTTCGGCACGATTGAGCGTATTCATGTTCATCTCGGTTCTGAAGCGTCTTCGAAAACTGTCTACATCAAGTTCAACTCTCCATTAGGAGCGCTTAATGTAAGTTGCTATAGTTCAGAAGTAGTTCTGTGGCCACCCTCCTAACCCACTATAATAGGCTGTCAACCGCTTCAAAGAGGGGTTTGAGTTTCAGGGCAGGACTATTCGCGCATTATACTATGATGAGGATAAGTTCCGCAGGGGCAACTTTGACGAGTAGGATAGGTTAGGTTAGGCGACTCTGGTTGTTCTGGCGCGTCGGAATTGTGTGGGTCTTTCAATGGAAATCTGCATGTGAATTCGACGGGTTATTTTTGAAGGATATGGAGATGAACGTGAAATATATACCAAGGTGTTTGTCGCCTTTCTCAACATGTGCCCGGTCCCTTTTGATGTGCTGCGTGGAGTCAGACCAATTCCCCCTAGAAGCATCGATCTCCTAACTTGGAAGGTTTCAAATCCATCTATTCAAAGTACACTGCAGGCTAGCCTGACAAAGTTCGGCTTATTCAGCCCAGAAACCGGCATCCTTGAAACGCTCCCTTCCAAAACCAATCCGAAAAATCAAATCTTCCCAGACATTGGTCTGTCATGGACGGTGATATATATGTAGTCTCATCCTAAACAGTACTAGTATCTGTACGATGTCTCTAGATGATAATGCCGCTCCTATGCAGACAGTACAAGTTCTTGAACCTTCCTGTTTTGCGTAGGCCAATGGATACAGCTAAATCTGCAGCTGACTACAATATACAACATCCTCCTTCAAAGCTTACGTAATCCTAGTTTTAACTATATTGTTCCTAACAAAGAAAGCCCTCAGCCCAAGGGTCAACTCTGTTCAGAATATCGGCTCTAGTTTAAGTGATGTCTGCATGGGCGGAGATGATTGGAGTTCTGGGCTTCTGACCATTTTACAGCGCTGGCGCAATACTATCAAACGTATTTAGAGCTAGAGATCGAGATATTTAGAAATTTCTGAGAGCTCAGATTCAATCACAACACACCCATAAACATACAGATATATAGGTTCACCATTTCCATTATTACTCCTACTCCATGGCGCATCCCATTACAGGTAGCAAATCTACCCTTGCGCCGGTGAGGCCTATAATTTCCTACACAGCAAGATCATCTCCCCCGGCCATCCAGCAACCAAAAAACCGGAGTGCTTGCGCATGATTTATGTAATGCAGGCGGGTAAAGTATAGGAACAGAAATGGAGGGAAAAAAAGGTTGAACAAAAATGTTGGTTTCATACCGCCCAGGGCCGAAAATCGATTTCCTAGGCCGGGGATGTTTGTTTGCTCGCCCGCCCTGCCCTTGAAATTTGTTTGTCGTTCGTTGAGTTAGTCACTCGCCGTATCCATCCATTTCTTACACTGCGTCGTCATCCTGCTTATACCCCTATTCACACAAAGCCCCTTTGCTTTCTTTGTCCTTCTTCTCCTTCTGATGATAATGTTGGTAGATTACGCATTGCCAGGCTTCTCGTCTGTATCAATATGCCAGACGACATAGTTCGGTAGACCATACACACCGTACCCTGCACGTTTCGCCATTTTTGCAAAACCTTCAGTCTCGGCTTGGTTTTCGAAGGGGTAACAGGGGAAGTTGATGCCAGAGCGGTGAACGTCTGCTTTAACGATGATGTTGACGCCGCCTATGCCGTCGAGAGGGATCTCCTCGTCTTTGTTTTCGCGCCAGTTGCCCATTCTGGCCATGTATTTGCGGTTGGTCTTGTATTCTTTGTAGCCTGGGGTATTTTGTTAGGTAGTTGGGAGGAAGGAAGAGGAGCAAAAGGGACAGACCTTCGGCGAGAACGATGTCTTTGTCGAGAGACGCAGCGAGTTTACGACCTTCTTCGGATTCTTGCCACGAGTTATAGTCGACTATTGGAATTAGTAGGTGCTCTGTAGGATGAACAGGTGACTTTACATCTTCCTTCAATATCAACCATTTTACCATCGCGTTCCCGGTATCTATGGAACCAAATGTCTATATCACATGTCAGCATGGTACCGTGAGCCTCGTCTAGAAGCGCCTCACTTGGCACAAGAATATCCCTGTCGTGCGCCACAAAATCCTCAATTATTTTGGCGGGGCTGTCCTTGATATCGACATCTCTCCAATACACCCAGCTGTGATCCGCCTTGAGGGCTGTGGCCAGCAAATAGTTCCTTGCCCTGCCCATGGCTTTTCTCCGAGGGCCCTGAGCTTCGAAGCCATGCCTGTCTTCCACATTTTGCGAGAGCGTCACGCCAAAGTCCTTCTCAACAATCATTGCAGATCGGAATGCGATCTCTGGGTTCCCCTGCACCCGCTCCAGCTCCTTTGCCAGAGCTGCCATTGTGTCATCCGTCGAGTCGCCGATGAGGAAGCCGAGGTCAATTAGGTGGTGCGGGTACGTAAGCTGACTGATGAGGTCGAAGTGCTGTTCTAAGTAGGGCGCGGCGTCACGGAGCGGAGTGAGGATGAGGATGCGCTCCTTGTTCGCATCCGCCTTCTTGGTGGATTTGATCTGGTTGAGGTCGACGTGGGAGATGGTGCTCTCGTTGACCTTGACCGGCTTGTGGTGGTTAAATATTACGGGGGTCTGGAGGTGGCCGTGCCATTCTGCGTTCTCGTTCGGTGTCATGTGCATTGGTGGTTTGGAGGGGCCCCAGCAGTAAAACCTGTATAACACTTGTCAGCGGCTACGCGCGATGCCAATGCCTCGTCTCGGGGGTGCGTGCCGCTGCATCTCGCCCGCGGCCGAGCCCATGGACCGCCATAGCAGCACAATTATCGAGACCAGGCCGACCGAGAGCAGGAATCGGGGGTTCCTCAGGATGTGGAAGACGACCCGCGTCGGGGGTAGTCGTGCTCGGGCGGCCTTCCACGAGTAGCCTCCTTTGGGGACCAGCATGGTGAAGCGAGGCGCGCCCGCAGCGTTGACGTCCTTCTCCCGCGCCTGCGATAGGATTGACGAACTCCGCGCTCTAATGCCGAGGGTGTTGCTCCTCTCCCGCTGCGTGTGTAGTGGCGGAGACGACGGGATGGCCAGCTTGGAGGTTGGGGAGGGGAGGAGGTGCGATGAAGCAGGTTCCTGGTCAGTCGTGGAGGCTCTGCAGCAACGGCGCGCGGAAGGCTCAGGCGTGCTTCATAGAAAAACTAGCGCGGTCAGAGGTGAAACTAGGATGCAGCGACACCGGGCAACGATTAGAAAGGGCAGAACGAGCGTAATTGGGGTAAAGTCCAGAGAATCATCGGATTCGCAAGGAGGTCGCAAGCAAGAGACCAAACGCTAGCTGCTCGGCGCTGATTGGCCCGAGTGGAACAGGCCGCGCATTCGATGTCGCTAGAAAATGTCCACGCAGTCGTAGCAATTCCCCTCAGACACTGCGTAGCTCACTGTCAATCTGCTTTGGAGCATGTCGTAGAGACGGCTTCACTTTGAGAAACTGTTCCTTCTGTCGTCGATGCGCCCTTGTCCGTTGCACGTGAATTGGCCAAGCAAATTGGAAAGTTTTTGAGTGGTCAGTCACGCTAACCACCCTTGCAACCGTTGCTTGACGTCGACTGTTCCTCACTAACGTCTGTCGAAATCTTCCAGAAAACGATATACATACTATTGATACATAAATTCTAGGAATTGCAGGCCGGCAGATGTGATGGAGCATAACAGGTTTGGATCTGAGACCAACAATCCACATCCTCTTTACGCTCTCCTCAAATTTAGCAACAGGTCAGATAGATCAAAGCGTCCCCGTCAGTGTCCGTGACTAATGCCAACATGCAGTAAGTAGCCAATGTATGGGCAAACTGAAGTAGATGCTTTAGCAATGTCTTGTTCTGGGAAAGAAGACCTCGGTAGCTAGTTCAATGAAAGGCAAGGCCTATAACCATGGGGAACACCGCATGTCCTCTGGGAAGGGATACTCACTCAACCCACTGGCTCCACCGATCCAAGGAGCAGCTTGAGGTCTGTATCGGTCTCAAACACTGGAAAGGGAGACAGCCCGACAAGGGTTTTTGCGGCCCAGGCAAGGAGCAAAAGCGAGCAGGAGAACCCGTCAAACCTATCCTATTGAAAGGAAACGCGTTCTCAGGACATCTCGTCTGACACTCTGTCTCCGCTTCGAAAGCCAATAACTTGTCCCTTCCCTCCTCATTCTCCTCTTCAGTTCTGCTTATTTGCTCGTCGCTTTACCTACTTCTCTTCAAACCAAGTTCAACGGTGAGTCCTCCACCGAATGAAAGGTCGTATAGTTGGAGGCACTGTCTCTCTCGGTTGCAGGGAACCGCGGCACCTTTCTGGAGGCTTTTACAACTCTCTTTTAACAACCTCGGTCCTATGCATGAGCATTCAGCAGAAGAATATTCCGTGGAACCAGGTTGTGGGTGCAGAAGCAACAGTTAGGCGCAGCCAGCCCGCATAGCTCTAATCAAAGGCGCCAGTGGAGCCAATGGACCGTTCCTTGATCTCAAGCCTTCTCCCACAGGCATTCCTTCATGGCCCTCTCAGCTCTAAGTATCATGTGCGACGCCCTGGCCCGTCCGCCGCTTTCGTAGAAATAATCCCCCACAAGCGTCTAGATGAGGAATACCGACGGTAAAAAGATGATCGGTACGAAGTTCCGAATGATGGCCGTCGAAATCGAAACCGGTATGCACAGCTTGTTTAGTGGTGGGCCTTCCTTAGCGCAGTGATGAATGCAAGAGATGGAGGAGACACGGGAAGTCAATACATCGATACTCGGCCGCTCGTGCCAACATTAGGGCGCCGCCTCATCTCATGGAAATGATGTGTTCGAGACGGCGACTGACCCCGTATCGTATAGGGCCCGGGCCGCTGGTAGCGAACGTTCCTTGCAATTCTCTACTTGACGCTCATGGCTCATCACGTTGAACTGTTGATCGGTGTGCTATGCTACACTGTGCCATAATTCCAACGGAGACCCATGCAGAGCTGGCCAAGATTAGGAACTCTTCGCGATAGGTCAGAGATCGACACTGGAATGGAATAAGGGTGTTCACGTAAGTCGTTACCTCATTGTGTACCTATTCTTCATGAGATCTCTTTGCACGAGCTCTATGCGCTCTTAAGCACCATGTTCATGAATTCGACTTCGTGAACTGCTATGGGTTCGAGATCAAATGCTACTTACGGCTTAATGTTGAGATTTCTAGGAGAGGCGGGTTCGCCAGGCCCAGTTTCCACTCAAGGTCGAAAATAGAAAGGACAGACGTTCTCTTGATCAAAACCCCTCGGAGTAATTCCGAGGCTGCTATTGGGTGATAGGATTTAATATCCCCCACACAGTAGCTGAAGGCCATGTGATGAGATCCAGAGTGTTGGGTAGTGGTGGCTCGGGGGAGTGCGAATCTTCACAGCAATTCCAACACAAACTGAGAGGTAAATACGGGTGGCACAGTAGCCAGACGCTGAAAGAGGAGTAAACAAGCGACAAGTGGACACGAAAGGTGAAGCAAGCATATACATTGAAGCCTAATTTCTCTGTCTGGAACAAAAAGATTTTTAACATTATGTAGTGCAGGAAGAAGAAAAGGTGGGCTGACGTCGTGATAGTTTTGGTGTGGGAGTCTGGGAGAGGGCTGACCAGGGTGCTTCGGAGCTGTGAGTGGCCTGTTCGTGCCTCCCAACAGGGATATTCCTTAGCCGCATGAGCCAAGCGTCTCTTCCAGCCCTTACGTACGACGTCTGACATCTGTGTGAAATGAGCTGTGTTGTGCTTCCCGATCTGTACTATTCGCATCTTCATCGCTTTGAGCAAAACACATAGTTTGATCGGCTGCAGTGGTTCCGAGATGACCAGTATCATTCACCGAAGTGAGAAAAACTAAACTACAAGCTTTGCTACATCCATGTCTGATCGGTCAATCGTTGGTCTACCTATCCCATCTCGACCTCGTACACGTCAGGCGAGCCCTAGGCTGGCCTGCCCCAGGTTTCCATCGACATGTATCTACAGCGGTTTTTTACACCAGATGCTGTACTAATGTACAGATGACAAACCGAAAGTATTCACGCCTTTACAAGTTACCATTACCCACTGAGGATCAGACACTCACATACTCGATCGAGCTCTAAAGGAAACGAGAGCACAAGTAACTAGTAATGACAGAAGTTTGTTTGCAGAGAATGGAGTGAAGACTCGCATCTGGACCATAGAGTAAGGAAATGTACACAAAATTGCCGCCTGAACGCTGAAGCACACCATTCAGACCTGATAGAGAAAGTCGCAAGCGCGATGAGTGTTTTCCAAAATTTCGCGGATAAATACCCGAAAGTTGAATAAAGCTATTGAAGCAACCGCCCGGAACGACAATCAACCTCTCCAATGCCGCTAAGACCGAAATACCACCAAAATGGAAATTGTATAGGCATTAGATATGCTAGTGAAGGGTTATGTGGGTGGTGCTTTAGAGTCGTGGGTGCGAACATTTTGGCATGAGCTCCGGATCCTCCATGTTCGCTAAACCCTCTTTCAAATCTCGAACAAATTCTCCAAATCCACGACTCTCCAGAAACTCGATGTGTTGTTTGAGGAGGTCTAACAGCTCTATCGCCGACATGAGGACGGGTATTTTCCCGTAGTACAGGTCCTTCTTGGCATTGTTCTGTTTCAATTCCTTCCCCACCCAGGACTTCGGGAGGCGGCCATGGGGCATGAGGCCTGATATGGCTTCCCCAACCTTCGCAATGGCACGGGTCAACTGCTCGCGCGATGCGGTTTCCTTCTTAGCCTTGGCTTCGGCCCGCTGAAGATCCTTTGAAGTCATTTCCCGCTTTGGACTGCTACGAGCGCGTTGCTTGCGTTGTGGCTTGTCAATGTGCTCGCTTATTTGGTTAAGACGTCTGAGAGCATTGTGTTGATTTTCCATAGTAGGATTGAGTTCACCGGGTGCGAGGTATGGTGACGTTGAGCCACGTTGAGACATGAATCCAGAGTAGATTAATGCCGTGGAAAGTCGTTGAGGAACGTCAGGTACGGTAGGAGGCATCCCGCGAATCATATCGTTGATACCAGGGAGGTGTTGTCCCTCTTCGCACTTCCTGTGCCTGTTAGTGGTGACTCCACTGGTTCTAATAGGTCACATACTGATTAGTCATGTTGACTACTTCAGGATAATTCGCAGGTGTATATACAGGCGATATAGGCTGCTCCTGTTTGAGATGGGTCAGGATATTGGTCTCCGAATACATCATGGCTCACGGGAGTGGTTTAAGGTTGTATCATGTAGAATGAACAAAGCAGAATACCACCTAACTCAAGATGAAGAAGAAGTGCTGGTGAGAGACGAGGGGTTTGTTCAGAGATGAGACAGCCATCTTTTATATTCCTCTAGAGGCGAGCACCTATGCCCCATGCAGACATACGAAGACGGTAAAGATGGCGTCACCGCGGGACCGGGTTTCCAGGTTGTTGCAACCCTCAATTCCTTCTTTCTTGATAGAAACCTTTGTGCACTGGTTATTCTCCGCCTTTCGGGGCAGTGACCGTGCACGATGACTGCTCGCAGCGGGGAGATGTGCACCTAGCGCCTGCAAGTGATGATTGGCAATAAGCCGCTGTAGACGTGGGAGGGCGTTACGCAAACCCAGTAGAGGCGCCCCCTTGCGCGCAATTGAAACCGCAGCACTCGTCTCAGTGACAGGCGGCCAGTTAGCTGGGGAAATCCTAGTGAAATGCTCCGCAGCTTCGATAGCTCCACCAACGAATCCACCCTCGAATCCACCAATGGTATACAAGATAAGTACTTACGTCTTTAGTTCCCACCCTCATGGGCCCGATAATGTCGATAACGGTTCCTGTTGGACGACCAATGGTGTGACGGGTCAAGCTCACACCGTTAATAACCCAAGAACAGAAAGAACGTGTGCATGCAGCCATGACCCGTGATGGCTTGCATAGGTCTGAGCTGGAGCTGCTTGTAGTTCTCGATTTTGAGACAAGTTAAGATCAATGGCTTGACCGGGACCAGAACGGAAATCTGAGAGGTCATTTCTTTACGCGGTTCATGGTCGGCAAAGCTCCTGTACGCTGCTGAATCGGGGACCAACTTTGAGCGCCTGTGAGCAGGCATCTGAAGCAGCCGCGCCTGGCCAGGGCCTGTCATCGGTCTGGCGGTAGATGCGCTTGTCGGAAGATGCTGGTAACGCCACAGTATGCACTGAATTCGGATTGCTGTGTAACCGCGTGGAGTTTAAGCCGTTATCCGACCCCTTCTCTGGCCAGGGGTGCTCGAGCGTTTCTTGGCTCGGTCGAGGTGTGCCAGGAAAAGGAGTTGGGCAAAGTCAGACGAGAGCCAGAGTGGTGGTACGGAAAATGCTAGAAAGATGATGGCTCTAGACGGAAACGACACAGCACTTCCAAATATCATGTGCACATGAGTGCTTTGGGCCAAGAAATGCATTTTCGCTGCAACATACATAATAGAGAGAGGGCATACCTATAGACACGAAAGTGAAAGAGAGAAAGGCACAGATCCATGAATGCCGTCCATCAAAACCCGCCGCCACCTAGTCCGCGGATGAGACTTTTCGAAAGCAGGCTATGGTGTGCCATATTAAGAGTCCACTAAACTTCGATTGTCGTGGCCAATCGATACATACAACTGATGCATGCTGGTCAATTACCCCCCTCACAAGATCCCCTTCAGTCCTCAATGACATCGTTCGACCATCCAGGGCGCTCGCAAGCGAGATGCCGCTATGCTATCAAGGAAAACAGATGGTCCATTATTAGTCTATGCAAGTATGTTCGAAACGCCAGCGTCATGAAACCGTTCACAAGAAGAAAGCAGCAGCCAGGCCCATAAGGCCCATAGCAGCGTTGCTCTGGACATTCAGGGTCGAGGCAGCACCAGTCTTCTTGGCGCTGGCTCCAGTGACAGTTGGCGTGGTGCCCTCACCACCGGGCTTAGCGACGCTGCCGACGCAGACGAACTTGCCCTGAATCTTGCCCTTGTTCTTGAGCGGCTTGAAGAAGTCGTCGCACTCCTTCTGGACGTCACCGGTGGACTGCAAGTTGAAGGCACCCTTGACGTCGTTGAGCTGGGGGATTTGGATACTAGTCTGGTCAGCGTAGCTCGGTGTAGAGAATTGGTTCGTGACATACTCGGACATGTTGCCGTTGAAGTCAAGAGCACCACCGATGGTCTTTAGTTGGGGCAGACCGTCGATCTTGCCGAGTTTGGTGTTGTTCGCGATCTGCAGGTTGGCCGAGACCTCAGTCAACAAGGGGAGGGAGATGTTCGTCATCTCAGTGTTGGAGACGAAGGCAAGGGCACCTCCAATCTTGGTGAGATTGGGGGCAGAAAAACTGGTGAGAACATTCCCGTAGAACCCCATGGAACCGTTCAGGGACTCCAGAGACGGCACCTCAACTGAAGAGCAGTTGCGGAACGTCATGTTAAAGGCCCAGATCAGGTTAGGGAAAGTAACGTTAACTTCAGGGTTGTTCGCCTCGAGGGTTAGAGAACTAGTGACATTGCCGAGCTGCATCGAGATGTCGCTAATGTACCGATTGTTAGCGATGTACAGGGTGTCCACACTCTTAATGTTGATACCCTGGAGCGACTGAAGCTGCGTGTTCTGGATGTCGATTTTCGAGGCCTTAGTGATTTGGTTGTTGAATTGCAGGGTCTGAAGGTTGGGGAGGGCGTTCCATTTGAGGGAGTCGACGGTAGCGAGCTTGGGGAAGTTCACCGTGTTGAGAACTTGCACCGTGTCAAGCAGGAACTGGCCCGTGATTTCCGACAGAGAGCCGCCGCTTATGGATTGAATAGCGGAGTTGTTAGTGCACGCTAGGTTGCCGTCGATCTTCTCTACGCCATCGAGGGCAATTGGGTCCGAGGTGCCTGTGGAGATGGCGATGCTCCCCGAGAAAGTTTTGCACGAAGCCAACGCGGTCGCATCGCCCGAGTTCTGGATGGTGGAGGTTGCAGTTTTGGAGATACTGCACGAGGCAGCTAGGGGAAGGCAAGTCAGCGCCATGAACGGCAAAGGTGGTCAATTCGAGGCCATGCTGGGGCCATTGAGAGGGAGGGTACATACCGAAGGCGGTGCTGGCAACCGCGAGAGCGGGCAGCACGATCCTCATCATGGGAGACATTGTTGTCGACGTGAAGCAAGTCGGTAACTGTAGCAGCGGAGTCAGAGACGCGTCCCGGCCTCAATTGGGTGCCGTGTGTGCCAAGGCAGGGTGGTACGAACCTGGGATATTAAGACTGCTCACGAGCTGGGACGAGATAAGTTGTTGATGGATCGAACAATGCTACAGAGCGAATGTGAAGAAGGAGAAAAACGAGGGAAGAAATAGGGCTCACGAGCCAAACAACGCCAACAGTCTTGGAAGGCGAGGCTGCGTGAGAACGAAAGTGGGTTGGGAAGAGTTTGGAGATGGGAAGGGTTAAGGGAGAGCCGGCGATAGAAAAGGAGGAAGGAGTGGCCGGGGCCGCACCTGCCACACCAGACCGACAAAGACGCGCTAGCCGAATAGGGCAAGGCCTTGGAATCAGTGATATCGCTCGCGCCAGTGCACACCCGGACACGCCAACGCAGCGCGATGATGATGCTAGTGGCCACCGACCGACGGTGAATCCAGCTCCCAGCGAGTCACGCCTGAGAAGGGCCGCCGATGGGTATCTCTTTGCTGCGTCCTCCCGTGCTGCAGCATCCTCCATCGTGTGTTTGCACGAGCTCGAGTTACCGCGCCGCTGTCAAGGCCTGTGACAGCTGGTGAGACGGGCTGCATCTATCCTGTTGAGCTCGTGCAAATCCTGCTTGAAGTGCCGGTTTGTTCTTTAGCCCGCCGAATCATGCGCGGAAGAGCCTCTCGAAACGCTTTCCTCAACATGCGCCCCAGCAATGAGCGTGCAAAATCAAGATAGATCATGTCTCGGCTGAATCGTCTCAACGTCTCCAAGGCTGGCTTGTCTTCGGATGGCGTTCTCGGGCACGCCACAGTTGACGCCGCCGCCAGACGACTGGCCAATTTCCGCCGCCTTTATTTGCTCTTCTTCGCCTCGCCATCTCGCCACAAAGAGGCGCGCTCTTACCTGGTACTGCTCGACAGAAATGCATCGGACTCTCCGCTTTGCTGCACAATTAAGCAGGACACCTGTGCCTTGCTCCAGAGTCTCAGGAGCTCTCACGGGGTCTCAGAATCTCAAATGCACGCCGCGCAATCCCCCCACAAGCTCTTCTGACAAGCGTCGCAAGCTGCAAACGTTAATGACTTCTTCCATTGGCGGTTGATAGGCTTTTTCTGGGCCGCCAATCACTCGTTACCGCAGCCCCGAAATCCCGTTAACAGTATCAAGAAATCCTTTGTAGATCTCCCCGAGCAGGTTACGGGCGACTCTCCTTTTCGTAAAGCATGCAAGGGAGTGCAGGCCACCATTAAAAGGGATGATTATTGGCACCATGGTTCTGGGACAAACTTCCTTGGCTAACCAACACCACGATCCGCATGGGAATAATTCGAATTCGATGGGGTTTGATGCCTCGGAAAGATCCCTGGAAACAGATTTGAGATACCCTTTCCGTTACGCTAGGTTTAACGCATGAATTGCTGCTCTCCCTTTTCTGCCGGCTCACTTCTTCCCTTCCATCGGGAGACACGTTGATCTCTTGTTCCGCTAACAAATGGGTCTCGCTAATCAGAATCCTTTTCCGGCCGGATGTGCTAGATCACCAAAATGTGGAAATCTCCGCGCCCAGTCCAGGATTCTGTTTGAAACAAAGACAATTTAACGACCTGCGTCGCCAGGCTTCAAGTCATGATTTGCAGCTACTGCAGAGCACATCTTTCTCACATGTTATCACCTCAGGAGCTTCATCAACAAGCCACTTTCTGCAACATCGTCAGGATGAGGCTGGCGAGGCTGTGTGGCGCTCCCCGTCCACAAACACATCTGTGGTTCGGGGATGAGCCCTCCTTGATTTCGAGGATTACTCGACAAACTCACTTCTCCCCCAGCAATGAAAGCAGCATGGCGGTGTTCTTTCTTAATACTCGATAGCCTACGACGTACTTGAAAACTACTTGAAAGTTGGGGACTGGGATATGAAGCTAGGTGTCTCCCAGCAAAACGGATGTTCCCGGTGTGGTCACAGCTTCTATAATTGTCCGTTACGGCGAAGGAAGCAAAGGACACCCGCTTGTGCAACATTTGACGCGACAATGTTCGGCCCTCGAGTATTGGTGCTTTCCAACATAGCTGCCGTAGCCCACAACAAACACAAAGTCCACGGTATCCCAATGTGCGACTTCAAATCGCACCTTAGTGCCTCCTCGCCTTTCCTCTAAGCTTTCTCTTTGTTAACACCCCTTTCTCTTTTTTCAGCGTGTTTCTATTCCAGGGTTTAATGCAAGTCTATCCCCGCAAAGCTACACTCCTGCATATCTCAAACAGCCTAGCCCGCCCGTAGCAGCATTGTATCTCAAATCTTTAGTTCACGCCACACAACGAGACGAGAGGCGAAAACTGACGGGCCCTTGTCCTATTCTTCGACCGCCTGCGCCTTGTCTATCGTACAAAATGATTACTTAGAACTCCAGTGCCCCCAGATGCTTGCAACTTCATGTAATGCTTCAGATAGTTTCTCGGTTAGTACTTAGGTGTTCATGTAGGTATCGCGAAGCGAGGAATGCAGACTAACTACAAAGTACATAGACTAGTAGTCTGTCAGTACTAAGTCAAAACAGTACTTTTGCATCGTGACGTCGACTGATACATTAACGAAATGAACCATGTACTACGTATGGAATGCGATGGTAGGCTAGGACAAATCTCCGAACCTCGCACGCACTCTGAGGAAGTCCTATATTCCGACCATGATACTGAGCCTTGAAAGAGAGGAAGAACTGTTGATTAAATTTGAGGTCTCGCGCTCACTCGTCCACAAGTAGATATGTTTTTAATTCCAACATGATATGTGACTATCGTTCTTTTTAGGAGAAATCATCAGACTAGTAATATGAGAGGACTGTCCCGTACTGAGCAAGAAGGCACCGGCATGCGTGTATTAGATAGACTGATACCTTTTGGAGAAATTTAATAGAGCGTATTGATGCCTCATTAGCTTCGTACCTATATACCTGTTGGCACTGCCATTTAGCATTTACATTCGCTTCCCGTGCTCAGCTTTCCCACCCTTTCTGTCTGTCTGTCTGTCTGCCTTGCAAAATGTGTTGCAAACTCAATCCTCTATACTTGACACCCACAGCCAGCTCTACTCGCTCTGAATCACTGCATCACACTAATATCCACGTTCTCGATTCTCCACATGTACCACATAAACAACGACCTAACTTGCATTAGCATCCTGATCCCCGAGACCCCCGCCCAGCCAGACAAGGATGGCGGGTGACGGATGACTGGGAAGCCAGAGATTGGACGATGGATGTTGGATACTGGTTGACAGAAGAATACAAGTGACGTACCTATACGGAGAAAACTTGGCCGCGATGTCGAGCATCTCTTTCTCGGACATGTATTTCCACTTGCCACCTTTGCCTTTGAGCTTGGAAACATCTCTGCCCATGTATGTTGCCATGCCTCGTCTGCGCAACTGCGTTAGACACTAAGGGCATTGTGTGTGTTTGAGGGGGTCGGTCTTCACTGCTGTCCAGCTTGCACAGAGAATTGAAGACGTAGAATAGGGTAGAGTGGAAAAGAGAAGAGAGCTTACTGGACGCCCAGATCCCCCGTGCTGAACACATCCATTCTCTTAAGCCCAAAGCAGGCGAACATTTCCACGGACCATCTTCCTAGTCCTCGCACCGCTACCAGTTTCTCAATTAAGTCTTCGTCGCTGGCATTGATGAGCATTCGGGCATTAAGTTCCCCGGAAGCGAATTTTTCGGCTAATCCTTGAATGTATTCTGCTTTCCGCTGCGAAAGTCCTGCTGTACGGAGCGTGGGTAGGTCTTTCTGGATGACTTGGGCTGGGGAGGGGAATTCGGGGTGCGTGTCTTCGAATAAGCCGGTGAATTTCTTACGGATGGAGGCGGCGGCTTGGCCAGATACCTATGTATACGCACTGATATCAATTTGTGGGGTATTAAAGAGCCACACTAGCGAATTGAGGTAGAGAAGGTAAGAAAAGTCTGTGACGTACCTGCTGTCCGATAATCCCACTCGCCAGTGCCGTAAACGGATCCACAACTTCGCGCAGACCATCAGGACTAAACATCTTACAATGATGGTTGTTAACCAGGGCCTTAAGTTTCGGGTCGACGCTGCATAGATGTTCACAAGCATCTTTCAATAGTGTGTCAATCGTTGAAGTTGGAGGACGGAGTGCTCCAACATCTGGTGGGACAACTGCTTTCGCTTTTCTCTTCTTGCTTGGAGATGTGGTCTCGTCTTCCGATACGAACGGGGCTGGAATGGGAGAAGAAGTGTATGCTACGACTCGTGATCCTCCAGACGTTGAAAGAGGAGCATTGGTTGTATGTGGCTCTGTGGGGCGTGATTTCTCGTACGTGCCATCTTCTGAGAAAGGCGCAGTTACTGTAGATGCGATAAGTCCTACGCCAGATGGTGTTGGAGTGAAGGGTGGGAGTTTAGCAGGGCTCGTTACAGCAGCCCTGGGCCTCTTAGATACAGGAGTCACTGGAACTTCTGGAATGGCGGACTGTGGCTCAGGGGGTTTGATGATGCCAGACAAGAAGGGGACCTCCTCAGCCTTTTGGGCAGTGGAGGCTGCTGAAGCTCTGTTCTTGCGCTTTTTGGTCGCTGCAGCGCGTTTCTTGGGTTCGAAATTCGTTGGGACGTTCAGAAAATTTGTTTCGGGCTTAGCTATGAGAGTTCTCGTCGAGATACGAGCAGAGCGTCGGAGAGACATGGTGACTTGTTGTACGATAGGACGGGACGGAATCTAGTCTCGATGGGTCTTACTTTAGATCGAAAGACGTGAGCCACTTACAAGAATTTGTGCAACAAGCGGTGCCGCTTTTAACGTCGTTGAGCGAGGGACATGAAGATGAGGGGATTTTGACGTCTGGCGCGGTCAACTGGGGAAACACGATGACAGGTGGGCACATGATTTCGCGCGCTGACAAATGAGGCCTCGGATCCCCGTATCGCAAAATCTCCGAGCAGTGTTAACGGCACCTCAAAGTCTTAGATTAGAGTTAGAGTCGTGAGAAATCCCCAGAAACAATAGCGTTTTGGCAAGTGGTGCTGGGGTCCAATCTTGTCCAATCTTGTCCAACCTTGCCCAATACAAGTGACTGTTTAATGGTCTCAGGAATGGAAGGCCATGATAGTACTCTCTCCACCAAGAAACGCTGGCTAAGGTACATGTGTGCAGTCTGACAAAGGGTCTGACTAAAACCACGTCTATGTGATTCATTCTTCGTCAAAGAATTCTCTCTCTAAAAAAAAAAATGGATAAAGTTAGCAAATTCGCGGATCATCAGCGCCTGGGCATATATCGGTATATGAACCATCAATGCCGTTTCGAAACCGGGACGTTCACAAGTGCTCTGGATTAGATGATGACAATTGAAAGTACCTACCTTTAACCAAAAATTATAGGGTAATGGAAGAGAGAAAGAAGCATGTAGAAACGGGATCATCCGGTAAGCTAGAGAAAATGACCCTCACATTTTCGATTCAGTGGTTATTTCGAAAGCTGCAAGTGCCAATCGCGGTTGCTAGATGCCACCTAGTTCTCATGGGGTGCCTTATGCAAAAAGTTGCAGTGCAGTGACGGAAAAAGAGATCTTCTTGATATACACTCTAATGCACAGCTCGTTACTAATCAACCAATCATGTCGATGTCAAACCAGTCCCTAATTTACAGGTTTAATTCAATGACCTTCCTTTGTGTTCTTCTCCCTCTTGCTAACAATTATGGCCTCCAGATCCTCCCGCTCCTTCATCTCGGCCTGGATCTCGTTGATGACAACCGTGAGATACGGAGCATCCTGAAATGGCGTGAGTTGACATTCATTTAGTACACAAGAACCATCTTACTTCTTCGGGCTTGGTCCACTCCTCCTTCGGAAGCAGCTGGTGGGATACGGAGCACTGCGACTTCTTAGCTGGATTCCTCGGAGTCTCCATCACACAATTATATATACCTGGAAGGCGCGTCGCAGGCGGAACACGCGGTCGTAGGCATCCTTCGGTGGCAGGCGCTTGAGGGCGAGCTGGACGACGTCGTTCTCTTCGGGGATCAGATCATCGGCCCTACGGAGTGATAGCCGTCAGTATATCGGCTCGACAAGGCCAAAAAATGCTGCAGCACCCGTTCATGAGGAGTGGAAGTTAATTGCGCAGTTCGGGGGGCGGGGGTCCCGCACCTCAATCCCAGCTGCCTGTAGCCCGCGGCATTGGTGTACCAGGTGGCTAGCGGCTTCACCCAGGCTTGTAGCCACTTGCGCTTCGCGATGAATGGGGCGAGCGACGGCACAGACATAGCTTTGGCGGACTCGTAGGGCGGTTCGCAGGTGGTGATAGGGTGTAGGGGATGGTCAATTGGGGGGCAGAGTGTCGTCGGTGGAGTGGTGAGGTTGAGCACAAAAGGCTGTCGCGAATTGGCTCAAGCGTGCCAAGCTAAATCTGTCTGGCTCTTGCAGGGCCGAGCTCTCCCCGCCCGCAACCGCACTTCCCAGATTCCCTCGTGCCCAGCCAAACACTGTGCTCCTCACCCTCCGCCTCTGCAGTCCTGCGCCCCGGGCAATTCACTCCTCCGCAGCGCCACTCACTGCTTGCTTCCCGCTGCACGCCTTCACTCGACACCACGGCCTGCTTCCTGCGTCCGCCCGTCAATGGAGCCGCTCAATCGCTAGCTATTGTGTCACTCAAGTGCTGCGGGGCTTCCGCACACTGAGGCCTCTGGAAGGGGACGACGGCATGTACGCAACGCACTCCGACATGCTGTTCTTGCTCGTGCTAGAGTCTAATTCAATCTTCGTCGGCAGCTTCCACAATGTCCGCCGAAGGAACCGATGCGCCGCCGTCCCCGAGTACAACCAGAGAACGGTATGCGCCGACGACTGCGAGACTCCCCTCCCGTGACGCTCCACCCCAGAATGCACACGTGGGCTCACGCCTTTCTAGCCTTGCCGTCAGATGTGCCAGCCTCCCAAACTCGAGCGTGAATGCGTTTTGCGGTGCTTCCGCTGGCATCGCCTCTGGCATTGTGACGTGCCCCCTCGACGTCATCAAGACCCGCCTTCAAGCTCAGGGATCCTTCCGCCCACGCAACCTTGCACGGCCGTCGCGTATGGTCTACAATGGCCTTGTAGGCACCGCCCGGGTTATTTGGCTCGAAGATGGTGTTCGGGGAATGTACAGAGGCCTCGGGCCTATGCTGCTAGGATACATCCCGACATGGGCCGTCTACATGAGCGTGTATGACTTCTCAAAGGACTTTTTCTACCAGCGTATAGGTTTGTAACGCCAGCGTCTGCAATTGTTTCCCGGGTTGCTGACCAGGTCTTAGAGGACAAATGGCTCTCTCGGGTATCTGCGTCAATTACTGCTGGCGCATGTTCAACTCTAGCCACAAACCCGATATGGGTAATCAAGACAAGGTTAATGTCCCAAGTGAGCTCCCGCGCATCGGAAGAACATCGGCCTCCATGGCAATACAAAGGCACTCTTGACGCATTTCGGAAAATGTACCATAACGAAGGTCTAGCGGCATTTTACTCGGGTCTCGCTCCAGCCCTTCTTGGCCTTACTCACGTTGCAATTCAATTCCCGTTGTACGAGTACTTCAAAATGAAATTCACCGGACTGGAGATGGGCCAAACGATCAATCAAGACGAAAACGTGCATTGGGTTGGCATTCTAGGAGCCACCATCTTGAGCAAGATCTGCGCTACTTCTGCTACGTACCCTCATGAAGTGCTTCGGACCAGGCTCCAGACCCAGCAGAGGTCTCTACCGTCGCAGTCTCATGAAGAGATCTCATTCCGAGGAGGCCACCCCGGCTATGGTCACCACACTCGACCTCCAGGAACGGCTTCGTCAGACGGCATGATCAACATACCTAGATATCGAGGTGTAATTAGAACTTGCAGGACCATCCTACATGAAGAAGGGTGGAGAGCATTTTATAATGGCATGGGCACCAACATGGTTCGCGCGGTCCCTGCAGCCGTCACCACCATGTTAACATACGAATCCTTACGGTCATGGCACCAAAGGCTGAAGTTCGAAGGAGAGGAGATAGAGCGACAGAGTCGCATAGATGGCTAAACAACCACATACACTGTTATGGAGGTCAACGGCGCCTCCGACTCGTAGGCGTTGATTTCGTTATCGAAGGCGCGATATCTGTCCCCAGCATCTTTGTTTTCGTCTGTACATAGTCTCAGCATCACCTTGGTAGGGAAAGTTGGGATTTGGACGCGTTGGCAGGCATCGGAGTCTTTGGCGTATAGACGGGTTATCAATGTTGGACTGCGACTGCAAGTTGCTCCCGTGTTTAGCATGCTTAGGTATCGCGCCGATTTCACGGCCTATCAATTCAACCGCTACACAGCCAATGTGATGTGGTAGTAACACCTACTTTGGTTCAGAAGCCTCAGATCGACTCTTGGTGACTCCTACATGCTGAAACATAGTATGCGACATTAACCCAATCTTGAATATCGGTCTCCCCTCAGACCAGTCGAAAGAAGAATGTCAGCAGAGTTCAGCCTCCTGCCTCTAACTAAGCATTCCTTATTTTTTGCTTCAATGCCTGATGTCAGTGTGTAGTATGTGTGGGATTTCCCATCCTGCCTTCTGTTTAGTGGTACCTTGCCCCAATCATTCAACACTATCTGCTGACGGTTTCACAGAATACTCACTAGGTTGATACCCGCAACATGGAGCTTTGCATTTCCTCGTCATTCCCATGGAAACGATCCATGGAAATGATCCCACTAGATCAGACAGCTCAAAACATGGTTCACTACAGGATCAGAATGTGGTCGATGACCAATCTGCACATTAACAAATGAAGACACATTCACCGCAACATCCTTCATAGCTAATATTCAATTGAAGCCGTCAGAAGCATCTATAATGCGCTGATGAGCGCCCATTGCTTACAACGGTACGACCTTGAATAGCCGCTTCTCCGAGCAGGAGAAACGCGGCCACGGAGGGACGAGCAGGTGCCGAAACATAACCTAGAAGTTCCAGCAAAGCAACGGGCTTGTAGCCGAATTGATTGATTACTCGGCGATAGTAGCTTCTTTAAAGGCTGGGCACACCTTGACCCAAATCGACGAAGAGCTCAAGAATTCTGATGACTTACTAATTTGTATAGCAAAGAATAAGAGGGGAGTTCAAGGGACAGTGAATGTTTGGACGAGGGGCCTGAAATCGAAGTTCCGTGGCAGTAATCATGAGCGCCGATACCTTTGTCCGCGCAATGGCTAACTCGGTCTTCTTCACTTCAATACCATATTCAACAAACGATTCAGGGGGTGAATGCGGACAGGCCTGGGTACTACTTGCTACACGCGAGTGGGCACGAAAATCATGAACAGTGTTTAGAACGCAAGTCTAAGACCAAGTAGTTTGCTTTCTAATCTCAACAACACCGCTCCTTCCATGAGCACAATTAGCGGGCGGTCTTCTATCCGCACCCAGGCCTATTCTACGCTTCCAGCGGGTTCACCTATTCTACATACTTCTCACAAACCAAACTCCTCTCTCCGAGGCTCACCGAGCCTCCAGAGGTGTGCACTACACCCTACATCCTCTGTCAACTGTTCAGAACTTTGTCGCTCAGCATCACGTCTAGACACAATGTTTGGAAAGGGGGCACAGGAGCACATAAATAAGTCGATGTTCATCTTTGACAATCCCCAACCGACACCCCCAGTAGGAGAGGCGACACAAAACCCACATCCGCGTCCAGAAGTCGTTCGCGATGATCCTCAGCTACTGATTTATGTAGTTACCCCACCCAGTCTACAGCGTAGTGACGATGAAAGCCACCATCTTCCTATTCCTCCTCGAAATCCCGCACGCCTCCGACCGAGATACGATCCCCACGGCCTTCTGCATCCTCGAAAACAAGCTACCGCAGCAGTGGGACCTAATGATGAAAGAGCCGAAAGAGAGGAGGACCAAAGAATTCTTCAAGCAGGCCGCCAGAAAACAGATGATTTTCTTGATACTCTTGCTGCTCCGTCAGAATTTAGTGTGATAGACACTGCTAAGACGCAGATGGGCGAAGGGGAATATGACTTTCATTCCGTTGTCACCGAAGAGTTAGCTGTCTCTCAAGTACGAGAGAGGAATAGGCTTGAGAGACCACTAGAGTATAGGCGACTACAACAAAGCGCTCAGACTCTAGATACAATTGGGGATGATGAGGAAGTTGAGCGTACAAGGGAGAAGATCAAGGCGAACTATATAGAGGGAGCTGTCAAAGTCCAAAAGGCTCATCAACGTCGGCTGGAGAAAATTCGACAGGATACCAGCTTAACCGCCAAGAAGAAAGAGGAGGACATGAAGCACGCAGAGATGGTCCTCAAGATAAAACTTGAGCGGCTCAAAGAGGAAACTGGATATGACTTCGTAGACGACGAAGAGCTCTTCAGAACTACTCACATGGCAATGCGGAACGGCTCTAATATTGGGACTGGAACGACGACGGTGGAAAGTCAACCTGCTGCTATATCAGCTGCTCCTCCTCCTCCTCCGTCTCCAACTTTGATTCAACCTTGGACACTAAAATGGACAGGCATAAGAATCGGGATGGGTACAACCATGCTTGCAAGATTCATGCTGACGATTCAAGACGGTCCGAACGAGAAGTCCTATTCGCACAGGTTGCATGAGGGCTCAAATGATCAATCCCCTGTCGCAGTAGGGCCGTCTTTCAAGGGTCCCAATTACAAGGCACCTGCGAGAAAGCAAAATCGGAAGACCTCGCATCAGAACAGAGCACCGAAGGTAGATCCTCGAGAGCTATACACTACCCCAGGCGATATCGGTACTGTATGGCCGACACAAAGCCAAATCTACGGCACTTCAGAGCCAGGGCCATCTGCACCACCCCCAGGACCCAGGACAACAACGGTGGACAGAGTGTTTAGTGGTATGGAAGTAGAGAATCAATATGGAGGCCTGAGTGAAATTAGCACCATGAGGGCCAAGCCAAAGTGATTTCTATGCTCCTTCGCAAGAATCGGGATTAAACTAGATCGCAGGAAGGTTTTAGGTTTGAGAGCTCACAGTGGGGCGGTAAGTGAAGCTACTCCCACGAAATCCTGCAGCCAATAATTGTCTACCTTCCATTTTCTCCTCCTTGCACAATGGAATACACGACCATAAATAATCCGTAAGGAACCTGTAATACCTGTCAGCATGCTCAAAGCATGAAACAGATTTCTAGAGATACGAGGCATACAAATTCTAAAGGGCCACTGCTCAACCGTGCCTCGCCCATCAAATCCCCCTTCATCAAAGAAAGAAATTTGCCAATGGAATTCGGCGCCCCACCTCCCTATCACTTCCCGATGATAAAAACAAACCGCCATTCAACGGCACGTCAAGCACGCCGCGTACGTCGAGATTGCGGGTTGAGCGGTGCATCCGACAGCCATTGTTGAGCCGGCTGCCAAAGCTCGTCATATCGAGCGTTGATGGAAGCCATAGTTTCCTAAACCCTTCTCAAAGCTCTCTCAACGGCACGGCATCGTGCAACTGCGGAAGCATGGAAAAGGAGGCTGATGACATTAGTAGCACAAGGCGCCGCTCTCATAAAGCAAAAGGTGTATTTGTGCACAATTTAGTGAAATGAGGAGTGGTGAAGGCAGCTAACCGATAATGGAAGTGCTAATATAAGATAAGGCTCGATGTTTAGCTGCATGTCGGCGTCGGAATGCACAGGGCATCGGAGCGGAGATGGGTTGCCAGAAACAGGAGGAGCGTACCGACTATGGTGTGCACGGCGGCATGCATGGCAACAAGCGAGAAATTCGACTCCAAAGACGTGCCACGGCGAGGCTGTGTGCGTGTCGATGGAAAATGAAATGAGGCCCACAACCGGCTCTGTGCGGTCTGGGCGGCGCTCGGTGAGTTGAGGCCTTTGTCTTTATGGTGCTGAAAGGGGAAACTGCTGATCAGAGGGGCCTGAGGTCAGCGTCGGACAAGACGGGTTTTATTTAGCTGGATTGATTCTTGAGCAACGAGGTCCGTTGCAATGGTGCTGGAAGGTGAGATGCTCGATTGGCCGATATGAGGAGCCTCAAGCGCGCTTCTCCTTGCTCTCAAATCTTCGAACGTTCTGCCGCATCCTGTGGTTCAAATCTGGCGCGCCAGGGGGCCATGTCGCGTGAGGTGCTCTGATTCGCCTGACTGAAATGTTTTGTTCCTGACTAGACTGTATGCGGCTGGCCAAATGCGCGCCACGACCCAAGTTTGGCGCGTGCCACTCTCAATCCATAGTTCTCTCGCATCGGCCGACAGGGGAGCGGCGATGATGAAGAGCCAGCTTAGCCTAAGTGTAGACACTGGCAGCTCCTGAATGTGACGATCGGCTGGCCTCGCCTTGAGAGAGACGCGGGCGATTGCTGCAAGGAAAACACGAGATTCGAGGGTTTGGGAGTGCTGGACGGAAGGCTTCAGCAATCCCCGTTCGCCTCGAACTCGCTGCGGGCGCCGCACTGCAAGACCGCCCACGGTGTGTGAAGTGCTGTGATCAAACACTGTGGCTTTAATTTAGTCATCCCTGCGGGCCCAAGCCATTCAAGCTGGTGCGACATCACCGTCTTGCTCGCCTGGCCCGCGCCCCAGCGGCCAATCACAGCCGCTGCGCCCACCTGCATCCACCCGGACTCCGCGTCCAGATCTATCACCACCAGCCTGGCGCCTCTTCATCTCCTCGCGCCCGGCTTCTCTCCCTTTTCCTCACCTTACATCGTGGGAGCCGCTCTTTACTAATTCCTCATTCCTCTCCTTCAACATCTCCGTGAGGCCCGCCTCCACCATCTTACCCCAGTCATTCTTTTCGGGCCAGGAGACGGTGTCGTGTCTGTTTGTTGCTTTGATTCTGTTTTCTCTCCTTTAGCCTCTGTTCCAGCGACAATTGCACATGCACCCAGCTCGATCATCCGCCGGACTCTTGACGACCTCTGCATAACGACCTTAACGCTGTTAATATCTAAGCCCTTTCCCCTCTCTCGAGAAACCCCTGGACCGCTGACTGCAACACTACTATCGGGCTCGCTTCCCCTTCGAATACATTGCGAACAATCTCGGAGCTTGGAGCGGATGAGGAACAGGTTTTAAGAGGCACAGAATGGATCATCCCCTACATCACCATCAGCACGCCCATCGCCACATGCACCGTACAAAGCGGGAAGCAAACAACATGGAGGCTCGGCGCACCCCAACCCGATCGACTCTGATGGAGCGGTCCCGCGCCCTCCTCGTCCCCAGGTCAACATGTACAAATGACACCGATGCAGGATGCCACAAGCCGACGGCTACCCCTACACTACCCATTGTGCTCGCCGTAGTGTAAGGATTCCCCTTTGGATTACGTCGGCGACGCTAACCTCTGCAGAATTCCAATCGTAATCGCCATAGTCGTTCTTATCTTTCTTCACCGCCGGCATTTGAGGAAGCTAAAAGAAGAAGATGCCAAGGACCCACACAAGTCTCTTGATTTCGGCATGGATCCCGCATTTGGGCCGCGCGGGAAGAAGGGCAAGGGACCGCCGGGGGGGCCTGAGATGTCGACGCTTGATACTGAGAAGGAGCTGCGGCGGGGAAAGGGAATGTCGATGGATATTGGAAGCCCGTACATCTTACCTGCTGGCTTGCAAGGCTCACGGGAATCTTTCCACTCAATGTCGCGATCGATGCATGACCCCGATGACCCGTACCGACCGGTGACCTTCATCAAGGGGGATGGATCGAGTATCCGGAGCGGAAGCCGAACCGGTGGATACCGACAAGATAATGGATCGGTGTATACGAGCTCCAGTGGTGGAACTTCCAGTCAGCATCGGATGAAGGATGGCCTGCTGAGCAACGCACAGAGGATGTCTCAGTCTTTCCCAATCCGTGGAGAGTCTATGTCACCCGAGAACAGGCACCATCCGGAGATCAAGTTCCCAGAGGCTACAGCTACAGCGCGCAGTCCACTTGGCCCAGGAACCAAATCGCCTCCTCCGCCTCCACCTCCACCAGCACCTTTGCAGCCGCAAAGCCACGGAGCACCAGCCCCAGACCCCCAGCCCCAGTACACTGCTTTCAAGCCAATGAGCCCTCCACCACCACCACCAGTGCCCCTTGCAAAAGCTCTGCCCCCGACAGAGGAGCAGAAAGTACCAGCTCAGTTGCCCCGTATCCAGTCGCAAGCGGCTGTTGTCCAGAGTAGTTCCAACACGGCTAGCTTCATGAGCGACTCGAGCTACGGAGATGGCTTCAAAGTCACCCCCCCATCCCCACCGCGTCAACAGCCTCGGATCGTAGAGCCACAGCCTACCCGTGGTCGGTCTCCAGAACCAAGGAAGCCGATGAATGATCCATATGAGAATGCTGGTCTAGGACTGAGTGATTTAGGTTATGACCCTCGCCGATTGTCTATGAGCGTCCGCCCGCTCCCGCCAGATGACCCTACCGACAACCCGGAGCAGCGAGCGAACCGTATTCGATCTTTCTACAAGGAATACTTCGATGATTCCAAACCTGAGCCCGCAGGCGGCCACAGCTATACTGACTATTACGAGGACTATGGATCGGAGTACCTCGATGGTGCCATCTTCGATCCAGACACAGGTGCTTTCGTCGTTGCTCAGCCTGCGGCTCCGTTTGCTCAGCCCGTAACCCGCCGGGCTATGACTCCTCCACCTCGAGCTCCACCTCGATTCCAGAGCGGTGGTCCCCGGGGTGGACACTTGTCTAATGGCTCGACTGCGTCTTCGGGACGATTTATGCCACCCCCAAGAGGCATGTCTTCAATGAGCGGACGGTTACCACAGCCCAGGAAACCATTGCCTCCACCCAGTACCCTCGCTTCACTTCCCACGCCGCACATGCTCAAGGACGACTCTATGATCTTCAATGCCACCGATTTTGCACCCCCGGTCTCGTTCCGAGAGAGGCAATTGGGTAGGAGGCCAGACAGCCCGCTGGGAACTCCCAGGCCGTATAGCCCGGCGGTGAGACCGCATACGCCGCTCGCCAGTGCTTACGATGACCTGGCCGTTATGCCGAGCCCGTAAGTGTACGTCTCATCTCTTCGTTGACCCTCACTAATACTCCTTAGACACATGCTTCGCAAATCGGGCACCTTTACTGCCCTTGATTTTGCCCCGCCTCCTCGTTTCCGTGATCCAGGCTCGAATGCTTCTGACGCTGGGTCTATCCGTTCGAACCGCTCAGGTATGTCTGCCGCAGGTAGATTCGCTGTCCGCAACGGAGCAAATCGTGTCAGCAAGATACCAAAAGGGGTCGTTGGCACGAGGGATGACATTGTCAACACGCTGAGGCCGCAGATGAGCATGGTTGCGCCGGCCTGAAGCGTTCTTTTTTTCCTCGACAAACGCAATGACCGAAGTATATCTCTCACGCGGCTCTGACGACAAAGTGTTTCCTTCATCCTGTGCTCACTGGCTGAGCTTCCGATTTCAACCCCTCAAAAGCTCGCTCACCCTTGATTCCTGTTTTGTTTTGCGGACATGACGACGACCGGCATTCAATAGCATAGACCAGCGTACCCCCATCCCTATCACACCATCCTCTTTTGTTCCCTCTCAGGACAGGACTCGACAGAAATATTTCGAGTCTCTCCGATGCTGTAAATATCATATCATTCTTGCTCCTCATCATCATTCATCTTTTCGATCAAAGCAGTCCCAGGCGCTTTGCATGACCGATAGTTGAAGCCTAGGGTTTATACATGGGGATTCTCAGGTACGGGAGGCGTTTAGATTCTGTGTAATTTCTATTTTCTGGAATAGTGAGGAGTGGAGTCAAGTCGGAGATGCGATGTGTAGCAGTTGACTAAACTTGGTGCTGTTGGACTGTGGAGATGTATATGGAGTGTAGTGAGCTGGGGAGGAATGTGGTTGGGTAGGCAAATAAATAGTGGAAGTTCAAATAATTACTTGTGTGCCCTGGTATAGCTGAGATGTGAGTACTGTAGAGATAATGGAGGTTGACGTGAAAAGATGCTTCCGTGGTGATCCGGATGATGCCTTGGCAGATCAGTGCGACTAAAATAAGATCTTCACTATTCGAAGAACCTCGCTCGCAACAGCATGGAGGGACCGTCAATCTATCGTTCGTAGGTTAATCAATTCAAATAGAATAATGACCAGATAAATAAATGCAAAAGATAACACAGGTTTGTTTCTCGGTGCATCTTTCGACCTCTGGCTCAGTTTCAAGTCTTGGCCCTGACCTAACCCTGGAAGTTGACCTGCCACCTGCGAGCCACCTGCCCATATCGAACATAGATTCCTAAGCTCATCATAGATGGCATTGCGATTGCCTGCTGTAGGAGTTCTAGTTTACAACTATAAGCAACACCGTCCAGGCTAGACAATATCCTTCAACTTTACCTTTTTTGGTGGACTCGCAGTATACTTGTTAGACTCTATACATCTAAGTTTCGGGCCTTGGATTCCCTCCCTTTAGAAGCGACACTTAGAGAGTCGGCATCCATGGAGATACGAGCACAGTGCGTAAAATAGTTACTCTTTAGATTTCTCGCTAGGTTTTTCAACCGCTTTTCTTGGCGAAATGTGCATGACAATCTACCTCGGTAGCTGTGTGGAAGTTTGATCCGCATTCGACTGTCTAGCACAGTACATATCCCACAAGCACGGTGCGCGCTAGGACAGGCTAACTTAGTTTAGGGATAAGTCTTTACGAACTGATTATTGTGGAAGGACGCGGGTGTTTGTTATGTAGAAGGCGCTCAAGTCTCTATACCGCGGCGATTAGTTCAATAAGAACGCTTCGGCAGGCAAGATGATGTGGATGGCTGGGAACCCCCAGTTGCGGCTGAATCAGAAATGGTTTGTATCAGTTGGCTTGCTGGTTGATTAGTTGATGAGGGAGCGTTTGAGGAACGATTAGGCTCTGAAAAAAGTTACCCCTTGGCCAGGTTTGAACGTCAGATTTACCCCTGGAGTCCAGACCAAATTTACACATTGGCTACACCCCTCGCACTTATAATAAGCTGGAAGGAGAAATATGAGCTTCCCACACGCGTAGTTGACGTCGAAAGGGAAGACGAAGACACCATCTATCTAAGCGTAGCACATAGAGACACATTGTGCAATGTGGCAGTCAAGGACATCTTTCACTTTACGGCGCGCTGTTATTGTGGCCAGACTAGTAGGCTACCGTTACCTATGGGTTGATGCAGTGCGTATGCTCTGGGCTAAAGAGAGGGGCGCCTAGAAAGACTGGACGTGGGAGGCTGGACATATGGTAGGAGCGTATGTCAACGCCGACATAACTATTGTTCCTTCTTGGGGTGAGTAAAGCGACGCAGGTTTCTTGCCTTAAACTTTGTTGGCTGCGTTTTCAGGATGCATCCGCTGCGGCTGTGGCTGAGGGTTTTCGAAATTCAGATTTGGGATGGCGATTCGGAGAAGGTAGACAAGGTTCGTGCTCATGCGTGGATGTATCTGAAATCAGTGCTGTCGAGACGTTTCCTTAGGGTTAAACACTCTTACCCTGTTTAGATAGGCAAACATTAGACCCTACCCTATGACTATTGTTATTATTGTATTTCACATGATTCGATCTGCTCTCTTCTAAAATGGATTCGAATCGTAGAGACCTACTGTCCAAAATACTTAACGAACGCGGATGAAAGGTTGTTCCTTTTAGCTAGTGCCGTAACATGACTTTACCGGAAAAAACACTTAAAAGGAAAATACCTTACGGGTCTATGGCAAGAAGCCCTTATCGGCGATCTGATGTGGTGTAAGTCTGGCACTTTAATCGCTAAGTAGTACTAACATATGTCATTTAAAAGGTAGGAGGCGACAGAACCCCGTCGTCGTCGTGGGCCTCACGTGAAGGCAACATAGGATACTACTACGAAAACAGCCTCAATACATTTAGAGTTCCATATATCTTGAATTATTACAATGCGGTGCTCTTATCGGAAGATGCTTTTCGACCAGTGACATTGGCAGTGTTGGTCTTAGAGGGCTCCACTGGGACCCCCTGAGATCGGACTCCAGCCAAGCAATAGTGGAATGTAGACTTAGAGAGTCTCCGTGTAAACATCTTGTATTAAAATGAGGGTGTGGAAAAGAGGCATTGAACATTCTAAAGTTTCAGCTGGACTATGGATCCTTCGTTGAAACTGGACAAACCCTATCCGCCTACTTCCTGTCCGAGACCCCGATGTGAAAACGATACTTACTTCTCATGAAGACGACCCTGAGGGTATTTTGACAGAGGGGTTAATGAAACTGATTGGCAAGGAGCGAAGTCCTGGTTTGAGGCTTCACAGACAAGGACGGCTGCAGTCTATGAGGTTGAAACTAACGGCCGAATCTATTTTCATAGATTTGGCAGCGAGGGTGCATTACGGTAGATTCGATACGAAATAGTAGGACGACATGGAGAATACAACTAAGATCTAAGCATATCCGTTAGCACATTCATGGCAACTAGCCATGGTTCGAGGTGGAGAGGTTTGGGGTTAAAAGGAACGACGGACTAGACAGTGGCGGAAGTTCAAGGAGACTCAAACAAAATCTCCCATATCTGACGTCACTACTAACGATGCATTTTCAATCTATCATCCTTATGTTTATCTTGTATATTCATCAAAACCACGCAACGTTGTCAGAGAAGCAATTGCAATGGTTTGTCAGTATGAGGGATGCCACGGCCACGCGTCGTTCCGGGCTTTGCTAATTGGGCTGAGCATTCTTGGGCAAGATCTAAGTACTGGCCAAACTTGTTCAAATGGTGTATTTAGCTGCAGTCAGATGCTTTTTCCACTTGTTTCTCTAGTATTTTGTTTGGCTCGCTGGCCAGGCGCCGATTCGTGCTCCCTAGCCAGCCAACGCTGTCGCGACGTCATCGCCTCAAAAGCCCCATAAATCTTCGACAAGTCTAACAGTCAGTGCGTTACGTCTCCAATAAGGCCTGCATCTGAGGGATTTCATTCTTTCTGCCACTCGTTCTCTGTTTCTCGTCCTCTCTATCCCTTTCACTTAACGCGCTTGGTGGAGGAAGAGTGTTAAGATGCGTTTCTTCCACCGTCGCCAAAACTCCAATCCCGCATCCTCAACAACCTCACCTACGATCGGCCCTGAGCCCACGAAACTACAACTAAAACGCGCGACCCGAACGCGCAAGATCTTCGCCCTCCTAACTTCCTTCTTCCTGTGCATCACCGTCATATTCCTTATCCTCGTTGAAGTCGGCGGCTCCTACAATAGATCCGTTATCAGTGGCTGGTACTTCATACGACTGGACCTTAGTCATATTATTCCGGCCTCAGTGCCAAATTATGCACTGATCAATACCATTGCACAGACCCTAGGCTTGCATGATTTCTATCAGGTGGGGCTTTGGGGCTTCTGTGAGGGATATAAGAGCCAGGGAATTACGTTTTGTTCGAAGCCGCAGGCGCTCTATTGGTTTAATCCCGTCGAGATTTTGAGGAATGAGCTGTTAGCCGGGGCATCGAGTACGATCAATACCATTCACTTTCCTCGCTCGCTGTCGTTATTACCTCCGGGTGACTAACGATCCTTGCTTCTAGTCAACCTCCCGGCCGACATCAACGACATCCTCGGTCTGATCAAGCTCGCGTCCCAAGTCATGTTCGGCCTCTTTCTCACCTCAGCCGTCATATCATTTGTCCTCATCTTCGGCATGCCTTCCAGCATCTACTCTCGTTGGCTAACGCTCCCACTCGCCATCCTCTCCTTCCTCAACGCGCTCTTCGTCACCGCTGCCTCCATCGTCGCAACCGTCATGTTCGTTATCTTCCGCAACGTCATCGGCAGTGTCCAGGAACTGAATATCAAGGCCAACATTGGCAGTTACGTGTTCGGCTTCATGTGGACTGCAAGCGCTTTCGCCATCTTCTCATGGCTCATCCAGACTGGGTTGTGCTGCTGCTGTGCTAGTAGGAGAGATGTAAAGACGGGTAGGAAGAGAGGAAATGAGAAGGCATATCAGATGGATGGTGCTGAAGGTGTTGTAGCGAATGGTGCTGCGAATACAGCAGAGAAGAATGCGGGGAGGAAGAGGTTTAGATTCGGAAAGAGGAGTGTGTAGAATAAGAATGGCTGACGAAAGATATTGGTATTAATGCTGCAATCGGACTCTTTACTTCCATGACTTCATAACCTCGGGCTCCGGTTATACAGACAGAATAGACCGTTTGATTGTTTGGATGGCATGGGATATAGGGTGGATTCGGGTATGCGTTGCGTCGCATTTTGGAACATGTCTATGGGGTGTGAATGGCTACTATGGAGCGACCTGTACTACATTGAATGCGTAGATATGTAATCAACAGAAATGGCGCATTTAATGAACGTAGGGTCCATTTGAAACTTCGGACGGTGTATTCGTTGATGGAGCAATGGAGAGTTTTTGGCGCTGGCTCCGGTTTTCGGCGGGCGTTGTCCCGCAAACCACCGTCATTTTTTCACCGCGCGTGAAGGTGGCATGGTGGAGCCATATCTACTCTCCGCGCTAACACCATTATAATCAAGGGCCTTTACCCTCAGACCGTCGTCTGATAGATCCGAGTTTGCAATTGACCTAGGAATCTAAGAGATTGCTTCACAGTCAGATTCATCGACGGGCTTTTTGATTATTTGGCAGCAGGTGTTACTAGGTTCACCACAGGATTTGAGGTAAGGAAGGGACGCATTTTTGAGCATTGTCTCATGTGACTTGTCTGGAAGGCTATACAGCTATCAGGCATGATTCCTGCTCTGTTAATTCGACCCGCTTTCCTGTCCTCAACTACCCCTCGCTCCCCTCTACCCTTAACTAACACCTACAAAGCACCATGTCCGGCAACGACACTTACCAAGACCCCTTGAACTCGCGCTACTCTAGCACTGAGATGAAATATCTCTTCAGCCCGCGCAACCGCTTCAGCACCTGGCGCCAGCTCTGGATCTGGCTGGCAGAGAGCGAGAAAGAGCTTGGTCTAGACATCACCGATGAGGCTATCCATCAGATGAAGGCTCACCAGGTCATTCAAGACGAAGAGTTCACGGTTGCAGCGGAGGAAGAGAAGAAGAGGAGGCATGATGTTATGGCTCATGTGCATACATTTGGAGTCAAGGCACCGGCTGCAGCAGGGATTATTCATTGGGGCGCCACAAGTTGTTATTGTACTGACAATGCGGACTTGGTATGGTAGTCTACTTTGCGTTTGAGGAATCGGCTGACTTGTGATTGGATCTTCCTCCGGGATGGGCTTGATATCTTGCTTCCCAAACTAGCGACTGTTATCGAGAAGCTCTCTACCTTCGCAAAGGAGTACAAGGGTCTACCTTGTCTAGCATACACCCATCTTCAACCTGCCCAGTTGACGACAGTGGGAAAGCGAGCGTGTTTGTGGATCCAGGATCTGCTGAAAGACTTGAAGAACCTTGAGCGAGCCCGAGATGACCTGAGGTTTAGGGGTGTCAAAGGCACGACTGGCACGCAGGCTTCTTTCCTACAAATATTCAATGGAGATCATGCCAAGGTCGACCAACTTGACGAATTGGTGACGGAGAAGGCTGGCTTCGACTCTGCGTACATCATCTCCAGCCAGACATATCCCCGCAAGATCGACGCTGATGTTCTGAACGCTCTAAGCTCTTTTGGCGCAACATGCGAACACATAGGTCAAGCAATCCGTCTTCTTGCCTCCTTCAAGGAATTAGAGGAACCCTTCGAGTCAACACAGATTGGGTCATCCGCCATGGCCTACAAGCGCAATCCCATGCGCAGCGAGCGTCTCTGCTCCCTTGGCCGCAAACTCCGGAACCTTAACGCCGATGCTTCAGCAACGTACGCCGCGCAATGGATGGAGCGGACTCTCGACGACAGCGCTATCCGCCGCATGTGTCTCCCGCAATCCTTCCTCTGTGCTGATGCCAACCTCATCCTCCTCAACAATATCGCTTCTGGTCTCGTCGTCTATCCCGCCGTCATCAAGAAGCGCGTTGAGGCTGAGCTGCCTTTTATGGCAACAGAGAACATCATCATGGCGTTGGTGAAGAAGGGAGTCTCGCGTCAAGATGCACACGAGGAGATTAGGGTCCTGAGTCATGAAGCTGGAGCGGAAGTGAAGCAACATGGCAGGGACAATGACCTTATTGAGAGGATTCAGAGGACCGACTTCTTCAAGCCGATTATTGGGGAGTTGAAGGAGTTGCTCAAACCGGAGACGTTCATTGGGCGATGTCCGGAGCAGGTGGAGGCTTTCTATGCAAAAGAAGTCACGAAAGCGCTCAAGAAGTACTACGATGCGGGATCGTTGAAGTTGCAAGAGGCTGCTGAGTTGCATGTGTAAGGTGAGATGGTGGGATTGGGGTTTGGTGCAGTGAAGGGGATACTAAACAGGATTATGAGAGTTGTGAGTTGTGTATTTGCATACCATTAGCTTATGGAATTGGAGGTATTTGTCTTTAAATAGACAAAAAGTCAAGCCCACTCACCTCTCCCCATAATATTTTGCTATTGATTTCTGTCCTAAACATCTTTGCTCCAATCTCACTACATAACTAATAGGCTCTCATGGAATACTCAACTATTACAGCACTTCCTTTTCACTCACCATTCTTCCCTAATCATTTCTTTCCTTCTTAAGGGTACGTCAAGGAATTACCTCCTTTTCATTGCAATCATGTGTTCTCGTAACCCAGTCACGACTGCCTGTCACATTGCAAACCGCTACCCTGTCACATTGCAGAGCGCTACCAAGCCTCAAAACTCCCCACACCTGCCACCTCATCGAAACAAACAGAAGGAATTTCAACCCTAATCCCTCACCAGCACCTCGCTCTCTCTGAGGGTTCTCCTCTTTCCTCTTACCCTTCCTTGGCGTCTGATATTATTTCTATCTCATCACCGCAATCCCACAGGTGCAATGGCTCGCCTTACGAAAGCTACTCGCATAGCCAGCGTTCCCAACCGTACGTACTACGACTCGTAGATACGTGAACGTAGCAGTCACGTGAGCCGTTGAAACGTAGGAGGAGTGTAAGCCGTAACGTACGTAGGAGCCAGCTCCCATTACAGACCGTAATACGTCTTAGAGAGATGATATTTCCTAGTAATATAAGGTCTTATTAGACAGCTATAAGAACGCGTTAGAAGAGTGTTTAAAGTTATATTTTTAAAGTAATAATTAAGTAAAAACTCTGCAGTTTATATAATAATTAAGAAGCTAGTAAAAAAAGAGATTAAAATGTAAGATCTTATAATTTTAGTTAAAAATTATAATTACTTATAAACTTACTTATTATAAGCTAGATATTCTAGTTCCTTTAGTGTAGCAGGTGTATAGCCTTATTCTAAGGATTCTTTTAAGCTAGCTTTTTCTACTAAACTAGGGTTACTTATTACACTAGTTTTTATTAACTTACCTAATTAAAGTCTTTATTATTAAAGTCCTTAGTTTTTTTTTATAATAGCACGCTATTTAATAGTCTCTTAGCTCTTATAAAAAAGTACCTAAATAACTCTACTTTTAATAATAAAGTATTATTTACTATTAAGTAGAATAATATTTAGATAAGAAATAAAAAGTTAAGGCTAAAAAAGCTTAAATACTAAGTAAAGCATAAAAGCTAATTATATAGTAATTATTAGTTATTTTAGATATAGCTTTATAAAGCTAATTTAGTGTATAATAATAAAAAAAACGCCTCTAAGATAAAGTTATAGCTCTATAAAAGGTGCTACACTAAAAGTAATTATAAAGAGGTAAAGAAAGTTAATAGTTACACTTATATTATCTACTACCTTAGAAAAGAGCACTAGATAAATATTAGTAAAAAAAGTAAGAGTGCTTTTTTACTTAATAAGCTAAGAATTTTTTTAAGTTTATTTAAAGCAGCTTATAAAGTTATAGGCTTATTATATATTATCTTTTATAGTGTTTAGTAAAAGAAAGCTTTATAAGTAGTAGTTATTAACTAAGTAATACTTTATAATATTTTTTTTTATATAGCATTATTAGTAAAACTTTAAAGCATTATTACTTAAAATAAAGCTAATCTTCTTACTGCTCTTCTAGCGTCTAACACTACATATTTGTTCTATATGCAGTAGGGATATACACAGTAAAAGTAGGAGATTTAAATAATGCTAAAAATAGCCTAAAGCAAAATTATGTTAAGTGTTAATATATAGACTTCTTTAAACTACTTCTTTTTCCTAGGTGTAGTATTACACTTTATTAGTAGGTGTACTTTAGCTTATTAGTTTAGTGTTTTAGTATCTCTTATTAAACTAAACACTAACTAATAATACTATGTAAATGTTAACTACTAACACTATAACATCTTAATTAGCTTTTATAACCTATATAGTAACTATACTAGAGTAAATTAAGTGCTAGAGATTATTAAAGTTATTAATAACTTTAAAATTATATTAAAATTTTATTATTTAGTAGCTAATAATATATTAAATAATAATAATAAAACTATTTCTACTTTTACTTAACATTTTAATATGCCTCTTACCTCTAAGCACTATATACACTGCGCTAGCTATATAATCTAGCTAGTAGTAAAAGCAGTTATCTATAGTAAAGAAATAAGTGCTTTTAAAGTAAAGCTTACTTAAGTAGCTTCTTAGAAATAATTTAACCTTTATTACTACTATAAAGTTGTTAGAAAACTTTATAATTTTATAAACATAGTGCTAGTATTATATAAATAATAAAAAGCTTTTATAACTTTTTAGGCTACTTTTAATAATAATAACTCTTTTTAGAGCTTTAGAACGCTTAATCTTATATAAGACAGTAGCGTACACTAGCACAGCATTTATTTTATGCTTCTTTGCTGTTTTAAGCTTAAGAACACTATTACTAAGTTTATACATAAGTAAAAAAGCACTAATAATAACTTTATAAACTTTACTATCTTTAGTAACTCTACTTTTACTAAAGTTATTACTAAGAATAAATAAAAAAAAGTTAATTACTTTTATAAGTTTTTTAAAGTCTTTTACTTTATAATAAAACGCCTTAAGGGTAACAGCTTCTATAGCTCTCTCTAGATGTTTATTATTAACCTGTAACACCTTTATACTAAGCTTTTATGTATAAGTAATAAACTTAAAGGTAAAAGTAATAATTACTACTTTAAATCTAGCGTAGTATTTAGCATAAAGAAGTTGCTTACATACTAAGAAAAGTTTATTATTAAGCTACTTATATTTTATTACTATATAGTAATAATTTTAAACTTTTAACTTTGTCTTATTTAGTTTAAGGACTACTAAAGAAAGCACTTTACATAGCATAAAAAAGCTAAGGCTTTAATAAAAGCTGTTTTTTAAAAGTATATTAATGCAAAGGCTAAAGCTAAAGCTAATAATAATAATGTTACTTAAAAGCCTATATAACGCAAGTTACCTAGTAGTAACTATTATAATAAAAGCTTTAAAAGGACTTTTTTTATTAACATAAGCCTTCTTACTAGCAGCTGCTTATATAAAAAGCAGCAGAAAATAACAGAGTTGCAGTAGTACTATAACAGCTACTATAAAGACGTTACTATAGCTAATAATAATAGCCCTTTATTTACTAACTCTTTTACTTAGTAAAAATAAGTTAAATAACTTTTTTACTTTATACTATATAAAATTACTCTTAACTTTTTATTTATCTTTTTTATAAGCTGTAATTATAAGAGGTCTTTTTTTAAAAGTAGAAAGACTATTACTTATAATAAAAATAAGCTTTTTAGCTTAATAATTAAGGCTTTTTAACTGTAAAAAAACTAGCTCTAGCAGGGTTATATTTACAGTAAAATAGGGGACTTAGTAGACTGTATACGCTGTAACGTCTTATAAGCTGTTAAAACATAGGAGGATTGTAAGCTGTAACAGTTACGCCCTATAAGTGGATTTAAATTCTCCCTTTATGTTAAAACGTACTAACAAACTAAGAAGTTACAGCCTAAAAAACGGCGAGTTGAAACGTATTACGTACGGTTGGGAACGCTGCGCATAGCTACATCTGAAGCGCTTGACGTCGATGCAGAAAAGGACCTCACAGTCAGTCGGTCAACTCGCAAGCGAAACGCCGTCAGCTATATCGAGCCTACCCCCAAGATGCCCAAATCCAAGGAACCCAAGATAACCCACTCAGTATCTCTCTCCGACGCTCTGGGTCCAATTTTGATCTCCGGTTCACCTCTAAAGCAAGGGTCTTGACAAAGCAAAAGACTGCGACTAGGGGTCGGAGCTAGGGCGCTGATGCTAGTGTTGAGTAAGATGGCTAAGAGGTTAGACAGTAGAATTATGTTCATGAGACTTTGGATAAGTATTGAACATCTTAACCGATGGCAAACGCAAGCCGATGGATGGGAAGTGTTTCTTTTACTATATGGCGTTTGAAGTAGGTGGGTGATCAATAACTGCAGGTCCTCCGGGGTCATAATGTCCACAAGGATTGTATCAATATATTTATTAAGACAAAGCAGGCTTAGCTTAAGGACCTAGCCAGCCCTTACTACTACTAAAGCTGGATCGAGGACGCGCCTATGAGGAAGGCGGATTCTAGTGGTTTTGGGGATGCTGTAAAGGGGCATGAGAACGTCGCACATCGTTTACGTAGATCTGATCGTCGAGGTAAAGCTCCCCTTCCGTATCATGATCCCAACCCTTTTACTAATAGACACATCAGTTAGACAACCCCGTATATCGTCAGGAGAGGCTTGAATTCGAGAGGGAACTCGAAGAAGACACAAATAGACATGGAGATTAATAGGTCTTTGTCTTCGCCTCACTCCTTACAATCTTTGATCACTACCCCTGAGTGTTTCTCTGCGACCCGCGGCCCGCAGCCGCCAGATCATCTTTATTCAATTATTTCTATCTAATAGCAATTTTCTTCCCTTGCAGCGGTGTCGGAAAGGTCTCACATAACAGCTGTGTTCGAATCTGCTACTCTAGCATTATAGCGCCATCGCCATTGACCGGGATATCATTTACGGGTTATAACATTTCTTCATTCGGTCCCGATCACGATCGAGAAGTATTCTACTGGCTACTGCTAGAGCTGACCGTGGTGCAAAGCAGAAAGGAACATTTGGATGCGGTTAGATGCGACCACACTACATAATACACCTCCACATATCTACAGTCTCACATGCGTGGTTCAATCCCACTAGAGTTTTACAAATTTAGCACCTTCCTCCACTTCTCCTCTGCCTTCCTTAACCGCTCGGCCCTCTGATCCTCCGTCAACATCTCTTCCTCCCAGTCCCGCACTCTCCTCCCTTCCCCAATCCCCCTCGTCCTAATTGTCGGATTAGGATTTCCACTTCTGCCGCCGACCTCATCCTCAGCTAACTCCAACTCACCCCCCTCCTTCTCCTTCTTCCGAAATCCCCACCATACAGCGGCGGCCATATACGCCAATAAAGCATATCCCACAAAACTCACTATCCATAGCCCAACGCTCGCGTTCCACATGTTCTGGTTGATGTTGGGCCCTGTGGTGCCGTGATTTGCGCTGGATGGGCATTCGGAGCGGAGGGTTGAGCCAGCGCAGGCGGCAATGTCGATGAGAGCGGATGCGAGGTAGAGTAGAGCCATTATAGAAGAGAACCAGAGTGCGAGGAGGGGATTGTTGGTTCGGGAGTAGAGGTGCAGGTGTGCAGAGGGGACGGTGTTGAAGAGGGAGAGGCAGGGGAGAACAAGAGGTTGAAGGACTAAGGCACTGTGGGCGGGGGGCCAGGGAGATTAGTTTGGGGATTGGAGTTTGCGGATGGGTGATGGGGTGGAGTGGGGGAGTGTGGGGAGATTAAGGTGGTCCTAGGCTGGGATTGGAGAGGTAGGAAGTGAGATGTTGAGGTCTATCTCCATTCGGATGTTGAGATGGGAGTACTTGCGCATTCGCGAACGGAGACAGAAGTCTGCATCTCCCTCTCTCACTCCACAGTCCTACATCTCAGCTATACACCAATGAATCAAACCCCTCTGTCTCTTCCCTGCCAACATCTTAAAGAATGCAATATGAAATCGAACATACAAATTCAAATCCCCTTTCATCTTGCTAATCCAAACTGCCCCTAGACAAATCTGAATGATGCACAACCCTAGAAGTGACAGCACGATGACAGGCGCCCAAGACGCAAGCGGCGATATGTACGACCATCGTGGATCGCCGTGGAGGGCTTTGACTGGTTGTGGTGGGATCTTCATTGCGGTTGCTCGATGTTATCGCGTTTCATTTGAAGGACGGAACTTTGGGATGAGATGAGATGCGATGCGATGAGGTCAAAAGAAGGTAGGTAGGGAGATGGGGAGTTTGAATCAGATCCGCTGAGTCTATCGCACGCGACACGTGCAACAATTCTCTAGACATCCAAGAATCAGACCCTCGCAATCAAGCAAATTCTAAAGAAGCCTGCAAGCAATCGGCAGCCCGGCAAGGAAATGCTTATGTATCAGCCTCGCCCGCGGCACGCCTTAAACCCACTCTGTTCTGCGGAATTTTGCCTCATTGCGTTTGGTACCGCGTAGGCGGGGTAACATCCACCGGCGAGCACGAGCGATGGTGTGAGGTGGTAGGTGTAGATCATGGCTAGGATCAGTGTAGTTAGGTGCGCGCTGCGGTGGGTAAGCAGCAGATCCTGGGGAATGGCGAGGTGCCAATCGGGAGGGATTGGTATGGATTGAGGATGGTTTGGGCTGTGGGTTGGTGAGGAAGGGGGTGGGCGAGATTTAGGATGGCAATGTGGAGGAAGGGTCTTGGGTTCTGACTTGTGAGGTACTCGCCAGAGTATAGACATCATTGAGTTTACCCATGGGGATCTAGCGTGACATCACCAAGAACAGTTGTTAGAATCGCGATATGCCCTAGCACGCAGCACATACGATAAATAATTAGAATAAAAAGGTTAATAATTAATATTTTGCTCAAACCTCCTTGAAAAGCTATCCGCTTTCGCTGATGCAAAGGAAAAAAAATACCACGAAACCTATTTTCAGTCCAGAGATTCTTTATCCTGATCCATTTACTCCCTGAACCCAAACCCGAGTGCGAAAATGCGTCAATGCTGCTTAAAATTGTCAAACAAATAAAAAAAAGAAATAAAGAAAATCTCAGTCTATCATGAAACGTCAGCTACCACTAGCACCCTCTACAACTCTATCTTTTTCCTCTAGATTTCTTGGGTTCTTAGTATTCAGAACGTATTTTGTTGAGCTGATGACGTGGGTTGGGGGTCTGGTGTTTTGGGTTTGAAGAACGAACGGGCGTGTGATGCATTCTGTATGATACAGAGAAAGAGAAACGTAATCAACTGATAATAGAGAGAGGCTTAAAAATCTTAGGAACATAAGGAGCATTATTAAGGGCGCCAGATCGTCCATGAGAGCATAGGATATTACTTGTAAATTGGAGCCTCGGGTGCTGGACCAGCAAGCTGTGTTTCTTGTCCTGGATCTAAAGGCTCGACGGTGTTTGACCCGCTATCCACTGGTGGAGCTGGGAGGGTATGTGATTGTGGCGTTGAAGGCACGTCTTCTGGTATTTTCGAAGTTGGGGTCGGTTGGTCATCGGGCAGGACGTATACGATAGGTCCCCATATTCTCCAGTGGAGAAGCACGATGTGGGAGATGCGGTTTGAGATATCAGAGAATTGGCCGGGATAGGGGGATGACGTATCATGTTGAATGGTGACTGATGGATGATGAGGTGCGGGTGGTGGCGGTGGAGGTGTGGTAGGAGCGACAAGCGTTTGGAATAGTTCATAGGGTGAGGAGTGTAGATGACCGTGTATGCATGTTAATATCTGTGGGAGAATCGCATCTTCGAGGACGCAGGCATGTGTTGAGAATGAATTCTCGAACATCATGTCCAGATGTTTTGTTGCCGTCTGGATGAGATCAACATCGGGATGGAAGGTTTGTTGGCCGCCAGTGACCTGCCACGCATGCCTAAACAGCTCCAAAGAGATGTTCTCGCGGTTACTTATCCACTGAGAAGAACCGTGGTATGCACCTTCCCTGATAATTGCCAATAGTGACGCACGTAGATCAGCTTTTCTAGCATATGGTATTGGGCCATTGTATTTCAGGACTTTCAGCAACTGCCCGAACATGTCGAAGCAAATCTCGAAAAAGACGATGTCAAGGATCTCTGACCTCAAGGCGAGGAGGCGCTCTTGGTCTAGATAAAACGTCTCTGGAAATTCACAGCTTGGGCCTCTTGAAAAGAGCATTGAGACAACGGCTCGGACGAAGACTCCAAGTTGAACTCGCATGTTGTCTTTTGGAGGCGGCGTACAAGATTGCTGTCGGAAACGCTGAAGGGCGGAGGCATACCATTGCTCGGCAGCTTCAGTGTTGATACGTCCTCGTCGCTCGACGATTCGGCCTAGGTGGTAATTCCGCTCAAAGTTGATGGTATCTTCGATCAACAGTGCCTTTAGATTCTTGATCTGGTGATTGGCAACATCCTTTGCGGGTTTAGCCTTAAAGATCTGCGTCAAATGAAAAGCAACTTACGAGTTTCATAGCCTCCAATATCCCAAGCAATTCGCGCAGTCCATCAACGATTAGCTCTGAACTTCGGTTCCTATCACCCGAGTTTACCCACTCCACCATTCTATCCACCCACTCATCCCTCATCGGCGCGCAGTGCTCTTTCAACAGATGTGCCATCCACTCTGCGAGCCGTGGCAGATCACAAACCCCCTTCTCAATCTCTTGCATCAGCATCTCTGAATCTAAATGCTCATCTACTCTCGACTGATCCCTATCCGGCACCAAACTTTTCAGTACTTCCCTTACTGTCTTAAACATCAAAGGGATTCTCTTTTGTGCATGGTGAATGAGGCTGGACCAATCGATGTTTTGGGAGTTAGAAAGGGATGGACTTCCTTGAAACAACCGGGCGTAGAGTTCTAATTCAGCGGTCAAGGCCTTCCAATACATGCCCGCAGCTCGTAACTTCTCCCGTCCCTTGGCACCATCGAGATTCGGTCTGAAGCTTAGGTCACGGTCAAAGTTAACGTCATGACGTAACTTAATGTTGTTGATAATGTTCTGAATGTCAAGCTCGCTCAGAGACTGTTTCGTTATCGGCGGGTACAGACCAGCGTATTGGTAGGCTGCCTTCAGTTCTGCCGCTTCTGGCCGTGGTATTATGTTCATGATCAACTGGACAAGTTGCTCTGGGATGTTCGGTAACCCGACTTCGTCTCTAGCAAAACTGCTCCTCTCTTGGGCCCCTCTCTTTTGTCTAATGCTGTGTGCCTCCTCGTGCGATGGACTGTCCTGGATACTACATCTCCTGTAACACATTGACCCCGCCGTAGATGTGCTAGCCGACTTGCCCTCCCCATCTGCAGCAACTTGGTGACAGATATACGGATGTTGGTCAGCAGACCCAAAGGTAGTGGCAGTGGTAGTGGTATTGCTACCGGTGGCCTTTTGAGTCTGGGAGCCCATCTTCTTTTGCCGGCTGAAGCTATCGCTCTTCTTTCCTAACGTATGACGGACCGTCATGGACTGGCAGCAGGCGAGTAGTCTCCCTGAGTAGGGTCTCTTCAGGGTAATTTACTGAATAGGTGCGGTAAGGGTGCAGTGGTGTTGATATGTGAGGGGCAGCGAACGCTCAAGAAAAATGCATGCGAGGCTACAAGCGCGAACTGGGACAGGTTAGCCACCAAACCATACAAGAGACAAGGCGGTTTGTTGAGACACAAGCTGAAAACGTGTCGCTAAGTGTTTGACTGATGATGCGGGAGGCCGCATGAGCGAGCCAGACCCTCCCGAGTCAGACAAGCACGGAGATGCAGTAAGATGTGGGTTTCGCGCTTGTGTATAGATACCTTTCTCATGTGCTCAAGCTAATGGCAAGTCGGAAGGAAGTGTTTTGAGAGGCGAGATCAGGGCTTGCGACGGAGATACATGTTGGGGGGTGTACAGAATGGCAAGCCGGGTTCAAAGAATGATACAGGCCGTTTTCGGAAGCGCAGGAGACGGCTTCCGGATGAGCAGGACGGCGAAGGAAATCAAAGCGAGGAGGAACAAAAGAGGACGGACTGAAAGAATAAGAATAAAGGTCTTATTCCAGATGCAACGCTGGGGCAGGGTGAGACGCAGCAAGGTGCGGAATTTTCTAAACAGAGGCTGACTAGTCTCGTTCCTGTGTTTTGTGTTGCAATGTACAGTACAGCGAGAGAGAAGTTGGGGCCTTTGCATTCTTTCTTATTCTAAAGCACAATGGTCCAAGCAGTCAGGAGGCGCCTCCTTCAACGCCATGATCCGTGTGGCGATCACGTCGTCTTCGGCCTTTGTCAAGTATTGAGCGCACGTCAACTAAGGCCAGGGCAAAGCTCCTTGCTCCGAGGGTGAAGCTGAAGCGCAGGCCCTCCCAGCCGGTCACACCGCCATAGTATTCGCTGCTCCACATATTTCTCTATCGTGAGATGCGCGCCAGCGGCAATGTCGCAGTTTTTCGGCCCACTACCGGCCATCGTAGCACCGCGACAAAGACAGACTGGTAGGTACGTTTTGCCTGCAAGTGTGAGCGGGCGACCAATCCGGGTAACTCGAAGTTCAGCGGGCACCAAGCGAGATTAGGGTCGCGCAGCCGCATGCATATCCGGCTCTTCTCCCAGCAGCCTCACTTTTTGACGAAAACAGGGCAACCTGCAGTAGGTTTTGAGGGGGTTCCGAGACGACTGGGATTCGAGGGGCAAAAAGCAAAGGTCGTGGGAGTCCTGTGCTTACTTCTCACTCAAGCGGCATGTCATCCAGCTGGAGGCATCGGAAATCCTGGATTGACGATCTGAGATCTTTCGTTGTGGGATGCAAGGACACCGAGGAGAAGGCCTGTGACCTGCCGCGTGGTGTGCTGCACAAAAGTCGCTGGCCGCTCTGGTCAGGACAATCTCATCGCGATTGCTTGGCTCAAGCACGGTGGCTCTGCCTTTCCACCATGACTACATATTGCCGCCTGCTGTCTCATCGCGGCCAACGTAAGTGCGATGGGCGGAAACGAGTTGCGTCCGTATTGTCGTCTGTGATGGCAAGCAGCGTGATTCATCGTCAGCCGAAGTAACAGCAAAGCTGATAACTTGTTAGAAACTCTAACCACCCGGAGAGTGTACGTCTTGCGGGTCCTCAGAGTGTCAGAAAATTGGCAGGGCAAAGAAAACAAAGCGACGATTCACGACGAGACCCGATTGTGTGTGGGGACAGAGAGTAGAGATGGAAGGCTGAAGAAAGGATCATGCTGGAGGGGCGGCGTGGTAGTGGGATGTCCATGAAAATCGCTGCCAGAGGGAGACAAGTGCGTCCTCAGGAAGTGGTGAAGACGTTGATTTATATTCCAACAGCCTTGAGCCCTGAATGCCTGGTCAGGCAGCAACACACCTGGTAACCGTTACTACTTTTGGGTATGGCCAAGGATCTTTGCTCCACATCTCTAACTCCTGAATTGGTTTAAAGAAATAGGGCGAACGGAGGACCATTTTAACCCTAGGCCCCTTGCCTTCTGAAACATTTATTCTTTCCATCACCCAATAAACGCCTAATAGTATGCGCGGAAAGCTTTCCTCTCTACTATGCTCGTCCTATGTGTAAATCCGCCTACCACGCCCTTGCATTGTAGACCACCTTCTCCGCATCGCCAATCGCTCCGCTCGGAGCTTTTCTCTCTCGGTCTGATGGCACATGGAACAGATCCTACCGGTCCAGAGAAACCTAGAACCACGATGACCCGGCTGACAAGCTCGGATGGGAGCTTCCATTCTCGCCTGAGAGCAATACTGGATGTACGGATAGCAGGGCGTAGGAGGGCAGTCGCAAGTCCCGTATGCAAAGACGACATAACACATTGTTGTTTGCTATCGCGTTTACTGGTATCGGCATTAACTTAACCTGAAGAGGTTCAAAGGTATCCGACTTAAGCTGTTATCGCGTGATCGGTTGAGTAGTGGTGACCAAAGTCCCTGTAACGACAGAATGTAGAGTGGTTTAGACTCTGTCTTTATCTTCGAGCAATGTTGGCTGAGGGTGGTTGTCAGTGATGATTTGGTTTCAGCATTACGCTGCTGCGTGAATAAAGGTTCTCGGGGTTTATCAACTAATTATGTGGCACACAGAGCAATCCATTACAGAGGCGAGGACGATGTAGATAAAGGATCTGAAGAAGACAGTCCAACGATTGTGCAAGACAACGTGACGGATAAGTAGCAATTGGAATCACCCTCTTGCGAAGTACATTTTGAAGGGCAAGCTGAAGAATATTATTAGGGAATTCCATCGCGTTCCCGCGCTGGAGGACATGTTGTAAAAGACGTGAATTACGATGTATGATTTCAGGGCGAAGATGTGGCAATATGCGTACTTCGCTGGCAGCCAGCAGATCCAGCAGCGAATCTGCATTTGTCGTTTGCTTGCCATACATGTATAAGTGGAGTACAAGCATAGAGCGAGCCAAAGAAATAGGATGTTTTGACCGCCATTGCCCTTTTCGATGTCTAAGGCACCGAGATCTAGAAGGACAAGCGCACAATGAGAACGCATGAGTGAGTGAGGAGGGAGCAAGACTGGTGGGCGATTAGGGTGAACAGAGAGCGTTGACGGGAAGCGGGAATATTAAGCTCGGACGTCCATCTCATCACTTTGCGGCTGTTTGCCAGATCGCCCTCGTGGCGGATCTTTCATGCTCTGATCGTCGGAGCTGCCTTCACTGGAGGGGCTCTGTGGCCTACTATCATTCAGATTTCGCCTGCTCCGCGCCATCTACAAGTGGTCAGAGAAGTTCGGGGTTCGTCTCTCAAGAGGCGTAAGGAGATACTCACCCATGCCCGCACGCCACCAATCAATCCAAGGCTATATCCAGCAGCGAACTCGGAAGATCCTCTCTCTTGTGCACTAGGTACGCGTGGAATATCCAGGTGACTCAGGCGGGATAGAGCGGATGGAGATGCAGCAACTGCTGCATTCGGCATCAATGCACCTTCATGTCTCTCTTGAGTTGGAGTCCTAGCAGGGCTCGCTGGTCGGCTGGATTGCCAAAACTGCTTGAGATCTTTGCTGAGCTCTTGGCCTGTCGTTGTCCAATTCGCTTTGATGCTGTCTCGCAACTCGGTCATATTTCGCTTAATCTCCAGTTCGTTCTTCTTCAGCCATGATATATTCAGCTCTTTACGAGAAGTGCCACGCTTCAGCTGGCGGTCAATGTATTGGTCGTAATCACGGACGATCCTAGCTCAAACTCAGTATATGCATGCATCTAGTAATGGTGAATATGCTGACTTTGTAATGATGCCGGTGGTGCTGAGACCCTCAGTCCTTTGCGTTACCAAGAACATGCCCTTCTCTTTGATAGGAGCATAGATGTCATCTCCTTCGGCTGCGCCATAGGGAATGTCGTCGTGTGCAACATAATCAATTTTGTGCATCTCGATGAATTCGGGCGCATCAGCAATGATCCAGGGGCAGTCTTCCACTACCTCGTCTACCCATTTGCAATGCCGCACGCTTTCGGCACGCTCTCTCGCAGAGAGAACGGTTAGGCCCTTCCTTCGGTGTGTTTCCTTGTCTCCAGTCACTCCGACTATGAGGTAGACGTCTGGGAACGCCGTCTTGGCTTGCTGAAGCTGTCGCATGTGCCCCAGGTGAAATAGATCGAAAACTCCATCGGCGTAGATACGTACGGGTCTCCCAACCGGTGGCGGATTTGTCTTGTAGCCGTTCGGGTCAACCAAGCCAGCTTTTGGGGGATCTGGCATCCTCATGTTGCCAGCTTCTCCGTTCTCTCCGTGCTCGGCTCGGTCTAGTGCCGCCTTCTTCGCGTTATTCTCACTTGACGATGTTCGCCGGCTCTTCCTGCTGGTACCATCAAGGTCTTCGCCATCATCGGACATGCCATTTTTGGTCGACCGTACGCGCTTGGAAGGGACGTGGGAGGCATCATTTTGTCGCTCTTTCTTCGACGCAATTTCTTGGAGCACGGGATCCTCAGCATCCTCTCCCGAAGCGTCACGCGATGAGGGCTGAGCAATGTCCATAGCCGAGTTCTTGACGGACGAGACGGTTGTAGAGCGCTTGCGCTTAGGAGGCATTGACGAGGGATTCGAGCGATGACGTCGTGAGGAGGGGTTTGGCAAGGACTAAATCGAAGGGCTACACAAAGAGGCCTATTCTGGATATTCTGAGGCACGAGACTGGCAATTGACGTGCTGAGAAGGCCTTCAGGAGCCGTCAAGACAATATTGCCGAGAAGCACGGGTGAAGAAGCGAATCACAGAGGCACTCGATGACGTGAGGGAGCCGTGAAAGGCGCAATTAGCAGCTGATCTCTGGGATATCGTGGTCAGGGAACCATAATCAAGAAATATAATTGAAAACGCCCAAACGGAGCAGAATCGGGAGGGAGAAGGGGAAGGGGGAGTGTTGAGGAGGTGAGCATGTCTGGCGAAATTGCAATGGTCCAATTTTTGGCGTTCCCTGATTCAGATCTTTTCTTGGCATGACGTCCAGCCACATTTTCACTGACAGTTGAGGCGTTTGTTACATGTGCTCGTCCAAGCTGTCAAGTATTTCAATAGGGATTATGGGGAGCCTTCAGATCAGAACTTCCCGTGGCCGTCACGATTACCTCTCTTCCAAGACCCACACCTTGACCTCTCCGTCATCGCCAGTACTAACGATGACTTCCTCATCCTCACTCCGTCGACCTTTGTCACTTCTCTTCGCCCAACAAACATGATTGATCTCGAACACGTCGTGAGCTGAGAAGAGCTCTGCCACAACCACCCATTCTGTTAATGAGGCGTTTTCCACCCCTTCCATGGCATCTGAATCTGAATGGTCAACTGTACCATCTGCCTTGACTCCATTGGGCATCACATTCTTCCACCGCTCCTTATACACCAAAATCTTTCCATCGCTGCCTGCACTGGCAATCATTCCACTCCTCCTACTCCACGATAATGAGTAGATGGCCCTCTCATGTTGCTGGGGAAGAATCGTTTCTTGAAACCACTCCTCGTCAATTGCCACAGACCGTATGATATTTGGCATGCCTAACCTCGAAGAAGTCTGTGCGGAGCCTTCTCGAGGCTTGCGACGCCATATCCGCACGGAGCAATCATCGGAGCTTGTTGCAAGCCTCGGACCGGATCTCTCCAATTGTTCCACATGGTGTGCTCGCTGTTCCGACAGCCCCTCTCGATGAGCACGGAAATCCCTTGCCGACATCTCACTTCCCTCAAACTCTACCCACCACACCGTCTTCTTGTGCCCGTCTATCATGGCCACCTGTACCCAATCGTCGGCGTCCTCCTTGTATAACCGCACGGTGTCATCGTAACTTGCACTGGCTAGGAGATCTTCCTCCGGATGCCATGCCACGCACTTGACATCACCTTCGTGTTCCTGCAGCACTGCGATTGTCTCAAAATTGTCATCCTCCAGTTCCTCCCATATCCAAACCGACTTGTCGCGTGAACATGTCGCTAGATACTGTCCGGAGGGTGACCAAGAGAGAGACTTGATTTCTGATTCGTGGCCGTCAAGAATGCAGGAGAATTGGTAATCGTCATCTTCGCCCTCTTCGTCGCCGTCCCAATCACCGGCTCTCTCTCGCTGGGTGTCTTCCGCCAAGCCTCGCTCGTCCCTCCTCCAGATGCCTGCGCTAGCGTCAAAGCTTCCTGTTGCGAGAACGCTTTGCCCTTTGACCCCGGGTTTCCAGCTCACCGCCCGTATACTCCGCTTGTGGCCTCCGGTGATCGAGTGGAGTAGCGTAAAGGACGTAAGACTGTATACGCGAACAGTCCGGTCAGAGCAAGCGGTCGCAATGACTGGGAGGGTTGGATGGGGCGTAGATTGCCATGTCCGGGAGCTACAGGGTGGAGAGAGGGTGGCAAGTGGCTGTATCGTGATTACGGAAGCATTTTGTGGGGGAGGCATTTTTGGGAGGAGAGACAGCCTGCTTGTTGGGTGGGTTCACTGGCCTGGGAACGGCGTGAGTGTCTGTTTAGTTAGACGAGAGTGAAGCAATAGAAACCATGAGGCTGGGGACAATTCCGGTGAAGGGAGGCCACCTTAGGGCTGCTTGAAGAGCTTGCTGTAGTGAAGAGAAGGAAACAGTGGGGCAGAAAGTTCCGTTTGACGTCGGAGCGCCAAGGCCGGATTGCACAGCATTTCCGATCGCGCGGAATCGGAGAAGCCTCACAACTGCATCCTCTTCCTGCAGCTCAAGAATAACATCTTTTCATTGTACAGAAGACATTACATGACAAATAGTATCAGCTCATCCCATGCGGCATCACCAGTCCCATCGCTGCATCATACATCCCCCTTTACGCCTCTGCTCAAGCAGCCCGGCGCCCAGCCTTCCCCATGCAAGAGACTGTCCGCGCCTGTTGCATGATCCGGTCAATGACGAACCTCGAACGTATCATTCTACAAGTTGTTGAAGGAGGGCGGCATATTCCGGATGGGTACATCGAAGAGTGAAGGACCCTACTGGTGATGAAAAGAAAAGAGAGCGGGAAGATGCGAGAAGGCATTAGCGACTATTAGCGACCGTGGCTGTCCCGAGTATGGGGATCTCGGAGCGACGTTGTGATGAACATCATCTTGTCGATCATTGTCTGTTGTTCTCCCTCTGCGACACCGGCGATTGATTTGACTCCCATGTCGCTCATTTCGAGCTGGCGACTGTCCTTCTGGTTGTCGTTGATTGTGATATCTTGACTGACCATGATGCCTCCAAATGGATGGCTTCCGTTGTTGGTAGGGTTAGTGGAAGCATATTCTGTGATGTTGAAAAGTCCCTTTTCAGAGCTGCTGTCGGTGTTCAGACTGGCCTCCGATGTTGAAGCAGACTTCACAAACGGCCAACGGTTCGACCATTTAGTTGACGGTCGAGGCGGCAGAGGATGCGTATCGGCCGAAGATCCAGCGATGAGGGTGCCAAACTCGACATGGTTTTTTCTAGCTAAGATAGCATAGTTGGGACATCCGGGATAGACTCGTTGCTGGCACTGGAAGAATGACAATGGTACGTGTCTTAATGCCGGACTCTGGAGTGACTGATTATAGACTTCTCTGATCCCGCAGAAAGCGAAGATAGTGGCTTGACTGATGTCGTTTTCAGCGCTGATGCCATGAGTAATTCTGAGATGTTGGGCCGAAAAGGTAGCTCGACGTAAGAACGGCTCCGGCACCTCCTTCAAGAGCTCGTATATTTTGTTACGAAACTTTCCTAGGCAAATTTGGTCTTCATCTGCTGTTGCTCTATGCTGCTGAAGGATGCGCGACAGGCACTCGTCCAACGTCATCCCTTCGAATTGAGCGAACAACTTCACTTGTGTCGACCTCAATTCCTCAGAACTAAGTTTTACGACTGATAGTCGATCGGGAGTGTATCTAGGTACTATGATGTCTAACCCCTTCAGAAGAGGTGACGGTTGGAGCAGGAATGCGGCCAGGTATGTCCCGGTGGAAGGGGTCCACGGCTTCCTGTCACAGAAAAGTTGGAGACGAGTGACCATGAGGCGAAGGTCTTCTCGTGATATTTGCAAGCTACGGGCGAGTGGATACCCAATTTGGTCCAAATTGGCGAACCGATGCCCGATATTCTGCAGTCGGTTGGCTTCCCTTGCACAGACTTTTCGGGTAAGAACAAGGAGTTGCCCTTTCCCGAAAAGAATTGGATTCGCAAGACCAACTTCTACCTCCCCGGATGAAGTCGCAGCTTCTGCCGTAATGATCGTCTTCCTTCCATCATCTTCGCGCCGGATTCTGTTGAGGTTGTTCAACAGTGTCCCAGTAGTCATGATGTCTTCATACAGACACCCGAGATCCTGCAGCCTTGTATCCAGGCTTCTCGCAATATCATGGGCTGTCACGCAGAACAGCTCTCGGAAAGTCGTCGAGTAGTTTGGATGATCATCAGACCCAATGGACGACCGACTGCCCATGACCGATGTGTGGGTCTGAAGATATCCCGTCGTGAGCAAATCGTCGCGCATTCCTGGCACTAATTCGGTAACCCCTTCCCAATGACGTGAGACTCTGTAGGCCCAATGGAAAACGGGATGCGTAGTGTTGAAATCTTCGTCGAGGGTCCGCCGGTGAAACTGTCTAGTGATTGTCTGACACGGCATCAATCCGCCCTGAGTAACTAGTAACCTTCCTTCACGTCAAATGTTGCTATAGCGAGCACAACCTGCTGTGCCCTGTCTCTAAGCCTCTTACGATGACGTTGTTTGAGGAACCCGAGGGTAAAGCAGACGCCACAAGCGCTCAGACACTAAGATTGGTTAGTCCGCAAATACATATACAGGTGAAGGTTGCTTACAAGGCAGATGGCAATGATCATGTTGACATTTCGAGCCGGTCCCGATCTTCTGCGGTAACCTGTTATTTCGTAAGTAGTACCTGCTGCTGCTGTCCAGTGCATGCCAGAGGCTGCCGTGGCGAGGAAGCAAGCGACGAGAAGACGTCTCCATACGGTAATCATCCAGTGTCCACTCCAGTGGAAGAAAAGGCCAAATGAGATGATGCATGCGCCTACCGCTATTGCCGCAGCTCCGGTAATATACTGCCAACCCGGTTCAAGCTTATAGTCCGTTGTCCCCTGGTTTCCAAGGTAGTGCATCTCCGTGACAGCAGTGCCGGAACATGCCCCGCAGATCAAGAGGGCAGTATAGCGCGTCGTCCGTCGTTTGTTCCCTCTGTGGAAATGGTCGGCCACCAACAGTCCTAGGAAGATGACAATGATGGGAAGGAGAGCAGACACTGCGGTGAAGGTCGCGCTGTAATACAGTTGGATCTCCTCCTCTCCATCCCCGAGGACCATGGCTCGATTCCCGACAAAATGCATAAACTAGATGGCGACGAGACCAAAAGATACGGAGCAAGGGGCCAGCTGAACACTTCCGGTTATATCAGAATCCGAATCGTATGTAGTAAGCATGCGATCTTACCAATTCCTCCATCCTGCTCCCGTAACTCGTCTATGAAGCAATTCCACCGTAGTAAAAGCGCCAATGAAGCTTACAACATAAGAAATGAAGATAAGATACGGCAAGTAATGGATAGCAGGCTGATATCCAAGGGGGTACTTCTGCATGAGATTAGGTTCCTTCATAATGGGCGAATTAAATAGGCGGTGACAGTGGCGGGCAGTCCTCGAACGTGAGCTTTGGGTAGGTGTCTTCGATCGGTGGAGTCGGCCCTGTATTCGCTGCGGATGTGGTTCCTTTGACCGTCAAAGCCTCTGTGGTCCTCAGAATAACCTCCTTACTTCGTTAAGGCCTAAAGAGTCCTAAAGACAAGGTACAGACCGCAAAGCTAATCGAGAGAAATGAAGCGGGTGCGGTTCTTCAACAAGCCATCATCTACACAATTCCATGGATATGCACATCAAGCTTGCCATTATGTGGGGGATACGAAACGAAACCAGGACCTGAAAGGACTGTCCGCCACTATATGCAACATCTATTTAAATGTCGCAAACTGATGTCCTCACTATGAGGCTCCCCGTGTGCCTATAATTAAGAGTTTACATTTCCCACCTAGTGTGCTCATCACAACAGCGCGGACCCCATTCTCCTCTCCCATGTCAGCCCAGCCATGCCTTTTAGTCAAGGCTGGGGTAGAGGCCTAGCTAGACGCTAAACCAATAAGAGGCTATGCCCTTTAGAGGAGGCGTTAGCAAGGCTGGTACCGATTCTGCTGGCTACAGCTGGAAGGTTAGAGTTCAACGCCAATTCCCCCCATTCGCTATCCCTTGGAGCATGCAGATCCCCTAGGGATAAATAGCGTGGAATCCTAGCGTAGGAGTTGTCGAGCCGCGGATGTACTCTTCAGTGCCCTACGCTGTGATCAATGCGCCATCCCTAGGAGTTGAGAGCGGGTTGCAAATTACGGACAATGATTGTTGCAGATTAAATTGCCGTCCGATCCCGTGCAGTGAGCTACTCTGGGCTCGAAATAAGCCTCCAGCTTCAGTACCTCCTCTGGATTGTTCCGAGAGTCCTGCAGTCCCCTGTGAGGCGGGGTTGGTGGATGGATCTAAGTGTTTGAACTGAAATTCTATCCAGTAGAGTTACTGCGTCTTTGCATCGCGATTGGGTTTGACCGGTGGTTTGACAGAGGCCCTCTAATGTATATAAAATGCCTTGGTGGTGGTCGCACATCAGAGTATGTTGTTGCAAGCTTGAGGTGGAGCCTCAGCGACAACCATTTTCGTGGTGTATCGCATTTGGGATCCCGGTCTAAGGCATGGGGAACACGATCTCTAACAAGGATTGTCCGAGCGATGCTCAGTGGCTGAAGCCACTCCTTAATTGAGCATACAGTCAACTCTCGATGGCGCGATGCGCGATTAAACGATATTTCGATATAGCGATACATTTCTCAAACCTAAATTAATTTCCCACCAAAATATTCCATTTTGCAATACCTACTATATCGCAAGCTTTTAGCTAGATTATTGTTATATTAAGAGATAAAATGCCACGTGTGGCAATTACCAACAAGCAGCAACAGGCTCTGCGTCAATGGTATCAACATCAGGGTCCTGGCCAGAGGCAGCTTAATGCGATCAAGTAGTTTAAGCAAGAGTACAACCATCGCATCTGTCAGTTAACAGTATCAGAGTCCCTCTTAGAGCGATATAGCTACCTTAACAGTAGCTCTGCCACCACCTGCACACGTCAACAACAGGCACAGTGGCCTATCCTTAAAGCTGTCCTCTTTGACTGGCAGCAGCACCTCAAGAGCTCCGGCAGCGACGTCCCTAGCAATATCCTTATTAAGAAAGCAAAGGCTATCTGGCCGCAGATACCTAATTACGCCAACCTCCCTGTACTAGAGTTTAGCTTAGGCTAGCTCACCAACTTTAAGCAACAGCATAATATCAAGCTTTATTAACACCAGGGCGAGGCTGCGTCAGTGCCAGCTAGGGCTAAAGAGGAGATAAGGGCTATTAGAACGCTGTGTGGAGAATACGCAAAGCAGGATATATTTAATATAGACAAGACAGGCCTATATTAGCGGCAGGCGCCGTTGTTAGGGCTTTCTACTAGAGCTCAACCTAGCAGGAAGAAGGATAAGAACTAAATATTAATTATATGCTGCTGCAACTTTACTAGCAGCAAGCGCTTTACTCCCTAGGCTATTAAGAAGGCAGCTAGACCACATGCTCTGCGATCTGTTAACCTTAAGGCTCTTAGCATCTAATAGTTGTTAAATCCTAAGGCGTAGATAACGCATACTATTATAATAGATTAGCTACAGGCCTTCTATTAGTGGATAGGAGAGACTAGGTCTATCCTGCTGCTGATGGACAACTACAGCGCTCATATCCTTAGCGTTAATCTCAAACCACCTCCACTAAATATCCGCATTTAATAGCTGCCTGCCAACTTAACTAGCGTCTACTAGCCACTTAATTAGGGCGTGATTAGTCAGTTTAAGCGCTTATACAAAAAGCAATAGATACGCTATATAGTCGCTAGCTACAAGCGCGGCGCAGATCTAGCAACTTAAGTCAACCTCTACTATGCCTTACGCTAGGCCTCTTAAGCCTAGTATAACAACCTTTAGAGCAATACAATCTATTGCTGCTTCTGCTAAGCTAGAATCCAGCCTTTATAAGAACTAATCTACCTGCCTAATCTAGAGGAGCAGTCTTAGCAGGAGCTAGAGGAGCTCTACTAGCAGGTGCAGCACGCAGGCAGGATTCAGGACGCTATAAGCCTTAAAAACTTCCTAAATCCTATTAATAAGGATCACAAGCCTACTTAATCTAACTTTAATGTAGCAAACGCAATTGCAACATATAGCCAGCAGCTAGTTAAAGACAAATTAGACAACAAAGGGCCTCCTATACAAATACCTACCCCTGCGCAGGCAGAGCAGGCTCTTAAATTACTACTCTTATATCAAGAGCATACAGATTCAACAACTCCCTAGCAGATCAGAGCGCTCCAGCAGCTATATACTGAAGCAAAGGCTCAAAAGTCTAAGCAGTTTGTCCAGGGCACTCTAGATAGTTGGATTACGTAACCCTCTTGCTGCAACGATATTGCGATATAACGATATAATCCTCGTTCCAGAATTGTATCGCGCCATCGAGAGTTGACTGTATCCAGTCCTGCGCCAGTTACCAGATTAGAGCACCCCTATTGGCCGCTTCGTTATTCCTGTTGGGCAAACTATTTTAGTCTCTTTTGGCTGAAGCATTGAAAAGGCCGGAAATTTCGTCATTTTCATGCGGAAACGGGTGGCTGTACGACTGCGAGCATTGCCGTGGAGCATTGATAATTGGCTAGCATAAGATGGGGCCGATTAAGGTTGTCGCGAAGCTGAATGTGACGTTAAATTCGTGGGCTCGGGTCTAACACAAAAGATAGCATGAACAATAGTCTCTACTTTCCTCATTAGCCAAGAATTCAACTGCCCTAATGGGATTTATATGGATAAGATTACCTCCGATCATCCCAAAGCCCCAACCCTCGAAGTTAATCCAAAATAACAGAGCTTCAAAGCAGAAGGTTTGGTAAGTCGAGGGTAGAGACTTGTAAGCAGCTGTTGGCAAACTGTTCCGCTTCTGACACAGAACCTGTGTTATCGCTCTATTGCGGCTAATGACCTGTGCAAACCCGCGAGGAAGATCGATCCGCAGGCTTGTCAATATTCTGCCCTGTTCTTGGTGTGGAGTGATGAACCCGGAATACGTTTCCAGTCCCCTAGCGTCTGCCTTAAGGCTAAGAAGTGCCTCTGATTTCTGCATCTGGTATTTTTGCTCAAGGCTCCCCACTCCGTGTGAAGTCATGACGTCTTTTCTAGAACTTGCGTGTGCAATGATATCGCGCGATCCAGATCGGAGAAATGGCCTTTGTCGGCATTGGCTCCTTGAAACGACTTATTGGCATGACCCATGGCACTGCCGCTGTCACCGGTTTCAGACCCCAAAGTCTATCCGTGGCGTTAAACGAGTTGTGGGCGTTGTTGTGAGGCTCCCCCAAGAGTTGGCTTGCTATTGCGCAATGCGAACGTGAAGCCCGCAAGTAGCACACTCAAGGTGTCACTCTATGTGGCTGATCTTCTAATGATATGGATAACCTCTACCTAGATTCATGGATAACCATGGCATGTACACAAAACTCTAGTCAAGATGCTCCGTAAAATTTAGGACTAGTATAGGTCAGGTTCGTGGTTTGGACACTAGACTTTGATCAGTGATCATGACTTCACTAGGTTTGAGCAACGGATAAAGCGATGCCTCAATCAATGCGTCGATCGACTTAATCAGTTGATCTAAGAGCCTCGACCAAAGGATGTCACCTCTTCGGCTCTTCTTCGAGGAGTGAAGGTGATGTGTCATCATCGAAGGATCATTCAGAGGTCTCCTACTCTCACTAAGTCTAGCGAACCATCTTGTTTCAAGGTTAAAGGTTCTCTCACACCTGTCTTCTAAAACACCCACGGGGATGGTTCTCAAGCCATTTCTGGTACCCGTGAGGAAAGATGGCCCGTCTTGCGTTGATCATTCTCCTTGAATCAGGGGCAAGGCTTCGCAGCTCCTCCCGCGTTCCCCGCCACCTGTAGTCAGGGCCCCGACCCGGAATTTGCTTTGACTATAACCTAAAAGTGATGGCAACGCCCAATACCGATTGCCGACCTTTTAACCTCTACCTACGTCAGCTACCACTCTCTCAAGCCTTTACATCACTATTAGAGAAATACTTAGGAATTTACGCGCGTACAAAAATCAACGGACTTTGTGTTCCAGTATCACGGCCATCCATAATTGGCAGCTCTTTCACTAGAATATACAAATTGGCACTAGAACTAACCTGCCGTCAGCACAAGGTTTAAAGGGTGGGGAGGCCATACAAACACATTGAAAAAGCGTTCATTAATGAAGAGGAAAATTTTCAGCTGATGCTGCTCTCCAGCTCGTGCAAAGCTAGCCAGCGCGTTTCAGGGCCTTGTTTGCCACCAAGCTCGTGCAACGACTCATTGTCAAACAACGATTCCTAGATATGATGCCTTAGCCTTCGAAACCCTGCCCTAGATGAGTGATCTATGGGTTCATCCCGGATTAAGACGGCATTGAATGCGTCATCTGTACCACACTATTTGGGCCTAGCAAGTGCCATAGCGAGACCGCTTTGAGAAGGATCCCCGATTTTAGACATCACTTGAAAATTCTCTAGAATGGCGTTATTTTCGTGGTCCCCCTAGTAGCTGTGGATCCTAGTAGCATGTCGTCTGCACTTTCGATGGCGGGTTTGGATTCCGTGTCCCACAGTACCGATTCGCTAGCCATCGGGTGGTTTCTGTCAGAGGAACTTGGATGAAAGCCGATCTCATATCCCTCTTCGTCAAGCTCATCTGTGCCGCCGTAAACGTAGTGAAATTTGGGGACCTCATGCTCTACCATTTCTTTCCATACTGGACTTTCATCAAGAAGATCATCTGAACTTGGAACGGCCGGAAGGATGTTATCAGACGCACAGAAAGACTTCAGTGGTGCAGTCGTACCCGTTTCAAACAACTTCTTTTGCATGTGGATCCAAAGTCGCGCTTTCAGCAAGTTAGTCACAGTGTCGTCTTCGTCTTGTGTATTGTCGACTCTGGTGGAACTATGGTAAACTTTGGTGGTCGAAGAGGTCCGTCTGAGCGTTTCAACTTTGGCTTGGAGAGACGTCGATCGGGATTTCAGCATAGTTGCTCGATTTAAGGAGTGGCTGACGATTGGTACAAAGTGTGCTCTCTGTGAAACTGCCTATGACTTGGTCAGCTTGCTAAACCACATGTCATAGGCGTTCTACGTACTAGAAGGTACCCGGGACTCCACAATGAGGGGGAGATCTCCGCGAGAGTTCCAGCAAAAGAGTTGGTCACAATCTTCAAACCTGTCGTCGACCTAGGGGAGGCCTCTGAGATCGATAGACGCATAGCGGCGTCCACTAACTTTCCAACTTCTCGTAGGTCAATGGGCCGAGAATAATTCAATATGGATGTCCTGTCTGATACGCTCTCCTTCCTTCTCTTGATACATAGGTAAGAACTCCTAGCTGAGGTCTCGCCGTCATTTTGCTGGTTCAAGGTGGTGAGAATCTCTCCCTCCGGCTCAAATGGTATAGTAGAGCCTTCGGGAGCTCTCACTTCTTGTTTATCAAAAAGCCTTTTCCTTGCGGGAGAGCTGGAATTGCGACTAGGGCTGCTTCGCTGTGAGCACTTACGCTTTTTACTATTTCGCGGAGCTTTCATCTCAACTATTTCCATCGAGAACTGGAGAGATTGGAGTGTTAGAACTGAAACATTCGGTGGGGGTTTCGCGTCTTCAAATGGGACGTTTAAGCATAACCGGTGAGGTTTCTTGTCCGACATCTCGGGCTCTATCCGAGAGTGGCTGATGTTGATCTGTAGCTTCCCGCTGTCAGGCAGCAATGCGTCCTCGTTGAAGTTATTCAGAGGAAGAGATGGGCGAAGGTTAAGTTGACTCCAAATCTGAATGCAGATTAGGAGAATTGTCCACATGCGAAAAGTTCGTAGGTACCTGGGCATTGAGAATCATTCTAGCCAATTCTCTCATTTCGTTTCCACCCAGAGGCTCTCCTTGGACGGTAAGCTCTATCATAATGTGCAAACCATTTCCACGGCAAACCCAGGCATTCCGAGCGATGAGATAGTCAAGGAGAACACGTTTGCTCAGTTGATGAAGGTTAGTGGAGTCGTGCTGTGGTGAGAGTGTGATCAAAGTCGTGAGCCACAGCTGCAGCTGCGAGTTTGGTGAGCATAGGACAGCTCGCCCCAACTCGATCGTTCGCGACATTCCTTGAACAACATTGACTTGATGGGCCTTTCGTGCAAGGAACTTGAGGTCCTTGTTGAGACGATGAGGCGAAGTGTGCAGGCGGGGAAAAAATCTCTAAGGCTCTTGCCAAGCTCAGCCCTCACTTCGGCAGACGCTGTGAGACGTCATTCCCCTCCGACATGCGCGAGTCTCAAAGCTCGTGAACACCATGGCCAGCTCCTTGAGAACAGTGCTTCGACGCCTTAATGCTACCTCGCGATCCAATTGTTCTCAAACAGTTCCTGTTCTCTCGTCAATCAACCGTGGATTTCGCTCCAGCAGACGACGGCAAACTGACGGCGTTTTTAGAGAATTAACTGCCGTAAGAGTACGCACACCATGGGTAGAAGCTCTCCGGCGACAGCGAGCGGAGGGCCTTGACCATGCGAAAGCTTCCAGGAAGCCGGAAGTATCTCCTAATCGTGAGCTAACGCCAAAGCGAATGTCAGACAGCTATCATTCTGTCGTAAGTACCTCTGCGTTCCGAGAGGTGAAGCTCAATGAGACAGGAATAGATATTACCGCTTGCTCAGGATCCATGGCTTCTGGACACCTACCTTAATTCGAGCGGACACATCCGTCTTGGAACTATCTTCATGGACTTGGACGCTCTTTCTGGGGTAATTGCTTACAAACACACTGGCGACGACGTTACCACCGTCACTGCAAGCTGCGATCGAATCTACTTGCGGCACCCTCTGACGGAAATATGCGATCTAGAGCTGAGCGGTGAAGTGACTTACGCAACGGGCAGGTCCAGCCTAGAAGTTTCAATGCAGGTTGCCAAAGCGCCGAAAGCGGGGGAGACTGTGAAGAATGAGGACGTCCTAATCAGTTGCACTTTTACAATGGTGTCGCTCGACCCTGGGACCAAGAAGTATTAGATCCCTACGATATACTCGATGGTGGCTGACATTTTCCAGGCCGGTGAACGTCAACCCTTTGATAGTCGAAACACCCGAGGAAAAGCGACTCTATGCCCTAGGTGAACGAAACTCTAAGATCCGCAGAGAGCGCAACCAGACCGCACTTATCAAACACACTCCCAACGACCTGGAAAGTGACTTAATACATGCCTTTTGGCAGAAGCATTTGCAATATCATGATCCCCACGACTCGCTCCGGAAACCAGAGAACGTGCACTTCATGGACACAACCCGTCTCCAAACTGCCATGATCATGCAACCCCAATTTCGCAACAGACATCACGTAAGCATTTTCCTGTGGTCTGCTCGGAAACTGTTGCTATTTGTTAACAACCTGAAAGTTCATGATCTTCGGTGGCTTCCTCCTCAAGCAAACCTTCGAACTCGCCTTTACCTGCACTGCCGCCTTTGCTCACACTCGACCAACTTTTGTCTCGCTTGATCCCTCCACCTTCCAGAATCCAGTTCCCGTTGGCAGCATACTATACCTTACCGCGACAGTCGTGTACACGGACCCGCCGTTAATCGGAGCACCAGGAGACCGAGCAGACACAGAGAGCAAATATACAAGGGTCCAAGTGAGGGTAGATTCCAAAGTGAGAGATGTGGAGCACGGAAGATCAAAGCCAACTGGCCAGTTCAACTACACATTCACAGTGGAAAAGAATATCCGGGTGATGCCTAGGACATACCAGGAATTCATGATGTATCTAGATGCGCGGAGACGAGCAGAACAGGTCAAAGAGAGCATGAAAGAGGAGGGTTTAGGAGTGAGCCCGAAGTTAGCGGAAGAGAGTGTGACGGAGTAATGGCACTGGGAAGGAACCCTCACTCTAGATTTGTGATATCTAATAGCTTGAATGGATTGCTAATTGTGCGAAGAGATGAGCAGCCAAGATACGCTTTATGGTATAATAAGCAGTCTAGAATAAATGCGCGCTCGAAGCACCAGAACGAACTCAATCACCCACAGCCTTTAAAATTATTCCAAACATCCCGGATAAATGAGATCTTGTAGGCGCCGAGATGCGCCTATGTCCGAACACTGAACGCTGAATCAAAGAAGACGTATCCATCGCTATGAAATAAAATGCCGTCAACAACCATGTACGTGAAGATTATTAATTGGAGGTCGCAGAAGGTCGAAGTGTAACTGAGAGGTCGGAGCACGAACGTGTAGAGTGCGGCTCGTGTTATCGTAAGTCTACAAACCTCGATGGTGCGGGATTGGAGGAGTTGAGTTGAGTATGGCTGTGGGCTGAGTATTGGTGGTAAATCGCTTATTTATAACTCGTCAAGCTCGAACTCTAGCGCTACATCCTCGGAGCAATCAGAGCAGTAGTAGTTGGAGAAACCGCCGCAGGTGACCTTCATATTTTTGCACATATCGATGCTCCAGGCGTCGTAGGAGTATCCCGAAAGCAACCTTCCGTGGCAGACCTCGATACTATTTGCCCTGCGAAATTTTCAGCTTTGTACGAACCCAACTGTTAAGGTACACTAGTGCAAACTCACCAAATATAGTAATCGTGGTTGCAGTAATACCAAGAGTAAGTATAGGAGCACATGTTGCCTAAGGTTCGGTTTTGGCGTTGCTTGACCTTGCCGGGGTTGTCGCGGAACGAGAGTGATCTAATTGAAGGCTCTGAGAAAGGTCGAAGAGGATTGAAAGGTTGTATATATGCTTCTAGAGCCGCGTTAGCTGATCGTATATCCTGAGCATCTGCCTTGCACGTCCGTCTGATCATAGTGATGGAGTTCTAGACCGGCGCAATGGGCTTTTGTGCGCAGCTGCGCAGACAAGGCTGTAAGACACAGGGGATGGACATGGTGCTCACCGAAAATACGTCTCCTCCCCAAAGAAACGACTCGACGTAGGTCGAAAATGAGAAACGAAGAAAATAAAGTATTGACAGCCGAAAAAAGTGTATGGAAGGCGAAAATCTTTGTATTCTGAAGTCTTGCCTGACGACCTTCCACTTCCCTTGATGTTCTGACCACCCTTCGACTCAGACAACAAAGGCACTTTTGTTCCCCGAAAGTCCGAGGGGACAGGGCTCTTCTTTATCGATTTGACTTCTCACGAGCACTGGCCCATTCGTCAGCCAATGTAGATGTGAGGCGGTTCCGACATCTCGCGGGCCTAGCCCAGCCTCAGGGTCCCTGGTTCCGAAAATGCAGCCGTCAGTCGCGTGGGTCGTCGTTGAACGTGGCCCTGGTCTTTTTGGCTGGCCCGTGAGGCAATACGTGTTGGAATACGATGCCTTTTGCGGGGGACACTTGAAAAGCAAGCTGAATTACCATATAACGTGGAGAACGAGCTCCCATTCCCTCACAAATACCTCGAAGAAAGTCATCAACAGATCCTAACAATCCGCCCCTCCGACAGCGGAGCCGTTCACCAGACCCTGGATCAGCGCTTCGAATCTCGCGAATGCAGGGTCTATTTTAGGCTAGCTTGATCGCGCCGATTAGAGTTTCCATAGCCATGATTGGCTGTGGATGTTTCTGACCGCCTTCGTTTGTTTCCTGAGGCCGCGGGAGCTTCAAAGGTTCCGGCAACAGTCTGTCTGGATAAGGAATGATCGCGTAAGGCTAGACCGGTCAGATTGATGACTTCAAGGGTGGTTGAATGAGGTGGCGGTCCATTTGCAGTAGGAATGACAGAGAGGGGAAATGGGAGCTTCATCACTCCACTGTATTTCAGCTCTGAATCTCAGCCCACCTCCTCTCAAGTTTCCCTATGACAAGGCCATCAGCAGAATTGACAGGTCGAGGGTACATAACCCCACCGCAGAATCCTTTCCCACAATCAATCAACCCCTCCAATTATCGATAGGCATCTTGATCGATTGATCGGCATTATGCAGGGATCGCTAAAGCTTCCGTGCTTTAAGGGATGCACTTAGAACTTCCAGGGTGCTCAGCTGCTCACCGCCGCCCAGATGAATTCGAGGTTCGATTGGAACCTGCCAAAACCCGCAGATGAAGGTGGCGAATGGATGTCGGCTGCCACCAAGTTTATTAATTCATTCTCAGTCTTACGAAAGACCGGAGGACGTTGACTCCAGCTAACTATGTCACACAATGCTTATGTCAGAGACTGTGACCTAAGGAGTCCCCGATATTATGGAGCCATGCTTCCTAATCTCGGTACCTTCTTGCTCAGAATTAGAAAACTTAATGTAGCGGGGCATGATGGGATACCAACTTTGAAATTGTCGGGACCAATATGCTGATGATGAAGATATAGAGATATGAGGTAAAGGAATTACTTAGCTGGGCGGCATCCTTTCCTTTCGACGGAGTCAGTCGGCCATAGTGTGGAGAACATCAGCAGACGCGAGAGAAGTCGTCGACATAACCTTTCACGGAAAGTTTTCGGGTCATTTCTTAACTAATATTTATTTAGTCTGGCCGAACTCAAGGCGGTGGCGACACCTTTAGCAAGTGGCAAGAGGTGAGTCTTCACTACGAGAGAACGATAGAATGGTACTGGAGAAAGTAGGAATGGACCCGTCCATATTATGGAGAGATATGGTTTAGAATCTAAGCAACGTTTGTAGAAGCAAGTGCAGTCAGATGTGGCTGCTAGCGTACACGAGTCAAATAGAACCTAGAAGAGCAGGACAAGAACTAGCGCAGAAGCATCTCTAAACGACGATTTGAAACGGGGATAATAGTAACCTTAAAACCTGAATGCTAATATATTCTTTACATTAAGTCTACGTTTGTGAAAATATGTCGACTTATTGCTACTTAGTCTATAACTTCAGCCTATACTTAATATCGTTTGTTCGACTAAGCCTCTCCCTCTCCATCACTTTGTTTGTCTATACAATGCTCCCTCAACTCTTACTGATGCCTCACTTACGACGTAAAGGTAAGTGATTACATTGATACTAATCCTACCCACTCGTAACATATGAGCGTATCTTGATACACTTCGTTTATTTTTCCTGTGGGTTGGAGTGCAAAATAAGATTTCGTAGATTCAAAACGCCGGACCCCAATTGCGGGGTATATGTGGGGAAGAGGCAATGCATATGAGGGGTACGGAAAACCTAGGTCCGAAAGGCCTTTGCGGGGCATAGCCCCGATATACGTATATGGATGTTGATGAGCATGGCTAGGGATCATCTTATTCCAACTCCCAAGTAACAAAACCGACAGCGTTGATAGTTCGAATTCGAGGGTAGAAATCCGCTCACGATGGGGAGTAAAGATGAAAGTGAACAGACATTGAAGCCCTTGAAGCTCCAGGAGCAAGACCTCGCCGGAAAAGTTGCGATTGTAACGTACGAGTTCTTCCTTCCCTATGCAATCCCAATTACCTTTGCCGAATCCAAACCTTTTCGGCTCTTGTCAATGCGATTCGTGGCTTGGATAAGCTGTCCTGCCGTGATTTTCGAGTTTCCTAAGTTCCTCGTCCAGAAGCGCTGCCGGTAATCTTTCTGACCTCTTCCTTTTTAGCGGGGCAAGCAAAGGCATCGGTCGCGCCATCGCTCTCGAGTTGGCAACTCGGGGCGCCTCAATTCTGGGGACTTTCTCCAGCCTAGATTCTGCAGATCTCTTCAAGACGTTCACCGATACCATCACTAGTCTCTGCTCATTCACGAAGCATCCGGACACACCCAGCACAGCTTGCCCAAAGCTTATTGGCGTTCCAGCTGATATCACCTCTTCATCCGCGCCGAGGACTATCATCGACTGCCTCCGTACGCAATTTGATGCGAAGGTTGATATTGTGGTTTTCAATGCTGCGGTTATGAGCCTCGCGCGGATGGGGGAAGGGAAGATTGGTGAAGACTTCGTGGAGAGAGCATTAGCAGGGAATATCACTTTCCCGATCTTAATGATGGAGGAGCTGGTAAAGGAGAGTTGTCTGAGGCCGAACGGTAGAGTTGTGGCGATTAGTAGTGAGGGCTCAAGGGTTAAAAGGCCTGCTGGTGGGTGAGTAAGTTTTTCCTTTGGGAAATTCGTTGCCTCTAAAGGAGGTATCAACGCCTAGTCGTGGAACACCGTACCGGCCAACGTCTGAAGATAAGAGGTGATGCGAAATGCACCAACAATTATGGGTGGCACATGAATAGGCAACATTAATCTTGGAGACGGGAGCTCGGTGGAAGAGGTATTTTGAAGGGTAGAGTGTGCTCGTGACTCCCCCGAAACAGTAATGAGTTCGCCTCTCTCGGCGCTGTCGAATACGGAAGACCGATTTGATATATTAACATCATGAGGAAGGCACCAGTGGTGACTCCCACTTTGGCTAAGGGCCTTGCGCGGCGCGTAGCCCCGTTACTTTCCCTGACAGAATTCCTCCCGTTTTCCATTCAACATTGACAACAGTGTTCAACTCTCAGGTTCTGGACATCCTTCTTTGGCGTGTACTTTTTCATTATGGTCGTCGGAGTTACGATTGGCATGTACGAGAGGTCCCTGGAGACACGAGTGGAGGGGGAGTGACTTGAGATTATCAAGCTAACGTTGGATTCCGCACAGGGCAGTCTATGCGGCTACGAAAGCAGCACTGGAGTGTCTGATGAGGTACGGAAGATCAGAATTGTGATGGAAGATTTCCTCAGAGTAACCGTATTATAGAAAGTGGGCCGACGAGCTCGGCACTCGTCCCGGGATGGAGGGTACCACGTTTAACTCGGTGAGTGTAGGATTTACTAAGACCGAAGCATACACCAGAATTCCATCGGAAGTGAGGGAGAGGCTTACGGCTGCCGATGCTGCAGAGGTCGCGGTTGGTAATCGAATTGGCGAGGTGGAGGATGTGGCAGACGTGGTTGGCCTCCTGGTCAGTGGTAAAGCAAGAGTGAGTTTCTTTGTTATCTCCTTCAACCATTCAGGGAGGTGAAGAAACTGATACCGATATGCAGTGGATTAGTGGAAGTGTAGTAGATGCTTCTGGAGGGAAAGCGAAGATCCTTTAGGAAATAGGAGGCGGACAGAAATTGGGGCAAGGGAAACTCGGAGGAGTGATACATGGTAGAATCGGGGAGTGGGGGGGGGGGGGGGGGGGGGGGTTGGGCGTCGTCATTAAAGAGCCTGATTCCCCGAATGTTCTGTCAAGGGGGTTTCCCTTATTAGTTAAACCCACCAACTCACTCGCCAAAGTACAAGCAATCTGGAAATAGCTATCGGAGAGAGGGGAACATTGAGAAGGTTATGACTTCGGCAGTCTCGTCGGGGCAACGCCTGATCAACTTTGACTGATTCTATTGCAGCCCAATCAGCACAGATGATATGCTGTCTTATGGGGAAACCAGGGAGGGGGTATGCTGCCCTGCAAAATGAATGAGACTCAGATCTCCATCTCTATATACTCACGACTATGACTGAAGTGGTATTAATTGAAGCATTGGAACGCAAGGGATTCTTGCAGGTACGGATACACTCTTTACTTGTCCCATTGAACGTAACAGTTGTATGTTCTGTGGCACGATCAGACTCGCATTTTCAAGACTGATAAATCGGTCAGCTCTGTGGAAAAATGCGCGTGCGGAAGTTGCCGCAAATAACGTCGACGAGGTCGGGGGCATCGCCCCGAAATTAGATTCTTCTATCCTTCTTCTAGAAAGAATGCATGCGTCACCCGGTACAGGAGATTTAGGTATTTGATATTGAGTGTCTTAGCAGTTTTGCAAATTGGTGCCTGTCGGGTTTTGGTGGTTTGATACTTGTTGGAGCAAAGCTTACACGTCCCGGCAAGTACCCAGCAGATACAGTCTCAACCTTGTGATTCTCAGTTGCCTTTACGAACATGACAGAGGAAGAAGATGTGAAAACTTCCTCGTCACACAAGAAAGACAGGAGAGCTGTGTAATCTCGGAGGAAAGGGTCAGAAGCCATTTTAGTGTAATGTTCGAGACTCATCTGCAATGTCTCCTCCGAGACGAGGATAATGAAGGCATTTTTGCTATGATACTCGGTGGAACGGCCTGGAGATTTCTCCTGGCGATGTCAATGGCAGATGAGGTTCGTCAACAGCCTTGTGGCTCGCGGCCGGATAAAAGACGATTAGGCGGGTAAATGCTGCATAGTGATCGCCATCTTGAACTGGTGTCCTCTCGATGCACACATCGTCCTACTAAGAATTTGGAGAAAGGATGAGAGGACGAGAGGATGTTTCAATCGTGTACAGATTTCGAGCGATCGGCGTTTCGGGTGGAGAGGGGAGGGTTGGAGAAGATAGAATGCTTGACAGAGGACTGCTTTCAGCGTAATGCCGGTCTATGCCATGAACGCAAAGCAGAAGTCTGCATTCAAGGCAACGGAAGCAATGGAAGATACAGAATCTGCAGGAGATTTAGGTTACCCCGAGACTAGCAGGAAGAACTGACCTGGTACTCGCGGAAAATCTGCTGCGCTGGTCCACAAAAACCACTTACGAGAAAATTCGAGGCCAAAGGATGAGAATGAAGCTCAATCCGGTGGTGGTTTGGGCCAAATTGGAGCTGGTCATACAGAGGAGCGACCTCATCCGGTCCTCTTTGGGCATCTGCATATCATCCCACGCGTCGACTCGGTGTTGAGGGCAAGTCCTCCCCTTCGTGATACGCCTGTGATTTGCGTCGTGACCCCATGGTTCCCACAAGGTATCGCCATGTCTACCGCTTGGTAATCCCCCTTTCGCATTGCTGCTGAGCGGTACATCTTTGTTCACCTAAGGTCCACCAATCCCTGGAACACTTGGTGAATTGAGCCCGTCGTCGTTCCAGCTACCGGTCAGCAATCTGGCGATACCGTCGCCGGCGGTGGTTGAACTATGCTTGGCGCAGGAGTGCTCTGGCGCTCCGCGAATGAAGTGATTGGTGCGAAATTAGTGATGTTAGCGACCGTATGGGAACGTCGACGGATAAATCCAAATCCTAGCACTCGGCGTTCACGTCGAGTCCCGCCTTGCCCGCAATGCGTCTTCTGCCCGACATGCTTGCCCCTAACAGGCGCTCCCGAACGGCATATTCACGTCCAGCCATACGACGCCTCGATACAAGTCAAACACGCGCGGATTCTGCGGAACGGTAGAGCTTCCGTACGGGCTGGCCATGGTCTTACCTCGCCATCCGCCCTCAGACGCACGTCGATCAAATACTTGCTCTGTTTTATATCTCGACCAGCGGGCATTTCTGTTACCACCAACTGTCTGACCTGTCTGAATTCTTCCAGTACTGCCCCACCAACCCCAATTCACACTCAAATTTACGGAGATGGTAGCGACGGCCCCGAACCTGTGCCAGTTGAATACCTCCCGTCGAATCTTCGCCGAGATCCAGCTCCGCATAAACGGCTTCAACACCTACGGCTAGGTCTCAGGCCATCCTGCGTATATATATAATCCCCCGAAGCCTTCTATGGCCACTATGATACAGGCAGAGAGCGTCCCCACTTCCCACCTCAAGGGCAATAGTGTCGTCGACATCCAGGAGGTTCCCAACGGAGTCAAGCCTGCATTACTGATTGTGCATGACGATGGGGAGGAGGACATTGTGGCCATCTTCGCAGATGTCCTGGGGCAGGCCTGGGAATCGGCGACGTCGGTGGATGAGGTTAGGAGCGGGGTTCCTTCCACCATCTATGGCCTACGGAATACATTGATTGGATCCCAACTCGACAGCTGGGAGCGGTCGCGGTTGCTGATCAACGCGCATTGTGTCGACGGCGGGAGTCCTCAGGACGACGCTCTCACTGAACGCTGCGACTATGAGTACCTGTATACCAAATCCCCATTCTTCCGGAGGGACGTGGCGCGGTTCCTCTCCTTTATACTGGGCCAGATAGGTCCCCATCGAGATTTGGCGAAGAAAGCGCGGACCACGCTGATATCGACTACCTTCCCTGACGTCCATGCCGCTTTGCCCAACCTCGATATTTTGTCTGTGGGCGCGGATGCGATAGAGATAAGGGTGGACTTGCTGGAAGAGCCCCTGCCAGATGGAACAATCAGCCCGATTCCTAGCCTGAAATATGTCGGAGAGCAGGTGATGCTATTACGTCAGCGCACCGAGCTGCCAATCATTTACACAACGAGATGTACGCACGAGAACGGCCGATTTCCCATGGACGACCCAAATATTTTCTACAAGTATCTGTCTCGGGCGATACAGTGGGGCTGTGAGTACATTGATGTGGAACTGTGGCTTCCAGAAGACATCAGACGGCGCTTGGCGGAGCAGAAAGGCAGTAGCAAGATCATATCTGCATTCCACGACTTCTCAGGAACATTCAAATGGACTGCCCCGGAGACGCAGACCCTTTTTGAAAGAGGAGCTGTTTATGGCGATGTTGTGAAGATGATTGCCTTGGTTAATTCGATGCAGGAGAACTATGAGCTCGAGTACTTCCGGTCCACCATCCAAACTCAGTATCCACACCCTCCCTTCTCTGGCCTTAACATGGGACCTATGGGTCAATTGTCACGGACTTTGAACAAGATTTTTACCCCGATAACGCATCCGCTCCTTCCTATGATAGCAGCCCCCGGCCAGCTGAGCGCTGCCGAGATAAACCAAGCCCTCCATGGCATGGGCCAGATGCCTAGGCTAGACATCTACGGCATCGGTAGCTTCCGGTCAACCACTCAGGCCATGTTTTTTGAAAAGTGTTTCAATGAGCTCAGTCTACCACATCAGTTCATGTTCGTGGAGAGGGCGCCTAAGGCGTCGGTCGAGAACATCCTGCGTCGGCCCAACTTTGGAGGAGCTTACATAAATCCACCTCTGGCAGCTTCTGCGGCGTATCTGCCTGCGTTGTCGAATGCAGCGCGGGCGATTGGACAAGTCGACACTGTTCTCGTTCGTGCGGAGGCTGGCCATCCGACGTTCATTGGGGATAACGCGACGTGGAAGGGTATTCGGGCAACTTTGAGCCGCGACTTTGTCCCGTCAGCTTATAGTGGACGAGCAGCCCTGTTATTAGCAAGTGCAGAGGCCGACGCAGCAGCAGCGATATTTGCCTTAAAGAGCCTGGGCATTGGACCCATATATACCATTGGCTTTAAGACACATGGGTCACTTGCGGGCGACGTGGAACCGGTGCGGTCCGTCGAGGATGTGAAGCGATTGGAGCAGCCATTTGTCATTATTTCGGCGCTTCCTGCAGAGAAGTCTCTTCTTGTGGTACCACTTCTCAAGCATTACAGAGTGGATGGGAGGAATGGCAACGGCAACAGCAATGGAATCGCCGGCGGAAGATCGGCTGGCAAAGTATTTGTGGATTTAGCGAACGGACCGCGCAAAGCAGATCCGTTAGCAATCGCGACATCAGCAGGGTGGACAGCTTATGGCATAGCGGACGTCTCTGCATGGACTACCGTTGAAACAATACGTCTGCTCGTTGGGCAGAACGTGTGCTACGACTTTGTGCGCCTAGCGTCTGGAAGGGGCCTGTTTTAGATACTCCGCAGTCATTTATATGTATATTGTTATATTGTCGTACTAGTCCCCCTGAGTGCTTCTGGTGTGCAAGAAGCGCTGCCTTGGCCGAACAGTCGGCTTTACCTGTACTCCCTACAGATATTGCAGGGTCCTGAATCTACACCAATCGCTCAAACCCAAACGGCGATGGCTACCCAAACGCTCATCTGATGAGCCAGGGATTCCGGGAGAGGAGCGCATGACGCCCGGTTCGCGATGCGTAATGGGCGTAGTCTGAGGGCGCGTACCGGGTGCAGATTCTGCAGTGCAGCACCGCATGTCACGGCATTGGCTCGCGTGGTCGGGTTGCTGGCCTTACCCCAGATTCCAGAGAGACGTCTAGAAGACTTCTCCGACGCCATGCCGCGAACGGTCAGCAAGCGTGAGACGGACGCAATCTATTTGGGCCTGATGTGCAAATTGCCAGGTCTTCAAGGATGCTCGAGGTACGCAAGACTGGGTTCGAAATGCTTACCGAGGCTGCGCGGTGACGGCTCACACGCTGAGTGCTCTGCTGAGTGCTCCATCCTCAGTCCCCCGCTAGCTGTTGCTTGCCTCTCATCCCTTCGCCCCTTCGGGTTGGTGATGGCCATGGTTTAAGCTACCATTTCCGCCTTCATGCAACCTCACCCGGCGGCCCAACGACCACTCCCAACTGCCGCCGCAACATTAGCCCGCGATCGTCACGCGGTCGTCTTTCCCTAGACCTCTATTTGGTCTCTCCCCATCGCGGAGACCAGAACAGAAGCGTGTCGGAGCTCGACGTCCCGCAGAGCTCAAGCCCTGCCCGCCCATGATCCGTACCCTGGTCGCTCGTCCCCACAGCGTGTGCGGACGCTTGAGGCCTTAATTTGAACGTCCATCTCACACTGCGGCGGTTCCTGGGTTTCTCAACGTCTTTGCTTCCCTCCAACGCTCGCTCCCAATTAGATATGCGTCTTGCCTCCTGCCAAACGCTCCTCCAACGTCCAGCGAGTTTTCCTGCTCATTGGCTGCCGCTATGTCAAGACCACAGATTGGAATCGACCGCCTTCCAACCCGGCGTGTCACGAACGAGCCACGAGAATCGATGAACTGCAAAAGCTGCCGGAAACGAAAGGTAGCCAATCCCAGGCGTGTCATGTCGACTCCACAAGCTCAGCTGATGCAATGTTCAGATCAAATGCAATCGTACCCGCCCAACGTGCGAGGCGTGCCAGGTATTTGCCTGCCCGTGTATCTATGGTACGCCCGGATTGCTCGTGCATCGGATTCGCCTTGGACATGGACTAACGCCCGCCAACAGACGCTGTTCCCAAGAAGAGAGGGCCGAAGACCGATGTGCTCGAGGCCTTGTTGAAGCGTGTCGATGGCCTTGAGAAGCGCCTACACTCCGAGGGCAAGAGCGACTCTCTCCCCGACGCAGACCTCTCTTCAGCAAGCCAGGACACGGGCAGCGACACCAACAAGTCTGCTAACGATGTCTCCATGGCTCCCGCCCGACCTTTGATCGAGATAGCCCCGAATCCGACGGTTTCGGCGAATCAATTGATGTCGCCAATCGAGCCAAGGTACTTATACACAATAATAAAGTGTGAATTTAGGAATACAGCTAATAGCACGTCAGCCTGCAATCACCAAACATCATACCGGACCTGCTACTGGACACCTACTTTGCGAGAATTCATGGCAAGCCGTATTATATTTTGGATGAAACCACCACAAGGCAGCGGATGCAGACCAATCAGCTGCCAGGATACTTAGCCTACGCCATCTACGCAGTGAGTGCGAGGTAAGTTAAATATCACATGACGGGCGCGAGATTATGGTGACTAACATACCAAGATATGCACCCCATTTCGGCGGATACAATGCCGCCGTGCGTGTTGGCCAAGAATATGCAAGGCGTTCTCGGATGGAGCTTGATATTGACGAGCCCTCTATTGAATCCCTGCAGGCTCTCCTCCTACTTTCCCAAGCGAGCTACCAAACGGGCAAGGGCAAGAAAACGTTCATGCTGCTAAGTACGTAATTTGCAAGTTCGGAAAATTCTCATCGCTGACTTACAGCTTCAAGCTTCCGCGATCAGCATGGTCTTTGCTCTCGATCTCCATCGCGAGCTTCCCATGGCCTTGAAGGTGACCCCAATGGAAAGAGAAGGACGACGAAGGCTGTTTTGGTCCTGCTATCTTATGGATCGTTTCGCGGCCACTGGTTCGAAAAGGCCATCATTAATCACGGATGAATCCATTGTGCTTCGCTTACCTTCCTGGCAGCTACATCCAGGTGCAATGCTCCTCGAAGGCGATTATTTTCAAAATGGTTCCAATCTCCAATACATGGCAGGATCGGGTAAAGCAGGCCAGGGCAGCATGGGTATGCTGATCGGCATCGCCAAGATCCTGGGTATAACAAACAGGTACCTCGCAGCCGGTGGGGTCAAGGGTGACTCCCATTTTCCTTGGCACTCCCTCTCCAATCTATCCAAGATCCGACAGGAACTCGACATCTGGGCCTCGGAGACTCAGGATACCTTCACCTCAATAGAGGCTCTGTTCGGCCAGCCTGACAGCACGATATTGGTTTTGAGCAAGCTGGTATATCATCTCATACATTGCCTCATATATCGGCCATTTTTACCGGTTGATTTGGCCGAGCTGTCGGGAACATCTCAGCACCAATCCTGGCAAATCGAGGCAACAAATCTATGTTTCCTCCATGCGAATGCGATTGCGGAATTGGTCGAAATTGGCAGAGCATCCTCCATTATTGACTGGCCCCCTTTTGTAGGGTACTGCGTTTGTACTGCCGGAACGATACATGTCCACGGCGCTCACTATCGAGGACGCGAAGGTGACGTGTTTTCTGCGAGCCCGGAGTTCCTCTCCCGGGAAATGCACCAGCTTTCCGAATTGCGATTCATTTGGGCCAGTGTTCAGCATCAACGCGAAACACTGCAAACCATTTACGGATGCCATACGGAGTTGGTCAAGTCTCTCGCGACCAACCCAATGCGTTTCTCTCCTGTCTTCCAATTGGAAGACTTCTTTGATCGATATCCAGGACAGATCTTTGATGGGGCTCATGTAACATTCCAGGACGTGCAGGTGGAAGCTGTCCATGAGAGGTAAGTCCCGTTCTCGCTTCCCTAATGTTCTTTAGTTAGTAACATGTCTCTTAGTCTGGCTACCTACAATATTGAGCAGCGCAACAATATGTACATGAACCCCAGTATGGTAGGAATGAGCAGCTATCAGGCACGCCCCATCCAGACCACTCACCCCTATGCGAATGGCCATCCAAACAAGAAACGAAGATCCACAGCCTCGAGCGCACCAAAACCTCCAGCACCACTACCCACCCCTACTTCCGCAACCGCACCCATTCACAGCATCACTGAGAAGCCCCCGAACGAAGCATCATCCACGGCTACAACTGAGACGAAGCAGCACGACCTAAATGTCCCACCAACCTCCCTTCCCCCTTTCACACCACCTCCCGCCCCGAGCAACTCTACGTTGCCATTCTCTCCGAATTTCTCCTTCTCTCCTCTCCCTCAAATCCCTGGCCTGGATCACGAGCCCACACGAGCAACCGGGAACCCGAATCAAAACGCAAATGCACACCATGACTCATCAGGCCCATTCGATCCAATGCTAAGCATGCCAACACCTTATGATCAACAACCAACCCCTGGCGCAGCCAGTACATCGGGCACTTCCGTTCACACCGACCCGGATAAAGATCCATTTCTGAGTTTGTTGGAGCAACTGGCAGAGAACGAGGTGTCAAGAGGTGGACCGAGTGAGCTAGACTTCTTCTTGAGTGGGCCAAGCGGCTGAATGTATTCTAGAAGAACTTAAAAATAGCTTGCACTTGCACTCTTTCGGCGCGAATGAGGTATGCACAGCCTTGTCGAGGCCTGCCACGGCGCAAAGAAATTAATGATCTTCAAAAAGGCGAGGCGCTGGAATCTAGGAATGGAACAAAGCCAGGACATAGAAAACTACCTGGACTCGGGCGATAGGAACGGGAATCTCGTAAACGGCCTGGGGCGGATATCGTAGCATTTTTTGGAAGGTATGACATGGCATATGGAACCTATCTAGGGTAGTTAGGTGGTTGGGAGCAATTATTGGGTGGAAGGGCTTGAATCACGCGAATCACGCGAATCACGCAACGACCGCCATGATTAGCAAGCGTCGCCTCTTTCGGGGCGACTTGTCTTGTACGATAGGGATTGACATATTTTTTGGAGAATTTACGTACCAGCTCCAGGAGGAGAGAATGATTTGAAATACAAAAAGGGCCGAATTCATATTGAAATGAAGTGAATCAGCCTTCCCTCCTTGACCGGTCCATCATCACCCCATACACTTCCCACCACACCACACCACACCACACCAAGATACATTCCCGGCAATCCAGAGGCCGAGTAAATGCCGGTTCGCCGACTCAAAGGCCGCTGCAAAAAAATCCTTGCGCTTTACCTTGCCCCATGAAAAGTATCCACTTTTTGCATTGTGGGGGCGGGTGTCCGAGCACGTTAGCGAAGCTGCACGAAAACGGCACCAAAAAACGAGCACAAAAACTGTGATGCATATGCGGTGGGGGGACAGCCAGCTGCAAGCGAGCGCTCATACATGTGCTGCAGATAAATTCTACGAATCGGTAATCTATGAACTACGCACGGGTAAAACGTGTCCCGAGAGGGGTTCTATGTCATGGTGACCTATAGCGGTGGCTCATTAGCATTTCCGAAATAGGAAGTAAACAACAGGGGCTCCGGGTTAAACGTACCAATTCCTCAGCCGAAACGGGGTGAATAGCCTGTGGCAAATGTCCGAATTAGCATTCTGTTCGCTTCCCCACAAATGCATGTCCGTTTTGAGCCGTATGCTAGGGTTAGGATGTGGGGGAGTGCTATATGGGTGGGAATGAGGGGGCTGGACTATGTTGACCTGGTAAAAGAATGCGTTTATGACGTACCACGCAATTATCGAAGTCTTGCTTTGTAGCGCCCATCTTAACCGCAACACCAAATCCCTGGAGGATTTCGGAACTACCTGTTCCGAGAATGTGCAGACCGACTACTTTCTCTTCGTCGCCTACGCAGATGATCTTGTAGGCTGTTGGGCCCTTGTCTTCTTGGTCCATCATCGCATAGTACATGCCGGTAAACTCCGTCTTGTAGACCTTGACTTTGTCGCCATACTTCTCCCTTGCTTGGGGCTCGGTGAGGCCAATTGAGCCGATTTCAGGGTGGGAAAATACGACTGAGGGGATATTACTGTAGTCAAGATGCGAGTTCTTTTTGCCACCAAAGAGCCGATCTGAGAGTCGTCGACCTGCAGCAATGGCCACTGGCGTGAGTTCGAAGCCCCGGTCGCAGACGTCGCCGATTGCATAGATGTTTGGAGTGCTGGTGTTCTGGTAGTCATCGGTTACAATATGGTTCTTCTCATTTAGTTTGATGCCAAGCTCTTTGATATGGAGATCCTCAACCTCAGGGGAACGGCCAACGGCGAAGAGTACAACTTCGACTTCAACTGTTGACTCCTTTTTGCTTTCGGTTTCTTGGTATGTCACCCGCTTGAGGCCATTCCCGATGTCTTCCACCTTAGTGATTTGCGAGCCCTTATGCAGACTGATGCCTTGTCGTTCGTACTCTTTCGTCACGACATCCTGAATCATAGGGTCAAAGCTCCTGAGAAGCTTCTGGCCACGGATAAAGAAGTGGACCTTGCTGCCGAGTGCGTGGAGCATGCCGGACATCTCAACACCGATATAACCGGCGCCGCTCGAAGCAATGCTCTTTGGTAAAGTTTCGAGGTCGAAGAATCCATCGCTGTCGATGCAGAGCTCTTTCCCAGGGAAATCTGGGATCTTGGGTCGTCCGCCGGTTGCGATGAGGATGTTCTTAGCTTTGACTCTCTGAGTTCCTCCGCTCTCTAGCGCCACCTCAACCTCATTCTCTGTCACAAACTTTGCCCTTCCTTTCATATGTTCAATTTTGTCCCTGTTCAAATTATTCTCATAGATTCCGTTTAATCTCTTCACGTATGCATCTCGCTTCTTCTTGAAGTATGGCCAATCGAATGAGGGCGTGTCGTATCCGCCGAATCCATAGGCTTTCGCGTCCTTGAAGGTCTCCGATATTGCAGCGGCATTCCAGGTCACCTTTTTTGGTACACATCCTACGTTTACGCAAGTACCACCCATACGTCTTGATTCCACGGCAATGACCTTGGCGCCATATTTGGCCGCTCGTCTGGCAGAGGCTATTCCTCCGCTACCGATGCCTATGACTAGGTAGTCACATTCCTTGGGGATGGGAGCCATACAGGGTGGTGAGGTTGAGATTTGGCGAGAACAGGCTGTGAGGGGAGCAGCAGCTAGGGTTCCTTTGGAAGTGAAGACAAGGCTATGGGAAACCAGGACAGTGAAGGAAACACTAGGCGCAAGGCTCTGAAGTCTATAAACAAACAGCCTACTCATGAAGGCAGCAGCGTCCGGGCCTTGTAGCTATTTAAATAGTGACGCAAGGACAAAAAACGGACAAGGTGTGGAAGCTCGGGAGTTAGTAATCGCGAGTGCTGGAACAGGGGTAAGTGTTGCCCCAAGAGAGCGAATGCCAGCACATAGGATGGCCCAAAAGGCCGGGCTGCAAGTTTCCGCGACGGGCGTTGGGCGGTAGAGACGGTGAGCATGGAATTGTCAAGTTTTGCAGGCCAGTGATGACGGAATCTGAAAATGAACGAAGTTTCTGGCCAAAGCACAAGGGCATGCTAGCCCGTTCCGAACAAGCCGACTCCGGATCTCAATTTACCTCATTTTCAAATATCCCCAGCCCCATCGTGATTCCACATCGCTGTTTCCATCATCAGTTTTGTCCAATTGACGAGTGCTGGACTTGTAATAAGCCTGCTCGCGATGCACAGCGGCGACTGCCACCGCCCACTTATCCCAAACCCGTGAACCGGTCCACAGCTCCCCACCACGGATACCCCCCCATTCGTGCCACAGGACAACGACCGTCACCGAGCGTCGGCCTCACCGCTTGGTTCAGGCGCAGCGCTGCGTAAATCAGCGCTAGTCTTGCATTGATATCTCGATCAGACCTGATACCCTAAAAATGGGTGGGAGGTTGTCTATGCCCAAGGGTGCGGATGGGTTGAATGAAATATCCAAGCCTATGTCGGGCTCGGCGTCAGCGCGGCTCACGCGCGGTAAAGGAATCATAAATGGGCGCGTAAGCACGGTTTGCCTTGACTTGTGTTGCTCGATCACTAATCCCTCTGTTAGACTATTATGGCTCCATTGGCGGCCTTCACGATGGCCGGATTGCTCTTCGTTTACGCGCGAACTTCTATACGGGCGGCGAAATTGAACGCGAAGAAGCATCGCGAGGCAGACGGCGGCCAGATCAGCTGGCATAATGAGAGCTTAAGGCGACATGGGCAATTAGAAAGGGTGGAGAACGACCGGAACACCTTCAAGGAGGCTTTGATTTCGGATGTTAGCGGGGAGAAGAAGGAAAAGAAGAAAAGTGTTGAAGGCACAGCAGGAAAGCCAGGGAGATCCAGTGAGGAAAGCGAACTGCGGAAATTCATGGGGAAGAACGAATGACCTCGACGAGATGGTGGTTGGTGAAAAGCTTGGAGTTCTGGTTTGTACAATTCTGAAATGCGGCTTTCTTACCTTTGGAAGTCCTTGGAGATATTTAACTATTCAGGGCTATAGGATCTTTGCAGCAGGCGCTCTCTCAAAAGACCATCGTTTCGGTCGATTCTCGCATGGCTTTTGTAACCTGCAGTACGGAGATGCGTCAGGACGTTGGGATTTCGATGGACCGTGTTTCGACGCCCCCCTTTGTTTGCTTACTATGCAAGATGAACCATATATTACGCCGAATGGTGGGTGTGCACGAGGGGACATTCGCTTGCAGTCCATTATTTTGGAGGAGACAGGCGCCCCTCCCTTGTGCAGAACACCCATCAAACAATTGCGGACCACTGGAGAGCCTAGCAGTCTGCATGCCTGGCTCCCCTGCACCAAGCATCCCCAATGCTTATAATCCTCGATCTCATAAACGGTATGGTCTTTGTGACTTGTTTGCCTGTATCGAGGAGGAGCGTTTGCCAGGAACCAGCTCTGTAGTATACATGCAGTACATCCGTATATACAAGCAGTATGTACATACATGCAGCAAGTAGACCTGGTTTACTTCGATTCCTGGCCATGGTCATGAATACGAACTGGTGCGTCTAGTCCAGCAGGATCAACGAACCAGATAAAACAAGCCGTAATTGAGGTCTGTTTTTACAGGGGTCTGATTCGCGGCAGCTGCATCGTCATCCGTCGTGGGTGGTGGCTTCGAAGCCCTTCACATGCCGTCTTCGAAGCTTCCCCGCACTGTGCAGCTACCGCTTTCCGACGCATGGTATTCTTCAGGTGACGGCTGCGTCTTGTACATGTGTGCCTGTACTCCTGAGTGTACTGCAGTGTGCACCCTGATGCTTTGAGGAGGTGCTCTCGTGAGGCTGCCGTGGCTCTGCGGCGGGCCGTCGCGGCTGCCATTGCTTGGGCGGCGTGACCGTGGCCACAAGTCGCGCCTACGACCGCATCTTGATGGCTGAGTGTGCATCAATCCCTCTGGCCACATCCCCTCGAGCAGCTTTCTGCGGTCCAGTGTGAAGATCGTTTGCCGCCGCTAGCTAATTCCAGCAAGCGCTGTTAGACCGTTTTGGCAGTGGTTGCACAGAGCAGCTCCTCAACCCCACCATTTCATCACCACGCTTCCCAATCGCCCAGCGCGCCAACCTCAAGCCATTGTCGTCCTACCCCCCTCCAAATCACCCCACCGGCCCTCCAGCTCCCACAGAGGAGACGCAGAAATAATAAGCCCAGGGAGTGCTCGCAGACTTGATGGAGCTTGTCCGGCTACTGGCCGCATCGCGATTGCCTTGAAGACGTCACCGTCTTCAACAGCTAGCGATAGCCAGTATGCCTGAGAGGGTTGATGAAGGAGTTGGCATAGCCCAGGACAACAACAGGAGCCCGCGGGATGTGCAAGAGGTTTCACGAGCACTGCTGAGGAGCGAGCAGGCGAAGCGATGGACCAAGAGGTATCGGACAGAGGTAGCTGCCAGCTCGAGCAGTCTGCTCTCTACGTTTGTCGCCGTGAGTACACTACACTCCCCAGGAATTCCGCTCGCACTGTGCAGTCACTGAGAGCTTCCAGTATCCCCTTGATTCTGTGAAAACTCGCCTGCAAGCGTATGTCCTGTCCCTCTTCCGTCCGCCCATGTCACTAACCTCGGCCAGCTATAAATTCCACTCTTTCTCCGACTGCGTCCGCCAGACATACAGGACAGAAGGCTTTCATGGATTCTGGCGTGGTACGTGCTGAACACCCCCTATTGAGCCCGCATTCATGCTGATACGATGTAATCAGGCGTTTGGTCTCCCCTAGCAAGCATTACTCTCGTACGCACGGTTTCGTTCTCCATCTACCAGAAGTCCAAATATGCGTTGGACGAGTGGATCTATCGGGCTACTGGCAGTTCTCCCCTCGTCATTGCAAATACCAGAGATGCGCTACCTACCTTATCGACGATCGCATGTTTTGGGCTCGCGGGTGCCACGGCTGGAGCTGTCATAACTACCATTGCATGTAAGGAATCACGCAAATAGCTGAAGGAAACATTGATACTGATGTCAACAAAGGTCCTTTTGAGCTGACGAAACTGAGCGCCCAAATCTCTGTTCTGATGGCTGATACCAAGGATAGCGACCACAAGAATGATGCAGTGCGAAAGAGCTATCAGAATCTGGGAACCTTTCGTACAGCGCAGAAGTTAATTCAGCACAGAGGTTACATGGGTCTTTACTCGGGATTTCATTTGCATATGCGTGAGTTGGCCGTGCCGCCACAGCCGCTCCTTTTTGGCCAATAGCTAACTCGTAATAGTTCGTGACACCATCGGAACTGGCATCTACTTCGTTACCTACGAAAGTGCAAAGCAACTCCTCGCCAACGCTCGTGGGGCCTCCCCAACCACTCCTTTGGCTGTCGTTATTGCTGGTGGCTTGTGTGGGCTTGTCAGCTGGGCATGTGTAAGTCTATAGACTACCTTGAAAACAACCTTACGCGAAGGATCCTTGCTCATCTCAGAATTTAGATCTTCCCCATTGATACCGCCAAGAGCATCTACCAGCGAAATTGTCTGATCAGCGGCAAAGACAAAGCCAACCGGCCAAAGATCCAGTTCTTCAACCCACGAATGTATCGCGGTAAGGAGTCGTTGCGCCTCCTCCCCTTACACTTCAGAATGCTAATCATCCCCTCCAGGCCTCGGGGTATCCATGAGTCGATCCTGCGTTGTAAATGCCATTTTCTTTTCGGCGTTTGAGTTTTCCAAGAAGCGCGTCAACCAATTGACGGTTGACGAGGAGTTGCTTCATGAGAACGACTTCTAGGGGCGGCAGCGGCTTCTTCGGTGCTTTTATCTCGGGAGTTTTCTTACCCGCGATCTAGCTGAGCATTGGGCATGGTGTTAGTCGGAATAGGCGCTTTGTGTAATCTATGGGGGCTTTGGGCTACACTGGCATAGCATTGAATCATATAAGGCAGACAGGAGGTTCTGCATTTCCCGGCGGATAGATTCAGCCTGTCGTTTAAATATGCAGTTGGTTGTGCTTGATAATTGAGGAGGCATGAACGCACTGAAAGGGGACTGTTTATTCCCTTGTTCAAATTACAAGCAAGGGCCAATTTGTTACTCCACGGCCGTTTATCCCTATTCTCTCTTTCGGCCGCTTCTCGGTAGCTGCGATGTATAAAGCGAGGTTTCCGGATCACAGGCATCAGATAGATTCCGGTGGAGGAAGTCAGGAAGACGATCAACAAACAGGAGGAGGAATTGATGAAGAAGAAAAGCAACTTCAAGAAAGTTTTAGAAAGCTGAAATGGAATTCGTGTCTCATAAGCTCGAGCACTTCAAGCCGGACCGGTCCTCCCAAAACACCCCAAAAAGACATCATGCTGAAGATCTCGAACAAAGTAACGCCTTCAACCGCTCCGCTCGTTCCTACGCGGGCTAGAAAATGTCCCAAGGTATCGGGGTCCCTCCTCAAGCCCATGACAATCGAGATGGACCGACAATACCTGAATTATGGCTATGATAGAATCTAGGCTTTGGAACCTTTGGGGCCAAGGAGATCATCCATTAAGCCGCCCCACAGCTCCTTGGCCATGCTCGCCTGCTGCTCCACGGGCTTGCCAAACTTACTCGCGACTTTTGCCGCCATTCCCTGGAAATCGACGGAGTTGTTGTCGGAGACTTCGGACATGGCGGCCGGGGCATGGATGTGGGTTCCGTCGGCCGCAACAGTATGGATGGTAGGGAGCATGACCTACAAAAAGCACTCGAATTAGTATTAATTCCATTCCCTTGGAAGAAGGAGTTGTGGCTTACCGGCTCGTCAACCTCCTCGGCAGCATATGACTTCGTCGATACATTCGGCAGTATTGGAACCCGGATGATAGGTGCATCCTTCGTATCTGGGTCGTAATCGGGGAAAAAGGCAAAGTCGATTGTAGAGCTGTCATTCACGGCCTTGAGTGCTCGACTAGTATTGAAGTGCCGGACGGGACTTCCAGCATCCGCGGTTTCCACAATCGGCCGTCGTGAGTCCTGGACTGCGGTGCTGAAGGTGCGGACATTGGTGAGGTCGTTGGCAGTTAAGCGATCCGTGAGCTAATCAGGAATTCTTGTCAGCGCGAATCTTCTCAATTGGAGGAGCCAGGATGGTGGTAGTGACAGGAATTGGTAAGCATATAGGGGCCCGACTGACCTCAGCCTTTGATCCAGTCGTGGGGAGATTGCGCTTCTGGCATTCGGCCTGGAGGCCAGCAATATCCCGGGGAAGGTGTACTGCAGGTCGTTCGGAGGTAAGCAGCGACGAGAACGTAGCCGGGCCCGTCATAGAAAGGCTACGCGTCTGCTGTCTGCTGCTAGCGGCGAGGTGCTTGAGAGCGCGTGACGAGGCTCTTGAAGCGGCCATGATTACAGGAGTGTGATATATTTATATTGAAGTGGAATTATTGAAGAGCGCGAAGAAGAGCGAAAGAAGTGAGCTTTGAGGGAATTAAAGCAGTTAAATAGGTCAGATGGTCCTGAGGGGTGTTTCGAGGGGGGTGTTACGACGTCTTCGGGGTTAAGTGCAGGAGTGTCGGGGAAAGTAGGTGAGATGTTCGTCTGGGGGATGAGGGAGAGGAGTTCGGAAGAGCTCGCACTCCAGACCCAAGGCGGTCAACAAATACAAGAGTTATGTCAATGGATAGTCCAGAAATAATTCGAAAATATCCATTCGGCAACCCGGTCAGCGACGAGATGCGGATGCAGGGCAGTCTCCTTAAACAAGCCTCGAGCAGCATCACCATGTGGGAGCTTGGGCCGCTCAACATGCCGCTCGAGACAGAGGGCCTAGACTGCTTCAGGGTGAGCGGGTGAACACGCACCAATAGCTTCCCACAAAACGAATCAGCCACTAATCCCAGATGGCCTGAGCAGCACGAAACCATCTGCTCATCTGAATCCCTTCCCCGCACTTTTAATACTCGTGTGAGGCAGCTGGGCACGCTCGGCGGGCGTAGGGAAACGGGACTCGACGCTCTGGCAGTCCTTAGCAGTGTTTTGGGGTCATTGTATGCGAAGATAGTGAAGCAGACGAGGCGATCCTGTCTGGTCCAGTGCCTGTCATCGATCGCGATAAGTCGGTGTGCCGAACGAATTTGTTGAGCGCCAGATTTGGCACAACTGTCAATGGGAATTGACGTGTGCGATGTCGGACACCGAGGCTCTCTGCTTGTCTTGTGCCTGAGTCCGGCTCTCCACTGCCTCGAACCGACCGGAACCTTCCGCAACGTTCCACGAATGCTCGTTCGGCCTGATGGTTCATTGGAATCATTGTCGCCTCAGGTTTTTCTTGCCAGACGGGTGTGCTAAATGTTTCTGCGCAGAGAAACACGTATGGTGGGCTTATCAGGCTTACTTGGCTCAGTGGGAAGCCTCCTAAATTTCTAAAACTCTCGTTGGGGCATCAAAATTAGAGACGTTATTGTGACTAGCTGTTCAACAATTAGAAAACCTATCAAGGATCCTGCAAGGTATTCTTCTTCAGGCAAGATTACCTGAGAAGTAGGCAGATGTTCCACAATAAAGAGTCAGCGCTTCTACACTGCCGAACAGTCTACATGAGCTTGATTAAGTTCCCAATCTTTGTTTGTAGAGCAATATATTATATCCAATCCTAAAAAGTTATTAAATTCATTGAATCGGCCTGATGGTCTAGTGGTATGATTGTCGCTTCGGGATTCTTGCCTGGCTGCCGAGCAGCTGTATGTGACAGGCCCCGGGTTCGAATCCCGGTCAGGCCCGACTTCTCTATTTATTTATTATTTTTGCAGTTTTGTTGCAATCAATTGGTGGTGGAGTTGTGTGAGTGAGAACTGGTGGCGGGCTTGGCGAAATTCGGTTTCCCTAAGCCTGATAGTTTTTTGGTACCACCAACGAGCAACAAGACTCTATCTTTTTGGGCATTATCCTGCAGCCGAAGTGGCTCCTCGCAACCAGACTCCTCTCAGCAAGTTATCAGACGATGGAAATATGAGGCCTGCTACTTAGTCCTAGTCCTTTCCTACCTACCACCTTTCAATTCAAGACAAACAACGCAAAAGCCCTCCTTTGAACATCATCGCTTCTCTATATTCTTCTTCTCATATTTTTCACTGTCGAATTTTCAAGTCCTTCGAACATCAACGCTTCTCTATATCCTTCTTCTCATATATTTCACTGTCGAACTTTCAAGTCGTTTCCTCTGACTTGCTCCTCCCTCTCATACCTACTCCTCCCCCAAAGCCAAGGTCCCCACTCCAAACCACCCACGGAATCGGCGCCATCGCGACTGTACAAAATCCTAACAAACTCGCCGCCCTCCTATCCCTAGCGTCTTCTACATCTGCAATACAAACAACGGGAAACTCACCGTAAGAATTTATCTCGCCAGACTGTTCGCCCCCGCCGTTGAAGCTCTGTTAAACGGGCCGTAGGCGTTAAACATATACGTATTCGCACTGACGTAAGTGGGATGGCTCCAAGCATAGTGACGTTCTCGGTGATTATAGGGACGATCCAGGGTGTGCTCGGTCGAACCGTCCATGCGAAAAGGAAAAGGTCGATGGGGAGGACGACGGAGCCAAGCATGAATGGGTAGAGACGGTGCTTAGGTGGGAGCTCGCTGGCTGGCGTGATCTCTCGGAAAGTGTGGTATTTGGCTTGGTAGGTGTAGTAATCCATGGCGATGAGTGCAGGTGCTGCGCAGGCAGCACCGGTTGCCAGGCCCAGGAATGGGAGACCTTGTTGGTGCATAGAGAGGGAGTAGGTCACCGAATAGACATAAAGAAAACCCACGAGGAAAGCGTGCAGGAGTGCGAACTGGAATGAGCAATACAGACGCACGAAGCTGACAATTGGTTCCGTGAATAGCATCTAGACTAGTCGCGCAATCGTAGTGAGAAACTAGCTGAGGATCTTTGATGGATCTCGCTGCAGCTCTGGAGTCTCCAAAGCCTCTCGTTTTGCCGGCCGCCGTACGATCACTTTTCGATACGATTCATTAACGAAGCCGAGAAGAGGGGAAATGGCCGTAGCGAAGAACAGTGTCGTCCATTGTGTTCATCTCTACCCTTTTGCAGCGATCACGAAGCCTCCTACCAATGGCCCAAGAAGCGATCCGAGGAATGGTATGGAGTAATATATGGCCAAAAGTACACATCTCTTGTCCGGAGCTGTTGTGTCTGCAATCGTTGCGCTCGCGATATTGATAGCTGGAGCTCCAAACAAACCCGTAAAGAATCTGCAGACTGAAAGACCCGCAATGTTCCCACAGAAACTAGATCCTAGGATGAACAGGCGAACACAGGAGTGGTGGTTAGATACACTATACCCCTACCAAACGTCTCGCTCATTGGAAAGGCAATCATCAGCCCAAAGCCCATGGCAGGTGCATAGAAGGAGAGTGGGAGAAGTGCAAGGGTAGGCAAAATATGAAATTCGGAAGCGCCATCTTTCATACCAGGGGCGCGTACATAGAAGCTGCAATCGTGGAGAGGAAACCGATGGCAGAGACTACTCGTGTCGTATATGCTTTTCGTATGACTAGTCAATTTCGGGCATTTCTGGTGGGATTCTCCCAGTCCAAAGTCAAATATAGCGCTGCGGTTTGGCAAATCTCATTTTGGGGATATGCGCATATCATCTGGAGAATTCATGTAGCTCATAAAAGATGGAAGCTTCATGGCTTTGGCAATTCCTTCAAAGTATAAGACATATGTGAGTATATTTTCTAGCGGCTGATTCCCTCAAGTCACTGTAGCGTCCAGTGTGCAGGCTACTAGAACTAGTATCGAAATTAAGTCAACTTCTGAAGGTGTTGCTCATTGCACTACCCCGCCTTTATTTCAAGCTTGAAAAGCGTTCGAAAGGGCACGGCATAGCTAGAACGGTGACGATTCCTTGTTCTGGAGAACAAATACCTCTGCCTAGCAATAGCTGCATTACTACTAATTTACTTCAGGGTCTCGTTTCGTATCCGACTTTTACCGCCCACCACCCCATCACAGCATCTTCATATTACCCGTTGACATGCTTGGGGGTAAATCCTCCTCCTTAGTCCCCCAATCACTCTCTATCTGCCCCAGCGTTAACTCCAGCGTCCAACCCTGCGTAAAGAACTCATGCCCAATCCAATTCTTCGTATACGGTTCACCATTCAACGTCGCCTTCTGAATATAAATGTTTTTGTACTCCTTGTCAAAGTTGAGATTCCGAATAGTAGCCGTATTGTTTGTGATCTGATTCGTTATGCTTACAGATTTGAAGAATGGTGGAGTGATGAAGTAGACGTTCTGGCCAGGGTTTGGGAAAAGGCCTATACAAGCGAACAAAGTGAAGGATGCCATTGCACCTGAGTCGTCGTTTCCTGGAAGCCCGTCCGTCGAGGAATTGAAACGCGATGGTATATACGAATGAACGCGTTTTGAAGACAGTCCCGGCCGACCTGCGTAGTGAGGCATATACACAGTCAAGAAGACCGGCTCATTCCCGATATCTGCAAGACCAGATGTGTGGAAGTAATCGAGACGTCGTATGAAAGTCTCGGGGCCACCTAGGAGAGAGATGACTTTTCGGACATCATGCGGGACAAAAAACATGTACTCCCAGCAACTGGACTCAAAGGTTTCTGATGGATTAGACGTTAGAGAGCAAAAGTCGGCAAGCGGACTACAGGCTATCGGATCTTGGTAGCCCCATGAGCCATTCAGATACTTTGGTTGAAAGAAGCCTGTGAAGCCGGTGTCAGTGCCGTTGATCAAAGACTTTTGGTCTCCTTTGAAGATATTCTGCCAATTGCTTGCTCGAGATAGGTATTTGGTAGAATCATCCTTCCCTAGTCCTTTGGCAAGAGTAGATAAACAGAAGTCGTTGTATGAATACTCTAAAGTCCTGGAAATGCTTCGAGAATTTGTTCCAAACCCGAGATAGTCGTAGTCAAGATAGGGGATATAGTTCACCCTCTTCCAGCTCATTAGGCCTCCTCTTCCCTGAATTGACCATTCTAGCGGTTCGTTCTCCGCGTCGTTGACGATGGCCTCATAAGCCAATTCCCAGTCGATTCCGGTGAGATTCTTTACATAGGCGTCGACTAGTACGTTATCTGCATCCGAGCCACCCTGGGTCCATCCTTTGCAGGTGCTCATACTGCAGTCTGGCAGCCACCCTCTATGCTTATAAATGTCGAGCAAGCTGCGCACAAGCCTTGATTGTACTTCAGGATCCATAATAGTCAGGAACGGCAACTGCACACGCCACATATCCCATATGCAGTAGAAGGAATCGAAGTATGGTTCTGAGCTCTCCCAGTGAGGATTTTCGCCGGTATAGTCCTGAGGAGATATCATCGTTCGATAGATCGCACTCCAGAAACTTGTTTGTAAGCTACCATCAACACCTCCGGTCTCGATCGTGATTGGGGTGAGCTTCCGGCGCCATGCTTCCTTCGCGGAGGAAACTAGCACATCCAAATCGAAATCAGGTCCTGGAATCTCCTTCTCTGCGCTTCCACATGCTTGGTCGGAGCTAATGAAACTCACTCCTATTCTCGCGTAAATTGCGTTGGTGACTGGACCTTGAAGCCGAATGAAGCCTCCAGCTTCTAAGTAAAAGAGATTGAATCCTCGGGTAACGAATAGCTCTTTTGGTTCTGTTCCCGATCGGTTGTTCACCCACATGCCCGAGTCTTTGACCTTGCCACCGGCGACATCAAGACAAAAGTGCAGCACATATGATCCAGCCCCGAAACTGGGAAGGAACGTCCCGTTTCCACGGATTCTGCCACTGTCACTTCCTTCGGTCGCATCAATACTGATTGAAGCATTTTGACGACTCGACCAGAGGTCTGTAAGATCCAGCATAATAAGGGGACTCAGCGAGGAAGCATTTCCAGTACCATTTGTAGGAAAATTGAAGCGAAACAGAGCAGCACGCTTAGAAACTGCCATGTCTGCCACGATTCCGTTGTCCAGAGTCACCCCAAAGTATCCAGGCTCGGCTTTTATTGTATCGTTCCTGTAATGTGTTGCTCTGGCTTTAATCGGGAATTTGCAATTATTGAGATCATCCTCCGGGCAGAGTTGAGGAAAAATAGGAAAGTTTCCCAGACTGGGATTTCCCCCAGTGCCGGAGTCATGCATAGCTGAGAATCCCGTGATCTGGCTCCCATCTGTTGCAAATCCTCCGGTGTTTTCTCCATTTACGTCGGCAACAGCTGAAAGAAGGTCAGTACGCTTGTTAAAGTTTGATCAAAGATTAGTTGAGCAAAGGATGCTAATAACAGAATGAACAAAGCCCAAAGCGCCATCCACTAGACCCAGTCAAAAGCAATTTGATCGAACTCAGTAAATTATGGGAAAATATCTTGCAAGATCCGATAACAGGAGCGAATACAGGGGTTGCCCTGCATACTCACGGTCGAGAGACGCTTACCTTTCGCCATGCCATAAGGCAGAGTCGCGCCCGCGAAAACATTGCCACCGCTCTTGCTACCAATCAACGGGTTCACCCACTTTAAGACGTCGGAATTATTAGCACGCCGCGTAAATCTGGCTTGCGATGGTAATGTTGGGTAAACAATGAGAAGGAATACCGAGAGCGAAAGAAGGGAGAGCATGACGGAGATCGCCACAGTGGCATTGAGGAAGAAACGGGGAGAGGGTAACGAAAACGCACCGTTTACTAAAGCGCAGGTACTTAGAGGAACGACTGAAGCTTCACATAAACGACGTCACCTTAGGTTCAGCAGCCGGAATGGCTCCTGCCTGATTGAGCGCCTTATATTGCGGGGTTAGGAAACGGTGCCTGTAGATCCTGTCAAACGTTGTCTGCTTCTCGAGATGCACATCTTCCACTGGATGACCAAGAAGGCTGCCGTGGATTTTCATCAAAGTCGATTTTCAGTTGGTGAATTAGATTCGAAAATCTCTGTCGATCGGCAGGTACTGTTACGAAGTTCACAGAAGCATGCTTGAACAAGGGCAAATTGACTTGTCCCCGCACACCGGTAGCCCTTGCAAGGTACTATATCTCCAGAACATGCATGCAATGCCAGGGAAGTGAATCCACCAAGGCGATTGCCATTACCCTATCTTCCTTGGATTGACTGCATCCCTTGGAACCGTCCAGCTCGCGAGGAAATCGTGAACCTAATGTGATAGGAGATGGGAACCATTCTTCAAGGGCCAGTTCCTTCCATATTCCGGGCATGACTGACTTCCATGCCCTCGTAATACTTTCGGACACCTGCATACTCGGCGTCTTCCTTTGCTTTCGCAGTGAATGCCGCATGCGCTTCAGCATTTGGCCATCCAGTGAGCATCAGAGCCTCATGTTTCCCAGGAGCGGGGTCGCAGCGCCAACCATCAGCAACTTTGTACGGTCGAGTGCCCTCGATGATGGCCTTCCGGTGGTTTGCATGGACCTCCTGGCTTAACGCGTCAACACCGTTTTCTTTAATGAGGAGCCTCGTTATGGCCATAACTGGTGCATCTAGTGGCAGCGAGGACATCGCGTCCAGTTCCATATGGACGGCCCATTGAAACTCAAGTTGGTCTTCTTGGGGACCAAGAATCTCTTCTTTTCTGGGAGATGCCAGGAACTCCGTGTGTGCATTGAGACTTGGCCAGAGGCCCAAAATATAGATTAAAGAAGGATTCTCGATGCAGTGGTAGAATTGGGAGTTGGTCTTGAGTGCCTCTCGGGCAGATGATAGGGTCTTGAGCAAAGCTGGGTCCATGGCAGACACCCCTTTCAAACGCAGCTGGGTAACCTCAAGGACTGGCATGGTTAAAGGTGCGTGGAGGTGTTATTGACCTCGTATCAGTGCCAAGTATAGCAGCAGAGGCGGGAGCACGTGCGAGATAGAGGGACGAGGAGGTTCGGCAGTCGGGAGAACCTTCACTCTTGCAAGCCATCTGTCTCAAGAAAGGTTAAGTGATTCTTGGCAGGCGCCATCAAAAGCGCCATCAAACTTCTGGTAAATTGTTCCCGACCACCAAGATCAGTAACATTTCAGCAAACCAGCTTAAAAACAGATTGGCGAAGAGGTTGTTAACCACGGATAAATAGCGGAAGCAAAGTCTACACATCGCTATACACTTGAAAAGCTAAAAGGGCCTTCCTACGCCCCTGGACTATTGCCAAAACAGAGAGGTACGTTTCTCGCAATGCCTGCTCGAATCTCCCAACGGTGCGTGATGCCAGGGGTTCTTAGGGCGACCGTCCAACCGGTCGCAACCCGGAAACAAGCCCGAGGTGACGATACAGATTTAGAGCCTGCATGCTTTCCTTTCAGCTGAAGCATTATAAATATCATTTCGTTCTGTATGGCTGTGACTCAACCAATGACTTCATCGCGCCCTTTGAAGAACGGTTGATCGTTGCCATTTATCTCTATCGTGGCACACCTCCCACATCTTGGCGTTGCTTAAACCCAATCACAAGGATCAAAAATAGCTGCGACAGTTGCACTACTTACATACACGTACCGCTGCTCCGAAGCAGGAGGCGTCCTATGAAAACAAGTTTTTCACTATTTCGTTGCACACAGGAAGATGGCATGATAGTGGCCGGTTGACAGTTGGACCGACGAAGGTGTGAATAGAGTCGCAAAGTCAGCCTTTCCGAGGGCGAGGCGTACAGGACCTGCAGGTTGACGTACGAAACGACGCAGCCATCATTTTAGACGGCGTACCGGTGAGCGCCTTCAAGCTTCTTTTCGACCCGACAAGCGGCGTTAATTACCTGAGACCCGTTTTTGCAGTCTGGAATCTGAGAGCCTGCATGCAATTCGTCCTTCGGACACCACCCGGCAGGAATACGGGAGGGTAGGGCTGTGACTCAGCTTGCATTGTCCCTCACGTTCCCTGTTCGAACAAAAAGATCACACCTCGTGGTGGTCTCCACGCTCCAAGTCTAAGCCCCCAAATTTCGTGCTCTCGAGCCACTGCATCACGGACCGTGTAAATATCGCCACAAAAGGAATGAGGGCTGCTCCTCGCCGACCCTCTATATTGAACACCACTCATGTCGTCTCTCTCGTTGCTGCCTGTTCGTAGCATGGACACATCCGAGACATCAAGCGATTCTCCAGAAGGGTGTGAGAGCATTCCTCAGCAACCTCGAAAACCGATCCCTAGAAAGGGACATACGAAGTCGCGTCGGGGGTGCTTCAACTGCAAAAGACGTAGAATTAAATGCAATGAAAAACACCCCGAATGCAATCACTGCATCAAGGCAGGATTACAATGCGAATATCCAGCGAATATTATCCAGACCACGCAAAGAGCCCCAAGTTCTCCCAGTCCTCAGGAAATGGTGAATCTGCGTTCGATGCCCGGAATGTTCGTGAGTAGCGGTCCTCAGGCAGTGATATTCAAACTGTGACTGACAGCTACATTCAGACTCTCAAGGATATGCGATTATTCCATCATTTTCTCATCACAGCGTATCCGCACTTACCAGTCGGCGCCGACAAGATCTGGATAACTGTGATTCCAAGCTTTGCGCATAATGTATGTGGGCATGATCCTGATTAGAGGCAATTGACTGATGATTCCAGTATGAATACCTTATCCATTCAATCCTTGCTTTATCTGCATCACATCTCGATGCCGTTTCGAGCGCAAGCGTTGCCGAAGAGGCGATATCACATCGAATCCTAGCGGTGAAGTCTTTGAATGAAGCACTTTCGGTACCGCCAAAGACTAGAAGTGAGCGGGATGCGAGGATGGCGGCAGCATTAGCCCTCGCATTCCAATCAAGCCATCTGCAGGATGGACTGTTCGAGTTCCTGACAATGGTTAGAGGATGCAATCTGATAGCAGGAGACGATGCATTGATGAATGCCGATTCGGCTTTCCATGTAGGTGGTTCTCCTTCTGTCACTTTGGTCAGTGACCAGTCCTTACAATCTATAATTTTATCACCCATTTAACGGGAGGGATGAATACTGACTTAGAAAGGCATTCCGAGAAGATGGACATCTCCAAACAATGAAGAACCGCCTTGCGACATTTCAATTAAATGGGGTGAACCGAGATGATCTTGACTCGGCCGCACTGTCCCTTCGTGCTATTGAACTCCTTAATATGACTGATTGGGAGAAGACTTTCTGGGACATATTAGTCAGAACGGTGGATCACGCTTACGACAGGCCAGTGGAGGCTTATACCACTTTTGTCCTTCTGTACAACGCCCCGTCGAGATGGACACACGATGAGTTTCAGTCCTTCATCGACCCGAATAACACCGTAGCTCAGATATTGCTCGCACATTTCATTGCTATCCAGGCAATTTTAACGCCTATCCTGATACTCGAAAGAGTCGGATTCACAGGAGTCGATGCCCCGACTGCGGTCCTTGGATGGATTGAAGGAATATACAAGAATGTGCCGCTGAATTTAAGATCACATGTCGAATGGTGTAGGCAGGTGTCGAGGTATCCATTCATTAGGTTCCTAGGCCAGAGGCAGATAGAGTACTATGAATAAATTTGTCAGAAATTATGTTCACTCGCTTGAGGATCTTTAGGACGAACGGAAACATACCAGATTAGAAAGTAAGTTGCCAATTCAACTCTTATACTCGCCTCTATTACAGCTCTGACATTAGAAGATAGGAGATGAAAGAAATGATTAGACTTGAAGAGGAGAAATTGACAAGTTAGAAGTTTTTAAATGTATAGTAGCACCGTTGATGATGAATTAACGTTTAACTTCGTGTTTTCAAGGGGGGAGCTGTCTGTTTAGTGTCTTTCAAGCACGAGTACACGATACTCAGTGCCTATCACCATCCCGAACCAACCCTTGTTCCACAAGCTCCATTCTACTCTCTTCGACCTTCCCTTCTAAGCCTCCCGTCCTCCCCAGATACTTTGCCGGATGCACAAAGCAAAATACCGAGATAGCTGGCAACATAGGCAGAGCCTCGAACACATAAAAGATCCACTCATGCGTAAATGGATATCCGTTGATACCCAGCGCGAATTCGATAACCCGATAAATCGATCGCACCAATATCAAGCACGACGAGATCCAGATTGCCTGGAGGACTCTGAACCATCCCCTCGGCGCATCGGGCTTCACTTCTGCATGCGTATGCGACCAGAACCTCATCACGATCGCAAGGAACCACACAAAGGTCGCGACTTGGGTGCTTAGACCTCCGATTAAGACGTTCGTGCCGATCTTGGCTGTGTTGCCCTCCCAAGAGCCGGAAGACGCGATACCAGAGCCCGATGCCTGGATGAGGAAGGATAGGATGTCGCAGCCGACGAAGGTTTTCGTAATGAGATGGGCTGGGATGCCGAAGATGCGGTGGTGGGAGGGATGGAGAACAGCGCGGATGAGGCGGCCGATGAGGAGGTAGTTCCCTGCGGCTACGAAGACGGGGGCAATGATAATAAGGGTCGATGATATTGCGTAGGGAGGCTTTCGGGTTGTTAGGCTTGCCTTCTTAGGGGGAGGGGTTGTAGACGTACGATCGAGCTGACCTGCTTACTCGACACAGCTCTTGCGATATATCCTCCAACTTCGAGTGCCGAACCGATGAGAACACAGAGGAAGAACCATGAGCGGTACTTGATGAAGGTCTGCCATGTGAGGACGAGAGTGGGTATGAGATAGAAGATGGAGACAACGATAGCAAGAGCCGTGCTGCAGGAGAACATCCAAATGGATTCATCTGATGCCATCGTTTCTTGGGTTTTAATTGAGACGACTTTTGGAGATCGAGTGAATAGAGATATCTTAGTAATGAGACTGAGAAGATTGCAGAAGCATATGCAACCTAACTAGAAAACTCGTCTCTCTTTTCCTGGGGCACCTTGATATTTCGAGTTCAAAGAAAACATACATCTCTTATATACTCGCCACTCCTCTCCCCAATCTCCTTCTCCCCCTCTCATCATCTCCCCTTCGCAAACACATCCCCGTAAAGTGCACCAAAGCGCTCCAAAACCTGACACGTTCAAGCCCATCCAAAGGCTCCAAAATCTCCATACATATACCAAAAACTCTCCCAGAACGACCAAACCGAGAAAAGAGCACTCTAAAGCGAAGAACGCGAGGTTGTGCTTTCATGAAACTTGCACCAAGCCGCACTGCTTAATCATGCACCCTTTCATCCAATTCGAGCATCGCGAACCAAGGTGGGATCTGATTGGCTGTTTGAGGTAAATTTCGCATTCCTCGCTTTGGGTTTTTGATGATTATGTCATCACTCTACAAAGAAGGTTACGTCATCCACCATCCACCCAGAGCAACATGTTGAGAGCCAAGTGTTTGCTCAGGTGAGGCTGAATGTAGGTTCGCAAGGTTGACTTCTTTCGGTGTCATCCGAAATCTTCAGATCTTGAGGGGGGGCCGTGGAAGGTAGCAGTGGAGAAGGCAAAAGTGAAGCAACATCACTGTCACAGCTGTAATGCCAAGCAGGTTTACCCGAGCGTGGCGCGAACTTCCGAAAACAGGTCTTCACCGGACGGGAATGGTGCACAGAATTGTGACGGCCCGCGGACAAGGCAGATAATGGAACATGTAATGGGCTTCTCCGCTACGGGGGTTATCTGTGTTCTGTAGGTACTGGTTGTCGATGTCGGTCTTGTGCTAAGAATAGTTGTGAAGCTGTCAAAATTCCATTTGCCTGAAGCTCCTACCTGGACAACTTGGTCTTCCAAGGCTCTTAACAATTACGCTCGATATGGAGTACAACGTCAACGAGGCTGGAAGGAATTCTATTGCCCTTGCTGAATCAATAAGGGTCTCAACACTTCGTTCACCAAGCTCACCTCAAATCTCACACCTTGCCTCACAGTCTGCCTTGCCATAGGGACCAGAGAAAGCTGTCACACAGACCGAAGTGTCACGCGAAGGACAAGGACAACCTATTCGGAATGATCTACTTAGTGGCCCTTTCGGCGCAACCGTTTGGTCTAGAGAAAAGAGGGTGGAGAAGTTGGAAACAGGCGTTCCCTCCACCACTTGTATTAAAGATTAATATGCAACACTTTTGAGCAACTCAACATAACCCTATGCGAGAACCATTTTCCCATTGAAAACTCACAGCAAGAGCCTCTAGTCGTACCAGCATCAGTAATTTGTGCGTGAAACATCAATACAAGGCACCTACAATGCTTTCCCATAGTCAACATAAAGTCATGCCTCGCAACCAAGGAAACCGGGTCGGAAGACCCCGAGCCCGTGTGACTCTAGCTGTCACCAATTCCGTCCTCTTTGATAAAAACGCCGTCAAGTCTTGCCTGTGGTGCTGCACTAGCCGTGGCAAAGTTCGTATATAATATTTTGAACGCCTTATCCATGCAGAAATTTTAAGTATTGCATCCTTCATCGTGTCGTTATCTTCGCAATAGTGCAGGACTCTTGAGTGCCAGCGCAAAGAGTAGAATCAATGACTGTCCGTTAAGCGCGCGGCCTGACTACACCCAATGCCGGCACTGGGGATGGTGGTGGGTCTGATTCCGCACTCGGTAGAATCCAGTTGTAACGGCGAGCCATCCAAAGGACAGTACGTTCGTCGAATATCTCCATGAAGCATTCATCAAGAATGCGGGCCTTCGGGTCCGCATAGGTGTGGTACTCGTCGAACACATTATGGAGCTCTTCGCCTTGAAAATTATTAGTGGATGATCTCAAAGATGCCTTGCGACGAGTCGCATCGACTGACCCAGGACCCTCCTGAAACATCCGACGACGCAACCTGTGCGATGCTGCATGAAACTTAGAACACTGCAACTGCCGAGCGGATGTTCTCCGAAAACGTGTTGCGGCTCACCTTGCCCTTATTGCAATGGATCAGAATCGGATGATTTGAGCGATCTAAGACGATACCCAAAGCCTTCGACATCTGACAAGTCGGAATGCTGATCTCTCCCTTGTTCGCGGGGATGTGCACTTGAAAGTGCTGGATGCCATTCTCTAACATGAAGTTGAGATTGTCGGTAGGAATCGGCTCCGGGACAAGCGTCCTAAAGAGAAGTGAGCAGTTTTTCTAGCGGGGAGGGGAACTAAGATGTGAGCCATACAGGACAGTCTTTAACTTGAGAGTTTTCAAGAACTCCAAATTTTCTGGCTGAGGATAACTGCTACGGAAGATGCTTCCGGGGACCACAGCGCCAAAGTTGGCTGGGGGAAGCAGCGGGCGTAGTCGGTCGGGGCACTTGCTGGCAAAGTTTCGGATCGGGACTGGAGCTGAAAGGCCTTCGACCTTGGGGATTGCGACCCCTTTATCTATAATTCTTGATTAGCTAGCCTGGATTGAGATTATAGATTAGAAAATGAAGTGGTAGTTGCGTAGAACAGAAGTAGATCTACGCTTGAGATTTGTACGTGGTAGAATGAGGAATTGCATAGCAAACGCGAATTACAAAAAAAATGGAGCAAACCTTCAGGTACTTTGACAACATCAGATGGAACATCTTCATGCTCTTTCTGGGCGGCATGCTGCGAAAAGACAGCGCCAGAGGACAGCCCGAGAACACGGATGATGGTATTGACGCTCTCAGCCAGAATATTTCCCCGAGGTTGTGGATTGCTCTCAGCAGGCTCAGGAAAGCCGTCTGTCCTGGACATTTTAGAAGCGACAACGGCTCGAGGGGCTTGACTGTCGAGGGTATTCGATGGCCTCTCTGAGAACCCGTAGCCCCTAGTCTTGATGGAGGTTCCAGTGCCGAAGCTTATGTCTGACGAGGACAAAATAGTCGCAAGCGTGTGTCTTTCCCCGAGAGGTCAACGGCTGGATTGCGAGCTTCGGCTGCGGAAGGAAGCGTAAGGATGGGTATAGCGATGAAGGCCGGCTTGTACGGGAAGTGGTGGAGAGGCGCGAAGTGGGTGAGAAGGCTGAGGGTGAGCCGATAGGCGGAGCAGAGCCTGGTTCTCAAGTCAGGAGGCAGAAGACATAAGATTTGCATTGTGACTTAAAATCATGTACGAGCCGGGGAAACCAAAAACCACTGAGCGACGGGCCGTCGCTGAAAAAAGAACATGGAAAGCTTACTTCGCGGTCACCGCTTGCTTAAAGCACGCATTGCGAGAAGATGCGGGTTTGGGTTTTGGTGAGATTCATGCTGGACAAGGATAGAGGGTGCGCGAGGGTCGTCAGAGAGGCAGAAACGACGCGTGTGGTGAAAGTCGCACCGTGAGCTGGAAGCTTGACATGTATTAGTGGAAGCGAGGGTCTTGGTCGGGAACGGTTACGTGAGGCTCAGAGGATGTGACTAGGAAAGACTTGCTGGTCGCAATGTTCGCATACGTGGGGTGGTTGATTAGTGGATTGTGGGAGACAGTCCGCAAGAGTGAAGGCCCCCGAAGCATTTTTCCGTGCCGGCTTCGCGTCCCTGCAGCACAGATTCAGGGTCGACTACGTCACAACATCGCTCCTTTATTGGCTATTGTGCAGAGCTGCCGCATGGATTCGTGTGGCAACGCGAGATTCCGCCTTCGAATGTGCACAAGACACACCACCTTGGTCCTACCCTTTTTCTTCGAAAATAAATATCCCTTGAAAATGAAAAGTGCGAAGCCACAGCAATGCCGCGGCATCACCCCATTATTTCGGTGAGAGCGGTCGAGGCGGACCCCTCCGTCGATTCACGTGAAAACCGTTTTCAACGATCTTCGGCTAATGCTGGATCTGGATTAGCGAGCCTTGGCTAGAATGTCCATGCACACCATCATCTGAAAGTTTAGGCCGAGGGACGTTCACTTCGTCACCTCACCGTGTGAATTCTTACACCCTTCTCTTCTACTCCCCTCCCACCAAAAGACAGGAGCAAGGTTCTCGGCGACAGTGCAATGGATCCTCCACCCTCTTCATCTCGCCCCTCTCGTCGGTCCTATCCAAACCTGCACAATCTCTCCCTCGCCCCGCTCAGCACCAAATCCCTCGACGCCTCCTCGCCGCCTTCACCATCCGAAGTGCAGGCCACCATCCCGCACACCTCCTACATCCAGCTCAAGTCCGCTCCCTCCACGCCTGGTATTCTTAGTCTCAGCCAAAGCCGCAGCAACTCCCGCAATGGCCGTCGCCGCTCCCGTGGCGATGCCTACGCCTACGACGGCTACTTCGTCAACCCAGACGCGCCTGTCCGCCACCCAGGGGATATACCGAAGGCGAAGAGCACCAATGCTCTACTTCCTAGTGTGAGCTTTGTAGACCAGCAACCGCATGCTAGACATCATAGGCGAAAGGGCACGTCGCCGACGCCATTGCGTATGCCGCTCGTTCGACACCATACCAGTGAGGCCAGTGAGGAATGGCTTCATCGTGCGGGCTTGGTGATTGCAGACGAGATGAGAGAGTCGAAGGGACAGAGTTGGCTTGTCCGAAGAGAGAGCTCGACAAGTCTCGTGCAACAAAGCGACGAGTACGAAGTGCATCCGTCCCATGATGGACACCACATGGCATTACTATCGGGCGAGCACTTGGCGGACGATGAGTACAGCCCTATTACACCTCGTCATTCCAGGGTGGGCAGTCGGATAGGCAGTCGAATGGGTAGCAGGGTAGCCAGCGCTAGAAATAGTAGGAGAGGTTCGAGGGTGGGAAGCCGGGTTGATTTGATCATGTCCACTAGCAAATCTCCTAACCCAAGGGGTAGCCTTGAGATGGACGAAGGCATGCTCACCGATGAGGCCTTCATTGAACCTGATTTCGTAGATGATGGGGAAAGTGATGGCGATGAGGAAGAAATTGCCAGGCTAGCGAGAGAGAGGGGATTTGGCCTCGGAGGGTGGATGGACAGGTTAATCGGTTGGACGCTTTTTAGCGTCGATGAAGACGGCGAGGACTCTAGCGATGAGGAACACGACGAAGACGATCCCGAAAACCCAGAGAATATGACCAGAGAGGAACGCAAGTTGCGGAAAGAGGTCGAAGCTAGGAGGAAGAAGTTGGAGCGGGAAGCTATTATTGCAGCTTCGGCTGCAAAGACTCAAGAAACGAAAGAGTCGACTGAGGCTAAAGTGGAGGGAGAGGTTGTAAATGCACAAGCGCTTAACGAAGAGGGCGGAGGATGGCAGGATGCAGCATGGTTGTTGAGTGTTGCCTCAAAGGTCATATTATGAACATGAAGCATTGACCATTCGGTTTATGATTAGCATTTGCTTAATCGTAGAAATGGAGCTAGTCTTGCAAACTTTGTATTTGAACATTTGAGGCGGAAGGTGCCAGAGGCGGCGATTCACTCACGGCTTTTGTGCTGGTTTCCGACGGCACGGAGAATAAATCTAGACTTAAAAGCTAATATTGCCTGAGGTCATTCAGAGTGAAGACTTGGCTCGACGGCTGATAATCTCCTACCGATATGGAGGCAGCAATCCCTTCACCCCATTTGCTCGACCTCATCACCCGTCCAAGCACCAAACAATAACATCGCCTTTCCTTCTCGAATCATCATGAAAATGCGTGTTGAATCCTCTCCAGCATTCCTTGTACCTCGTCTCCGCTAAAACCTCCTTCAAAATCGGCTCCAACTGCTCAAAGAAAACCAAATTCTGTGGCCAAGCTCTCTTCCCCTCCTGCTTCAATGCAGGATCCAACACTGCCCAATGTCTCCCAGTTCTCGACCCACTGCTACTGATGCTCTGCAAATCCTTCATGTGTTCATCTAACCACTTAGCCGGACCCGGTTTGATGTAGAACTGATCTGCCTCATCGAGATATTGGGCTCTCTGACTCAAGGGGATATCGAGTGGGGGTTCGCACGACAAGGCCCACGCGTCGATGCGGGGATGGACAAGGTGGCTTCGCCACGGCGTGCTGTGACAGGGCATGAGAAAGCCCACAGTTGTGGCTGTATTCCTAGCATCATCGCGCGCTTCATGTTTATATCGAAGGTAAGACAGGACGTCAATTACCCCGCGTTGATGTACTTGAGACGTATACCCGGCAATGAGCACGTTAATGAGTAAGGCTAATGTGAGGATCGCCTGGCGGGATGGTGTGAGAGGCGAGAAGAAAGAGCACAGCGGCCGCGCGGATAGAATGTGAAGGAAAGGGAGAACAGGGTACAGAAAGCGGACTTCCTTGTGGGAAATCATGCTCAGAGACAAGGTCATGGTGATGACCATCCATGCAAGGCGTCCTGGGATCCTGCAGGGAACGGCGTCCTTAATTGGCGATTTTAACGCTCGCGTGGATTGCCCTCGCAGTGCTTGCCAAAATCCTACGATAGCAAAGGGTAGCGCGGTAGTTAATAGAAGGGGTAGCCCTTCAGTCAGATAGTAGTCCGCGCGATTCCTGCCATAGAATACGGCGAGTGATTGGGCAATGTTGAAATAGAGGAACCGGAGTGGTGGGAGGGTCCAGACCTGGTAGTAAAGTTTATCGGAGAGAAGTGAGCACACGAACACAGCAGATCTGACAGAGTTAGTCTGCGGCGATTGGTTGTTGCAGAAAACCTCTTGCCTACGGCTGCCTAGAACACACTTACCCGCAAAATAAAATTTCGCGGACCAATTTGTACCGCTCTCGAGTTGAGGTTTGCCATAGTGTGGGAAGAGTTACGGTTAACCAGATGAGAAGATTGGTTGGTCTTAGAATGCAAGCGAAAGCTGCCAGGAGCAGTGACAGACGCAGCCTACAGGGAAAAACCGACCGAGATCAGTCAAGTCGCTGGGAAGGAGGAATAATTTTCCATGTTCACAACTTACCGGGACGATAGACCGAGGCGGTACTTTCCCGCAATCTGCTTGTCCTGATCCTGAAATTCCCTATCTCTTGCGGCCGAGGACGCAGACTTGGGTGGATCAGGCCAGTGCCAAGGCCAATAATAGACGGCAATCGAGGTGAGGGTCGTTTCAAGGCAATTGGACAATGTCCGGGTTGAGCAGAACCACTGCCACGGACTGCAAATGGACAACGCAAGCTATAATGACGCAAACTCAAATGTTAGATATTGAGGCAGACTATGCGAAGTAGTAGGAAGGGAATAGCGGCACGGATACCTACAGCGGTGAATGCAGTGCGACTTCCTCTGCCGTATACGGCTTCTGCGAGCTTCCACGTGTAAAAGTCAAGCAGCGCTGCAAATAGAGCTTGCGCAACCTTTGGTGCAGCAATGAAAAACTCGGCCTCAATGAGCAGACCGAAGCCACAGAGATGTGTCAGTTTTGCCGCCACCTGATAAACACCCGCAAATAGTGCTGGATGCAGCGATGTCCGCAATTGGGTTCTCCACTCCTGCAGATATCATGAGACTTGAGCCGAGGATTGAGGACGCGAAATAAAGGGATAGACGATACGTGCAGGAGGGAAAAATGTACCCATGTAATCCAGGCCTTACTGTCCTGACCAAAGGCAAGCTGCCATGCTGGCTCAAGGGATTGGAAGTACTCATCGGGCTGGAAGAAGGTGCGTAGCGTCAAAGCGTTCGCGATGCGGAGCCCAAGGAGGAGCACGAAGACACCCAGCGCGGACTCACGATAGTTGTCGGTGGATGAGGATCGGTGGAGCGAGCCAGCACGACGTGCAATCGTGGCTTTCGCAGAGTCGCTGGGCGAGCGGGGAGGCATTGAGCAATCAGAGTGAGGCGGCTACGGATAAGCACGAGACAGCAGCGGGCGAGGATTAGAAAAGGCAAGGCCGAATTGATGCAGGTAGTTTGTAACGATGCGAAGGAAAGAGACCGCTGGCTGGAACGCTGTGGCCACAAACACACGGACGTTGTGGATGCACGACAGCAGCAAGGTTTGCTGCACAGCGCCGCTTTGGAGGTGAATCTCGGCAGTCTGACCAGCCATAACGCGTCGCCAGGCACGGACACGGGAGTAAAAATACAAGCTATTCCGGAAAGAGTATTCCACGAGAATTGCAGGTGGTGTTGAGGGTCCGTGTGGTGCAGTCTCATTATTCGCGGCAGGACCCCGGTAGCAGACTGGGCACACGTCTCCCAGTGGCAAGTGCTGCTGAGCGAGCCGTTTCAACTATCGAAGAGCTTCAGTCGGGTCTGTCGGCGTGATATTGCGGGGCGTGAGTCGTGGTGGTGTTGTGTTTTTTGGGACCGGCGTAGAGTGTGATTTCCAGCCATCGACCAGGTGCTGGCCATTCGCGGGTGACATGACGATAGCAGCACGGCCAACGCCAATGATCACGGCAGCTGGTCGGCACAGTCGGGCTGGGCACAGGTTGGTGCAAAGGACTTCGCCGTGCCCTCTGCCTGCGGGAGCGAATAAGCAAAGAAAGCCAGCGAAAGGCGAAAATCTGGGGAAGTGCGGCTGGACTGCTGGCTGGGGCAGGGAGGACAATGTCGATGTCCGGCGAGGGGCCGGCCGAGCAAGGAACGTTCACTCTGGGAACCGTCGCGCTGGGTTTGAAAGCACTGAGCACTCTTCTTATCCAGCGCTGTCCGCGGCTGCTAGAATTATTTATCTGCTACTGCTGCTCCGTCCACTTCAAGCTCCCATCAGGCCAGATGAGACAAGACGAGGCAGTGGAGCCGCCGTACGAGAGTGCTCTTATCGAGTGGACGATGGTGGCCCCGCCGCGAGCCCACCGCCTGCAGAGGCTGTACTGTGAGCGCAGTGTGCACACTCTGTCAGATGCAGTCCTCAGACGCTTGCCCGCGGGAGTAAACGTGAGCGGGAGTGTGTCTCCAGCGAAGAGTTGGGTTTGGCTGGCGTTCTGCTGCTCTCGATGCCACGCAGCTTGGCTCAAGTTGTTGAGCTCGTTGACCAGCCCTGCCGCTCTGCTGGGCCGCCTCTCGGGGTCAAGGCCTGCACGCGCCAGCGAATGAAGAGGGCTGGTATCCGCACCAACACGGCCGTGCGTTGCAGGCTGCACTGCTTCTGGTCTAGATGATGTTCGTGATACTCATGCGAGAGAGTGGCGTGTGCCTTCGCTCGCCTGTTCGCTGCAGCAATCATGGCTGCTGGCGAGGGCAGATCCCCAAAAGAAAGATGCCAAATTAGACGCTCCCATCGCCCTCAACAGCACCGGTCCGCGCTGCCTGTGGGCGTTGAGCGGAATTTTCTGCATCCTGCTCCTGCTCCTGCTCCTGCTGCTGCTGCTGCTGCTTCTGCTGCTGCTGCTGCTCCCTGTTCCCTTCTTTGCTGTATCGTGCTCAGTTCGCCCGGGCAGTACCTAGCTGCTGGTGCAAGCCAGCCCGACCATCGTCGCTGCGTGCTTAGCCGTCTTCGCCCGCCCACGTCGTCAAATCGTCATAAACCCCCCTCGCCTACAATTGACAGGTAAGAATAAGTTTTGTCTATCGTTGCCGCTCGCGGTAAGGAGCTGACCTTGTCCGCCTGTTAGTGAAGTCTTGTCGGCGCTGTCGTCGATGCGCCGATCTGTCTCATCAACCTCCGTTATCAGCCGTTGACCCAAAGGCTCCACACCACCATCGTCCTCACAAGACACTCTGCACACACCCACATATACACACACACTCACTCCCCAGCGCCTGGCGTGCCACACTTCCCTCGCCACCGCCCTGGACGCAGCTTTCAGCCAGCTGGAGCATCGCCGCTGTTCTGCCATCCCATCTGGAGTGCCCGCGTCGGGCAGGATGATACGGCCACCGCAAGAGCTCCTCCCACATCTCACCGGCGGTGACATGGTTGCACCACGCGAGTGAACTTTTGCGGCGACGTTGGTGCGAGAGCGTGCCTGACGACATCGAATGAACGCCAACTTGCAGGACGCTGAGCCCATGGTGACAATGGGCGACCCCATTGCGGACCTGACACCGGGCGTGGACCCGAGCGTGGAACATCTAGGACGAAACTCTCCAGCATCGGCCGTATGCTACATGGGCATGGACATAGACATGCACGAGACGAGCCTTCATAGCGGTCGCGAGAGCCCGAAACTGAGTATGGCCGCTAGCGAGCTAAGTCTCACTGAAAGGGACTATGTCGAAGCCGTAGGCCTAGCAACGCAGACTGGAGAGGAATCAGACTGCACTCCTCGCTCTGAGGTGCCCTCGATTTCAGATGCCTCCACGGCAGACCCACAGCAACAACTCAACGTGGCCATCGAAACAGGCTTCTTCTCTCCACAACCCCTCCGCGTCTACTCCAGGAAACTTCCTACGTCAACCTCGGCTTCCATGGACAGTTCACCAACGTCGAGTGTGAATGCCTCGAGCACATCTGTCTATGCCACATGCCATAATCCCCCTGACCTTCCCACAACCCTCGCAGACCCTCAGGATCGCCCAAGCGTCCAAAGAGACCTGTCAAGCACGTCAACCGTAAGCGTAGCCACGGTTCGTGCACACTCGGTAGATCCAGTTCAAAATTTCAGCCCACCCACGAAGCAGTATAGGGATGGGCCACACTACCCCAACCAGTCGTATGCTGCTCTTCAATCACAACACTACCCGCCTCCGTACTCTGCACTTCCATACGTCTTACGCACGCGGAGTTCTCATCCATCCCACTACTCATCTCACTCTGTGGCACAGATATCCACGTTTGGCCTTTCGCATGAGCAGTCTCGCGATATCATGGACTCCGGCTCTAGAACAGTCGGTAACTCTCCTGCCAGTAGCCCCGGCCTCTTCATCCCGACAACCCCTCCCCTCCGTACCCCACAATCAGATGAACACGGCCACTCCTCAAGCCCCTACTTACAGCATGGCTACTACTCGAGCCCCTACCTACACCACACGCATCGACAAGCGCCGAAGGAGACCCATGTGGCTGATGTTGACGTTGACCCTGTCTCTGGGCGAAAAATCATCAATCAGTACGAAGTTATCGACGAGCTTGGTCGTGGCGTACATGGCAAAGTGAAGCTTGGGAGGAATCTTGAGACAGGGGTGTTCGTGGCGATTAAGATCGTCGACAGATATTCCAAACGTCGGCGATTGGGCAAGAATGGAAGTCACGAAGACAAGATCAAGCGGGAGATTGCTATCTTAAAGAAGGCCCGACATCCGAACATTGTAAGCTTGCTAGAAGTCATTGATGACCCAAGCAGGAAAAAGGTTTACATTGTGCTGGAGCATGTCGAGTTGGGTGAGGTGAAATGGCGGACGGAGGCCGCAAAAGAGATAGCTCTAGTTGAATGGCGTCGATATCAACGCGAGTCTGAAGGTATCTTTGATAATGATAACGCCGCCATGGAAGACGAGCGAATAATTACCCGAGCGCATCAAAGTATCGCACGACGGCAACGACGACGAGCAAAGGAGATGCAAAATCGCCAGCTTGACGTCAACGAAAACGGGGCTTGGAGCTTCGAGTTTGGAGGTGATTCCGAAGACGAAGTGTCCGAGAGCGGTCGGGATTCTCGAGCATCAACGGGCTCTGAAGATAGGCCTCCGAGTCGGCTCCAATGGGACGAGCGTCACCAGGAGAGTAACCATCGTGATACCAACATGGAGACCGCAATCCGGTCCACTACTCCAACTGCCGGAACACGACAAGAAGACTCCAACATTGCCACAACAGGATTGGAAGGAACCATGTACGGCCCATACGACACTGAATTAATTAGAGGTCGCACACCTAGCCTGGCTGGAAGTAGCTCATCTCACTTCACCGAACCGGAAGATGTTGATGTCCCTGAGCACTTTCGCTACGTCCCGCTCATGACCATCCAAGCTGCACGTGAGACGTTCAGGGATACGGTGTTGGGCCTTGAGTATCTTCATTACCAAGGTGTCATCCATCGCGATATCAAGCCCGCCAATCTCCTTCAGACGAAAGAGCATCGAATCAAGATCTCCGATTTTGGTGTCTCATATCTTGGACGGCAATCCCACGAAGACGGCGCTGGAGATCAGTCCGAGTCTGACGTCCAAGATGCCGATGAAGCCATCGAGCTCGCAAAGACTGTTGGGACTCCTGCATTCTACGCGCCTGAACTGTGTCGTACGGATCTTGATGCCGATACTCCTCCAGTGACTGGTAAGATCGACATCTTTGCTCTTGGCGTTACTCTGTACTGCCTCATCTACGGGCGTGTACCTTTCCACGACAATAATACGTTCGTTCTCATGAGAGTTATCACAGACACGGAAGCCTATATTCCCCGCTATCGACTCAAGGCAGTGGCGGAAAAATCCGGGTCCAGACCGAATTCACACGGACGAATGTATCACTCAATGACAAGCAGCAAAAGAGCACCACACGACCTTGACTATGAGGAGGTCGATGAGAACTTGCGTGATCTGTTGAATAAACTCCTCATCAAAGACCCGCGGAAGCGCATCTCCATCAAAGAAATTAAACGCCATCCCTGGCTTCTCCAGGGTATTGACAATTTCAACTCTTGGGTGGAGGAAACCGATCCTGGCAAATCTTCGCAAGGACGGAGGATTGAAGTCTCAAAGGACGAACTCGACAAGGCTGTTGTCCCCATCACGCTCATCGACCGGGTTCGGTCTGGCGTTCGCAAGACTTTGGACACAGTCTTACGAATGGGCACTCGTGGAGGGTCAAGGAGGCGTGCTCAAAGTACAGCAACAAATCCAGAACAGGCATCGATCTCCGCACACTCGTCTAGCAGCACCATTAGCCAAGAAAGCCGTCGACCCAGCCTGGCTGCGGTGAACCAATCCATCTTCGACGCGCTGAGACTTTCACGAGAACCCGAACACCCGTTATCTCAAAGCGTTACTGCAAGCCCAGAGGCATCTGAACGAGCCAATTTCTTCGAAGGGCCGAGTTCCCGGACAGCATCTCCAGCCCACAGTGTTGAGAGCAATGAATTACTTGGGCCATTGACAGGGCGTTCCAGACCCCATCCATCTGAGCGTTCCTACTCTACCAATTCTTCAACTGCATCGGTGAGAACAATCCGGCCATCTGATCCGTCACGGATAGGAACCTCTGTCTCTCCCCATATTCCTTCAGCGCTTCCAGGGACCCCGACCGCCCTAGACACTCCAGGTGGTTCGAACTTAGGTGGTATCTTCGGTGGAGTACCCCGCCGTTTAGTGAACAGTGTGAGGAGCCGAGAGCGGATGCTGAAGCCTCCAAGAGACCACTTGAGAGCCAAATCCATTGATAGGCTTGTTGGCACAGACGATGACCCGCATAGCGGACCAAGCATCGCTTTGAGCAACGCCTTTGCTGCCGGTCATGTTGATCAACCAGACATACTCAAAGATATCTCTCCCACTATTGGCCCTTCCGGCGGCTCTGATCAGCACTTTCCCAGGTCTACTGGCCGAGGATCGTCACGGCAGTCGTCCGTTTCCTCAGTCTCATCTCATCCTCCTGCAACTTGTGCCGTTCACGAAACCGAAGTCCGTCCTATGGGGGATATCAATATGCATACTCTATCAACTCTCCAACGCGGCACTTCTGATGACACGTTTAGTCGTGCCAAGGACGAATTCAGAAGACGGCGAGTAGTGGAGGAGAACCAAGGGCGCGAGCGACCCCACTCCATGAACTTCCAGCGACCTATTTCGGCAATGAGTCAGACGGACTGCCCCCCTAGCCCTGATGATGAGATCTTCCATCGCCAGAATTTGGACCAATTCTTCAATGGGCAGCCTCCGAGCCATTACCATTCCATTGACATGAGCCCGGCCAGCTATCCCGTCAGCGCCAATTCACCACAGTCAACAGGTTTGACCCCCAGCTCATCAGAGGACCAATTCACCTCCATGTCCCAATCAACTTCTAATCCCTCTATTCCTTCGGTCATGTCGGCAGATTCTTCAGTAACGGCTGACGATTGTCCTCAAATAAATCCACTTCACGAATTTTCAACCAGTGCAAGTAACACCATGGATTATTTCGAGATGCCACATGACGACTTGACTGGTTACGATGGAGATGACGCTTTGGAGAGTGAAGAAGACGATGAGGATTCAGAGGAAGAAGACTTTATTGTAATGACGAAGAGGAAAAGCAACACACAGGGTCTTACGAGGAGTGGTTCCATCTCGAATGCCCAGCTCGCGAGGCAGAGTGTTCGAAAGGAAGTCATTGCGAGCCGCCGACGGTCTGAACGCAGCGGAAGCAACGGGACGGTGAAGAAGATACGGTCGGATGGAGATTCAGATCACGAAGAGCACCATGGAACCTTCTCCGAAACGCTTTGAGTACTTTCATCCATAACAGATCGTTTCCCTCGGATCTAGTCATAATTGTCCATGACTTGTACGATACTTATATTGGAGTCTCGATTTTCCCTCTGCGCTTTTCCGCTGCAGCATTTGTTCCCCACCGTTTCCTTGGAAAATGGGCAGCACGTACACATATACCCCCTTCGCTGGCGATTCCTCAATTCGTTTGCACTGGTTTATCGTCAGTTCTTATGTACAAACATTCAGTCACACCATTTCGGCGTTGGCGTCAAGTCGAGGAATTTATATATCCCCGGGACGCGCGCACGAAAATCTGGTCTAGCATGAAACGGTTCTCTTTCTTTCGACTTGTTTTCAAATTAGGGATACAAAAGGTGGCGTACATGACAAGCTTGTCCTCTCTTCTTGCATGGCATAGGATTTACTAATGGAGTTTGTATACCTTTGGGGGGAAACAGGTCCGGATGGCATGATAGACTTTTCCTGCTACTTTTCCGGCAACTCTACTCTCTGATACTAGGGATTCTGGTGTAGGCAATGATGATGGATGATGATGGATGACTTTGATAGGTACTTCTCTATTTCACCACGAGGTGTTGACTGTCTTCCATCCTAGCTACACGCGAGCACTAGGCAGGAAGCGATCTTTGCAGAATACGGAGGTCGCTTTGATAACGAACGAGTCTAATGAATAGAGTGGAAGCTGAACAAGCGAGTTGCTTGACAGTATGGGCGAATACTATGTCACACAACTGTCCTAATTTCGGTGACGATTGTGATGTGATGTGATCACATCAGGTTGCTACCCTTTCTCGGTATTTCTTGCATACATCCTTGTGGGGATCGCTCCTTTTGTATCACAATCTTCGCCTTGCCACAACAATCGTATAGCTCCTCATGTTCGTATACCGAAAAGGAGCTAGCAGACGTTGATTCCCCCGACTTTTATTAATCCCTTAATTTTCCCGTTTCTCGAACGTAATCGAGGCAATCCATTGCCGATCCTATTCACACTGAGTCTGAACACCGTCGGACTTCGGCTTGATCCCTTAGATAATGGCTAAATTATTGCTAATGCTGCGGGATCTGCTTGGTGTGGAGGGTAATCTGATCGTGTGCAAAATGGGGAACTTATCGTTCAACATGACTATTAGTGACGCATCTTAGTGTAGATTGTCATTCATTAGCCTATCTAGATTATAGATTGAAGGTGAGGCCAGCGACTCGAGAGGCGCTGTGAATATCACGTCATGCATATTTGGGATGCGAGGGCTAGCGATTATGCAGAGTGCTCGCGAGGTTAATAGCGATGCTTCATTCGACTAGTTACAGTTATCGGTGTATTGGTCGATAGGTTGGAGCTGTTTGCTGATAATTTGAGAAGAGGTTGGGATAGTTCTCGACGAGGTATTCCAAATATTGCGAGGTTTGTGTTTGACCGGTGGGATGGGAATTGCTTAGTTCCTGTGGTTGGTCGATGGAGAGTTGAGGGGTCTGCTAGGGCACCAACGGAAAGCGAATTAGGCATGACGATCGGGTAGGATTAAATCCCATGGGCGGACAGAAGAGGCTCACCTGCTCCCACATACTTAGTGGTAGAGAGCTTCAATGGCGATTGGGAAGGGATACACTCGGGGGTCTTCTCCGCAAAAGCACAGCTCTTTCTCATACCTTCTACTAGAAATTGGATTTGGAGCCTCAGCCGATGAAACACGCTCCCTTGAGATGAGTGGGAAATGGAGCTCAAAAACGCCCCCTATTGTCGCAAGCGAAAGAGATGTGATAATTAGGTGTTGCTACCTTCAGTGTTCTGGAAGAAAGATGGCTCCTGATGTCCCTACGCCTAGCCACATTTTCTTGAAATATCTATGCACACGATCAAGGCACTATTGAGCCTCCTCTAATGGAGATATTTTTAGAAATTGGGGAGACTTTGGTTTGCACAGTCCACCCACTCAAAGGAACTTCTTTAAGGTTCTTCCGATATCGACGGTCTCCGTGAAGGGTATAAACCCCTGGAGTCAAACATCGCTCCTTCATTCTTGCTCTGGAAGCTGGAAGCTCCGTTTCTGGGTCCATCGTATAGTGTCTTTTGGTGAGAGTATATATCGCTTTTACCTCGTCCCAACGGCTATCTCTATTGTAGTATTTTTATATACACATTTCCCAGGAGCTATTCAGATAACAAAGATACTATCAAACGCCATATGTCGCCCGTCCAACATACGTTTTCACACTAGGTTTAGGTGAGTCATCCTCAGCGAGCAATTAGGAAATCTTTGAAAGACGCTCGACATGTAGGTGGGGAAGAGGTGGAATGTGAACTCTCTGGTTTTCTTCCTCGTCCGGAGAAGAAATACAAGTGATGAGGCGGTAATCCATAATTTAGAACGGTGACGTATTGTAGGAGTGGTGGCATGGAGGCTTTGAGACGGGTGACCTATCCTGACCGTTCTTCAAATTGAAGTCAGTCATCACCATCCCTCTGGCATGGGCTCTGCAAGATTGGATACAAAACCTGAAATTTTACTCAGCAGTATGTCCTACTGCATACTGGTGTATAGCATAAAGTGCTGAATAAAGGTAAGCCACTGGCGTACTGTTGATACTGAGCGAGACAAAAGGGTCTAGCCTTCTGTCCTTGACAGAACCAAAGCATGGTTCGATGTGCAGAAAACCATTTCCCAAGGCTCTCAGAGCCTCCTTTTCGACACATGCACAAACAAAGTTTCGGCTTTGTTCCTCCACATCCCGGCATGGGTCATCATTCAGTGGCGTCGATCTTGGCCTTCAGCAGCGACCTCCACCCCTCACCTGAAGCCCATCGCGGAGAATTTGCAAGCCACGATACTAGACCACTTGCTAAAGATGGCGCTAAGCAAAACGAAAAGCCCTATTCTTCACTTCCTCACCGCCTGAAAGGCTTATCCACACAAACACCTCAAATCTCACGCCCGTCCTGACGTCGAAACAAACTTCCACCTTGGCATCCTCCTTCCGCTAATGCATCACGGCGAAGAGTAGAAGCATCTTGACAATGGAAGAGATTTGGTTGGAAGATGGTCGAAACGTGATATGCAATCACGGCCTGCCTTTCCGAACGGGGAAATCTCGGTGAAGAGCCGCGTCACTCGTATTCCCCTATCTGCACAGCACGTCCGCGGACGCGTAACAACTTCAACTCAAGCACCCACTTGCTCACGAAGATATCCTGGGTCGGCCCGGGGCATCTGTTTGAGGTTATTTTGGCTGATCTTTGCAAAGCCTGGGTGATGATTGGAACATAAGAGGTTCTGCAGCTCCGCTTACTAGGTTTGAAACGAAACGGTGCTAACCCTGGACTCTGGGGCATACAGGCCAGGGCATTTTGTTGAATAGTAGAGGGAGAATTGATTAATGCGTGGACCTGCCAAGAAGTGCACTTCGGTGGAGAGAACGGTTTGGGATGGCAAGTTACGTTGACGGGTGACGAAGAAAGGGTGCTTTCCGGGGTTTGGGAGCGCTGTTGATGGCTGGAGGGGAAGTGTGATTGATATATAAGATCTGGATGGAAAGTTAGATTGAAGCACCACCAACCGCATTCAATCACTGATTCTCGAGTCTTGCATTCCGCTACTCTTCTTCTCGACTCATCTTTCTGATATTCTTTCAATCTCACAATCTTCATTTCCTGCATCATGAAATCTGCTGTTGTCTCTGCGCTCATCGGAGCTGCCATTCTTTCCCAGCAAGTTTTGGCACACCCGGGCCATAATCATGCAAAGGAAAATGAGCAGCGAAGTGCCTATTTGAACAACCCGAACACCAAGCGGTCCCTCGCTCACTGCGCGGAGAAGCTGAAAGCCAGGGGAAATGACATCGCTATGGCTGCTAGGCGATCGGCTATAGCCCAGAATCTGCGAAAGAAGAGGTCCATCAGCACCGGTACGCAAGTCGACAACTCGTTCAAGGTCCATAACTAACCATCTGTTATAGAGAAATCGTACCTCCGTGCGCGTGATTTCGATGAGGTCCTTGCCACCGACCACCACAGCAACATGACCGGCATTACTGCTGACACCGATCCATCTGTTCTGTTTTCGGGCAACAGTTCTTGCATCCTTAGCCCCGAGACCACCCAAGGGCCGTACTGGGTTTCTGGAGAATTAGTCCGCGAGGATATCACCGAGGATCAGGAGGGTGTTCCACTTACTCTCGATATTCAAATAATCGACACCAACACGTGCGAGCCTGTTCCCCAATCTATGCTTGAGATCTGGCACTGCAACTCTACGGGTGTCTACTCTGGAGTCTCAGCTAGTGGGAATGGCAACGGGGCTGCTTCGAACTTGAACACTACTTTCTTGCGAGGCATCCAGCCGTCTGATACCCAAGGTGTCGTAAAATTCGATACGCTGTTCCCAGGTCACTGTAAGTACCTTGATCTCAGTCTTTGGGGAACCAAACTGACCATTCACAGATACCGGCAGAGCTACCCATATCCACGTTCTCGCCCATATGAACGCTACAATGCTACCCAACAACACTATTTCGGGCGGAAGTATCAGCCACGTCGGCCAAGTCTTCTTTGACCAAAGCCTGATCACTCAAGTCGAAGCAACTACGCCTTACGTGAACAACGCGCAAGAATTGACCACCAACGCCGACGACTCCATTATGTCTGGAGAGGCCGCGGACGTTGACCCAGTTGCTGAATATGTCTTCCTTGGTGACGACGTGTCTTCTGGTATCTTTGCTTGGATTGCTTTCGGTATGGATACGACTGCTGTGTACAATGTCAGCGCTGCCGCCGTCTTGACATCGAACGGCGGCGTTGCAAACAACAACACCGGAATGGGAGGTCCTGGAGGTATGCCATCTGGTGGTCCCCCACCTGGTGCCATTCCCTCTGGAACAGCCCTTCCGACTGGCACTGCCGCTGCTGGCGCTTAGAGGGGTAAAAAAAAATTGATGAATCAGAGAGAATCAGATTGGTGTAAAAGCTACATGGGAGAGCGGGGCGCAATTCTCTTCTTCTCTAACAACACCTCACATTCGTTTAGCATCTTTATTCTCGCTCTTTTGGACTTGTATGTAAATATGGAAATTTGCCAGCATTACCTGTAGATATGGGAACATGGAGTATTTCCTTAGACTTCCTGGATGGCCCCTCCCCTCTGATCAAGGGGTTTGCACTGTGACAGTGTTCTTCACTCCAGCCCCCTCAGCCCGTTTAGCAGTGCCCCCAACGACTTCTCCCTCGCCTCCTTCTTCCCTGCATCAACCTCCTTTACCACACCTCCTTTCTCATTAACCCCGATTTCCCGCAATGCCTCTTCCCTCTTCAGCACAGCCCTTGCCTCCTCCAATCCCCCAATATCCCTCACATTCTCATAGCCCAGATCCTTCAGCATTTGCAGCGCTATCGCCGAGCGCCTGCCAGAACGACAGTATAGGGTGATGGCATCCGACTTCTGAACGGTGGGGATAATGCTAGAGAGTTGGTCGATCAGTTGGTATTCGATGTTGATGGCATTGTAGAGGGGTCCTGTGGAGAATTCGCCGGGCGTGCGGACATCTATTAGGTGCTGAGCCGTTGGTGAAGCCATATTGAGAGGTGTGGACCGTGGCGCTGGAGAATTAAAGCTTCATGGAGAGGAAAGTGTTGCTGGTTCCGGGGCTCGGGGATGCAACACTGACGCCACAGTGCTGAGCCACACGGTTTTTGGCGTAGTTGGTGATTGGTTGGACTCCGACTTCAAGTCATCAATATCACTGAGACACCCTTTTGGAAATATCGCCTATGGATGCTTGGACTGTGTTGAGTGATGAGGAGAAAGCGTATGCTCAAAACTAAATAAGCCTAGCTAGATCGAGGGATCATACTTATCATTAGGCTATATGAGAAGTTAATAGCCTTTACAACTGTGCAAGTTGTGTTTCCATGTTGCTGACTGTTTGGACATAAAGTACAGTAATTCCGCAGCGGTTCGACACACCATAACCCCGTGCTCTTATTAGACTTTTCCTCATTCTCTCGGCCATAATAAGCGGAGAAATCGAGAATCATCTCGTTTGTCCATGTCTTGAGAGCCCATCTCATCGCACTCAACTTCAACATGACGCCTGCTAGGAATTGGTGGGGCAGTGAGTCGTCGGTATTCAGTCTTTCCTTCACAAGTAGCAATGCTTCTCGATCAAACACTTAAGGGGTAGATGGTCTGAAGGCAGGTAGCTGAAGGCGTAGATGACTGCGTCGAAGTATGGTACCGTTGGTCAGTCTATTCTTATCGCCGGCAATGGAATTATAGATGGCCTTTCGGAACATCAGTGCTTTACGCCGATCCGCAAGAACGTACTTCTTCATCTTACACATGTCTCCAGAGCTATCGCGGTGGAGCGTCGTGTCAACCCTAGGACACCTCCAGCCATTCTTTCTCGGTTTGGGAAACCCTCTGAGTTTACAGTCATTCGACAAACACATTGAACGGCTCAATCCCGGCGTCATTGATTCGGGCGCACCAAAGGCTTCCTTCTGGTGTCTAGCCAAAGTGTTGCGGAAGTATTCTGAGTAATGGACTAGGAATGGCTTGAAAATGAAGTATCTCGTGCCACCTGAGCCGATTTCGACGGTGACATGGGTTGGCTGCTCTTGTGCAAGTGCACTGTGGCATAGTACACTTGTTCTCTGCTTCCGGGGAGGGGGGCATTGGGTTTGCTGGTTTGGGTATGAAAGCTCACCGATAGCGCAAATGTGTCTGTATCGCTGCTTCCTGGAGTAATGTTAAACCTGGCAGCGACTGGAAGGCTTCGGACATTGGCACGCATCTCTGCTTTTTTTGGGCTCGGTCTATCTTCGCTCTCCTTTGTTGCAGGGCCTAGTACCAAACGTAGCGGTGACCCGAACACCGGTACGCACCCCTGCTTCTTTGGTATAGACTCCTCTTCGCCCTCTGTCGTCGCACGTGGGCTTAAGGTCTAGCCGTGATGCGCAGTTGTCAACGTGGATACGCGAGAGGAAAGTTGTGCTGGGGCGAGGGCGGCATCCATTCGTTGCTATCGAAACGACGCTCGTCTAATCCGCTCGAGAAAGGTGAAAGAGTTTCTTACTTCCCGCAGTGGCAAATCCATCGAGCACCTCTGAGTGATGACGGCCATGACTGAATATGCAACTCTATGACTCTTTTGGCGCGGACAGCCAGACTTAAATAAGAAACCCTTTTCTATATATATGTCTAATAGTTACGAAATTCTGATATCAACTGTGTGATCTCAGCTCTAGAGTTAGTGAGATATCTAGTTTACGCTGGTTACCGCGTGTTGAGCGAATTTAGTTGACAGTAGAACGGTGATTGGATTTTTCTGGGCCACTCGTGGTAGTCGTGGAGTAAATATGGATATAAATACGACAAAACCTTGGCAATATCCTGAATAACCTGATCTCACGGTTGCCTTCCTTTCTTACAACAAAAATTTATTTGGGTAGGACGACACTACGCAAGAGAGGAACATAATAGATAGAGAACGGATAGTAGAGAACTTTGTTACTTATAGTTCTTTGTTTTGGCAAACACTACGAGTTGTTCCTGCAAAACAACTAGCACTGCGGCTCGTTCCTTCCCAATATTCGCGAGCGGGACGGGTTGCATGAATAAGAACATTAAAAGTCTCTAGGATCTCAAGAGATTATAGTATACATGCATAGAAATTCTACATACGGCGTGTTTTTGGAGGCGGCGGCATCATCAACAATGGCCGCCTGCACTTCCCATACCCCTGCACCGACGGATATTTTCTGTCTAGCCAATAATTCCAAAGAAGGGCTGACGAGGTACTGCAGGCCCAATAGTACATCATAGCGGCGGGGAAATTTTGAAGCAGAGGCCCAATTAAGAGAGCAATACCCATGAGAAGGGCCCGGACAACCCTGGTGGTTCGGGGGATCTTGCCATAACTGTCAGGCGCACTGTTGCTCCTGTAGACAGTCGCAAACATGAGGGCAGAAACGATGTATGGGAGCGCACCAGTAGGATCGGGGGCTATCAGGTCGGGAAACCAGAGGATGCCTTCGGTCGTAAGTGAAGGCTCGAACCACTCACTTGACTGCAGATGGACGGGTGCGGCTTCAGTCGCTCCCCCAACAAGTGTGCTTGAATCTCCTTCGAATTGCACCGTTCTTTTAGCCAAGCCGAAAAGACCTTCCGGCATACCGGTCATTTTGCGGATTGTCTCTTGCATGAATATGAATATGGGAAACTGGGCTAAGCTCCACCCTAGCTGACCGCGGAGTCTGCAGTTCCAACGGATGTCGAGCTCTCCCGACTCCCGCTTGACCGCTCTTACTACAGCGATTCTTGCATCTTTGGGACTCCTGAACCCGCCCTTGTTCATGATCTCAGCCTGGGTTTGCAAGGCAATGGCATGCCGAACAGGCTGGAGGCCGAGATAGCGACCTTGGATGGCTCGTGCCCGAGAGCCCATAGTGGTGACGAGCAGCGCACGCACAATGAAGGCAGCCACAGGGAGCACAGCATACCACGGAAGACCAAGGTGGAGAGCCTGGAGCATTTCGTGGGGTAGGTAGAGGAGGGTATCAGATTCGGACTTTCGCGACGTGGAGGCATGGAAGGCACGTGCTCTCGGAAGGACAATAGATGCAGGCGAAGTACTGAGTGGCCGAGAGAGAAATTGCCGTGCTGGCCGCCGCAGCAGCCGCAGTGTGAACATGATGGAGGGTGTTGAAATCCTTAACTTCGCTGCCCGTTTGACAAGCATGGATCACCGACGGGAGCGCAAGCCGCCGCAGCTTGGACCATCAATGCATCCCACGGGCCGATATCGTCGGGCCGAAGGCGGCGGAGATTGCAAAAACAACCGGCCACCCACCCACTATCCCGCGGTGACACGTCGGAGCTTTGGCAGCACAGCTTCGAACGTCTCTCATGCCTCTCCGCTTGTACCTGCCTCCAATTTCGTAGTACCTTGGCGCTTCTTCCAGCATGGGCACCTTCCTACTCCTTCTCTCCCTCCTTGTCCCCGGCCTGCTCTCATTTCTGTTCCTCCCTCGGACACTACGATTCTTGGGAGATCTCGTGGGATGCCACCTGCGCCGATCGTCGCGCACCCACCGCGAGCTACTGCTAGCCAGAGTTGCTACCGAGCAGAAGAGCTATGAGGCTGAGAAGAAGACCGGCAAGGCGAAGGACGACGAGGATTGGGAGGAGATTGAAGGTGCAATGGTTGGCAGCTCTGTTAATGGAGGCAAGGCTGACCACGATTGGAACGGCATTGCCGGCTTCTTCCACCCATTCTGGTAGGCGCTGGAACTTCTCGACAGGTAGCGCACACGCGTCGCTTACAATCCCCCGTAGCAATGCTGGAGGCGGCGGCGAACGTGTCCTCTGGGCCGCAATCCGAGCAACCCAGAAACGCTGGCCCGAAGCGGTGTGCGTCGTCTACACGGGCGACCGTGATGTCGACAAGACCGCAATCCTCAAGCGCGTGAAAGACCGCTTCAACATCCATCTCCACCCGCCAACCGTCCACTTCCTCTATCTCACCACCCGCCATTACGTTCTCAGCACCACATGGCCGCGCTTCACGCTCCTGGGCCAATCGCTCGGCTCCATGAGGCTGGCCTACGACGCTTTCTCGCTCCTCGTCCCGGACATCTTTATTGACACAATGGGCTACGCCTTCTCGCTTGCGCTGTCGTCTTGGTTTTTCCCCGCCGTCCCCACAGCCGCCTACGTACACTACCCCACTATTTCCACAGATATGCTCGATTCGTTGAATGCAGGAGGACAAGGGATCAATGCGGGCGCCGGAGAGGGATACAGAGGCCTTGTCAAGAAACAGTACTGGCATTTGTTCGCCAGTCTGTATTCCATGGTTGGCAGCACAATTGACGTAGTCATGACCAACTCCTCCTGGACGCAATCGCATATCAAGTCGCTCTGGGGGCCATATCGAAACCGGCGAAATAAGACCACCGATCACGACATCGACATCGTCTTCCCACCCGTCGCAGTCGAAGAACTCGAGGAAGCCGTAGCAGTCTCAGAAGCGAGCGAGAAGAAGCGTGGACCATACCTCATATACATTGCACAATTCCGCCCAGAGAAGAACCACCAATTAATTTTGGAAGCATTCGCATCGCTCCTTAGCTCCAACCCCAAATTCCCCACGTATCCCAAAGAGACGCCAAAACTGGTTCTCATCGGCTCAGTCCGCGACTCCGATGACGCAACTCGCGTCGACAACCTCCGCCTCCTCGCCCACGAGCTTAAAGTTGAAGATAATGTAGAATTCGTCTGTGATGCCACTTGGCCACAGATGCTAGACTGGATGCGCAAAGCCAGCATAGGAGTCAACGGCATGTGGAACGAACACTTCGGAATCGGAGTGGTGGAGTACCAGGCCGCGGGACTCATCAGCGTAGTTAATGATTCTGGAGGCCCCAAATTAGATATCGTCGTTGAGATCGACGGAAAGCCGACCGGATTCCATGCCTCAACGGTAGAACAATATGAAGAGGGTTTCTGTAAAGCACTTTCTTTATCGCCAGATGAGACTTTGGCTATGCGGCATAGAGCGAGGCAGTCCGCGAGCAGATTCACGGATCGCGGGTTTGCAGAGAAGTGGGTTCAAAACATGGATAGGTTGGTCAGGTTACAAATTTCAAGGGCAAAGCGTTAACTAGAGAGGCCCCGATATGGCGTTTTGGATCGCTGGAGGGTTGGGTATTGGGTGGGAATGCATTACGCGGCGTTGATAGATTGAGCTTTTGTTGGCATGCATTACCTCGCCGTCTCACCCAAACTCTTGGATTCCTTTGACGTTGTAACGTGAATGTGTCAGCGAATTAGTTGATTTTGTCCACATGTCTGATAAAGGAGAAAGTTATGTTCAATTTTGACACCATACCCATTATATTTCACATCCTAAATCGCCCCACGCCCGAATGATCGCTCGGCGAAGTATCCAGGGGAATCCAAGAAGGATCAGACCAATTAAAATCCAGTATCTCTTTGTTGTAATTGACCCCGTGTAGAATGTCTTGAATCGATGGAGATGGGAAAAAATCCACTTTGTACAATCATCACCATCCACTAACATCTCCCCACATCTTCCCCAAAATGGTCGCCTCGCTCTATCTACCATTTCAGGTACCCAGTCCCCCTTGCAAGCCCGCCTCACGATAACGTTATTTTCCCGCCTACAAAGCGGCAGCCATAACGCCCAACCCTGCCAACAGCGCGGCAGCACTGATCCTCGTCTTACCGGCCGCACCCGTACCCTGCGGCGCACCAGCCGTTCCAGTGCCAGACGGCGAACCAGAGCCCGTGGTGGTGGCGAGACCAATGGTAGGGCCAACAGCGACTTGGGAGGTGATGGCGGCGGTCTTGGTACAGGAGCAGGATGAGTCGAAGGACGTGGTGGTGTACACGATGATGGAGGAGGCGTTGCCGGTGCCCGAGGGCTTGACGGAGCCGGTTGCGGTCGTGGGGATATCGGTTGCTGTAAGTGGGTCACGCCATTAGCTTTGGTGTTAGAGTGAGAGATGGGCGAAGGGCGTTGGGGAGAGGGAGAAGGCAAGGCAGGGGGGCGAAGAGAGACGGTGGGAGTGGTCGACGTACAAACTTTCACGCCAGCCTTATTGCAGACATCAGCAAACGCGCTCAATGCATCCTTGGTGTCATTTCCACAGAACTTCGCAATCGTGCCGGTGATGTCCTTGCTTTTGCACACAGCTGAGATGTCAGAAGGGGTCGAGTAGGTGCTATAGCATCATCAGCTTCTATTCCCGAAACCCAACCCTAGCCGCAAGTACCCCCAGGCCAACGCCCGAAGTCAAACTATGAGATCCAAGCGACAGGTATGCCATGGACGTACTTGATAGCACCCAACAGACAAGCTGGCGGCGTTGCAACCACCAACTTCGCTACTGCCACAAACGCCAGCAAAAAATTCGCTTTTCCGAACATATTGACAGATGTTCTGATTGATATGTTTCTGTTGTTTCGTATCACGGATTAAGGAAACGGTCGAGTATGAGTCGCGTATATGTCGACTCGGCGGTACGATGGGTGGGAAGAAAAAGGTTGCCTAGGGCCAAAGAGCGACAGTACGTAAAGTAAATAATGACGTATAAAGAGTGAATGAAGGAAACTACTCGAGTTCGTGGGTGAATGAATGAGTGAAGCTTGTCTGCGAAGTCCGCAAAGGGGCTTTTCCTTGGTCCGTTCCTGCAGCCGCCCCAACGCCAACGCCAACGCCAACGCCAACGCCAACGCCAAGTTCCGGAACCTCAAGCTATTTTTGCTCTCTCAAAACGCGCTAATTAATGCCGTGAGCCAGGAACGCGCTTGGGTCTGTGGGCTTGAAACAGACACGTGATTTTTCAATATCTTGAGACTGCACCTTGATCACTTAGCATATCCATTGCGTGATCTTGATCAAAGATGTAGGAAAAGTCCGATATGAACGGATAATACTATTTTTATCGTTCGATCTTCACCTATTCGCACCAGCCAGCAACGGATGAATCGTTGTCTATCCAAGTAACCGCCAGATGCAAGTCCGCAGATCTGAGAGATTCCATCTCCTCAAATCCACAACCTCACAATCGAATTCAGCGTCGTCATCCAAATCGAGGAGTATTATACAAAGCAGACCAGTGCCTGTCGCAGCCGCCGTGGGCCTTGCCAAAATGCAAAGTAAACCCAAAAATGAGTGCACCGAAAACCAAAGCCAGATCCCCTTTCGTCTGTCTCATTGTAGTATGCAAACCGAACCGGGGGATATTCAAAAATAGTCCAGACCACCCCAGTCTCCTATTGTAGATCCAAGTTTGTGTCCAAGGACTGACCGAACCTACCCAACCTATTTTACTCCCTTGGCTCCGTCGCTAATAGAATACATGCAGGAAAAAGAGTGGTGTAGAGGCGTGGTTAAGACATTTGATCGTAATATGTGTATGCGGAGGATATCATGAAGGTGGCGTTTTGGGGTTTTGCCCAAGCATCGAGGGAATAGGCTTGCGGCGTGCTTTCGCTTGTGGAATTCGTGGGACGCCCTGAATGACCCGAGGCTCTTTCATCAGAGTCGGATCCAATTTGGCTGGGACTATTAGAAACAATTAGCATAAGATTGTTAAGACGAAGACTGCAACACGTACTCCTGCTGATGATCGACCTATAGTCACCAGGGAATCGAGCACTTGGCGGAGTCGCCGCGGCGGTACGCCAGAGATGATCAGTTGTATCAGACAAGAAGTCCACCTTCGACTTATGGAAGAAAGATGCTTTCCCTCGATTGCGCTTGGCCAGAATGACTTCGTCGAAGAGTTTGATGGATGGATCATCGGATCGAGTAGTCTCACGCTCGTGAATGAATTCGTTGAAACCTAGTAGAAGAATTAGCGCAGGTAATATGAGCATCCGTTAGTAGACAAACCTTGTGTCTGCTGCAGCATGCCAATGTATTCTGCATTGTCATGTGGCATACTCTTCATAAATTCATCCATCTTGAAACGATAGACCATGCCCGATTTCTTCCGGTCGCCAGACGCAGGAAGTAAATACCTTCGGTAGGTGTACAAGAGGCTGGCAAAACATCGCACGAACGAAGCTCGAACCTGGTCAGGGCGGAAAGCAGTAGGGCATACGATGCATATGCTACCTACGCAACGGCCATGCGCATAAGTGGTGCAGCCTGTGTGAGGTTAGACCAGATGTCATCCATGTGCTGTAGCGTTACACACCTGTGCATCGATAAATTCCTTCATCCGATTTATCCTCGCATACAGAGCAAGACGCTTTCTCTTCGAACGACCTCCATTGCAAGCAGTGACCCTCTTGCCACCGAACCGTTTCAGTGTTGCGAACTGGTTGCATAGCCATGCCGGGCATGATCGTGGATGCTGCCAAGGTAGATTGGGCATATACTGAAGGAGCGTACGAAGATGGTGCACGGAACTCGTGGCTCAAGGAAGACATCGAGGCGTTCGCTGTATGACCGAGGAAAGGCTGGCTAGGTCGTCTCATTGTAGGGACCCTCTCAAAACCAAACTGCCGAAGGTTAATGATAAGCCCCTGATACGGAGTGTGATGTTGGTAGGATTACTTACAGAAGAGCTCCGACGAGACGACGTCTCGAAATGTCCAGACCGCTTCTCACGGAGATTGGCTTGGAGAGCAAAAGCGGAGTCGCTTCGAGAAATAGGCGTGCTGGGTAGAGGAGGAAAGACTTGAGAAATAGGAGAAACCTTTGGAGATGGTGGGGAGTAATTGCCGGTTTTCATGGTAGACGCTGTTGACGGCCTGTCGTTTCCGCGGCTCTGAGCACTCGAATGCAAGAATGCATTGTAGATTATAGGACGAGAGCTAGGCGGTCCAACAACAGTACCGAAGGAAGTTGAATTCAGTCCAGCGTACGTAGCAAGAGTGGAGGGATGAGATCGATGTGTGAAGACCCCAGGATTTTCAGAACAGAATGAATCGTGGGGATACGACTCTATTGCGTACGCAGGTGGACCTGCTGGGACTCCATATCGCATGTGATGTGGTGCAGAGTGCTGCAATAAAGATGTAAGCTTTCGCCGTTGCTGGCGGGGGAGCGGCACGGGCGCATTTCCATTCGTCCCAACGGCATCATTATCCAAATCGACAAGGACGAAGTCATCCTCCGGATAGTCTACTGGCTCGTATCTCCGTTCGATTCCAACAATATATGGACATGGCGCTTCAAGCGTCTGGATTAAGCGGGCGGGTAGTATGGGGATGAAGACGCCTGCCCATTTGAATGGATAGAGCAGATTTACTAACGCTACACTGGCGAGATGGAGCATCGCCGTATGCGAAGATAGCAGGATGATCCTAGACTCCTGTAGGACAAACTCGAAGAGGGTAACAATATTGGGAATAGAAAGGCATCTGAAAAGGGCATATAAGTCGATATTCCGAGAGCCAGGAAGCTCATTAACAGCTTCCTTTCGCGCATATAGCCGTAGCTCTCGAACGGCGATCTCCACCTGGGTTATTGATGTAATAGGACTCAGTGCTTCGGCACAAAGGTTGATCACATAACGTTCGAGCGGCTGCCACATCCCGATCCGTGGTGAACTGGGTGGTACTCGCAGGATGGCACCGTTGGTCATGGGAACGACAACAGCTTTCAACCACTCCTTCCAGAAGCTCGTGAGGCTTGCGTCACGGCCCATTACTCCATAAGCGCGGGGAATCCAAAGACCAGTTTCTCCATCCGTAAGTCCCTCAATTTTCGACGCTGCTCCGTGTCTGACCGGTCGGAGGAGATCTGTCATGAGACCAATCTTTTCTTCTACAGCGCTAATCTCCTCTTCTAGGTTTTCTCGCTCTGCGGATTCAGAAGCGATGGTAGGGAGCTTCGCCAAGAGCCGCGATAATTTTGCTCTCTCCAATGCGAGGCGTTCTCCTAGACTACTCGCCAATTCTCTCTCTTCTGGATTCATATGGGTCCTCCGCCATTCCTCGCATTGGCGTTCGAGCCCTTCGGCTGCTGTAGGGTTAAGCGGAAGCCACACGATCATGCAGATCCCGTAAAGCTTTGAATTATCCGAGTTAGTCATAGCGAACCCATGCCAAGTTGTTTTTGGTCGCTCATCAGATGAAACTACATTGACATCGTTTGGAAAAGCAAACATAGGGACGTAATCGGGGAACGGGTTTCGCCGCTTCAGCTCTTCGACCATGTTCTTTGGGGGGTATCGATCCAAGAGCACTGGTTCATATCGGCGCAAGAGGGGATGCATGTTCGGCTCTTGGTTAAAGGGCTGGGGCGCTGGGATAACAGAATTGTAGCCAGAGAGTCTCTTTGATGTTCGAACAGACGCTAGATCCTTGTCAGTAAAATTGGGACGAGAAAAGAAAGCAAAGCTTCTAGAACCCGGAACGCGTCTAAAATCAACTAACACATTCATGGATAGTGCACACGTACCTTGACGTGCCATTGACGGCTGCCGTTTCAGGCTGCTCATGGTAGACAGACGTCGCCGAATACTTCCCACGCCAGACCTGAGATTTCCAACATCTTCATGCTGGATGCGCTGGGGTTTCGGGCGCGGTCGTGCTGGGCGATTTTGCTGGGCAACGCCAGCAGTGAACTGGATATCTTCCAAAAAGCTATCGCGCTCGGACGCAAATCTTCGTAGAGCCTGCTCGAAGTCGGCATCACTAAGCCCAGAGCCCCCAACCTGAATGCCCTTGATAGTGATGCTGCTTCTATTGCTGGCAGACTGCTTGGAATCGGAGCCAGCAACGGTGCTGACAATTGACTGGCGCTGATCAAAGCTTAGCCGTGCTGACTTTCGCTTTGTACCCTCACCATTGGGCAAACCCTCAGCGGAAGTCGGCCGTATGGTATCGGTTTCCAGGGCGCGATCCTCCTCAATGGTCTGGTCGACCTCGATGGGGGGGGATGAGAGGGGGGAAGAGAGGCCATTTTGCTGAGCCCGCTCGTCAAAGACTTGGGAGGACTCAATTCCCGATATGAAAAAATAATCGGCCAGGGGGGTAGAGGAAGCATCGGCAGCGGAGGAAACTGGAGCCATATTGAGTGGTTGCTAGAACATAGATTCTCAGAGATGGTGGCGGATAAGGAGCGTTGGGCGCGAGGGTACTGATTGTTGAGCGTAGATTTAGTCCACTCGATCAAGACATTTGGGATTGGACAGCGGCTTCAACGGTGTTTGTGTGCGGTGCGCAAGGCGTTATGCACAGAAGCTTGGATTGTGCGACGGGGACAGAGAATGCGAGGGGGATCACGAAAGGACGGTTGGCTGGCCTGGCGCAGTAGACACAAGCCAGGTTTTGGGAGAGGCGGCAACTGCGAGTGGGGGGGGGGGGGGGGGGGGGGGTGTGCGAGAGAGTGAAATGCCTTAGAGTTGTGGACGTTTGTGGAGAACCAAGAGCCAGAGGTAGAGCAGAGCAGAGCAGAGCAGAGCCAGGAGGGTCACAAGCTAAGGTGGAACTAGCCCAACTGGCCGGACACGACGCGCGGGTGGTGCGGGCAGTAAAGAAACACTTATCAGGGCTTGGGGACGGGTAGGTTTGCAACCCTACCGCCTCTTCTCAAAAATGCCGGCGCAGGCAGTCCACGTCCAGCACGCCCTGCGAACGCCGGGCTTTTTCTGAGTCGCTGCCACACGTCGGCCACAGGTCCAAGCGAGTGCGTCCTCGGCTGCAAGGGACACAACGCTGCCAATTGGCAACCGCCGGGCCAGCAACAGCGCAGCAAATGCCATGTTTGAAGCGTGGGATCTGATATCCAGCGCGCTCTTCTAGGCTTGGAGCCCTGTCTGCTCACATGCAGTTCGGCGCACGGCTCCGCTCCTTCTCTGGCCGAAAGTCTTTTGCTGCCCTTTCGGGCCACACCCTGCTTCTCGCGCCTACCCCAAGACCGCTAGCTCGCCAGCCCGCCCCACACTCTAGGCCTAATCGGGGGAGACCCTGTCTATCCCAGCCTTCAGGGGCACACATCTCGTTCCGTCTCAGCAGCGTCCTCTCCAACCGCATGCCTGTCGTCTGCCAGCGGTATGGTGTGCATGCAATCTATCCCAGATGGCGACGTGTCTTGTAACCTGTCCTCTGTATCGCGCGACGTCGAGGAGCAGCGGAAGCAGGCGAGAAATAGGAGAGGCGAGACCCTCGTTGGTGGTACCTGCATGCAACAACAACACATCTATATGTACAGCGGCTTAAAGGCTGTCAGAATGTCACGATGATCCCCCCCTGACCTCCAGCCAACGCAACGCGCAGCGCACAGCGCACAGCCTCATGCATCACGCGTCTGCAATCCTATGCTCCTTCCACTCGTTCCGACACTGTGGGGAGACTAGTGCAGATGCTCCTACCCTTCTTGCTCGACGACGAAGATAGCTGGACGGTTCGGGGAACCGCCTGATAAGATTCGGTTTCCACCCTGTCCGTGTTTCACTTCCTATTGTGATGTACCGATCGCGAGACGTCCTGCCGCAGCCACAATCCATAGCGTTTGCCCGTCGTACGGACAGATCCTGATGTCTCGTTCCAGCATCAAAAGTCGGCGGTAGGGCGAGTGTACCGTCACACTGGTCCTCACGCTGTCCGGGCTTCCCCTGCTCACGCCCCGAAAGTGCTTAGCAGGCATCCCAAAGAGCTCTCCGGCGTCTTAAAGTTGACCGCTCCCTGCAACATCTCCTTATCATTAGACAACTACCTCCAACACTTCTACATTATCCATGAAAACCACAATAATCCTGCGAGACAAGTCCGACAAGACTAAAATATGTACCAGGCAAACCCATTTCGTTCACTCCTGAAGATCAGGGGCAATCCCTGAACCTCTTCCGGGTGACTGCAGCCCAGCATCTGCACGAATACACACAAAGTTAATCTGGTTGATTACGCAATTATTCTCCCGGGAACCCTTAGCTTTTGGAACCAGAGTGACGACTCAACAACACCAACGGCAACTCCAGCCTCCTTCCCGTTCCAATCATGTAGCGTGACGGCTCATCGGGTCGGTTTCAGGTCCTTTGACCCGCCATCCTCGTTGCCAGATCGCGCCAGCCTTGGGACAATATCAAGATCCAGGAAAGAACAAGCGGCAATATAGAACCAACGGTAACATGCAGGTAGGTACATGTGGGCTTGGCTGAAATGTCTTGTTGGCTCAACGCTGCTCTGATCCATACAAGACTGGATTCTGATCTCAGCTTCACTTGGGCCGACTCGTCAGCCAGCCGGTGCTTAAAGACCCTCGATCTCCCAACGCGCTGCGCCATTGAATCGCTAGTTGGCCCAATACTTTCCGAGTGTCCAGGCTCTCTTGCCCTAAAGTGTCGTTTGACTCCTTGACGCCAGGTTGCTGTTCTAGGAGGAAAGCTACCTGGATGACATCTCGAGGATTCAGTATCGGTGCATTAATCGGCCCTGTACCCGGTGTGTGCATGTCCCAATTTAAGGATGTTGACTTGAATGGCGGTTTCGCGTTGACATTGACGGTCTGTTTTCAAGTCTCAGCATGGGCCTTTTCAGGGAAAGCCTTGACATCTGGAAAAATTGGAGGCAAGATTTGGAATGGCGGTGTGGCTTCCGCTACAACTAGCCGCAGGATCGCGATCTGCCGTCCCGGGAGACAGGAGAACAAAGGTTTGAACAGCCCTAGTGTAAGACACAACAATAGATGATGGTACCAAGTCTGAATCCACAATCCAGCCTGAAGCTCCAAATAGATTATAGCCACGAGAGGTGAATGCGAAACCGTATAGATGATAGATGAAATGTAAGACACAACGCACCTCAAAGGACACTGCCGCCTCTCCCATATTCTCTAGTTGCGCCTCCAGCACAAATCTCGATAGTCCCGCTTTCTCACTCAACTCCCCTGCTTTCGTCCGAACACTGAGAAGCTGCTGTGCCACGAACTGATACAGCTTCCGGAATGTCCTTACCCGTCCACTCGCCGCTTTCCCTTCTCCCGCAAGTGTTGTCTCTGTGTACGTCACTGTGACTGCCAGGACGTGGTTTCCTTCTTCTTTCAGCTCAAACGTTAGTATCTTTTGCAGCGACTGCCCAGGGCTTGGAGATGCTTGTGTCTCGTCCTCCCCCTCGGGTCCAGCGAGCTCGAGAGGGAAGCCGTTCGGCGTTGAGGGGGTTTGCATGTCCCCCTGTATCCTCACGCCGCTGATAGTGCAGGTTGTATCAGACGGTTCAAGCTCATTGTTGGCGCATAGTGTGCATGAAAAGGTCTCGCCGACGAACGCGCTTCCGAAGGCTTCTGGGAGATTAAGCACAGAGCTGATGATGAACTTGTCATTTGTAGTATCAGACGGGTATGCAAGTGAAGCTGTGGGAGAAATGCCCAAGGTTTGAGAATTTGAAAGCGGGTACTGGTGTGCGAGGGACGGTCGAGATAACCTAGCCGTGGGATACATTAGCAATGCGAGGACTGCCAACGGGTCAACTCACCGTAGCACCTTCAAGCTCACCGTATGTGGAGACTTCAGGCCCTCTCCTAAAGATAGATTCCGCTGATGAGCCATTGGCAGCAGCATGCAGCAAACCGTGGAGGTTGAGAGTGTCGCGTAGGGTGGGGTAGATCTTGGAAGCAAAGCTTGCAAAACCGCCCTAAACCACCAAAAAATAGTCCGTGTGGATTTTCATCCCGAAAAAGACGCGAACACTCTCGAACCCTATCATCACCCGTCCATCCTCGTATTTCTTGACGCTCCCCAATGGGCCTTGCATCAAATAAACCCCCAATACCGCTCAAACGTTGTACGGGCTTAGTTCTCGTAAGCGATACCCCTAAAGGTTGCATCTCGTGGCGTAGATATCTGTCCCTTAACCCTCTGACCACTCTGTAGGCCGAGGCGTATTCGCTTCCGAGAATATCCCCGCAAAAACAATAATTGATGTTTGTCCCGTGTTGGTGTTGGGGCTAGATGAGAATGTGAAACATATCGAACACACCTCGCTTTGGCATTATACGTAGTGAGTTGGCTTGGTGGGGGGTTCAACCGCCCCTATCTTGACATTTGATCACTTGGATTTTTAACAGATGTGACAGTAATTGGCCTGTTCGGGACGGAAACGGCAACAGAAAAGTAGCCCAAGCTATAGTGTTTGGGCTCGGCTCAATGTTTAATCACTCCACACATGACCAGAATGTGGGGTGGGTACGAGATGAAGAGTGCTTGATAGTCACTTATCAAGCTCTTCGAGATATCCTAGAGGGAGAGGAGCTTTGTGAGTATCTTCAGGAGGCGCCACATGTACAGGAATTGCTGATGTTCAGAAGGCATCTCGTATGGTGAGCGCTTGACCTTCAAGGATGCAGACAGCTCGGTTTCCCCGTCAACAGAGGACGAGATTGATGAGCTAAACCAGATACAGCTGGATTAGATGCTAGAAACAAATATCGGTACAGTGAATCAAATATAGACAGCCGACCAATAACACCCTGGGTAGTGAAAATCGAAGGCAACAGGGCTTGAAACTGCGCCAAGTTTGACAACACACCTTGTCTAGTCACTACATCAGAACACGAAAGCCACCAGTGATGAAAGACAGATCCCAGATCTTCATTTCAGGGGAACATCGCCGCTCTCGCTGTCACCGTCACCGCTCTTTCCTGCCGAGCTACTTTCTTCGACCTCCGTTCTAAGGTCATAAACAAGCTCAAAGCAATCTTCGAGCAGTTGCGTCACGCTGCCTTGTCCGTCTGGAATATCGGACCCGACCATGAATTTGCCGTCCACCCGCATGTTATCAATCGAATTGAGCTAAGAACTGTAAGCGAGATGTTCGCGTCTTGAGACCTATACCGACCTTCATGCTATAAGGATACAGTTCTCGGGGTGATGATACACCGCCTGCCTTTTTTACTTCAAGCAAGCACTTCCGCAGCGTCGTCAGTTGATTGTATATCGGCAGCAAAGCTTCTGACACGGGCTCAGACGATATTATCAGATAAAATATCGTGGCATAGCTCTTCCGCAGCAGATAGAGCAGGGTCTATATGCGGGTTAGCGTTAAAGTACTTGAACGGAGGTGAATGAGATACCCTCTGTTCATACAAGTCCGCGGGTCTGCCTAATACATCAAGGAAGTTGCCGTCAACCCGAGACTCGTCGATTCGGTCGAGTTGCCTCTGGTAGCTATAGAGATCGGTCTCGCGCAGCGACCATGCCTGGGTCAGGGAAAGTTTCTCCAGTTTGTTTTTAATGTCTAGTAGCTTATCATAAGTGTCTTTGAACGGAAACGCGATTCTACCTTGTCTGTAGCTCAAGTTAGCGTTAACTTCGGGGGTTATTCCTTTGAGACACGCACTTTCCCTTGATCGTGACAACCCAGATGAAACATCGTTGCAACAGAGTCTCGACCAGCTTCTTGGCTTCCGGGGCAGGCTCAGGATGATCTATGGTGAGTCGTAATTTCTCTGCCATCTCAGCCAATTTCTCCTCCTTGGTGCCGGTACTCTCATAAGCTACAATTCCGTAAGGTTTGAGCTCTTCATGCAGCTCCTTCAGCTGCTCCAAGAAATCGTCGACCTCAGCATTAGGAAACTACAAAAAGTGAGTACACAAGGATCTAGAGCGAAAGGCAGGACGGACCTTTGATCTCGTATTGCAAGCGGAGAGGGATCTAAGGATGGACACCAACTTGTCGTACTTCGGGGTGAGGTCCGGTGTCAAATGGGAAAGATTGAGTTCAAGCTCTGACAGAGTCTTCCGGCATACGTCAATGCGAGCTTCAAGCAGCGTCAAAAGCTGGGGACTGTAAGATTCCTTTCCTCGCTCGCAGTAACGCTGGCAATCCTCAAGGCGAGCACCGATGGATTCTAGGTCCTTTGGAGAATAGAAGGTCGCTTCTTTAAGATGATCCAGCAAGCGCTGGAAATCATTAATGATCATGGTGAAGAGCGCGGGTGAATTTGATCACCAAGGCTCACCTTCATTGTTGATACAGCTGAGTATCTGTCCAATAGGGTTAGCCAACCGGAAATCGTTAGAAAAACCCTCAAGAGATGGCATACATTGCGGGTGCTTCATGATTTTTGCCTATGGTCAGATATGAAAGTGAAATGAGTTGAAAGCAATCGTCCAACACCGTATCGACTGCCCGGACGTTAGTTAAGTAAACCAGTAAGACCATGGTCACAAGAATAGTGAAAGAGTACCTCGATTCTGCTCGTGACGTTTTGTCATCCGTAATGCATTCACAACTTCGACCTGCTCGATGACCTGATTGTACAAGGCAACTACATCCTGGCTCTTTACATATGTTGAACGGTCTTGCTTCAGCAATTCGAGTCTTGTCCGCAGGTCAAGCAGTTTGTCCAGGATTGGCTGCTCCTTCGGATCAAGCGGAATACGCAGTGAGGGCGAGTCGGTCATGTCTGGCTGCAGGAGTCAGAAGGAAAAAGGTGGGCGGAACTGTCTGCAGGCTGTTTGGGCGGGCCGTAGTTCTGTACGATATAGTAGTCAGATTCGCACCTTCAGTTGTTAATTGTTTGGGAAAGCCGCAATGGTGGAGAAGGGAGTGACAATGATTCGCGGGGAAAGTCACGTGAGGTTCGCCCACCGGAGGTTCGCTTAACTTTTCGCCGATGCCTCCCACAAAGCCACCCCGAAAACTGATCGTGAATTCACCTCATTAACATCACGACCAGGACACCTCACGATCACGATCACTCGACACCATGTCCACCGCCGAGCTTGCCACGAGCTACGCTGCTCTCATACTCGCAGATGACGGTGTCGACATTACCGTACGCCGAAATACGTCTGCATTAAGTGAAGGAATGCTAATTCTGGCAGGCTGACAAGCTCAACTCTCTTATCAAGGCCGCCAAAATCGAAGAAGTCGAGCCAATATGGGCAACGCTATTCGCCAAGGTGCGCATGTAAAATAAATTTGGGTCAAAGGATATGGTTTCTGATACATGGACAGGCTCTTGAGGGCAAGGACGTGAAAGATCTGCTCCTGAACGTCGGCTCAGGCGGTGGTGCTGCCGCTGCTCCAGCGGGAGGCGCTGCTGCTGGTGGTGCTGAAGCCGCTGCAGAGGAGAAGGAAGAAGAGAAAGAAGAGGGTATGTTACACCGATCGATTATGTGTTAGCATATTCTAACTAAGTGATAACAGAGAAGGAGGAGTCGGACGAGGACATGGGGTTCGGTCTTTTCGACTAAGCTGCGTCTTTGATCTTCACCGTCTCCTTCCATTTTGCCTTTGTCGGGGTTTCATAAACCGGGTCAGCGGTCAATTCAAATGCATATTCCCTCTCGGAGCAGGTCGGGTCACTGGCTGTCCGTGACACTGCTTGACGTGTACCAATCATCTCAGAGATTCAACGGAGGCCCATGAGACACGCGAAATGTGGCATGTGCTGTAATGAAAGACTTCAAAAAGTGCACCCAAGGATCCTGATATTTTGTGCAAATAGTGATATACCAAACAGCAATAACACAGTTTAATCTCCTCGGTTGTCGGTTTCTACTCCACGAACTCGCTGTCCATGATTCTGTAGATGTATGTTGCACCCATGAGCTGTTGAAGGCAAGTTTCTCTAGATGATGCAAAAAGGGAACTCGAAATAAACAGCTAGGTCTGCAGCTCGAATACTATTCTAACAAGGCTTAGATAACCCCTTCTAGAAGTGGCCAGGAGGCGCGAAGCTAGTTTCGCCTAAACTTTATATTGAAAGACTCGTCCTCATCGGCCTTGATTCCGAGATTGAGACCTGGACCTTACTTTTAATATTCCAATTAAACCCTCAAACAATATATTTTCTCCCCTGCCTTCTCTTGTATTTCTCCATGGATTCTTGCCCTTAATTAAGATTCTCAATGTGGCAGCACGAACCGCGTCCACGCCTTTGTAAATCTTGTTCTCTGTTTCGAGTGGGGTTTGAAGACCGCCAATGATATCTCTCAGTGAATTTTGCGACTTCATTGACCCAATAACCATCCAAAGCCAAAATTCCTGTAGTTTCGGCTCATTGAATCTCAACCTAGCTCCAATATAAGTTTTATAAATGGCCCGACGCAGAGAATAGTGACTACTATCGCAGAGATGCTCTACTCCGTGTCTAATTCCAGTCAACAACTCAAGAAGAGAGCTCTGAACCACCAGTTTGCCTGGTCAAACTAGCTTGGGTCAGAATTTCTAGCCCTAAATGATCAATCATAACACAGGTTGTGCTCACAGATAGATCTTCCCACCATCAAGCGTAATTGGCTCTAACATGTTGCCACTAACGCTCCTTCAGAAAGCCAAGGAAGAATACACCCGGTCCCCTTGATGAGTAGCAAGCCTATAAGCACCAGAAGCTGTTCTTGAGACCCAGCCTGCCCAGTGGTGCTCACGAGTGGACGCTGAGCACAAGTACATCCTGGATACCGTATTTCTACTATCCATATTGTCAAAGCCATTGCTGCGGATACTTGTGCCGGCGAAATTTCTTCCGCTCAACATTTCAGGAGCGCAGAATTAGGAAACACGACTTCTTAGATGACGAATATTCACCTCCAAAATGACCCCCAGGTACGGTGAAAGACTTTGGTGACTCTGTAACCAGGCCAAGCCACTATCTACTAGTGTTTGTGCATACCTGATCGATCCTGTTGAGAAGAACCAGTAAGTCCCTCCGGATATCCTCGCCTCTAGGCAGATCAATAGATGATTACACTCACAGCTGAGTAGTGCACGTGCAAGTGCGGCAACGTTGAATTGTCTGTACCCACCCTATTTATCATCGACCTTTCTGCACGTTTTAAGCCTGCCACTACCATCTACCATCCTCCATTCTCCATCCTCTCCCTTATACAATCTTTGCCAACATATCATCGGCGTCCCCCACAACGCCCAGCTCAGCCTCCGAAATCTTCAGCCCCGTATTAAATCCCTCAGCAGCGCGGAATGTCCATATCTACGATGCCAGCGACCCTACTACCGTGAGATGGCCAGGAAACGCTTCGAGGGAAGAGCTTAGCCGTTTGTACCAAAATTATAGGTAAGGTCTAATTCCAGGATCGAAGGAGATCATTCGGTTGATATCGTAGGCATGTTTGCTAGCACGTCTGGTTCATAGTTCTTGAGCGAGAAGAGCGGTAGGGTGATTGATTCTGCTACTTCCTCTGTGACCCCACAGATAGCACCGTTCTCATCACCCTCTTTTAGTGAGTGATCCATGGCGGTATGGTATTCATCGAGAATATCGCTAAGCGGGTGGTTGTGATCACATGTTCCAGCTTTCCCGAACGATCCGCTAGATTCATGAGTTCCTGAATCTTCTTGAGTCGGGAGAAATGAATGTAGTAATCGCTGGCAATAGCATAGATCATCTTATCGAACGAGTACTTCCTAGAGCGCTCTATGACTACAACGAGATCCCTCAGCATACAAGTGCTCCCAGGGTAGCTCCGGATGATCGCAACGCTAGCTTTCATCTAGCGCTTTGATAAGTTGATGATCCAGGCCCCTCCCACTTCTTCACATATGTCCTTACGCTTCAGGATTTCTTCTATCTCGGCCATAATACTCTTATTGACTTGAGACTCTCCAGGGTATTCATCGAAGCTGACATTCAGTCGCCCCTATAATTTGGATTATTCCTCAATATAGGCGCCGTGGATACGAGGAAGCATCAGACTGGGAAGCACCTCGGGCTGGAAGAAAATCCGGGGATGAAGGCCATCAAAGAAGGGAAGCATGAAGAGGGTGTTGTTTTGTGGGAACTATTATAGTAGTATAACTACTACGTTACAAAATACTATCATGTAAGGAAGGCGTTAAACTAGCGTTATTGATAAGCCTAACAATATCTTCTGGTTGCACCCCATGACCTAGATTCGGCAAGATAGCCGTTAGGTCTCCGTTATGAATAGTGTTAGGCCGCTGAAGGGAGTTGTAGGCAGTTTCGGGAATGCACTCGGCATGGCTGGCAAGAAAATTGGCGAAGTACGAACGACCCATATTTAGAGGCTTGTTTAGCATGCTAGTCGCAGCAAACTGCGGGATTGGAACCTTGACACGTAGATCGATCTCGTGTCAAGTGGTCATTGGGCAGCTTCCTGAAGGCCAATGATGGATTCTAAATGGAGATGGAAAGCCTACCTCTTCATGATAGAAGTGTTTCCGTTGAACTAGCTTCATTGGGCCGACCATTTCTCACTCTGAGCTCAATGCAGAGTTGAAACACTTTTGCCCCATTTGATGATGTTAGGCACACGTTGGAATTCATTATAGCTGAGTCGAGCAGCGATACTAGTGGTGACTTAAATGGAACTCCCTAGTCTCCTTGCGCTAAATCTCATACATTCATATTATAGCCACAAATTAGGTACTATAGGAATATTTGAAAGTACATGAACCATTTACTTCTGCGTTAGTGGTCAACGTCAAGCCAGGTGGAAAGGATAGTTTTATTGAAATTCCTTGTCAACGGTGACGGGAATGTCGTGCTGTTGGAAGGACTTAAATTCATTTATAGCGGGAGGCTGAGTAGTCATTCTGCGACACGTTGGCCCTGGACTCGTTAAGCCTAGACTCTAGAATTCTTATGGAGAGACAGGAACATTTAAGCTTTTTAATAGACATAAGAATACTGCACTGACATAGCGGTAGACACTAGACTGAGGCGTACACGGGTGAATAGCTTGAAGGCGAAGTTTCAACTCCCATTTATGCAAACTAGGGGACCATACTTTATCCCAAATCCTGAGCGAAGAAATTAGCTAAGAAATATGGCTGACGAATGTCCCACCGGACATGTTATTCATGCGTCGAGATTAATAAGTTTAGACTATGAATCGAATGCAAATGCAGAACGGCTGAGCTGAGTGAGTACGCGTATGAGTAATACCTAACAGTAATTAAAGGAATTCAAACCAGATGTCGCTACTAAGGTATCAGCAGGGAAGGCAGCCGACTCGCACTGGTCACATCACTGTAAGCTCAAACTGTAATAAGAGAAATTCCCTTATGTACCGTAGTAAACCATGCGACTTGGGTTGTGACGCTTTCCTAGATATGTCTAGGTCCTGAGGCTTTTGTTTGAGAACGGGGACAGGAACTTCCTAGCTGCATTCTAGAGGAAGCTAATCTCACTGAAGATTACATGCTAGCTTCACATTCAATCCGCGGCCAAGATGCACTTATAGGGTCTATTTCAAGTAGAAGCTGAAGCGATACAGCAGCAGCTAACCACAGAACCTATTAAGCCGCAGAAATGGAGCCATTTTAGGCTCAAGGACATAGACTTAGACCCCTGCCAGGTCAGTCGACTAGCTTACCCCCTGCTCTCCGGCATTCACTTGGCCTTAGGTACTTACTGGTGCCTACTACTTCTTACCTCCTACGCTCTTACCCACCACCTCTGCTCACTTTAGTAGTTTCTTCTAAAGCATCCCTTAAGCGAGCAAGTAGAACTGATTATTAGCGTGTCACTACTTCTCTACGCGTTGCCTACCCCTATTAGAGATGCTGATGGAAGCGAAATTTGTGCAATTATACTTCCAGGACAGGCGGTAATATTAAGACAAAGAATGGGCGAAGGTAGGTCCCAAGATAAACGTAGAAAACGATGTGTTATCATATATATCTATTAAATAGCATGGAGAGCAAGTCTTCCTGATCAGGCACGCTAAATGAACATGACCAAAATGACCAAACACCCCAGAAAACAGACGTACTGACCTCAAGTTTCTGCGGTGTCTGGTTCGGGATCAATCAGAATACATGCATAGCTGATTGAACCTGCAAAGAAGAACTAGTAGTCCCTTCCTTGGCGGTTCAAGGTTACGAAGCGATGGTAGGAAGCATTTATGGAAGGCATCGTTGAACGTTTGGTGGATGAATTGACGAAGTCGTGAGGGACCCGTACTATCACTCGGTTTAGAATTTACGTACTATTAATTTATCGCATTAACTCCCCCCCACAGTAATTATGTTCTATTCTATAGTTCGTGCCATTCCGCAGCTCAGAAATCGCCTACTAGTCCCCAGATCATGCCATGCCATAGCTAAGAAGACTTGCTTTGAAGGGTGCTTGGGATTGTGTAAATACTGTGAAATTAAAATTCAGCAGTAAACATTCTTCGAACAGAAGAACACCTATGTGGGAATAGTACTAAAGGTATTTCAGAGCAGATGATCGAGCTGTTCGTCTTTCCAGCACAGAGATTGAGGCCTGAGAGGGGCGCTGTGCTAGCTACTTTGGGATAAGACATGTGCTTCGATCATGAAAGTCACTTCTCTGAGTTTCAAAATATTCTATCATTATAGGAGGACCAATACAAATTGTAACCCATTTCCGACTAGACATGACGGTTAGACATAAGGCTCCATGGATAAAAAAGCTTTTTGAAGAAAGTAAGGAAATCGTAAGAATGACAGCGAAACTCAGTTGTCTAGCCAATCTAAGAATTCGGGAGTAAAGTAGCTCACGACTATAGTAGCACCAGCTCTCAAGATACCTTCCGTCGCCTCGAACGCCATCGCCTTCAAATCAAAGACACCTGCCTTCGCCGCCGCGTGAATCATTGCAAACTCGCCCGAGACTTGATAAGCAGCAACTGGGAGATCTTTTCCAATCTCCTTAGCGTCGCTAATGATGTCGAGGTACTGGCTAGCAGGTTTCACCATGATGATATCTGCGCCCTCGTTGATATCACGTGTAATAGCTCGTCGTGCAAGACCCCGCCCGCCTGGAGGAAGTTGGTAGCATCGTCGGTCACCAAATGAAGGACATGATCCTGCGGCATCGCGGAAGGGGCCATACAGACAGCCGGAGAACTTAGCAGAGTACGACATCAGTACTATCTGATGCGCGATGCCGGCTTCAATGAGCTTAAGCTTAATGGCGCGGATACGGCCATCGTTCATATCAGACGGGGCCACACAATGCGCTCCTGCTTCCGCATATGCCATAGCGACGTCGCTGATTCTATCTACCGACAGAGTATTGTTAAGACTGCCATCGTCTCGCAGAATGCCGCAGTGGCCGTGGGAAGTGTACTCGCAGAGGCAGACATCGGCGACGATGAAGAGCTCGGGGAAGGTTCGACGAAGGAGTCGGATGGTCTTGATGACGGGTCCCTTCGGGTCATCTGCATTGGTTCCCAGTGCATCCTTCGCTCCTGGTGCGATAGGCACCCCAAACAAGATGACAGACTTCAAGCCCTTCGCTACTAACGGAGTTAAGAAAGGAACGACTTTGTTCAAGCCGCGGCGATGCTGGTTGGGAAGGGAAGGAATGAGGGTTTCTTCGTCAGGTTGGTCGGATATGAAGAGGGGGTAGATCAACATTGACTGCGGTGCATGTCAGCGCGCGTAGCCGGAGTTGAGGCATTTCATTCCGAACCTTTGTCAATTGCCTCTCTGCTTGCCATGCTCGTGAAAGAGGGTGGCTGTATCCGCCGTGCAATTGGCTCGATATATCGCCCGCTATGCTCACGCTGGTCGCAGCGGTGCTGGCATATGATCGTGCGCGGGAGACCTGAGAGCGCTTGTCATCTTGCGCTGCGCGTTCCGAATTCCGGTAGGTGATATCTGAGACGAGGGAAGAGAAAGACATAGCGAATGTTTCACTGCAGGAGGTCGTGTGCATGCGGGAAGGAAGATGATTAGGAGAGTAGGATAGAGGAACTTGGGGGACGGCAGAACGTTTCGGCGGGTAGGCGCTTCTTTAAAGTGCTCGTCGAGAAGAAAGTGCTGATCGTGAGTGGCGGGTGGCGGCGTTGTAAGGCCGACCGTCAACCGAGAATTGTCAAGGTCTTCCGGCTTCAAAGCTCGTGGTGAGGACACCCAATTGAGCCAAGAACAAGGACAATAGATATGTGCAGTTGAGCGAGATGCCGAGTATGATTAGTGGCCTCTTTATCCTTGAAGAAAGCTGTCAAATTTGACAAAGTAGTATATTTGGGCGATCAAAAAGAATATCCAGTCCAAGTATTTTCCACCCAATCAGATCACATGCTTACTCATGTCCGGATATGGCTTAGTGCAACCCCACCTCTTCCGAATCGTATCGCAAAACACCATGGTACCATCACCACATTGGCGGTGGACAGTGCTCTGCTCTGAAACACAATAAGGATTCGACTCCACAGAATTATGCAGCTACTGAGAAAAGGCGGTGACCACTATCCCGTTAAATACTCACCGTCTCCTCGGGTGTGATTTGGACTCTCTTCACTTGTCCTGGTCAATCCATCATCAAGAGTAGAAATGTTCCAGCGTCTGGATCAGAGGTGGCTTTTGTCAGATCATATGTATTTGTAGTCCTTTGTCCCACGTCTTCAGTCTTGACTTCAACCTTGATCTTTGCCTCCCAGTTCTGGTGCTATGAAAAGCACATCATCCATCATCGTCCCTTTCCTAATCACTCCTGCGCATCCTGTGGAGTCTTCAGGATAGAACAGGAGCGTTTCCCATCGCGACCATATGCATTCAGCGTTGTTATGGGACGTCAAAATAATTGCCCGGATCGATGCCGTTGAAGAGGTAAGTCAGTCACTGTTGCCCCAACGGCAGCGTTTACCGCCATTTCTCCAGCATCGTCAACATCATCTTTCACTCCTTCAAGCCTTCTTTCACTTTGCTAGTTTAGCCGTACCTGCATAACCTTTCGAGTCGGCATAAAATATTTCTTTCTATTCCTTTCCTTCCTTCCCAAGGACATTACACAGCTTTGTTGGCGCCTCACCACCGTCAACAAGATGTTTCCGTTACCGTCTGCCATCTTCAAAACTAAGAGCTATCAGGATCTGCGTGGCAGCTTCCGCAATCGCGCTCCATACACTAATAGCGACAATGCTGCCATCACGGGCAATCTCCCACAATCCACAATCATCGATTATGCCTACAAGGATAGCACCGACCCAGAAGTCGTCAAGCAGGCTCAGCCAGTAGACACCCCAGACGAAACCATCACCGCACTCCCAGAACGCCGCCCAAGGCACAAAATCAGTACCTTCTTCGGTTCCCACAGCCCAGCTACCGAAACCCAGCCAGCTGTCGCGACCGACGAGAACCAGCGCTCAGAAAAGATATTAGCCTTGACGAAATTGGGCGACTTCTTTAAAGGTCTATTCAAGAGCGCGAGATTCAGGAGGAAAAAGACGGCGAAGGAGAGGAGGCCGCCAATCCAGATCGGCAGCCCCTATAACTTCCGCCACCATGCCGGCGAAGGGCCGGGTCCGCTGAGACCTTCCAGGATCCAGCTAATCAGGGAGGAGAGGGGGGAGGGGGATAGTGAGTGGGAGGACATGGAGGATGAGTAAGCCGCTTGGAAACGGGTTTCTGGGGAAGGTTTGGAAGACGGTATTTCAAGGATTTCGAAAATGGATTGTATACTAGCTGCAAATTGGGGTCTGCAGGCCTTCGAGGTGGCTTGAGAGAGTTGAAAGGTCTTCTGGGCTTCAAATTCGGTTTTTTATGCCACTTTTTATCGCAAACTGTTTCCCTACATGAATCATGATCGGTTTTCTAACCTCTTCCATGTGAGTAAAGAAATTTAAGAACACTCTTGACTTGGACAAGTGATCATAAACACTTAGGCTATATTTACGGAAATGTAATAAAGTATGAGGGTTCTAGCCAAACTCCTCCTCAGGGTATCTTGAAAATCAAGCAGCGCGTCCCAACACCGTAATTTCATCTCCACTACTGTCCCTTGAACTCTCCACCCTTATGGTACGCTCCACCCGGATGTCATTCTCGCCGCTGGGACTTGCACATCCTCGACCATTTTCTCTTTCCTCCTTCCATCTCTTGTCGTTCTCACTATCCCTTGATATGTTTACCATATGAACGTCTCTCGACTGGGAAACGTGTGGATCTTCCACATATACCAAGCCATGATCCATGCTATCAGATCTATCCAAATGTCTCGGACTCATTGGGCCTTTAAACCATCTCGCAAAATTCTTGCTCGCTCTACTCCCACCGCTGCCGTACGTTAAGGCCGGTGATGGCAGTGGAGTGCCTGACGGCGTCGGCTTAAGCTGGTCGCTCTTCCTTGTCCCACTTTCCAGATCATATGGGCCGGAAGCGCGGGATCTCGAGCGCGAATTGGAAGGAGTTACTTTGGACACGACTTTTCGGTACGACGACTTAAGGCGGGGAAAGACCAGCAGCGCGATGACCTTGATGCTAGGTGCGCATGCAACCACAATTGCTAGGTGGTTCTCAAGCACGCTCCAGATCATCGCGTTAGCAAACCACCCTATATGCGCAGTCAGTCGATTGCCTGACCCATGTTATGGACAATATCTGGGTGGATGTGGCGGGATAGGATGGACCATGCATGGGGATCCGAGTGATGCTTACAGGGAAAATCGGGCTCCGTAGCGAACTTGTAAACGGCTTCCATTCGCGCTGCACTTGCTGCAAGGACGCTACACTTAGTTAACGTAGAGCTTTTCAAAAACCTTGCTATATGGGAACATACAGTCCGCCCAGCGCAAACAAGCAGTTAAGTCCGATACGCTGAGGACGCCGGAGTTGAAGATTCCAGGTGAAGACGACAGGCATTGCGTAGAGGACAAGGTCTGTAGCAAGCATAATGGATGCGTTGCAGTAGAAGAAGATGTTGAGGTTAACACAATGACCGCTGATGTTCGAATGGTATGCTTTCCGGAATGGTGTACATTGGAAGAGGTTGACAAGGATGCTGCTGAGACCAAAGCCGAATGCGACGAAATGCATGAAGTAAATACTGCCTCGGTATTTCTTCTCCCGGACAATGTCAGCGTAGAAGAGAAGCAAAGCATGCTTGACAACCCAGTTACAGGTGAAGTAGAATACTATCAAAGTCAATCAGTGCCTAAGGTGGGCGGGTTTGCGCTATACCATTGGAGGCTATAATGAGCTGTGAAGATGAAAATTAGCGAAAATTTACGGCAATACAAGGCGACTTAATACCTTGATCAGCCTAGGCATCTCATCCACCGGGACATCTTCTTGGTGTTTTCCGAGGCCGAACGTCGTTCCTTAGACGGTTAGAAATGCTCTTCCTGGAGGAGGTATGATGCACTTACCAACCATCTGACATATTGAAAAGACCAAAGCACAAATCTCCATCCACAGTCAGTACAACGTACTCAAGGCAATGATGTAAAAGTCATACGGCGGCTACAGTTACCAACACTGTTGGAGTGTAAGTCTTGAAGAGGTACAATTCTATAGAGAAGCTTACAGTCATGCCAACTCCACGTTCCGATGAGGAAAACACGTCTTCCCACTCTTGAGCTGATCGCAGTAAGAGTGAGCGCCATTAGAACGGCATTCAGCCAGATGATGATTGGTCCTTGATCACCCATCGTCACTCTTCTGAGGTAAAACTTCCACGTGAACCGTTGTCGAAGAGTTGTAGTGCTCTGCTCTGGTCCCCGCGGGCGAGCATACGATTTCGCTACTCCAGCTTTAAGACTAAGAATAATAATATAGTCCGAAAGACAAGTCTGAAGAAAGGACTGACTGATATGAGATTGGGCATTGAAGGCATGATAGATGAATTTGAACTTAAAGGCCTGTGGAGTCAATAGCTGAGAAAGGTTTAATCGAAGGTAAGCATGCAAGCCAGGCCATGAACAACGGTCAACTGCCGTAACACTTTGCAGCTTACGGTTACACGACCAAATTGAACACAGGCGACAAGCGCCGACGAAACATCTGCAGGTTGTTAGCCAATCGTTAGCGCCACTAAACATCTGCAAGCTGTCATCCAGTCCGTCAGCCTTAACCCTGTCCCAAGGCAAACTCTCACACCGTCGATCGCCAGAGTGAGATTTCCATCACACAGCGCGGAGAGCCGGGTGTAGGCGACGAAATGAAAGTCCAATCGCAAAACCATGGAAAACCCTAGGACAGGCGGAACGTGAGAATTTTGCAGGACTCGAGGGGTTGTGTGGCCCGTTATTGGACATTTGTTTAGAAACATCTCGAGAAACCACAAGCGGATGAGCGCCATCAGGATGAGATCCTTCACATGGACAAGCGGAGGGAACCGTCGAACCGTCCCGCCTCCGCCCACTCTTAGCTGTAAATAATGCGAAGGATGGCGCCCCTTATCGATTTAGAGACCACAATGCGTGAGAGCACGAATAGCAGGTTGCTTAGGCTTGCCCCAAAGTTGATGGATGGTGAGTGTCTTATCGGATCTGTAGGGCTGGCAGAGGGCGCGTTAAGCGACGTCCATTTATCCTGAACCATTTTAGCGAATAGTGGGCTTCTTGGGCGTAAGTACCTTGTCGAGCGGCGCCTTTCTGGGCCATAAGCCCACGTTCTTGAGCGAATCCGCCTTGGAGGAGACGACTCGCACATGCGGAATCCTCTATAGCTAAATTAAACACTACCGATCCCAATATATCTAGAGAATGGCTCGCTTGATTTCTTGCGCTTAAAGAGTTTGCATGATCCTGAGGCCATGTCCTTGGTCACACAAACGCCTTTTGGGTTACAAACGAAGAGGATCAGGTTGAGTGGCTCCCTGACCATATGCTTGGTTGGCGCCATATTCTCGGTGGGGCCCTAGGGTAACAACACTGCTCTAAAAACAAAATTAAACACTTGTCGTTTAACGTACCACAGTGACTCCAGGACAGACTTGCCGTTCCTTGGTGGTCGTCTGGCCCAATAACGTTGCGAAAATTTCCAGGGTGACCGTTCCTGTGTTTCACTTCCTTCGTCCTAGACGTCAGCTGCAGAGCACATCAAGTACGCTCCTTTCTAAAGGTGGGCTCTCACACGGCATGGGCTTCTGGTAGCTGGCTCCTGATAGTTGTGTAACCCCGCCAAACTCAAGTTCGAAACGGATAGTGAAGCGTGTCCCCAAATAGCACAAATACTTCAGAAAGAAAGCATGGTGATAGGTCAGTACCCAGGTGCGCTGCTATAACTAGTTCTAGCAAACGAACCAGGTCCATGATTGCTGTCTTCCATGTTGAGACTCTAGAGAGCACTCGCCAGGGAGCGCTCATCGACATCCTTCTAAACTGGCAGGGCAAGTTCCAGAGCATCTTCTTAATAATCGGGCAATCAATTCCCCTGAACGCTTCAATCATCAGGGAGGAAGATCGACAAGCGGGTCGGAGCGGATCAGGGTCGACCACGAAATGAAAACACAAGGGTTCCTATAAGGGATGTCAGCAACCTTCCATTCTATGCAAATTCACATATGATGTCCTTACAAATTACTTGTTGAGGGACAACACGTGGTGATACGGTTGCGGTAAAGGCTCGGCTATGCTCAGCCGGTGGTAGTGCGGAGAAGGTAGCACTATTGAGGCCTGACCGCGGCACAGACTGGGTAACATAACCACATATAGCGGGGCGTATGTAAGGAAGATCGTGATGCTTTTATATCAGACTCAGTCCCTGAGTGTTGAGACCTTCCCTCTCATTAGCAATGCCTGACGCACATACAGCCCCGATTTCATATTGGTCCGGTCCTGGGATCATCCAGGGATTTATCACAATCCCCAAATCTTCCAAGTTGTCCCCGGAAATATTCGAGAAATGGTTTGATGAGGTCTATGTTCCTGATCTGCTTGCTACTGGTATCGTGATTTCGTCATGGCGATTCAAGGCGGCCGACCCTAAGTACGGCAAGCCGAAAATGTTCATCCATAAGTGCCCTGACTTATCCCCGGTGCAAGCCGGAAAACTTCATGAGGTCAAAATTGCCAGCGACATGTTCCCGACTAACGGATCTGTTTACGATTTCATCGAATCCGAAACGAATATCTTCTCCCTGGTTCAGCTTTATGAGACAGTAAAACAGCACGAAGGTTCGTCTGCTCCACATCCAAAAGTCTCCAAAGTCCCTCGATCATAGGTGGAAAGCAGAATGAGCCGTTTGGGGTCCTAACTATGCACAGATGCTGCTACAACCGTGATAATGGCCGCCATGGAGCCATCACCGGGCGGAGAGGCCGAGTTGGACGCTTGGTATCGGGAGGAGCACAACCAGCAGATGTCTGAGCAGCCGGGCTGGAAACGGACCACTCGATTTAACCTGCTACTTCATCATAAGAGCGATGGAAAGCCAACGGAGCCTCTCTCTTTCCTAGCAATCCACGAATTTGGGGAAGGTCACAAGATTGGAAAAGATGTGGTTCCCTTGGATCCGATGACAGATTGGACGAAGAAGTGCATGGCTGAAGCGAGGGTGATTGATGCGGCGGTGTATACAAAAGTGAAGACGTTTGGGGAGGCTGCGGCGAGCTCGTAATGGGTCAACTATTTAGGGCATGGGGCGCCTAGCAAAATCAGAGCTTCCGATAACACGTCATTGTTACGAAGGAAAAGCTTCATAATGCCCTAAGCCAGATAGAATCACGCGGAGCGTCACTGCGCGGGTTCAAATCTTGATCAATTGCCCCATTGATATATCAGTCAGTCAATTAATCTACAGCTCCATACTGCCACCATGTCAGAATCATTGGCCGCATTCAGGAACAATGGAAGCAATGAGCTTCGACGTCTCGCAGAAGAGCATTTTCAGCATAATTGAGTCTAGGGGAGTCATAGAGATTGCTGAGGGCTTAGCTGAGCTCAATTAGTTTAATTCAGTCTGACCGTGACACGCTGAGGAGCGCTGCGAAAAAAAGTTTCAACACAAGCGCAGATTGGCTCTCTGCTGGAGCTCAGTTTCGGTGTCTACTGGGCTTTTCGACTACGCACCATGCGTCCCACATACCCCAAGACTGTTAGAGCAATAGAAAAACCAGCAGAGGTCAGATTTGCAGATGATGGAACCGTTAAGTGTTATCCTTTTCATAATGCTCCGCTAGGGGATCATTGCCCGAATGAGCCATGCTAATCCTGGCGTCTTTCAGAATCCATCCCCGATATTACAGCACAGCTTACGCCATCAAAGTGGAGTGACACTGCTGCATACTTCTTCTTCTCCATCGGAGGATTGTTCCTTGGGGGGGAAACAGGATTCTTAATCGGCACTACGAGTGGGTCCAGGACGATCATGCGAGACACGGAGTCCAGAGAGCGGATCGAGAAAGCTTTCAAGAACTGCAGAATTGATGTGATGAAGAAAGAAATACAAGCGCTGGAGGGAAAGGGCACGCTGTCGAATATCTTCGGATGGGTAATATCAAGTACAATGCCTGGATTTGGGAAGTGAGGAGATTGAGTAAGGCTTTCAATGTAACTATGTAGCTAGCTTTTGGTTCTTGGTAAAGGAATCTCCTAACCCTCTCGGTTTCTGCTATTACGTGTCGAGGCATGCACGGGCATTTCACAGGGCTGGTTGACCTGTGGCTAGAAAGCTTGACCCTGACAAGTGGGTCCCTTGACGTCAATCATCAACGCAAAGTGAAATCTGAGAAGCCCGTCGTTACATCTTACCACCTCCACAGTATTGTTAACTCTACTCCCCTTTATCTCTTCTCTATTCTCTATTCTTCTTCGCCCTTCACGTGGCACAAGTTTAACCCATTCGTTGCCGCTTCTTCAAAACTCATTCTCGCGCTCGTGTCTCCTGTGGCTGAGCGCGGCAGTCGTCATACCGTATACTGACCGATAAACAAATTATCTCCAATGTCCAGGAATACTAAGGCACATTTCTCTTAACATCCCAGATCTGATCGGTTCAGCCTTTCGTCCATTGGTGAATGGATCGGAGAGAAGAGTGTCCCCAAATCTTCCATAAGAAACCCACACCGTCCCACAACGCCAGAATCGGGACGTTCGGCATCAGAATGATGACCCATTTCATATGGCTCGCGGGTCTTGCTGCCGCTCAATCTTCTCAGTCTATCCTAACACTGTCTGGCTCGATTGCACAAGTTACAGGAGCAGATGCTACACCAACCCTATCACTCTCTGATTTCGAAGCTAGTACCTTTGAAACGGGGACCACATATGGCTTATCTGCAAGTATAGGCGCACCCAATGCAACCGCATCTAAGACAACGTCCTCACAAAACACGCTCACAGTAATCGCGGGTGGGTCGGGAACAACAGTGGGCAGGAACATGACTGCATCTACGACGATAACCGCACAACCTACGAATACTCAGCCCTGCAACAACTACCCCGAGTTCTGTACGAGAAGGTATTCCAACATAACAGAAGTCTGCGCCCATAACTCCCCTTTCGTCAGGAAGAACAATGCCGGAAGCAATCAGGCATATGGAGTGACGCAGCAATTGAACGACGGTGTTCGCATGCTTCAGGGTCAGACACATTACGTGAATGGAACCCTTTACTACTGCCACACTTCATGCGATCTCCTTAATGCCGGGTCCGTGGAGTCGTATTTCACCGAGGTTGCAGGATGGGTCGAGAACCATCCCTTCGATGTCGTCACAATTCTCATCGGAAACGCCGACTATGAGGAGAAAGACGTGAACGGTAACCCTCTTGTAACCTCCAAGAACTACGTCGATCCGATCGAGAAATCCGGACTTCGTCAATACATATACCAGCCGCCGAAAACGGCAATGACACTGGAGGACTGGCCTACTTTGGGAGAGTTGATTGTTCGGGGCAAGCGCATTATTATGTTCATCGACTATAATTTTGACACCGACGCCGTACCATACATGCTGTGGGAGTTCTACAACATGTGGGAAACTCCATATTCCCCGACAGACGTCAACTTTCCGTGCACCATTGGCCGACCGGAGGGTCTAAGCCAGAATAAAAGCAATAGTATGATGTACATGGCAAACCACAACTTGAATGTAGAGGTCAGCATCGCAGAAATCAGCCTATTGATTCCGAACACGGTGGCTCTTGAAACAACAAATGGGGTAAATGGGACAGGGAGTTTGGGGCTGATGAGCAACAGCTGTACTGGTTAGTGGCACAGCTCCCCTTTGAATTGATGTGGCTTACTCTAATGCACCTACAGAGGATTGGGGTCGTCCACCAAACTTCCTACTCGTCGATTACTACAACGCCGGTCCTTTCAATGGCTCCGTGTTCGAGGTTGCTGCGAGGGCGAATAATGTCACATACAATCAGAAATGCTGCGGGACCGCGTCTTTTGCCACAGAACTACCAAGACCATCGGCGACACATTTTGGGCTGATCATTACAGTTGCGGTGTCGCTGATGTTCTAGCTACAAGAAGACATTAGAAAGGGGTAGCTTCCACGCCCAGGGTAGCCAAAACGATGGAGTTCTGACTAGGACGGTAGGGATTTATTTGCATGGTGGGCGTGGAATGAAGGGTTTAGTCTTAGGTTCGGGGGAGCGTTCCCATTGGGTAATTGGCCTTGCACATCGAAAGGATGGATTTAGTGACTTTGTGTCCGGACTAAGAGAAACTATAATGGAGTCTACACCTGTAATTGTGCAAGGAAATCAATGGATACTAATTTTGGCATAGGCCTCGATCGTGCAATATTTAGCATTGAATATGAGTCCTGATAGACCATGGTGTTACATTCCCGCTTGACCATACCTTTTAGCTAAAATAAAAAGAACACAACACTTTCTCGTCCCGACCCCGCATTTCTTCTCAGCCAAAAGACCCAAGATGACATCTCCACTTGCCTATAGCCTTTCAATGAACTCTGAAATTACAACCTCGAATGCTGTCGTAGCTTATGAGTAATGTGCATTGATATCAGAATTAGAGGGCAGAAGTTGCTCGGGGATGTTTCATTCCAAACTATGATATAGGAGCCCCTTCAAGTCGACCAATCCTCCAAAGTGGGCTAGTGAGGGGAAGTTAAGCTAATTAGCTCGCTGCTGACTGAGTGTGGGTGGTGACGGAATGGGGGCTTCGCTGGTTCGGATCTAGACCCACCTGCTCATGGCAGAGAGGTAATATCTAGTGATAGGTAAATCCAGGGTTCCCATTTAGTATTGATCGAAGGAATGTGACTATGTGATTTCTAAATCTGCGTCTGAATCGATGGGACCAGGGTCCCAATCGCCTTATAAAATCAGGTAAGGGACGTTAAGACTGAAATCCAAGCTAGGAGATGGTATGAGTCTCCTGTTCTTCTTATACATGAATTGGCCACTAAATGTCCTTGCTTACTCTCATAATGACATGACGGAGCACCCATTGATTACAACCTCCTGGATCAGGGGCAACTAGCATCTAAGCGCGACAATATCTTCTAGGTGTTTATGATCAATATCGAGCCTGTAGAAGGAAAGGGGGTCAATCCGTACTGTAGATAGAGGTGGGTCTTGAAGTGGGTCTTGAAGCCTCTGCATCCCGCTAAACGAAATCTTGAGTTGGGTGAGTTTCTCGAAGTAGTGAAATTCGACACCTCGACTGTTCGACAAAATTTAGAATTCGCAGGTAATGATTCTAGTGATTTTTTATGGCGTTCAAAAGCTTCACCCATTTCTTTAAGGATGAATAGGGACGATATACCAGCGTCAACCCCATCAAGCTATATTCATCGGGACTTAAAGCAGTAAGGTCGAAAACCCTTAAGGATCAGCAAACCTTCAATAGCCCTTCAAGGCAGTGAACCCTTATGAAGCAGCGTTCTAGTTTAAGCCAAATCACGTCCAATGTGTTGGAGAGAGTAGGAAAGGTTTGCCGAAGTATGATCCGAGCGACATAAGACAGTTTTCACTCGAGAACTTCGCAGTGTTCGCGGGGGAAGAAGTGGACAAAATCCGCAAGATCGAAAGGATAGTCATTTCCATTGGTAAAGTGTTACTCTCATAAGGCGCGTAACACTGGTTTCCGGTCCTCGTTTGATCGTCGGGATACTTTTCTGATGAAACGAAGAAGCTTTCGCAGAGATCTACTGATTTGGAATGGTTGTAGCTTCACTAGGTTTGACAGGCGAGAGACGAGAATGGTACCATAGGACTCATATTCCTCCATCTAAATTCGTGAGTTTGTAGAAGTACTGTGGTAACCGTTTAAGAATCTGTCTCAGAATATCCGGGGGACCTCGATAGATAAGGTAAGGAGTTTTGGGTACCACTGGTTTGGATATGGAGAGCTTTCACTGTCCGATCTAGATCTGTCCTCGAGATCATGGTCCTAGGAGAATACCAAGATGTCTCCCACAGATAGAAATCAGAAAATATCTGAACTGATTCGTAGAGTAACGGTTGAGCGACATCTTTCAAGATGCGTGAGGTTCGACAATGGTTTAAAGGTCTCGTAAAGGAGTTTGTTAAGGTCTGGTACAAGGTGTAACTCGATCTAATGAAGTAGCTTGGGGGGTAGAGCAAGGAGATGAGACATTATTTCTCACTTATCTGAGAATGAAGGTTGTGGGTTTTGAGGAACGAAGGTGATACACACTGAAGAGTCATATTACCAAGCTAAGCCGTATTTAGAAACGCATCTTTTTCCGTGTAACAAACAGCCAGCGTCCTGAGTGAAGACCCGTGAAATATTAAAGTTGGGTTGCTTTTTTCTTACTTGTTTATAATATTCAAAATCCAACCTGTTCTACGGCATGCTACGTTTGTAGGAGGTAATTGAATATGAATATATTTAGAGACCTGCCTACCTGCTACGTACACCTCCCCTACACGGCAATACTCTCGTTCAATGCACCCCCGCAAGTGGACATTGAGGTATTCCGCGGTCTAACTCCAACTTTTGCCCTTCAAGATTAATTTTACGTGATAGTAATGGTAGTATCTGTTGTAATTGTATGCTTCGTGGCGTCCTTCCTTCCAGCCTCCTAACCTACGTTGCCTCAAACTCTAAACATCCTTGTCTGCAGCTCCATAACGTCAGCCTGACCGACATCTTCAACCACACTCGGTGACATAAGTCCTCGCTCTTCATCTCCTGAACCTCTACCTGGTCCCTCTCTACCCTTAATTTCATGCTCCTTGTGCATAGCAACAAAGATTGCCGACCCCAAAATCAGCGAAGAACCGATGATAGACAACGCTCCGGGTGTTGTACCCCATACTATCTTGTCAAATGCGAGAGCGAAGAGCATTTGCGTGTATACCATGTTTGTGGCCCGAGACGATTTTTCGTATTGTAAACCGGATGCGAGGAGAAATTGCTGTCAAGCGTGAGCTAAACGTAGATCTTAACAGGGTTATTGTGAATGCCAAACCATAACAAAGCCACAAATTCCAAGGAAGAAAAGGTAGCACCAGTCCTTCAAACCGGAAGGAAGCAAGAACCCAACACCAGGGAGGCTTAGCATCATCACAATGCTAACGATTGTACACCACAACGCAAAGTAGTTTACGCTGATGAGCGGATGAGCACGCTTCCCGATCCACCGTATAGTAGTATATGCACCCGCAGCTCCAAGGACACCTAACATGGCCATACCAACTGCTCCTGCTCGTTGACCTGGAGTCACAGAGTCATAGGCTCCCGCAGGAAGTGACGAAGGCTGGGTTGTGTTCGCTGGAGTGGGTACGAAGTTAACGTTACTGCTCGCGGAAGGGGCAGGTGCTTCGGAATTTCGGGAGGCAGAGAAAAGTGACGTCGGCCGCGCTATGATCACAACGCCAAACAACGAAACGTAGGCGGCAATCTGTTCCATTCGTGTAAATGGCTCGTTGATGAAGTACGAACACGCCCAACATGCCAAGGAAGGCGCGAGAAAAGTAACGACCGTAGCATCTGCAAGAGGTAGATACTGTAAAGAGTCTGCCGCAGATTAGGAGGAGCCGTAGTATTGCGATAAGGTGGGGGTATAGTTCAAACTTACAGTATAAGCCAAAGACTCCGAAGAACCCACACAGGCCTCTTGCAACTAGTAGTGGCCTAACTTCCTTCATCCCGAGAGGGAAATGTTCCGTTCTCGTATACCACATATAGAATGTAGAACATACTACTGTGATACTCATCCGAGCAAAGAGGATCTTTGCACCATGTCAGCTTAGATCCAACCAAAGATCTTATGAGGTTGTGCTTGAGATACCTGAAATGGGTGATAACCGTTTCCTACACCGTCAGAGTATTAGCACGGGTATTCTCAACCTTAGATATCACCTCCGCTTACCATTGTTGCCTTCCATTTCTAAGAGTCGAGTAGTTACGTTCATAAGCGTGCCGAAGACTTGGGCGATAAGCACGAGCGCTAAGCCTTTGTTCCTCGTCCATGACAACTGAACTTTGCCCGTGAGGGACAGCAGAGGAGCAGGGGAGTGGGACAAGTGTCTTCGATCATCGCATACTGATATCCAATCTGGGTTGCGGCCAATACGAATATTATTAGAGTCCTCTATAGATAGGATGGATGGGTTCGGCGAAGGCGCTCGAATCCCTCCATGGAATGTGACGTTTAAATGATCTTGGTCCGATTTCGCTCCGGACTTAACGGGAACCTCGGGTTGAAGCTCAGTGGAATTAGTATCGGGCATGCTCTTATCATGTTCATACGAGCCCCTAGGCCGTGGTAGAGAGCTCATAACGCTTCATTCAACGAACTGGAAAACCTCGCCGACATGGAAAAAGTAGCATAGACACATGGGAAGGGACTGTGGAGTTTGGTCGGGGTTGTTCGTGAGTCAGCGGCCTTGCGCATTGGAGATAGCGGCTTTAGTAGTGGCGCCTTGAAGGCCACGATGGACGAGTTAGAAAGCACACACTCTTCCTTCTTTTGCCTCGCCCCACGTTTTCCGAGCCTTTTTTCCCCGTGGAGAAGCGCTAGTCGAATTAGTGTCTTGGTGGAGCCTCTCGAGCCTGGAGTTCGGGGGAAGGAGTGCATTATTCCCGATCCCCAGTGGGAGCTTTTGTGTCTGGTGTATCGAGGGAGATTGACGAGTGAGTTGAACGTTCAAAGGGGACGAGATGTCTTTTTAGGCTCCCGACACAGCAGCACTGGCCAGGCCGGGAAATAACCTTAAATCTCGCTACCACAGAACTCCACATCAACCTCAAACAAAGCTGGACTACATCTTCTCTTGGACTTGACTACGATGATTCAGTATGTTATCATGAAACGTGGGACTTGGCTAGGGTAGAGTGAATCTTTTCAACCTCTTGCCGGAATCAAGAAGAGCATCAAAAGGATGCGGGCTTCAGTCCTGAATTACCCACCCTTGTCAAGTTCCACGTTAGGCGGTAAAATGCAGTACATCTTCTCTTGAACTGCCTACAATCGTGCACAGGCGAGAATCTGCAGTCTTGCTTCTGTTGTGGAATGTCTTTTATTGTACCTCGGCCGAGAGCTGCAACCCCGCCAGGACCTTGTGAGTATCAGTAGACCCATTCCCTCGCACTTGAAGACGTCCGACATTGTATATGTCAATTTGCGTTCTCAGTCACAATTCTGAAGCTATAGCGATATGGCGCACAGAGAAATGTAAGCCACTTAGCGGATATTGGCGTGTTTCCGACGGCCTGCGGTTGAAAGGCATCTTATATTTTTAGCCTTATTTTCCTGCTTGGAGCCTGGTGAGAGTTGGCGACGTAGTGAGAAAAGATGCGATGTTATACGAGTACGTCCCTGACCGATAGCGCTCTACGTTATGTCCCTTTGCTTCCACGAGCTAAATTGTAGACCCTGTCTGCTTAAGGCATATTCCACAGAATCTTGTCATATTACCGAGTTGCAGTCACATTGGCTGATTAGGTAGTACCGATAATCATTGTGCTTGGTTTAAAATACGCGGCCATAAGGGGTTGGAGCTTTCGATCAACACTGTTCAGAGAATCACCTTCACAGTCCACACTGATGCTGTGTAACCCGAGTTAAAGTGCGTCCCTTCGAGAGGCGAATCACAGGCATTTGGTTATTCGGGCAATTCTCATTATGGAACTGACATCCCTTCATGAACTCGCCCAAGGCGCAATGCATACCAGCGAGTCAGACTCTCTACTCTCCCTTCAAGACAACCACTTCGTTGGTTCCCATCGGACAGGCCGAGCACAAAGTTGAACTTTCGACAGCCTAACCCGAATCGCCTACTCCCTCATGCTGTCCCTTCGGCCAATGTTCGTCGACTGCCCCGCTTCCGAGCCCGTGCTAAACCGCTCTGTTCCTGTGTTAATCCCGCATCCTGCATCATTTACTCGCATAGTCTTGCTTCTCTCGCTGTAGCGCTAGCGAAATCAGCTCACCGATGAGGAGAGACGGCATACAAGCGTCGCACGACAGCAAAGACGCTGCCTCACATGCTGCCTGACGCGAGCAACGAGGTCCTTCCAGGACGCCCGTAGCTTTTCAACCGGAAGCTAGGCGAGGAAGACACAATATCTTAGTTGGTTTGCTATTGCATGAAGAGTGGGACGAGAGGTCATCACTTGCCGCTTTTATTTGAATGCTTTCCCGAAGGGAGCGTTTGATGGCTGTTTGTGCCGATTTTTTGAGAAGGAGTCGATATGACATTCCCCTTCCCTTTATTTGAATAGTTAACCTAGGTTTCACTAGTTAGCTCCTCCCAAAGACTGATGGGAAAATTGAGGTTTCCGTGAACCGTGCTTCACTCCATCAACGCCACCGACAGGGGTCTCAGAACTGCTGCCCCAATGCTGAGGGAGTTCGGTCCCCCGGCCTACGGCATCAAACCATGCAAATATGCTGAGGGCCTTATCATCACGACAACAAATTCCTTTGAGATCCTATTAGTTACGCAAGAGCGGTTCCTTTTGCAAAAGATTTACCTATCATAGAAAAGCCTCGAAACACGCATGAAAGGGTCTTGAGGCCGGATCTACGAGGTATGAAATTGTGAGCCATGACGTCTCGCATCGCCCCATTGCGTGGCACAGCCCGTGGCGTCGTCTGCACACGTGGGGGGATCGAAGACTCCCCCTTCCCGTCATGTTCGCTTCTTAAACTCTAATTTTATATCCTTGAATTTCCTTTGCTATGGCCTTGTAAGAGGAACTGGAAACATGAGACGTGTAGTGGCATAATCGTGTCTTGAAAGCCGATCGACAATGGACCTTCTCTCGAGTTAACTCATGTAGCCATTCACTACTCGCCATTGCAAACCTGCATGTCTGCGGCACAGTGCTTAGCGCCCCGATGCGTCGGGACGCTGGTGCGACTCATGAACTTGTGAAGACTCTCAGGTATGTATCAGCCTTATGGCTGGGATTGAGCGAGTCATGCTCACTGTGGACTCGTGCTTTCAGAGTCCTGACTTAGTGAGAGAGTTCTCGGGAACAGCCACGTTTTTGGAAGGAGCGGAAAGCAAGTCAAGGACCAGGTCCACGGAGGTATGCATCTAAGGACAGCTTTGCGTTGCCAGCAAAAGTAGGACCTATCGGAGTCTTCCTTGGTGTGATTTTGACTGGTGGAAAACAATCGCGGGGACAATCAGACAACTTGATGGTGCTTTGATTGGGTTTGAAAGACGTCTTTGGTGGTATCCCCCTTTGAAGAGTCGTTATTTGGACTGCGCCGTAAGCTATCTGAGCGCATGTGGAGGTAAATACCGCATGCTGCATGAAATAACTTCTCCGCCTCGACTAGCTTCTCAAAGTTCCAGTAACGTTCAAGATGATGTGCGTCTCGATCGACGATGCAAGACCATGTTTCCAATAGCACCTATCGCCACTTGGATGGGCTGCCGATATCCTTCGATGATGTGACCGTTTGTTGCCTCGCATCTCGCTGCGGGTTGCCGCAAATAATAGCACAGGATTTGACATTTTTGCGGAGTGGCGCAGTTGACATTTCTCAGGGCGGAAGATGATTGATTGTATTTTGATTGTTTTAGGTCACGGGAGAGGCAGGAATTTGTTGAGTGCATGCGCAGCTGCAGGTGATGTTGGATCTGGAAATCGTGCAAGGTTGTTGACGTGCAAGGTTGTTGACGTGCCAGGTCAGCGTTTTCGTAAGGAGCGATCCCAGGATCCCATAAACTATCATCTTGTGTTTGAAACCCGAAAGCTTGACGGCAATTTTCTGGTTGTTCCGCCTATGAAAAGCGGATTCAGTAGCGGACCATGCTTCCTTCCTCTACTATTTATGCATCCAGTGGAGAAGGCATTTGTTGCAAGTCACTGAGCGTGGGGGTAGCTAGTAAGTTGCTATTATGACAAACAGTTATGGCTTGTTACAGAGGGGCCACGTTGGCTTGCAGATTTGTTGAGTCTGAGCTTTTCCGAGGGACTGAGATAGAGCAAAGCTTTCGAGACACTCGATGGCGTGAATAGGATTAGAGCAGATTCTTTGCAACTAGTTCTGCAAAGGCGTTAGCATTGAAGAAGGCGAGGTGGACTGAACCCAGACCCAAGAATACGGTAATTAAATGCCAATCATCTTTAGCAAGAGGAGAAAGTGAGGGGACCTTCGGAATAACCCTTGAACTTATCACAAAATGCAAGCACGCCATGAAGGGTTTGGCAATTACTAGTATGAAAGCCTGGCACATTACATAAACCTAACAACAATTTGGAGATGCGCCCCAGACAGGAAACCCGGAGGAGCAGGTGGGAGACAGAGTAAAGGAAAGTGGTGGTTCGAGCATTACTCAAACGATGTTCAGTGGTGAAGCCAGCTCAGAGATAAGAATTCCACTCAACGCCCCTTGATGGATGATCGAAGCAAGACATTAGGCTTCCAAGATCTGGTCCGGACCCCGTACCTAAGCCCGTCACTCGATAACCTTTCAAGGCTGGAAACAGCCCGGCACTTTTCATGCTTCAGCTTGGCTTTAAAAAAGGACCTCGACCTAGCATTTCTGTGATATCTTGCTTTGCGAAAGTCTGCTTGCCTATACTCTGAGAAGTGTAGCTGTTGTGGACCGTTTGGGTGTCAAAAGTCTCTTCATCTAGAATAATTGAATTATTGGAGGCCAGAACATGACGGCGATACAAGTCAGCCCCTAAGTGGTTGGAAAATTCTTCGGCAGTAGGTTGAACTATCGTGACGACATCGCCGATCCCAGACAACGAATAAAATTGCTCCGTTGTTCCCGAGCCGTAAGACTTTTTCTGAGCAGGCACAGCCAAATAGCTTGCTGTCCCGTTCTGCCAATCGGTGGAGGAGGTACCCGCAAAGGACGACCCGTACTGGTGGGGTAGGTGGCCGAAGTTGAACGCTTCCAGTGCGGACGGAAATGCGAGGCCACCAATTCTACGGACATTTTTGCCACGTTCCATATTTCCGTCAATGGTATAATTGCCCCCAGGAAGCATCGCGTACGAAGAAGATACCCACAAGGGGTATTCAAAAGCTTTCGAATACTGATTTGATGAGACATCCGTCCCCGAAGTGGCTTGCTTGTTGATCTGATCATTGCCGCCATTTGAAAATTGACCGATATTCGAGTATGTGAGATTCTGGTGCCAAGTCACAACTTCGGATCCAGATGAGGTCTCAATTGTGGACCTAACTGATAAGCGTCGCATGACTTTTATGGAGTAGTCTAGAGAGGTGACGGTTCCGTTCGATCCTTTCCGAACACTAGAAGAGAGCGCTAGTGAGGGTTCTTGCATGTCTACAGTTGGGGCAGAACCAGTAGTGATACTGTCGCTGGAATCTAGCCACAGGAAGACCTTGCCAGTAACAACCCAATTCGACCCCACTGTCTGGGTAAGGTTTCCATGGCCCGCTCCGTCATCCGCTATTCCGGCAACTCGAATTTCGAAACTATGCTCTTTCCCATCGCATAAAATTGGAAGAAACGGGGTTATATCAACCTCGTCCTCGTGGAGATCGAACGCATCGATGCCAACGACGGGGCGCCAAAACCCCGGAACGACACCGCCAGTAAAAATTACCGGGAAAGGCCACGCTACTCCGGCGAGTACCCCGTCGATATAAAGCTGCAATTCCCTGAAAGGAGAATACCCATACAAGGTTGTTTGGTTTTCAAACACTTGTGTATCCGAGGAGAGAACATTGCTCCACCAAAACTCTTCAGCGGCTTGACCACAAGCAGAGATAGAGAACACTGCTTTCTTGATATTTTGCGGGAGAGACAATGATCTTATAGCTCTTTGATCAGGGACAACAAAGCCACTGGGCCTGTTGGATGCGGATTGCTTAGCGGACACGGGAACAATCATGTCGGCAGAGTCCATCGCCTTGTTCTCTATGAAAAATGTGGCGGTGAGTGTCGTATTGAACGATCCAGTATATGTGTCGTCAACGAGGTTCCCAAGGTCAAATATAATTTTTTGGGGTTCCCTGAAAAGCACAAGATAATTGCTCATATCCTTGATGTAGGTCCAGATAATCCCCGTTTGGGTAGGCTCTGCTGTCGAAGTCCGCCATATTTCGGTGTCATTGAAGAACATCAATGCCAATCTGTCGAATTGTCGGCCCGCGGAAGTTACCGTAAAGTTGAATGTCACTCGATTGAATTCACAACTTGGGGGTCGATAGTCACCTACAAAAGGATTAGTGACTTTCGGGGACGGTTCAAAGATAAAGGATGTAAGGTAGTGACGAGAACCGAAGCACAACCTTTTTAGGCAATGTCACCTCTAGAAGACATGACTCTTTGGCTATATGCTGATAGAGTAGCGGAGCTTGTGGAGGAAAGCAGACATTGCGGTGTGGACGAAGGGGCAGATTCTCACTCACCAACAAATGGCACACCATAGCTCCACGCGAAAGTATGAGCCATTAATGTCTGCTGTTCGCAACTAGGCTTTGCTGGATTTAACACTGGGGGCGACACTTGAATGACGTCTAGTAACGATGACGATGCGTTAGACGCACGGCTATTGAGGGCAAGGCCAGGGGAGAGCAAACTAGGCTGCTGCGCGGTAAGGGAGGCGAGAATAGGGTGTGGAAGGGTGATTAGCATTAGAAAGAAAGATAGGAACGGCATCCTTCTGATACCGGCTGTTGACCTTTGTTGATGCCCTTTCCCACGCCTATCCGATGTCGTTGTCCTATAAACTCGATAACAAGGCAAGTCAACTGTTGAGTCGCCGATCTGCTCGGATGGAAGCACCGTTGTTTCCCAGACTTTTGAGGTTTCTCCAGTGTAACTCCTGCCTGTGCCGAGAAGAATGTCCCTAACGCCTTTGCTTGAAATTGCCACATTGGACGACCCCATTATGCTGTGAGCCAAATGGAGGGGTCAAAAATCCAACCAAAAGACTAGAAATTCTGGGACTCGTCAGCATCTAAGCGTTCCGTTCATCGGAGGCGGCGCGTGCGAACCTTGCTAATAATCGAATCCTGCAGAGCTGCGACCTGCGAGCGGCTCAACTTCCGCCTCCGCCTCCGTGATAGCGGTTCCAGAAACGGGCTATCGCGCCTACGACGATAGGATCGGTTTCTCCAAAGCGCGCGCGATAGTAGTTGAAAAGCGAGAACTCTTCTTTCGTAAAGACGTAACTTGAAGGTTGAGCTTGTACTCGAGCCCAGACTTCGCCCAATTTTCTCTCTAAATATGCGTTGATGGTTGGGTCGACCCGGCCGTCGTCACTTGCGCGTGCAATGTCAAGGGCGCGCTGGAGAGAGATGTAGCCGTAGCCAGCTATATAATCTGCATTACCCCCCATGCTTGGCCGATGTTGCAAATAAACAATAGATTGCCGATTTGCGGGGAAAACTAAACAGGAGTGGAAGGAGCGCACGTTGGTAGAGATAAACAATTAACAGGATGGTGCTAGGGAGGGTGATAAGAAGAAGGAAGGCGAAATGCAAATAATGGTCACGATTGGTGAGAGGACAGTGCGAGAGAGAGTTATTATGTGGAGGTATATAAATAATCATCGACAAAAGATGAGATCAACCCACGTGGAAAGACAGGCAGATCCTGAGCAAGACCCTTTGCATAGGGCCAGGTGCTTAGCTGACGCCTCAAACTGCTGGCTCCGGGAGTTTGCCTTTTCGGGTGCTGTCAAGGTGTGAAGCGAAAGACGGGGCGCGATATCAAAGCGCACAAGACCATCCGTTCGACGGCTGCTTGGACGTGGCGACGACTGATGGCAAGACCCTGGCTCCGACAGGGAGCAACAGAGCTTGCAGAGCTTGCCAGGGAGACGGAAGCAAAAGGCCAGAGAGTCAGCCGAGCCAGGTAGATATGCACGACGCCGTTCTTGTCGAAGAAGAGCCCTGTCCACTATTACTGGAACACTGGAGTGCTCCAGTCTGGTCAGCGCGAAAGGAAAGGGCTTTCACAACCGCAGGCCAATCAAGGGGCTATAGCAGCCGGTCAGAGCGGTTATAAGGCTGGGTAGTTGAATAATGACAGTCGTCAGCAGCTCGATACCGGTAGCTCAAAGTTTGCGACTGGTGCCGTAACAGGGCTGGGAAGCCGAAAACTTTGTTTGCGCGCTGCGAACCTTCGGGACGCCCAGCGGGAGGCTTAAGAGAAGGTGGTAAGACGGCTTCGAGTAAGAATGTGCTAAAGGTCGTCCCGCATCGTACGACGAATGATGGGAGCGAACGGTCAGGGACGGAGCCGGGAGGAAGTGAGGTTGGTTGCGAGCCTGAGAGGCGCTCGCAAGCACGCAATGTGGCGTCGGGGCGTGGGAGCGCGCTGGAGTCGCCAGGGAATACCGCACAACTTCAGAGGTCCGACGACTACCCCCATGTCATGTCGAATTAGGCTAATGAGACGTTGAAGGCTGCTGCAGTCCGGCTACGTCCGCAGGACATCAAACGCTCATCATCCAAGGCTCCCCATGGTAATGCACTGTGCCATTACTCGAGATGCCTCCAGCCTCACCTGACTGCTGTGCGCCGAGAGCAGCGCTGCGCGAAGAGAACTTGCAACGCCTCGTCCGCCTTCCCTCTCGTCATCGACTGCTGTTCGTAGCTAAGCGGCCGTCTTCGATAATTAATAATGCAGTGGTTGACACCCGTTCACATATAGTGTCCATGGTACGCAAGCTGCCCCGCAGTTTTATCCAAGCAATGAGACATCACAAGAGCGATCGTCACCACTGTTCCAGGAGAGAAAGCTCCCACCAAGCCGCGCCGCACATAGTCTACCAAGGACCTCCATGGCATCAAGCGGCAAGCATCTTCTGACACTTGCTGCCAAATTCTTTCCCAAGCGCAAGTAGACGGAGGGGGGACTCGGTGAGAGTTCACCGCTTATGCCTGGAAGACACACTCCTTTGCAGCCAGTTTTCGAGACTTTTCTGTGGATCTCTTGGCCGCCCCATGGCTGATGCTCCGCCAGGGATTGCACCGACTCCACGTGCCCTGCAGTGATAAACTTTTTCCTGTGCGGCAGCCCGGGTACAGGAATGGCAAAGGCGGAGCACATGGCCGGCTCCTTTGAACGGTCCCGCTAGCATTGGGCAAGAAACGGCATGAGTAGTCCCAGGTTCGCATGTCGAACACAAACCCGTCTCAGGAACGTGGAAACAGGGGATGCTGTCATGATCAAGCGTCCTGCAGACTGATTACCGCTCCGGTTTCAGGAGTGCGATTCAGTGGTGGGAGCCTCGCATCCGGATTCGAGCGTCGAGAGTCGCGTGCATCGTTCTAGAAGACGGGAGAGCATCCGCGCAGGAGAGGAGGCTTGCTGGCGCGAAGAGCGGTACGCAGCACATGCACAAAGGTGCCTGATAGCCTCCAGGTTTGTCTGGATAGTGGTGCAGTGCTGTTACAAAAGCTTCCAAGCCCACGTTCCATGCAGCCCTCGTGCGTCTTGCCCTGAGGAAAGCCTCCCAACGAAGGCCGTCCCTGAAATTCAGGCACGCACGGGCCGACAACGCACCCGACCGCCCGGATGCAGTCGGCCCGATCCTTGCCCCAAATTTGAGCGCCCACCATTTTGTCTGCTGGTGCAGCTTGCTGTGAAGGGCATGAAACAATCCACCGCAACCGACACCCACTTTATCTCCATTGTTCGCTCCCGCCTGTTCTACTCGCCTCGTAGAGCCCGGCACACCCCATGACCCTGCGCGCTGCCCGCCTTTGGCCGCATCACATTTTCCGGGGCCAGTTCAGACAGAGTGGTGCCTCACTTCCCCCATCGCCAGTACTGCGCAGCTTCTTCACCTCGACGCAGCTCTCCGCCGGCGCGAGACTCTCTCGTCGCCCTCTCGCACGATATACGCCCTTTATCCCCTACGGTCAACAGCCACTACCTTTTCGTGTCTTCCGCGCCTTCCGTGCCCTCCGTTTCAAGAGCGAGAAGACCCTGAACCCTACACCGCACCTAGGCTCCCCAGAACCAGCGCCTTCGCTTTCACAGCGACTCCGCAAGCTCTCACGAGAATATGGATGGTCGGCACTGGGAGTCTACCTAGTCCTTGGGGCATTGGACCTCCCCATATCTTTCTTGCTAGTGCGTATGCTCGGGGCGGAAAGGATTGGACATTATGAGCACGTGATTGTCGAGGCATTCCGGAATCTGGTTCGCATACCATTCCCGAACTTCGGAAAGCACTCAGAGGATGAAACAGCCGCGGTTAGGCAGGATGGTGGTGAGGTAGTAGCAGGAGAAGGGGATTTGGTGTACCAAACGGATGGAAAGGATGATCGGGGTGAAGCATGTACGGAACCGCATTGGGCCTTTTTGTCATCGTTGGCTAACCCAAGTCGTAGCAATCTGGACGCAACTCGCTCTTGCCTACGCGATTCACAAGTCGGTATTTATCTTCGTACGGGTACCGCTGACCGCAGCAATCACACCTAAGGTTGTTAAAACGTTAAGAAAGTGGGGCTATGATATTGGAAAACGGAAACCAAAGCCCAATTGAAGGGATCTCGGGTCCTCTCGTCTACAACCGTGGCAGTGGCTAGGCCTAGCGCGAATTCGGGGTCCTGAAACCCTGGTAGGTTCATTTCATCTATCTTTAGGTGACAGTGGTAAGAGCTCTGGAAAATATGTAAAACATTATATAATACGGAACGACCATAGGAGATATGTATAACATGCTGAGTCTATGCTCCCTCTTTGACCCCAGATGGTGCACTAAGACGCCGCAACAAGGGCGTTTGCCAGCCAGCAATGTGAGATACAACTCATTGACCACGTTCGTGAATACTAGTTCCGAAAAAGAACATCAAGCAATTGGTAACACAAGTTACCTCATAGCTCTTCTTCCCATAGGGTAGGCCATAATGCGTTCGTTCATGTCCATGGCCCACTGTATGCAAATTGGGCAAGCAGGCCTCAAGTTTTGCTCATCTAACAGCTGGCTTGCCGTGAGGCTTGTACTGCAGGAGGAGGAGTCCCGGAACAATCACATTGGAAATCAGTCTCGAGCCCTAATTCAGTTCTAGGACCGACTAGTTCTCTAACCTTCGCCAATTATATCTTTAAGTCGATGTGTCTGCCTGTCGTTCAGAACGATTTCCACAGCAGAGGTCGTCCCCCATTTGCAGAGAGTCTACATCGCTTGAAACCTAAATGAACCCCGCCAACATCTCCGTGCTGAGCGGCGCTTCGAAGGGAGGAGAATCCACCAATAGGTATAGGCTTGTTCTATTTAAGTTTAGAGTACTTCCTAGGAGGTAGGCAAACAAGTACAGTTCCACAGCTAGACCAGATGATCACTGTCGAGCTGACAAAAGGGATGCGAAGCTCATATCCGCCAACATCAAACCCTCGACTGCGCATAAATGGTCAATAGCATCTCCTAGCTTGATATTTTGTTTCCGGCAACACAACTTGTCCTTCGTATAGTATCCGAGTTTCGCGAGTTAAACTATCAGACACTAAGACTATACCCAATAAGACTTATTTGATAACCTTGAAATCATGCATCATCCTTTTCCATTGTCCCACCGACTCTTCTAGTACAAAAGAAAACGTTTCCCTTACATACCAATGTCAGGATATATCCTTGACTCCGCCTGTTTCCGTTCAAAGTCTATTATCATCCATGGCCGCACTAACATGTTTAAGTTTCGAACAACCGAATGTCCGATCACTAGCTCCTCGTCAGCGAAATGAACCTACTTGCCAACGAATCACGATGGTGCTAAGCAAAGGGACAGAGGAACGGAGAAACGGAGGAGCAGTCTCCTCAAGAACTTTCTCCAAATCTAGAATCCTTTTCTCAAGCCATGGATACTTTACTAGGTCATACTAAACGAAGCTAAGCCACCCGAAGAATCCCAACAAAACATAACACAAAGAGAGCTTCATTCGTGGCTCTTCACCTTAGTGGTAATGCTTTCGGTGAATTTTGCGGTTCTATTTCTATGTCCAAAAATATTTTCGAAGGGCCTAGCTCTGTTCCAAAAGGGCCGTCCACAAACTGCCTTAGCTGATTCCACTTCAACGATGGGACGTGGTGTCAAACCGTGGCACGTTGCTAACTATGTATTCTTCCGATCCACTCGTAGTCAGTGTTTTAAAGCAGCAGGCACGTGATAGCAACGTTCCTCGAAAAGCGAAATTTTCCTATTGACCGAGAACAGCACAGACAACGTCGTATCCAGTTGAATAAGACGCACATTTAGAGGGTTGGTTGATAAGAACTACTGAACAAAGAGAATTAATGCTACCGCTAGTTCGAGTTTATCTTCCGGAATATGAGATCACGGTAAGTATTTAAAGCGGCTGCCTGTTGGGACTAATTGTCTCCGCAAGTGTACGAGAGTGACTAATCCGCTTTCCTCCAACTTGGTTAACTAACTTAGCGCCAACGGCACAGGCCTTTGGCATCCTTTCACCTGCACTCCAGCCACTTCAACTAAGCAGACTTCCAAACTCTCTTCACACCGTATACGCTCGTCTCTTTAACTTGGTTCCCCACGACATCCCACTCTTGTTCCAAGCTACAAAGAATCATGTCACTGCGCGGACTCCAGGAATTGCCCGTCGAGCTACTGCAACACGTTATATCCCATTTCCCAAACAATAATAGCAACAATCGAAAAACGCTACGTAACCTTTGCTTAAGCTCACACAAGCTCCGAGATCTAGCACAGCCATTCCTTTTCGCCCGTTTTAAGCCATTTATGCCTAATACTCAACCGGACGATGAGCGGTATCTCGAATCCTCCCATCACCAGTTGGTAGGATTTCTTCGCACGATCGTCCAACGCCCTGACCTTGCTCTCAAAGTAGAGTCCTTAGATCTTGTCTTATCCTATCCAGCAGTCAACCCTCATGATGTTAGCGGAATGCAAAAAGTCGGCTGCACAATGCAAGACTCAACCTTTTCACTAGATCGAAAGGACGAGGAGCTCTTCTGCGATGCCACCCCGGGGTCCGTCAAGACTATTCCTGAGTGGCAGACACGCATTCAGCAAGGAGCTTATCGTACCTTGCTTTTGATTCTCCTATCGCACCTTCCCAATCTCAAAGCCATTGCCCTTCCGGTGGCATTTACGTACAATCGGACAGATGGACCACCTGATCAAATCCAGCACATGGAAGGTGAGCAGCTTCGTCGCCTTTTCCCGGCACTACAGGATATTCACATCACATGTCAATGGTCGGATGGTACTTTGAATATCGCCAACTTCACAGAAGTTCTAGGGCTTCCAACTCTACGAACATTTAGAATCACAGATTGCATTGCCTACTTTGAGACCGGTACCTACACGAACCCTCTACGGTCACCCCCCAATTCCTGGAATGTAGCACACATTTTCCTAAAGAGCTGTTCCATGGGTGCGGCGTGTCTTGTGGTGTTTTTGAATGCCTTTCATTGCCTGAAGACATTCGAGTACGAAGCCGCGCCACTCGACGATTTCCACGAAGAGCCTTTCAAACCAGGTGACGTCACTCCTGCTCTGCAATGCCAGATTTTGTCCCTGGAACGCCTCTCACTTGACCTGGCTGCCCTTGCTTTTGACGAGTTTGAAGACGATGGTGAGAGCCTTGAATTTCCAAGTGTCTATAACCATCTTACCATTGGGCCTATGGACTCATTTTGCCGCCTTCGACATGTTAGAATTGATGTTGATCTCCTTGGAGGTGTCAGAAAGCTTCCGCGTTCACTCGTGACGCTCATTCTCACCAACTGGGTCCAGCGCTCATCCGGATATTTGGATCAGTTGCTGAACCTGAAGGATACATTCCCCCAGATACGATACGTCTTCGTAGGTGGTATGCTGTCTTTTGAAGATGCCTTGGAGTGGGGTCGGGATCATGGCGGTATCGTCCGCCAGTTTTTGGGAGCTTCTCAGCTCTTGGTGGTTCCTGGACTACCTTATCAACTTTGCCTGTGTTCGCATAGGCAGTATTTTCATTTGTTCAATGAGGACGACATCGAAGAGGTTGGCTCCAAGTCTCCCTTTAATTCGAGCATAACTGACCATTATTAAAGAGTGTAGATCGCATCGTCGCTAAGGGTTAAATGATGGATTGAACAGACCTACTTGCACAAACGGCGCTGTACTAGACTAAGGGATCATTTAGCGCTTAGTGTGACCTGCTCGATGCCAGATGTTGAAATTCGCATATGTCTTGTGTCTAGTATTACGCGCAATCAGGTGACGAGCCTGAAGGGGGGGGTACTTGAGAACCTGTGAGCGACATTGAGACTTCCGAAGAAGAGCTGGGGCAATTGATTGGTAGCTGGAACGGGGGTGAGTGTTGTTGGAAGAGACAGGACGTTGCATTTGCCCTGAGGCTACGGGTGTGCCTTCCGTGACCGGACCAAGCGCCGACCCGGAGGATAGCTGTGTTAGATGTAAATGTCAAAGCATTTACTGCTGTTAGAGGGAAGGTGTTACTCCCTTGATAGAAGGGGTTAGCAGTCTAATGAGATGAGCGCCACTAGCTACGACAGCCATGAAGGTTCTACTAAATTGCTTCTCTGGTGAGGTTTTGACGTAAGTTAAATTGACCCAATCTTACACGTGGCCCCGCTACTATCTATACAAACAAACCAAAGAGTAATAGCTGCTACTCATTGTAATGCCTTCAAATCTTACACCTAATAGGGGAATTGCAGACTATCCCTTCTGTTATTCGTCCTTGGTTTGTCTCAGTATCCGATTGACCTGCTGTAAATTTCTCTTTGATGGCTTCTGAATTGAAGTTGCCCGTAGATCACATCTTGAGTATAGGCAGATTTTACGATAACCAAGAGTCCTGGCCTTGCAGCGTTTAAGAAAGAAAGCTTGTGACCTACCCTACCGCAACTCAAATACCCTTTCCACATATGCTTCTGCTCCTTCCAATTTCCCCGCGACCTCCCCTTTCATAAATCCATCAACATAGCTCTCCCCAACACATTGATACCAAGCGCCTCCGTTCTCCTCTCTCAGTACAAACGGAACCTGGCCTCCCCAAAGCACAACCACTAAATCCCCAGCCTTCATGGCACCAGGTCCGAGTCCCAGTTTCCCGAGCTGCGTCGTAAACGCAGATCGGTAGTAGTTGAATTTCCAAATAGTCTCCTGCATTTTGTCTGGATCCCCCCTTTTCGATGACGATTTAGAGCAACTGAGAGCCTCGCCTAGTTGGTTATTCTCGAGCCAGTGTTCGTCCAGCTTTGTGAGGAGGGCGAAGAAGTCGGCTATATGCTGGTCGGTATCAGCAACGAGGTGGCCATTCGAACCACGGCCCGCAGTAAGTGTTGAGGCGACAGTGTGGAGTGGAGAGCCTGTATTGATGCACCATTGAACAAGTCGCAGAAGGCTGCTTTCCGAGTCGGTAATATTTGTGAAGGGGGTAGGCGGGAGTGTTTGAGAGATTACGTCAACGATAACCCCTTTGAGGCATAGGATACTGGGACTCGGGGTGGGCAGCAACTCTAGGGATTTGCATTTCCCCGCTGTATATTGATTGCTCTTGACATATCCTGTGAATGGATGGGTGACAACTCCACTGTTCCAATCCGGTACCCAAGATGGTAGTTTTTCATGAGGTGGATATTGTGATGGCCACTGCAGATGAAGCAGGTCTCCCGGAAGCGTCGTCCAAGTTGGGAGGAGGTGTTCGGGGACATGGTGAAATAGTCTATTTTTGTCGATCCCATCTGGACAGTAAACTACCCCCGGAGGAGGATGGACGTACGAGAGAACGTCGATATCCTGATACCTCCCTATAATTATCCTTACTACATCGGTGTATATTTGCGCTACGGGAAGCGAGTAATCTGGGTTTATGAACACTCTAGTCTCGATATTCGCATTCTCGATATCCGCATCTCTAGTCGGAAATCCTAATAGTCCATACACTTTATCCCTTGGGTTTGTGACGTCGAACGACCTGGTCCAATCTAAGAGATGCAAGAAAGGCTCCTCCTCCTTCCGTTGCTTATCTTGTTGTAGACGACAGAGATGATCCATGAAGACTGCATTTTGCCAATGTCTATTCGAGAGATTATTATTCAAGTATCGATTGTTTGCCAGTCTTATAGTTTGGATTGCTTCCCCGATAATTTGCCAATCAATCTCCGCAGACCCCCAGATGAACGTTGCGCTTTTGGCGAGGACGATCTCTTGGATAACCCACATACGGACGAACCAATTGTTATCAAATAGCGCCGCTACGTTCATCCACTCGTCTGATTCTATTGGGGGTGGAGAGTAAATGTTCATGACTCCGTACTCGTCATCCAACGTCTTGAACGTCGCAAGTTCCGCTCCCTCACTCCGCCGCGCATTCGTAACCGCGCACAGGATAGCAAAGCACCAATGTGCTTCGTCCCACTCGTCCGTCCCAAGCCAGACAAGGACTTGCTTTGCTCCCTCGTAAATATGGTGCATATGTCGGACTTGAGTTGCCATCTCTCCTAGATCTTTCTGATGAATACATAGCCCATCGACCCAGATCAATCTTGACTGCTGTGGGTATCTCAGGCGTTCGAGAGCCTCGAAGAGGTTCTTCCGCACCCCGTCCACCCTATGTCCGTTGCAAGTGATGGACTTTGTATCCTCCATCGATCCCCAAACGTACGACAACGCTTCATAGGATGGAAGCGTCTTGTCCAACCTCGCTAATTCAAGGCTACATCTGATATCTTGTCCTGGATTTCCTGGATGTATCCTGAGGAGTCTGATGGAGTCTCCATACGGCAAATGCCGATAGAGTGGCGTCCTTCGAGGTAGTACATAGACTATGAAGGATTTTAGGTAGCTATATATCGTTTTAGATCGCGATCGTCTACGATTGCGAGGCTTTCGAGGCGAATTAAGGGTCTGATCCGATATATGCGTCATGGCGAGGTGCGGGGAAAGTAGAGCCGGGCGTAGTAGATTTGATGTGCAGAGGGTACATGTGAGATTGCCTTGATCCTGAGACAGCAAAGACGAAGTTCAGCAATAGGATGTAGAGTTTAAAGACGTAGGGTTGAGACAGGCACAGATTGGATAGCAAAGAGCTGTCACTTCAAGTCCGTCCCATTAAGCCTTTAACAACCCCATGCCTCCATGGGCACGCGCGATTTACCTGCCAAGGCTCCCATTTTGAATAAGAGGCTGCTGTTCCTGGGACTCAAATTTGTTTGTCATGAGGGACAATATTGGGGCGCAGGGTTCCACAAAATGAGGCTACTTTGCGAATCATCCTTGGCTTCTGTCACTGAGTGGGAGCGATACGCCTTGGATTTTCAGCCGCAGCCTTGTCTACGGACATGAAACGCAGGATCAGCCTTGTGCTGGAATCCCTTTATCGCTGTCAGTAAAGGATGACTGGTCGAGGGATTAAACAAAAATACATCGCAGTTAATTCTAGTATCAATCCGTTACAGATGCCAATTACTTTCAGATATATCCGCCCAAACCTGTCTCGAGTGATATCCATTCCAAGATCCATGAGTGACACCGATCCAACGATGTCTCTAAATTTCGTCCAAGACCGAGACAAATGATATCATCAAAGGAAAAGTTAATGCAAAAAAAAACAAAAACCGTACGATATGCCATGCACATTTCCACCTGACGCCATGCGTGAAACACAAACGCCAAACAAACGCATGAATGATCGCACAATGCATGAAACAAACAGTAAAAGTAAGAATCGATCAACTTATCCAAAGGACAAAGCACAATAGCACGAAAACCTCAAACATCACCCAGCTCATTCGGCGGAAGACCCTGCACTAGGCGACCGGGTCAACTCTTCGCCCCCTGTCCCCAGCATCTCCATCTCCTCGGCAATTTGCTCATACCAGCTGCCGTGCGCCCTTCTATCAACATCGCTGACCTTCCCAAGTTGTTCGACAATATCTCCAACCTGACTCACAAACTCAGGGAGTCCAGTCGTAGCGAGTCCTTCTGTAGCAGTGCTAGCAGCCCTAACTCTCTCGCCAGAGCTGCTGGCTGAGACGCGATTGAAGATGAGAGTCTTCAATCTTTGGAAGAGGACCTTAAGGACTGGATCAGACAGCCTTCCAGCTTCGGCTTGGGTAAGCAAGCGAGTGATTGTGGATGCAAGCTGGGCACGGCTGGTAGGTGGCATCGCGTGAGATGATTCTAGGAGAGAAGAAATCTTGGAAGGCGTTGCCGAATCTTTGAGATAGCCGTCTTTGAGTGTCTCCCACATTCGATTGGCTTCGTGCTTCCATTGGGAGCGGACGTCACGCTTGAGGAGGTTTTTAGCGGTCAAAAGGATACCACCAATGATGGTTATGCGAAGGGCATCCGTGCGAATGCGTGATATTCGATCTCGGTCAAGCTCGAGTGTCTCGGGTAACTCTGAGTCTCTCAGCGGAGGCGTCGCGATGGCGAGATCGACAAGGCCGCGGGCATAAATCTTCTGAGGCGTGGGGCGGTTCACCGGATTCGGATCGTTCCATGGATCACGGCGGTCAGCTTCTGTATGCATATTTACAGCAGCGCTGCGCCACCAGCGACGGGTCCTCTCCAATGTAATTGTACCAGACTCTAGATCTTGTGCAAACATGCGCTGCTCGTATCCAGGAGCCTCTTTGATGAGCGTCGGAGCCGCGTTCATCAATAGAAAATTAGAATAATCTAGAGAGAGAAGATCAATGACGTGCAGGAGCTTGAACAGCTTCTCAATCATCTCTGGCAATAGACCTTCCTCTTGGAGCTCATCGGCAAGAGCCTTAACCTCGGAATCGCGGAAAGGAGCACAGAGTTTTGGAAGAATGTTGGCAATGAAGGAGAAGAACTTCTCGTACGAGAACATGCCCTGGCTACATTGTCGGTTGATGAGCTCCGGGTCCAAGGTATCAGTTATGAGTGTATGCATCGAGTTGCCAGGCTTCAGCAAGCGAAGCAGCTTCGCTCGGATATTTTCCGCCATAGCGACGGTCCACACGGCACCTTCTCTATTCTCAAAGCCCTTGAGCATGGAATCACATACCTCTCTGTTGAGAGCATCCCGTAAGTCTGCGGTGGGCGAGGCATCAATGCGGTATTCTTTATCAATGGACAACTCGTGCACAAGAATGCGGTTTCCGGGGACAACTGTAAACACTTTCGATAAAGAGTTTGCCTGGTGACCTTCAGCAGAAGCTGGGTCGTGAGGTGACGAAACCTGAGAAGCAGCTGCGGTTTGCACAGCCGAGTTTTCGTCTGAAATAGGAGATCCGGGACGAGAATCAATTGCAACACGAGGGCGGACGTCTCCAGCGGGTCTTTTCTTCGGTCTTGCCTTGCGGCTCTCACGAATAGCTTTCCTGATTAGGGTGAACGCCCTGTCTTGCCCTGCAAGCTTTTTAATCTTGCTGAGAAGGATGGCTTGATTGTCCCGGATCCCATTTTTATAATCGGTAGCGACTTCGTCGCTTGTTTCATCTTTGACACTTTGCCAAATTGCATCTAGGTTAACGAATGAGGCAACCATGGTCTCAACGAGAGCTGATGAATCTCGTGCCTTCCAATCGTTAAAGGCGGTAACGAATGCGCCATGAGCTAGCAGAACCGTTTCCAGCCGGGTGGGCGAAGGGGTATAGTAGTTGAAGGTGGTAAGCTTTGAGAGTGCAGATTCGAAAGATATAATGAGGTCCTTAGCTTTAGTGATGAGGTCTTGCTCCTGATCGCCATCGCGGCTCAAAACATGTGCGGGGTGTCCCAGAATGAGGTATGCCGACAGAAACTTTCTAACAGCGGCCCCGCCGGGGGTGGCGTCTCCCTCTGGGAGCAGCTGGAACAGCGACATGATCTTCTCCGTCGTGGCCAGGACCTTCTCGTCCCCCAGCAATGTGGTGATGTCGTCAAAACTGGTGTCATGGACCTTGTCGATGGAAAGACCCAGCTCCAGCCATGCGTCAACAACGCATTTCCTCGACCGGGCCCTCCAGGCAGCCTGGATGCGCTTGGCTGCCACATCAGAAGATACCGCAGGGCGCAGAGCTGGCTTCTTTGTGTCAGTGGGTGGCGAACTGGCGGTCCTGGGCCTGCGCGCATTGCGTTTGTATTCGAGCCTCCTCCGCTCAGCATCTGCAAGCTTCTCCTCCATTTCGAGCCTGTACCGGCGCTCTTCGGCGGCTTTTCTCTCCTTCATTTCCTCTGCAACTTTCTTTGCACGTCGAACTTCCTCGGCGCATGCTGCGGCAACCTGCGCCAGGTGTCTCTCGCGGGCCTGCTGCGCTGCCAACGCTTTCTCTTCGCTGTTGGAGCTGCGTGGGGTTGCTTTGGCCAGGGCCGCGCGCAAACGCACCTGTTCGGCATGTGCGGCACGGTCCGCTAATCTTGCCTTGCGGCTCTCGAGTATGGATGCGCGGCGGAGATGCTGGGCAACGTGGTTGCTCTGGCAGCTGTTGCGGTAGGAGCGGTTCGACTGGTGGGAGTGCGTCGAAGAAATGGAGTTGCGACGCGACGAGGCCGCAGAAGACTTTCGGCGGCTGTTCGAAGGGCGATAAAAGCGGGCAGCTATCCGCGGGGGGGGGGCAAACACCTGGCTGCTCTCCGCGTCGTCTGAAAGGACCATCTCAGGCTCCTCTGGAATGTCGTCGTTCGCCTGGAGCTGCACACTGGCGACCAGGTCGGCCTCAGAGTCAGAGAACGAGCCGTTCATGGTGGATCTGTTCTAGTCTTCTGCCCGCAAGACACAGGTGCGCGTGTGTGTGTCGGGCAGGTGTAGAGTGTGAAGAAGTAATAGAGTCTCTAAAACACGGTGAAACAAAGCCGTAAGCAAAACAGCACCCGATAGTCAGCCGGCTGCAAGTGGAGGAATTGAAATACGGTTCCGAACGAAAGTCCCGTGAATATATGATACGAGAAGAGAAGAAGAGTAAAGAAGAGAGCACACAGCGGAGGGGTGCTGGTGTCGAGGTGAGGAAGAAAAGGTGGTGGCTGGGAGGGGTTGCCTTGTTTGAAGATCACGATCTAGTGATGGCAGCGGCTTTGATGACATGCGCACCCGCTAGAACCTCATCGATACATATCGTCATATGAACTCTAGCTCACGTAACTCTTGCCCATCACGCCTCTCTTATCGCACATCTTATCCCTCCTAACTACATCATAAGATTTATCACATGTAGTTCGTCGCATCTTCACTATTGGACCTTGAATCGTTTGGTTTCTTGTTTGGTGCATGACTCGATTAGGCCTTGAATACGAACCTTTAAAACAACCATGGAACTTAAAGAACTTCAATTCGGGCCTTCCACAAACTTTTCGAATTTGCAATGGCCACCTTCGCTTCATCAGCTCTTGCCCCTAGAAGTCGTGCATCTCGCTGTTGTCTCGAGATATCACACGACACTCCCGAGGTCCCGAGGTCCTGAGGTCCTGAGGTCGCCTTCAATGTCACGTGGTGTTGGTCGCTTGACTTGCGGCATGGGGGATAGATCCAAGTTCAAAGAGTCTTCCAGCATTTCATATTGGGATTTGTTAGGGAGAAGACTTATTCCAGGCTTTGAGAAAAAATGGAAAGGCATGCTCTTCTATTCGTTCTAAGGATCTTACTGAGTGAATTTTATGGTTAAAAATTTTAAAGCACTAGAAAGATGGTCATCTGGGTACCATAAACCGGCAAAAACATACAACAGCAGGTATTCGCTAGTGGTCACCCACCTAACTACTAATCCGCCGGTACCGAGATTGTCTATCGAAGATCGAACGGGGTTCAGACTTCTCTTGGTCCTATGGTCGTATGTGATGGAAATGGATAAAACATTAATATATGTAGGTACTCACATCCAGTCACGTTGCCAAAGAAGAGAATTACGATAGGCGCCAAGGGGGTAAATTAATTTAAGGAAACAGTTTGTATCAGTAGACAAGAGAAATTCAAAGTCACCTTCATACCTACTTATTACTCAAAGACAAATAGTCAAATCTTCGAGATTTTATGATCGAACATAATCTCCTCGCTCTAGATCAACTGCATTCCCCACTACTCCCAAGCCCTTAACTCTACTAGTCACATGCACTCCCCTTCTGCACACCTTTCTATTTTCTATACCTCTATCTCGCACTCAAACAGCCGCATGCATTCTTCTGGGCGCCTCTAGCACAATACATAACGCCATCCACGTCCACACCGATCACAACTTCAGCACGCACCACTCTTGCAGCAACAGCTTTTCTAGACGCGTCTTGCAAAACCCTCCTAACCCCCAGCCTGACAACTCATCTCAATTCCCGCCTCGCTTATACACTCTGCATATTCCCCACTGTCTAGCATCTAGCATCTAGCATCTCCCATACTCGTTTCAGCCTATGTACCACAACATCTTTCCCCCTCTTCAAAGTTTCGTTTCCCCTGCTCACTCGGCCCTCCCCCCCATGGTGCGTTCGCCTCTACCCGCAGTTCCTCGCCTCTGGTCCCTAAACCCTGGGTTCCGGTTCAACAAACCTCCCTGTTATTCCCAATCCAGATACCACTGACGAGTGAGACAAGTAGGCGTTGTACAACCCCAGCCTCCCTCAGAGTGCCTTGCAGGTTCTTCTCCCGGGCGGTTATCCTGCAGCTTCGGTTCCGGGGCTCGTCGACGTTAATCCGTTAATGACGGACCTGATGGCTTGGAGGCTGGCGTGCACCCGGTTACGGCAGCGGTTGGGCGCTCGCTGGGTCAGCGATTCGATGATGCATGCGGGTGCTGTAAGTATGTAGTAATGATGGCCTCGGGTGGCGTGGATTATTTGCAGTCATGATCGGACGTGGAGGCGAGTTTCTGATATCTAACAGGGTTTCTAGAAATAGAACACTGCGGTGAGTGTGCAATCGTAGCGGCCTTAACCGCGGACGCTATCATGTGAAAACAACGGGGAGAATGAAAGTAGTGTTCAAGTCGAGATGCAGCTTACAGGGATGCAAGCCTTCCTAGGCAGGTGTAAACTCGAGAATATGGAGACACGTGAAGTTGTGGTCTTTTCCGAAAGCAGAAGCTATGAAGACGATCAAGTGTCAGGCTCAAACAAGACAATTGCCACTCGTCTACCACTCGCCTCATACTGTGACACAAACGCTCAGACGTGCTACTCAATCCAGCTTCTAGAAACCCATATTCTCGAACCTCGTTGCCGCAGTGGCTGTAATTCGTGGAGAAACAGTCTTAGGCCATCCTTCACCAACACACTCGGGCAAATGAAACACGGCTGGATGAATATACGAGCCATGACACCGAAACTTGAAAGCAAAATACGACATGTCAACGCATATGGGAAACTTGATGAAATAGACCTCGGGAGGCACAACGAGGAACGTGTGCCCCGGAGCACAGCAACAAAACGTACATGGCTTTCTGCTGCGCCTCGACAGACGCACATCACATACCCTCTAATATTTCGTCCAACCGCGCCTGGGGCAGGGAAATATCCAAAATCAAGTAACTAAAATGATATGGTGAATTGATAGCAAGACGCGAGTGGGAAATGTTGTACTGTTTGAAACTTGTAGATATTCGCTAGTTGCTCTCTGAACGCTCTGCCGCTAACTTGGGAATCGCTCCTGCCGCGGTCGTCCCGCGCAAATAAAAAAGGCAGGAGCCTACCTGTCCAGATCTATACACCTATTATAGTTATACATTGAAATATTTAGCCTTCCAAGGTTTGCTTTTGGGTATCCTCCTGACCCACGACTGCGCTTGCCTCTCAAGTCACTAGACTAGGACGAGGGGTGTAGCCGCCGACAATGCTCCTTCGATTCGAGATCGGAAGTAGAGAAAAGAAATTAGCAATAAACGTTAAAAAGGAAACACTTTTGGCTGATGAGCCCCCTGCGTGAACATGCCATGTTTTAGGCGGAGTCCCATCCGAGAAAAACTCCGAGAAGATTCCACTGAAGGGGGGTGTGCCTTGCGGATGAACCAAAGAAACCTTCTAGATTCGTAGAAAAAACAAAACAAAGGAAATTCGTATTAAGGAGCGGTCGTGGCTCGTATGAGCGGCACATGTTCGAAAGGACAAAAACCACCGTCACACACGTCATACTTCGTAAACCGTGCGTAACGTGTCATGTTACGGAGGTCTAGCAAAGAAAAATAATCACACAAATATTGGCAGGGAGACGTGTGAGCTCATCGAGTGAACCGAAGCCCAGCCGACGATCGTCCAAAGAATGAACCCGGTAACCTCATGTCGCTGAAAAATTTGAAAAAGGCGCGTTTTCGAGGAGGTTGCTTCTGGACTTGTGATGCGATCTGAACCATCGGTCCGACAATGTCCTCATCTCCTAGCTTTGGGAACTTTCCCTCGCTTCTTGGGTCGTTGAGAGTCGGCATCTTACTGAGTGGAGCGGGTTCCAAAGGCGACGATGGTTCCGGTTCTTCACCCATCGCTACGGCGCGTGAGAGAGCGAGATCATTGTTCCTCTTCCACAACGCATCGACCTCGTCCCACTTCTTCTCAGTGAGCAGGTAGGTTTTGGAAGTGACACCAAAGTGCTCTCCCGTTCGTACTTGGTGTTTGGTAAAGTTGCAGCGCGCTTGCTCCCAATCGGCAAACAGTTGTCGTAAAGAAGCAATGTCACAAACGTCGGGGACATAGGGCTCCGGCTGAATGGTAAAGTTTGCGTGGCCTAGCTTAATGGCCCACTTGTCATTCGGATCGGTAAGCATGATTGGCGGAATGTCTGATGAAGGCACTAGGTGCCCAGGCCGTGATGTCTTGAAGGATGAGATGGACGGTTTGGAAGAAAGAGGCGGAGTGGGATAACCAAGGACTGGAGGAGTACCAATGGGTGTAGCGACCATAGAATGAGTGGCATCGGCCACTTTGGGAGATTGAAGAGGGGATTGGGTTGGGTGGTCACTTAGTCGTGACTTGACGAGCAAAGGTGGAAGTAGAGGAGTGGTGACAAATCGCTCAGACTCTGCTTGCTCAGCGTCCACATCGAGCGATTTCGCCTTGGCGATGTCAATTGGCGATGAAACGAAAGATTCATCCAGACGTTCCTTGCTACTCCGGGCTGGGGTGGGAGGAAGTTTCTCGCAGAGATCGTACCCTTGATGAATAGAGCTAGTGATCGACGACGACCGGGTCGACGATACTCGTGATGGGGTGGCACTTCGGGAGGTCCTGCCGAAGGTTGAGGTCGTCTTGCGATCTCGCAAATTTCGTCGGAAAGAAGGGAACCTGCTCCCAAGCTTGCTGGTAATGCTGTTGGCCGTTGATTCTGCAGATCGCCGCCTCTTAGACATATGTGGCCCTGAATCATTGCCAAAGTAGTCTTCTGCGAAGTTGTACGCTTGCCCGAATACAGAGCGTCGAGTTGGTGGTCGAGAGTGCACACAGACTTCGACATCGCCTATCAATATTATTAGTATCCACATTCATAAACCTATAACATAAGACATACAGGAGCAGCGGTAGGAAACCGTCGTGACATAGTCATCCTCACGCTCAATCGGCTCCTCAGTCAGCTTTGGCAGCTTGCCAGAGCCATTGGGAACCTCGATGGGGTCGTGGTTGGGTGGACTTGACGATAGTGACGAGGTCGAACTGGGGTATCTGAGGTGGCCTCGGGAGGAAAAACTTGGCGTCGGCGGTGTTGAGCATTCTGATACCGAGTAGAAGCCGGAATCAGCGCAAGAATAGATGGACGAAGCTGGGTCAGAGGTCATGTCGAGAGAGGACTTGGACGACTTGCGCGCTGCGACGAGCTTGGGCAGAATAAGAGGTTTCATTTCGCGCATCGTCGTGGTGGTGGGGACGTGTTTTTTCGCGATGGGTGCCGGGGTCCCATCACCAGCTTAAAAGGTCAACAGCACTCTGGGGGGGGAAGGCTTTGGAGCTGCCCGCGTCGCTGTGTGGAGTTCCTATCCGGGACGGAATGGCGGAAGGTGAAGGTCTCTGGGGGGTGCCACGACAGACCGTCCACGTAGGTACCTTGAGGTGTTTATCCTGTCGCGAGGGCTCTCAATGCAAACTCAGCGCCTGCTCGGTCACTGATCCAGATTGGGCCAGCACGTGAGGGCGCAGAAAATCACGAGCCTGGCAGTGGTCGCACACCTGCCAGGAATTGATGAAGGCTGCAGGGCGCAGAGGTGAGCGAAAGACAGCGCAACGAGTAATGCGGCAGAGAGAGACAACGAACAGCAGCAGAGAGCAACAAGAGGCACGGCGGATGCAAAAGAGAGGATAGCTTTGGGGACGAAGGGCGGCCGGCTGGGGATTTGTGGGAAGACCACGACTGGAGCTGCTGCCCTATGCTTGGCAAGCTGTACCTGTTCCCACAACCCTGTAGTATCCTTGCGCGCCAGCAGGCACACAGGCACCAAAAGGCCGACTCAACAGCTCGCGCTCTGCTACCACTAGCTGGACGGCACTCGCCATCCTCCCCGGTTTCAACAGGACACGGCCCTTCTGCCTGCTGCGCACATGGCATTGACGTCTCCCGCTGGCTAACGAAGAGGCACTCCAAGGTCCAGGGCGACGCCGTCTTGCTCTCCCAACACGCTGACGCCGCCGTTTCGATATGTCCGACTGAGCGCCCGAGAGGCATGGGGGGCGACTCAGTCAGACTCCTCTAGGTCCGTGTGTGAATTTTTCTTTTCTTCTCGTACTAAAACTTACGCGGCTGTTGTTGGGTGGAGAGTTCTCCAGTTGACTCCACCCAGTCCCACTCCCGATATTAAAACTACGAATAAGCTATGCAGGCACCCTCCGAATTTTCTGTTGGAATTTCTATGTAAAGAGCCTGTCGCCGACGCCACAGAAGGAAATGACTTCTCCTTCTTCCTCCTTCAGGTCGTCGTGTGCAACCGGTACTGAGGTATATGAAGGGCGAGATCTGGTGCTCCCAGCCACTTGACCGTGGCGCCCGAGGTGACATCTAGGGCAGTGCAGAGAGCTGTGAATTCTACACTGTCTCCGTGGGCCTCGCCTTTGCCGTGTGTAGTCGTTGCATGATGACATTAATTATCACAGTGACTTTGTTGGGCAGTGAAAATCTGCTCTATTTTCAACTTTTCTTGCCTGGAAGCCCGACTAGCTCATTGGCCGCGGAAGAAGGGATAGTTCTAAAAGCAAACTAAACGCACAGGTTTCGAAATTCAGAAACACTGATGGCTTCCCACCGTTCCGGAGTCCAGCCTTTGCGTCGTGACACACTGGACAATCCTTCGGAGACGAGGTGGAAAGACCTAGAGAGGCGAGGCGGAGGTGCTGGTGAAAGGCCGGTCGCCCAGTCGTACCACTAAACGAATCGGAGAGATACGCAGAGAATCTGGCCGTTAAGCCGCTGCTAATTGGCGTCCAGACCATGCAGGATTTTTGAGCTTCCCACGTCCCTGTTCCTGGCCGCTCCTCGCCTGTCACATCCAAGGCACAAATCCCACATCCATGCCTTGCGCTGTCACCACACATGCCAGGCACCGTCACTGGCCCTGCAAGCCTCGCAAAGCTCAAGCCGCCAGCGCATCGCCAGAGCCAAACCTCCGCAGCCTTCCATCTTCTCTCTCTCCCGCACCTCGGCTTCCCGCAATACCATCAATTGCAGCATGCAGCCAGCTTTTAAACACATGTCGCAACCTCAGACGAGCAGAGCATGGTGCCGATTGCTCATTTGTGGGAGCGATCGCCATGCCGTTTCTTGGGGCGTGCGATCCCGCGATCATTTCAACCCGGGACTCTGTTACCGAGCTCGAAATTGAGAGGGAAGTGCTCCGGAGCCACCAAAGAGGCAAGGTTCCCCCTAAAAATTGTCGGCTGGGACCAGGGACCGAAAGCCGTCTTCAGATCATGACGACAGCAGTGGCCTTGGCCGGGTCCGGACATTCGGCATTGATATCCTCCTGCTTTCCTGCCTCGGGTCTGTGACAGGACGGAAGCAGCGTTGTTTCCCCCTCATGCAAAACCAGGGCAGAGCAGCCGTTTGCTAGCCAGCCACCGTCATATAATGGACTCTTCCGGTGAATACGAGCGTTGATGCTTTTGTACTGGTTCGGTACGAAGGGACCCAAGTGGTATTTCGCCACCATGTTTTCTTCATGTAGTCACCCTGTCGGTGAGTATTTTGCCAGATAGGCATTGCATCTTAATCAGGCCAGTAATCACGCTGTCGTCCGTTTTCTAGCAGCCAGGCTGAGCCAGCAATCATGAAAGCACGACGTGGTTCGTCATGATTTAGCACAGAAATTGTACACTTAACCAACTCTAACGAAGATCTGCAGCCCCCCCAACGGCACGGGGTACCCGTTTGCGTCTACCGTCTCACCAAAGCACGTTGAATGCACGGCGACGGCACGAGTTTAGTTGTGTTAACCACTGGAGAAGCTGCTCTGACGGACGGGAGATTTTATTCCCGTGCCCACTGCAGCGAGCCAATTGACGTTGGCGCCTACCTCTAAGGTGCATATCTGGAAATGTGGAGCAGATAGTGACTGACAGCAAGACTGTCGAGTAAGCGCATCAATTATCAGAATCCAAGTGTTCAATGTTTTGCTGATATCAGACGACATTTGTTTTTGATCCCACGGCAGTTGTCTAGAAAGGCAATACTAGCTAGCAAATAGAGAACCTCGATCTGACTTGCATTAAATGGTCTACGAAACCTGCAGCTGCTATCAATGTCGTTCATTTCCTTTGCATCCGGGTTACGCCTTGCTGATTTTCGGCGCCGTCAATACCTTCTCAAACCCAAAACCGACCCCACAATTTCTTTTGTTCCTCGCTGCCCTCGAACTACCGCCCCGTAAGCATGCATTCGGACTAGGGATCCGAGGTTAGCAACTGATGGGACATACCTCGAAGTCAACCTTTGTGATATCATCAAAACCCTCTTTCAAAGTGGGTTCTCGGTATCTCGACCAAAATCCTGTAAACGCAAGCTTTGGAAGGATAGAACGTTTTTCAGGATTAATCTGAGACAAATAATTAGCCCAATGAGGCACTCCCGCGATCGTTGTAATCCTATAATCATCCTGTCAAGCAGGTCGGAAGGGAGAATCTCCGATGGCAGTCGATCCTAATTGGATGTAGAATGACGCGTAACTCAATATAGTAATTTTCCAGGGATGGTACTTCTGTTGGGAAAACTTACTTCGGGGTCCAGATTCAACGCCCTGACTGTATCATTATGCTCACAAAGCTTTGCAGGTGCGGTGAATAGCATACATCGGATCGGAACCTTGAGCCTCTCGGCTAACGCAGTCCAGTGGGATCTCGTTTCTATATCTGCATTCGTGTTGTCTATCAGAGAAATTAGTCCGCAAACCCAATGCAAGTATGGGTGGTGGAGACGTCTCTTACCGACAACAACAGATGTTCCTTCTTCGACGAGTGCAGCTGTCGTCTTGAGACACTTGTCGCGCTGTTTCAACACGGGTTACTCAGGAGCGGGGGATGTAGCACAAGCACGTGTATGTGCGACGAAGCTTGTTGTAGAACGCCTACCGTCTTGAGAATGTCTTGATTCACTCGACCATAGCCCAGTGGCTCTAAGTGCCTCCAATAGAAAGACGATTTCCCAGCTCCTGGGCTGCCACAGAACAGCACAATTTCGACTCCACTCATTTTCGTAAACGAACTCAGAACTATGAGACCAAGTTAGAGTTTCTGTGGTTCACCTGATTCCGGGTGGCTGGGAATCCCGGAACTTACCTGCAGATGTTGACTTCACAGCCCCTTTGTGGAGGAAAATGGTTGGATCAAAATCTCTTACGAATGGTCTGGAGTCTTCCTGCAAGAAGTGCTCTTCGGGAGTTTGAAACGCTATACCAACATTGGCAGCCAAATCTCTGAGCAATCATTAGTACATTCAACATACTCGGAAGGCTGTCCCAGACCTGTCAACACATGAGTGGTCTTTGGATACTCCTCCGGCAACTGCCTCTCGTCCACCCGCATCGCCTACGAAAAAGGAGCTCTCTAGATCAACAGCACCTGCAGCTTCGAGGTCGTAATCCTCCAACAACTCCTGCCACATTCCCACTCTAGGCTTGCGGTACTGGTCTCGGCCTGTCGCAGCATACACAGAAACGGGTAAGTCGAGTTGGCTCAGCACGACCGAAACCTTGCCCTTGAAATCTGCCAATCGTTTCTGGTCACTCTTGATGGTTTTCGGGTCTCCTTTCAGGCTGATTCCTCCTTGGTTGCTCAATACTGCGACAAGATATCTGTTGAGTTGTTGAACGTTACGGTTAGCCAGTGTGGACATCCAGATGATCAGCAAGAAGGACTAGGGTTCAGACATACCCGTCCTCGTGAAGGCTTCGCAATGTCCCGGGAACACTGTCGTGCCACCATTTCCAGTCTGTCGCATCACGCCCAAATCGATTACCTGAAGCAGACCTAATGAGTGTCGAGTCCTACAGCATGTGAGGTCAACGGAATACCCTCCGATATCGGGCTGAGACACGGCGTCTCGAAGTTAGACGTACGAAGTCGAATACAGCTATTTTCCGTCCACTTCTGAAAGGCTTGGGTGACTGTGACGCAGCTGATGGGTTATAACGACCGATGAGGAGACTACTATTCACAATCCGCCAGGACATCTTCTCCGGCTCTTTTTTGGACGCTGGAGTGAAAAAATTCGCAACGGCTTTACCTGCGATATAATTCATTAGTCTATGTCCCTCTGTAAAACATGCGTTCAGCTCACTCGTCGTAGTGGACTGTTGTCGCCGTTTCGTCTGCGGCGGAGATACGCCTTTGTGGTCAGAGCTTGGCCTCTTCCCAAGACCTGGACGATCCGCCATTCTGGAAATTGATGCTACGAAGTAGACTTCATCATATACGCTACTAGCAGTTCGATGTCGAGGAAGATTGGTAGGGTTGGGTTTGATGAACTAGGTAGAGCCCTGGATGCGGAAGGCACCGACGCGAAATCGCGGAAGCACGTGCGCGATCCACAACTGCATGATAACTAAGGTAAATGTGCAACGATGTTCTAACAGCATCTCTAGCTATGTACAGTTTATATACATCCTGCCCTGGAATATGGCAGGTAGGGAAGGCTCTTCACCGACTTTTCAATCGGAGATGAGGGTATTTCACATTGGAGCACAACATTGAAACGAGGGTTGCGCTGGCAGCGTCGGATTATATGAACTTTGTGTTTGTATTATTCCCTGCATCGTGCTCATCCTTTCCAGAGTCAATCTGTACCAATATACCATAAGTGTGGGGTGGGTTCAAGACCCCAAACATCTCCCTGGAAACTGCAGCGTAATTGAGCCAGCATGAATCCGGAAAACTTGAGGAAACTTGTCGGTGGGTGTGGTACTAGGTGGATTGAATATTAAAGTTCCGTTATCATGATCGAGAGACCCATCGTAGACTTCTGTTTTCTGCCTCTGCAATCGTCATCGTTGCACCCTGATGACCGTACTGGAAACTACCACCGTAATCTTCGCCGTCGTGACGACTTTCTTAAGGGAACTTCGTCTCTTGTATCCAACAGTGGCTGTCTTTCATGAGGGCTGGTTCATCCAGCAAGTTCACCCTCTTCGACCGGGTGTGCTTTTCCAAACATACGAAAGCGGTTGCTCCAGATTCCCTCAGCGAGACCCAGGAACTGGCCGGCTTACAGTCTGCGCCACTAAATTGGGCTTGTATTTCACCCGAGTGTCCAGCAACAGCCGTTCTGGTACCTCAAGTTCCACGCATCCCTTCATCTGGCTCTTGAACCTCTTGAGTTCCTCTATTCCTGCATCAAGCACAGAAGGGTTATTCAAGTCATGAACGCGTATCTTTGCCTCGAGAACGTATGCGCCGCTGGGATCGAAAGGCTTGAGCGCATCAAAGTTTGGAAGGGCCATCTTGGGCGAGTTCTCCAGAGAGCGAGCGCCCGGTTCATGCAAGACACGGTGGAGAAGGATGACGATGTTATCGTGAACAAAGCGATGGCCTTCAAGGTAATATTCGGAAACGAATCTGCTGCTCGTCAGTATTTATGGGCTGAAGGCATGGTATACTCCTTACTGGTTGCCTACATTGACCATGTATGAGTGAGGATCGCCCGCAAGAATGTCAGTGCTATTTGCTAATCGAACGAGGACACCTCTATCGCCAGTATCTGGAGTCTCATGAAATTGGAAAGTCCACTTTGCATCTGCGCTAGATTCACCAGTCGCGTGCAATCCAAGGCCATGGTATTGCACCTCGGGGTTGAAGTCATCTTGCGACAGCCTCTGGATCAACTGCGAGAAATACAGATCTTTTACTGCGGCCTGGGGCCTGTTCTTCATAGCAACGGCCTGGGTGCCGCCCCGCCGGAGATGGGAGCCCGGCTCCTCGGGCTGGCGCTGAGGTTTATAGAGGAGATGACGCTCGAGGACGCGGCGGGGCTGCATAGCGGCCACGCCAGCGAGAATCTTCAAGACCTGGCCATGACGCGACTGCGGGACTTGGCCAAACAGCAGCAATTCGTGCATGCTGGAAGGGGGAGGGGAGGGGAGGGGAGAGGAGTCTGGGGTTGGTGTCAATTCAATATCGCAATTGTCAACGCGGTGGCAGGGATAGGAGCGGGCAAACGTGGGGCTGATAAGGAAAAGAAAGCTTGGACTGGGACGACGGCGCTGTGATTGGTGAATGGTGGTGAAAATTTACAATCCGGCGGCGGCAGGGCGTGGAGTTGCGCGAGCCCAGAAGCTCGAAGAAGCCAAAAAGAACAGGCTCGAGCGCGGATCCCCACAAACAATGCACGAACAGGGAAACATGAGGCATCACACGACGGGCAAAGTTGCTCTTTTCGCGCTTTTCGGTGTGCGAACGTGGGCTTTGATCAGTCGAGCATGAGCACATCTGGGGGAACGGGAGTCTCGGAGTGGGAGAAAAAGGGCCGGAGAAGGCGCGTCGGACACTAGCGTCACCTCCAGCCTAGGTGAGCATGAAAGCTCCATGAGCATTTTAGCAGCGACGGCCCCCTCCATTGTCCTTCACCACTGCACCACCTTCGCTCTCCCTCGCACCCCAATTCACTCCCCAGGCCTTCACTCTCCTGTTGGCCCTCGTCTCAGCCCACCTCGCAAATACAAATCCCCGAGTACGCCCTAACATCATCCTCCCGAATACTCCCGAGCACACAGACTCCGAAGCTTCCTCCGACACCGCTGTCGCAACTGCCAACCATGAACGCAACCAAGCAACTCCTCCAGACCCGCCAGCCCATGATCAGGTTCTTGGGCAAGCGCACTGTTCCATCTAGTCAGTCTCTCTTCTCTCTGTCTCTCTCACCCGATGCTAATCCTGCACAGAGGTCGACCATACTCCTCAAGTCCACCCAGCTTCCCCGACCCATTCGCTCCCCGAGTCCTTTGCAAGCTACAGGCAAAAGGCCCAGCAGCATGGCCCCCTAAACCAGACCAACCAATACTCCGCTGGTGGCTGGATTGGCGGCAAATCGGGTGCCTCTCTTGGTCCCGTGGAAGCTGGAAACGGCATGCACTTCGACCGATCGGAGCTTCCCCAGCGCTTCCAACGGCTAGCATGGACGCAGGCCGAAATCGAGGCCGTCGAGTCTGGGGGCGCAAGCCTTCATACTTGAGTGAGGTGACCGGGATGAATTGATGCTGTTTTATGCCGGGGTGCGACGCGCCGCCACCCGGAGCTGTACATATTTCTCTGGGGATCATACGGAAACGGGTCAAAAGGTGGTACTTTTGCATTGCTTATGAAGGATTCTAAATGAAATCCTTTTCTAAAGAAGAGATTGGGACTGTTTCCTACCGCAACTATACCCTTCAAGACTGACTTTGGGTCGAAGTGTCTCTCTGGGTCGACACTTTCGAGCTACTATATGATATAAACCTTCAATATCATTGTAGCACATAATAATGGAATCCATCATTTCCATCACCTTTAGTTCCCATGCTTGCCATGAGGACTCTTGTTCCCCTCATGCCCACTTTCCGCACGCCCGTCGCTTGTCACAAACTTCCATTCACCCAACCCCACATGCTCCGTCCGTGACGGCCCTTCCTCGGCCTACCACGTGCATTTCTCACCCGGTGTCGTAACGTAGCTAGCTTCGGGGGTTTGGGGGACTCCACGTTGTTTCCATCGCTCTTTACCATGTGAAGTCGCTTAGTGTTGCTCATTGGCCAGGCGCTTCGGAGCTCTCTGGTAAACAACTAATCGTAAGCTCAACAGAGATAGGTTTCCCCGCCCGCGTGCTAAGGCGTACTCTCGAGGCTCTATCACGTCAGTGGTAGATATGTAATCAGACTTACTCTGGTGGGAAGTGATAGGACATAGGTGCGTATTCGTGATACAAAGGAAGTCTTGACAATTGGTCCTCCATCTTGCATTTCGCACAGTAGATCCTGGGTATTTTCGGTACAAACAAGCCAAGTGTTTGGAAACGCGGTATCTCGGTGAAAAATAGCGCCCTGACATAAAGGCAACTGGGGAATGGTATGAGGAAATGGTACTGGAATCGCATGATGTTTGGCAAACGTCTTCGAAAGAAATATGTATGCAAAGAGAACTACCATAGAGTTGAGCCATGTTGAAGACTAAGGAGAGATCCGTGGATAAGTAGACTATCGTCTGGTGGTGAGCTCCGATAGCTAGCTAGATACCTAGCCCGAGCTGGATGTGACGATGGTTATAGGAGAAGCCGATCCCCCGTCAGGCTCGCTAACTCGAGGGGATATCAGAAGCGTGGCCTACCACAAAGTCTTCAAGTGTCTTGGAGCCTCTCATCTTTAGCTCAGAATCGAAACGTCTCTTAAGACCTTTGAGTCGTTCGTCTAGCTGAGCAGCCGTGAGGCGTTTGGCCTCTTACACCTCCAGGAGCATTGGGATGCAGTTGAGGACAAATTCAGACGACCTTGACACAAAGTCGAGGGCTCGATGACCTTATTCACGACACTGTTGCGCAACTCTTTACGCCCTATCTGGTTTTCCACGGTATCCCTCGTCTTTCGTACCATCAGGATAAAGGTCGCCATGGCGAGAAAGACGGAATTTTTTGACAGCAGCGGAGCCTGAAGGGACTAGACTAGCACCTCGAAATAAACGCATCCCAGAGACCATAAATCGTATGGCTCAGAAGTTGGTCCGCCTCGGTAACTTTCCAGGGCTCTATAATTGCGGGGTCTTGGACCAACTAACGGTCTTGTAGCTTTCCCTGTTCTGCCCACTGATGGAAGCAATGAAGTGCACGACCTTAACACATGGACCCCAACAGCCGGAAACAATTGGGTTTGTCGTCGTAGAACAGCAAGTTAACTAGCTTGACATTGTGAATATTGCCTATACTCGCTCCAGGAATCTCAGGCAACCCAAGGTTGTGGTGTGTTTCGATTTGGCTTTCTGCTAACAAACTTGTCGAAAAGCGTCTGGGGAGACCGCAAATTTGATTGGTGAGCTAGTTGAGGGCGAGATTTGCGTGATCCGCCACATCAGATTAGCTTTGAATGAACCCTTGTAGGCTACAGTCCACTACCTCTTATATCATGTATTAATTTGCACCGAACGTGAAGCTCGCAAAGCATTAGACGCAATGTTCATGCGTGAGTCCGTTCATGACTGTAACAAATTCTTTCTCTCGCTTCGCCGAAGCTTCCTGGTGGACGACCTTCACAGTAAAACGGTCGTTCTTGCTCTGATTCGAGCCCTAATTAGTGGCTTCGTCAGTACTTGACATGGCTGTACATGCCTTTGGGGACGAGTGGTGTTTTGGGTGAATACAAACTTCGAACACTACCCCGAAGGATCTCTTTCCCTTCAAGTTCTTTTGTTCTTCATCAGATTCGATTGGAATTTGGTTAAAGAATCCATCATCCAAGCTCTGGAAGGAGTCCAAACCAAAAGTAGGTGCGTTAAAAATGCTCTTGGTGTTCTAAGAAGAGTTGGATGAACAGTCATTGGTATTTCAGATTGGGAAGTCCTCTGGAGACAAAGGGATGTCTTTGTCCGCGAAAGTAGGAAACTTCACCTTCAGGGTCCTAAGTCTACACCAGTGCATCATGTGGAGATGACGCTAAGGCTGGCTTGCCCTGTATGAAACGGATCGTCAGCGAGCTTGTTCACACTTCATAGTACGATTCAAGACGACCTGCAAATCGTACCTTGATGTACGTGGCATCACCTGGGAAGCTTTCTGCTCTAGATTATACAAGGGAGAAACACAATCCGACATGACTGCAAGTGAAGTTTGACACATCACTCACTCACTGCTTCGCCATCCTCCATGGATGGGTGTGACACGAGCGACGAAGCAATCTAATTAGGTCAAGCAGACCTTGCCAACAAATCTCACATTTACATGCGCGCCACTGAATCAAGCGAAGTAGAGTTACAGCCACACAAAAGAGTTTTATAGGTTAAAGCTTAAGGTGTAAACAGAATCGAGTTAACCACCGCCTCCAATCCACTCTCCAAACCAGAGAATCACCCGTGTCCCAAACCACCATATACCAAGACCCTAAAGTGATGTACATTTTGAAGAAAATCAAGTCATCCAAAGTCAACTTCCACCGAAAACGAGCGACAAGAAGTTGATCAAAAAGACCTTGACCGGTATCCCCAAATACACCTTGGGATTTGCCGCACCAAGAGCCCCGTTTTCTTCAAACCAAATCAACACACCGGGAGAGAGCAATCGAAGAACCTCGAGATAGTACATGTTTTCCGTAAAAGATGGAAAGCGCTGTGCTGAGCCGCTAGACTCCGATAGGGTTTTGATTCGCTGATGCCAGAAAGTATTTCGTAACAATTCGTGCAAAGCGCTGACCTGCCTGCGCTAGCGAGAGATAAAAATCTTTGGGTATATGTGCTGCGCAAAAAGCTGGAAAGGGGTCTTTTACGAAGGCGATCGAGAGGTTAGGGCGCTTAGCCGGAGACCCACCAGTCGGCCTGGAGACGGGTGATCTCAGTGAGGCCGAGGGCATGCCAGGTGGCGTGGGACAGATCAATATCGTATTGTCCAGCACAGCCAGGGCACAAGTCCATGATGGTGGCATCAGTGGTCGAGACTTCTCCAGATGGATGTTTGTAGCTGATGGTGATCTGCTTGCCGCACCAGGGGTTGGTAGATGCACCAGTCTGAGGATCGTAGGTGGAGTCGCCCCATGTTTTCTTGGCAAGAGCAACAATCTTAGAGTCATCCGTCAGGGGTTTGCCGCAGGCACCGGCAGCACCAGTGTTGTCATAAATGGTGATATCTCCATGGTGAGAGCCTGCTCCGCCATTGCCACCGCTTGGAGCCTTGGTCTCAGCAGGAGCGGCGCTGGAAACTGGCGCTGGAGGAGTGTAGACTGAAGAAGGTGCTGCAACATCGGAGCTTGGAGCCGGGGGAGTGTAGACTGAAGATGGAGCAGGAGAAAAGGTGGGGGCCGGGGGAGTGTATACGCTCGAGGGTTCGGCAGCGGAAGGAGTATATACGGAGGTTGGTTTGGCAATAGAGCTAGTATGCTTCTCGAAGAAGAGACCAGGGTCCGAGGTAGCCTTGGCGGCAACAGTTGACGGAGCCTCACTGTCCCAGACGGTGGTGTAGACGACCACGGTCTCAACGACAACCTCGGTCTTGGTGACCAAGTCGCGCTTGTCCAAGGGGAAAGCGGCAGCGAGAACGCCGAAAGTGAGAGATGCGAGGATGTTAGAGGTCTTCATTGTATCGTTTTCGCGAGTATTTGAGGTTGCCGCGGTAGCAATGGGGTTTTGGAGGGGCTAAAGAATGTGCTGGTATTGACGTTTAAATGTCTGTTTACAGAGAGAGACGTGAATTGGCTAGCAATTCAGATATGCGGAAATTGGTCAAGATTCGTTTTTTTCTTCGGCGAGGGCAGTTGACTTCGCGTGCGGTGGGTACCGGTGGTGAGCAAATGCGCCGTAGAGACCGTGGGTGCAGTGGCAGAGAATGACTGGAGATGCTAGATCTCGTTGAAGATGATAGAATGAATGTGGGGAGAATAAAATGAAAGACCTCAAGCCTGTAAGGAGTGGCAGGCTGAGATGGGCAGAGAGAGCGGGTTATAAGTGAGATGGAGATGTGCGGTGGTCGATGGGGGAAGGAGCGGAGAGAGCGAGAAGAAGAAGGAATAGTGTACCACCCCCGGCCACGTCCCGGCTTACGACTGGGCACAGCTCCTCGTCCACCGCCGGCAAGCCACTCGCACACTCTGCACGGAGGGCAGCGTGGCCCACCAATCTCCGCTGCCCTTAGGCGGATGGCGGCGCGGTGGCGGCCCCTGGTTGCTTCTGTTTCCGTGCTGCGTTTTGTGGAGCGCCAGGCACTCAACAAGTCATGAAACCGTCCGCGATGTCGCCTCCAAGAAGACTCGCATCGACCTGTGTACCCACGGCACCGCGTCTGCCAGGCACCTATCTTCCCGCTCTGTCACTGCCAAATTTACCGCTGGTTTCCTGTCGGCTGTCGCTCACGTACAGTCTAATTAAGGCGAAAGGGCAATATGCTTACAGCTCAGTTGTTTCATGCGTCCAGGAACAGACAAGTGGGGGTTGCATTCCGGCTGGAACCCAGCAAACCAGAGAGCGATCGGCCTTGATCGCCAGGAACCCGCACCCCAAGGTCCTTTGCTGCTCAGGGGTCAAATTTGTGAGCTGAGGTGGCACGCAGCCGCTGCTGGTCCGCGGCCATTTGCAAATAAACTCATCCCGGAAACAAATTTGTCGTCGCGAGCCTGCGCCTCAGCTGAGGCACCTCCATTCGACCACACCGAGCAGCCTGAACACGTGGATCATGATTTGCCCCGAGCCTGCCAGATGTGATGTGATTCTTCCAAAGCAGAGAGGGTCGGCGACGGACTGCCAACGGCATGCTGAATGCCACAAAGCATCCTCTCATGCACTTCCTGCTTCACCTTTCTCGCCAGATGGTTCGGGCTTTTCCTTTGCAATCACCCGTTTCTCAGTGTTCGTCGTTTCAAAATTGTCATTGGCTGTCATTTCTCCTACTGATGCTCACAACCGAACAAAAAGGTGGTTTTCGCGACTCTGGAACACCCGGCAACATCTCCTCGGTGTTTTGGCTTCGCTGTTGATGCCATCTCTTTTCCGGGTGCGTGACGCCCTCCAGCGCTGTCGTGTTCCCAGTGGTGTTCCTGTATTTTCGGACTCCCCACCCCCCCCATCCGTGTTCTCGAAGCCCTAAGCCGAGCAAGCATGCACAGGAGATTATTTGTGGATCTACGTGAAAACACTGTTGTCCTACGACTGGCTGACATCATGAGCGACTGAGATCGGGCGTCACAAATTTTCTTATCCTCTATCGATAGCGATACCTTCCCATCCCCACTCTACCGCTGTCCTGGACCAATTGGGGATGTTGAGCCCTTGCCCAAGACCTGGAAGCCAGAAGAATTTTCTTACTGCAGCAGAGGCGCATGCTCTTAAGGTAATTGCCTCAATCATCTTATTCCAGACTCGATGCTGCTAAGACTAGCTAGAAAACAATATCGAAAACGAGAGTGAAGAGTGCCATTCTAAGATTCTAAGGTAGAGTCAAGGTTCCAAAGTTCCCTCGCTACGGCAAGCGTCGTTGATGTGGGACCACGCGATCCGTTACCGGTAACAAAACATTCTATGGTTTGGTCACTGAGAGCGTTTTGCTGAGCATGCATTGTGGCCCGCGTCTGACAAGCAGAACGCATGAATCAATGCCGGCGGTTAAAATTTAGGATAGTCATGAATTGTCCTTTGTCTCCACAATAACTAGAATTATTAGGAGGAAAAGCGACCACACACCTACAGAGGTTACCCAACCGTTATGAACCCACTCAACTCCACTCAGGTGTGCGTTGCACGGTTGGATTGAAGTTCGCTAACGATCACAATACGCGCGAGAATGGTAAACCAAGGAAAGGAATATAACACAGCACCTATTCGAGGATGGCGGGAAGTGAAATATGTTTCCTAGAGCTAACAAACAAGAGTGGTAAGAAACCTACCGTTTTGAATACTGAGAATCTATCCACTCCTTTTAGAGCATTCTTCTCGTCAACCACTTTGCCAACTGTTTGGTCGTCAGTTCCACGACTAGTGTGCCCCGTGTAAATATCACTTCTGAAGGACTTTAGCGTCCTCATCGATCATGGTTCGAACGCGACTATTCCAGCTCGGACCAAATAACCATGCTAAGTTATATCTGGTGATCCAAAAATTATACATGCACGACTACTAGCTTATTCCACTTTCAAGCCTTCAATCTGAAGGGTTATGAAACATGTAGTGACCACGACCTATTCCTAACTTTGTCGTTCCCACCTCCTCTCGGACTTCATTTAAAACGACCTCGTTATTTCAGCTTCCAGAATTGAAACAAGACACGTGCGCTTCCGATCAGGCCAGCAGCCGGTCAAATATCACTTCAGCATCTCGCAATTTTCCGAGGTATTGCGCAAGAGGAGTCCGCAGTTGTTACGGATATCAGACGTAGGAGTCCGTGGTTACATGCGGCCATCCGTCCTCGGGAAGAGGAGCAAACGATTGAAAAGAACATAGCGTAGGTTAGATAGGTGCGAGAACCCTCCTTAATTCCAATTGGAAGTCTTCGATTGTGGGACGTCCAATGGCAAGCATATAAGTCATCAAGATGTTTCTGTTCACAAAACGAACCACTCCTCCCATTGTGAGTCTAGTCTCCTTCGTTCACCACTGGCCCGAGAAAACTCTCTTTCCTGAACCCAACTTGCCAACGCGAAAATAACCCAGAACCCGCCATTCTGATCCATGTTCCCATCAATAACAGCACACCAAAGTCTCGTTCTTTCGACCGGCCATCCCGTTCCAGGATCGACTTCGCTCTCTTCAATCTCGATCACACGATTTGAAACGGCGACATGCTGCTCTGCGTCCCAGAGAGCCTCGCGTGGTGGGTTCAACGCAAGGAGAGAGACTGCCTCGCGTCGAGTGATGGGACAGCGGCAGCGCGTCGCAGTGAAGTGTAGACACGGGATTAGTGAGATTTCGAAAGTGAAGTTTGCGGCTGCCCGTGAGGAGGGTCTTGGAGGAGACACCGACGTTGCACCACCGCATGCCGAGGATGGGGAAGAAGGATGAACACTTGGAGGCGAGGAGGAGGAAGAGGCATGGAAGCCCATGGAGTCGAGGACGACCTTGGCGTGATGGTTGATAGCTTTGAAGCTTGAGATATGCGCGTCGTGTGGTTTTTGGCGGACCTCTGTTGCGCAAGCTAACATGATGTAGGTCGAGTAGTATCCTACTTTGAGAGAGCTTGCTACTACTTTGTCTTCCTTCGATAGAGATCCCTCATGTTCGAGGATTTGTAGAGCTCGGATCCAAGCATGATGGCATTCAAGAAGGTGCGTTTGATGCTGGAGATCTTCGGCCGTTATTAGCTTTCGTCGAATGAGCTTTTGAGCCATTGTACGTGCGAAAAGGATGGTCGGGTTTCGAAGCTCATGAATAGAGGATTGAGCTTCTAGAATAGTTGTGAAAGGTCGCTCCGGGAAGCTCTGCGGACGTGGACATGGAATCTCAAAGATCTGCTCAATCCTTACACCATATAGCAGTGCAGATGCTATGGCTCGGGTGAACATTGGTATGAGACTATCCTCAATCATAGTAGTTGGACCGGAAAACTCCCTCGAAATCGCCAGAGAGGACTGTGAAGACAGTGGGCTAACTAGCGAGCTGTTCAGTCGTCCCTGTTGCCACTCGGAGATTATTTTGAGTCCACTATTCAGATGAATAAAAGCCGTGTGATAGTTTCCCCTTAGAAACTCGATGCAGATGAACAGTATACATGTGACAAGCCCGACCTCCGGGACATAGGAGGAATCAGCCATACGGTAAATAAGGCATCTGACAGCCTTGTTATAATGAAATATGAGAGTTCTACGTTGATGATCAGCCGCAAAGCCTGAGCGAGCATGCTTCAAGTTCCCTGGCTCCGTCTTATAAAGATAGCCCAAAGCAATCAAGGCGTGGCGGACGGCGGACTCCGATTGGGCCATCTGAATGGCTATTCTAGACCAAAACTCATTGTCAAATTTGCTTGATAGAGTCGGCCCAGCACAATGATGATAAAATTCGAGATAACGAACACCATCACTAGAGCCAGAAAGCATGGGTACGGTATACTGGAAGATAGATGCTTGGCTCGGGCTGAGAGGTTGGAATTTGAAGCCTTTATCTTGGGCATAGCCTTCGCATTTACGGGAAGTGCTTGTACATCTGACTGTGTCAAAAACATAGAAGAAAGTTTGATCAAGATGTGTATGCTATGCATACCTGGAGCAATCGGGTTTCCTTTCATCGCACTTGACGCGGCGAATCCTGCAAACGCCTAGTTAGCTACATATTGGGCTTGAAGATCCTTGATTGCCTCAATGGTGATTGTGTGTCTGTGAACCTACTTGCATGTTCTGCAGCCAGTCTTCACTTTGGCACCATATCTGCGGGTCTTTTTCAAGCTGGGAAACTCAATAATAGACATGCTGGGTAACATCTTGTGCAAGTCGGTGGACACTCTAGTGGCAGGTTCGCGTGGATACGTGCCATGGCTTTCTGAGAGAAAAGACTCATGTCTTGGTGCCAACCGGGAATGACCTCAGGGGCTGAAAACAGCTGGAGGATTCACAAGCCAAATCCGTTTCAGGTTTAAGCGCATGCACAAAATCACGTGATTATACGAGTGAGCCAATCAAAACCTCCAAGGGTTTGAACAGTCCGAAAGCAGAGAGTCCGTGTTGTCTTAGATACTTCTGTGTATATTCTACTTATGGGATTGCCTCGCTTTACCCAACCTTTCGTGGGAGACACTGATGTCCTACCAACTTTGAATCCTCTAATCCTTGCTAATGGTCCCGTTTCAAGCCCACGACTTCTCAAACCGGGTTCTTCCCTCTCCAATCTTCCGCCGCACTCTCAAATGTACAAAATTCTACGTCGGACCCGAATCCCTTCAACCACCCCAATACTCGTTGCACCATCCCTATGACATGAGCCATTCCGCTCGTGTCCGGATGCAACACTAACGGAAAGACCATGAGATCCTTCTCCTGCATTTCGTTCATCTCTCCTCTAATCCATTCAAACTTATCTTTCCACATTTGCTCAATAACCCGCACATCTACATATCCTTGACTATTCGGCGTATGTGGCCAATATTGTAGCGGTGTCATATCTTCTGCATACCAGTTCCCTGGGATCTCGACCAATGTCCTTGAAGTGGGAGGAGAGGGTTGAGGAAGAGGCTTCATCCAATCTTTTGCTGAAACTGAAGGTTCGTACTTGGGAAGCTGGATTGGTGGTAGGTTAGGGAGATAGTACGGCTTCGAGTCGTGGTGGGAAAGTGAGGAGTCGTAGAGGAAGTCGTGTTCCTCGAGGAGGGCGATTGTAGATTCACGAAGTTGGTAGAGAGGAGCTCGGTATCCGCGGGGTTTCTTGCCTGTTATGGATGTACATAGTTGAATGCAGTGCTGGAGGACTTGCCGTTCTTGAGTCGGGGTGAGTTGCGGTGCGCCCTGGTATAGAAAGTTATTTTAAAGCCCTTTCCGTCCAAGTTCAATTTGTATGGCAGGCTCACCTCATGACAGTAACCATGGAGTCCAATCTCACATCCACTGTCCATTATACTCTTGAATTCCTCTGGGAAACTCTCTGCAGAATGCATGGGTACAAACCAGGTCACTTTCTCTTGTATCCCAAGTATCTTGAACAGCTTCAGCAGCCGAGGCACACCGACATGCGCAGAGAAGAAACCAGAGCTGAAGTCTGCGAGGTTGTTGTCTGGATGGCTTCCTGTTCCCAACCAGCCTGATACTGCGTCAAAATCCACTGATATGAGGACTTTTATCTTAGGTAATGATTTGGCATGTGCGGTCAAGGATAAGCCGATGCTAGGTGCTGTGAGCTTCGATGTTTCCTCCCTTTTGGTAAGATCGGTAGTTGCACTCTTCGCAATCTGCTCCTCACTCCACACGATCCTCCCTTCCATCCCTCCATCGACAGAAATACACTGTCCGGAGATATGACCTGCAGCTCGATGGCTCGCTAGAAATGCAGCTGCTCTCGCAACATCCTCAGGTTTGGCTATTTTTCTCAATGGGACACTATTGTCTCGTTAGCACATTAGACTCCAACTATTTATACTAGTCGCCGGTATACTAACGTGGCCTGTGCCTCTCGATACATCTCCTTTGGGTCATCTAGTCTCCCTTCAATGAGTTTCGTATCAACCCACCCGGGCGCCACGGCATTAATCCTAGCCTTCGAATTAAGTCTTACAATCTCATTTTTCACACTCTTCGCCAATCCATACTGAAGTCCCGCTTTCCCAGATGCATACTCCGCATGGCCCGCTTGACCGAACACTCCCGTCTCACTCCCCGTCACAACCACCGCAACATTGGGAAGTTCAGTCCCCGATGTCGTCTGACAAGTCTCCACAGGTTTCAGGAAATGCTTAATAGTGAGAAAAGTCCCGCGGACGTTGGTAGCGTAGGTCTTCTCCCATAGAGACAGCGGCATATCCCACACATTGTACGAATTACTTTCGTCTGTGATACCTGCATTGGCACAGAGGATATTGATGGGCCCGAAGTGCAGGACTGCTTCGGAGATTGAGGATGCGATTGAGGGTTCTTCTGAGATGTCGCCTTGCAGTTTTAGCAGATTTTTGGATGATGTGGAGACGGGATTGAGTTTTAGGTCGTGGGCGGTGACATTGCAGCCTTGTGCTGGAGGGATGTTAGATGGATGATGGAGAACTTTACTGAGCGGGGGTATATTTCCCTAAGAATTCTTCCACTATGGCGGATCCAATGCCACCTGCAGCCCCGGTGACGAAGATATGTAGACCTTCTAGAGCTAGAAATGTCATTTTCAAGACTAAGATTCCTCGTTCTTCACGTTCGAATTAAGCTCAATGATGAACCGAAGCGGGGTCGATCAATTTTCTTGTCGACAAAAGTTCTTGCGATTAGCAATCTGATAGTCCAATGTTAGCAATGCGTCTACATTTAACCATCCGCATGATCTCAAGCTGTTTTCTGACCCCATTGAGTCTTGACTCCGCGAAAGACAACCAAAGGCGAGACATGACGTTCAACTTCTCTTTTCGTCCTCCAACTGCAAGCAGAGTGGCGCCATCCCAACCTAACCCAACCCAGCCCAACCCCCTGAACCTCTAGCACGAAGACGACACAAAGGACCCACCGAAGCGAAGCTTTCCTCCTCAATCCAAACTCTCACCCTCCTAATCACACACTACATCCCCTTCATTCCAAGCGAGGGTGAGCGGCCCCCCTGGACACCCCTGTAAAACTGCCTCAAGCGGCAAGAGACTCACAAAAAGTGTCGAAAGTTGCGGCTTTGACGCCCTTTTTCTGAGGAGCTTGGTGCGGCTAGGCGAAGTTGATAGCCAATCAGGAAGAGGTAACATGGCCCGATTGAGATCCGTGCGTCACGATGGATCGGTGGGAGCGAATAGGACGAAGGAGTGTGTGATGAGGATTAGTTGTGTGTTTTTGTGGGCGTGGGCGTTGGGCGTGGAGGTGGAGGTGGAGGGGGGAAGGGTGGGGAGGAATGCTTGGGAAGGGCTTGTGAGACTTTGTTGCTGGTGTTTTTGTAAGAGTCTGCTGTGCAGAGAGGTTCCGTGTTTATCATGGTTTTCGCTGTAACAATCCCCTCGTTCTGGGGGAGGGGGAACCGCTGCCTACACCACGTCTTAGGACATATCACAGATCTTGCTAGCTTTAATTGGTCTTTCTGGCCTGCTGTTTGTGTATTTCGGGGGATGCTGTATCGGCTGATCATGTTTGTGCTTCCTCATGTTCCGTCCACTATGCTTCAGCGTGCCAGGACTCACAATCTCCGCCTCCCTAAGCAACGCATCATGTCATTTTTGCTGAATGGCTCACCTTCCAAGAGCCCTTCAAAAGTCATTTAGAGTCGTTTGCTTTCTATCCATTATTCAGATGCGTCGAGATTCTTAGATTGGGAGGAGATGTGGCATTCCAAAGGTGACAAAAGGGTTAGGAAAGACCTAGCACAATACAGCACCGCAATACTCTTTCACATTCCCATAACATTCAACCAATGCAGAGGGTGCCGGGAAATTCGATCGTTAACCTTGAAGATCGAAGAGACTGTACTCGTAAATCGTACATGGTTTCGTACAGGATGAACGGATGATCAGAGAGTAATATCCTCTGAGCGGTAGTGATCCGCAACTATACGGTACAGGTATGACGGTGCATGTCCACCACTGTCTGGTCAGCATTCATTAGTATAAGCGGGTTCAGTAACTTACAGATTGGTGATATAGAGATCTACCAAATCCGCAGGGACATAATCATAGAGCGGATTCTCCACGTCGACCTTGTCCACAAAGTCACCGTCCTCGAACGGAACCACACTACCCGCATCTCCATACTCAATTAACTCCTCAATGTCGAAGGGGTAGACCGGGCTCAGCTTGAAGACGCCGCTGACTACGACGACAGGCGTCTGGTGTACTTTCGCCGCCTTGGCAATCATGTGAGCTCCTGCGGCCGCCACGAGTCCCCCATTGGCCAATACTGTGTGTGTTGCAAGAATAACTTTGTTCACGCGTGACATGATTGCGAAGACATGCGAATCTGGAATTAGAACCACTTGAATTCCAGCTGTAGTGAGCGGCTTCCATGCGTCTTCTGAGTCGTCTCCGGAGTCCCCTCGTTTCTTTCCAGTTAGGAGAATGCCGTGAGTTGACGTGTGATTGTGTGGAAATGTCTCGGCATGTACAACAGTGAACTTTCGTTTCCTTGCCGCGGCTAGGAGGAATTTTTGAACGCTTGTTGAAGCGGTGTGTGTGAGAATGATTTCGTTTGAATGGATGTGGTCGAGCGCGTTGGCCGCGATCAGGTCATCCGACTGGTCAAGTTCATCCTGTAATTCTCGAATGCCGTCCATGACCTCAGCCTTCAGATCTAAGTTGGTTTTGCTGAAATCCGCCAGTCGTTCTAAGTTTAAGGACGTGAGCATTCCTTTGCTATCTGGAGATTGATGTCCAGTGGGAGTGCTTGAGGTTGATGGGGTGTCTGGATGTGAGAAGAGGCCGAATAGAGAGTTGCCGAGAGGGGCAGAAGATGTTGGGGCGTAGGAGGTATGGGAAGCCAGCAGCGGCGGTCGTTTGGATAGTTCGCCAGATTCAGACAGGTCGGATTGGTGGAAACTTGAGTCCATGGGCTCTACGGCGGCATACTTGAGCGGGCTAAAGGTCGATATGCTTGATGCCAGTGCAGGTCGAGTAAGAGAGTCATGATGCGGCTGCGAATTGTGTCCAAAGTCGCTGTTGGTGTTCGTGTCTGCGTCTATGTTCTCATCGACAACTTCTCTCACCAGGCCCAGCACGCGGCGCACAATGTTCCCAACGACGACCTCGCGGGGCTGAGCAGACGTCAACCGCCTGCCCACCTGACGTATCCGTTCCACCAGCTTTCCCGCATCCCTACCCTTGAACTCGCCCACAACTCGGAGGAGGAGTGCTGTGGTTGCAATTGCGCATGGTCTTGAATTACGTATCTGTCGTCGTTTGAGCAATCTGGGGGCAGTTAGCCATCACGTGCACACCTTACTTGATGACAACCTACGATATGAAGTGCTCGATTGAGGGCTCTACGGGCGTCGTCTTGAGAGATTTCAAGAAGGACGACAGCCCGGGTGCTACAGAGACTACTTCTGGCCGCATGTGTGCAAAACGGCTCCAGCGCGTAGGACGAAGGCAAAGCTACCCTTTAGTCAGGGCGACTGGGCAAAATTAATTGTGGGTGGTTGAACGTGCCTTTCACAAAGCCGATGAGTCTTCATACGTTCGGCCCATTTTCCGCAGCGGGCCCGAGCTCGCATTTCTAACCTTCGTCATTGTTACACAGGGCCTCAGGCTCCTCCCCAACCACCTCCCCCTCCTCGTCCTCCACCACCGCCCCGACGTGGCCTATTGCTGGCCCCAGGGTCTCTCCGCTCGGTGTGCCTCACTATCGCGCCACAGCTCCCGCCGCCTCTCGACAAGCTCCCCTGCGCCAAGCACTCATTTCCTCCTCGGCCCAACCAGCTCCACGTCGGTCTTCAGCAAACACACATCGCTGCCCCAGCAGCCACGCTCACTGTCGCGCAGCCCCATTGCCCCATTATCCCATTGCCATCGTCCGCTCGTTCATGGCCTGCTCCGGAGTATGAACTCTCTGAACATTCTCTCCCACATCGGCAGCACTCCTCCACCCAGTCCTCCCCGTTCACGCGCCGCATCCGAGAGCAACATCCTCCAAGCACAGCCACGGCCCGAGCCGACGCAGCACACAAACGATGTGCGTGTCGGTGCCATAACAAGTCTGGACGAAAAGGGCAAGATGGTTGCCGTGAGGGTGGGCTCCCCTTACCCCAGCGCGGATGCGGTCGCATCCGAGTTTGACGAGAAAGCGCCCCTTCTCAACCCGTCTTCAGAGGGCCCATACGCAGACGCACACATATCAAGGGCGTGGCTAGTACCGAATCGCATATCGGCGGCCGTTGTTGGGACCGTAAAGGTGTTGCTGACAGCTATTGTGGCTCCCGGGAGATACGTGATCGCATGCTTCTACGACGACGGCCATTTTTCTGTCCTTGCCCCTGTGTATAAGATATCGCGTACCTTTACACGTACTCGCCGGAAAGCGACGCCACCAGCCCCAATGCAGGCATTCGATTCTTCAGACGGCATTGAACCCGGAAAACGAAAGAGCAGAAGACCCAGCGTCCCGCAGTCCCAGGCCAAGAGGCCGACCAAGCGGGCTCCATCAATTGCATCAACTTCCACTGCCATGACGTCTGACTCGGAATTAGACAGCGAGCGGCCGCCGACGAGGGATGAGGACACCGATGCTCCGTCACGCAACACGCGCTCCAAGTCAGTGGCATCTTCGGCCATGGAGGAGATTGCGCCTGCGAAACGGTCTATTCGTATCAAGCTGCACAACGAGGAAGCTCTCAGGCAGCGGAAGGCGAAGAAGAGTCAGGCCCGGGGTGGCCCGTCCAAAGGCGGCGCAAACCAGGTTTCGGCTGAGACTGCAGCGTCACTGAAGTCCCCCACCAGCCCAGCAACTGCATCGTCCAAATTGACCAAGTTCCCGCGTGCGCCGCAGCCCCCGCGTCCTTTGGTGCCACGACGCCAGCCGTCTTACTCTACTTCAGGCACATCTGCCGTCGGGCCGCACCAGAAGACGCTGATCATTGATCTTGACGAAACTTTAATCCACAGCATGGCGAAGGGTGGCCGTTATACGACTGGACACATGGTTGAGGTGAAGTTACAGCAGCCAGTGGGCCTGGGAGGTACCATGATCGGCCCTCAGGTCCCCATCCTGTATTATGTCCATAAGCGGCCACACTGCGACGAGTTTCTAAAAAAGGTGCATCTACTCCCCTGTCTTGCAAGTCATCATCCCACTTATCAATGTCCCAGGTTTGTAAGTGGTACAATTTAATTGTCTTCACTGCATCGGTGCAGGAATACGCGGACCCCGTTATCGACTGGCTTGAGGTCGAGCGCAAGTATTTTACGGGAAGGTACTATAGACAGCACTGCACGTTCCGAAATGGGGCCTATATCAAGGACTTGGCCCAGGTTGAGCCAGATCTAAGCAAGGTCATGATAATTGATAATAGTCCTATGAGCTACATCTTTCACGAAGGTGAGTCGGTTTTTCCGGCCCGCATGCGGACATTCCGAATTCGAGGGGCCCGTGACTGATGATCCGCAACAGACAATGCCATCCCTATCGAGGGCTGGATCAACGATCCGACCGACAACGATTTGTTGCACCTCATCCCCCTGCTTGAAGGCTTGCAGTATGTGACTGACGTCCGGGCGCTGTTGGCGCTGCGTTTAGGCGAACCTCAGTCGGCCTGAGGCACCATGGACCACTCGTGATAGTTTTTTTTTTGTAGCCAACTCTTAATGTTCACTGTATTATAGAGCGCCGTTGGCTATCTGCAAGCCGCTGATTGGAGAGTAGATACCCAAGATGTTTTGTCCATTCCTCTTCCGTGTCTCAGCAACTTGCTAATGTGTGTTTTCTTTTTCTGTACCGGACCGCAATTACACTTTCGGCCAGACCGGAGAAGCATTGGCATTCGTGTTTCTTCTGTTTAATTCACTTTTGGCGTGGAATTTACCCACGCACTGTTCAAGTTTGGTAGGTCGTGGGGTCTCGGCCACAAGCCCCCACCGTTTTGGCTAGTTTTATACGGCGTTTTACACTTCAACATGACTTGCTTCTGCAGGTACTTCCCGCTTATCTGCCTCCCGCAACCCGCGTTCCCGTTCAGCCCCACGGAAACTTCTCTCACTCCGTGGCCTTGCATGTGGCATGTGCATTGCGCGAGGCCAGTCTCCTCTGTTCTTCATTTGGAACCTCCCAGCGCTGTGGTTATTGCTCCTTCCGCTATCCCCATGTGCATGTCATGTTACTTAGAGTCTATGTGTTGCGAACTCTTTTCTAACGACTGCCAGCCAATGTATTCAACCAGACGTGGATTGATCAGATCCAAGAAATGTCGCCACCGACCGTTGATATAGCGATGGAGGACCCCAGGTAAGTCTTTCCCAAGATCCCCCTAATCACCAGGAACTAACGGCTTAGCCCTGCCCCTCTTTTCGAGGAAGCCATAGAGACAATCCAAAGCACTTTATCGGAAGAAGAGCGCAGAGTCTTCTCACACTATGCAGACACGGCTTCAATGCTAGAGGATATGCGCTCACTGTGCTCGAGCCAAAAGGAGCACCAGAGGCTGCTAAATTGCTCTCGAAAGATTGGACTATTCTCTCACGTTTTCGCGGCTTTCTTTGACACCATCAGCATTTATGCCCAGCCAAGGCCAGACTGGCTTTGTTGGTTCTGGGGTTCCATAGGGTTGGTGTTCAAGGTATCGTCTTTTCTAGCACCTTACGGTATTGTGCTATATCCTAACGTTCGCTCAGCTTGGGAGTAACTATGTACTATTCCTGGAGAAGATCGCCGATATGTTCGAGTCAATAGCGCATGCGCTACCTCAGTACCAGCAATTTCACGATTCTTGCAGGCGCCAGTTCCAGGAAGTACGCCATGACCAGATGATAACTCTGATGTCCTATGTTTATGCAGACATCATTCAATTTTGCCTAGAGCTGTATCACATGTTCTCGCGAGGATCCCAAGGTACGTTGGATTTTACGTACAAAGAACCCTTCGATTCGCCGTATTTTGTAACGCCGAATATCAAAACCGGTATACTTTACCGAATGCGGCAACGTGGCTAAACCGGGCGATTTATTTCGGGGTTCAACCAGAGCAATTCCTGTCCATTTCTCGAACAACGTGCTCTGTGTCGTGTCATCTTGGATTGCGTTTTCTTGAGGGTTTAAGGCGTTAGTCCGCGGAGAACCGAAATGCTGACGCCTTGCAGGAGCACAATCGCGGCATCGCGCTGAGTTCCTCACCACAGTTTTATGGCGGCCACTTGATGCACGATTTGCCCAGCTGCAATTGCGCCTTGCAAAGCACAAACAATGGTTCGAGACTGAAATGGGAATGTACGAGAACATCGAGCTTCTCGCGCAACATCGGAAAGAGCTTCTTGATGTACAACACTTGTTGAAGACTCATAGTGAAGCGAATGGCGAGGTTGAAGCTGGGAGAATGTTGAGGCGCTGTTAGTCCCGCCTTACCTGGATACTGCGCTATTGCTAACTAAATACGAAGCAAAAAGAGTAGATAGAGTCAGAACATGGCTTTGGAGCAATGAGTACCGCGACGTTTATGAACAAAGCGTGCGCCAACGAGATCCAAACTCCTGCTCCTGGTTTCTCAGTACACCCGAGTATTGCAAGTGGAAGAACGCACCCTTCGACGAAAGAGTGGGAAACGACCTGGATGCTTTGAGAGCTAGTTGGCCTGATCGAGTCCTGTTTATTCAAGGTAAGATCAAAATATCTCTCAAATATCTTAGGGATATAACAAGAAGCGTTAAAAGTCCTACTCGAACGGTATTATATCTTTGTGAACCTAGTGTTTCTTCCCTTTACTCTGTAGTGTCGGTGGTTCTACTCCAAGTCTCTTCCGGCCACATTCTATACTAGGTAGATGCTGTGACATCCGCTCTTTTCTGCCCTTTGCCCATTTTTCTCCCCAGAAAATAAGAAAGCTAATAGAGACTAGCGCAACCGGGATTTGGGAAGACAGTACTTTCCGGACAAATCGTCGATGATCTAAGCACAGAGGCGGAAGACCTCAACATAAGTGATGAACCTCCATCGACTGTTTTCTTCCATTTCAACTCAATACGTCCAAACTGCACATCCTTCCACGATGCCTTTCGAGCACTTGCAGACCAATTGGTCCAGACGCACCGCCATAATCGCCCTACGTTAGATGCCCTAGCACTTCTCATGAGAAGCGCCTCTGGTCAACAGAAAGCCTCCACCGACGATGTCGTCGCCGTTCTGGCACTCCTTCTACGGCAGCATCCCACTTTCCTTGTAATCGACGGAGTGGACGAATGCTGCGACACCGAAATGTTTCTCACGCTAATTCAGGAAATATGTCGCATCTCAGACTGCCGGGTCCTTCTTCTGAGCCGACCAAACATCACTATACCGTTGGAGTATCAGAGATGGGCTTCGGGCGCTCCCCATGTTGTTTTGATTAACGAATCACACAACGCTGCCGATATTGATACATATGTAAACACCAATCTGAACCAGATGGCCGATCAAGGATTCTTTGGCATCGGTCTAGATCGAACTTTAATTACTCAGATCGGTCGTCGATCTAAGGGAATGTTCCTGTGGGCTAACCTGCTTATTAAGTATCTACAATCCCCAGGTCTTTCCCCCAACGAACGCCGAACCACATTGGAAGAGGTTAGCCTGCTAGAAGGGCTTGAGCCGCTATATCGTGGGATCCTGCGGGTGCTTGGTCAACGCTACGGGAAAGAGAAAGCGATATCTGTCGACATCTTCCGCTGGTTATCTTTGTCAATAAAACCGCTCAATACAGCTACGCTTCATACCGCATTAGCTATCACGCCCGGTCAACCAACTACCGAAGATCAATATTTGTTACACTTCACACAGTCGGTCTCGCGGCTGACTTGCGGCTTGGTGGAGGTGGCGGATGGGAGCGTAAGCTTCATACATAGATCCGTCAAAGAGTACCTGCAATCCCCGGAATGCCAAGAGCTGGGTTTTAGCTTGTACGATGAGAGCGCGGTGCATGCTCACCTTGCAGCACGCTGCATCTCATATCTAGCCAACGATGTTCCGAAGCGGCCCCTTCAACGACTCGAACCCTACACGCCTTCGGCCTCAATTGCCATAAGCAGCGGGATATCATTCTGCACCTCTCGGACGAGCAGATCAGCAGATAGTGGATATAAAAGCATGCCTACGTCTGATACAGAAGGACTGGTAGAAATGGACCGAGCTTCGCAGACTACGACTACGTTTGACTTCAACCTGCCTTTTCTTCGATACGCAGCACTCTGCTGGCCCGTTCACCTCTACCGTGCCCTTGTGAATCGGGTTCCCCGCTGTACCTCCCCTACTCTATCATCGACCGACCCATTCTCGAATACACCCTGGCTTCCTGCCCTCTCCCACTTTCTCACAGAGCGTGCAGCTGTCACTACTTGGGTGGAAGCCTCATGGCGATACAGTTTGCCGCCCAACTTGTCTCGTCTAGTTCCGCTCCTCATCAACATCAAATCTGAAATTCCTCCCGCAACGATCGAAGGTAGAGAACTAAGATGGGTGGTGCATGGTCTCCGGCAGTTAAGCGACGCGCTCAATGAGCTGAGAGGCGACTATGGATTCACACTCAGAGATAACCCGAGCCTGGTCTGGCAATGGAATATTCAGGCTGCTACCGAAGGAGGTTTTTGGCCCGTATGGGATGAGCGGAAGGGGTGTGTTCATGGACTGGAAACTTGAGGTTGGCATCGGAGGAGATGCATGGCACTTTGTGAGAAAACATGGCTCAGTTTCTTTGGAAGTTTTATAAAAGTTAGATTTGGGATGGTATTTTGTAGCCGAGCAAAGTGTGATTCTTTTCCATAGTATGGTGGAGTTTGCGTGGTTTGTGGTTTCTATGAGGATACCACCTGGGGGGAAAATGTATGATACTACAGGCATTTGAAATCCGAGACATCTTGCTTCTCTGTTAGGAATATGTTTTGCTTTCGTGACTGTCGCATTGATTTAATCAGAGAATGCTTTACAAATAATGAGGAAGTCATGGAGTCTGATGGAAAAATGCTCCGATTGGCTAAGATCGGCAGGGACACGCAAGGAAACATGGTCACTTTCACCTTTCACCTCTCACCTCTCACCCAAAACCACCAACTTGGCAGCAATGCTTCTTCACTCGAAGCCATAGTTACACCGCACCTCGGGTCCTCGAGGTGCGCTTCTTCCTGGGATTTCATCCCGTCAATCCTCTCCAATTCCCCGCTCCTTGACGACGACCCCGACAATGGCTCCCCCACCAGCCAGTCTCTGGGCCCTCTCCTTCTTCCTGGCCCTCCTAGTCACCCTCTTTGTCGCCGCTACCTTGCGCCTCCTCTCCATACTCCCTCATGTTCGGTTTCAACCAAAACCATTGTGCAAGCAACCCCCAGTCGCAACTCGGATTCTGATCATCCTAGGCTCCGGCGGCCACACGCACGAAATGTTCTACCTTCTCCGAGACCTAGACACTTCAAAGTACACGCACAGAACCTATGTAGTGAGCTCCGGTGACGCATTCAGCGCGCAACGAGCTGTGGAATTCGAACAGGCACTAGAACAAAGAGAAACCGTTAAATTTGAGTCCAAAGAGCCGGAGAGCAGAAACCCAGACGTTTTTCTGAACGGCACTGGCATTGAAAAGCAGCAGCATGCGGTAAGGACACCGCACCTAGGCCCCGAAAACTACAACATCGCTATCGTCCCCCGTGCCCGAAAGATCCACCAATCCCTCTTCACTACGCCCTTCACCTCTCTTCATACCCTTCTCTCTAGCTTCCCAGTCCTCCTCTCCTCTCCACCGCTCCTCCCAGACCAGCTACCTCAGACACCGTACGAAGCTGCCGCACGGGATCTGCCAGATCTTGTCATCACAAATGGGCCCGCTACGGCGGTGATACTAGTCCTGGCTTCCCTTATCCTCAAGTTCTTCAATATCCGAGGCGCGCAGAGTAGAGGAAAGATGAAGTCTGTGTATGTGGAGAGCTTTGCGAGGGTGAAGACATTGAGTTTGAGTGGACGATTGCTTGTTAGGGTTGTCGATCGATTTCTGGTACAGTGGGAGGAATTGGAGGGAAAGGCGGGACGAGCGGAGTATTGTGGCATCTTGGTTTGACAACCTGGGTTACAATGGGAATAGCAACAATGGGAGTGGGCTAAAAAGCCCATGATGTACTTCGGAAGGCATTTTTCTAGGGTTGAAGAGAGCAGGAAAACCTAGATGAGAGTGAAGCATGGTTTTCCACTTCCAGATCCCTATGCCTACACTACATTAGAGGGAAGGCAGTGCCAGGGATATACTTTTCAGTGACCATGTGAGCAGGTGCACAAGGAAAAGTGCTAAAGAGTGGAGTAATACACTGAGCTTTGGCGTAAGAGACTTAGGATTGACAGGCGTTTGTGTGGGTCATACGGTTGATATCCCACGGCCCACATGGACTTGAACGGTATAGTACAATGGATCTACTATCTACAATATTTTACTGTCCAAACCCACTCCTCACGCGACATTATCCTCCCGCAGCTTTCCCTCTTGCTGTAGTTTCCGCAGGGTAGGCGTAGGCATTTTCGTTTTCATGATCTGTCCAATCCGCTCCAGCATTTCCGGGGTCAAAGTTGGCGCTGGCTGAGCGGCCTTCTCCGCGAATTTCATTTCTCGAAGAACCTGCATTGGCGTTTTCATATGCTCGGGCAACTTCTTCTTCTCTTGCTCCATTCTCTCCATCGCCTCAATCTTCTCGATAAATTCGGGGTCGTGCCTCGTCCTAGTTTTCCCGTACTTGTTCCTCAGCTCGTCGATGACGCTATAGGGCATTGGAGGATGCACTAGAGGAACATTGAATGTTTGGCTGTCAGGACCTTCGATGATATCAATTGTTGTATCGCACTCATAGGACCTGTAATCCGGGTCCTCCTCCTTCTTCATCTGCTCGTCAGTTAACTCGATCCTAATATCCGTGCCTGCGATGTAGCGGTCGTATCGAGGCTTCCCAGTGTACGGGTCAACTATTTCCCGTGAATTGCCATCCTCGTCCCATTCCACGCGTTTCTCGAGTCGTATGCTGTCCACGACAATGTCTTCTTCACGGCCGTTGCGCGGATTCTCCCATTTGTAGACGAGCTTGAGGTCTTGGAACGGGAGTGGTAGTGGGGCTTCGCGCCGGGCTTCTGGAGTGTTACCGAAGGCGTCGAAGGCGCGGCCATCGACGAACGACTGGGGATGGCATTAGTAGGTAGACATGATGCAGTACCTGAGACGAGAGGATAGAGTCTAATGCGCACCACGTTCACGTCCTTGACAACGACCTCGTTCGTGTCTCTGTTGACCCTCTGGATTACTCCAATCTTGCCCTTCTCAGGGCCTCGAATCACCACGACACGGTCGTCCGGCTTGAAAGGCAATAGTTCCTCCTTGAACTTCATATGATTTGGTAATTGAGGCCGACCCATTTGCTCACGCTCCAACGCACCGAATTTTTCTTTATTTTCCCCCACAGCTCTGTTTGGCCGCAGGGGGCCCAACTTCCAGTCTTCGATGAGGTTTTGGCGGGCGGTTTTGAGCTCTTGGCGGATCCATCGATTCTCCCTCTGCAAAGCTTGGAATCTGTACTGCTTTTCTGCGAGATTGCGCTCTTTGGCTTTTAGACGGTCGAGGCGACGGATCCGGGTGCGGGTTGCACGCTCCGCACGGTTGATGATGCGTTGCATTGTGATATAGTGGGGAGGAGGTAGGAGATCGGATGCAGGAAGGTTTAGTTAGGATGTGGGTTAAATGTGTGGAGTGAGGAGGACAAAGGAGCCGTGGGCGAGGACAAAGAATTGCAACAGTATAACTACCAAAGAGGAGCTATGAATGCGACTTGACGTCCTCGAAGCTACCCTCACTCCTCTCACGCGCAATTGGGAGAAACTGACGAGGGTGAACATATCAAAACTTAAGCGGGGGTGGGTGATTTTGCTCTCCGCGCCGCCCGAGTGACCGCCTTGCCAAGCCGGCATGCCGAGTATTTTCTGCCAACGAGGGAAAGTCGAGGACTCCCGTATTCTGGCACTTGAGCGCAATCACGCACCGAACCGAAAGGCCTTTTGTACTACTCGTCTACTTCCCTACATACACAACATGGCGAGGAGGCTGTTCCGACCGGGCCTGACCTGCCACTACTGCGGCACCTACTCGCGTGACAACCAGGCAGGCATAACTCGTGCCTGGCTGTGTCCGCACTGCGAAAGCATGAACTACGTCGATGAGGTCCTTCACCAAACCCTTAGGAGAGAAACAGGTTGCTGATACATCCCCGCAGAAAGGAGGAATCGTAGATCCTCCCGTCGAGGACACAGCTCCTCGATTCGTCCGATATGCGCATTCCCGCTCTCCCTCTCCGCAGGTGTCAACGGCCAAAGACGCGTTCTGCAAATCGTGTCAGCGCAACCAACTCCTCGTGAATAAGGCCATGGCCGAGTACCTCCCTGACGACGACGACCCCGACTACACCAAGTACGAGGCCTCCGTCGATGCCTTTCGAGATGAGCTTGAACGTCGGTATCCCCCCGTATGCGACAAGTGCGTCCACACAGTCCAGAAACAGATTCGAGCGGCGCAATATACGGCCAATACGGATCATCTTCGTCGCATCCTGCAATTCTCGAAGCGTAATCGGGCACAGCACGACACTACGAAACAGGCATGGCTGCTCCGTGTCGTCTTCGCCGCGAAATGGATATACTATGCTAGCGTCGCAGTGGGCATTGTCTGGCACCTGTTTGGAATCATGCTACAATCAGACACAGGAAGTGGTGCCGCCACAGTGTTCGACTGGCCCCTGTGTCTCGAGCAGGCCTTGACAGCCTTCGCGGTGGAGCGGTTCTGCTTCAATTCCCCCCCAGTCATGCTGCAGATCAAATACACCCTGGTTGCTGACTTACTCACGTTTTGGTGGAATCCACAATTGGAAACTAAAATCAATCGGGCGGGCGGTCGAATGCGAGGTCTCACCTCGCAATGGCTTCTACGACTCGTGGTTGTTGCCGTGCGGTATGGCATTTTCTATCGATCTCAAGACCCTTCTGCCTACAACGGCAACCTCCAGTTCTTCCGGGTCGGCCATGCCATCTCTCTAGCTTTTGTCATCGCCGTACGCAAGTTTCCCCGGTGTGTTTTAGACCAGCTGCTAACTGATTCAGGCAACATTGCTCTCCAGACAAATTGTCTACATCGACTACCAATCTACAAAGACATTCATGAAGAGGATCGATCCGTACCTTCCCCAGGCTACCAGCCGTGAGGGCACTCAAGAGCCATACCAGCCCGCACGTCCGAAGTACGATTCATTCGACACCATGGCGCAATCCTTCACCGAATCCTTCCCAATTAGCAATCCAGGAGAAGCTACCGGCATTCTAAATGACCAATATCCTCCATCGCCCACCGAGTCTATTTCCTCTTTCCGTGACGACGACAGTGACGTATATACCCCGTATCTCCGCAAAGCGCACGTCAACAAGACCCTCAACGACGACATGGACTGGACTCCAACCCGCCGAACATTTGCACCGCCCCAACAAATCTTGCCACCCGTCTTCAGCCAAGCGCCTTCAGCACCCCCACCCCGTCAACCTCACTCCATCTTCGCCAAACCCTCCACCAACCCCTTCGATCGCAGAGTCCCTGCACCACCTCCTAAACACAAAGAACACGAACGCCGCAACCCCTGGAAACCCAGCATCTTCCAGCCCGCCACGCAGTCAGCGAAGAAGAACTTCTTCGCTGAAGTCATGAATTCCCAGGGCTCGCCGACGACACAGGAGAGCCTGCGGCAAGCTCCAAGCTGGGTCAGGAAGGATGAAGAGCTTTTTGAACCTCCGAAACTGAAGTACGACACGTATACGAAGCCTAAGATGACTGGCTTGGAGGATACTTTTAATTCTTTGTTTTCGGGCTAAGGGGCCGGGTTTGCATTGGGCGAATGTGGGTAGGGTGTATGGCTGGTGTTTGCTGGTGTGTGGTTGGCGTTTTTGATTAGATACCCTTGTTTCTCCTGATTGCTGTTTAGAGATTGGTTTGTTTTAGGACATATGGTGGCTGGCGTTCAGGTGGCTGGCGTTCAAATGGTGGGCTTTGGCCTATTTGTGTTCCGTTGGGTGGATTAGAATGCTGCTCATATGTCGAAGCAAGTAGTGAGCACGTGTCTGATTAGAAGACAAATTCCGTTTTATGTATGGTTAACGTTTTGTCGATATTCAACTCGCTAGTATTATTCGTGAATCGTGTGGAGAAAGAACCGGGTAGGGTATAGGCGGTTTAGCATGGCACGTTTTATCACTGCTAGATAGTTCTTGACTTGAGAAACAAACAAGGACCAATATCCCTAACACTATGACGGAATTTGTGCTCGCACAGGTCAGGTTTTCTATCTAACCTCCATCAAGCTGATCATGAGATATTCATGCCTCTCGAAATACAGAAATGTCCCCAGTGAAGACTCCGTATGCCATCCCATGTGTCAGCCGACCATCCCCAGCCCATTCCATCGTCCTCAATGCACGATGCTTCGCTTCGCACCCACGCACGTACGCTGAATATTTTTCGCTAGAAGCTTATGACCTAGGCTTTTCCTTCTTCTCCTTCCACAACGCAGAGAGACCGACACCAGAAACCTTGACAACCTTGAAACGCACACCGGGAATATCACCCTTGGCTTTGCCTTTACGACCGAATCCGGCGAGGAGCACTTCGTCGTTCTCGTCTACGAAGTTGAGACAACCGTCGTTGGGGACTGCAACACAATTAGAATTAGCACAGACTCGCTCCAACCAGCCTCCCGTTGCCAAGTCTGCAGCCTGCCATCCATCTTCCAGTGCCATTTTCGAGGGGCATTGTGACATACCGAAAGCAGTGACCTTCTTTCCGTTCTTGATCAACTGAACCCTGACACACTTCCGGATAGCAGAGTTGGGCTGCTTAGCCTCAACGCCAACCTTCTCGAGAACGATGCCCTTAGCGTGCGAAGAGCCACCAAAGGGAGACGACTTGTAGGCGGTTCCGAGCAGACGCTTCTTGTAGTGCAGATCGGCCCAGCGGCCTTCGCGGCGATGGTTACGTAGCTTGCGGGCAGCGTTGAGACCTCTCGGCTTTCCTTTACCCATGATTGCTGTTAGGCGGAAGTTGTTAGTGATGTGAATCAATGAATGAGGTGCGTGGTTTTGGGGGGTTGGGTTTGGTGGAAACCTCAGCTCGATGAGAATAGCAAATGGCTGAGAATCGAGGGAGGGGAAGGAGGGAAGGATATGAAGGCGCCGTACCGACTTATTGGGGGATCGCTGGGTAATTGGGGTGGGTTGGGTTCGAAGGTTCGATGAAGCTGCTTGATCCTGAGAATTCGAAAGTGCGCTGAAGCGAGGCGCTAGTGGCGAATTTGGTCGAATCTTATCTAATCGCATCTTATCTTATCGGATGCCCTCTACATCAACAACCCAACCTTTGATTGAACCATTTCAAGTACTATGAAGGATATATCACCACCTTGAGCTCAGAATGTCGGCAAACAGCATAACAAAAACAACCTCCAACCGCCTTCCCGCGCCTGCCCTCTTTGTCGGCCCCCCATCCCGCAATGCTTCCAACACATCCCTCATCCCATCCACAGAAGGGAAACCGACACGCACCCCTCTAACCCGCCAACGCTCCCTCCTTGGCCCTGATTCCAAGCGCCCCTTACCACCCAGTCATACCGACACCGATAATCTCAGCCCCATATCATCCAACCCCTCAGCTCCCTTCATCCGTCGCCAAAACCAGCAAAACCAAGCCGCCGATGCTGAAGCCTCGTCGCGCGCAGAAGCCATATGGGCTGAAATGCAAAACACGCTTGAAGAAGTGGAATTGAGTGCAATTAAAGGGCCTGGGATGACTGTGTTTGGATCTGAGCATTCCCGCGCATTAGACGAGCTGCGAAGAGCACAGATCGAACTTGCCAAAGCGTGGGCAAGAAGCGAAGCCGAAGAGGAAGGGCAAGGTGTGGAGGAGCGGAAATTGGCAAAAGGGACTGATGCCGCAGATATGCTTGCCACGGACCGTGCTCAGAAGCTTGGTGGGTCTCAGGGCGGTCCCGGGAGCGTGGGAAGTGGGATTGGGGGCACGTTTGAGAGAAGTAGACTGGAAGAAGAGACGGAGAAGGATATCGAGCTGTCGAGGAAGAGGAGAGAGGCTAATGACCGGTATTTTGAAAAGGTCAATAAGGGTGTCTTGGACGTGGTTATGAAGCTCGAGGAGGTAGCTGGGGCGATGAAGGATGTGGAGGTGGAGAGTAAAGAGATTTGGGGGGATGGGGAGAGCGTCGATACGGCGAGTTTAACTACAGTCCCAAGCGTGACTTGAGAACATTGGCAGAGTGCCCATATTCGTTGCCAGAAAGATGTACAGGGCTCAACGAGCTGAACACCTAACGCACGTCTTTCAAAAGAATGGCAGCGTAACGAGCTTATCTTCCAAGCTCACCAGCGATATCTAGACCTGATGGAGGATATCACCGGCTTATTCGATACTCACAATGCGATCATGAAGACCCCCGAAGCGACACGATAGGTCTACTAGTGTTTTGGGGTTGGTCGCTCTTCCTCAACGGGCACAGCATGCGCTGCTCGGGGAAAACTTTAAGTGTACCCAACTTTCTCGTGTATACAGCATGTTATCACCCAGTGTGGAGCACAACTGGGATGGAGTCCATTCGCCGAGCCTCTTGCTAGAAGAAAGGAGAACATCAACAGGACGCTAATTTCTGCTTTAAATTACCCACCATGTTCCACAGTGGTCGGCAAGACGCAGTGGAGCATTCGCAGGACCGAGAAAGTCTATTTAGGTTTGCGTCAGATATCGGTGTTACGTGGAGCGGCATATCTCAAAAATGGTCACAATCAAATCTGCTAAAGAGAGCGTCATATCTACGACTCGAGCCAACCCCCACGCCTGCTTATGATGCGAAAGGAAACGCGTGTACTCCGCAAGATCTACAAATAAACATAAGGCCTACTACAATGCCTCCATGCGGAGATCCCTGAGAACCCAGGACATGGGTGTGCCACTTTCCTGGAGGAAGAAATTTGGGAAAGTAAAATGGAATTTATGAAGGAAAGAATGTAGTAATTTCTGGAATCTTTCCCCGCAATGAAGCGAAAGGGAAGTTGTTGGCTGGGCTGGTTGTGCAGAAGTAATTGGGGGAGCACCCAGTGCACAGGGAAGGTGCCTTGGTCCTTTCCACCGTTGCTAAGACTACTAGTAGAAGATCCCCCTGTCAAGAGGACCTCATACACTCGCGGAGACTGTAAACGTACACTCTTCGGCTTTGAGCTGGGGCAAACTTTCGTTCTCTATCGAACCTTCTTGTCGTGCTCGTCCTTAGCTCGAACCCCCAGGAGTTCATTCAAACCCTTAGATTCATACCCACGCCTTCCACATTAAAGCAGGTAGCGGTAATCCGGACTCATGTCCCCAAGCTCCGTCTTCTCATAATCGGTCAGGCTCAGGTCGGTCGCATTCCGATCTCTACTCCTATTCTGCCACATGCACATGATGAAGTAGATGAGGCAGCTGAGAGCACTCAAGCTCACAAACGCAATGCAGATCGAGTACCCCGGGATATACCGCGGCGCGTCCTTAGCCAGGAAGGCATACACTGCGATGATGCCGCCGATATTTCCGAAACCAACTTGCCAGGCTGTCCCAACGGCGCGCCGATGGTGACCCCCAAGGTTCATGTTGAACCAGCACACTATGACTGGCATAGCGGTGTATGCGCCCATGGCTACGAGGAACAGTGCACCATACTGCACAGATCGGTGGTTGTGGACGGCTATCAAGATCGCGAATCCAGATATGCAAACACAGATCGGTAAGATGGCGAAGACAAAGCGGTGTTTAAAGCGGTCGCTAAACCAGGCGATTGTCATGGCAAACCCAAATGCGGCTGCCCACGGCGGCACGCTATGAAGCTGGGTCTGGATAGGACTGTATCCATAGCTTTGTATAATACCTGGTGAGAAGTATGCATATCCGTATGCAGGCACAATAAGACCGAAGTACATGAACCCGCCGACAATAATTTTTGGGTCCTTAAATACTCGCCCCACGTCTCGTAGCGTAATGGGTCGCTCAAGTGCCGACTTCCCTTGATCTTGCTGCAGTCGGGCCCGAATAAAGGCTCTCTCGTCTTCTCTTAGCCATTTAGCCTGCTCAGGAAAGTTCGGTAGGAGGAAGTAAAAGAATATCGAGACGACACAGGTTAGAGTTCCTACTAAGATTAGCTCCTTCAAAGCGTTTATCATTGGTCACATTAGTTTAAAGGAACTCACCTTCGAGGATGAAAATCCAACGCCAACCACGATAGCCACGCATGCCGTCCATCTTTCCAATAGCGCTTGCAAGGAGGCCACCAAAGGCACCTGCGAGCGTAGTACTTGAGAAAAAGAAGGTGTATCGGCGCTGGGCCTCGTAACGACGATACCACATTCCGATCAAATAGAAAGCTGCGGTACCGTCAGTACCTGGCCATTAAATACCATTTCAGCCAATGGGTGAATGTACCTCCTGGGAACATGCCCGTCTCAGCAAGCCCAAGGAAAAATCGTGTGGTAAGGAGACCTGAGTAGCTCTGAACCAAGCCTTGGCATGTTGTGATGAGACCGAACGCAAACATGCAGCTGGATAGCCATATTCTTGGTTTGAATTTCTTTAGGAGGATATTAGACGGGATTTCGAATAGAATATATGGGACGAAGAAGATCACAAGGGCCGCGTTGTACTTGTTTCCCGCTTGAATGTGAAGTTCTTTCGACAACCCAAAGACGTTGGCGTTCGCGATGTTGACTCTATCTAAGAATGCTAAGAGGTACATGACACACAGGAACGGGAGAACGTGGAGGTCAATCCGGTACACTAGTCGCCGCTCTGTGGTATGGGGAGGGCACTCCACGCAGAGATCATCATTGTAGTTGCCATCGTATTGCGGAGGAGCAGGGTCGTCACTCTGGAGATCTTCCAAATCTATGGAGATTTAGCAAGTGGATTCTCGGAAAAAATAAATATGAAAATAAATTTTCTTCACTTACTCTCTTTCTTAGGAAGCATCTCCTTGAAACCACGTTGTTGAGAGATGTTCGTCGTCAACGAGCAAGGGCAAGTTCAAGTCGGAAGATGTCAACACCAAAACGAAGTCAAAGTGCGAGATTGCCAAACGGAAAAGGAAGCCCCGGTCCCAATTTGCACCAAGGTGTAGATCAAGAAGGATTTAATAATCATTGGAGCTCGGGTTTACGAGTGCGGAAACGCACCGAGGTCAGGTCCCCTCAATCCCCATCCCCGCATTTCAGCTCAGCATTTGCCAATTGGGGAAGGTTACTATTGCTTGCAGAGGAATGGTGGGCAATCTTTGCCGCTAGCGCCCATCTGAAAAAGCACGCGGTATGAGAAATCTAACTCCCACATCGCGAGAAGCGGAGCCGGAGTTGAAAAGGCATCCGGTATGTATAAAGGACGCTTCCTCATCCCTGAAGCAATATTCAATACTTACCGCGGATTCTCAGCTGCATCTGAATCTGCCGGAGGGCGGAAATGCGATCTCCCCCACTGATTGATGGCATTCTTCCAGGGGTATTCTCGTCAAGGAGAATGATCGACAGAGGCCCCGGTTGTGGCGCATGCATTAAGTAATCACCCTCAGAGAGTGGCAAGCGGAACATGAGAGGCATGTACAGAAATAGGCATTGATTGTGCTATCCGCCCAAACTATGCTGCTCAATGTATTCACCCGCTTATACCACTTTAAGCACAGGCTGATGGCTAGATGAGATGCTCCTGCCGGCAATCCATCGGTTCCAGATTCTCAAATCTCCGCTTAGTCAAACGATCTCCTTTTCCCAACCAATCCAAGGTCATCGGAGCGCCACACGTCCGATGAGGCTTCTCTTCCACAGCGCAACCTCAAAACTCTACCTGAACCTCTCTTCGTTCACGCTGCTCACACTTCACCATCACAGCCTTCGCGCTTTGAAAGGATTTCTTATCCCGTCGCTACTTTCTCCTCAGTCCTTCATCCTCTTCTCTGGCTCTTTTGTCACTCAGCGGCTGGCCTGCTGACCAGCCATGGTGAATTCCAAAAATGTCGCCTTCAAAGTCGACAAACAAGCTCCGGTCCGAGGACCACCACCTCAGCCTTTCGGGACTGTCATCAACTGCCGGAAGCCAGGTGGCAAGCGAGCGATGAGCCAGATTGAAGAAGTGAGGTCGCAGCAAGTGCCATTGACCAAAATCTCCGGAGCCTTTCAAAGGGAACAGAAGCGGAAACGGAGTGTAGACGATGGGAAGGGCGAGGATGGGGCAGTTCAGTCCAAGAAGTCAACCACATCCCGCGACAGCTCACCAACTCTCATGGCTATCCCGGCACTCCGTGGGGCAAACGACCGCATTTTCCCCACCATCAGACCCCAGCCGAAGCCCACGAAGCTTCGAAGAGGAAGAGCTTTGCAAAAGGAGATCGATTTGGATTCCTGGTTCACTATTTTGAGGTTCTCTGACCCTGCCCAATTACTGGAAATGCGGGATAAGATCGCTTCGTGCTATCGTTTTCTCAGAGATAACCCCACGCTATGGAAACACAGCAGGAGGTATTATTACGGCGCTGGCCTCCCAGACCCCCCGAGTGAGCTCACAGAGTTCCAATACGCTCATTTACGACATGGTCACGGATGCATGAGTTGTGGGACGCAAGGCACGCGAAAGACGTATTGGGCATTTCTTCGGCGCTGGTGCAAGACTTGCTTACAGTCCAAGATGATTAAAGAAAGTGAGGCACTAGCCATGTTCAAAGATGCTAACGGGGAAGATATCTCCTTCGTCCAGAAGTGTCTCCCTTCTGGAATTTTCGACTCATGGGGAAATTTTGTTGGCGTTGGTCCTGCACATGCGCACTCTCTAAAAACTGTCTACCTACTGTCGGATGTTCAGATGCTTGTTGCAGATTTTGTCAAAGAAAGCCGGGACAATCGTGTATCCTGGCACGCCGAGATGAGGACCTGGATCAACAACAAAGTCAAAGTGGTCGAAGAAAGGCGTGAATTTGCTCAAAAAATGGAGCATTGGGAAGACGCTACTCGCACTTCCAAATCGTGCGATTATCAAGGGAAGAAGGAGGCCCGCAAGACATTTTTCGTCGAGAAAGCTGCCCAGCTCACTCCACCTATTAGCTTGAGGGAGATGGAGTTATGTCCATCGTACCGACGGGCGGTCGCTATTCCGAAGGAACCCAATATGACCTCCTGGCTTCAGTTAAAGCCGAAGCTGGAGAAGGAGGCAGCAGAGTTGACAGCAAACGGCGGACGATTCAACGATTCGATGCGATCAACGCCGAGCGATATGACGACGAGCACCGACATGTTCTGAAGTTATTTATATTGCAACATATATTCCACGGCACACAAGCGGCGATATTTTAGAATAAGGGGCGTGTTTCTGCCAGCCAGATTCTTAGTACCATCCACCCTTGCACGTACAACATTTCGTAATGTTTCTCTTCATCTGTCAGCATCATCGGTCTGGGTCATGGCATGGTCATGGCATGATATGAACGGCGTCCGGAGCATAGGTTGGCATGGGCTTGCTTTCGGAGATACTACATAGAGCTAGATGAATTCTAATGTGCACCAACGACATTGTGGATACTCTTGCGCACTTAAACGCTCTCTTCACTCTAAAACCAGGCTGCTTAGTCTGCCGAGCAGCTGATTGGTAGATATTGATGTCGTCGGTGTCAATGCTCTCGAGCCAGCTTGCCCCCGGTGTGTTCGTTGAGCATGCAGACAAACGTGACTTACTCTCAGTGTACCGTACCCGTGAGCATACCCAGGGCTCACCCTCAAGAGTTCAAGGAGCTTCACCAACCCCCCTTTCCCCCTCCTTTGCATCTATGTGACTGTCGATCTGTCTGACACGGCCGACGAATCAAGGGTTGTCGGAGCAAGGGGCCGGGACGTAGGAGGGGAAGATGAGGCTCTGCGGACTGGACCCTGAAAAGCTATTTACAAGCTCCTTCGCCTCCGTAAATTGAAGTGTAGTATTCTCGGTTCTCTTTGCGAATTGTGGCACCGTCACGCAAATCGGCGAAGTGACCCTGGGAAAGTCATGTTGTCGGATTAGCTGAGCAGCAGCGTTCTCGATGAAAGATGATGGTGTACGAGGGCCCTGATTGGGCAGGGCACGGGCTCCACTTTGGTTATCTTCCGGCTGCTGTGGGCTTTTGAAGAAGACGATAGAAACGGGGGTCGGACGTTGCCGCGGGTAACTAGCCAACACGTCGACGCTTTAAAGCTCTCTACCACCTTCACTTTCGCACTCCTGTCCGCCATTAATCTATTCCCCGCTCCCTCCATCTACAATTGCTTGCAGCCCGACTGCAATTGGAGCTGTCGATCAAGCTTATCGTCTGAAGGAAACAATATCACACCATCTGCACCGGAGATCCACGACACCTATTCGAATAGCTGTCTACCATGGCCTCCGCCTCCCGAAGCTTCACGCGTGCCCTGCGCACCTCGACCCCTACTTTCCGCACCGCTTCGACGCGCTCTGCACGCTTTGCCGTCCCACAGCAGGCCTTCCGTCAACAGTTCCGCCGCGGATATGCGTCGGGCAAGGAGGGTGGCGATGAACACAACCCTAATACTATGCTGTGGGGCGCCGGCGCCCTCGTAATTGCTGCCGGTGGTTACGCAGCCTACAAATACAAGCCAGAGCTGTTTGGGCAAGAGGCGAAGGCCAAGGGCCCTTTCATCCCCAAGTTTGAAGACTACCAAAAGGTGTACGATGCGGTGGCCAAGCAGCTGGAGGAGAAGGACGAGTACGACGACGGGAGCTACGGACCCGTGCTGTTGCGATTGGCGTGGCACGCGTCGGGAACGTGAGTATACACAGGACATGGATATGACGGAAGCCGTATGAGTGCTAATGCGATATAGATACGACAAGGCGACTGGGACTGGTGGCTCAAATGGTGCTACCATGAGATTCGCACCTGAAGGCGATCACGGCGCAAATGCTGGCCTTAAAGCGGCACGAGACTTCCTCGAACCTATTAAGGGTATGATTTTCTACCTCGTGCCCTTTCTCGACTTTCTCGATGCATAGGCTAATGCTGTTGCCAGAGAAATTCCCCTGGATATCCTACTCCGACCTCTGGGTCCTCGCTGGAGTCTGCGCCATCCAAGAAATGCAGGGCCCCAAGATCCCCTACCGTCCTGGCCGCTCCGACCGCGATGTTTCCTTCTGCACACCCGACGGCCGTCTTCCTGACGCTTCAAAGGAGCAGAAGCACATCCGCGCCATCTTCGGCCGCATGGGCTTCAGCGACCGCGAAATCGTAGCTCTGTCTGGCGCTCACGCTCTCGGCCGCTGCCACACCGATCGCTCTGGCTACGACGGTCCGTGGACCTTCTCCCCGACCACCCTGACCAACGATTACTACAAGCTGCTGTTGGAGGAGAAGTGGGCGTGGAAGAAGTGGAACGGTCCGAGCCAATATGAGGATGTCAAGACTAAGAGCTTGATGATGTTGCCAACGGATATGGCGCTCATCAAGGACAAGGGATTCCGACCATACGTAGAGAAGTACGCCAAGGACAATGATGCTTTCTTCAAGGACTTCTCTGAAGCTGTCACGACGCTCTTCGAGCTCGGTGTGCCGTTCGCTTCATCGGCAGAGGACAGGTGGACATTCAAGAGCTCCTTCGACTAAACTGACACCTTCGATGGGGGAATAGACAGGGACAGACAACAAGACAGACACAAACACACACACACACACACACACATACCGGGGACGTGCATTTTGGGAGTCACTGTGCCTGATTTTCCAGGAATGATATCCTACTAGACCGACATAGACCATGTGGATTTTGGGGGGTTTTGCGCTTGCGACAGAATGACCTCAATGTGGAGGATGCGCATGGGCTCGGTCTTTTCTTCACAATGCTCTTTACATGTTCTTTTTCTCTTGATTGTAGCACTGCATCTCCCATCATCCTTGGGTGTTATTCTACGACAAGTTCACACAACATTCCGGTATGTCTAAGTTCGCTCATGTGCAGATGTGAACCCATCAATGGTGCTGAAGAAAGTCGCTGTAACATTTTCTTTTGATTCCTCCGAGGAGATGCACACCCTGAGATACTCACGTGTGAAATGCCAAAATAAATGTGCTCTGCTGTGCATCTCCGGCAGCAGCCCATATTTGCAACAAATTGCGTCAGGCGCCGAGGATCGGGTAGTCGGGAAATCGCATTGCTGCTCACTCCTGCCCCAACGCCGTTGCGATTTGCCGGTGTTTTCGAGTCCAGAACTCCTGCTGGTCTTTCTCCAGTTTCTTGAGCTCTGCGATGTTAGTAGAACCCAGATCATCAACTTTTTCTTCTAGCTCTTTCATTCCTTCTTTGGGTATGTTCGGGAGAGGCAAGACTGAATGCGGATACATCGACGTTTTAGTAAGGAACTTTGGGATCGGCTCCTTGAAGGAGACTTTCTTCTTGGGTCTGACCACCTTGGAGCTTTCGCCCACAACTTGCATTTCTTCATCCCCTCCCGCAGGTACGGAGAAGCGTTCTTTCTGGGGTTCCGGCGAAGTTCGAGGGATGAGTAGCTCACGCATGAGATTCTCACCCAGGACCTGAGCTCCGAGTTTCCAAATCTCTCCAAGAATTGCCTCCCACTCTGCCTGCAGCTGTATGATCTCAGCTTCTTGCTGTCGAAGTGTATTCATGAAGTCTGTCATCCTCTCCCTGAGCGAGTACTTTGTTAGCTCTGATTGGCCGGTCTCTTTGTTCGTGGCATGGTATTGGAGACCAAAGTCACCCATAGGCACAGTCAACGGAGCAATGACTTGGCGAAGTCGATATGATAAAGACAACTTCAGCGGCGATCCACCAGCATCGCCCGGATCAGGACCAAAGGCTGAATGAACAGTTGAGTCATAGAGAGCTTGATGGAGAGACTCGTGTTTAGAAGTGATGCTGGTGGTGACGAACTCATATAGCTGGGTGCGGTAGGCGTTGGTAGTGCCTGTTCATTGCCTTGAGCCCCTAGAATGGACTTCGCAGGGTTGCCAAATACCTCTAAATGCCACAGCAAGTGGGTGCCTATCGCCGTTCTTCATGGGCGCGAGTTTCCATTTTCCAAGGCTGTTTGATGGTGAAGCCTCGTTCTTGCGTGCCTTCTTCACCCTAGAATTCTCGACAGTCACGAGAGCATCATTGGTAATAGTGGTGAGCGCTTTCGCAGCTTTAGCCGCTCCTCGAGGTTGTGGCTTGAAAATTGAAGCTGCAGAGACCGAGGGCTTGACCTTGGAGGGTGAAACGGCCTTTGACAAATGTATCGAGCGACTAGCGGTTAGAACTGGGATGGGACACTCGACCTGCATTCTCTCATGGACGCGAATGCGTCGTGTAGGGAAGACTGTGTTGGCAGAAGTCGCGAGGCCTGAAGTTTGAGACTGAGAGATGCATGAGACGAATGAGGAAGGAACGCAAAATAGGCTCCAAATATATTCCGGCTCCAGGATTATACAACATGGTCACATTGTTGAGACTTAAAGAGAGGGGTGAGAAGTCTTATCGAAGGATGGCATATGGGGAATGAATGAGTCTCAGATGAGTTTGAGCCTGACTACTTGTATGCATCACGTGAAATGGTTTCTAAAATCCGTCATAGAGTCCAGCTTACGGAACTTGGTACTTGAGGTATATGTACAGTCTTGATCTTACATTTCCTTGGCAATGCTTGCTCATCATTTGCAGTCAAAGTGGTTTTGTATAGTTATTAGGGACGTCCGTCGAAAATGCATTAAAGCCAATTCCAACAGGACACAACATTTTATCATTTTGGGGGCTCGGACCTCGGCGCCTCTTCTGCAGGCACGAGAACACCCTTGTCGTCGAGTAGCTTGGCTAGTGACCCGTCCTGATGCATGCTCATGAGGATGTCACAGCCGCCAATGAACTCCTTGTCGACGTACAGTTGCGGTATGGTAGGCCACTCGGAGTATTCTTTGATGCCTATGCGCTTAACAATTAGCCATTGATACACTCCTACCCTATTGAACGCTCATGTGACTCAAACCCAATCCATACCAATACTCTAGTACATAAGAGCAAGACATACCTTGTCTCAAATCATTATCCTCTAGCACATTGAATGCCGTAAATTTCTTTGGATCCACACCCTGCATGCCTAAGATCTGAATACTAGCTCTCGAAAATCCACATTGGGGTGTCTCTGGTGTTCCCTTCATGAACAGCACCACCGGCGATGTGGCGACAGCTTTATCGATCGCTGTGCGCGTTTCTTGGGATAGTAGCCGGATTTGAAGAGGTGTTAGGAAGCGTGGAGCTGTGCCTATAGTCGGGAGTGGGCGGATGGTTCGACTGGTGGCTCGGAAAGCCTGCAAATATTGTCAGACAAAGATTGAATGAGATGGTCGCTGAACATTCTTCACACATACCGATGAGAACGCCGTCCTCGAAAACATTTTGGGCAGTATCGAGATTGCTGGTGGTAAAGGAACCGAGGAAGCAATTGTGCGCAAACCTCCGCGAGTTCGCCGCAAAGATTCGGATGAGGTCAGGATGCCAAGCCAGCTGATATTTAGAGAAGCTCTGATACCACAAGCCTTCGAACATTCACTCCCCAGACCTTTTCATTTTCAACCCATTCTTTAACACCATTAAAAATCACAACAAGCTCCTCAGAACTTATCCCATCTATAGGATTTGTTCAGAGAACCATGAACATCTTTCTAGCCTCGCAAGGCTTCTGCCTTGACGTTATGAGCGTGGAAATGCTCCGGCAAAAGGTTTCCAAATGGCCATCCACACTGGACAACCAATATACGCACTAAACTACTGCCATCTTGATTTGGAAGAATAGGATCGCTATTTTTTCATGAACCTTGCAATCAAGTCACACGGACGGGAGAAGGCAGAAGCTACTTCAGACATCATAACTAAACGTATAAACGCTCACCGAAAGGATGGCTCAAGCCTGGGGAAGATGTCAACGTGGATTTTTGGTTTGGTCCCAAAATCTACGTCTTGTACTGTACTGCAAAGGATTACATGATGACAGACGAAATGCAGAGACGGCTTGACGAATGGCACTTGACTTAAGACGTCGACACCTTGATCTGCAAGATTCTCCTTGCCTAGGCCAAGGCCGTAGTGATCGACACGAAAGACGCTTGCCAGATATTGTAGAACCGCTTTGGAACATGCGTTGACTGTATTGAAACATAGACGCACAAATGTCCGGTTCAGCTGGTTGACTAATTCGCCAGCGTCTTAGAACACTGGACGAAGCAATTCTGCCAACCTTACCCGTAATTTCCCTAGAAATAGTGGCCTAATGGATCTGGCTATGAAATCTTCATGTACTATGCTACAAAATGCAACCTACATCGATATCTTGAGCATGTTGTCGCTATACGGCGAGCCCGAGAACACCCACAACGGGCGCGCAACTCTGCCAAGTCGTATGCATCATCATCAGAACTGGTTCTGAAAACTGTTCAGGAGTTCCATCACAACCGCAGAAGTGTCACGGACAGACTCCAAAAGAGGGGGCTGGTGAGAAAAGGAGCAGTACACATTGAAGTTCCCGTTGGTTAGGGTTGAGAGTTATTGTTACAAGTCGGAAAGCTGAAACCGCAATGGAAGGCCCAGCATCTCCCCATTTATTGATCATCGAGGATTCATACAATCAATTGAAGCTACCAAGATCGAAAATACCCCAAACTCCACCTCCCCTTATTCAGACGCAAGGTATTTAGTCGAAAGGGTTAGTGCGAGTTCCCCAGTACGTGAGGAACAAGCTAAGGCCAACAGTCTCGAAGACACGAGCAAGAGCTCCAACGGCAATGGTGTCAAGCGGGCGTTTTTCGGTGACCACCTGGGAGATGAGCTACGGGATTGTTAGTTGCTGGACGTGTCGAAACCGCGACAGAAGAAGAAGTACATGCACATACCGTAGGTGCAGAGCTTGCCATGAAGATCAACGCGCCCATGTATGCAGCGCCCTTGTAGGTCAAAGTTCCAGTGGCATTGATCAAGGCACCAACACCATATGATTGAATGGCAGAGCCGAGTAGAGAGCTACCCCATGTGGCAGCGGCAGTGGCGGCCTCTTTTGATTTAAAGAACTCCTCCTTGGAGTTGGCAGCTTGGGCGCGTTGGTAAGTATCACCAAATACAGGTCCGAGAACAGCGAGGGAGACAGCATGGTTGAATGCCGTGCCGAGAGCGATGGCCGAGGGCTTAACGGGAGGAAGGTCTACGAAACGATTGAGTCAGCAAAGAGATAAAGCACTAATTGTTGAAGCTACCCTTGGGGTGCGGGGCAATTTGCAGAGTTTTACAACTGGATCTGCAGCATCGACTTGAGGAAACCTCCAAAGCGCCATTATTTGCTACTGTGGAAGGTGATAGCAACTCACAGTGAAGAGTCGCCATTGGAATGGATTCGTTGTGTTGGAAGATGAAAGGAACCAGTTGTCTAGGGTTCAGAATCGTGGAGGAAATTCTGGTTTGTTGTAAGGTAGCTTTGGCGACACACAGAAGGGCTTTTGTACTGGTCGGGGCGAGATGTGAACGATGGCTTTCACCTGACCTTGTGACGTAACGGCTACGACGAGTATGCCAAGCTTCACCCAATCATGCGGTCATGACCAGGATTCTGGCCATCTAGCCACTGTGAGGTCTGGGAAGGGCAAAGCACACCCACTATTCCTTGGAAAGAGCGCACAAATTTGCCATGGTGGAATTACATCTCCCCGTACGTCAACATGGTACTGTCAGGCACGTCATTCTTCCACCTTGGCCCGAGCTTCCTGAACCGGAGCAGTGCCGGCTTAATTCATCGGCTATTTTCAGTTAGCGCGGTTTTAGGTATCACTACTTCGTGGACGCGTGTTCGAACTGCAATTCACCAATTCACTACAATTCTATACCAAGTGCGTTAGTGTCCATGGTTGAGATCCTCTGCGCTGCTGGCCTACATTCAATCTTACCTACCCCATTCAATTTGCTAGTCTCGGTTGTTCAACGTTTCTACGCTCACTGCCAATGCTACTTCCCAAACGCTTCGTGGAGATAGTCCTACTGCTTCTAGTTTTCCTGGCCGTGACCATATCTATTTCCAGACACCATCACCTTACCCTATTGTTTGACGCCTTTTACACTGAGCCCAAAGTAACACCATATGTGAACCATGTGGTTCTCTTCCAATTTAAGCAGAGCACGAGTATCACGGCAATCAAAGAAGTAAGAGTACATTGGCGACCAAACATCATCGTGATATACTTATGTATCTAGGTTACTTCGAAAATGCTTGCCTTGAAAAAGACCTGCATTCATCCAAGCACCCGCCAAGCATACATCAAATCGATATCTGGAGGAAAGGATATGTCGATTGAGAAGCAACAGGTATGTGCAAAATACACATACCTCAATGAGGTGTTAACCATCCTCGAAGTGTGTAAACTGATTGCTAAACATGAAGAATGGCATGACCCACGCGTTCGTGGTCCAATTCTTGACCCTGGAGGATAGAGACTATTATGTAAACGAAGATCCTGTGCACCGGGCGTTTAAGGATGCTGCATCCTCCGTTCTGGAGGAGGCCCAAGTTGTTGATTTCATAGACGGTGTGTTTGCCTGATTCTGTGGGAATTACGGGAGGCTCCTTGTCCTTGGCTTACGGCTAATCTGTGAAATGTCATCGGCAGGAGCTACCCATAAGGTCAACAGTAAAATTGTATATATCTCAGTCAAAAGGCCGTGAATTTTGATTGCTCCTCTGATGGCGCAATTTAGGCGTGAATATAATGCATCTTGTCCTCAGACGTAGTGCATAAAAAGGGCTATTACAAAGGGTTATAGATATAAATTTGCGTCTTCCTGACATTCTCCCTACTTCTAACAAGAGGGCTAGTAGATAAACTGTATCTCGTTCAAGTTGCACGTTATGTAATAACACGCTCTAAGGCCGTGAATGGTGAATTGTGAAAGCTTGTGCGTTCTCGTAGCGTCTACACAGGAATTTTCGCTTCGCCACGTGCACGAGTAGTGATTACGAACGCTCCCTGAGAAGAGAGTTTGGTTCAACCTCCTACACCGATAAGATCTTAGATTACCGTGTGATGGATGCAGTAACTTTGTGACAATAAGGCATCCCTATTCTTCAAATTGGTCAATTGCTCTTAAACCCACAGAGAAGCATAGAAGATACAAATGGGAGGCAATGCCAAGTGCAGATAGAGCACACCGAGAATATAAAGAAGCGGAAATCTTCTTCATAACAGCCTAAAGCACGATCGAATGGGATGGATACGTTTCTTTGCCATTGACCGGAGCTAGAGGTTGGGGGCATATGCTTTGCTCAGGCATGGGTCTTCAGCCAAGCTCCTTCTGGGGGCCACTTTGCGAGCTGGGTTCGATGCGAGAAGGGTTGCTAGGCAGCCTTCGTTGTCGAGATGATACAAGCTCCGCGAGTAAGGCCGAGTTCCGTACAAAGGAGTTGTGGAGGCCAACGAGAAAAAAAATATCGGCCTGAGTGCTGAATTCCGATGTGGACCCCACATTGGGCTTCGGCATCGGGAACACTAGTTTTTTATGGGCCAAAGCTTCCAGGAGTCACAGCATCCTCGCTTACAGCTTGTGGGGCTCTGTCTGGAAAGAAATTTTTCAAAATATATATTTTTGGCTATAGATACCAAATAATTCCAGCTTCACTCCATAATCAATTCACCAATCCTCCATGGCGCAATTGGCTAGCGCGTCTGACTGTTATTCGACTGACATCAGGAGGTTCGTGGTTCGAGCCCACGTGGGGGAGTGAAATCTTTCTTTTTGTTATTATTTTTGCATCTCGCTTCTCACCTCGCCCTACGTTACTTAAGCGCCAGCTAATTTTGCAGTCTGCGTGAGCAATTTTAGGGTTTATTTGTCATTCGCCCTAGTGCTCCTTAGAATCTCGCACCACAGCATTGTCTAGATTATGAATTTTGCCACGTGTTGATACCAGAATCTCGAGGATCATCGCCTTTCAACAGTGTTCGCCATCATTATTGATGGGACTTCATCGCAAGCCTGGCCTGCCTTCTTGGGACTTAATACATCCCTAGGTTGGTTATTACTTTCTAAGCAATCGAACAAATGGATGCCAATCCTGAAGGTCGTGGAGGATTCATATGTGAAAGCTAACACAAGTGCATTTCTCTACCATTTTATCAAAGCAGAGAAATTTCTGTCAAGCAAGAGAAAGCTCTCCACCGACCCTTTTTACTCATATTTTGAGTCTTTAGTCGCTCTTAGCCGCCGGTTTTCCTACTGTGAAGAAATCATCTTTGTTTGAGTCATGGAATGATTTATATATGAGAGAGACAAAAACCTGGAACCAAGGAAAAAACTTGCTAGATTGCAATGATGGTACTCTCCTCACTACAGGAGCCATTGCAGAGAGCTTAGTGGTGTTAGTACGCTCCCGAACAACATAAAGGCACCGAGCAGAAGATTTTATTTACTCAGGCCCATAAACAGTGACTTGTTCTGTTTCTGATTGAAGAGTTGAGTGGTTGGGTTAGTCTAGAAGTAGAGAGAGCGAAGGAGGTGGGAGAAGTGAACACTTGAATAATCGCACCTTGTCTCTCTACCCCATGATCTGAGCAATTCATGGACAGGATTATACCTCGCAGCCGTCCAACCATTCCGGGTCTACCCATCTCCCTCTCATCACTCACTCACACCACGACAATAGCGGAGGATGTGAGTTCACATCACTTGCTACTACTTCCGTAACTCGCTACGATTAAGCCTGTATCTCCACTCCTTTCCACCTTCCAAGCAGCCAGCCTTCCCATTGTGATCCCTATCAAAAAGTATAACCCGGCTTCCACATCTCACTCCCTACAAACTTTTCTCTAACTTAACCCTGTCAATCCACTTTGGAAGATAAAATGGGTAGTGGGCCCACTTTAACTTCGAAGCCACTGCGATGAGTTTCGATGATAGAAGATGGTTCGTGAAAGTACTCTGGTAAGCATGGAAAATGGCAAGACACAAATGAGAGAGGGTCGAGCGCTGGAGAGTACGTTTTAAGGTCAATGAGTGTTGTAGTGGTTTTTGCTTATTCTTTCGAGAATAGCCAAGCCAATTTAGCCATCCTACATGATCAGCCAAACATTAGCAATATAGGGGCGTGGTGAGGTTAGATCACATCACGTTGGAAAAGCTCAAACAAATGTCTCATTGTCAAGTCACGAGCTTTGCCCCTCCTCAAAGGTTTTGAAGTTTCTGTCGCACGGATAGTCAACAGAATTTACGTCTCAGGGCTGAGGAGAATGGTTCGATGCTCGGAGCCTAAGGGTCTTATCATCGAATGCTTATGTGAGGATATGTCATGCGAAGAGCACAGGAGAGGGACCTTGTATTGAAGACATCTTAGATTCGCAAAGACAGTCGAAAAGCGCTTATTGACACGACTCCAGCACTTTTTCACGAATCAGAGTACCTGACATTTAAATAAATGCGCTCCAACTCCGAAAACTAAACAGGAAGGGGAATCCTACACAAAAGATACCGAAATAAAGGCCGGAGTTTTACCTGAGGCTTCATTCAAGCCTCGTTGTCGACCTTGGCCGCAGTATCAGCGACCTCGCTAGCGGTCTGCGCCATCGCGACATCCTCCTTGTCTTTGGCTCCCTGCGCGGCCAATGCAGGGGCACCCTCGCTGCTGGCCACAATCTTTTTGACAACTGCGACAGTGCCATCAGGGCTACCTGCTTCGGCTACAAGCACCTTGCCAGCCTTGTCAATGACGAACACGCCGCGCGTGATTCCCTTCGGGGCTTTCTTCAAGCCAATTGCTGAGATGAGGGTCTGTGAGGGATCGCAGAGGAGAGGGTACGGGAGGTTCTGCTTAGTCTTGAATGTGGTGTTGGCCTTAGGGCTGTCGCTTGAGAGACCATAGATACTCAATCCAGTGGCCGTCAGAGGCTCGTAGGAGTCGCGGAAGAGGCATGCTTGCTTGGTGCCTAATAAAAGTCGTATAAGCACAATGTCCCCTACGTGCGCAAGTAGTTTACTTACAGCCGGGAGTGGAGGCTTTGGGGTAAGTGAATAGAACAACACCACCCTTGCTTTCCTCTACGAGCTTCGCGAGGGTGGTCTTGGTTACATCATTCGTCAAGATCTCGCCGCCGAAATCCACGAGATCAATGGTATCGCCGACCTTGGGCGGGCCGGAAGCTGGATTTGCAGCCTTCTCACCATTGATCTTGCCGGTCACAGCTTCTTTAATTTCTACAACTTTCTCAGTTACGGCAGCCTTCCCCTTGCTAACTTTAGTCTTCTCGGCCTTGGGGGCAGCCTTCTTTTTGGCCGGGCGCACCGGCGCGGGCGGGGGCGTCTTGCGCTTGCGGAGCTCGACCATAGTGAATTAAGTACTAAAGTGCCGTCGCGAAGCTGCAGAGAAGCGCAATCAGCGTCGCGAACAAGTTTCGACTGCTTTGCGACGGGGGAGGACGCAGGAACAGCTCACGCGGAGCTGGGGGGAGGGTTGGTTTGAGGTTGGACGGAGCTGCGTTGATGCACGAGCTGTTGGCGCTTACTGACCTTGTCTTGGTAATGCCTGCGGTGTCACGTCTGTGACAGCGTCTCGGAACACAATGGCTTGCTAGCAGTGAAGATGAAGGAGGGAGAGGGAGATGCGGAGGAGATATCAAGTCAGAGTCACGGCGGGCTTTCCAGGTTTTGGGTGGAGGTGAGGTCTCTCCAGCCTCCTCTTGGCGGGCTTCCCCCATTGCGATATTAGGCAGATTGGCTGCGTGCTCTGAGGGACGGCTTTGATTCAGCTGCTCCAGGCCACTTGCGCCAGGTCGGGGTGCTGATTGGCAGTTCCAGGATGCTGAGGAGATGGTTTGGACATGCATCGAACGCGTGAGGCGTTGTCCGCTTCGGCTCGAGTCCCGAGAGAGACAGGCTTCCCCTCGCTCCCGCTCGGCCAACCTCTGTTGATCGAGAATCTCACCGTCTTTCCACAACATCAATTACTCCATGCGAAACAGGTCCATATGAGCTATCGCGGGCGGCAGCTTCTCCTGTGCTTCTGCTATCCCCCTCAGCGCAAGCATTGCTGGCCTCATCCGCCTGGTTGGGTTACCCCGCCTCCAGTCGTTCATCCATCATGTGCTATCCTAGAGCTTTCAGCTACCGCAGTTGGGTCTTTGCTGTACTCGTATGTCCATTGCTTCTCCGGACACACTGTTTGATGAACGGGGTGCTTTTGCTTGAGAATCTATTACTTTGTTGCTTGCTTCTTTGTTAGACCCTATCCCAGGTACTGGCTGCATCAAACATGAGAATAAAGACTTAACCTGATTATTCGGGATTTCGACTAGAAAGAGATATTTGCTCAAGGGGTACGCAGCCATCTGTTTGATCATGGTAATAATGGTTGACGTTTGCGACCGGTCCGCGACCTCATTCACCTCCAATGCAATGTCTCCTGGTATTCCTCTCTTTACAGTGGGCATTGCCATGCTTCATAGAACATGCCTTTGCTGGTGTGTGGAGAACGGTCTTCTGACTGAATCAATACCTTACCAGCTGCGTGCAATTGGTATTTGATTTTCTATAACTACATGCTCGTTGGTCTATTCTAGCTGGCTTCCGTATTAGGAACCCCCACCCTCAACACCAACTCTAGTTCTCTCGTCATAGCCGAGTCGTTCAACCTCAGTTCAACAGTCCTTATCAGCCCCCGTGTTATCTAAAGCATGGAGCAATTCGGAACACATGGGCGATGGGTAGCTATCTCCCAGCAGACCTTGTCTCCTCCTTCTTCACTTCCCAACATTGGCACTACTACAGCTCTCGTCACCACACAGCACCACCATCAAAAAATTCCATCCCTGCAACATCGGCGCTGTTATGGCTACTCTTTCCATACAAGAGTGGGGTTCTCAGTTCTCGAGTGAAGACAATTTTTCCTCTTCCTGCTCTCCCATCGACCCTCCTGCGACGGCTATGGTCATTGACAAAATCTACGACAATCCCATTCACGAGCCGAAACCTGTCGACCTCGAGAAACATACTGCAGTTTCGAATGAAGAGGGCCATGTGAGGACAAACACACGCTCATCCCAGAGAAGAAAGTGCTCACACGACACAGGTTATTGATGACCCTGTCTTCGGCAATGAGGCGGGGGCAGCTATACATTACAGGACGATGGAATGGTGGCATGCCGGCATCCGTACATTCCCTCACACTATACTTTTCTAGTTACTACCTAACGTCCACAGTCATGCTCGCAGAAACGATCTCCCTCGGCGTGCTCGCCCTCCCCCAAGCCGTGGCAATTCTCGGCCTAGTTCCAGGCCTACTTCTGATCCTCGGTCTTGGACTGGTGGCCACTTATACCGGCTACATCATTGGCCAATTCAAGGAGGCTTATCCTGCCATGCAATCATTCGCCGACTGTGGAGAGCTCGTAGGCAGATCCATCAGTCCGCTCGTTGGCTGCATATGTAGGGAAATCATGGCGGCTTCTCAGGTCCTTATCTTAGTCTTCATTATGGGAGCTCATATACTGAGCTTCGCGATCGCAATGAATGCTATGACGGATCATGCGACTTGCACCATTACGTTCAGTGTTGCAGGGCTGGTAGTTTGTTTTGTGATGGGGTTACCGCGAACCTTGAAGGCCGTTAGTTACCTCTCTGTGTTTTGTAAGTCTCCTTCATTGACTAGGGCTTTGATTGAAGAGGTGTGGGGTTGACAGATGTAGCATGTGTATCCGTGATCGTTTCCGTCGCCATCGCGATGATCGCTATAGGAGTCACGAAACCAGACATGGGTCATATCGTCGTGGTTCACAACGGCATTCCACTCGTCAAAGGCTTAGGTCCAGTCATGAACATTGTTCTAGCATACGGTAAGCCCTCACTTTGAATTTCTTCGTTATCCGCTAATAGACGTTTTTGGCAGCTGGCCATGTGGCATTCTTCGGATTTTGCTCTGAACTAAAGAAACCTCGAGACTTTCCTAAAGCGCTGGCATTCATGCAGATCAGCGCCATCTCCTTCTACATGCTGATCGCCGCCATAATCTACTACTACGCTGGACCTCTCGTTGCCTCACCCGCCCTGGGCTCTGCGTCCCCAATTGTCCGCAAGATTTGCTTCGGGATCGCAGTGCCCACCATCATTATTGCAGGCGTAATCAACGGATCTGTAGGCTGCAAGTATATTTATGTACGCATATGGAAGGGTACAAACGTCATTCATCAAAACAGCGTCAAGAGCCTCGGGAGTTGGATCGGCATATGTGCAGTATCTTGGGCGGTGAGCTGGATCATTGCGGAAGCGGTTCCTAATTTCAATCTGTTATTGGGGTTGATTGTGAGCACACTCCCTTGTTACCGTGTGAGATGTGACATAAGACTAACGGTTCAATGTGTAGGCAGCTCTATTCTGCTCCTGGTTTAGCTGTAAGTCCACATTCCCCTTTCAGTCCTTATGAATGGTTCTAATCGAAACCAGTTTGCCTGCCAGCAAGTCTCTGGCTTTGGATGAACCATGGACGCTGGTTCTCTTCGTCTCGCAAAGTCACTCTAACGATCCTTAACATCGGTATATTTTGCCTCGGCGCGACCATAGTATGTCCCCCTCCCCCTCATTCCCTACGTGTTAGAGGAGATAATCATGGTATTCTGACTCTAGGCTTGCAGTGCATAATGGGTATGTGGTCTTCAGGGGTCGAACTCAGGCAAGGTTCGGCCGGGAAACCGTTTTCGTGCGAGAGTAATTGGCATCCAATGGCCGAAAGCAACCTTTAATTCGACGAGCCGAAGTTTAGCGCCTTGCTAGGGGCCAGATTGGGTCAGAAGTTGTTAGTTTCCAGATATTAGACCTGGAGTTCGTCGAAGAAGAATATGTGTGCTGCAGTGGGAGTACGTTCACATTGATGGGTGAACACAGGCTTGAGAGAGCTAGCGCGCCCAAAGTGCCGGTCTGGGGGGAGACTGCTAGAATGGAGTTGGCGTAAATGGCGAGGAAGTTATCATATTAGATGTTCCCTTCTCAGCGTGTGGACTCTGTGCCTGGGATCGAACTATTTTTCCTTGCTTTGATTGTTATTCAACGGAGTTGGGCCCGTTGCCGGTTTTATGTTGCAGTTTACGTTCGATAGTCTTCATCACAACTATAGTGTCCATCTTGACCCAGACGATTCGCATCCTCATATCTCGCATTAGTGCAATTAACTGCGGGATAAATACTAGTCATCACAAGAAGATGTCCTCCCCTGCAGACAACGAGCGGTGCATATGTATAGTCCAGGTATCTTGCGAAAGAGTGTTTTCTAGGATTGAAACACTGGGATGGGGTGGAAAGCCGGAGATGAAGGTACAAGTCCGATGTGGTGAATTGACTAGCTTGAGAATCCAGCCAGCGTCTGAGACCGAGAAACAACATACTCCACTTCGTTCCCCTCTTATGCACCAACGCCGAGTTTTGGGTCCAAGGTCGCTGTATTCAACAGATGGGGAAGTTGAGGTTGGTCGTGCTGGATAGATTGGCATTCGGTTTCAAGTGATCGGTAGGACGACATGGTATGAGTTTCTCGACGTACGCGTCAAGTTATCTCTCTTGATCAGACCAGATCAGATCAGTTGTCTTTATTTAGAAGAGTGGGGACTAGCTGATGTTCCCGTTGTGGAGTGAAGTGGCGAGCAGTGGGGATCTGTTCTGCATGAATGTTTCGTTTCAACGACTGTTTCCAGACCTGGCTCCAGTGGAGCAGCGCCACAGTCGTTGGATTCGGAGCTAAGGGTTTTCAACAATTCGATTCTTCAATGCAGATGCTGGCTGGATGCTGGGGAGGATCACGAGGATCTTGGTGCTAGGAAGTGGGTATGATGTGTGGGCTGTCCTGTCACCTGTGTATATTCGCTTAGCACAGGAAGCCTGTTTCGTTTCAGCGAAGTTTCGAAACGCGCGTGGGAGAAGTCCCTCCCCATGAAGTGCCAGAAGCGTCCGTCGTTGGAGGATTTAATGAGAGGGAAATGCTTGATTTTCGTTGTGATGCGCATGGAACGTGATCGAAGCAGAAACGTAGGTTGTACAGTACGGTAGGATTGGAGGATTATTATTATGACTTTGAGAGGAGTGAGGGCGGCTTGATGGGCCAACGATCATGCTCACCGCTGCACTGCTACGCGCTCCACATCTTGGGGGCAACGGTTGGTCATCACTAGCGTGACAGGTGCAAGGCACCTTTGAGGTTGTTTACAAGCATGAATTGAGATTTGATATAGGTGAGAAGGAAGAGGCTGTGTACAGCGCAAACGTTCTTTCCAACAACGGCAATGCAAACGACTATTGTAATGTCGTAATTACCTTTCGCTTTTGGAGATTTGACGAGTGGTGAATGTTGGAAGGAAGGCGAATGAACGCCGCAAGTCGTAGATTAAATCTCCGTATCACAACAGTCGGGTTCACATCTGAGGTCAGATCTAAAAGAAAAGCACAAACGATATCCTGAGAGATTCGTGCGAAATGAAATGCATGTTGTCAGATCAGATAGCCTCGCAGCGGTTACTCGCTAAGAAAAGACGTAATATATCGACTATGCATGCGGGCTTAGATGAAATGTGATGGGCGCCGCGAAGATATGCCAAAGGAAAATGACTTCGCATTCAGCACGCCAAGATGAGTAGCCATTCAATATCTGCTTGATGTTAATATCCATCATTTATGGGCTCGCGGTTGATGAGACGACAGGGACTAGGTGTTGAAGAGGAGCGTGACCCGGGTGGCGCTGAGGTGGAGGTGAGAGCTCATCTAATTCACGTTTTCCAAATGGGGGTGTCAAGGCGATACTCTGGTTAGTGGGATCCGAGGCATCGCGGTATGCTGAGGCTGGGATCTAGCATGGCCGTATCCTCAGGTTGGGATTCAGAATTCGAGATGCGTTTCAAGCATTCTCGAGCCTCGGAAAGCTGGCGGGCCGTGTCCCATCCTGCGGAAGCCAGAGTCTGAATGATGTTAAGCTTCGAGAAGAGACGCAAGAGATGCGGACAAGGCCCAGGTGGTGGCGGCGGAGATTTCGCGGAACACTGTGCTGGGAAGCGATTCCCGTTCGCCAACTTTTGCTTGAAGATGGATTCTTGGTGTTTCGAGCGTGGCTCTCGCATTCATGCCCACAGGGGCCGATGATGTCAAATTGGATGGCGCACACACAATTAAATTGCTCGGTGGGTGCAAATTGTGATGGATGCCAAAGGGGTTTGGTGGAGTCGCTGGTGTCGCACCTTGATGAAAGCGGAAGGCTCCAAAGCTTGTTCGGAGATTTCCCGCTGGCTTCTGTGGCTGGACGGTGAAACACAGAGCGAAGCCTCCTGCGCCCAGCTCTTATCGCGCCGAGCAAGCAGAATCCACAAAAAAGACATGAATAATGAGAGCGAACTGAGCCTGTGAGTTGAATTATTTAACTTTCGTAGCCGCACAGGCTGACCATGGACGTAATGAACAGTGTGTAGGCACGTCTGTGAGGGAGCGCTGCTGTGTCTTGTCTTCCGTCAGCCGCAAGATGCAGGCTCCCGACAACAAACGCACATCTGCTTGGTACCCGCTCGTATCTGTTTTAGCAGGGGGATCTGCGCAGGCCATGTTCTATTTTGGCCAAGCCGAGTGAAACGCAATTTGGAGACCCGTTGGCCGGTCGATGGGCGGCAGTCTTTGTCAGAAGAAGAGCAGACGAAAGAGCAGACCGAGGAAGGAGAAGCAGAAGAAGTAATCCGTCTAGCCCCCAACGTGGCCGGCGAGAGCGCTGCTGTCGTACGGAGGGGAGCGATGCAGAAGAGTCCAGCAGGCGTCTTCGCCGTACAAGGCGAGTAAGGCCGTCCATCCAGCGCCGGCAACGTGCTGGCAAAGCTGCCAAGCGGCGGCTCACCACCCCCAATGTCAGGCGGTGAGCCCGCTGACTGGCTCCGTCCATGCAGGACGCCAAACCTGTTCCTGGTGGCCGCAGCTCTGAGCGCTCCACACAGGGCTCCCTGCTCGTGACTGTCCCTGGCTGAAATTAACAGCCGCCAGGGGTATGCTCCCTGTGCGCAGCTTGTTTCCTTGGCGGGCTTCCTGCAATCAATCTCAGGCCCTTTCTTATACCACCTCGGCCGCCGTTCTCTAATCCCTCTTTTTCCACCTCCACCGCAAGGCTTCACTTTCTTTTCATACACTCTTTTCCGTCTGTTAGACGTGTCCCTCATTTATACCAACTCAAGTCACTCCTTGGACTCCTGGCCTCTCTGCAGAATTGATTTCTGCCTGGTTTTCTTTCGCAGTATCAATATCCGGCAAAACGAAACGTCCCTGTTCCTCGTCAACCTCTACCAGGAAATTGTGAAGCCTTAGCAATCTATCCTCTAAGAAAAGAACAAGGAACATCTTTCAAAATGATGAAGCTTACTGCCGCTTTCCTCGCCGCTTTGGCGGTGGCTGATGCCTCTGGTGTTCATGGACGCCGACATGCTCGCCGGCAGTATGGATATGGTGGATATGGCGGCTCTTCTTCTGCAAGCCCTGCTGGTTTCACCAACAGCTCCGTCCCGGTCGAAGTACCAAGCAGCACCGCTCTACCTGTCGAGACATCCTCCCCCGTTGTGATCTCCGACCCCAGCTCGGCCTTCCCCAGCTTCACCTTCCCTGGCACTGGAACCTCCGTCTACCCATCCAGCGCTGGTGTTGAGACCCCAGATAGCAGTGCCCTTCCTGCTGAGACGAGCACTGGCTTCCCCACTTTCCCTGGCACTGGCAGCATCCCAACCTTCCCTGGAACTGGAACCGGTGTCTACCCATCCTCCGTCGGGGTTGAGTCAACTGGTCTACCAACCTTCGCCACAACCGCGGCCCCGACTTTCCCCACCACTGGATTCTCCTTCCCAGTGACTGGTGCCGCAAACTCAACTGGTTCCCCTGACATGGTTACCTCAGTCATCTACTCTACCCAAATATTCACTGTCACATCCTGCGCTTCGACCGTGACCAACTGCCCAGCCCGCTCAACCGTCCTCGTCACCAGCGTTGTTGCCGTTGCCACCACGGTATGCCCTGCAACTGAGACTGGTGTTGCCCAAGGCTCTGTTGTTGAGTCATCGGGCCTTCCCGCAGCTTCGTCTGATGTTTCTGTTATCGTCGCTTCTGAGACTCCGGCATCCATGATCACTCACTTGATCACCAAGACTGTTACCTACAGTGTTGGTGCTAGCTCGACTGCCCGCGAAACCACGCAAGAGATTGTCGAGACTTCAGTTGAGACTGTTTACAAGACGATCTACATCACCAAGCCAGGCGGCCCGAAGGAGACTGGTCTCCCAACCAGCGTTGGCGCCGTCGACACCCCAACTGGCACCACGACTGTCTCCTCTACCTCTACTACTACCAAGTACATCACCGTCTACCCGTCTCCTAGTGACACTTCGGTTGAGGCCGTTGGCTCAGTGGTTCCTACTGGCCCAGGCGGCGTTATCCCCACTGGCCCAGGCGGTGTTGTTCCCACTGGCCCAGGCGGTGTTGTTCCCACCGGTCCTGCTGGCGGCGAGTGCGCTGCTCCAACTACCGTCACGGTCACCGCTCAGGAGACTGTCACTGTCGTAAGTTCAGATTGGGCCAAATTATAACGGCATTTGCTAATGATAACAGACTGCTGGCGTCGTTGAGACTCCAGTCAGCTCCACCTCTGTCGTTGAGGAGGACGTCAGCACTGCTCTCCCCACCGGTACTGCTGTCCCTACTGTGCCCTACCCCATGGGTAACAGCACTGTCATCCTCCCTACTGGAGGCTCAACCGGCTTTGTGACCTTCACAAAGCCCATCGGGCCAACTGGAGGCTTCTCCTTCCCCGCATCGTCCGCTAGTGGCGTCGATGTTCCTACTAGCGTTCCGATCTTTTCTTTCGTTCCCTCCGAAGTGCCATCGAGCACTGCCCTGCCTGCTGAAACGTCAGTCATCTCCTCGGCACCCATTGGTACTCCCACTGGTGGCTACGGTGGCTATCGTCGCTTCCGCTTCTTCTAAGCGCCTGGCGGTTTCCGGTTGAGGGGATTTGAGGATTGGATTCAGTTTCTCTTCTCGGTATGTCTACGTTCATGAGCCAGGGGTTCTTGCACATACCTTTTTACGTCGGATCTCTTGATCCTATTCTTTGTGTTGGGCTGCTGTTTCCGTTCCGCGGGCGGATACAGGGTTTGGTGTTGGGGTTGGCTTCGTGGGCGGGATGAGAGGAAAGACAAGCCAAGAGACAGTCCTTATAAGGTTGCACGACAATAACAATCCTTGTCTTTTCTTACAGATTCACGCGAACCCAAATGTACCGTCATGGGGCGGAACCAGTGGCCGAACTGTTCAATGTTTTGATGCCATGCGTCACGAATCTTCTCTTCTTGCATATTTCCAACTTGTTTGTTCCCATGTGTTTTAGAAAAGGCCCATCAGGCATGGCGGCGGAGTTGAATCATTCAGCATTTCACACACATGCATTATCATCAAAGACTTGCGTTCTGAACGAAATGTAGCCTCGAACCAATATATCCACTGAAGTTTTTTTGGCGATTTGAACACTCCTTCGTTGGCAATCTTCCTGTGGCGCAGTTTCTTCTCCATCCATTCCCCTATTTGCTCTTGATCTTCATTGTCAATAGTCTAAGTTTTGCAAATCATTTACCCGGCGTAGCCCTGGCGGCCACGGCCAAGTTGCAACTTAAATTGCTCCGAACGATCCTTTCTATGCACACACAGACATCTCTGAGACCAATCCTCTCCTGTTAGTGATGATTTGTCGAACCCGTGCACGTTCAGAATCCTTAGCGAGGCGTTCGCCATCTGTCCATCCAACTTTGTAATCACCGACTGTCGACGTTTCATCAAGGCATATACTCTTTTCCCAATCCCGTCCCGAGGGAAGAGGGAGCAAGCATTCTGAATCCCAGGAACCTGACTCCGCCACACCCTTTCATAAACTTTCAACGGAAACGCATGAGTTTGGCTGTCGCGTGGCGGGATTAGGGTCCGAGGTCGACCACTAGGGTTCGGGAAGTGCAGGCCTTGTTTCGTCCTGCCACTGGAAACGGCATGCCGAACTGGCCAGAATTCATGCGGAATGAATCGTAGCGAATAATTTTAGAAGCGAATTGTTTAGGTTTTGGCCTCTCGGTTGGAACCCTTTGGCCACATTTTGGCGGAGAGGCGTAATTTCGCTTCTGGGTTTGAGATTTCAAACGATTACTGTGTGGTGATATAACTCCAATCCGGTGGATTGGGATCGGGCGATTGTTTGGGCCGAGAAGGCGATTACGACATGGAACTGCATGCTTTAGAGATGAGGCGTTGATCGGCAGTTAACAACAGGTTAGGACGGCTATACAGCTAACTTAGTGATTACAAGTTTAAGAGGGTTAGTGAGTCTGTTTACAACGTGTTTTAACCCAACATTGAACATAATTAGGATAGAGCAGGTCTAGTATTCCTCCTCCCTGGATTTAGAAGACTGTTCACTGGGTGCAAATTTCTGTCCTGAGTTGCCTCAGGCATGTCTGTTCTACGTAGGGTTAGATGATCAAAATCTTAAGATGTCGTACAACCTCCACGGCACATTAACAGGAATGCTTGGATTCTTTCAAGGCAGTTACTGCAATCAAAGCGAGTGTCCAGAGGACTCATAGTCCTGTTATCTTTCTCGTCTGCAATCCTCCGCTGTCTTTATAGAGAATCGTTGTTCCATTCGGAAATCGTGAGCATATTATGCGGATAATCTAATGATTAGTGGTGGAACTGCTATACGCAAAGCGACGGCGAAGGTAAAAGCCATGATGCTTAAGTGCGATGAAGGAAAGGGCGGTGGATGGAAGGCTTGTTGGTACTTGAATGTTTGTGTATAACGCGAAGTGGAATTCACCACCACACAGGCAGCTGATGCAAAGCCCAATTAGAACCAGTGGTTGTGAAGTATACATATAGGATAGTAAACCTGAAAAGCTGTGATCTGTACTTGAGCTGAGAATATACCAAACAAGTGAGAGATACTTGTGACTGAAGGAGGGCCATGAACATATTGTATAGGTAAGACCGAATGTTTGAACACTTTGAACTCGCTCCTTTGTGTCCCTCGCCAATCGAGAGCTCGAACACCTTCTGCGCAATCTAGATTGCTATCATGCCCGGGCGCTGGGTTCCTTAGGCTATGGTCTAATTCACAGCGAAAGGGAATAGCTATCGAAGCATTGGTTGTTACCAACCAACGACTCTATAAACCTGGAGACTAGCATTCCTAAGCCCAGAGGACATTTCCAAATGGAGTTACCGCTCATCGCCTCTCAAGAAGCTCAGGTCCAATTTTCAATCGTAGTCGGTCAGAAAGAGGCTAGATTTCTAGCAGGGGATGATTTATCTACATCATGTTAGCACAGATAGTGTGAAATTAAATAGAATCGGCCTAACTCGTTAAATCTCTTGCTAGAATATTGGAGAACGTTAGCCAGTTGCAAAGACCTGTTATGAATCACCCCTCTCATGTTCCCTCACCTGTGCTAACATGTAGTAGAATACGGCGGGAAATGAGAAGTGGTACTGCGCTGAATCAGATCTGCCATCTATGGGTACCGGACCAATCTATTTGGATGAAAGTGCTAGAGAGATGGAACAAGAGTCGGAGGCCTGAACAGTTCAATGGTCATAGTAGGTAGCTCCGAGCTCCCCTAATGTGTGTTATGCTAATGGATAATTGAGCTATGCTATGAGATCGGTATCTTGTTTAAACCTGTTGCCGATGCTGGAAATGTTACTGGCTAACCTTGAAGTAAGCACTTGAGAGTTTCTAGATGAAGGAATGTTGTTAACAAGAGAGATGAAATGCTACCCAAGATTTATGTGCTACATTTCGTCATACGTTGCAGAAAGCAAGTAGATGCGGCAACGCGATGATGCGCGATGCCCTGCTCTGTGATGTAATGCGCTGCTACCTTGACGGGACTGGGGTGTCTTTTGCAGCGGATATTCGCTCCGACGTTCTGATCTAGATTAGAAGCATTATAACTTCAGGCGCAGGGCGTCGTCTTCAAGCATGTACCTGAACTAGACCATAAGGGTATTTTAAGAGAAAGAAAGCAAACATGCGTCGTGATACTCCATAAATAGCGAAATGGGTGCAAAGGAATTTGGCGCTCTTCTATCATCCATTTATTTAATAGCCCATTATCTTAAGAGCTGATTGTGGAGCGAGGATCGGGGCCACAAAGCCCGATTGCTGTTCTACGGTCATGTGGTGAAATATGTATTCGGGAAGGGGTGATGCTGTGGCACATTTGACAAGGATCGGCCGGACAAGGAGCGGGACGGGAGAGAGCTGAAACATTTCCGAGAATCGACGGCCAGGATGATGCTGAACTTGATTTTAGACGTGGCTGAATAAAAACTGAGGTCGATAAGATGGTGAGGCAGGAAACGATACGAAAGCTGATACGATCTATATCTCAGGATACGAGGACGAGATAACAATCTTTCCGAACGCTGAAGTTATTTTTGGGCATGCTGCGTTGCAGAGGAGTCTCGCATATATAGTTTTACGGGGGATTACTAAAACCTAGAAGGTCGCTGTGTGGGGATTGAGCTGCCAGACCACTACATGCCGAAAGGGTGAAAATAGTCAGTCCTAAGAACCAAGGGCCGAGGTCTCATAGGATAGGGTGATGTGGCTTCCACAGATCCAAGTGTCAAAGTACAAAGGAAAGAACTTGAATTAGAATAATCACAACCTTGGCTTAGATGGGAATTCGCTGTCCAATCTAACAAACAATGGTGCCTTTCGTCCGCCTCTGAAGAGATCCAACATCTCCTTGCTCATCCATTGCTCCCTCGTCTTCGCCAATCCTCTCTCTAAGTCCACGAATTTATCACCCTGAATAAAGATACCCGCTCCATTCGCTGCCTTTCCCTCGTTGAATAGCCAGCACACCGCCAAGGCGACCGAATCAACCTTATTGATCGGTACTCCCTGGATTGCCATCTCCTTTGCATACTGTTCCGGTGATTTACCGGTCTCACGGTTGCCGGAGGAAATGATGGGGGTTACAGTGATAGCCGGTGCAACTACAGATACGGCGATGTTGACTTTGGCGCACTCCTGCTTAAGAGCGCGCATGAGGCCGACAATACCTATGAGTAACTAATCAGGTCTTATTTCTTACTTCGGATAGGAAATAGTGTAAACCTACCATGCTTAGCAGCAGAGTAAAGAGGAGCACCTGCGCTGGCCAGATATCCTGCCAGGCTGGCCGTCATCGTAATCTGTCCGCCCTCTTTGTTCTTCCTCAAATAGTGAATCGCTAGTTTTGTTGTGTCCGAAGCAGCATCCATATCAATATTAAGCACCCTCCTATCTGGTTCCTTCAATTTTCCATCCGCATCTAGATGATCAGTGAAGAACTGGTCTTGGTATTCTGCGATACCAGCATTCACAAAGACAGCATCGATGCGACCAAATTTTGCATACGCAGCTTCAAAACCCGCTCGCTGATATTTCCATGATGTGATGTTGCAGGTATGAACTAGGAGGCGGGAGCAGTCGTGTTTGAATGTGGAAGGCGGGCCTTTCAGATCAATGAGGACCAGGTTGTGCTTTGGATTTAGCTGGGAGAGAAGAGTTGCTGTTGCCAGGCCAATGCCCGAGGAACCTCCTGTAATGATGACAGTTTTGGTACTGGACATGAGGTCGGTGAATGCTGATGCGTCCGGGTGGAAAAGCGACATGATGAAGAGTATGAATAACATAGATGTAGTGAGAAAAAGCCTCTAATTCGGTTCTACTACAACAGCCGGGATACGAGTTGTCCAGTGCCTATTGCGCGTAAAGAAAAGCTGAACAGTTTAGAATCATAAAATCGCGGGAACTGAGAGACGAGGACTGAATCGACTTTGTCAGATATGTTTTGAGGGGAGACACACTAGGATGAGCCACGATAAACAATGGCAGAGCCGCAGAAGAAAGTATCCAACATGCGTATGAGCACCTCTTAAATGAAAAGGCGCTCGAAGCTCTTTGCCTAGGTTATCCCCAGTCAAAGCTTCGGCCTGCTCTTGGATAATGCGGGGTCGGTTTAGGCGGAGGTAGGTATAGCTTCGCAGAGTGCAGAGCGTACAATATTATGGCCTCATAGCTACCAAATACTGACTCGAATATAAGAGACGGAAATGCATGGGTTTGTTAGGGTTAGATCAAATGGAAGAGCGGCGGGAAGCCACGACGCGATTCCTAGAAGGGCAGTGGATAGGAGCTAGCTAACTTTAACATACTTTTCTATGAGGAAGGAATCAATTACCCGATAGAAGTTAATAGTGGCACAGGTATTAGATAGCCTTAAACAAGTGCTTGCAGTGGTGATGTTGACTTGAAAACGCGCGAGCAGAAAGGAGAGGTGGTAATCACGTGTTGCTTTAGCCGAATTTGGAACACGCAACCCCGACAATGGGACACCTGGTTTCTCGAATTCAAGATATCAACGACGCCTGCTACGCAATACCACAACCCTCTGGCGAAACGATCGAACCGCCAATATGTGGTCTCTGTCTCTCCTCTCCCTTGCCGCCCTGGTGATCCCTTCACAGGCTTTGTACTTCTACATTGACGGTGCGGCGCAGAAGTGTTTCTTCGAGGAGCTACCAAAGGACACACTGGTCGTTGGTATGATACCCACACTGCACAACCCTTTCTAGCTCTGCAGCGTGCTCGAGAGATTGAATTGTGCGGAAAACTAATCAACCTCTCCAGGTCACTACGAGGCTTCAGTCTGGGACGACCAAGCAAAGTCCTACATCGCAAAACCTGACGTCGGCGTCTTCATCACCGTCGAGGAAGTTTTCGACAATAACCACCGCGTCATTGCCCAGAGGGGCTCCAGCAAAGGCCGCCTTACTTTCTCCGCCGCCGACTCGGGTGAGCACCGGCTCTGCTTCACACCTCAGAACGTAGCCTCCAGTGGAGGCTGGTTAGGCTCATCGGGCATTCACGGCACAGTCAAGTTCCAATTGGACTTGGTCATTGGCGAAACGAGCAAGATTGAGAGCACGGACAAGGGCAAGATTGATGATATCGTACAGAAAGTGCGGGACTTGAATGGCAGGTTGCAGGACATTAGAAGGGAACAGGTGTTCCAAAGAGTATGGGATAGAGTCTCTCTACTTATCCCAGTCCAATTTCTACACCGCAATTTAGGAGAAACAGATGCTAATTGCTTTTCTACAGGAACGTGAAGCCGAATTCCGAGACCAATCCGAATCCACGAATGCCCGCGTCGTCCGATGGACTTTAATCCAGCTTGCGATTCTCGGCGTCACCTGCGCATGGCAACTATCACATTTGCGCGCTTTCTTCATCAAACAAAAACTTACCTGACGGGATCGTTACCAGGGAGTCAATACCATGGTAAGGACTTGGACCAGGCAGTTTTGGTGCTCGGATACTCTGTACTGTAGGCATTGGCGTTTGAAACTTGGAAGGAATTAGCGTTTGCATTAGAAATGAAGCATATTATCACACCAGTTTGGGTTAAGCTAATAGTGCTCGGTTAATGAAGCAAATGAAGTTAGAGACGCCTTTGAGGATGCGGTGGCATTTGGTCAGTTACGGATCTTTAAGGATGGCAACACGATTATTTCTTGCATTATGAGTGTCTGTCATCTTCACCTCCAGTTTTGGCTGCTGCTAACTTCACGAAGGTACAAATGAATGGACAGCAACCTATGAGGATGCCCTGTTAGTTTCAACTAATTCCTCAAAAGGTGACCTGTTGATATTGTTCCATCTTAACAGTCCTCATAATGATTTTTCCTAACTATATCTTATCACCTTAACGTGGCACATGGTCGGGGTGATTTGGCATTAGGACAAAAACTTGTATCCTGTTGAGGTTCTCCCTAATTCCAGCAAGGCATAGGATAGATTAACTGAACTCTAGTCATCATCCACACTCTGATAACATAATGTTGACTCAGTTTCGGTCGCTCTACCTAGATTGGTGTGCGATGACTATGCCGCTTTCTGATTGGCCAGACCCACTTCCCCTGGAGCCCTCTACACGTTGCACGCACCAAAGCACGAACCGCGGCATAGATTAGGCATAATGATGATGCCTTGAACTAAGAAGAGACTCGATGTTACGACAACAAAGGGGTCAAGCTGAGGGCCTGGAGTCATCGATGTGGCAACATGGTTGTTGCCTAGGCCTGGGTTCGGAGAAGCCGATGGTGGAAATGGCAGCCATATGCCTAAGCAACACCTTGGAGCAACATGGAACAAGAGTACAGTCGCGTGCAAAATCGGTGTCGGGATTTCGCGCCCTCTCGTCATTATTTCCTTCCGCACCCTGGTCGCACGTAACTCATGCTATTGGTTGCCGCAAAATCCACCGCGCGAGTGGAGGCGGACTGCAAATACAGCCTAGAGACGTTTTCTCCGACGTAATTTATCCTATCCGTACGCTGCGCCACGATTCCTGCCTCAAAGCTTCAGGCCGACAGCCAAGCCTGACCCCGTAATACCTGAGTTATTTTGTTGCATGGGAAACTGCATCAGGAAATGGAGGCTTCACTTCCGGGTAAGGCGCCTCGCTTCACTACCCTGGCTTTGCCAAGACCCATGCTCGACCTTATCCCATAAAAGGCCTTCTTCGAACTCTGCTAGTACTGGGGTCTTAAGTCGAAGAGACATACGCGGATCAATTCCGCTTGACAGCTTCGATTAATTTCAAGGGAAAGATTCTAGGGAGGCTCTAGTCGAGATTGACAGTGAACGTGGCAGGAAGGTTGCTCTAGAAGGAAAGTAAGACAAATGGCTGACGTTATTATGGCCCAGGTTGCGAGAGTGAAGATACTCAAGGTGATATCATTTGGGTCGATGCTTGCTGGCCTAGGCTGCTCGCTCCGATTATCGTTGGGAAAACTATCTGCGTCGAAAGAGCGACCGACATTGCGCTTGGAACTGGGAAGAATAAGCTGTCAAGCCCATATATATGGCCTACAATTGAAGGGATCCTTTGACGGAGAAGTTCCTCGATCTTGTACTCCTCCTGCGATGCCGGCATATGGCTAGCGAACCATGCAAGCATTTCCTCATGTTCTACATTCGCATGTCTTTCTAGAAGCAGCGCAACGACATTAACGTGCCCATTTCTTGAAGCTAGGAAGATTGGTGTGTTGGACTTATTATCTTCTGAATTGATATCCGCGTTGGCATTTAGTAAAAGTCGCACTACTTCCGTGTGGCCCTTCCTCGCAGCCCATGACAAGGGTGTTGCGCCATTGGTATCTTTCGAATCCACCAAAACCCTCGTATTAGCGAGCAACTTTTGCACAATGGAATCTCGGCCCAAATGTGACGCCCAGGATAAAGGTGTTCGATCATTCGTATCTGCGAGGTTTGGATCCGTCGTTGGGTTTCCCAGAAGAAACTCGACCACGGATTCGTGCGACTCTCTCACTGCTAGAATCAACGGGGTCCATCCGGTGCAATCTTTCATATTAAGTTGCGCGTCCGATCTTGTCAATAGCAATTTCAATATGCATTCATGGCCATTGCGCGCCGCTCGCATGAATGGAGTTTGCTTCCATTTGTCTACTGGTTGCTTCGTTTCCTCTAGCAGCATCTCGTTGACTTTGCTGTTGTTGAGTAGAATTTTCACAATAATCTCGTGTCCTTCGTCGGCTGCCCAATGCAGCGGCGTCCATTTATCTCTATCGGAAAGAATCGGGTCAGTTGTAGGATGAGATAGTAGAAGCTTTAGAGTCTCCTTATCGCCGAATTCTGCGGCATAAGATAGGGCCGTTCTTCCTTCGTCGGTTTCTTTGAAATTGAGGTCAAGTTCGGAGCTGCCGTTTTCTAGAAGAACCTTGACAGCTTCCGGCCTTTCGTTAAATGCAGCGAACAACAGCGGTGTGAGAGCTTTCTTATCTTCAACATTTGGGTTTGCGCCGGCTTGCAGAAGCAATATAGCCACGGCAAACCGATCATGCACGACAGCTAAGAATAGCGGTGTTCGTCCATCTTTGTCTTTCACGTTGAGGTTCGCTCCTGCGTCGATCAAAGACGTTACGACGTTCTCACGTCCTGCCAACGCAGCCCATGCCAATGGTGATCGATAGTAATTGTTTTGCGAGTTTTTTTTAACCTTCTCGCTCTTTAGTAGTGTTTTGACGATGAGATTATGTCCACGCTCAGCAGCCCACGATAAAGAAGATCGGCCGTAGACATCATGTACATCTGGATCGGCTCCATGACCGAGGAAAACAACGACGGCCTCGAGATTCCCTTTTTGCGCCGCTAAAAGTATCGGTGTCTGATCAAATTTATCTTTCGTATCAACATGGCAGCCCTTTTTCAAGAACATTTCGATGATCTTGCAATTTCCAGAGACAGCGGCCCATGATAAGGGTGTTCGACTGTAGCTGTCTCTCAATTCTGACGCGATGTTGGTGCGTAGTAGCATATCGACTTCCTCTTCTAACCCGAAGAATGCGGCCAAGTGCAAACCATGCGTGTCTTTCGGCGTTTCTTGGCTGTAGTACTTAAGACTGTCCTTGTATACATGGAGTGCTTGCGCCGATGCCTCCACCTTTTTAGCATCTTTAAGAAATTCAAGAGTGTCTTTATTAGCTAGCGATGCGAGGATGGCGTGTTGTCCCCAGAATGAGGCGGCGTAGGTGTAGAATGGATTGGCAAGCAATCGAATAGCAAATTCCTCCTCGGTGGGACAGAATCCAGTCTTGAATGCTTCGTATGACAGATACGTGATGCATGATTGAGCGATAGTACTTTCCACATTGGGGGACAATCTATTCGGGTTACGTTCAAAATATTCTTTGGCTGTTTTGTGCATTATCTTCACCGTTGAGCTTTTCTCATCTAGTGTGACTAGTCCAGCACACAAGGAGACAATATCCTCGCGTGAAATGTTCTCTGGATCAAGCGCAGAACTATTCCTTTCGATTGCAAGGGCATGCTGCAGCTCTGTAGTAGTTAGAGAGCGCTTGGCGTAGACAATCCAAGATAATGCCTGAAGAGTAAGTTCTCTCCTGTGGCTTTCCCGGTCAGTGAATCGGGCCATGATTTCGTTATACATCGCGTCGTAGGCTCCGGCCCCTCTTGGGAGTATTTTTAATGCTTCTTTTGTTGCTTTAACGCTCGTCTTGCTTCCCAAACAATTGAATGAAAGGGTAGCCATCAAGAATCTTGCCGTCATCAGTACCATCAGTACGGTTTGGAGGGAGAACTCACTTTCCGTCTGCAATGCGCACTATCTCATCCTTCACGCTGGTCCACGAATCGTCAAGCAAATAGTGTTGATCAAGTTCTTCCCTCGCTAAGTCAAGGTATTTGAAAATATCGTTCCGCCTTGCGCATATTGGCATGGTTAATATACCCTCGCCTAAGCTGGCTGCTATTTTGGGAAATGGTTTCGAACTGACCAAAATCTTGACGTCTGTCTGACCTGAGCTGGTCCCGTTATCATCCCTCTGATCTCTAAAGCTCTTTAACATTTTTAAAAACTTGTATCGACACCCCTCATCGCATTCATCTAAGCCATCAACAACGACATACGCTTTTGATCGAGCCTTTATCGCGACTCGCAGTTCCTTCAATATTTCATCGACAGAAAGCCTTTGGTGACTTTGATGATACGTGTGGTACCGCGATTTAATACTCTCCGGAAGAGGTCGATGTAGGAGGAGCTGTTTCAACAAAGTTGCCAGAAGGTTTTCCAACGTATGGTGACTTTTGTCGTTGAAGCTGCAATACAGGAAACATATGCCAACATTTCCTAATTCATCTCTATGTACGGTGAAAAGATCATACACTACCTTCGCTGTGAACGTGGTTTTCCCTGCCCCGGCATCACCGGGGCAATAAATGGTCTGGTTCTTCTCAGATATCCACTTTTTGAACTCCGCAGTCTCAGCAACCCATTCTAGAGTTCCGGGTGTCTTCCTTCTCAATTTCCCGTCATGATCGCCGGTGAGGTCGACTTCAGCTATCCAGGCAAGAATCGTGTCCTTCAGAGTGGTTTCCCTGCAGCTGTAAGCTTTAATACGTTTCATTGAAGTGTAAGACACTACCTGCTAGACAGTCCTAGGAGCGCGTTCAGAGCACCAAAGTTTGCAGATGCCCGAGACTCCAACCTCGTCACCTTCTTTGGCTCGAACCGAAGCCTCTTCCATAACTGTGCACCTTTTGACCGAAAACCGTTTGCTTTTATTAGCAAACAGTCGTACTCATACAACGTCGCCTGAGTTTCCTCCAGAAGTGTCTCGCATTCATGGACAATTGGACCCAATTGATGTTGTTGGAAGTCTTGCTGTTGTATCGCTCCTGTTCCATTCAATTCCTGGAGGACATTACGGAGGTTCTCGATGCTGGAACTACGTTACTAAGTCTACGAGGCTGAAAGCCGCGTCTCATCTTACTGATGCCTCATCACCTGAAACTCTTTAGGAGCATCCCGAAAACGTTCCTGAAGTGCATGAGCAAGTTCAATTGCCTTGGCAATATCTCCGAAGCCGTAGCCGGGAGGAAGCATGTCAGAATTACACTCCCTGCTGAGGTGTCGCGATGAAACGTGCAGTTTCCGTCCAGCCTTCCCAAGTGGGAGGCATCCGTCTACTTAGCCACCGATTGATTCAGCCTTGTCTGCAAGAAACATGACATCCTTCCCGTCACCACCTCGTGTCATAATTATCACGTGACTCTGTGACCCCACGGGTTGTTTTCGGCTTCCAGGCTCCCAATCTAACCGGTTCATGAGTACTCGGGTCCCGAACACGGGGTGAATGATATCCTATCTCATACCGCCCGGTCCATAATTAAACCACACCTTCAGCAGCTGCGCCAATGGAAATTAGCCAGCACATCCAGCAGCTGCGCCAATGGAAATTAGCCAGCACATCCAGTAGTGCACGTCGCCCAATTAAATACTGTTTTGAAGGTGGCTTGGCTTACTTGCTTACCTATGATGCATGGATGATGTGGAATACGTGACACTGACCGGTGACGCCTCCATCCGCCTGCGTCTTTAAAACGCTACCCACCGACACCAAAATTTCAAACGCGAATGACTAAGCATATATACTAAAGTAAACAAGGTGGTAAAAGCCCTGTAGGTAACCATGAATGCCTTCACAGTTTGTTTACTAGAAATTTCAAACGCTTAAAACTCTCAGATGGGTTCATGTGACGTCTCGAACTGTTTAATAAGCTTCATCACGATTCCAATTTCCAACACCGGATACAGAATATGAATAATGAAAGCCCTTGGATTTTACAGAATCAAGAAGCCGGAAGCTTTGCAGAGTTTTTGCTCCCCGGGTTCAAAAGTGCAAGACTTTTTCTTACCAGCCTCATCCACTTTTACGGAGTCAGCCTTACATGGACTGTTGAGAAGCGGACGCCCTTTCATGTCGCTGCATCGCAGACGCACGAGAACGTGTCGGGCTTGAACCAGTTGACTGGGGCGCTCGCAGAGCTTTCGGGGCTGAGTTACCTTTGGCTGAAGGAGAAGTCGGAACTGACTGCCTGGGATTAGGCAACAGCATGGTTACCGGTGAAGCATCGGTAAAGGACTTGTAATGGATTAAAGCGTATCAACCCCGCTTCCTGCTACTTCATCGTTATTCCAACGTCTTGAACATGACTGCTTCCTCCTCAGCCTTGAATCAGCAGTTTTCCACCAAAATTTCCGAAATGGTAAGCATAGCTTCGTTCGCAAAGCCTTGTGCTTCTTACTCACGTTCATACTGTAGCTGCCTGGCGGTGTTATTTTTGACAATCTAAATCGCCTTTTTGAGAGTGATAACAGTCCTGTGTCTAAGTAAATTCTCGCTTTGTGATACCGAAGACCGTTGAGGCTTACACAAGCATCAGATTCCTTCTCTTCTACATCTCCTACATCAACTACTCATACATCCCATACGGCTACGTTTGCATAGTTCCAGAGACTCGTTTGATACCAGTTACGGACTTGCACAATTGGCTCCTACAATCAATCGACCACCTCGGGAATCCAGTTGAAACGAGCGATTCGAAGAATTCGACGTTCGCCACGTCCCCTTGTGTTCCTCTGGACAAAGTTGAAAAGCGCAAGCTCAACGTCACCGCAACCAGGAGAGACACTTCCACGCTCCGCGGGTACATCTCCGGGGTCAGAAATTGGAACACAGCGCAAGGTGATCCTACTATTCGTTCTAAGTATCTCAACACGTCCAGACTCGTAGTTAGGGGCCCCAAGTTAGCGAGAAAGAATTTCAATTGGATATTGGAAAAGCATTCAGGCTTTATTGCCGAGCTAACTAATCGTAACACCAATACGACTGACGGGCGCTTCGTCGAAGGAACTAGTCTGGGCGGCGACACGGGCTCACGCATCGGCCTCATTGTCAAGCCATCCAATCGACACCCTGGTCAGGCCCAACAAACCATTGCGAACGACCATACCAATAATCGCAATATCGATATCCTGCTCAACGCCGTTGCAAGTGCTATCCAGTTCGGTCGAGTCCACGGACAACATACCGGGAGTCCTATACACTCGCTCGCCGGTATTCACTTCACTGACAAACACCTTTGCCCCACGACGCACATGACTTCTCTTGTTTCCCCAGTTTGCTAGATCTCCAATTTCTCACGATGATTGAATGTGTAAGTCTCCGATACAAAAACCAGTTGACAACAGCTCTAATAGTGGTTAGTCTAATAGTAATTGCCGTGTTCCCTTTTCACCGTCTTCGGGTTCGGGCTTATGTCCAAATTGCGTCCAAAATCAAAACGATCAAAAAATTGAAAAAGAAAAAAACAACAAAAATAAATCTCCGGCTTGGACAGGAACCTCTACGCGGTGCTGGGGACAAGTACTCACGCGGGTAAGTCTGTATGAGAAAACCAAGACCTGTCAACCTCTCTGTACTCCTTTCATTGCTTGCACTTGTATTCAGGTCTTGCGTGGCTTACGTTTCCTTTATTTCCTTTCTACGAATATGTTGAATATTATAGTGTCTATCCTCTAGTCATCTTTCTCGAGGTCGATGCATTATGCGGCTACTGTCATCATGAGTGGGAGTGCTAACATGTATTCTGTACTTCCTACATAACGGTATTAATATCAGGCCAAATGCCAACGTTTCTCATCACACAACCAACACTCTTTCTCACTCATCTCTTGCACCGTCGCGATTTTGAACCTTCCATGGTGATGGTGGAGCACTTGATGAGTTGTCTACTTTCGTAGCCCAATGTAAAAATCTAGAATCGAGATTATCGAATCTAGCGTCGATGTGACAAACACTGAATCCGGACTAGAGCGCGTGGCAGTGTCACCCGCCTCAGCGTCTTCCAAGGTTAGCTTTTCACGACGGGAGCCACCTCACCGCCTCTTTAAAGCGGTGATATAATAGGGTTTAGGCGAGGTAAGTGTACCTTCAAATGCAGCGGCAAAACACACCCGAAAATAGGTGCATTTCCACCACTACTTGTATTTAAGTAGTTATAAGGGTTGAGCAGCTGCATTCGACATCATGCGTGCCAACGTGTCATTGGTGTCTAATCTTATCTTGACGATCTTTGGTTAGTTGCATTTCCCCACGTTACCCGGTGCATTGCAAGGGTGCTCTACCCTTCGGACACGCACTCACAGCGGCACAAGTTCAAACTGACAGAGATGCTGAACTCTCAACACTTAGCATCACGTCAATAATCCTGCGGGGATGAAGTTTTTTGAATTTTCAGCCGAGATCCGACTTAATATCTACTCGGAACTCCTCGTTCTCGACGAAACGATAGTCTTTGTGGCTGATTATGGCCCGTCGTCACCACCTCTCTGTCGATCCAAAAGGGATGGACTTTGTCCTGCTCTTCTCCGTGTTAGCAGGCAAGTGCATCGCGAGGCCATCCCACTACTCTATTCGAATAATCGCTTCCGATTCCCTCAAGTAATCACCAACTCATGTCGCACGGATAGCGCTCACATCGCACCATTCCTAGGCCAAATCGGGTCTCAAGCAAGCCTTATTCAACATATCTGTATTACTTTCCTTAGCTTTGAACATCCCCAGCCTAGTACTGCTCGCATTCACGAAGAGCATGTTGAAAACCTAGAGCTCATTCGAGACACATGTACAAGTATAAAGACTCTCGAGCTCCTGGTTCCGCCCGATCAACGCAGCTACGCGCTCAGTATTTCGCAAATTGCAACTGAGGCGATAGACTTACTCGACACGCATTTCAGGGCTATCGCTTCCTTGAAAGAGATCAATATCAACTTCGAAGTGTATCCCGGAGAGGATCTAGACAATGATATAACGAAGAAGCTGCGCGACTACGGATGGGCGGTCACCACCACAAAGCTCCCGAAGAAGATCTGGATCTCCAATGATGATCGAGTTGAATTTGATAATGAGGAGGAGGATTGCATTGCGTATGATAATGAACAGTTTCTTCTCGACCTGAAGAGAGAAAAGGAAGAGGAGGAAGAACCATGGAGGGAGGAATATTACCGGAGGAGACGCGATCCCTATTGGAAGAATGATTCGGACTACGATTGAAACTAGCTTATCAGATCGAAATCGAATTCTATAACTAACTGCGTGTAATCAAAGTCTCTCGATCCGCTACTCTACTGCTTGATTGTTATAGTGGAGCTGTGTGGTCGAAGAGAAATGTCACCGCGATTGCGTGTGCTTGAATGATTTGCTTTAACTAGAGACTCTCTTACCTGTCTGGCGGGCACGCATTTGGAAAATGACCGTCTTCACCGCATTGCGCGGATGCGCTGCGCTACAGTGGCTATCTTCTGGTCTCGGGGAGAACCTGGTTCGCGCCAAGACCTGTCGGGCTTAGAAGGCTCATGTAGATTAGTCATGGGCGATTCGTCTGACTACTCCTGGGACTGGAAGCTTGCAAAATACATGAAATGGAGCCTGAGGTTCAAAAGCATGTTAATTTCCGTACATTGGCATTCTCAATTGCAACTTGTGTGGTGTCTAAGGATGATGATTTTACAGCGTTCTTCTATGACATTCTAAAATGCCAAGTCCGCAACACCGCGAGCACCAGCTGCTCCAAACGATGATCGACCCTCATCGAACACAGCATGCTACCCTCCAGCCATGGCTCCTAACCTTGCTGCGTCCCAGCATGCCATGATTCATGACATGCTGGTTGATGGGTCGCTCACGCACGCTGAGATGGCGAGTGCTGCTTGCTGCAGTGAACGTGCTATCGATCGCATTGTTTCTAATGTGAAACATTTCGGGTCCACCAAAGCCCCTTCGAATGGCGCGGGACGCCGTCGACGAATGACTCCAGTCATGTTAGATGCGCTTCGCGAACATCTGATCGAGAAGCCAGAGTTATATGTCGAAGAGATGGTTGTCTTCCTGTTTGATGACTTTGGCGTCCTTGTTGACCGTTCAACTGTAAGCAGAGCTTTAAAATCCATCAACTGGTCTAAGAAGATGATGCGTCAAATAGCTAGAGAACGCAACGCAGATCTTCGAGACTTCTACCTCCATACAATATCACCCTTTCCATCATGGCAACTTGTTTACGTGGACGAGTCCGGATGCGACAGGCGAATCGGCTGCCGAAAGACGGGATGGTCTCCTCGCGGTGTGACACCAGTGCAGGTCGCCCAGTTCCACCGCGAGAATAGATACCAGATACTGCCAGCTTACACCCAAGACGGGATCCTGCTTTCTCGAGTGTATCAAGGGAGCACAGATAACGAACTGTTTGAAGACTACCTCGAGCAGCTTCTCTGTCATTGCGGACGCTGGCCCGAGCCCAGATCCGTCCTCGTCATGGACAACGCCTCCTTTCACCATAGTGAGCGAATCGACCAGATGTGCCTCGACGCCGGAGTAAAGCTCGTATACCTCCCCCCATACTCACCAGACTTCAATCCAATCGAAGAATTCTTCGCCGAACTGAAGGCATTCATCAAGAAGAACTGGAGGAAATACGCAGACAACCTAGAGCAGGAATTTTGTGCATTCTTGGAGTGGTGCATTAGCGTCGCTGGAGGTAGAAAACGCAATGCCGAGGGACATTTCAGGCATGCAGGTGTCACCGTAGAATATTTTGATGCTGGCAGCCAATGGGAACTATCTCACAAAGTGTAGACACGTATTTCGCGGCCTTGTGGGAGTAATGGAGTGTTCATCATTGTTAAATTTACAACTTCCATGTTCTCAGGTGCACGCGTAGCAACTGTCTTCATCACTGTGATTTCATCTATGACTTCATATGCTGCTGCTGTGGTGTTGATGGACGGTCCGGCTGGCGATGTTTTGCTGTCTTGCGTCTGATTGGCTTACGGCGGGTCCTGAATTGGACCCTCCCATGCCCCACAAGAAAATTGTCCGAAAACCAATCATGTATTTATAGACAGCCTGTGATTGGCGGTCAGTCTGGGTCACTTTTTTGACCCTCTGCGCCGAGTCTCCCACCTTCCCTTGTGTTCTCCACCGTAACTGTAGAGTCGAAAGTGACCGACTGCGACGACAACACTCGTCACACCCACTCATCAATGACACTCGATTTGTTCTAACTGACTACAACACGTATCCACTGCTGGACAGAAGGATATACACAGAACACACTCTTTTCATGCGGACAACGTCACGATGCCAGGTGGCGCTTTCCAAGTAACCACTTCTATGATGACGGGCAGTGGTGCTTGTGAAGAGGACCGCCCATATGAAACCCAAGACTACTGGGACGCTTTTGTTGACGAACAATCAGTAGATACGGCTATAATAGGCCCTTCGACGACGCCATCTAGTTTCCCACCGACCTCTCCTAACCCTTCATACCAGACACCTTCTACCCTTTCACAGCCACGGTCTAATCCAGACAAGCTTCGATTCCTTGAGTTAGACGAATGGGAGGCGATGAATAGCTATGAAGAAGACGTGCCAACTTGCCTCCATTACAGAATCGTGTGGAAGGTTGTGGTGAACAACAAGGCAATCTCCACGGACACCGAGGAGGACGTCGTTCTGAACCCTGTTTCATATTGGCACATGGTCCTTTTACCAAAGCTTGAGACGCTTCTCCGTAAGAAGTTGGCCCAGAATAGGCAGGTGAAATGTGATGACACAGGGGTCGTTGTCTCGGTGTCGGCTCGTACTGAGAAGGACCTCATCAAGCGATTTGATGACTTGAGCATCGATTGGTCAGTCATAGCGAAGACGCTTATAGGATGGGGGGAGCTTTTCCGCTCCGGTAAGAAACTTACTGTCAGCCTCTCTTTCAACTATTTAGACACGAAACCGCCACCGGCGGGTACTGCAAGACGTGGAACCAAGCGAGGCTCGTCAGCAACCCAGACAATGCTCGCCGATCGAGACGCGCAGCTCAAAGCAGAAGAAGAGGATACTGGAAAGGCCCCGATATGGAAAGAGGTGTATGCTCTTTTTCGTTGCCCAGGATCGCCATGTGACCGTGGCCCTCACTGTTGGATAGATCCTGTCGGTAAAAAGCACCACCACCTGAGAACATCACACTTAAAGGCGCTCATCGCCTTCAGGCAGCAGGGCAAAATCCTGAAAAGCCACGATAATGTTCCTCAAGATATCCGTGATCAACTATACCTGGAAGAGCGCCAGCGGCTGGAACGGGAGCCCAAAACCAATAATGTGTCATTGCCTTTCCCACCTATCAACATCACTAATGTCCTGCCTCAATCCCAGTCCCCTATGACCGGCTCTAATGCACCGATGCCACAAGGTGATATACGCCCTTGTGGTATTGTAAGTCTTGCCATCCCAGGTCCGTGGGATCTGGCAGTGAAGGAGTACACTAAGTGGCAGCGATCGAATGTTGTTGACGAGAAACTGAAGGCAGAATTTTCGAGGGCTTGCGAGGTTGTATTAGAGGACGGTATGGGTTTGGAACAGGTGTACGAAGATCAAAATCCTGGGTTTTTCATTCAAAATCGCATCAAGTCGGGAATTGCTCGTCGATTTATTAGTGGTATTAAGGTGTGGGCCGACCAGTACAAGTCTGCTTGTGACTCTAGCATAATGAATTAGTTTGATTTCATGCAGTACCAAACTCCGCTCACCTGCCTCATCCGTGCAATCCGTAGAACGAGAGCGGTTTCAATCAAAAGTGTTAAGCCGCGATTTATTTTGTACGCAGGGCTGACACAAGTTTGTCTACCGACTCGTTCTTTAACATGAGATGCTCACCGAAGTCTCCTTTAACCCCCACTAGCATCTCTAATGGGGTAACGTGCTCTTCCACCCTGAGATATGAATATAGAGGAAGGGCCGAAGGAGGACCGATGAATTGATTATTGTAGTGGCGTAGGTGAAGCTGGAAAGAATACGGACTCCTTGCGGTAGGAGCAATTGGATAATACCGCGCATCGCCGCAGGGGTTTGAAGCTATCTGCCGTCCAAGTCAGTTGAAATTGATTGACTGAATGTTGCTTGGATCATACTGTCGCAAACTTGACATTGCCGTGACCATCAGGCTAATTGAGAACTACAACTACGTGTCCGGCGACGCCCTTTGGAAGCGGAGCATAAGCAATGCCTTCCTTCTTACAGGCTGCTTGCGTCTTGATCGTGTAGAGTTTGCCCTGCGTTCCCCGTCTATTCATCCCCACTGTGCTTGTCGTAGGGAGGCTGGGTCCGTGTTCAATCTGTAAGTCGGTGCGCATGATGCGAGGCACAGAATATGAAACGCAGCAGAAATCGGAGGGGCCCATTTCCGGCTCGCATTTGGCCTAAGTCAGCAGTGTGGCGCAATTCACGCTAAGATAAAAGACGACTTTAGGTAGTATTTGTAGCCTTTCGCTATTCGCACAGGGGGTTTCTCACTAACCAATAGCAAGAGCGAAATGCGACCAGGGTACGTAAGGGAATAAAGTCTGGTGAGCGCGCAATTCCGACACCGATTTTGCACGCTACTGTATTAATTCTTAGTCCTGGAAATCTAGACACTGACGTGACACCAGGCTGGCCCCCTTTACCCGCACAGTGTGCGTTAGATGGTCGCAACGCTCAGCCTCCTCACGCTTGACCTTTTTGGTGGCAACACGGCACTTCATGAATGAACATACTGTCTAAAGTCGTCACGGCACCCTGAAACCATCCACACTCATGCGCCTTTACTTCAACCCAATAAGGACTTCTTCCTCAAGCATCCAGACAATCCAGATGTCTCAATGAAAAAGCAAACAGGAGGTTCGCGACAGCTAGCGGCAGTGCAAGGGCCAGCGTCACTGTGTCTGCAACTATGAGCAAGCTCAGGGAGAGGAAGACGAGGTTCAAAAATGAAGTAATATGAAACTGTGTCCGTAAACACGAGCTCGATATCACTCGAACTAGAACAGATACTACACTTGATCTAAGCCAGAATTGGCAAAGGAAGCTGGAGAAAAGGAGAAGAGCGTCTGGGTGGGGGAGTCAGCGGATTTATATAGTTGGTGGGAGGCCAGGCAGCAGCGTCAGAATCACGGACGAGCTAAGCGAAAGACCTCCGGATCAACGTCGGAGAAAGATTTGGAACGTTCGATACGCTTCTGCCTCTTGCTGGATCAACCTCGGCAGATTCGAAGGTCTGCTGCCTGTGTCGGTGAGTGATCACAAGCGAGACCAGATGAAGGAGTAGCGAGGCTTAGAGAAGGGAGAGGCTGATAGCAGTTGGAGTGGCGATGGGATGTTATGCGAGTGGAAAGATAGGTAAGAGGAAGCATGCTTCGTCGAGGTATGCAACCGAAGATGAGCTCCTAGTGGCATAATAGCATGTTACTGTAAAATATAGAACTTGACTAGGGTAGAGCCTGTCTGTTAAAACTACCCTAGAGTCTGAGAGTGGGTTTTAGGGATAAGATTTTTTGAGTCTACTAACAGTCCCAGGTATTTGAAGAAATCGCGAACCTACTCACAACTGTGCTTTGCTATCGCTGTTTCCAATCCCCTCAATAGCTTCTCAGTCCCTATGAGCCTATTACCTCAAGACCTTCCTTTTGCATTTCCCGCTCATAAGCTCTGGGATTTCAGGTAGCAACATCTCCTGGGAATTAGCACACCGTCACTTCCCTTGGGAGGTTACATGTCCGTACGAACACCAGTAACTGTGCATATTGTTTCGCTGAGCCCCCAGCCCTGTGTGACACTTACGCCGATGTTCTGCTTTACTTCACTTTGAAGACTCCGCCGAGGGGCGCCCAACCGCAGAGCATTTCGCGGACAGAAAAGAGGTTGTATTTGGAGATTTCGAGGGCTTTTGCTTAGCTTTACCACTATTAGGGGAGTGATTTGGAGGGTATCTTATCTTCACAACAGTATCTGAAAAATTCCCCCTCAAATAGGGAGTGAAAGGCTCTATAGACCTTATGGTTTTAAATTTGTTGGTGATATTCTTCGCGGTGGAAGGCTTTCCCAATCTGGACTGAAATATTCTGCTTCATCGTAATAAACACGGCATATGTTTGTCAGATGCATGGTACAGAGGTAGGAACCCAAGTCAGCGTTCCGAGAAATTGTATCGGAATGATTTGCTCCCTGTTCCATATCAAGTCCGAATGGGTAACCGTAACACTTTGGGAAGACCTGTTGCTCCAAAGGAGAAATTGGTAGTTCCGAAATGTGTGCGGGATTCAGTGACTGTGAAAGAAAGGTTAGCGCCAGTTCTATACTTCAGGTTCCGTGCCTACAAAGATTCGCCAGACTTGAAGCCCGGTAGTTGACAGGTTTTGGACATCTGAAGGAGGAGTATTCAAAACTTTGGAATACACGCTTGTGATGCCGCTTTGAGACCCGTGCTGAGGAGAGGTGAGCAGATGAGGGAAACTTTTGGTCCAACAGTCTTCGTCTACCATTAGCTAAAATCCTTAAACAAGCGCGCAAGTCTTATTCTACCCTCGGTTACTTCGAAGGCAGGGATTGCTCCTGAAAACGCAGCACCTATACATACCGCCCCAGATATGTAACAGATCTAAGATGTGGTTCGGCGTGAAAACCAACAGCGAGTCTCTAGCTTTCACGCCGAGCTTCTGCAGACTAAAGCCGACGCGCTTAACCTAGGGACCTAATTGTTTAGAGATAACGAGATATTGTTATTACTCGTCTCAACTCATACTAGTTGATTTCCTGAACGTGGTGAGCCTTTAAGAAAGAGCTAGTTGAGAATATTACGCTCATGTGTGTTGAGATTTGATAGGCATCATAATGGGACGTATTAGAATCCCAGCATGCAAAAGAATCGAACACTAAGGATGGAGCAGAAAAGTTTCGAGATTAGAGGGAGCTCTACTTCAGTCAATAAAAACAAGAACAAGCCTATCATTTCCCTGTAGCGCCTATATCAAACTGAGTCCAACTCAAGTCCAAAATGGAGTCCGTCCTTATCATAGGGTGGCACTGGCTGAGCTAGTTGAAACAGTAAACACCCTGTCTCCTTTATGCACAAGAATCGAAGCAAACTAGTGCATCTCTAGGGTTTGCTCACGATTCTTAATTCCTACATTACCAGCCGAGGTGATGTGGGTAGCTTCAGGCTGCGGGGTATGGGGAAGTTTCTCCAAACACCTTGGCGTTCTTACTGGTTCGATTTAGTCCGATGCTCTTGGTTGCTCTAGTGGTTCGAAGTACAGCAGGAAAACATTAGCCAGAATTTGGGGATAAGGAATTGAGGAAGAGGAACGAATACGCTTTAGCGCAATTGAGTGGAAGGAGTCGCGATGTAGTATTTTGAATAGCAAATGCATCTGGACGCTCTGAGTTAAGAATCTACACAATATTAGCTTTATTTTGAGTCTTAACGAATATGAGGGCTTCTGATCCCCCACAATGGAAAAATATGCCGGTGGTAAAGGGTATGCCGTATGCTGAAACGCTTAGTTTGTAGGACGATCCTGTCTGACCAACCGTGATAGCCACGGAACAGCATGGGGCCTGTTTGATAGTGGCTGTGTGCGCGACGAGGTTGGAACGCTCAACCTCTTGACGCCAGAAGTTGTAGTTGAAGCAGGAAAGGAGATCAAGACAGGAAAGAGTGTGATTTTGAACTGGGGTCTCGAGCACGTAGCAGAACCTGGATTTGGTCGGATTAGAGTTGAACACAATATTATTGACTGGAGGAAGACTCAACACTATTACTCCTATGAAGGTGAAGTTAAGCTTAATCCCCAAGCTGGAAGCCAATGGGATGGACTCCGCCATTTCGGGCACACAGAAACAGGGCTGCATTACAACAATATCCACCACGACGATCTGCTGCAAACGGACTGAATTGGAATTGATCACTGGAGCAAGCGCGGAGAAATCGTTGGAAGAGGTGTGCTGCTGGATTACTGCTCCTGGGCCGAGCGTCAAGGTATACAGTACAATGCGATGTCCCGTTATTGCATCACTGTGAAAGATTTGGAGACCGTTGCAAAGGAGGAGGGTCTTGTTTTCAAACCAGGGGATCTGCTGATTGTCCAAAGTGGTTGGATCAAGTGGTACAATGAACATGATGAGGATCGCATCAAATACATAATAAACGGAAAGGAGTATGTCTGTGTCGAGGGCTCAGAAGAATCTGTGGAGTGGCTATGGAGCCATTACTTTTCCGGAATTGCTGGAGACGCAATTGGGTTTGAGGCATGGCCGCCGCAGCTCCCTCGCCGTAGGTGCTTCATTCGAGGTTGAAACATGGTGGATATATTAGAACTAACCAGGATAGGTATACACGACCACATAGCCCTTTGGGGAATGGCAAGCACTCCATGGATGAGTATGTGAACTGTTCGCTGATTAATGAATAGCCGATAGGAGAACTTTGGATCTCGAAGCATTGGCAAAAGAATGTGAGGCGCAGAAGTATTGGAGCTTTTTCTTCTCCAGCGCGCCGTTGAACTTGAAGGGAGGAGTTTCGAGAACGCCAAATGCATTGGCAGTTTTCGAAGGCACGGCGCGATTAGTTATTGATGCATTATTAAGAACGATGATGATGTGGTAGCGCTGAAGAAGAAACGATGTTGGGTGTTTCTCGGAGTGCAAATTCTTTCTTCCGAAACAGAATCAATTCAGGGAGAGCGGACATCAACAAAACTTCAAATATCCTCAAACCTTCAACAATCTCATCCTCTAACGGCCTATTTACTTGTAAAATTTATGTGCTGATTCCGGACTGAGACAACATCTGGATCGCTGCGCATGCCCAAACTGTTGACTCTCATAGACCTACGCTTCGTAGCATGCCCAACCAGAGTAAAATAATTGGCGCGTGGACTGAGAAAAAGTAACAGTCTCCAGACAGGGAATCACTGTTTCTCGACATCATCGATTTATTTCAGTCATATTCCTTGTCCTTGTAGCTGGCCTTCGGTTGTGTCCCAGGCTTCGACTCGCTCTGCTCGACGTCGGTGGGCCGAGTCGAACTCATTTTCAAGGAGACGAGCTAATCCACGCTGTGAAATCGGCTAACACTTGATATTTTAGCTCGGAGTTTATTCCCAGAGTCTTTCTAAGGGCAATTCGACAATCAGGACAAGATATTGGAGGTTCATTGCGACCCGGAAATTAGCATCCAGTACTGACCTTCCCCTGCCCATTCTAGTAGCACCTTGTCTTCGCCTTAACACCCGCAACATGGACTCAGCACCCACGCACGAATAACACCATGTGGCGGGCAAGACCGCGTGTAGGGGTCCAAGCTTAGTGCCTCCCCACATCTCATCACCAAAGCGCCCCTATGGTAATCGTTTCCCGATGAGTTTAGTGTTGTGCATTCAGTTATAATTTTGACATAGCCTTTTCTATTCTGTCACGTCTGGGGATTTTCGCCTATCTACTTTCCATTGCTGCTCAGCAAGACAACATGACTTCCATCCGTGGGGCCCGAAGCCAACGCATCAATACGTTCAATGTGCTCATTCTATGCTTTGTGGGTCTGGGATCTATGAGCTATGGATATACAGCTTCAATTATCGGCACGACGCTAGGTATTTGCACAATTCGCTTCAGGAAGTTCTACACTTAAACTTGCCTTAGGACAGCCATCTTTCATCAAGTATTTTGAACTTGACACCAGAAGCAATGGAACTGATCTTTTATCCACCACCAATGGTCTTTTCCAGGCTGGCGGTGTTGTCGGCACTCTTCTCCTTCCAATCGTGTCGGATCGATGGGGACGTAAATGGGGCATTGCAATTGTATGCTTGTCTCTCGTATTAATGATTGGCTGCTAACACACAGCCCAGAGCGCCATTCTTGCCATCATATCTGGTACCGTTCTATCAGGCAGCACGCATATAGGTGAATTCATCGCTTTTCGTTTCATTGCTGGAGCAAGCGCATTCATGATCTTGGCAGCTGTGCCTGTGAGTACTCTAACCACTAATTCGTATTAACACAACTAATAGTTAGATATAGATCTGGATGAATGTAAGGTTTGAGCGCTGTTGATGTATGCCACCAATCCTGACCTATTTTAGGAAGTCGTACCTGTGAAGATGAGAGCCGGGCTCGTCGACATCCACGCCGTGTTCCTGGTTCTTGGATACACCATACAAGGCTGGGTAGGCTTTGGATTTTTCTTCTGGAAGGGTGGTAAGACTTTCCTTTCCTTTCCCCCTATCAACGTCTCCTATTCTAACTTCGGCTAAGGCGGCCAAAACCAATGGCGACCTCCGCTAGCTCTGCAGTGCGCGTGGCCCTTTTTCCTCCTCTGCGGCCTCTTTTGGATCCCCGAAAGCCCCAGATGGCTAATCATGAAAGACCGGATTGATGAAGCACGCATCATTCTTGACCGCCTACATAGCGATCCCAATGATCCAGACAACGAATATGCCAGATCAGAGTTTTACCAGATCCGGAAACAGATTGCGATAGATAAGTTGCTAGATAGCTCTTGGGTGGGAATGTTCAAGAAGCCGTCGTATAGGAAAAGAGCACTTCTAGCGGTGGGCACGACATTCTTCATCCAATGTTCTGGTGTGCTGGTTATCAATAGTACGTACTGAATCACAGAACGTGTGGCAAGTTGCTAACATACCCTCAGACTACGGCCCAACCTTGTACAAGAACCTAGGCTTTTCTCCTGTCAAACAGCTTTTGTACCCGGCAGCATGGTTGACTCTAACCCTCGGTATCAACACTATGGCAATCCCACTCGTCGACCGCTTCCCCCGCAATAAATATATTGCGGCTGGCATTCTTGGCTGCATGGCCTGCCTGATCGTAGAAGCAGCCCTAGTCGCCAACTTCGTTCCTTCAAACAATCAATCTGCACTGCTGGCGGCGGTAGCCATGTTCTTTCTCTTCCAAATCCCCTATGGCTTCTGCCTCGATGGTACGTATATTCCGGACAATAATTCTTCTCAAAGCAGCATTAACATTCTGTTCCTAAGGTACCCAATTTGCCTACCTCGGTGAACTCTTTCCCACACACCTCCGCGCCAAAGGCGTATCCCTTGGCGTTGCCATGATCTCCTTCACCAATATCATCTGGCTTCAAGCCGCGCCCACAGCCTTTATCACCATCGGCTGGAAATTCTACCTCGTGTTCATCATCCCAGGGACTATTGGCGGCATCATCGTCTGGATCTGGTTTCCGAACACGAATGGCTTACCGTTAGAGGAGATTGCGGCTATCTTTGGGGATGAGGATGAGGTCGCGGTGTATCAACGAGAGGTGGTTATTGATGGTGGGCAGATCCGAGATCTGCATCAGGAGGCGAAGGAGAAGCAGGAGGTGTATACTGAGGATATGGGTGTGGGAGATGGTACAAATAGAGCATGATGTGATGAACGAATTCCCCGAGATGCGAAGAATAGTGGCTACATGGTTTTGTTGCAGAAGGTAGATACTTGATCCACATTGGAAGTCTGTGGATCCCTTATGACGCCGTCCCAATGAATGCCTGTGGATGGCCCTTCCTATCTCCATTAATGCCCAATTCTAGCAAGAGCCGACTGAAGGACTTGCCCTCAAAATACACATCACAACTGGATATCATTATTCAGCAACCGCACCTCCTCACCAGGCTTGAAAGCAGGGAGGCCGATATATGGACAACCATCGCAACGGAAAGCGTCTCCTAGCGCGCAGTTTCCACAGCTACCGACCTTGCCTTGAACTGTGAAGTCCACCTCAGCTAGGTCGTCGGCACCTAGCTTCATTGTGTTAAGGGCTTTATCGGCTGAGGCTCGCTTGGCGGCATCTTCGGCTTCGATTTTCTCCTTCATACCACAGGTGCAGTCCTTGCAGGCGCGACGTCGCTTTCCAGCTTTGGGCCGGCACTCGGGCGCTGAGAGGTTAGTGCTAGGGTAGACGAGAGACGGGTAGAGGACTCACGCTGGATGATGGGTCGAGCCATATCTTCTTCTGTGATTAAGTCGTCCTCGTCAATCAGCTCATCATCCTCGCCGGTGATAATGGGGTCATTCAGGTCATCGCTGAAATCGACAAAGCCAACACCGGTCGGCTTCGCAGGCTCCGCAGGCTCGGCCTCTTTCCTCTTTCCGTTCAGTGGTACCGATCCATCGCCATTTGTTGCGCCACGCACGCCATTGGCAACCCCATTCGTTTTTTTCTTGCCAAACTTCAAGGGTATAGACACGCTCTGGACTTCCTCTGGCTTCACCATGCCATCGTTGCCATCTACGAGCCCAGCCAGAATCGCCTCGGTCTTCTCTGAAGAATTTGTCAAGCCAAAGACGCCATCTTGGCTTCTCAGAATCCCACCGGCCTTCAGAGTGCTAACAACTTTAGTCATCACGTCCCTTCCTAGTAACTTGTGACTTTCTCTGGTTGTGCCATCGGCATCTGTCAAAAGAAGCACGACGTCATACGTGGAGGCGGGAAGCTTCACGAGGCCCACTGCGAGGCGGTCGAGCATCTGGAGATCGGCATGTGCGCGGTCGTGGATTTCGTACACCTTGTCTAGGACTTCAGGGTGGGCGGATATGGACGGCGGGGCAAGGAGAAGTGTGCGGGGAGTCATGGTGGGGTTGTCTCACAGCTGAGAAAGGCGGTGTCTAGATTCTTTGACGATGAATCTTGCAGAGGGTGAGGAGCAAGCTGCGGAGAAGCGTGGTATAAGAGTGGTGAGAGGAGTTTGAGTTCAAGATGTTTTTCTTTGCGACTTCCGCCGGCCTCGGAGAAGCACGGCGGCAATGGAGTGAGTGCTGAGTAATGCGGTGGTCAGGTGAGAAGGGCTTGGCATGCAGTTGTCTCGTTTCGTCTGGACCCACTTGGTGCCGATGGAAAGTCTGGGGTAAAGCGCCGCAAAAGCCCGTCAAGAAGACCAGAGTGTCAGCGGCCGACGGCGGCGTCCTCACGAGGGCATTGCAAAAGAAACCCGAGGGCAATTGAGCAGCTGAACTTGCGGCGGAACGAGCTGTCTTGCGCCCGTGTGATCTCTCTAGCCGTTGTCACTTGCAGAGCTTCAGTCTGCTCACACGAGATGCAAGAGCCAAATATGACGTCGCCGTCTCCCCATCCCGCAAGCTGTTGCAGCTACAGTGACTGCAGATCCGCCGCGACAACAGCCTCAATCTCGCTTGTGTTTATTGACCAGCCGGCCAAATGCTAGAATCTTCTATCAGGCTGCAATTTCACTCAATTGATATAAAAAGCGCCGTTGCTCTGCGTCGCTGCAGACCCCGCTCCTGAAACAACTCGCGTGAGCTCTCTTGGCTGGTGCTTCGTCCTACCTTCCGCATAGCTCTTCCATCAACACACCTCTGACCGCTCCAAACAAACAACAAACCACCTACGCCTGTTGTGACGACTGTCGCATATCTGCGCTGCTTCTGCAAGGTACACTCCCTCACCGCCGGCGTCTTGCCATGGTGGTCCGTAATAACGCCATCATTGGCCCAAGCGTGGTCACGAGAGCATCCCACTGATCGATTCGCCATAGTGTCCTTCTTGTCCCTGACTACATCTACCCTCCATCGCCCTCCATCGACTCTCTCATCCTCACTTCAACCCAACTCAGTCACATCAATCCAACAGTAAGTCTTCTGCCTCATTGTCCCCTTTGCATCTCCCTCCTCCTGCCTCTCCTCTATACTTGGAAGGAGCTCTTCCCCGCAGAGCTCCGGGATGACTCCGCGAGCTGAATAGCTTCAAGAATCATGCCTGGCATCATATCATTGCCTGTTCTTCGCTTGCTGATGTCTGAACAGTGACTCGCTCTCACAAGTTCACCGACCGCGACCACTCCGGCCTTGCTGATGGCACCGCCCACGAGGACGAGCACCTGCCTCGCTACTTTGCTAAATCCGGCCACGCTGACCAAGATCCAACCAAGACTAAGAAGAATGGCGGTGGTAAGGGCAACTGGTAAGTTCTCTATTCTTTCTTTCCCGCCTCCATATCCTCATTTCACATTGCTTTTCTTCCGAAACGCCCATTACGTCAACCCCTTCCACCATTCATGACACATCGCTGACGATGATTGAATATGGCAGGGGTCGCGAGGGCGACGAACTCGAAGACCTTGGCTACACCATGGCCAATGCACGCCGTCGCTCTAACTCTAGCACCCATGGCCCTGGCATGAAAGACTTCAAGACCAAGTTCGAGACGGTCGAGCCAGAGCCCGTTTTCGAAGAAGAACTGCACGGCCCCATGGGCGCAGAACTCGATAAGGAGAGCACGGTATCCAGCGCCAACAGCGCCCAGAGCCTCGAAGAGGAGGACGCCAACAAGAAGTTGTAAGCCCCCCACGACGTCCCGAAAGGGATGGTCTGGGGACGGAGGGTGCGGGGAGGAGAATAAGGTATCACTGATGGCATGGATCACTTCTCATAGGCTGAACTGCGAGTCCGTTATCACTCGTTCTGTCTTGCTTTTGAGAGCTGGTAACAGCTGTCTTTGATTGATCAGATGGACTGCTTGAACATTTCCAGGCAATACAGTCACAAACTCATGTACTATCTTCTCTGGGAATACTCTTCTGGGATTTTCATGGGCAGGCAAGGTGGAACTAGCCTCCGTGGGATCCAGGGGATCGGCGTCTTATCTGTCTTTTTCCACACTTTCTTTCGATGGTCTGAGGGATGGGAAACTCTCGGAATCTTGTGTTATGAATTCATGAAATCCAACCAGTGGAATCAGCCAGAATCAAGTGAACAAAGAATGGATATATGAATTATCCAACCAATATCACTCGCTTTTTGTTCTGGCTTCTGGGTGATGATGCTGGGTTCGGGGCCGTGAATTCTTTGTTTTTTATGGCCCGCCTTATCATGAGAGAGACCGCAATCTCTCGTCAACGTGCCTGGTATGCCTGTTTTGATTGCTTTGATTTGTTCTTCCCAGGGTAGGGGACAAGTACATGTGGGTATGCATGTGATGCTGACTGTAAACGATGGCTGATAAGGTCACTTGAGATCTGGAGCCTCCCGAGAACTACTGGCCATGCTTCTGATGCATGTGTATAGCTGCACAAAGCCACCCTGTCACTAAAGATAAGGTATCTGTTGTGAATTGTACCACACGTGCTAATGAAATTTACGAGGAACATGTCAGGTTGGGTGTAATGAAGAAAGCTGTAGCATCTTCGCTTTCGGTCTTATTACAGCAACAGGCTTAACAGAGGAAGACCTGTTTGGTAGAGCTCTGTTGTAGGTATGAATGTAGTATCCCGAGAAAACAATAGTCGGATAAGATCTACATGAACGCATATGCATACAAGAACCAATAAAATTGAGGATTGCAATTGGTCGCTATCGATGGGCTAGTGGAGGTCTAGGAGAGGAGGAGGCCTGTTTTGGATCCACAACTTGTGGGGAGGTTGCACAGGGGTAAGAGGACGGGGGTATGGCTGTTGGGGAAGGTGTTGTGGATGGGGCGACGGTTGTAGTTATACTTGAAGAGCTAGTTGTGCTCACCCCAATCTCAGAGCCTGGACTTGGTGTGTTCTAATTCCATTTGTACACTGGGGCTCTCCATTGGAGCCCATCTCGAAAACCTCAATTCCACCCAAGCCAGCGCTGAGAGAGAGATATCTGCGGAAGGTGTCAAAATAAATGGAAACCTGCACAACCGAATTACCGACGCCAACCGGAACATTCGTCGTAGAACCAATACCTTGCCAACGATTCGCCACTCAGGAGCTAGCTAAGCCACATGTCTGACCACCTACCCTCATAGTTACTAAATCGGCTCCTCGTTTGCACATCCAATCGCTGGGCTGTTTGAAGTGTGCGAAACATTAGACTATTGTTCCTGAGTCTTGGGAGAAGTTGGGTAATAACGATAATGGGTGATGATGCTGTGAACATGTTGAGATGATAGATCCAATCATATGGCGATGTTATGAATGCGGATCCCGCTCAGAAATCGGTGGTGATTGCACTGTTGACGATGTTTTAGTTCCAGGGACCCAGGTTGCCGGGCTTCAAATCACCGTTGGAGATGAAGTTGGTGGAGCATGACGGGGCTAGAGAAGGCAAACTGGATGATGCAAGCATATGCTCGATGAGTCATTTGTAGAGGAGCAAGGTTGATAAAACTGATAGATGGAGAGACAGGGTTGCACACGCCATATTCTTTTTGGCACATGTCAGGTCCACGATAACTTTGGGGTCGCTAGTAAAAAAAAAGTTTGAAAAATGCGTAGTGTGATGCCAACCTATAGTAGAGCCAGATGAAGGCCATTTGCTGAAGCAATTGACCCACTTACTTCCCATGCGAATGCTCCCGAAATCTCCCCACAGCGACCCTTCTTTGACACGGGGAGTGTAGAGAACGGTAGAGCGGGACGACGGTGAGTTTAGTTGATGCTGACAGTGTGGTGCTACCTTGAGTGGTGGTTGGCTAGCTTTGAATGGAACTTGATGCTGTTCCCTTACATGAACCAAAGTCAGACCGATAAATTTTTCCTGTGGTATATGGATTTCGACGGAGTAAACTAGATATAGGTAAAAATAACAGATCAAATAATTCCTAACCATCTTTCCACAAAAGCCGTGCCTTGTTCAGCCAGTATACAAAATGAAAGCGTTAGTTCATGAACGTACTAGATACAACAGTTTCCGTACACGAAACCTCTGCAAGGGTTCTAAACTCGGAGCCACATTGAGCGTCCTTAGCAATTGGCTTCGTCGTTGAACACCATGATTTAAAGGACTTCTTGCAGCTAATCTGGTAGTAAGTAACAGTCTTTCCGTAATATCCGTGTTAGGAGCAACAATTGCCGAAAGCTAAGAGCTCGTGGGTCAACCACGTAGAGTAAGTTCCTACCTACCATGGGACATTAACAGGGACAATTTGATCTTTGAGTCACCTTGCTAGAATAGGGAGGGGAGACAAAAGGATACAAATTAATGCTCTCAAGCAGGCTGAGCATAAGTCCGTCGTATGTATCAACGTGCAGTAGACGAAGAGCGCCTTGCTTATTGGAACCTGAGCAAGTGAAAACACGATTTCCACCACAGGTTCCGTCTAGAGAAACAGTAGCAATTACTGCAGCGGCCAAGAAGAAGAGAAGAGAAGAAGAAAGAAGGAGCAAGAACTCATTATGAATGAGTGAAGGACCTGAATAGGCGTTGAGAAAGGACGCAATGTTAAATTTATTACAGGAGTGCGAGTTGACAGCCAGTTTCGGATGAGAACAGATCTAGGAAGAACTGACGAGGAAGAGAGGTCTACATACAGAGACGAGAATGCCAGACAATATAATACCGATCATGTGGACCTAGTATTTATCTTGGTAGCAGGTAGCTTTTCGAAAGTCTTCATACTAGAGGCTCTTGTCTAATGTTTAGCAAAGGGTAAAACGCAAAAGAGGCTTCAGACCCAGGTATAATAGCGGCTAGCCATGCGGAATCCGTTTTTGTGAGGCTGGATCGAGATGCTAACCCACATTAAGATAGGAATATGCCCTAAGTGCATGCTGAATATGTCCCTACACCTTAGCAGCCTTCCGTATCTGTAGCATCGTGAAGCTGCTGATGGAAGAGTTGGTGTTGGTCTCAGAAAAATCATTGCTGTGTGAGAAATAGCTTGGGTCGGGGCAGCCTCAAGTATAGCTAGCAAGTCTCGGTCCTTTCCCAATCGGGCTGCGCGAATCTCTCTGGGCGCGAGCTCCAATCGAGTCGAGATCTCCAGCGCCTTTGACCAGAGCCCGACCCGTACTACAGCTGAAGATGGGGAGCGCCACGGCGGTTCAGATTCGAAAGGGGACGTTTTGTCGACTATGCCAAGCAAACGAGGCGGGTGCTCCGTGGACTAGAACATCGTAGTTTTGAGGACTAGACAGTAAAATATTTCGCCATTAGAGGAGAGTAGGTAGGCTATTAGATACTCATAAGAACCTCTCTACCATCTAGAACCTTTCTTACGTTAAGGATTAGGGAAGGGACAACGCTCGTCTTCTATACTGGTACTCCATACTCTTGATATAGACACTCTGCAACAACAGGCTGGGAGTCTGAGGATTATGAGATGAGGACATCTGGCGTGTTGACGTAGAATGTAACCGCTTAGAGGATCAGAAACCGTCAAGAGTTTGGAAGCACTACCTTTGTCCTACGTATTCTCTTTTGTTGGCTTTGTCATATTGACATCTTTTGTTACAAAACAAGGCGAGCATAGAGATCGAGTGAAAGGAGCGACTCTTTTGTTCGCGGCACATGCGCAGTCTGCAGCGTGTGGGAAGGCTAAGCTTGATTGATCCAACCCGGTTGCTGAATAAAGAGAAAGAAACAGGGTGAAACAATCAAGTTGGCCCAAAATCACTGGACACGTGCGGTGGTGAAAGTCTAGTGGTGAATTGCAGGGCCGCCTTTAACTCCGTGCCAAGCAATCGAGGGACCCCTGTCAGAGCAACCAAGCTGTGAACGAAAACAGACATTCCACTTCGCTGGCAGCCAAACACCATCACCACCGGGGGAGCTTTCACAACCATCACGCGCGCTCTATCGCGCCGCACCCCCCAACTCGCCCGCGGTCATGTTTTCACCTGAGGCAACCGTCCAGAGCGCACGCAGCTCCTTGCGCAACCCCCGTCGTCGCCAGCGCAAAGACTCGGACAGCGGCCGACAACAGCCTCACCGCAAACGTAGCAAGTTGTCCGACGACTCGTTCGCCTCGCCCATAGACGCGCACACCAATGGAAATGGTAGCGCGTTAATGAACGGTCACGCTAGCCACGGCGAAGTTGACGGCTCTCTCGTGCTTGTCGACATGCCTGTCCGCGACCGGAAACCGCCAACCAAGCGCGGGCTCAAGGATGATTCTTCTCTCTTGCTGGTGCGTTCGTTTCAACTCCATACTGGACGACTGGTCGCTAACAGTGATGCTTTTGGCAGGCCAAAAATGAGAACTACAGTGTCAAGAAGCTGCCTAGCTTTCCGTTACAGCTCTCCAATGGCTCTAGTACGTCACAACTGTCCCAGCATCCCTAACGCCTAGTGTAATTGTAGCTGACTATCCCAGTTCCCTTCCAAGCCTTTGCACTCCCTTCCGCTGGCTTTGCGCTCGCGTTGACGTCAACTCACGCACTTGCCTGGGATTACACGGCACCCAACGGTCCGACGAAAACCCTCACTCTTCCCCTGCCCTTCGGGTTGAAGCCTTCCGATCCTCTCCCTCTCGGCGCTATTGTGCGCAATGGCCCAACAAACGAGTTTGGGGTTCTTGCGCTTGCTCCTTCCAGTGGGAAGATTACATTCTGGGAAAATGTTGATAGCGCCGAGGCCCGCAGCCATTTTCCTCAACGCCACCAAGGCGTCGATGGTTCTGTGGGCAAGCTGTATTCGGGAGAGGTTATCACCGGGCTTGTGGATATCGAACATGCCGGCTACATTCTCATCTTTAGCAGCGGCAGGCTTGCACAATTAACCTTGCGGGACTCACAGGGTCGACCGAACATTACTGTGAATGTTCTTCATACTCCGTCAAGCTCAAGCGGAAGCTTCTTCAACTTCAAGGGCCTCCTCGGAGGCGCTATTCGAAAAGCTATCGCCTCAGTCAAAGCCCGCCCATCCCCGTCCAAAGGCCAAATGGAGGTCATTGCAGCAACGAAGAACGGCATGTTTCGTTTCTGGGACTTGAGCTGGACCGGGCAACAGGCATTCAAGAAGGAAATTGACGCATATGCCGAGATTCTTGCCGCGGTCCAACCCGGGACTGCACCGGACATGCGCGGACAACACGAAGCTCAAATTTTGGACTTCGCTATTCTGAATCCGCCGAAGGATCATGGAGTTGTTAGCTTATTGGTGCTTGTTGCACTATCTGGGCGCAACTCTTTGGATTATTCCCTCCTGGAAGTAGACCTGTCCGAGAGTACTGGCATGGTTACCAGGGCGATTCCCATCCGAGTCCTTCAAGAGACACAGCTTGCCAAGGAACCCACCGGGACGCTTCTACTTCCCCACCCTGGTCATACCGCGCTTGTACAGCTTCCTCACGCCATTGTTGTTGCTTCTGTTACGGAGCCAGAGGAGAGCCCTGATGCACAGCTTTTGTCGGACTCCGGGCGACCCTCGCTGCCCTTCCAAGACACCATCTATTTCCGCCAGGACCGCCATGCGTGCTTCTCTGGGCATGCACTTGAATGCAGTGTGAAGAAAGACAGACAGTCAAGCGTTCTGATATTCGTCCAGGGCTATGGCATTCTCCAAGTCAGCGCTCTACCACCAGCAACTAATGACGAGGATGTCAATAGGCGCAAAGTCACGGCTCGAAGCAAAATAGAACAGGCCACTTTCTTTAGCACCGTTCCTGATAACGTCATAGATTTCTCTATTAGGTCAAGGTACAATTTCGGACAGGAAGAGGTGGAAAAGGCTGCTGAGGAAATTAGTACCGGAATTCTGATGTCATCATTCGAATACCTTGAGAAGTCAACTGTCTCCATGGATGAGCAAATGACTAAACGGAGCGACTACCTTCGAAACCTTATTACACACCTTCGATCGGACTACCCTCCGGTGTCCTTCAAGATAACCTGGCATTTGTTGTGGAATGCGGAGCGGCTTGCGGCAGCTCACCAGCTGTGGAGAACGTACGAGGCAAGACTTCGGGATCAAGAGAAGAATCCAGATGCCTACCCAGAGAAACCACTTATGCCCGACCTTGTGAGGAACTTACACGAGCGTTACAAGACCAAAATTCGACCGGAACTAGACGAGGCGGATCCAGTACGGCAGTTCTTCTTAAAGGATATCCATAATCTCGAAATCATTCTTCCATGGGCATGGCAGACATTGCGCATGTTCTACCTTGATGGATCCAAAGAACGCCCGGCACTCATGCAGAGGCTTAGCGAAGCAGACGATGTCATACTCACTGCGTTGGAAACAGCATTTAAATTTCGAGAAGAAAACATTGAGCTCTACGGCCTAGAACCCGACTCGCTCGTAGATGGCATCCTCAAACCTGGCAAAGGCTACGACCTCCTACCACAGTTTTGGACCTCAACTCACAACCTTGTGAATTCCACTCGTAGTCTCGTCGATGTTGGACGCGGTGTTGCGCTTGAAAGTTTCGAGAATGGCACCCGAGAAGACCAAGCCATGAAGATTGCCAAGGATAACCCTCGGATGGTCAGGCTTGGTTTTCAGATCCACATTGAACGCTTCCAATGGCTTTCGGAACAAAGCGATGAGAGAAAGAGGGATACCGGCAGGAAGGTGAAGGAAGAGTATGACGCAAATATTCGCCCGGTGCACATATATGGTCTCTTGGAGATTGGTTTGGTTACCGAAGGCATGAACCTGGCCGAAAACTATCGCGACATGCCCACCCTTGCCCGCCTGATATGGGATGAACAGAAGTTTTTGTTAGAGCACAAAGCAACTACTACAAGCAAGATGGAGGAAGCAGAATGCCAGGTCAAGCTTAACCGGATCCGGGATCGAATTCTCCGGTATTTCGATGCATATGGCGATGAGTGGGCAGACGCATTCTATTCGAGGTATATTGCGGAGCACAGGTCTGCACGACTTTTCATGAAAGAGTGCCTCAACCAGCCTGCCCTCACGAAGTTTTTGCGGGCAGAACCGTCTCGGTCCAAGCTTACCTGGATCAATGATGTACTCGGTGAGAAAGACTACAAGGGCGCCGGCGCCGCCCTGTTCAGAGTTGGAAAGAAACAAGAATCGAACGTCTGGTGCAAAAAGGTTGAGCTATCGATGTCCAAGTTAGCCTACCTGGCTCAACAGCAAGAGACGCCAGCCTCTGAATCGCCACATCCGGAGGTGAGCCCGAGAGAGGACCTAACTGAAGAGCAAGACGAAGATCTGATAACCGTGGACCCGACAAAACTAATGATTGTGAGGGCGGACGAGCAATTGGAATACATGAAAATTCAGGACAGTGTGTACGAACGGTTGAATCCGATCATTTCGGGAGCTTTAGACGACGATTCCGCACTACAGTTGCTTATGGACGAATTTGCGCAGGGCCGACTCACAGAGAGGCCCGCTCACCAACAGCTTCTTCGACAGGGCTTTGAAAATCTGATCAACAACCGGGTGATGGAGCCTGCGCTGCTAGTTGATGTCTTGACACTGATGACATACGATGAGACGGTCGAGGCCACGAGTGTCGTACAGTCGAACGAGTTCGCCTTCGCGTTAAAAGCTCTCGCACTCTCCTGGAACAACATGGACAAGACAACTCGCGAGAGCACGCTGAGGATTATCTGGAAGCGGATCTACATTAAGGACGACTGGGCGCAGATCAACAATTCTAAGGACATGTCGGACGATCAATTGCAACACTTTCTCGCTCATACTACTGCTGGATGGACCTGCAAACAGCTCCTAAAGCTAGTCGGTAAGTTCACTTGAATCTCTTTGAGCGGAGATGACTCTAACGAGGTTTGCAGAAGCCAGCCCAATGTTCAGAGTCGTATGGCCCACATCGGTCGGCGGGGCCCTCGGCGCGGGTTGCACCAATGGGGAGTTGTGTATCAGGTTCGGATCTGAGGATCTCCGCAACCCAATCATCAACGACAATCTAGCGGACGACGAGATCTTGCAAGCCAACATAGAGAAGGACCGGTTGGACGAATGGTTCGAGGCGACAGTAGAGGCTGCGAAAGAAATTTTAGAAGCAGAAAAGCAGGAGACGGCTGTCATGGAGAGCGAAGAGGATGATTCGAGCGTTGAGGCAGAGGAGCTAGACCCGGAGTCTCTAGTTGCAGAGATGTCTGCATCGGAAGCATTCGAGGGTGACGACGAACGGAGCGTGGACCAAGATGTGGAGATGGAGGAGGAGTAAAAAAGAAGTAAAAAAGAAAGATGGGAAGGCCACTGAGATGGACAGGTTGGTTTATGGGAATTTGATAGGGTGGTCTGCATCGGACAAGCATCAGGCATGGCGTTATCCAAAACACAAGCATCAAGTGTGTCGTCTCCCTATGGTTCCTTTTGTTTATTGCGAGCAAGGATTTAGGGCCTGCTCATGGCGCCCGCTTGTGGGCGGCCAGATCTAGTGTACATGTGTAACAATAGCTCAGGTGGCAGTGAATGGCATTGGGAGTTGGTGCGGAGATCAGGACGGCCGATGATTCGTTATTTGGGCAAAGCTTGACTCTCGACGAGCCGGGGGAAGTGGCTGAAGCGCGTTGCCTGTCTGGACTCTGAGCCACGACAAAGCCGTTTATTACCCGAGCATGAATTTCAGAAGGCATGGTACTAAGCTCCGCGAGGACTTGCAATCAGAGCGAGCGAGCGGTTCGCCAAGAGCAGAGCAAGAAGCCGCACTGTCGCACCAGCGAGGGCGAGCAGTCCAGGATCGAATGCGCCTTGGGACGAAAGCGCGATGCTACGTGACGCTGCTGCGACTGTGGATCACGTGGGAGTTGTTTCATTCCTTGGGGGGGAGAGAGACAGGACATGCAGCCGTGAATTGTTGGACGTCGTATTCGACGATTATTAGACGAGGCTCGGAGATGGGCTGGACTGCCATGCAGCGTGCTCTTTAATAAGACGGCCGGGGGGCATTGACATGGCACCTGTCGCTGTCGCTGTTTTTGCGTCTGTGCCCGTGCCCGTGGCTTGGCGTACACCCAGCCGCCATCGCCCCTTCCCAAAAGCGTTCAACCGCCCCAAGAGCAGCCATCCCCAACCGACCTCCATCTACTCTCTTCCCACCTCCATCGCCATCATTTTTCTCCCACGCCAGATCTACACTGCAATTCTTCCTCCGCCGTCCTCAACTGCGCTGCTCGCACGCCTGCGGACGCACCCGCCGCCCTGCATAGCCCCTGACGCGCCTGCGGAGACGGCTGCGGCCTTCTCCTCCTCGCTCCTCTCCGTGCACCTGCTATCGCCCTGCTGCACCAACACTCGCATACACTCGCCATGGCTACAGGCACGACGTCGTCAAACGTCGTAGGCGTCCACTATCGCGTCGGAAAGAAGATTGGCGAGGGCTCCTTTGGTGTCATCTTCGAGGGCACCAATCTGTTGAACCAGCAGCAGGTCGCCATCAAGTTCGAGCCCCGGAAGAGCGACGCTCCGCAATTGCGCGATGAGTACCGCACCTACAAGATACTGGTTGGCTGCCGTGAGTTCGCTTCTCTTTCTTTCCTATGCGGCCTCCGTGGTGTCCCCCTTGGCCATGACCAGCGACGACGAGGGCTCCACACGGTGAAGTCCAGATGGCACAGGCAGACCAAGGACGAGACTGAGGCAGAGCGGGACCGTCATGGCATGGCATTACCCCCTCTTGCCCTGTACTCCATTATTTCGTCCATTGGCCCTTGCCTGTCTGTCCATTTGGGTCTTTCGTGAAGGCCATGTCCCCACGTTATCTCATTCAGCCACGTCCTCTCCAGCTATTCATTCATCCAACCGCACTTTGACTGACTTTGTTACAGCTGGCATCCCCAATGTCTACTACTTTGGCCAGGAAGGCCTGCACAACATCTTGGTTATTGATCTACTCGGACCTAGTCTGGAAGACCTGTTCGACCACTGTAACCGAAAGTTCTCCATCAAGACAGTGGTAATGGTCGCAAAGCAGATGGTAAGTACAGCCACACCTAGTGCAGCAGCCAATAATTAACGCACCCACAGCTTTCACGAGTGCAAACAATCCACGAAAAGAACCTGATCTACCGAGATATCAAGCCAGATAACTTCCTTATCGGCCGGCCTGGCTCCAAGTCGGCTAATGTCATCCATGTTGTTGACTTTGGCATGGCAAAGCAGTATCGTGATCCAAAGACCAAGCAGCACATCCCATACAGGGAACGCAAGTCGCTTTCGGGCACAGCACGATATATGAGTATTAATACACATCTTGGACGGGAGCAGTCACGGCGAGACGACCTGGAAGCCCTGGGCCACGTCTTCATGTACTTCCTGCGAGGCGGCCTTCCCTGGCAGGGACTGAAGGCTGCTACCAACAAGCAGAAGTATGAGAAGATTGGAGAGAAGAAGCAAACCACCGCTATCAAGGATCTGTGTGACAATTTCCCTGGTGCGTATCTCATTGTTGCCCGTGAGAGACCTGTACTAATATAACACAGAGGAATTTAACAAGTACCTCAGCTACGTCCGAAACCTCGGCTTTGAGGACACCCCAGACTATGATTACCTCCGTGAACTCTTCACCCAGGCTCTCAAGAGCACTGGCGAAGTTGAGGATGGCGAGTATGACTGGATGAAGCTGAACAACGGAAAGGGTTGGGAGGCCATGAAAGCGCACCCTTCGGCTGCCCACCTCCACCACGCCAATATCAACCAAAACTCTTCAACAGCCGTCAATCTCCATGGCCAGCAGATAAGGCAACATAAAACCCAACTCCCAATCGACCCAAGACGGCTCGACGCAGAACTACCGCCAACGAAGCCAGGAGCGACCCGGGGCATGCCTGGAAGAAGCCCAGGGGGCATGAATCAAGCAAAGTACCATCCAGACGCAGTCAAGAGGAAGAGCATGGGGGAGCTAGCACCTCCAGAGGGATCTACTCAAGCACAATTCCAACACAGCCAGCAGAACCTAAACTCACTACGAGCAACACCGGCTCAGACAAATGCGGTGCAACCGCGGAGGTCGGAGCCTGAGAAACCGGGTTTTGTAAAGAAACTCATGAACATCTTGTGTTGTGGTGGCGGTAATGCCTAATGCAGTTCTTGCACCCCTCTGGGCGTCGGTGCAGCGCGTCTTCCCTTTCATGTTGTTCTCTTTCTCTCTGCATCCAGGTGTTCCTGAGCGAAGCCCGTATTTCATAGCCTCGGACAAATGTTTCTCCCTGTATAGGTAGTTTGTAATGATCAATAGACGGGATTAAAAATCTGTGTTTTTTTCCTAGTCTTGTCTTTCCCTTTCTTTTGAGGATGTCAGTAATTCATGAGAATGAGCTACCTTTTTCTCACTTCTCTTTCCTGTCGATTGGGATGCCTTCGTTCTATCCGCTTTTGCGATCAGCTCCGGAGTCGGTCCTTTCTGTCCAGTCCTGTCCTATCCTGAAATTAAATCGAGTAAGAGCGCACACTACACTACACACATGAAATATTGGAAGCATTTGGGAGTCTGGGATCGGTTGGACACTTCTTACATGTCTCTCTCTTTTATTCTTTTTCTCAACAGCACTCTTACTCTTACTCTCTTTGTCAAAGAGCTCTGGGCTTTGTTTTGGGGGAGGAATGATCCACTCGGCTTTGGCTGTGGTGTTGGAATCTTTGGATCTCTTTTGTTGATGCTTCGAGTTTTTAAGTAGACTTTAGGGGTGGTTGGTGATAGAGAATGGATGAGTAAAAGTATTCATATTGATTTGTGAGTGTTGTGTGTGGTGGTGATTGTGATTGTGATTGTGAGAGAGTTAGTTGTACGTTGATTGATTGATTCCTTCACACGTCTCTGGGGGTGATGGATGAATTGGTAGATAGGCAGATGGACAGAAGGCACTGTTATTGTTGAAGGGATGGATATCTGGAAATGGATGAAAACGCCGACGCTATGCAAAACAGAATACAGTTCCTAACCCTCCTCAACCCTATATCCACATCCATCCCACTAAATTCCATAGCATCGCTTGCCTGGCGTAGCCAAGTTATCTTCCTCACTTTCTCGCTCTCTTCGAACTCTTATTACTGGTCTGACTGAACACGCTCGCACTTCTCTTATGTCCCTGAGATATGACTCTTGTGCTCATGGCTTCGCTTGTATGTCGTGCCGACTGCGACGGAGCTTGAGAATCGATGTCGATGTCCTCACCCTCTGCATCCTCATCCTCCTCGCCTTCCGCATCGACATCGTCGTCATCAGCATCCGCATCCACGTCACCATCCTCGTCGGCGTCAGCTTCAGCTTCAGCGTCTTCATCCCGCTCCTGTGAATCTTGGATTTCACGATGGTTGGTGGTTGAAGTAGCAGGCGTCCCACCCCTACCATCACCTGTATTCGCGTCTCCATTTTCTCCATTATGTCCTGCATGACCATGAGCCTCGTTCGCTCTGCGCTCTTTCATAGCTTCCAGAATTCGACATTCGCCCTCTTCTTTCTCACGCACTTTGCGGACATCAAGAAGCTTCCCGACTTTACTAACCAAGGCCTCAAACACCTCACCCAAGCGACTTGTCGGAATAGGAATGATATCCGGAATCCCCAACTGCGCCAACGCAGTACCAATTTTCTGCGTCTGGACATTCGACTTGGCCTGTCGCATCTTAAGCAACTTATCCGCGCCAAACGTAACGCCCGACGTCAATCGGTCATGCGTGGACACATTAAATCTATACTCAGCCTGGGGACTCAACTGACGGATCGGCGTCGGCGGCGGTTGCTGCGCTAAGCTCTGTCTCCGATTCGCAGCGGCATTCATCTGTGCATGCTGCGCCGCCGTCGGTGTACCTATAATATCCGCACCCGATAAGCTAAGTCTTCCAGGACCACCAGCAGTACCAGATGCGCGTTTCTTACTCCTATCTTGCTGAAACAGCTGCTGAAACAGCTGCGCTAGCGCGGCTGAGGACTGGAATGATGCGAGCCCGGCCGCGATCTGTTGGTTGGGTATCGGGGCCTCGAGACGTGATCGCAGTTCTTCGCGCTCGGCGTCGAGCCGGTTGGCGGCCATGTTTATCCGTTGGAGTTCAGCGAGTAGGAATTCTTCTTCTTTGACTTCGTCCATGGACCGGTTCATGAGGGCCGCAGCGAGCGTTTTGCGGTTGCGTTCGAGGAGTGGGTCGAACTTTGTTAGGATCTCGTAGCGTGCGTATTGCGAAGCGTCCATCTGCACCTCTGGAATCCGGAGTTTCATGAGTTTGGCGGATATGTCGTAGAAGCGCGCTTTGAGATCTTCGACGGAGCGGGTTCGGGATGGGGCGAAGGGGAGGGTTGCGAGGGCTTGGTTTGGGTCACCGTGGAGCGCGTCTCGGGAGAAGGGTTCGAGTTTCGTAGAGGGGTTGTAGTCGTAGCGGTCCCAGATCACGGCCCAGCGGTAGTAATGTTCTTTCACCATGTCGAGGAGATAGTCGGTCTCCTCTCTACTCCAGTCGTCGCTGCGCAGATGAACGTCGTACTCTTCGTCTGTGAAAACGGGGATATCGATTCCAACGTTGAACTTGGCGAAGTCGTAGTTTGTCTCTAAGGGCGGTTCAGCAGCCTCTACATCCTCCATTGCCGTGTCTTCGCCGTTTGTGAGACCTGATTGAGTAGCCGTGGGTTTGCGCCGCCAGTGCTTGAGCACAAGACCATCATTGCGGGCTTGGTTCATGAAGGGCTGCTGTATCCTATTCACAGTATCATGAGCTTACTACACAAGGCCCGGAAGATACCATACTATATACCATTTCTTAGCGGGCCCAGTACTCTGTCTCTTCGCCCTATACGTCTTTTTCTCTTCGTAAACCGCAACCGGAGGAGGCCGTTCACCATACAGAGCGACGACTTCTCGAGCAACGCCCTCTAATCAGAACACATGCGTCAGCTATATCCATTATCTCACTCTCACTCTCCTTCCGCAGCGACGTACGTATTTTCCTCACAGCAGCTGCAGGTTTCGGTCGCTTCTGAACCGCCATTTTCTGACCATCGCCAGCGGCAGGCAGTCCGAGCATGTCGCGCACATCCCGTCCGGACGCCATCGCGACGGTATTTTGGCTCGAATGGGTAAAAGGAGATGGCGAGGATCGGTCGTGGTGGATGGAATTGCGGGGATGGTGCGTTTGTTGGATGTTTCGCGATGGCGATGGAATTTCGGCGGCATGCTTGCGGACCTCCGCGTGTCACGTGCAGCACCCCCTTCCTTACCAGATGAAAGTAGAGCTATCCTACAAATCCACTAGGAGAGGGAGGGTTTTTCCTAAGAAATTATTAGTCTTATCCAAATCTGGTTTGGTCATGTCTGTCGTATGCGCTAAAATGAATGCTCAGAAGATGCTTTCACTGTGGAGAAATACTTGATATATGTGCTAATTCCTTCAAAATCAATGTAAAGGTGACCAGACCATCACAAACTCTCTCTGACTCGCTCTAGAAACTGTATTATTCACAAGGGCATATGCAAAACCCTTCCAGAGTTGCATCAAATACCCATTATTTATTCTGTCTACAGGAAAGATTCAGTCCCTCTCGCTCTATCCCTCCCCTCAAATCGTTCCCACCCATGACGGTCTTCAAACTCCCCCACATCTTCTTTGCCTTTCCATTTCCTTCCACTTGGACACTGACCGGCCCTCTCCCCTTTCCTTCAACTATCCGCAATCGGTCTGGGCTCCCTTTAATCCTCATCGTCGAGCACACAAAGCGACGTTCGCTCCCTGTTCTTGAGTTCTCTGCTCCAGGAGTCTCCTCTCCTCTTCCCAAGCTTCCACCTATTAAGCTTAATCCCAGCCCAATCTCATCCGGAAGACTGGACGTAGGATTAGTGTGTCTCATGGCAGTGCTCCTTCGTGACTTTCGCGATGCAACACAGTTGAGTTGGGTTTAATCAGTGGGTAGGCGAGGTGCTACTTCCATTCGATGTACGTACACTAATAGAGCTTGATTGCAGTTCTTCTATCGTCGGATCTTCATGCAGTGCATAATTGACAAAATTTCCAGACTTGTTGCGGAGGAGAAGAGAAGCTGCGGCACCTTCTATGGAAGACTCTTGTTAATGCTAGCATCTTTTGGTTTCTATTTGGGGTTTGCTTGGATCGGTAAGAGAAAGTGGCAAGTTTAACGTGTCGAGGTAGAGGTATGCAGAAGATTGCATGCGAGATTAGTATCCCCCATGCTGGTTAGTGGTAGATTAGCGGGATTGCGAGCGGAAATGGCGAGATCGGTGGGACTGCCGACGAGATCAAAGCCGGGATTGAGAGTGTTATTGTGTTCTTCATCGAGCGGTGGTGCAAGACTCGAAACGCGAATGGTGAGTTGAACGAAACTTTTGTTGAACTACTGCATTTTTGGGATGCTTAGGTGGCCGAGAGGGGTTGACAGCTTTAGCTTTGCCTTTGATAATAAGAGTATATCTTGGCCCGCCTTCCCTGATAGGGAGCATTATGGAGGACTATTTTGTTTCGAAGGTCGGAAATGTTCCATAGTCGCCTTTATCCAAGGGTACTGACTGTTCTAGGGGTTCCATCAGGTACGAGCAGTTACTGACTACAAGATTAAAGGATTTCGTGGTTACCGCATAGTCTAGAGTATCCTATGAAAAAAGGGGGTCTTATAGGACTGCGTTGAGGAAATCAGAGGGGGGCAGTCTCTGCAAAAGTGTAATGACGACGTATCGAGGCTAAACCAAGTAGGGAATGGCATGTTGATCAGATAAAGTTGCGTGGTAAGAAAGGTATCCGGGGCGGATTTGACATCGAAAGGATTTTACATGCAGAACGATTATCGTTTTCGGTTCCGACAATTGACCCACACTCGAAAGCTGCTGGACAGATTTCCATTCGATGTCGGAGCAAGAGTGTCAGCGACCACCAGTTTTGATTCCATATTTTCCACCGCTTCGCTAGGCACTTAATTGTAAAGTAATTGCCCTATCATCGCCAGCACCGGGTGTCCTTAAAGCGTCCTGTTCTGCTATAGACAGACAGGCATGGCAGATTTCGAGCGATTAAATATTGTAGCTGGTTCGAATCGGGCTCGGAAGTTGTTGGAGTGATGTCAAAAGTGAATTGTTCTCAAACTCGCGCAACTAGTGGGAATTGAGAGTGCAGAGGAAGCTCACTTGAGGCAGCAGCGACATCATAGAACGACATCACAGAAGATAAAATCCGCGGGCCACTCTACACTTCCCTTACAAATCAAAGTCAGTAACTTCGCCAACAATAGATAGTTGAGTCTGGAAATTGTCTAACCTATCGTGCCGCCATTATAGCCGTTAGAGAGGGTCGGATGCCGCTTTAATGGAGATGACTGAAGACTTTCCTTCGCATAATAATGCCATCCTTTTGACCGGAATATTGGAATTTGCGATCACGCCCCTAACCCGTCGCTTCGAAGTTCTCAGCCTTATATTTCTATTAAAGAGGGTATGGAATGGGAACGTATGTGGACAAGGAAAGGGTACTCCAGCAAGGGATGATGGAAATCAGCCACCTTCTAACCTAGGAAACATTACACTCAATTTTCGATTATTAGCTGCATCCTCAAACCAGTCCGCCCAGGCCCATAATAGTCGGCACATCGGTCCATCTGTTGGAATTCGAAAGACTTGTACAAGGCGCGGGCTTGGTCGCGGCCTTCATCAACCCATAAATGAATACTTCGACAGCCCCCTTTCTTAAGGCGGAGTACTAGGGAATGTATAAGACTTTTGCCGATGCCTTTCCTCCTCTCGTGCTCGACGACGCAAATTTTGTGGAGCAGAGCCAACCTCTTCATGCGAATATAAACCAGATACCCAACCAATTGCAGATCATCATTTCCATTGAGTTCTTTCAGGGCCAGAATCAGGTTAATGTTCTTTTTTTTAAGCTCGGTGTCAAAGTCGAAAGCTTCGCTGGAGGGAAAACTCTTGCGTTCAATTTTTGACACCCTTTGAACGAGGGCTTGTCGTTCTTTGGGAGGAATAGATGTTAAGTCCTGCAGGCGAAAACCTCTCGATTCCAACGGTAGCTCTGGGGAACTCTGAGACATGATACTGGAGATAGGATTGAGGAAGAGAATGCGGTGGGCAAACCGAGCATGTTAGCGTCCTCTGAAGCGCTTATCGATACCTTGGTATGGCTGAGCTGATTGGCTCGTTCCTATCACGTGAGAGCGCATACCGTACCTCCGTGCTTCCTGTGCGACAACACCGCGTCAACGCCCTGTTCTACTGCGAAATATGCCGCTTTCATTACAGTACCAACCTTCTCTTCTGCTTCATCTGAACTCATGATGAATGCCCTTTCGCATACTGAAACTTCCTTCCGCGATCTTAACTAACACTGATATCGCACGCTCAGAGGCTGACCATCTGAGCACCTTCAACCCCTGTCTCCCATCATAATGCCGAGCAAGAGAAAGCACCACTATGACATTGACTTCACTCTCCGCCGAGTCTTTGGGAAATGTGCATTCAGGTCAGTTATCTACAATTATATTAGCTCAGAACTTTCCTCACACATATCCTTAGACCTCTTCAGCGCGAAGTCATCTCGGCTACCCTAGAAGGAGAGGATGTATTTCTCCAGGCTGCAACATCATTCGGGAAGAGTCTATGCTATCAACTGCCTGCTATTGTGGATTTTGGCAGTACGTACCCTCCTTTATGTGTAATCAAGTACAGCTGATTTTGAAAGTCACGATTGTCATCTCTCCACTACTAGCTTTGATGGTTCGTCTTCTTCGCACACGAGTGATCATTCTAATTTACGGCGGGTAGAATAATCAGGTGGCTTCCATGCGCAAAGCAAATGTCCGTGTTGAAACTATTAACAGCACAACGACACCATCTGCGAGAGCTAAGATCATAGAAGACCTTCGATGTGGTCATCCTCTGACCAGACTTCTCTATGTCACCCCGGAATACTGCCAGCTTGATTCCTTCCGGAAAATACTCCGGATCATCCACTCGCAACGGGAGCTGGCACGCATCGCTATTGATGAAGCTCATTGTATCTCCGAATGGGGTCACGACTTCCGACCTTCCTTTCAATCGCTTTCGTTCTTCAAGACCGAGTTCCCAAAAGTGCCTGTTATATGCCTCACGGCTACGGCTACTGCCCGTGTTCGGGACGACATTATCAGCACACTAGGTCTGGATTCGTCGAAGCTGAAACTATTTAGAATGACGACCAGCCGGCCAAACCTTCACTACGAGATCCGCTTCAAGTCTGACGAAGAAGATCATTATCTAGACTTCCTTTCCTGGATCAAAGCAGCACATTCCCGCCGTGTTGCGAACCCAGAACGAGCGAGTCAACTTGCGAGTCAAAACCAAAGGACAGATAACGTCCCGGGCATCATTTACACCCTCTACCGAAAGGATTGCGAATCTCTGGCTGCGCGCCTTCGCGCTGATGGAATTGGAGCCAGGCCTTATCATGCCGGCCTTCCCCACCAAGATCGAGCAGATGCGCTTTCGGGGTGGGTGGCGAACAAGGAAGGCTACGACATCATTGTTGCCACAACTGCCTTTGGCATGGGTATCGACAAAGAGAATGTACGGTTCGTTATTCACTGGCAGATCCCAAAGTCGTTTGAGGGCTTCTACCAGGAGGCAGGCCGGGCAGGTCGAGATGGCAAAGCAAGTGTCTGCATGCTTTACTATGGTCGCGAAGATCGAGATCGTGCTGCTAGCTTGATGGCGCGAGATCATGCACGGCAGCCGACCAAGGGGGCAAGCGTTGCTGGCCAACAAGCGCAAATGATGGGTCGGGCAAAGAGTCTCCAGGCACTAGTCAACTACTGCGAAGCCACTGATAAGTGCAGGCACAAGCTGATTGCCAGATACTTTGGCGATGAAGAGGACCCCCCTTGTGATTATGCTTGCGATTGGTGCAAGGACCCCGTGGCTTTGGTTAGAAAGAAAGAGAAGGGACTCGCAAGTGAAGAGTGGTGCTCTACCCAGAGAGAGATGGGGCGATACGAAATTGACGAGTACGAGTAGAATTACGATAGCGATTGCATAGGAGGAATTTGGGGGAGGATCGTCTTAGGCTCGAGTTCTATGGTATAGCATGCAATACCAGCTGCCATCACTGTCATGATTATCTAATTTCATAACATGGAGCACCTACGGCTCGTCGTAGGACTATGATAAAAGATCCACCTTTCACTCATGCCATGCATATGTTCCTTAATGATTAACTGCTGGGGGTAATTCCACAGCGCCTGACGTCCCACTTCACTCTCTACTTCACAACCAACGCAGCGCTGGGGACCATTCCGGCTTCCTTGAGCGTCATACCAAAATCCGTATTGTCAAAGACTTTCTTGGGAAAATTCTGCGTGAAGGAGGTGACTTGAATGCCGTCTTGTGATAGAGCGTGGGCGACTTCGAACAGGGTTGTCTCTACTGGGAATGTCTTCATGACACGACCTGTGGGTGTCTGCAGAGCCAGCCTCGTCTCAGTGTACGCAGATGCTGGCTTTGATGTGGTAGGCCCTGAAGAGGTTGCACCAGAGGACTCAGCAACAAGAGGAGGCGGCGCCTGTCCAGCTCTTGCCGCCTTCTCCAGGTCTGCCTTCCGCTTTCGCTCCGCCTTGTCCGCTTCGAGCTTCGCCAGAACGCGCTTTCGAGCCTCGATCTCGTCCTGTTTCTCCTTCTTTTTCGCCTGTGCTTCCTTTAACCGCTCCTTCTTCTGCAGTTCCTCCTTGATGTCTTGTGACTCCTTGGTGGCCTTCATGCGGATCTGCTCGTTCTTCTTGCGGTCGATCCTATCTTGCTCTGCCTGCATAGCGCGCTTCTCGGCCAACCGAGCCTTCATCTCCTCGAGCTTAGCCGCCTTTTCCTCCTCGGTGAGGGGCTTGATCTCCTCGGTGGACTCTGAGAAGTTCTCATGGCCACTGTAACGAGTAAGCTGGCTTTCTCAAGTTTTTCATTTTGCACCCGTTGTACATACGATTTGCTCGCGTGGAACTCGGCCTGGTTCACGGACCGGAACCGCTTCCCGCAGTCATCACATACCAGGCTCTTTGCTTCCTCGCCGGGCTTCAGCGCCGGGGGTTCCTCGGACGCCTGGGCTTGCGCCTCTTTGATCTGTTTAATGGACTTCTCCTGGTTCTTATCTAGCCAGTCGATCGCATCTTGAACTATGCTGAGGTTAGAAAGCTTAGATAGGATATCAGAGCGACATAATACCCACGACTACTGGTCTGTTGCACTGCAAACTCGGCGCGCTCGCGCTCGAAGCCCATGTCGATGAGCTGTTCTAGATCGGAAGGCATTTTGGCGTGGGTTGGTTGGAAGTTGTCGGCGGGGAAAGGCGCAGTTTATGACGAGGCTGGTGCCTATAAGTTGGTAGGCTGTAGTGGGGTTCTTAGGTGTTGAGAAAGTCGGAGAATCGAGGGGAATAGCTCATGCCCGTGCGCGATGACGGTGTGTTCGTGTGAAGAGGTTAAAGTTGTCCACGTTGCAGCAATAATTTTGAATCGTAAATTTCGAAAAGCTCAACGCAGTCGTGCTGCGCGCGCACTAGAGTAACAGGTGCAGTGAACGGCCGGTGTTTCCAAGCTCCCACTGGCTACTGGGGTGGTGCAGAGGCCGGTTCCTCTCCAACAACACCTGTGACGTCCGCAGCCACAACCCCAGTCGTCCTACTAAACAAGCGAGAGATCTTGCCTGGGCCTCATCCTCAAGACACCGCAGTCCTACTACTCACTACACCACGCTCGCACCTAAGAATCCATCGCTGCCCTCGGTCCCTTCGATATAGACGAGACTGCTTCCGCTCCCACCGCCCCTCGCCCCTCGCCGCCCACCGCGCTGTTGTCTACGCCGCACACAGCTCACAGCGTCTGATTACCAACTGCCACAACCTTTCTCCACGCCCTCGAACCTACGCCATGTCTGTCGAGCTCGACCCCCCGGAGCTTGGATTCAAGCGTGAGTGCCCGCATGCAGCTCCGGGAGCAATAGAAATATACTGAGTTGCGGCAGGACCCTTCCAACAGGAGGTATCGCAGACGCTGCGACTCAAGAACCCACACTCTGACCCCGTGGCATTCAAGGTGAGCGATATTCTCCTGGAAATGCGCTCGAAGCGCTCCACGAAACTGCTTCTCCCTCTCAGAGCGGGTCAACTGACGCACAACAGGTCAAAACCACTGCCCCCAAGCAGTACGAGCCCCATTTCCATGCGAAATCCCACTCTTGGCTGATGTGTTGTGATGCAGATACTGCGTGAGACCAAATTCTGGCCGCATCGAACCTGGCAAAGATGTCGAGGTGCAAAGTATGGAATTGCCTCAATACGCGCTGTCCGTGGGGTTGCTGCAGCTAGCTGACGTGTGAGGCTAGTTCTCCTCCAAGCAATGAAAGAGGATCCACCTCTAGAAGCGAAGTGCCGCGACAAGTTCCTCGTGCAGTCCGTTGCCGTCACCGCTGATAAGGAATTCACCAACGTTGCATCCATTGTATGGCTCCCTTCACCGCAATTGTGGGACGAGACTGATGTCTGCACACAGTGGTCACACATTGAACAAACAGCCAAATCATCAATCCAGGAGAAGAAAATCAGAGTCACGTTTCTACCCGCTGACGATGTCACCGTCACACCGCCGAAGACGAATGGTGTGAGCCACGCTAACGACCGTTCTTCGATGCTTCCATCCCCATCCCCAGAAGCCGTTACTCCACAACGCACGTCTTCCGAGGTTCCCGTCGGATCGGTCTCACGTCCCGAATCTCGTCCTGCTGAGAGCAAGAGCCTGGGGGAAGCCAAAGGATCCGCGCATAACCCAGCCGCTTCAGGTGTGAAATCAACCGTTGCTGCAGCTGCCGCAGGGGTAACCAACGCTCTCCCCACGTCGTCCACCGATCTCAATGCTCAACTCGCAGAAGCGAAGGCCACAATCGCAAAACTCCGCCAGCAACTGTCGGAGCAGTCAGGCACGGGATTACGCCAACGGAAGACGGGAGGAGGGCAGGAGCCCACAGGGAAGCTGACGACTGGCATGGGGGTCCAGCAGGCGCCTGCAGGTGGCGTGCCAGTCCAGATCGTGGCTGCCCTCTGCTTGCTCAGCTTCCTTATTGCCTACTTTTTGTTTTGATCGACTCCCCCGCATTCGAATCCCATGCTGCGCCCGCCAAGCCGTATGCCGTGCGCCAGATGCGGCCCCGGATTTTGGAGAGAGTGTGGGGTGTCAGATGATATCGCCCAGTTCCCAGTCATTCGAGCAGGAAAGGATGAGAATCGGAGGGGTTTGGGCGAGGCTTTAATTCCTTTTGTGTGTGTATGTGTGTGTTTGTGCGTGATTATTCTCCTGGAGCTGGGCTGGCTGTTTCCCATTGGGCTATGACCGTCTCGAATTGGTAAGAAGCATTTGGAGAAGGTGACGAGAGCCTGAGGCGTTAGCATGTTCACAGCAAAGGCGCAACCCTGTATCAACAGTTCACTTAATATGATTTGTTCAATTCAAGACGCGGTTGGCGCTGCAGTGCATGCGGCCGTGGTCACGGGGGACGGGCCAAATAGCGGAGTTGGTTTGTTAAGGTGTGGGGGAGCTCAGCGGTGGAAGGTAATTGGAAGACGCACATAGCCCTACGCCCCCCTCTCAAGCAGTTGTTCACTTCTCATCCCACTGTGTCGGCCGCATTAATGTTCCTATTGCGCAGCAGAGACGAAATATTGTGACGATCACAAGGGGCTGGCTAACGCCGGCCTTTGAGCACGCACCCTGACGTGGGGCAACATGGGCTGGCCGAGCGCGGTTGACTCAAGCGGCGCGCAACGAACAATTTCTGAGCCAAAATAAAGGCTGGCCAGGACCTCTACTTAAGCCCCCGACCATCCTGCCGCTGAGCTCCTCACTCCATTATCCCATTCCCTCCCTCAACGGTCAAGATGTGCGGTATCTTCGCCTGTCACTGGTATGCGCCTACCATTTTTCTACCCCTCAATCACTCCTCAATCACCCCTCGCTGTCAAGTTAACCAGTGACTAATGCTCCCAAAGCCACCCCGATGTGCGCAAGTTCAAGCCCACGGCTCTGAAGATGGGCAAGGCGTGAGTGTCCCTCTTGAACACTGCGCTGAACAAGTCCTGACTCTCCGCAACAGCGTCCGACATCGGGGCCCAGATTGGAGTGAGCAAACCTTTGCGCCATGCGCCGGGGGACGAGATAACTGAGCCAGTACAGGTGGCAATTGGATCGCGAACAACACTAGTAAGGCGCTTTGGAGTGGGCCGGCGTTGGAATAGAGCACTGATTCTGTGTAGTCCTTGTCCACGAGCGTCTGAGCATCGTCGGCGTCGGTATGCAGTTACACGGCGGGATTTTGAAAGAAGGGGACTTATTATGGAACAGATTCCGGCGCGCAGCCGCTGGTCAACGACGAGGAGACCGTGTCTCTGGCAGTCAATGGCGAAATCTACAACCACCGCATCCTCCGCAAGGGCCTCAAGACGCCGTACAACTTCAAGACGCACTCGGATTGTGAAGTCATCATCCCGCTGGTAGGCATCTGGTCACAGAGCGGAGAGGAGAGGCTTGGGCTGATGTTCTGTAGTATCTCGAACATGACATTGACGCTCCCCGACATCTGGACGGCATGTTCTCCTGGGTCCTGCACGATAAAACCCAGGACCGAGTCATCGCGGCACGGGACCCTATTGGAATCACTACATTCTATATGGGAAGGTCGAGCACAACCCCCGGCGCTGTCTTCTTCGCTTCTGAGCTGAAGTGCCTCCACCCTGTCTGCGACAATATCATCTCATTCCCTCCCGGCCACGTCTACGACTCGAAAACGGACAAGCTGACCCGATATTATGACCCCAAGTGGCTGATGGAGCCGACCAACGTCCCTAACACACCGGTAGACTACATGGCTCTCAGGACAACTTTCGAGAACTCGGTCCGCAAACGGTTGATGGCTGAGGTGCCTTATGGTGTCTTGCTTTCTGGCGGTCTTGACTCGAGTTTGGTGGCTTCAATCGCGCAGCGAGAGACATTACGGATGAACGCGCTAGCAGAGGAACGCGCTAGTAGAACCAACGGAACCAATGGCACTAACGGCATCGAGCTCGATGGACACGCCAAGGGCCATCTAGTGGGTATCGATGATTCTAACGAATTGGCTACAGTCCAGATCCTCCCTCAATTGCACTCTTTTTCAATTGGTCTTCCTAACTCACCGGATGGGGTGGCTGCTAGAAAGGTGGCAGACTTCTTGGGAACGAAACATCACACATTCACTTTCACTATTGAAGATGGTCTCAATGCTCTTTCCGACGTTATCTACCACTTGGAATCATATGATGTCACTACGATCCGCGCCTCAACGCCCATGTTCCTGCTGAGCCGAAAGATCAAAGCGCTGGGAGTGAAGATGGTTCTCTCAGGTGAAGGAAGCGACGAAATCTTCGGTGGGTATCTGTATTTCCATGCTGCGCCAGACAAGGCCGCATTCCACCAAGAAACCATCCGCCGAGTCGAGAACCTGCATCTGGCAGATTGTCTCCGAGCCAACAAGTCAACCTCGGCGTGGGGAGTCGAAGCCCGTGTACCTTTCCTAGATAAGGCATTCCTTAACGTCGCCATGAACGTCGATCCGGCCGAGAAAATGATCACAAAAGACCGCATTGAGAAGTATATTCTCCGCAAAGCCTTTGACACGAAGGACGAGCCAGACAACAAGCCATACCTCCCGGACGAAATCCTATGGCGACAGAAGGAGCAGTTCTCCGACGGCGTAGGCTACGGATGGATCGACGCCCTCAAGGACAACGCGGAACTCCATGTTACGGATGAAATGATGAAGAATCCGAAGCCAGAGTGGGGCGAGGATATCCCGGATTCCAAGGAGGCGTATTGGTATAGGTGTATGTTCGACGAGCATTTCCCAAGCTATTGCGCGAGTACTGTGATGAGGTGGACTCCGACTTGGAGTAAGCAGACGGATCCTAGTGGACGGTACGTTATGATATTTTTTTTCTCCCGCTCCTTGGAAACTAACCTGATATTAGTGCCATCGCCATCCACGAAAAGAAATACGAATCCGCTGAATGACTCCCACCTCTGCTAGCGAAATTGTAGCCTACGAGCGAGCGACTATGGCATTGCGCCTCGCATTATCTGTCTTTACAAGCGGGGATTCAGGTTAGAAATTGGAATATAAGGTTTCATGGTTTTCCTATTTATAACTGTCCTTTCCGGGGTGGTACAACGTCCTTTGTTTGCGAATGAATGATGTTGGGGATAGACTGCCTGCCTTGCCTTCGCTGGAACGCTTCTTTTGAGCATGGAGCTGGAGCTTACTTGCCTTGCCATGCCATGACTGATGGATTCTTGTATATAGCAAAATGATGACGACGGTTATGATTGTGGTTGAGTTTTCGAGGTGTGGGACAAGATGAGTGTGTGATGTTCTTTGCTATCGCCTTTGGATGATTAGGAACTAAGGCTTGTACTCAATGGAGGATCATACAGTGTCTGTACGCAGCAGCAGCGTTACAGTCTGGATACTAGTTATTGCGCACGAGAAGGATCACGTAACTATTTCACATGATGCTCGTGCGCGAACCTCCGTGCGCGAACATCTAGATATTCCCCTTTTCCTCCGTACGGAGGAAAAAGACAGAGCAATAACCAGAAACATGTTGCCCCCACCCTACCTACTTCGTACGCTGTGCACACCGTACACTACTCTTACTCTTGCTACTTAAGTGCTCATACCCTAAGCAGCTAGCTGAAAGAGCCCATTCAACATGCAGAGTATTTCCACCTAGATTTGCTGCGCGCTGTTCAGGACAGCTTGCATGTGCTCTCTACATGCATTGTTCATCTTTACCGCTCACCCTTTACTTTTACTATTTACTTTCACTTTTCATTGTTTGCTTTGGCCTTTCATCATTCGCTTTCACCGTATACTGTCCACATTTCACCACCTACTTTACAACTGCTTATTCATAGCAGTCTGTCCACAGCACCCCTTTACGGAAGCTCATTTTTAGTAATTTATTCACGGTAGATGATTCACAAGGCTTCATTCACGGAATTCGATTCCAGAGCAGTCCTCCAACCGCTCCACGTAATCACCTCCAACTCTCTTCCTTGACAAGCAATTCACTTAGGATTCTGCTAATAATCTTGCTTCTGACAAATTTTCTACTATTATATTAACACAATGTAGCTCACCTTGCATACAGTACCCGCCTTCGCCGACTGTTGCATCATGTATAGTCAATTATCAAGAATTTTATTTCTGGAGATTAGGACAGCTGCAACAGAACTTACCACGCCCTTCTATGCATTGAATATATGCAAATTATCATCTTAGTAGTATATGCAAAAATGGTATTACCATGGAGGAAAGGTAAATCGCAGGGCAACTAATTAAAGTCTTGATGAAAGCAAAGCGTGCCTGTTAGGGTATCAAAGACAAATACAATGAAGGAAATAACCCCCGAGTATTATCCGACTGGGTGGTCCTCCGGAGAAGCCCTTTCCTTGTTTGTCCTTTTATTTTTCATGGCATGGTTATGTGTGTACGTTATCGAGTCATGGATGAAGTGAGTCGAACGAGAGCTCGGGAGAGCTTTGAGGGTAGGCTTAGACCACGGCGGCGGTCTGTGCCGCTCCGTCTCCGAAAATCCGGAATTGGATGAAAATAGTGGCATCCTCGGCCATGGTCCCCAGGGAGCCGATCAGCCAGGGTAGGTTAGTGAGGAAATATTCTTTTTCCACTGAGTGGAACAGAATCTGTTTATGTTAGTGTGGGTGGGATTTGGAGATTCAGAGTGTTGTTGTATCAGACATACCCCTGCCCCGTATGTAGCATTTCCTAGTAACGACAGCATGAAGAATAGTAGGGATAGTCCTTCGCAAGACCTCTCCCTCTGGTTCTTGATGATTTGGGGAATTCGAGCGCCAAGATAGCATACCGCGCTGGCGTATCCTAATACCTGCGCACCGGGCGCCAAGTCCGTGCCGGCGTCATTGTCATCGGGGGTGGGTACCCATACGCCTGTCTTCCACGCAATTGCCCATCCTGCCGTTCCAATTATGCATACCCCTATTATGCTCACGGTATTCTTAATCCACTCTTTGTGTCCCGATTCTTCTTCCACAATACGAGCGAGCGAGTCATTCCTGTTTACACTCTCTCGTCTCCTTCTGCTCGCCGCAGAGCTCCTTCTCCTGTGGCTACCCGGCAACCCGATGCTGCTATCACGCCGGCTCAGTAGCGGCTGTTCGGCGCTATCCTGCGTGAGGGTGCTCCGCGTGGACTTCCTCCTCGATTTACGGTCATTGATGATATTGTAATATAGGCATTGGCTTATAAGGATCAAATCGGCGAAACAAAAGTATATGGCGAGCGCAATCACGGTGGGCACGAGACCAGCCCAAAGAGCGCCGGCGAGGTTTGTGATGTCGCCAATGAACCAGACAGCGAGGAAGGCTAGCGATATGCCCTCTGCGGAGCCCTGCTTATAGTTTTCTACCAGTTGGGGGACCTACATGGAAAGTGAGTCTTGGGAACATTTTAGAATGCGAGGTAAATATGCTCGTGTGATAGATAGCTAGACACACATACCAAAAGAAAGATCCACGAAGCTAGCGAAATGGAGCCGAAGACGCCAGACAGGGCTTCGTGAGCAGTCAAAGTCGGACCCTGGGGCAGCACATCGAAGACAGGCATGCTGTCTTCCAACGCCAGTCAGTGTAGGATTGCGTGTGTTGTGGGGAAGAGTGGGAGGGTTATGCGAGTCGAAATAGGGCAGCTGTTGGCAGGAGAGAAAAGCGTGCAGTCTGATGACGCAGGTGCTTGCTTGGCGGTGCCGGGAAGCAGATAGCTGCAAAGGGTCTGATCGCCGATCAAATGAGAAGTCTGCGATGGCCTTCGTATACCAGGGGCAGACGCCAATCGCGGCGCACATAGGACAGGGGAATGAGACGAATCAGCGGTTGTAAGCCGCAAGACGGGAAATGAATCGAGATTACGGATCGTAAGATTCTGTGTGAAAATCTTCAGGGAATCTACAGATATTGGGCCCCTGCTGAGAGCAGGATTTTCGCAGTGAAACACCCGTCAAAGCCGAGACTCTCACGGTATATAGCGGACGCCTCCGAGAGTCTGTCAAGGTTCGGAGGCCCTAGCGCTATTTTCAGCCGTCTCGTGACTTTGCCAAGCTGTCGTCCGCAGGGCGCTTAGGGGGAAACACACCTTGCCCGAGCCAACACCTACTCACTGCTCAGTCATCCTCTCGTATCACGCGTGCAACGCAACCATTCGTCTCTCTTTCTCTTTCCTTTGTGATTCCATCTCTTCCTTTCGCTTTATTCATTCGGCAAACACCTTCCTTGACACACCAGCGCAATTCGCCCATTCACTGCTATGCCCCTTTAATCGAACACACTTTCCGTGAAACAACCTTGCTCCGCCCACACCCAAGAGTCACTCAACAAATTCCTCCACATCCCCCGCCCGCCCTCACGCTCGTTTCTACATCCACCAAGCATGCTGAACACAATGCGGAAGTCGTGGCTCTTGTTCACGATATTCGCGCTCGTCGCCTTCACATCCGCGGTCGATATTGCGGGCTTCGACGTCGACGGCGTCGCCAACTTCGTGCATGGCGGCAAGCGGCAGGCAGCCAGCGGAACCGGAAATTCAAACCCATCAACTTCAGATGCACCAAAGTCCACCCAGGCCCCGTCATCAAACCCTCCATCAACTCCCACGCAGACTCCCACCCAGCAGCCCTCTTCGCAGCAGCCCTCTTCGCAAGCGCCGTCTTCCGCGGCCCCGTCGAGCGCTGCTCCGTCCACGAAGGCTCCCTCCAGCACACCTGCTCCATCCTCTAACCCGCCCAAGACGAGAACATCGGCCGAGGTCATTACTTCTGCTCTTCTCGGAACCTCGGTTCAACAGTACACAACCGTTTTCACTACCGTCAGCAACGGCCAGTCCATCGAAATAACCGAAACTGGATCCCGAACCAGTGTCTTCTCCACCGGGCAGGCTGTCATCACCCAAAAGCCGGACCCCCAGAACGGCAACGGCGGCGGCAGCAGCAGTGGTCTCACCGACAGCAACAAGAAGATCATTGGTGGTGTTGTTGGAGGCGTTGGAGGTGCTATTCTGCTGGGTGGTATTGCCATCGTATGCTGGCGCATCTGGGGCCGCAAGAAGCGCGTCTCCGAAGACGACGATGACCTGATGGCCGGCACTGGCTCAGCGCTTGGCGACAAACCCGCACCCAACAACACTCCTTTCCAATCCAACCTCGAACAATACCACAACCCCGGTGGACGGCCCAACGCGGCAGCAAACTTCTAAACGGATCTTTTGGGAACGTATATAAGTTGGCCGCCAATGGGGGGCATGTTCATGATATCAACGACCATTTCTGCCGATTGCTTTGAATTGATGGAGGTTATTTTGGGGGTTGTCCGGTCCAACTCGATGGCTGTCCTCCCTGCATATGAGGGAACACTTCATATGTAAAGAGTGGGCAGTCTAGTCGAGTGTGATATTTTTTGTTTTCGGGTGATTACACTGCATTGCAAGCGTAGGTGCATATTTACATAGTTTTCCTTATCCTCTACAACTTCGACGGCCATGCGCTATCACGACATGGGTCTCGATTCTTTCCTCTCTATATTGAAAGCGCCAGTTGGGCTTTACAATAGAAAGCGGGGATGCGAAAGTAATAGGTAGTTATCTGTAATTAGAACGAGTCTCGTCATTATTACGAACTCGTTCGACGGAGGTCTTATATGAGAATATCAGGACTTTCTTTTAGTTCTTCTTGTTCTCACTCCCTTTTTGGTGGGTAAATTTGATAAGAGACAGATGCACAGTACTTTGGCGATGTAAAAGTTTTAATTTGAATACCGTCAACTGAATCTAATCCAATCCAATCTCACCATCAACCTCAAACTTTGAACTGAACTGATCACGTTTGTCTCCGTTCTCACACTCTTCCAGTGACGACTTCACGTGGGCAGGCTTCTGACTGAGGCTCAGGCTAGCTGTGGCTCAGCCCATCGGATGTCTCGCACAATTGGGATGCACATTCCAGGGGCATGTCTCAGGTTTCAGAATCGTCGCAGCGCCAACACACACATGCCCGGTTGGGAAATGCGACGCACCCCCAAACGGTTCTCGCGTGAGAAGGTGCAAGGCTGGTTATGCGGCGTTGGGTGGGGATTGTCGTAGGGCGGATATGTATGCTGGGGCACGCCTTCCTGCGGGTCGAGAGTTCATGACCTTTTTCTCTGGCTATTTTTTTTCTCTTAGTTTTGGGACTGGACAATTGTGCGAGATTATTCGATCAACGTAACACCTGTCTTCGAAGCCGTACGCATCTATGAATAAAATGAAAACCTATCTTCCCCCCTCCCTTCTCTCAGTCCTCCTCCTAGCCCTCCCAACCTTTTCCTACGGCTCCCCCTCCCCCATGCTTGTCTCCGAAGACCTGATCCACCTCATGCCGCACCACACTCTCTTCCTGCGACAAGTCAGCGACCTGCAAACTTTTTCCGGAAACCTAGGCGGGGTGTCCGCATCCCCTATCACCAATTCCGGAGACAGCAAACGGCCGTTTTCAGTTGATGGAGACACGTTTACGGATTTTAAGAGTGCAAGTCAGAGGAGTTGCGATAATCAGTTTACTGGGTGTAGTCAGGGAGCGAATCAGAAGGGGAATAAGGGAAGTGTGACAGTGAATGATTGTGATAAGCAGAAACGTATGTTGCTTTTTTGTCTGGGTGGGTGAGAAGGTGCATATGCTAATATTTGGGATAGAGGAATGCCAGTCTGCGCAGAGTAGCGCGAAGGTTCAAGATTTTAATACTGCGGTGCAGAGTCAGAATATTGGTCCTGATCCACAGTTCCCAGATTTTGATATCATTTGTGAGGTGTAGGGCCAGGGGTTAAGAATATAGAGTGGATGTCGGATTCGTATTAAAGGGATTTGGGGGAGGAATTTGCGGCGGATGAAGTGAGATTATATCCCTCAGTCATGCAATAGGGGTTTGTCTGAAAAGCGGGAATGAGCTGTGGGCCCCACGGCATAGTGAAGATGAACTGAAGATTAAGAAGAGAAGATTTGGGAACGCACTTTGGCGTTCATCGCAGTTCAGCTGTGTACCTATATACCATTACCACAGTAAGCCAGCCAACATGGACCGAGCCAGTCAGGTGTTGGCAAAAGAACAGCTTCCTCCTCCTGGCGTGCGTAGAAGTTACCGTGTCCTAGCAAGATATGGCGAGGTCGCTCATACTAGGCTCCATCGTCGTGCACGCGGACGATGCTTGAGGGAAGCGAAGGATCAGAACCAACAGTATCTTATCCCATTCGAAGAGAAAGTCGTCATTAGATTTCTGCTACACATGTCTGGCCTTGGACAGCCATACGAATAAAGTATATGACTTCGCAAGCGTTTAGTGTCACCCGCCAACGACCGATGACTGGCAGACCGCTCAAACCTCCAGGCCCAAACCAGAGAGCAAGCTTGCCAAAAGCAACGGATATTGATATGTGATGGCTTCGGCACGCACGAGACGCTTGAGATCTTAGAGTACTGCTTCGTCAACAATATCACCCTGTATATCACCCTGTGCTAGCTTCCCTCTAATACTTCCCATAAACTTCAGCCTTGTGATGTAGCAGTGTTTGCTCTACTTAAGGTGGCTTATCGCGATCAATTTGAGCAACTGGAACGAGGTGGTGTTGGTACAATTGGCAAGAGTCATTTCAACTATCTTTACCCTGCAAGGACAAGGGCCTTTAAGAAGAGCATTCTTTCAGGATGGGCGAAGAGCGGTTTGTTTTGATTTAATCCTGATAGAGTGCTTAGGGATATACCGAGACCAGTCGACACAATACAGGTCCCTGAGGTCTGAGGTGGACATGGGCCTGGATACGGAAGGCAATGTAGTCTAGGCGCCGATAACGCCAGCACGCTGGTGAACCCCGAGGCCGTAGTATCACTGCAAATTATGATTAGCCAGGATGCACACACACTTGAGGAGGCGAGCCTGCAGAGGCACGTGTAGAAGCTCGCAAATGCTCCAAGTACATCTTTTGTCGAACGTGCCCTCTAGAAAGAACAAATTCGATTTCTGTACAAAGTGAACCAGGCTACCTGGATTTCTCAAAATGCATAATGCGGACAAGAAAATTTCTGGTATCTGAAGGCCTTTGGGAAATTCTTGCTCCTGCATTCGCTGGACTCTAGTGAATTTCAATGAGGTCGATTTTCTCTGCAATCGTAGGTGTTCCGACGAGAAAGCGAGCACCGTTGAGACCCAAGGCGCATGTGACTAGTACTTGGTGATTTTTGCATTGAAACGATTGCATGACTTCTCTTCCTGATCCGGGGTGCACGTAGGACGGATATTATCTTCTCGCATATCTCGCATTGTGTTGCATACAGATATTAAGTGCTGTTATACATATGTACTGATTCTACATGCCTTCATTCTGAGGTGTTACGAGTAGAAGCTCGAGTATTGTAGCAGGATGTTAGGATACTTGCCAAAGGATGCCTAATAGCTTCATGCTAGGACAACGCAGCGAGCCCGTGATAATCGAAAGAGGTTACAAGTAGCTGGTGCACTAGCCATAGGGTATAGATAATATATACCTATAAGAGCAATATTTGATGCATGCATCGATTCCATATCTCTTCAAAATCAAAATACCTATAGTTTGTCTCATCGGGGAGGGCGTCTCGCAGCACAGGGACAGACGTTACTCTGTTGCCTGTAAGGTATCCATACTTAGCGTTAATGCTTCTGATTGGCTGAGATTGCATCACGTGGGCGCGCTCAGACAGAAGATCGAGACGCGACCTCGATTGTCCATCATCCATCATTCCCCATGCCAGCCTATCCTCCGAAAGGGAAGGACTAGCCTTTTCTAGACTTTCTTATACCTTGAAATGAATTCTTTGCCCGTCCTAAGCTCTCTCTCTCAATACGCTAGATTTCTTACAATTCTCCTCACGATGATGAGGTGGGAAACGCCACTCGAATTTTCGCCATGATCAAGACTATCGCCTCTTTTCCCATACCTACGCTTTTCGACTTCTAAGATTCTTACATAAACTCCATTGGTCTCGGAGTTCAAAATGATACCAAAGTCCGCAACTCTCAATGTCAAAGCTCTGCAATTCCTTCTCACCCAAATTGGCTCCGCAACTACTGGGCGAAAGGACGTTTTGCTCTCTCGCCTGGAACAAAATCTCAAGAGTTCTCGCTTCCCATCAGCCTTCAAAGCTAGGGAGAGTACCAGAATTCTAAGCATTGACATGGGTATTAAAAATCTCGCCTTCTGCGTTGCTGATGTTAAGGCAAAGATACCTGGTTCAAAGGCTGCTGAAGCGCAGAATGTGTTTGGCATGGATATGAGCATAATTGAGTGGCGGAGGCTCGATGTTGCGGAAGAGGTAGCACGATCGCAATATCGTGCCGTCTCTGAGACGGGTGCAGGGTTTGCGGGGGAAAATGTAGAGGCGGCAGATCCGTATACCCCAGCAGCTTTATCGCACACAGCCTACAAGCTTTTAAAGAATACCCTTCTACCCTACAATCCTGATCTTCTCCTGATTGAACGCCAACGATGGCGCTCTGGTGGAGGGAGTGCGGTTCAGCAATGGACTGTGAGAGTGAACACACTTGAGGGAATGCTGTGGGCTATTCTAACAGCTCTTCGAGAAGAAACACCAAGCCAAAGCTCAAAGACGAAAGATGGCAACACTATTCGGGGGGAATATGGAATCTTCGGAGTAGATCCAAAACGCGTCGGCAACTTCTGGGTCGGCAAGGACGTGAGATCAAATATTCCCGAGAAGAGCAAAGAAACCGAACACGAACTGTTGCTTGGTCCAGACGGCGAAGTAGAAGACTTCCTCGGGGACCCAAAGAAAGCAGCTAAAACACCGGGTTTAAGTCGAGGCAAGGCGGAAAAGAAGGCAAGAATCGAGCTCGTTAGGTCGTGGCTTACGTCCAACACATCGATGTCTACCACATTAGGAGTTCAGAATCCCAGTGCTTCACTCGAGTGCAGGCCCTTGATAAGCTTTTCTTTCTCCCAGGACGCTGACTTGACGAGGCAATTGCTTTGTGCCACATCTTATGCCAAGGAGAGGAAGAAGCGTTCTGTGGACGATGTGTCGAAGTCGAAGAAACTAGATGATATTACAGATTGCTTCCTGCAAGCTGCAGCATGGGTTGCTTGGGAGGAGAATAGAATCATGATTGCGCAGAGCTGGGACAGTAAGGAAGGTCCGCTGCCTACTCCATCCAAAACGAAAGAGAAGGAAGGTGTTAAAAGCAAGCATGCAATGGCCAGGGCTATTGGAAAAGTGAAAGGGGTAGAGAAGGCCACAGAAAAGGGATCTCGGACAAACTCAACAAAGTGATTCTCACTGTATTCATGTACTGAAGAGCGTACAAAGACGTATTGGATGAAATAACGTTAGGTCAAACAATGTTTCACAGTTCTCGGTGTAGCCCAACACCTGAGTTACTCAAAGCATGCCAGTGCTAAGGGAGGAGGGTCTTGGGTGGGTCTTTGGGAAAGCTTTTTTCTTATAATGCTAGGAAGGGGAAACAAGAGCATCATTCTGACGCCGTCGGGTCGTCAAGCATAGGACATGTATCAATCAGTCACATTGTAACAGAAACTTGTAGAACAAAATGGCAGGTCTTTAGAACATACTCGCTCGTGCATCTAAATCTACTCTAGACGGGTCTTAACGTTAAGGAGCCTTTAACCAACCCTCTTACTATCTCTAGAAGTAGGCTCTAAAGGTGCGCTTTCAGATCTAGCGGAGCTCAACTAGAATTTCAACATACTCTAACCATCAAGTGTTGAGTGCGAGCGACCCCTCCGGATCCACGATGATGTCGCGAAATGGGGCTTATCTGCTCTTAGCTACGTGCCACGCTGTTTGGGATTAATTGAGTGAATTGGCCAATAAGACTATGGCATCGAATGTGGAAAAATCCATAGAGATGTGAGATATTGTTGCCAAGAACCGGGGTGGTGGATACCAATGTTTAGAAGACCATGAAAGTAACATGTGGTCTTTTTTTCTATCTTCCCCATACCCCATACTAATTTCTCTCCGAAGTACTAACTCTTCTTCAAGCCTCCGTCAATTCATCAACGCGTTACATAAACTATGGGGTCGCCAGACCGATTCGGGGGGACTTTCCCCTCGCCTTCTTCGTTCATCGAACATTGAGAGGAAACTAGTGATGACCCACATGAGCATATGTCTAGATTCTTCAAAAGGCCCGATTTCTTGAGATGCTTTCATTGACATGACGGACCCCACGACGAGGAAACTACCATTCACAAATGGTCGGCCTTGGACTATTTGTGGCTGCAGTGAGTACAAACTGGGTTGGGAATATCCGGAAATTACTCAGTAGGGTCGCAAAGTTGTCTATTGGAACATTGATCAGAGCTCTCATTGCAGCCCTTGTTGCCGATACATTTCCTGGTCTCTACGTCGTAGAGACATATAACCGACAGCTCTCTCAGCCACTTTGCGCTGAATCGAGACTATCTGACAGCCAATTGAAACATTAGCTATGCTATGATCGACTTCACAGGTCTCTTCACTCTTCATTGTCTGATTCGATAAACAAACCCCAAATCCCTCTCCCCTACAATCCCACATCACGCTAACTGCCCCCCCCCGGCAATAACATGGGGTCGAATAATCTAAGCAGCAGTCTCCAAAACCTACGCCACTGCCTACAGTTACATCCCCGCTGCGTGTTGTTCCGGCGCTGTAGTTTTGTATCTCTTCGTTAATAAGAGTCGTGGAAGGACGTTAGGGGAGGCTGATACGATGTACATTTTGGTGGCGAGTCCGAGGAAGAGGACGGTGCGGCAGTCACCGGAAGGTGAGGGGGATTAGGACAGGAGAGGATGCGGGCATGCTGGTTGAGAGGGGGAAGGGGGAAGAGGAAAGGGAAGTGGGTGGCGCAGAGAACGCAGAGTGAAGACACCATTGCTTGTGCTTTTCGGCTTTCTAGAGGATGGTAGTGGTTGGAAAAAGAGCAGGGGAATTTAGGGTTTCACGTATAATTACAAGTAGAAGGCAGGAAGGACATTTTTCCACCAAGCTATCTATATCCAAACATACCGATCTACATATAGTACAATCTAAGCATCCATTTCAATACAGTCGAGATCTCGAAGGTGCCATTAATTTTCGAATGTACGCCATCTAATGGACTAGTACATGCGAACAATACAGTAAGGTGATGCTAGCTGGCCGAGAGATACACCAAGAGCCAAGGCAGGGCTCTCAGTCCCACCAGCCAACTCCGATCTCGAAGAGATTCCCTCTAACTTCGACACGACATGTTAGCTATGCCCTTGTAGACGGCGCTTCTACAACACAAAGGTTCGTCGTCTGACAAGTCCTCAGCGTGCTGAGTCGGTGCTTGGTCCAAATCACTTGTCATCATGATCCGAACTCTTAGGTGGACCTGACATTATGCGATGGATCTGGGGACCAAGGTCATGGCGGATTGGGCGAATAATTCGTGGTCGGAACATTTTTTCGTTTTCGTCTTTGCTGATAGCAAAATGTGTGCGTATGGGCACGCGGGCGACCGGGTCTGCCATTACATCTTCAATGCTTCGACGGGTGGGCACGTTTTTCACCATCTCCTTGAGATTGTTGTCGTTGCGTTCGGTTGTCCTTGGTGGACTAGACGGTGGCGGAGAGAGATCATCTAGTTGTTTACGGATAGCTTCGAATTCGGCAAAGATGTCTTCCCTTTCGTTTAAGGCGGTGTCGTATTCCCTGGGTTGCGAAGGCGTTTTCTTGGGGAAGGCTTCACATTTCTTGAGATCGCGCTCCTCATGGTTGACACGTTCGAGTTCTTTGTTGAGAGCTTCGATTTCACGTTGTAGTACCTGTATTTCTTGTTCCTCGCGCTCTGAGGCCGTGTCACGGTATGCTCTATTCTCTAAGCTCACTTCCCTGAAAGGTTTATTCAGGTCGGAAAGGAAAGCATTCACGTGGTTACGTTCTTTTCGATCTATTTCTGGCATGTCGAGGCGGGAATCTCCATAGATTGAATATTCCTCCATCTCGCGAAGAAGTTGACCTACAAGGTATAAACTTCCTGTCACAACGATCGGATCGCCAAGGCCTCTGAGATATTTTGCTGTGCAGAGTGCCTTTAGAACACCAGGCTCATTGTTCTGTATTGTCGTCACATCCCACTGGATATTGTGGACAGTATCAGCTATATGCTTGGGCTGCATCGGTTTCACCCAGGGCATACCATCCACGGGCTCAAACGAAGTTGCCACGAGCCTGTCTCTGGCTTTGAGCAGACGAGACAGGAACTTGTGAGCATCTTTTCCTTCGGACATGGCAACTACCCAAGTGATGGGACGACCGCCTTCGGGCACTCCGTTTATTAGCCTGGCGTTTCGGAGATTTTTGTTGATGTACCGATTCAACTCGACTGCCGCATCTTCATTGTGAGCTCCATCAATGAGAATCTGCGGCCCTCCACTACCGAAAACGGATGGGATCCTCTGCAACTGCATACGCCCAGGTAGGCCATTCTTATTCTTCTTCTTCAGAGCCGGGAGCAGCTTCCGAGCCTTCAAATGCGACATGTGCTGGCCTTTAAGCGTTTCGATGACTGCGAAGTAGGCCAAGACAGCATTGTCCCGTTGGAATGGGAGCATGTTTCGCGCAAGTTCATGCCAAGCTTTCGTCTTAAAGAGCTCTTCCCTATTTTCTTCGGTGTCTAGCTCAACCAGAGGGCCGGCTCCTATTTCCTTGGCGTAGTCGGCGACAACCTGTTGTACGTGCCATTCATTTGTTGGGTTGACCAGGTATGGGACTCCAGGTCTTAGTATTCCAGCTTTGTGGCTTGCGATTTCGTCGAGTGAGTGTCCAAGAAAGCTGTGGTGGTCATGAGCAATTCTCGCTATCACAGATACGACTTGATTGTTGAGTATGTTAGTAGCATCGAGCTTCCCGCCCATACCGACCTCGACAACGCCAACCTCGACCTTTTGATCAGTGAACAGCTTGAAGGCGGTGGCGGTGAGAATCTCAAAAGGCGAAGCATTGATTTTCGCCTCTTCATTTAGATCGAGGAAGTATTGTTCGACTCTTTTGAACACATGTTCGGGGACTGGAGTGTGGTTGATCGTGATGCCGTCCCATCTTGCCAGGTTGTCAGAGGGGTGAAGAATAAGAAATGCACGTGATTTGGCGCCTACCTATGGATTAGATGGGGAGACGTGAAGCAGCCGGTTTTGATACATCGACGCGTGAGAAGAGCAGACGCGTAGGCGCAAATCGAGCCTTTGCCGTTAGTGCCCGCAACATGGATGGATTTCCATGGGAGATGGACATCCTTGAGGAGTTGGCCAATTCTTTCGAGCCCCGGCTTGATCATGGCTGCAGAATGGCGAGGTTGTCAAGGCAACATGAGCGGCGGTGGTGCCAGGCAAGCAGGCGTGGGAAGTGTTGAAACGCACAGTCACTATGTTTCTGCAGATGAAAGTGAGTCAGAGCGCCCTGTGGATGAAAAGTGACGATGAAGAGGCAGCCAATGCTCAAAACGGACAGGGAGGCTTGGCACGGGCAGTTTAGTCGGGCCGGCGCAGGTTGTTTGGATTTGTTTGGATTGCGGTGTTTAATAGGAATGCAGATGAGGCTGCAAGGTAGTTCATGTACCTGAGTGAGGTCATTTTCGTGAACAGCTGTTGTGCTCGATATTTGAGGTCGTTGTCGCCGTTGTGCTTTCGTTCAGGTCAGAACCGCCCTGTGTCCCACCTCCGATCAGCCGCCGACCCTCAGCCTCACTCTCGCACTTACCGCAGGGCCTCCTCGCTTATCATCGCTCCCCGACCTCCTCCAAACCTAACTCCTCAGGCTCCACCCCGTCATCACAACGCTCTCCACTCATCGCATTTCATCCCCAAATCTCCACTCTTCCCTTTTTTGCGACAAAATGGGTCTTCCAATGTGGCGCGCTCCGTCACCAGAGGCCAAGGACGCGATCAAGGTCGATTTGACCGCTCCCGCGCGCTCACCCATCCGCCGCCGTTCACCGTTCGCAGGTCGACGCGTGCGGCCCAGCAGATCCCCACGATCTCCACGGCTGCTCGACAGTGTCGACCCCCTAATGAACTCTACATCGCAAGTCCTCTCGCACCCAGAGCCTGCCCCGCGCCCCTCGAACGTGCGACCACACCTGCCCCCGCCACCTGTCCCTGAATCGAGGAACTATTCCCGCAGTGGCGACTCTGCCCAGGACATGCCCGATGTGTTACCCAACGACCAGGCCCTCGACCGGTATCACGGTGAACGCTATTATCGGTCGCTGTACGAGCGGTCGTCGCGTCTCCAGAGGTTTGGGGAGGTGTCACCCAGCTCGCGCCAGCTCCCCGCCTTTACCCCAAACTTTGCGCCTGCCGCTGCTTCGCGCAACTTCCGACCCGGCAATGGCCTAGAAAGCAGAGAAAGGTCGAGCTTTAGATCCAGATCCCCGTATAGCAGAGTTGGAGCTCGCTCGAGGAGCCCTTGGGCTGAGACCGCCTCGACTACCAGAGACAACCCCACCACGATCGAAGATGCTGATGGCGACAGCAGTGACAATAACGCGGTTGGATTCCCTCCGCTTCGTAGGATGGGTCGTCGCACCATCGCTGATGGACCTCTACCTTCAAGCTCGCTCCGAGAGTCGTGGAGCCCAGCGACCACTCTCGATGGTTTGGGTGACCGCGACCGCAGCATCAGCCCTGTAGATGACCACTGGGATACGATGCTCAGTACTGTTGCCCCGGACCCTCTTGCGCCTACTGTGGATTCGTCTTTTACGTCAGCTGCAGCCTCAGCCTCGTTTTCGAATTCTGGACCCAGCTCACGAGCAGGAAGTTCCAACTCGAACTCTGCAGCCTCGTCCCGGACGCATTTGACTGTGCCGTCGCGGCGACATTCTCATACTGAAATTTTCATCCGCGCCTGCGACACCTCTGAAGACGATACTGCGTCTGATACCGAGGAGGAGGACATGGAGTTGATCCCAGGAGAATCTAGCACAGGGCAGCAGATATACCGCACCCGCCATCGATTTCTCGCCGATGATCCTCCAATGCGAAATCCCAGCCGGTACTCGCGCGCCGTTCGTGATCGCTCTCGGGATGCGAGTGCTTACGTTCACAACTTCTATTCGCAACGCACCCCACGCGAAAGCATCCACCAACCCGAAAGGCCTCTCAGCGGTGGACTGGATGCGCTGGCCGAAGCGACGCAAAATTTCAATGACGATATGCAGACCCTCGATCAGGAGCTACGAGATGCACGCGCCATGCTAGAGCGCCTGGCGCGGAGGGAGGGGGGCATCCCTGACGAATTTTGGGCGTCTGTTGGTTTGGCGCGGCCTGCTGCTGATCGCATCGAGAGGCTCCAGCAGCGCGAGCGGTTGTAGCCGATTCCAATGGAGTTTGGTATACATGCATTGTGGAAGCTCAGGGCCTGCAGGCTGGTCTGACGGCCTCTTCTGTCGCATGCAATTTCTGTTTGTCTTTTTTGTGGAGTGGGATTTTGTACGACCATAGCACTTCTCTTCCTGTGCATTGTTCGTTTTACTGGGGGCTTTTCGATACCGCGGAGACCACACTTGCTTCGGTCCTTACCCTTAATACTTGGTATTTCCAAAAGCTCTATTGTCGAATTTATATGTCGCTGGATTTCATTTCATCTTTTACGACCAGGGTCCTTTCGATCAACTTCCGAATTTGGGCGTCTAGGACCGAAAGGAAATTCCTGTACTTTAGCTACCTCCGCGGCTTCTTCCTAGTGAACTGGGAACTGGGAACTGGCTGTACGGGAAAGGGAAATGGAAAAGTGTTGGCACGTTTCAAGTGCCTATTCTTCACAGGAATCGTACTTGAACTGCCATGTGTGTGTTGTAGATGGTGTTTATTCGTGAGTTTACTTGAGAAGGTGTGGATATGAGTGTATGCTTCCCAGAGGTTTCAAGTTCCAAAGAGGCGGCGTTCTGGTATGTGTCAATGGAACTTAGAATTTTCTTGTAGAATCGAGTATAAAGCTGCGAAGGAAACTTTTACTTCAGAATGGCGTACAAAGCCAAGCACTCCTATTCAGAGATGAATCAATGACGACTATCCCTTCGCGTGTGACCTGTGCTTACGGACTATAAAAAACAAGATCCGTTAGCATTCTTCCTCCTGCAGTTCCCCGTTTTCGCGCTGCGTCCCTAAACCAATCTAACCATCCGCTTTCCCGCTAACGCCACGGTCTTCATAGACCCAAAAAGAGATGCAAAAACAAAAGACATCGCTGGTGGGGCTCGAACCCACAGCCTTTGGATTCACACCATGAGGTTTATAGAAGTCCAACGCTACGTCTGATATTAGCAAATATTGGTGAACTAGGTAGTAGTTACTTACCGCTACCATTGCGCCACAGCGACTTATTTAAGAAGGTTTCGACATTTTTAAAAATTGTTTAGATAATATACTGCATTACAGCAAACGACAAACACTCTAAGGCTGTATGCAAGAGTCAGAGAGGTGATGTGAGAAGGGGAGGTTCACCGCCACTGCCCCACATTGTGCGAGCGTAAGGTGACTGATTTAACATGTGAGAATCTCAGAATGTAAGCGCAAGTTCCGTTGAAAGACCACACAAACTAAGCAGGCTCCTCCTTTACGTCCGAAGTATCACCCCTGTAGTGTAACACCACCGGATTTTCGTAGCCTTCAAGTGTCTAGAGCCGCGAAATGTACATTCTGAATTCTAGTGTCCCTTTTCAGAGAATTAGATCATAGAATCCCGCGAGATCGTGGCCCCCTGAAATTATGACTCAAAGCCTAAGATCGCACACAACGAACAGAAACACATGCCAACCTTCAGAGTTGAACCCTTGGCTTGTAAAGACTGATTTGAATTCCAATGCAAGGTTGAACGTCGAAGATTTCAAGGTATCATATCCTCGGCGCAAAGTTGTTCCGATCGAGGCATTTCATAGAACTCTAAGTGCGTGATAACTCCAGATATATATCCTACGCCGTCTCCATATCTTATAACTTGATAATGCTTGCGACTGGCATCTGACCGATATGCGATAAATTAATCGGTTGGTCATCCAAAATGGAAATTTTGCGTCCGCGTTTGGAGTTAGGCGATTAACAGCAATTGACAACCACTTTTGCTTAATACCCATTACTAAATCTTGTAATGATATATATAGTACAGAGCTTTTATTCTATGACCTCATAATCGCCATACAAGTACACCTATTCCAACGTCAAGAAAACCACTTGCTGTTTTTCAGTGAGGCATGGAGGCGAAAATTATCCAAACTATATACTAACCCCCACCGTCAATGCCTCAACATAAAAGACTTCTGAAAGCTACTTCAGCATCCCGTCCAGCATACCGTATCGCACTCTCAACGTAGACATCCCCTATGTGCCCTGCGGATATTGGCCCTATCAGCGACCAGCAAACGGACCCTTCTGCTGGAAGCAACTGGCTTCATCCCGGTCTTAAGCAATATTCACCTACTTAAGCTGCTTGCCAACTCCAGAAATAGCAGACCTCCTCGAGCGAGAGAGCATAATAGGGCAACACCAGGTCTGCAGGGGTTGAGAGCACGATGTTCACAGCGTCCTCGACGGTACCCTTCTTAGCAGAAATCCCATTGAACGTTAACAAGTGGTGAGACACGCTGTTTGTTAGAAGGGAGCTTGGTGATGTGATGGAGAAAGTATCAACCCATTTATTCCTCTAGTCGCACTAGATCGGTACGAGCGACCCCCTTCCCAATGCCTCGTGTTTGAGGCTTCTGCCAAAACATTTCATCTCTTGACAGTCTTCCTGACATCCTCCTTTAGTCAACCCTCTGCATTTCCTTATACCTTCATTCCTGGCGGTGGTCTGGGTCTTCTTACCTTAATTTCAGAGCTCCGAAAATCATGGGTATACCTGCTCTTAGCTTGGCCTCTGGTTTGTTATTGAACACGCTAATATCTGCTTCTTTAAGAGGGAGCCCTTGACGGTATTCCACATTAGGAGTATCTTACCTAAGGATCTCTATATCCCTTTTTTGTGAAATACATCGCTTAGCGTAAACTTGGTAGATTATCTAATTCTACAGTCTACATCGTATGGAACATGAGATAACCTGATTTATGACAAAGATTGACATACGAAGTACTCAGCTCCGGGCTCCTTGGCCACCAGTTTCTGCACTGTCACTAATACCATAATCTCCCAGCATTGCGCCATAGCCCTGTGTAAGGGGTTCCGCACCACTCCGCCATCACAACCAAAAAGGTACGAATAATCAACCAACGGTTGACTTGCATGCCAAGTAGTGTATATATTCTTTCCACCCTGCTATTTTTTCTACTAAGTAGGAAGGAATAAGGTCGAACTAGTGTTAAAATTAGTAGTGAAGCAGCTTTGAAATGAACAAGAAGGAGCAACTTCATTACATCGGCCACATCGACACTGCTATCAGGCTGTTTATGTGGGGTGTTGCCAAATGCGCCATTGTCTTCAGGCTAGAGTTAATATCAGCAAAATAGGTTGTACCAAGAGAAAGAAATTTTCACCTCGTCTCCGGACTCTATGGTTGTTGCTGTAGTTCAGGGGCTGTGGCTGGCGGCTGATGTGGAGGTTGAGCTGTCTGCAGACTATGTTGACCAGAAAATGATATCGGATGCACAACCGGAGATTCCTTCTCTCTAGTTTTGCACTCGGGTGGTTAGCTGGCAAGTTGGTCACTTTCTAAGGGGGCGTCCTGGATTTTGTTGTGCCCACCATGCAGGAGAGAATCAACGTCAAAAATTTTTTTTTTGGAGAGAGCGTCAGGGGAACCCATTTGACGAGAGCCCCAGAGCTAGGGTTAGTATTAGCATTATCGCTTTATAGCGAGAAATAGAAGGTGCTTGCGTGAGTTGCTGGAGGATGGTGTGCTGCCATTGACGCTACTTATACTGACGAGAGTATGACTAGGCATGGAGTGTTAACACAAGGTTTTTTGACGGATGGTTTGTGACTGTGACTGTTAATGTTAACATTCTGCGTCAAAAAAGTTGGCTTTTTTTTTGCTTGAAGGGACGGTCAACGCTTCCCAACGTCTTTGTAGGGGGCGTAGCTGATAAAGCCTTGTGAGCGGGATGGTCGTCAGCGCTTCTAACGAGGCGTACTACGGTCCGTACAAAGTGAGTCGCAACAGTCACGTGTTCAGTACGAACGTACCCAGATCGTAAGCCGCACCAGAAGTTTAGTGACAGACTAGGTACGGTACACAATACAGATAGTATTACCCTTTTAGGAAGTCTGTTGTTTCTTAGAAATGTCTATTACTAACTAATATCTATTGCCAAGCTAACTATCAATGTCCCAGAACGAAAAGGTATCAAGCAGACCTTCTCTTATCCTAGGAAAAAGAAGGTTCAGCGAAGGTCAATCGCGTGGGTTTACAATGTCTGCGAGACTTGCTAAACTGATGCTAATTGTATGCCCACAGTGTAAACCTTGCCAGACCAGTTGATTGGCGTCGCCGCAAGGCAGATGAAACCCACCTAGATACGGGTACACTCTGAAACCATAAGCAAGCCTCGTTCTCTCCATATATTAACTGTACCCCAAAACAGCCAAACTGACTCCCCCCCCAACACACGTCTCGCCACCTTCCTCTTCCTTCCTTCCTGTATGTAACGCTAGCGCACTCGTGACCCTCTTCACCGCCAATGCCGGAATCCTTGTGCAGTACACGCACAGACGTACGTGACTGCCAACCCCTCCTACCAAGTCTGGATGCTCCTTCCGATTGCAATATCATGCAAAGTGTCAAGCGGACACCAGCACCACACCTTGCCGCAAGACGATACCAAACACCTGCGAGAGCTGGCACAGCATTGAAACCTCGTCCCCCTCTTGAAGGTGATACGAGCGGATTCTGTCGCCTAAGCGCCATTTCACCGATATGCGAAAGTTTCACTAGTCGCTTAATGGGTGGTACGGCGCTGAGGTGTGCTGAGGAATCGGCGTGCTAGGATCAAGCGTCTAAGAGGAGTGTGTCAGTGGCACAGTATCAGATGAGCAGGGCCTAGGCGACCTGCGATGTGGGGTATGAGGGGTTGTGGTCAAGTGTGGCTGAGCGTGTGGGTGCGGCGTTGGATGGGAACGCAGGCGCTCTGTCACATTCAACGAGAGATGGGTAGTTGTATTGAGGCGGAGGTTTATTTGACATATCGGCCGGTGATTCTTTCGTTGGCAGAGAACTGGGCGATAGGTGCTCGAGACTGGGCTGACCGTCTAGGGAGATAGATTCTAGATTCGTCAGCAGTTCCATCAAGCTGTGGAAAGAGGAACGGCAAATATCGGGGCGTGGCTATGTTCACCATGATTTGCTAATAGAAGAGTGACGAGGGAAGTCACGGTCGCTTATGTTATCATTCAGGAGTGGATAGTGTGCGGCCAGGCCACGACATTTCGGTGAGGCTTTGCACACTAGGGAGGAGATATATTCTGGGATGCGGCGAAGAGATAATGAAGGGCGTAAGAGTAGTAACCACAGATACTTTGAAGGACGAACGGCTTTAAGGCTGTCTCACAAAGCAGCTAGCCCAATAGGATCCATACGCGCCAGACCTCGCCCACCGAACTGAGTCCAAAGCGGCACGTACTAGCATGTCTAGAATGGCACTTTCGATACTTAAAGTTCTTCCGGCAGGACAGGGTCCGAGTCTTCAGCATTGTGGAAGCGCCTACGTTACCCAAATCCTCCGCGCTTACAGGAGCGGAGCACAGCCACGGGGCATCCATTTACGCTGACCTCAATTCAGCGAGTGATGCATCGAGCTGCGCGTGATGTAGGAGCGGCTAGCCAAACGGTGTGCGCCGTTACGCAGGGCCGTCAGGCCGACATGATGTGTGTCCAACATGGTGGGTTTTTGGCCCCAAAAGCTGGAAAGCGCGGTCTCCAAGGTGTGGATGGCGCGAGACATGTGGAAATGAGAACTTTTTGCTGACCGATTCAGCAGCCATGTGGGAGATCGCTCAAGATGGCGTTTTCTGGCTTGAGCATATAGGATTGCAAAGTTGATATCGCCACAGTCCTGGGCGATTCGCCAGAGCGATTCGGTACAGCCGCCACGTGCTCTTGCCCAATCTCCCGTTTGAAGTTCCCGAAGGCCCAGGACGATCAATACTAAAATCGAGTCTTTCAATACTGCGCGGACTTCGAGTAGGATTCCCATGGGTCTCGTTTCTTCAGACCGAACTATGCAAGTCGACGGCCGAGGACATGCAGGGAGCAAATTCCATCCGGCAATGCGGAGACCTCGGAAGATGGGAATAGTTCCCTCCCAATGAGATGACAAAGTGAGGACAATGATTGGGCCAACCCCTGATAAAGACTTCTTCCCCAGGCCAGGTGATGCATCGCCCAATTTTGCGGTTGTCGTCAAGGATGTTCCTGCGCTGGATTTAGCAACTCCAAATTTGCGCCAAGAGTAGTGTTCACCAGTCAACGTCCGACTCGACCCGGCGGCATGGTGTCGTACGTGTGCGAAGAATCCACTCTCGTACTCGGACCCCTTGGATTGCGGCGAGAACGGCGAGCATGCGGCACAGCAGCACACCACCACCACGCGGAGGTGCAAGGACGACGGGATGTTACCAAACTTCAGGCATTGATCAGTCCGTACCCATCTTCGCGATTGCGCTTGGACTTGAACCAGGCTTTTAGACCGTAGCACCTTTCTTGTGAGATCAGAATATTGTAACAAATAGACGCGCTTCAACAATTCCATGCATGTAAGTCGCTAAAAGCAGAGTAAGCGCAAGAATCCTTCCCACGCTTTATAAGGGTTCTCTCTTATAACAAGGGATACATTCTTCCTACAGGAACACCAAAGACGATTTCCAAGTTGACAACGGAACTGGACGCAGAATTTCTGCGTGGGTTGAACCAATCCAGCTGGCTGGATAATTGGGACTGACTCCGGATTGTCTCTCTGAGCGCCAGCACCGTCCAGCTGGGGCTCGGGCATCCACGGGAGGCGGAACGGCTCGTTCCCAGCTAAATCAAAAGAAAATGGGGAAAATGGAAGGAGAATTGGAACAAATCGCAATGAAGAGATGAAGGCTTCAAGATTTATTCCTCACTGCTCTGACTTTCATGCCCAGGATAGCAGCGGACTGTGAGAAAAAGAACACTCGGCAGGCATTAGACAACTGTAAGAGTCCCTAGGTAAGACTGCAGGAATATTGAGAGAGAGTGGTCGGAAGCACACGCGCTTTAGCGTCATGAATGAGTGGTATACCCGCCGCCCGGCTAAGTTGCCACGAGTGGTGTGTGGACATCAGTTTAGCCGACGTACGGATTAGTGAGTCTGTCATCTTGCAACTATATGGGCGGATGTCGCAGCGTATGCTGTTAGGGTGAAGGTTTGGGAATTGTCAAGGCGTGCAGTGAGGTGAGAGTGGTGGGTTAAAACAGCCACACTAAGCCTCACATCTGATAGCCGCGATGTGATTATCAAATAACGGAGGGTAAAGTCGAGACTCGAGCTTCCATGCTCATCTGGTCTCACATGCAAGGCTGCCAGCAGGAGATTGAAAGGTGCTCCGCCGTGCGAGGTCTCAACTTCTGGAAAGAGGTGAAGCGACTCGGAGCGGTTGGAGGAGGGGCAGGTGACCGAAGCGCACGGCGAGGCGCGGGCTTGTTAATGAAACGGTCTCGGCATGGCCCAGTGGGTCGTCTTATTCGAGAAAAGTCGTGAAACATGATACGTGCGCACTCGGCCACTGGGCGCGTACATGATGGTGCGCGAGGATGTGGATGCCCGAAGTGCCACAGGGCCCTCATCATGGTTGCCGCCCACGCGCGAGGAGGCGGCGCTAATCCGCAACACAGCAGATCGCAGGTGTTCGCGGCGACAGAGTTGACGAGCGGCGCCGGGCGTAACTGCATGATGGTTGGCGGTGTGATAAAGAGGATGCAGCAGGCCCTGATGAATTGCTTGGTTGAGGGAGGATGCCGCTCTGCTTCCCCGCGTAGGCGCGGTTGACGCCAAAAATAGTCATGTGTCTCAGAGGGTGAATCGGCACCCCGCGAACGGCCCAATCAGCAGCCTTACCTGTCGAGGACACCGCCCCCGTTCCCGCGCCCGCTCTGATCGGCCGCCATTTGCTCGTCTCGCTGGTCGTCGTTGTCGAGTGCTGGGATTCCTGCGCTGCCGGGACCGCCACGGAGTACAAGCGTCCGTGCACCCCTGGTCGCCTTCTCATCGTCTCTTCCCATCTTCGCTCAGTGACGTCTTTTTCTACACGCACTTACCGCAGAATTTTGGTGAAAAAAAGAGGGTATTGGCTCTGTAGTCGCGATACGTCGTGTTCCAGAAATCGCCGCGTTAATCGCACGTGAGGGCGTGTTACTAGCGATGAACGTTGAAGCCTGCCGGGAAATAGCCGCACGCACTAGCAGGGGCCTGCAGCCAATGACACGCCTTGACAGGGGCGCGCCTGCAATAAGAGTGAACAGGCGCTGGCGCTGCTCGCTCGTCGTCTGCTCCGCCTCTCTCCCCGAAAGCATAGCTTTGACCGTTGCTCTTTATACACCGCCCTGCCGTCGAGGCCAACGCTGCCGTCTGCTCGACATCGTCACCGGCCAAGCTCCCTCGACCTACTCCCCCGCGGCTTCTTCTGGCTCCTGACTCTAGCTCCAGCATCCCACTGTTAGACGAGACGAGCGTCTGCCCCGCAGAGCGCAAAGAACACACCACATACCGCGGAGGACCGGCCAAAAGCGCGAAAGTACCTTGGATTCTGGAATTCGACGTACGGGGTCTGGAAAGCTCTGAAGCCTGGTATCAGATTCTAGTGGCCGTCCTTGGGGAAGCATTGTCAGCAGTTGTAAGCGCGAAAGCCGACCCGTGCGACTCCAATATCTCAGACGAGGTCCACGCGGGACCCGAGGAAAAATAGCACAATCAGGTGGGGAAACATCTGGAACTGCTGCGACCCGGACTTTCGTGGAGTCCTGCTTGACCAGGGACGATTCCCTTGCATTGCAGAGGCTACAATGCCGTCTGTGGCACAAGCGCCATTGATGAACAGTGTAAGCTTCATGTTGAAAGAAACGTCTGTAGAGCCTGTCGTCTCTGCTTTCACTGCCGTGAATGGTAGGACTTCACCACCCTCGCCTCGCAGAACGAATGGTGTGAACGGTATGTCCGCCGAGACCATTCACGTGAGGCCACTTTCCCACAACAGGGCCGACGAAACTCAGGACCGAAAGGGCACGCTACCTGGAAGAGAAGACTGGCCTTCTGTGCCAAGGGCCGCAGAGACCGGGGTTTCGAACGGCCATCATTCGACCTCTCCCCAAAGCGTGGATAGACGGACTAGGTCGCCAGAGAGTCCGGGGAAGAGAAAGCGATCTAGCTCTGCGGAGGACGAATTCTCCTCTACTCAATCTCCAGACAGCACATCATTTCAACCCAGGCGACGGCTTGACTCTTACGTAGGAGTTAGCCGAGACGATTCTCCGCAAACAACATCTCAAACTCAGACTTCGGGAATGGAGCACTCCCAGCAGCGACCCTTTCCGCCTATGGATCGAGCAGATCATGATAGGAATTGGCCACCTCGAGATTCAAAGGAGTTTGTGAGGGCAACCTACGAGTCTCAGCCGCGGGATCCTCGCCGCATGGAATCTCAGCAAGACAGCATGAGTACGAGCCCCACGGATGACCCTCAAATGATGGGTGCCACAGACTCGCAGAACCCCGGGGAGAGGTCGAGTACTACTGAAATAACGCGGGCTGGTGTGCAAGTGGACCCGAAGAAGAGAAAGCGGGTAAGTGCACTCCAGACATGCAAGAATAGGCCTAACGGCTGCCAGCAATTTGCGAATCGAACGAAGACGGGTTGCGGAACATGTCGCAGGCGTAAGAAGAAGTGTGACGAGGGAAAACCAGAATGTGCGTCATTGTCAGCTGGTCGTGTCGCGACTGTCTCTCCTAAAACGTTCTAACTTCTCTTAAACAGGTAACAACTGTACGCGTGGAGGCTTCATCTGCGAAGGTTATGCCAATAAGATTCCATGGCCCAAGAACGGTATCTCGAAGCCTCATGTTCCACTGCAGGCGAAGGATCGATTTCCCATCGAGTCCGCCCAACTATACCATAGGTGAGTGACGCGCACTGTCTTTCTAACATAGCTAAGTACGACTCATAGTCACGGCCAAAGTCGAGAAGGCTACCAAGAGTCGACTCCCCAAGGCGCGTCGGACGGTGCTCGGAGTCGGCCTATCGTTGTGGAGGAACACGATCGTCAGGGATCGAGAAATGGCTGGGGCGCCGGCTGGGGTGAGCCACCTCGGCCTTCATACCCACCTGAGCATCCCCCACCAGTCGAATATGCACATGCTAGACCCCAGTCAAATGACCACCAGGTAGAACATCCATCTCAGACTCCCTCCGCATCTCGGCAACATAATCCTCGAATCTACCATCACACCCAGGAGACAATGAATCCCTACGGAAACAAGAATCCCTCTGTTCCAGGTCAACTTTTGCAACACCAGCCACAACCAAGCCATCAACATCCAATTCACTCTGCCTCTCCTGCAGGTCCTACTGGTCCGCCTGGTCCACCTCCTGGTCACTATGTTCAGCAGCCACCACCGCCACCCAAACCCCAGAAGACAGAGAAAGAGAAGATGCTCAACGGAGAGCCGTATCTGCTGTTCCACCCTTCCTTAATTGAGGAACGTGAGCAATGCAAGACGGCGCTCTATCGCTTTAATAGTTCTGGAGGCAACCCAAACCTAGGCATATCTCGAGAGGAACGCGAGCGACTGCTCCGTGCCATCGTGGAAATACCTTGGGCTCGGCATTCACGAGCTCCTGACAAAGTAAGCGGGCATCTTGGAAACGAGGTGTTTGTGGATACACCATTCACCTGTGATTATGGTTATAACGTTCGCCTCGGCGATCACGTCGTTATTTCACCGCATTGCAGATTGATGGATTCTCGCAAAATTACCGTTGGTGCCAGGACCATGATTGGAGAAAATGTTACCATTCAGACGAAGACAGCGGATACTGATCCACGAAAGCGGAATGGAAGCCGAGGTACTGTGTATGCAGCAGAAGTGACCATTGGAGAGGATGTTCTCATCGGCTGCGATGTCACCATCCTTCCTGGAGTCAAAGTCGGTAAAGGATCGACCATTGCCGCCGGGTCCGTAGTTACACGCGTAAGTTTAAGGATGTTCTGCAGATCATGGTATTAAGAGCTAACAATTCCTCAGGACGTTCCTAACTACGTTCTTGTCGCTGGTAACCCTGCTGTGACGAAAAGAGGTATTTGGAAGGGAAACTAATAAGGAATATTAAAAAGTAAACTATGCGAGTTCGAATCCAAATCCAGCGCCTCTCCAACTTCGGAGACTGAAATGGTAGCTGGGACAGGATTTCGGCGAGCAGATCAAACGCAGGCTCGGGCATCTCACGTGCTACACTCAATCTGACGGTTGCACGCGTTCGAACTTTGTATTTTCATCTCTTGGCATAGAGAGGAAGTAGCAACACCAGCTTTGGTACCCCTCGACCGCGGTCAAGAGCTTACGGTTAAGGTTCTCCACCTGCAACTTCTCGGATAGAAGTCAACTTTTCAGTGACGAAAAAGGTATGAAGAATGTGCCCAGGGCAGGATTGAAATAGAGAGAACTCAAGTGCTATTTTCTTGTTTCTGTACAATTTTCTGTTGGGAGGATACCCTGTTTTATAGATCTATCGGTTACTTACTGTACTATGGTCTGTCTGAGAGTGGAGGATGGAGGGCGGTATATATAACGCGATGATGACTTTTATCTCACATCAATGTATAAATCAGTTTTGCCATTTCTCTTGCGTCAAGGGCAATGAATTGACGATCACGTGAAAATAGACGCGCCTTAGCGAATGCCACGCTTGGACCATCTACGCAAAATAATCGCCGGACTTCATCGAAGCAGTTTCGCATTAAGCTCATCACTTCGACATAATGCCACCGAAAGCACCCCTTAATTGGGGTTTGATACCCCCATCATTCCTTCTCCCTTCATCGGCACAGTCCCTCTTCCCTCTAATACCTCTCACACAACCATATCCCCAACCATCCTACATCCCCATCCGAACTATTAAATCCACCAACAAGCCCCGTCCGGACCGCTTCGCCTACGACTCCAAACGCTCTCCCCTTCAAAGCAGCACCTCCGCTGCCCTCGCTCGAAAAGCGCATTCAACCCCTCTTCGAACCGGTGCCCTCGCCCTCAAACGGGGTATGACTGCCCTCTACGACCCTGAAACTGGAAAACGCACGCCGTGCACTGTACTCCAACTCGATCGCAACCAAGTTATCATGCATAAAACGCGGGAGAAAAATGGATACTATGCCGTGCAGATTGGGGCGGGACAGAAGAAAGCGGATAATGTGACGAGGCCCATGTTGGGACATTTTGCGACAGCCAGAGTCAGTCCGAAGAGGTGGGTTGTGGAGTTCAAGGTGAGAGGGGAAGAAGGATTGAAGGTGAGAGTCGGGGAGGCGATTACAGCGAGCTGGTTTAGAGCAGGTCAGTTTGTAGATGTTAAGGGAATTAGTCGGGGGATGGGGTTTGCTGGTGTAAGTTTTCCCTCTTCGCAAGCTCAAGAGGAAGGGTAAGCGACATTGAAAAAAGGACTAACCTTTGTGATGTAGGGAATGAAACGTCACGGCTTCAGCGGTCAACCCGCTTCTCACGGTCAATCGCTCATGCATCGTGGCATGGGTTCTGCTGGAGGTTCGCAAGGCTCTGGTTCAAGAGTGCTACCAGGAAAGAGAATGGCGGGTAATATGGGCAATGAAAGCGTCACGGTCCAAAATCTGAAGGTTTTGCAGGTCGATGATGCAAACGGTATTGTGGTTGTAAGCGGTATGTCTCGTCTAACAACAGGGGTTAGATTTGAGTTTGGAGGCTAACAGGGTTGTAGGATGTGTTCCAGGTCCGAAATACCAGATTCTGAGAATCCAGGACGCCAGGAAGAAGCCGTGGCCCGAAGGACCAATGTCTATTGCTGAAATGGCATCGATGGCTTCTCAGACCGCCACAACTACAGTTACTGCAGAAGCATGAAGAAATTACATTACTAGACGAAAGAGAATTGTATTATAGCCATTCTTGGCGTTGGGATTACATGCAAGACGCACTTGAGCGAAGAAAGCATTAGCAATTTTGTACATTGGAACACGTCACAACTACTGTTAACCATATTTGATTGAAACTATATCTGGGTATCATATCTTTGTCCATCTGTTGTCATCCTACACCACTAATTGTTGATGAATGTCATTCGTTGTGTCAATGATTCCGGTGGTAGATATCGAGTCACCGGATAGCGGGTCCAGCCTAATACAGGAGATATATTGTTTTCGTAGCCTATTTCGGCGATGTGTGTATCTGTGAACCTAGTCCTGGATGATTGTTGAACAGGACAGGGGTAAGTTGAAGCGATACTGGCATACTAGCGTTGTGGTGTTTGGATTGATGTTGGAAGGGGTGGGCAATGTGCGCATCTGCTTTGTGGGCCATGGGCTACCAGTCATCGTAGCCATCTCCGAAACCATCTCCATAACCATCGGTATACCCGACTGCATAATTATATCCACCGTTATCTGGATAATCGTCATTTTCACCGTCGTCATATCCCGGGTTAAAGTCATGGCCTCCAGTATTGTACCCGCCAAACCTATTGTTACCACTAATCATATCTCCGTCATCCTGGTCACAGGTCGCAATGGCCCCGTCGTCGTCATCATTATCGTCATCGTGCTCGTCGGTTAGCACATCGATGTTTCCATTTCCGTGCACCTCATCTCGTCGCACATGAGCAGGACCGCTCACAAACCGCGTCTGGCTGATCATGTCGTCGGAGCTATTGCTTTGGATATAGTCCCCGTCGTCCCCGTCTTCTTCGTCCTCGTAGCTCCCTGGCATAATATGCTTGGTATTAACCTTAGGCAACTTCGCTACATCGTGCCTTCGAAGACTATCCAGGATCGCTTGGGCCTCCTTGACATCTTCATGATTCGACATCTTAAGGCCATACGATCTCATGCATAGGTCCATATTATCCCATCTGCCGTCTTTCATGACACAGTATTTAGACCTATCATCGGCAGACGTGGCTGTGCCTCGTCTGATACTGGTACCGGGTTGATAGTCAGATTTCCGGGAAGTCGTGTTGGTAGTGTTGGGAGAGCTTCCATTACTTTGTCGTTGTGATTGGACAATGGAGGTGAAGCTGTATTGATAGTTGGAGCTGCTGTAGCTTTCGGATTCGCTTGTATAAGACATTTTTCAGCACAGGCGTGACTGGTATACTAAGAACGTGCACAAGAAAGTTGAAGTCGATGGTTTCGGGTTTTTGGGAGAACAGGAGTTTGGAGTTGGTGAGCGAAGGAAGGTATTGGCTGATTGAGGAGAGAATCCTGCTTTTTACTAGCCCATGGGCTTCCTTCCTAACATCCTGAGTGTTGAGGAGGTGAGGAAGCAATCATCGTCCGAGGTCGACATGCAGGAAGACGTGGTGGAGAAGAAAGGCTAGCCCCGGAATGGTTAGTTGGAGCTTTGGCCAGATACTCTCCCCCAACCTCCACCTCACCCCGCCTCACCCCGCCTCACCAGTGATGTCCAATTCTAGCAATATTAAGCCCCTGTCCTGGAAATGAAAAGAACCGTAATGTCACCTTTGCATGGCTATGCTAAGAATTAGATGTCGAAAATTTTGTTCAGAATAACCATCAAAGTCGATAGGGGAGCATTACGGCGATTTGAGATGCAGCCACATGAAAAGAAACATCTTGAACACGCGTCAGGTCCGGAAGGACTGCCCGAGGAAGCAGAATGCAATACTACGCGTTGCCATTTACTCTGGAGAAAACAGGAAGATACTTTGCGGTAGGTATTGGCATCCTTTTAACCTTCTCTCTTAAACTCTAGCAAGCGGGTTTGCTGATTAGGCTCCCCCTGTTCATGTTCCGCGTTATGCGCTAACGAGCGGCTGAAGATTCTAGTAGAGTAAGATCTTGGCTTTCTCCTTCGCCAAAATATACTGTCTCCCAAAACCGCCAGAATGATCCAAATTACTCCTGAATTAGGCTCTCCCATGTTTTGCTATGCTAAAATTGGGGTTGATTGGTCGCCGGGCCCGACAGTGGGTTTAGGTGGAAAGCCCTGCGGATGTTAATATGCATGCGTGTAGATGTTTGGATGATAAAAATGTGGAGAGAGGCTAAGAGCGAGGTGGAGCTCGGGCTAGGGCTATTCCAACTCCAACCCCACTACTTTTCGTCGCCCATGAATCTCCAGAATATGGTTTGCAAGGCAATCCCCGGTCGTGCCTGAAATAGCGCGTTGGCGGTAACACGGCGCATCAACAGTAAAGCTGTTTTTAATAAGCATGTTGCTGGAATTAGGGAGGTGGTTAAAGGATCGGAAACATCTATCATATTCCTGGGATCAGAACAAGCAAGACCTGTTGGACCTCCCCAGCCATTTCTACCGACTCTTTTGACAGGAATTCAACTCTTGAGGGGATAAAAATTGCAGCCATAGATCATATTCTAAGCCCGACCACTGCTTCCAGCGAGGTGGTTACCTAAAAGACTCTTTCCAAACGCCGGTATTACTGTAGGGCTTCCAACGGGCCGTACTACGGTCCGTACAAAGTGAACCGTAACGGTCACGTGAGCAGTACGAACGTACCAAGTTTGTGAGGTGTACTGTACGTTTAATAATGCCCTAGGTATAGTACATAGTACAGACTGTATTACTCTTTTATAAAGTTTATATAGTGATTTTAGAGGAGTAGGAGGGCTCTAGCGAACAGTAGACCTGTAAGAGTGTTTAGGAGGGTTTCTAAGTCTTTTAATCTATCTATCTGCAGTCTGTAGTCTTAAAAATGCTTATTGCTAGCTATTTTTATCTACCTACACGCTCTACTGCCTTATAGGCTTTATCTAGTTACTTAGATACCTCTGTTGCCTATTTTACGCAGTCTTGTAAGCTGCAGAAATTAAGAGCCCTTTACACTACGTCTTCTACTTTATCCTACAATAGTACACTATCTGTAGCTAAAAATTAGTTGCAGCAGTTCCTAAAGAACTGTAATTATAACACTAAGGTTAAGTTTACAATTAACTAGAATAATATATAGCTGTTAGACTTAAAACAGGTGTTGCCCTTAGCGGAATTAGGTGTTACGACCCAGGACAAGATCGTAAGCGAGTGTCGTGCAGCCATAGAATCCTATGACTATTATTGGTGGAACACCTCTTAGCAGCACAGGCGACTTTGGCACGGATCGCGCGGAGTCGCCCAGAGCGTGCTGTATAAGTTAGGCATAGCTGACCGCAACAACCGCAATAGCCGCAACTATGTAATAGCGGTCACTGCGGTCACAACAGTTAACTAAACAAGTATATAGCCTTAATCTTAGGCATTACTAGAGGGCTGTAATTAACATTTAGTCTTATCTTTATATAGACTAAGTTGTAACGGCACAGGCAAGACAATGGATCCAAATGCGGTAGGAATCCACTCAGAGGCATATGGGAGTGCGTGGGGACTCAATGACCTGGGAATTCCATTGACACCTATAGGCCTTGTACGAAGGATATCAGAAAACTACCGAGCTAGCTACGGGAGAGAGGTGCAACTAAATACATGGGGGAATAGGGTCGAGTCAGGGTCGGGGCCAGGCCGAGTCAGGGTCGAGGCCGATACGGGGACCCTTCAGATAGGTTCTGGGTAGTAAGCAGCAAGCTTTTAGACCTCTTTGCTTATAACGTCTTTCCCTGGGTCGCCGGACGCACGCTGTCAACGGACAAGATTATGGGTTTCACCTCTAAGATCTCTCCCTTGCAAGTCTATCGACATATAATCAATATATCACTGTTCTATGGCCATCTCTCCTCCATGAAACCCTGTGCAATTGGAATTATCGCGTCTGTTGGTCATGCTGTCGATCGTTTCACTGACGCCATCAATCGCCACTTCAGCGGTTCTCCCTTGCTCAATTGCAGCTGTGGGAGTTTCTTCGAAGCTCGGAGGGTCAGAAGGGATGTGCTACAAGGAAAGAATATAGCTTCAAGCCTTGAAGGCACTCTGACCATAGGTGATGCATTCCGAGAGTTTCGCCGAGCGGAAGAGAAGGTGGCGATAGCCACTTGGCTTGCATGGTCTACCTCAGCCTTATCGTATTATACTGTATTTTATCCTCACGCTTTTAGCGGCTTGTGGCGCACCGCAGAAGGCTCCAGAACTTTCTATAACGGGAGACCGGTCCCTGCGCACCCGCTAATGCCTTTCGGAACGAGCCTTGTGAATCCCGCTTCGAGGGTAAAGGGCGTTAGTTGGTCCAGCGTTGGGAGAGGAGAGAACCTTTCGTTTCAAGAGGCCTGTGGCGCAGGACTTTGTGTTTGACGGTGCGTTAAGCTCCGCGGCTAGCGTACAATCTACCAATCGCAAGAATCGGGGGCTATCCTGCGCATGCTGTTGATGTGTTGTCTGTTGTGTGTTCTATATGGATCTGGAGTGCAGGATTTGGTCCGGATATGAGGGATTTTCGTGTGTTTGCGTGGCTCAGCCTGTGGCTGGTGCTGTTTTGCGACAGGAGGAAATCCTGAGGCGTGTGGCTCTAGCGTTGAGAGGGGGCGGAAGAACCTTTCGGAACTTTCGTTCCTTCAGCCTCCCCAGCGAACTCCGCAACCAAAGAAAACTTGTATACACGGCCAAATTGTCTATCCTACTGCTCTCACACCCTCATCTTGCTGACCTCTGTGTCCTTGCAGGTCTCCTCGCACTGCTATGCCGCACCTCTGCTACGCCGCACCTCTGCGTCCTCGCTCATCTGCTTCCTCGCTCGTCCCCAATAGAGATCCAGAGACTTTTTACACGTCATCATGTGTGCTAATATTTGCACAAAGCGGGATTTAAAAGACCTTTGTGAGGTCGAGGATTATGAAACTGGTGCATTCATCCGATCAACCTTTACCTACGTCGATGAACAGGATATTGCATGGTTCGGTCGGACAGCGGATAAACGAAAGTATCATTTGACCGTTGAAGACCTGAATCGTCTCTTGCAAGAAATCTCCGACGAGAAAATCTATCCACTGAAAAACTCGTCCATCTCCATGGTATCAGACGCAGATCGAAAACGTTTCTTCATCAAACGGCCTAAACTGTCATGGCTTGACAGCGACGAAGAGGCGAAGCTTCTGCCGCAAATAACTCTTGAGGAAGCGAAGGTCTTGGAGTTTCTCAAACAACACCCTCATCCAAATATCGTCAAATATCACGGCTGTACCGTTAATCGCGGTTATATAACCGGAATTGCCCTCGAAAAGTACGAAATCATCTTGCAATACCGCTTTGAGGACGTTCCACACGATCTCGATATTGTTGCCTGCATGGACGGCATCCGTAAGGGAGTTAAGCACCTCCATCTTCTTGGATACGCTCACAATGATCTTAACCCAACGAATATTGCCATTGATAGCGATGACAACCCGATTATTCTGGACTTTGGTTCTTGTAGAAGGTTTGGCGAGAAGCTTCTCACCGCAGGCACCTACGGTTGGATCGATGGAGAATATGCCACATCTGCTCAACGACATGACGAGTCCGCAATAAATAAAATAGAAGCCTGGTTGAAGGAGGAGAAGAACAAAAGAGCCACCATGGCCACTTGAAAGATGATATGCTGTGTAGGTGGCCTGTTGTGGGTAGAACCATTACCAGGAGACCTTGGCTACCCCCTCACAATTCTGGCTTGCTCCCTTTCATCTCTCGTTAGAAATGATGCACGTTCAATACAATCCTCTGTAGTTGCAGGAGACGCTATTCCCTGGCTCCCAACATAGCCAACATTTCGTTTATGTGCAATTTATATGTAGAGTACATGGTACTGTGGAATCTTTCATAGAAGGAGCGCTGGAGATTTACCGGATATCTCATATATATTGTGAACACTTCCCCTCTTCCCAATCCTCATACATACAACTGACAGATAAACAAAAGACAGACAGACAGACAACAGACAGACATATGAAAGACAGACATACAACAAACAGACATACAGCAAACAGACATACAACAAACAGACATACAACAACAATCACTTTACAACAACAATCACTTTACAACAACAATCACTTTACAACAACAATCACTTTACAACAACAATCACTTTACAACAACAATCACTTTACAATCCCGCGCTCCAGCGGGATTCATCTATCAATTCCGGCCTAGACATGGCATCCACCACACTGCTTTCCCTCGCCCTTCGACTCAGCAGTAAGGGGCATCCGTTGTCAAATCGTAGCAAGGTTGTGTCTCAATGGTACCGCGATTATTTGGGTTATGATCGGACGTTGGGCAGCTTGCTCTTCCGCAGTCTCGCCTCGTGACATGTTGCTGTCTTAGCTTTGCTGTCTGCTGTGTCCACCTTCTGCAGGAGAACATAAAGTGTGCTATCGATTCTGTGGGTCCACAGTCACAGGCCGCCGTTTCCGATGTCAGAATATATGAAGGCTGGGAGTCACGTTTGTGGCGCTGATCCAATGTACATAAGCTCAGTTGATCCTTAAAAGCAAATAATGCAACTAACTCAACACTTTGTCATCTGATGCCTTGATTTTATGCATATACACATTGAGAAACATCTTGCCGGTTCTTAACTGCGTAAGGATGGCTACCTCTCAGCTACTCAGCTGCTCAGCTGCTGGTACATTCTTGACGACTGCCGCCTTGAGAGCCTGCTTCACTAGATATATTGGGACGCCGTCACTGTGTGGTGATTCTTCGCTGCCTGGTCTTGTCGCTGCTGTGGCGAGCTTATTGGCTTCCTCGTTGAAGTTGAAAGTGTGTTTCTTAAGTGTATCCATTAGTATATGATCTAATAGCTAACATCCTTCACTGTGTAACGAGAATCACTGCGTTACGAGAAAATCATTGGGTACTTAGACTTCGAAGCAACAAAACTCTGCCCACGTCCTGACATTTGCGTAGTTCTCGTTTGAGTTGTGCGGCGTCGCCATTCCTGACCCTCCCGACGCCCGCTACTGGGAAAATTACCATCTCCTCGTCGCCTTCGTGTCTGATCTCCAGAGAGCCTCGTTTTATGGCGTAACAGGACTCCTCCACCACAACTTCAACACCGAGTCCTCATCACTCCTGATACCCACAAAGGGGTCAAATGCAAGCCTTGGAGCCTCACTACGATGCGGAGAAGTCATCGTCAGCCTTGTGGCGGCCGTGACGCTCTTCATTTATGCAACGCAGGAGGCTGATCGGTACCTCCCAATCAAAGGGATGACAATCCCGGTTAGCGTTGAAACGCCCTTACACGTCCGTTGCCGCCGTCGTTCCCTTTGTCCGGTAAAGATGGGCAAATAGAGATAAAGAGGCCAGCCTTGGTGCTCGCCATGTGATTGCCTGTGCCCTGTTTCGTTCCGCCATCTCATGCCGCTGACTTATTGGCGCTATTGCTGTCCTGCGTCCAACTCCATCATACCTCAATATGTCTTGCACTGGGTTCCGCGACCATCATCATGTCCGCAGTTGTCCTTCCTGTCGTCCATGTCGTGTTCTCGCTGTATCCCTGTTGTCGTTTTCCGCCACCAACAACAGATCATTTGCCCCAAGCGTAAAAATTGGTGGTGAACGGGCGGATCTTTCGCATCATGTTCGTCTCCTTGAGGGTATTCTTCGTTCGAGCGACTTGGCTGTGCACAAGTTAGCTCAATCCTTGACTGGAGGGTATGCACTAACAAAATGCCGTCCATATCGCAACGGACATGCTTCAAATCGGGGCTTGCGGTTAGTCTTGAAGACCAACTCGGAGGGGGAAAAAGTGGCTAGCAGCACCGCCGAAACCTGTGTAATGTCGTAAAGGTTGATCGCACACTGTGATTGAACGGCTTTAGAGTCAATAGCTCGTCCGCGGCGCCCGCATTGTCCAAGACCGCTTGCACGCGTCATTGTGGCGAGCCCGCAACCACAGTCAGCCACAGGCTCTGACAGGGCTCATATCACACAAGGTGAAATATATCGTAATATATTTTAGCCGGTCTCACTTCGACCAGGGGTCCCTTGTACTTTTAGATGAGATGTACCGGGGGCGAGGCGACGTTGCATGAATCAGCATGCGATGACGCCCATAGGGCTGACGATACCGTATCAACCTTGTGGCAAGGCTTAAAAACCTTGATCGAACCCATCGATGGGTTTGAAGGGCGAAAAGAACTTGGTGGTGGTGCTGTGGCCCGAGGCGCTATGATACACCATGAAAGGGGCTTCTCCGTTATCAGGTGCGGAGGCGACGATGTGTCGAAATTCTCGGATGTCGCCGGGTAGGAGGGCTTAGGATTGGTCTCATCTCACGATCTGATCTGCAATTATGGGAGCATTCGATGTGTGCACTGCGCCTGAGTTGCTTCAAGTCAAAGTACCTATGGTTTGTCCGGTGACAGCGTGCGTCCGGCGACCCAGGGAAAGATATTATTACTAGAAAGAATTAGTTATCTAATAGCTAAGTATTTAGACCTTAGTCCTGCATCTTTAAAGACCTATAATATTAGCTGTTTTAACTAGAGTACAATGTACTTTAATTAAATTGTACTACTTGTACAGATTACGTGAGCTGTAACAGTTACAATACGTACACCTACCTCTCCTCCTCCCTGCCGTACGAACGTACTCAAAATCTCACCCGTACGGGCCTCAAAATCGCCCAATTGTACAGTACTACGCCTCGTTGGAAGTGTTGGGTATTACCCCATTATATTCCCCATAAACCGAAATTTAATCCCTTATTCCCCTATTCGACACTTATTCATACGTTTGATCAATCTCCACGGTCTTCGTGATCTTCATCCCTCCCTCCAGCGATGGAGAGTGATTCCTGTAGGATCGATCCTGACTAGCCTGCGAAGACGTACTTCGAATCGAGTTCGCCATCATGCCAGGCCGTAGCATTTCTGTGATCAAAAAATTATCATCTGGTTCCCAATCATAAGTTTTATGGGAGGCGCTCGTGTTCTGTTTTCCCCCAAGCTTCGGCCGCATCATTTCGATACTTCGGTCAGTCGAATGGTACCCTGAGTACCTTGTCGAGTGTTGAGTACCAAAGTGGTGCTTGTAGAAGGCCGGTACGACTGGCATACAAGCAGCGATGAGGCCAATGTACACTTCCGCGATGCTACAAGGTATTTGTCAGTAATAAGGTGGGTGAGGCTTATCTGAGGTGTGGCTTACCCCCAGAGGTTTACGCGCATGAAAATCAGTGTCTGGTTTGCGCTCATTCCGTTCTGAACGATATCCACTAGTCGAATGATACTGCAAATACACGCTAACCCACCTGCACTGAAAACCGCTATCACCTTAAGCTTCTTTTTCTTCGGCATGTGGAGGTCGCTGGTCAGTGGAATAGGCGCAGCGAGGATAAGGAGATCCGAGACGACCGATATCACAGAGTCGGCCAGAATCAAAGCCCGCTGGTTGAAGCATTTCCCGTCTATTTCTGGCATCATGAACTTCATCACAGGACGGCAGATAGTAGCTTTTAATACCAGAACCGGGAGGTAGTAAGCCAGCAATACCCCGATCGAGATATTTATGACGAGGACGGCTCTCCGATTCGGCGCGAAAACTCGAGCCAGAAATAGGAGAATTGAGGCCTTGATGCAGAATGCACAAGGGCCATACAGTACCATAGTAGCATAGACGGTCTTGTACTGTTCAGTTTCGGAGTTTGAAGGGAAAGGGGAGGTACCGTACAGCGTGAAAGTTCATCAGGTTTTCCTTAGGGACCTCCCATTGATTCAAACCGCCACCGAAATGGTTCATCGTGAGGGCAGTTGCTGAATATCCTACCGCTAACAGCTTGTAAAAGTCAGTCCGTGCCATAATGTAGCTGAGAGCGGCGACATACGAAGCCTGCAATAGCCCACCAATCCTCAAGTCCAAAATTTCGAGATATCTTCATGCGGATATAAACTCGGAGCATAACAATCAAGCCCACAAGAGAGAGGCACAGTGCCTGAGTTACAATGTTCGCCGTCCACACTGTTCGGTCGGGTTTGTCAAAATCTGGAGTTACTCCATGAGGGAGTGCAAGATCACCATCCATGGTGGTAATTAGCGTTCAACGTTGAGGAAAATATCAGAAATCCAGAAAATAGTTAAAGTAAGAAGGATTAATATATCGATGAAGAGCTCGGGACGGGAGATTGATAGTGAAGAGGAATAACCGCGCTCTCAACATTGGTCGAATGCGTTTGCAAAGTCACTCGGGGCTCACACTGACAAAATCTTGCTCAAACTACCTTGAATCAAACGTGTCACGGGTTTAAAATTCCTTCACTTATGCAAATCCTTGCAAGAATTCACATTGACCTTAAAGAATCTCCATTGTTCTTCCTTTCCCCAGCTTCCGCGCTTTGACACTTTCCCATGTCTTGGCTGGTGCCTTTCACCTTTTTTTTCCGATCCTCATTCTCTAACGACAAAGGAATGTTTCGAGCTTAAAAGTCCCCAACATGACGCAAGCGGAGCAAATCAATGCTCGCACAATTTCTCTCAAACCCCACACCTGGGGTGTGGGCGACTCGGCAAGGATAAGGGACATGTCGACACCATGGTGAAGTCGCAAATATCACCAAAGCGTTGCAGTCGTTAGGCCGCGAGGCTCCTAATGGCAATAGATCTTCATTTGTTGTACAAAAAAGGAAACTTACCGCTTCCACGCCAATGGTCCAGTGAAAGCCTCCAGAATTAGCGTCCGGCTTATGCTACTCAGCATCCTTCCAGCACCCCGAGTCGAGCAGTGGATAGATTTGCAGCAAGAGTGACTCGAGTTGGGCTATTGTTAACGAGTCAAATCCATCGAGGCGAATTGGAAAGAGTAGTAACCCAAGCCTTGATACTAGGGGTGTAGGCCGGCAGGAGGGATTATCCCCTGATTTATTGGCGTGGTTTCCGGAACGCGTGAGGCAGGGATGGTGGCGAGGTGTCCCAAGCGTCAATACCTTATTGCATTTGTCTACGAATACTGCAGATCTTTATGCTCTGCCTAGGGGGCTCCGTTGGGCACACCGGACCTGTTATCGCTAAGTAGCTATCTCTCCTTTCAGGGCTGGAAGTAGTAGTAGGTACCGCGTAGCATCTGGTATCGATATAAAATGTAAGCTTCAATAACATGTTCGCGAAGATAGATTAGTCACATGTTCCCATATTGATCTGTGTCGCTTAATCCCGATGCTAAGGACCGGAAGTGACTGCATGTCTAGCTGCATCGAATGAAGGGGTGTTGCATGTGAGAAATGGAGAGTTTGCAAAGTATGGAAGAGACTCACATCGTGGCCAATAAGCGTCAATTCCATTTGAATATGGACCATTTCACTTAGTATACTGATAGATGATCAACTACTGTCCATCTTTAATATTCGCATTCGGCATGTGTTCTGCCCAATACTTCGATAATACCTCAAGATAATGGCAAATAATTCTCGAGTCGTGAACTTCGGCTAAACCTAAACAACAACAAATCTCAGGATTCTCCATAACGGAGGGTACACTCGGTTCTCACTTCAGAAAACTGCCATGCAATTCGGCGGCGAAGATACCCCTCCAGGCATGTTCAATGGCGTCGACGCAACAAAGAACGTCCATCTCCCTAGCTGTTTGCAAATGCAGGAGAGTTCCTCCAGATCAAACATCTCGCCAATTGGCATCCCCCAACCGGCAAGGAGGTACTCGTGGAGAAACCAATTCGGGTCTTTTGGTGGATACACCTCCCAACTGATCGCATCTCCAGCTACAGCGGAAAACTTCGAATCCCATATCCATCTCAGCACCTCTTCAGAGCCTTCAACACCTGCATGTTGAGGATTCGAGCTTGCTGCATAGGTGTTCTTCTGCTCTATGGTCATTTTCGTATCCCACTCCTTCGTCATGCCTATCCTGATGAACAGGACATCGCCTCTCCGGAACTTGATCCCTGATTCTTTTGCAATCTCCTGGATGTCTGAAAGCTTTACTGCGTGCAGCGAGAACGTTGAATACTGAATCCCTTTCTTCTCTGCCCATGAAGCATAATCAATCAACACCCCACGACCCGCAATTCCCTCCTTTGCCCAATGCTGAAGCCCAATCCGAGTATTCTTCCGATCTTGAATCTTCGCAGCTGTCGTCCCACCGTAGAACACGCGCTCCGATGCTGGATCTTTCCCTGCAGTCCCAGGAATCGGCTGTGAGAAATGACGGAGGCCATCCCACTGACTACTCTGCTGTGGATTAAAAGTGTATATATCGTCGAACGCAAACCCGTGCAACAACGGCACTATTTCATGTCCACATGGTTGTCGATTGAAGCCCGCGACTTCAAGCTTTGTCAAGTCCCATCCGAGCGTGACTCTACGTCCAGTTTGGATTTCTGATGCGGCCTTGGCGACGATGTCGGGGGTTAGAATAGAGAGTTTTCCGAGGCCTTCTTCACGGCTTCCTGGGCTGCCGAGCCAGATGCGCTTTTTGTCTTGGAGAAAGTCGAAGGGTGTGTCGAAGAGAGAGACCATGTCGGATGGGTGAGAAAAGATGGCAAGTTTTCTGATGTTGGTGAAGCGGCCTAGCAATTGGTTGGATTTTAGTTCAATTGTGGAATTGAAAATACTAACCTCGGTGATTATTCACATTCGAAATTAAGATCCAAACAAACAGGTACTGGTCGAGATCACCGGGGTCAATTTGCGATAGGGCTTCGTTAAGTTTTGGAGATCAAAGCAACCCTCCATCTTCCCCTCCAACTTCAAGGCCAGCCTCTCACATATCCATCACATCATTTCTGACACCTGCCATATGATCTAACTGCGCGCACATATCACGGCAAACTTCCGTCCTCTTCTCACTTATTTCCGCCACCCTCCCACAATTCCCGTATCAAATCCTCGTCCGCAAAGCATCCAAACTGGGTAGAAATGCGGTGAATCCCATGTCGCCAGATTAAGTTTTCACCGACAGCGGGTCAGTCATCCGAAAAGTTACGGGAGCAGGGAATTAGCCTGCGCGTGCGGGGATAACTCGCATGTCGATCATGCTGTTTCAGGGAAATGTGGAGAAGGTGAGGGGAATCTGACGAACAGGGTTGGATACCTCGCACGAGCTACCTGAGCGGCAAGGTGGGGGTGGGAGGAGAGGGAAAGGGGCGAGCGATCTGCCGAGGAAGATGAGGAAGATGTGATCTCCATTTGCCAGAAAAAGGGCTGGCCTGAGAATGCAAGCCTGCTCGAAAGGGATAAGGTGAGGGGGGCGTCGAAGAGAGGGTTGCGCAACTGACTTCATCCTTCCCACCGACGATTTAGTCCCCCGTTACCGGGCCGTACCCGCAACCCAAGTAGACACCGAAGATCGTGGATCCTGCAAGTAAACGTTCGACGACAATCCCGGTTACAATATCTGTCGTGGAACGCCTTTTGGCGACGCACCTCCTGCCGACTCAAATATGAGCTTGGTTGCCTGTTACTTGTCGTAGCCTGGTTTGTATCCCGTTCCCCTTAATCCACGGGTTTCTGCAGATTCTGCGGTACACCGCATTTCCCAAGGTTTGGGTTAGGTTCCGGATTAAAGCGTGTCTGTCTTTGTATTACTCTTTTTCCCTAGGGAGTAGGTGTGACGAACATGGGAACTGTAAAATCAAGGTCCCAGACCAGTCGATATAATCGGATTGTGACTGTGTTTGTTGCCCTTGGATCCTTTGTGAGTTTTTAAGACAAGCAAAAGACCATTTGCACTGATGAAACTCCAGACGTACGGATACTGCGCAAGTATCATAGGTTCGACAATCGGGCAGCCAGGATGGTACAGCTACTTCGGCCTGCCAGTTGACGGAGAGCCAGGATACAGTGGAAAAACGACTCATACAATCGCAACTGCTAATGGACTGTTCAGTGCTGGTGGAGCGGTAGGCTCACTCTTCATCATGTGGTCCGCAGGAAAGTGTGGAAGGAAAGCGAATATCCAGATTGGAGCTGCGTTATCCGTCCTTGGTGGCGCATTGCAAGGAGGAGCTGCAACTCTCGCGTAAGTTGGCCAGAAGTCGAAATTATGAGTTGGTGGTGTTGACATTGAGTAGCATGTTTCAAGCTGGGAGATTCATCTCGGGCATGGGCATTGGCGTCCTCGTCACCATCTGTCCCATGTATCTCTCCGAGATGTCTAGCCCATTCGTCAGAGGTTGGCTTGTTGGACACCATGCCATCTTCCTCGTCTTCGGATACATGCTCTCCGCTTGGGTTGGATATGGCTGTTACTTTGCCACCTCAGTCAATCAGACCTTCGCTTGGCGATTTCCGCTGTGTCTCCAGGTTCTTAGTCCTCTTATTCTCCTCCTTGGATCGCCATGGCTTCCAAGGTCGCCAAGATGGTTAATTTCGAAAGGGCATGTTGAGGAGGCATATGATGTGCTAAAGAAGCTTAGAAATTCGCTGAGAGATGAGCATGATTTGGTAGCGAAGGAGGAATTCTACCAAACTAAAAAGCAGTTGGAGCTGGACGCTGTGAAGCTCGCAGCAACAGGATACGGAGTTTGGACTGCAGTGTGGAAGAAGAAGAGTTATCGGAAGCGGATGATCGTCGACTTCCTCACACAATGGTGAGTCTGATCATTCCGGTTCACAACTTGTCGCTGATGGATCCTAGGGGGGCTGAGTTCGCTGGACCTCTTATCATTAACAACTATGCCGTCATTTTATACACTAACCTTGGTGAAACCGGACATATGCCCCTGCTATTGAGCGCTCTATGGCTCACCACAGCCGGCCTGATATACAACCCAGGCGGTGCCTGGCTTCACGACAAGATCAACTCCCGGCGCGGAATGTACATGTTCGGGCTAGGTGGATGTCTCCTCACTACCTCTCTCATTGCGGCTATGACTGCTGAGTTCGCTGGGACGACAAACCGTGCTGGCAATGGCATGGGGATCTTCTTCATCTTCCTCTACCTCACATTCCAGGGAACCTTCTGCGACACCACGATGTACTTATACGTCTCCGAAATCTTCCCAACGGAGATTAGACCAATTGGAATGGGATTCTCGCTGTTTGGTCAGTTTGCTGCGACTATAATTCTGCTACAGACGGCTCCTATTGGATTTGCTAAGATTGAGTGGAAGTACTACCTTGTTATTATTGTATGGTGTATGGTGTACATTCCAAGTAAGCCAACTCCCCTCTTCTTTCTGCCCTACGGAGAAACACAAAGGGGTTAATTCAAATCTAGTGGTGTATTTCTTCTGGCCGGAAACCGCTCGGCTAAGTCTAGAAGAAATTGCGAAGAAATTCGGCGACGAGGTTGCGGTGCACGTGAATGATGCCACGGAGGAAGAGAGACAGAAACTTGATAGGGCGTTGTTCGACGCTGATGTGACGAAGTCGGATCTGAACAGTCAGGAGGTCAGGGCGGTCGAGACAAAGTTGGATGCCTGACTACCTGTTGGGATGGAGAATAGTTGATCATTTAGCTATATCTTGTAATATAGACCTAGATATGCCAGGGGGGTGCTAACCGGATGGATACTGCGGAGATAGGTTAACGCAATCGTAGGTTGTTAGAATCCTAATCAAATTTTGGCAACGACGGTAGAGCGCGGAAACCATAGGTGATCTATAGATGTTGTTATCTCCTACCTTATCGGGTAATTTTCATCCAAGCCACAAGGATTCGTGATCCATCGAGAACAGCGTCATCGCAAGTGGCGCGGATCTCCAAGTGCTGCAGCCTCCAAAGAAACCCACCACTATCACTTATTCACAACTCTCCAACCACTTCTGCTTCCTAGCTTAAACCTCCATCACGGCCAGAGAAGAAGAGAGTACTTCACAGAAACCCACTATGACATCCACACGTCTCCGTCAAACCTTCCGCTACCCTGCGGACGACTCTGATGATCCTGTCGAAGGCCTTGATGAACAAGGTAACTTCTCCCTTCCCTTCTCTCCACTACTCTTAACTCCTCCATAGATCAAGAAACCCTAATATCTACCCTCTCCACCTATGACACGCGTACTACAACCCTCTACACCCGCATCCTTCTCGCGCTCCCGCTCTCCCCAATCCTTCTTTACATCCCACGGCTATTTAGTCTCGAAACTTGCATGTCTAGCCTAGCTTCCGTACTATGTCTTCTAGCGACAGCATACATCCTCTATTTCCTCCCCTTACCTCCCGTCTCCGCAGCCGCGAATCCCGATCCTACGCTCGCACCATCCAGCTCCACCCTCGGAAAAGGCAAATCCATATCCCGCAACTCCGCAGGCCACAAAGCCTTCCTCGACTTGACCGAGCCGTCGGACCTCCCTTATCTATCTGCAGATCAAGCAGCCCTGGTGCGTAAATTCCTCATCCCAGTCACCGGCGCAACTTGCTTGTTGCTCGCAGTATATGAGATGTGCCATGGTAGGACCTGGAGTGACGGGATGACGATAGGAGGGGGATATGTGCCGGGTTTTATATTGAGTGTCGTTTTGTGGGCAAGGAGAGAGTTGAGAGAGCTTGATTTGGGGGAGTTGGAGAGGCTGAGGTACAGGTATAAAGGCGCTTGATTTTGGGAGCTACAGATTGTGAGTTTATGGATTGGTTGGGCTTGGGTACGGGTATGGGGTTAGGTTGATAGTCAGGCAGGAATTAAGGGTATGGGCATAGGTTGCATTGGAGAGATGGCGAAAGGAGTTGGTTGGTAAGGATAGGATAGGATGTTCGTTTTGAACGGACGGAGTCAAGATACCCCACAACTACAATTGACAATCATCGCATCTCACCACTAAACTCAGCCCTGTCCATCAAGATCTATGGACAGGAAGAGCAGTCCTACGCCTAGCCCGATCTGATCTGATCTGATCTAAGAACCGTAAATCTCCAAGACGCCCCGCAATGAAACAAGACTCAACTCCCTCCCCCATATAAACGCCACACCACCCGCTCCCAAAGAATACCAGAAGGTCGACACCCACATAAACATTTCAATCATCTAGTAAAGACAGCAAAATCTTGCATATCGATCACAACAGTCACAACATCATACTCTTCCTCCTACTAGCCGCCCTCTCGGCCCTCAAACTGCCTGTATTACCGACACCAGACTCTCCCACCGTCACTTTCAAATCAAGATTGCTCTCGCTTGTTGGCAAAACGGCAGTTTTCTTCTCCCTGGTCGCGAACCTGGCAGTATTCGTAGCAGTATTCGATGGGCCCGGACCCGAGAAACTGACGCTACGCGTACCTGATCCGCTACCTGCCCTAGTGTGCAGAGAGGGTAAAGATCCGGCGCTGGCTTTTCCTCTAATCTCAGCTTTTCGCTCCTCGGGCGTGGAGGATGTGGGGACTGAGCTATGCCTTCTAGCACTTCTCGCCGGCTTCGCTAGGTCGATTCTCGGTCGTGTGTTTGCTGGTGGGTCGCTGGGAGAGGAGTCTTTGAAATCGAAGATGGCGAGATCGTCTTTGTCCTCCTTAACAGGGTTTGTTTGTTTCATTGCGGATGGAAGGGACCTCACTACCGGTTCAACTGGGACATTAGTAAAATTGGACACAATTTGAGCCGTCGAGGGAGCTTGGGATTTCCTTCTGGAAGCCCCGGATCCGGCAATGAGGGCGGATATCGCATTCGAGGCGGCCGAAGAATTCAACCGTGGCTGCTCAGGAAAGTCTCCAGTTTCCATGCCCTGGCCTCCCTCCCTCCTACCCAGCTTTTCTCGCAGTGGGCTTCCTACTTCGCCCTCATCATCCCTACCTCGTCCATTTGCGGATGTCAGAGCTTTCCACGACTCGGGGCCTTCGCCGGATTCATGTTTGACTGCCGATGTTGAAGAAGCCGGCTCCGTACTAGACCTCCCTCCATGGTGCAGATAGACTGCATCTACAAGCTCTTTGCCCGGACGCCTCATCTTAGTATTCAAACTGGGCTCCTTGTAGCTGACTTGTGCTCGGGCTCTTCGTGATGGTCGTCCTCCTAGCCCATTTTGATCGCCTGATGTGAGATCTCCAGGAGGGGGCGTATCTTTCGATTCTGGCCTCGTGGTCGAAGGCTCGGCCGATGGTGGGGAGAATATATCCTCTGCAGCAGGGGTTTTGGGAGGGAGAGAGTCTAGGTGGATTTCGGTGGTCGGGATTGGTTCAGGGGGAACTTGAAGTAATGGAAGTGCTGGTGGGAGATGATTTCGGGTTATTGTGAGCCGACCGCGAGTGGACCTGGCATTAGGTAGCGCTTTCTTGTCGGGCTTGTCAAGGCCGGACCGCTGCTTCTTTGGAGAGAGGACAGGATCGGTATTCACGGGTTCTAGGGGATGTAAGCCATGATGATGTGAAGAAGAAATTGATTACACGTACTGCTTCCAAGGACTAGACGCTCGGGAGACTGCGAGCGAGTATTCCGAATCAATGCGTTGTCACCAATAGTACCAGGAGTATTCCTGCGACTAAATCGGAAGGCCTCTGCCTGAGAATCCCCCGCAGCATTCGGTTTCTCTTCATCCTCTCGAACACTCAATTTACGCTTGGCACCAGCTCTCACAGCCTTGTTGGTTCCTTCTTCCGAGTTCTCAGGTGGGGATTGGAAGACGGACACGCGTCGAATGCTAATCTTTGGGTTGCTCTCTCGCCGTTTCTTCCGGGTTTCAAGATTGCTAGACAAAGCAGGCTCCAATTCCTCAGCAGGCTCTGCTGGAGTCTCTTCGAGGGTGGGGCTAGGATTGAATGCAATTGACCCTTCGTCTTCGAATCGGGAGACAGGTGGAGGGCCCAAGTCAGGTGAGTGGCTATCCGGATCCTCCAGAATTTCTCGAAGTTCGTCCGTGCTGCCTTTGTTAGCGTCATATCCAGATATCACTCGTGCCTTTCTAGACACTTGCCGAGATGCATACTTCATCGTCCTCCTCGGGTAGTATTTGCCTTCCGTAATGGTAGGCAGCATGCTGTTCTCGACCTCCTGTAAGCCAAGCCCACTCCTCCACTGCCTCTCATCCGGACTTCGCCTGGTGGCGGCAGTCTGGCTCTTGCATCGTGGTCCAGTGTTTGCCTTCTGGATTTGTCCCAGCTCAGCAACCAAGCTTCCCAGCTCTTGAATCTTGGCCTCGAGTTTGTCCTTGACGGAATCGATATTCTCGAACGAAGGGCGGTTCGACTGTGATTCGAGTGCATTCTGCAGCTGCAGAACTTGTTCCCGCAGTGAAAGGTTTTCGGCGAGGAGGCGCGAGCCTTCCGTCTCGAGGTTGCGGATGCGGATGGATTGTTGCGAGTTTGTCCTGTCCCACACCGTCAGCCACAAACTCGAAACTACACATCTGAAGTGTGGTCAACATACTTTGCAAGGTCGCGATTCTGCCGCAGAAATCTTCGTTTTACTGTGAGGCGGGTGTCAGTCACGCTAGATAGGCTGCATACTCGGCGCTCCGGCGGAAGCCTTACCAGCATCAACAGTCTCTGCCGACGGCCCAGGCGCAACAGGCGGCTCGTTCAGGCGCGCCATAGGCGCAGCGTAGGTATGCAAAGGTAAATATAGTGTGTCGAAGAACGCTTGTTCGTGGTGTGGAGAATTGGGTCATTTGTGGTTCGTCGCTGCCGCTATTCGCTCTGTTGCGCTTGGGAAAGTTGTGTTGCCGTGTAAACAAATACCCCGAGTCTGTGCATCGCGCTAGGAGCCCGAACATGTGACTTGGTGGGTCCCGAGGTCGCGTAGTGCGCCATCGCTGCCATCGTCAACAGCATCTCGTCGCAAAATAAGTTTTCTAGTTCTACGTCTATCCGACATGTCCTACTCCGGTCGTCCGCTCCCGGCCCATCTGCGCAACCCTTCGTCTTCCCTCGGCGGCTCGCAACCCTCCGGCCAGTCCCCAGTCCTCGTCGCCCGCATTGCTGAGAAGAAAGCCGAGCTCGCGAGCCTTAAAGAACTGCAAGCTCTCAGCGCAGGACTCGCAGACCAGATGCAAATGCTGGCTGACAAGTTGAGTACACTGTCTGACGGAACAGAAGGTGAGTGAATTTGCTCCCGAAGCTCCCTCGTTGGGCTCCGAGAGGCAGGCACCATGTGGCATCGCGGATTCGGCGTTGACGTGTTCGCGTCCAGCGGTTGCAGCAGTTCTGTCGAATTGGCACAATGTGCTTCGCGCCATCAATATGGCGTCCGGTAAGTCTTCTCGTCGCTCGATATACGGGTGATATCTGTGCGAGGAGCTGGACTGATTTGTTGAAGCTAAATTGCCCAAGCCGAAAGAAGAAGAAGATGCAGAGAAGAAACCTGAGAACGAACCGCCGCTTCCCCAAACTCTTGTCCGTATTCCCACCCAGCATGTCCCCGCGTTGATACCCCAATCGACATCGGGAAGCGTGGCAGAGTGAGGGGTGCATTGCAGCTCTGAAAACACGCGAATGAAGTATTCCTTTTCGGGGAAGCCTGGAGCGATAAGACTACGAAAGGCATTGGTTCAATGTACCTCTGGTCCGATTCGAGCACGCGATGGCCGTGCTCATGCAGACCTGCATCGGGAACGGTCCAGATGCCGCGGTGATATGCGTTTGCGCCAAATTATCCCCAGCGATAGGATTCTGCAGGAGGAAAATTTTACACAGGCTACGTATCAGGATCACCCTGGGAAATGTCACATGCAAGCGCAGGAAAAGAAGGTTTAGACGAGTGCAGCAGTGATAGCTGGTTCTGGGGAGAGACTCTCTCCCCAATCTATAGTTTTAACGTATGATGTGATTGAAACCTATGCCACGCCTATAGAACCATTTCAAGTTGTCCAATGCTATGATGCGTCTATGCTCTGGCACCAAATACAGTCTTCATGTGAAGAGGGACGTCTCAGTCCGCAATGCGCTATGCTAGCGACAATGCAGTGTATAGGTCATGTTGTGTGAAAGCGGTGATGAACTCCCAAACTCCTCGCTTGAGATATGATTTTGCAGATAGAAACGCTATCGTACCCTCGTGAAATCGCCATGCAATACCTCATGGACTGGCTTGCTACTTTCGTGTCGGCATCTTCTCGTAAGCATTGGGGCTAGGCCTGCGCCGTGGTCGCCTCCGCTGTTGTGGCTTCTCAGACGGCCCCTCGCCAGGCTCGTCATCAGGGTTGTCGTCATGATCGTGTTGATGAGGACGTCGGCCGCGGGGATTTCCGCCACGGCGGCCACCGACGGGACGTGCCATGCTATTGTCGGGCTCGCTGTCGGAATCCGAGTCTGAGGACGAGTCGGAGGAAGAATCGTCGGATGATTCACCTACAACACGCGGCTTGTGGTAGATGCAGCACACTAGATGATGTCAGGAGAGGCTTATTGGTGAAGGGTTGTTTCGACATACCCTTTGAGGATTTCTTCCCCATTCCTTCGTTGTCGATGACGTCTTCTGCCCATTGGATATGACGCTCTTCGGCAGGCTCAGCCCGCAGGCGAAGGGTTCCCGAAGGCCCGGAGAGACGAAGGACGGGCTGTGGACGGCTCTGGATGGTCCTGGTAGTAGGCGTGCTCATGGCAGTTTGGGTAGCCATGGAGTTCGAGTTGGTCATGGCTGAATCGAAAAGTTGGCTGGCGTTGGGAAGTCTTAAGAAGGGAGTGGATGTGGGATGGCGGGGGTCAACGCTCCAGGGACTGGTTCAGGAGCGTGCTCGAAGAAGTGTGGGGGACAGCCGGGAGAAAGGTACGGTGGTCGTGTGAGATGCAGACATACAGCAGAAATACAGCGGAAAAGAGGGCAAGCAGCGGATTTGTCGATGCTAATGTATGTCTTTGTTGTTGAGTGGTGATTGAACAAACTCGGCTCGGCTAGGAAACCTCGTCATTGATTCCACACTTGCAGTCGGCCACGCCAAGGCTAGACTCTGTTCCGCATTTTGCGCCACCCTTCCACGCTTCCCTCACGACACGCGATGAGCGGCGTGACCTGAACCAAAATCTTTTCACTTACGGCTTGACAGCCTGGTCTTACTTGCTTGGGTATCAGGATACCCCCTACAAGAAGAAAGGCGGACAAAGGCCAATTGGGAATTCGTCGTGAAATGCATCCACTGCCGCATCAACCGCGTTCACCCGTCCACATCAACATTATGCTCATCAAATCTCTGAGAATCTGCCCTCATTCACGAGAGCGTGACGTGACGGGAGACTGAACTGGGCTGGACTGACACCCTTCCCCGTCATGCATGCAAGCTCAGATTTCTTGGGATCGACTGCTCCCAACCAGGACTAAGGCCCCTTCCAAGGTGCTCCAGTCGAATTGCTTGCATAATGGCTTCTGCAAGAGCGGCCTTCCTTGCTTTGCCTTGTGTCAGTTGACCTGGACGCTCCTCTCATTCCTTAGTCTGCCTAATTCTCTTTGGTATCGTGATGAGAGTTAACCAATAGAATGCGGGTACTAATACAGTTTTGGAGGGTATTAAGACGAAAGAGGATTTGTCTACTCTGTCGTGTTCTACGAGAAAGGTCACCATGGCTATACCCAGGTTTCCAGTACAACGCTCGATCTCGTTCCAACGTTAGATGCTGCTATATCTACACTATCTAACTGCGCATTGCTATTTCGCAGCAAACGCAGTCCTTGCGTCGATGGTCTCTGGTTTGCCCCATCTCGGCATCTTTCAAATTCCAGGTTTTCCATCTAGGCACCGAAAAGTAAGTGCGAGACCATGCACTTCACGTACTCGCGTGATAAACCTCAACCTCAAACTTCAGATTTCAGTTCTCAGCCGCTTATCAGTTGGGCTTCATGGCTTAGGTTGTAGGTTGATATTTCTTCGAAAATCAATTGAAAGAGTGACTGCTAAGGGGTAAATATTTTCCCATGAAGTGTTTAGTACCGATACTTAGCTTTGCAGGTTCGTACGGAGAGCCCTGGAATCAGATCACATTGATAAGGTACGGAGGCCAATTGAGAAGCCACTGCTAGTTCTTGAGGTCTATCTAACCTTCCTCATACTTTAAGGCGTAGGCGATATGTGGCTCTCAGTAACCTTAGTACAGTACATTCTGCAGATGCACCAGCAGGGGCTTAATAATTGGAGTGAGGCTCAACAAAGACACTTCAAAACGCATCTCGACAAATCATGTCTGCACCGTATATACCTCAAAGGCTCTCTGCAGCTAGGGACTCATTGTTGGGGCGATATGGAATTCATAAAAATCATGTATTGCACTCTAACTAGTAGTAGTTTCGACAACAACGAGCTACAGAAGGATGTTTAGCAGTCCCGCGGCACAGTAGAAGATGAAGAACGTGCGCCCAGATTCAGCCTAGCGCCTCGGCCACTCTACGCGTTTGCGACCGGCTTCCATCAACGCTCTCCCGTGCTTCTCGACTTGGTCACTTCCACAAGCTTCACCCGGCGAGCAAGCTGGCTTTGTAGCCTCGCTTTGAATTCACCGCTTTTCAAGGCTCGGCTTGCGCCACGCCCCGGTAATTCACCCCCAGCAGCTCGTCGCCGTCGGACGTCTGCCCCACCATCAACTTTGCACCTCACCCAGGCAACAAACCCCCTCCCTCCCTCTCCCACAACCCACAACCCACCTCTAAACCCTTCCGCCGGCTTAAAATCAGCTTGGGGGCTTCCGCTGGCGCCACGACAAAGCAACTACAACTATCCGGCAGGCTGTTCCTCTATCCTGCGACTCAAAATGTCTTTGTCAATCGAGGAGCTTGACGCCACCGTGCGTGCCTTCTACGAAGGCCGCGGGGAAACGGTATGTCCTATACTGCTCGGATATATTCTTTCTAATCGCAGTGCTGACTTCTCTCTCTCCAACAGCAAAAGCAGGCCCAGGCTACGCTAAACCAGGTTGGCCCCTACTCCCTTCATCACCCTGATAGTGCGCATGCTTACCACAGTACAGTTCAAAGAGAATCCCGATGCATGGCTTCTGGTTGATAAGATTCTGCAAGAGGCGCAATATCCACAGACCAAGTGTAAGTTGACCAGGCATGATAACTGTCTCATGGACAAAGCGCTAACTCGTCGTAGATTTGGGCCTGCAAGTCCTCGACCAGGTGATCATGACTAGATGGAAAGTCTTACCCCGAGACCAGTGCCAAGGTATGCCTGACTCTTGTTTAGATGAGATGGCGGCTGACAGATGAAAGGCATTCGCAACTTCGTGGTAAATTTCATCATCCAGCTCTCTAACACTGAAGAGAGCCTACGAGCCGATCGCACCCTCTTGAACAAACTCAACCTCGTACTCGTGTCTGTCTTGAAGCAGGAATGGCCCCACAATTGGCCCACATTCATCAACGAGATCATCTCGTCGTGCCACAGCAGTCTGCCTATATGTGAAAACAATATGGCGATCCTCCGCCTGCTTTCTGAAGAAGTTTTTGACTTCTCCGAAGATCAAATGACATCCGCGAAGCGTAGGGAGCTCAAACAGAGCATGTGCGATGAATTCACCTCTATCTATCAGCTCTGCTCGGAGGTCCTTCGTACGGCGACTGAAGCGAGTCTCATCAAGGCGACCCTAGAGACTCTCCTCCGTTTCCTTAACTGGATTCCTCTTGGCTATGTCTTCGAGACTCCTCCCAGTGGTGACAGCCTTATCGAAACGCTCCGAAGCCGTTTCCTAGATGTGCCAGAGTTCCGCAATATTACACTGAAATGCTTGACGGAAATTGCAGGTCTCCACACTGAGCCTGCATATGACGAGAAGCTCGTTCAAATGTTCACAGAGACTCTGACCGCGATATCGAAGATTATTCCGTTGTCATTAGATCTCAAGACTACCTATGCAGGAAGCAATAGCAAGGATCAAGAATTCGTGCAGAATCTGGCTTTGTTTCTCTGCAACTTCTTCACGATGCACCTGAACGTCATCGAGAACCTCCCGAACCGCGATTTCCTTACCCATGGCCATTTCTACTTAATCCGCATCAGCCAGATCGACGACAGGGAAATATTCAAAATCTGCTTGGAGTATTGGACTAAATTAGTGTCAGAGCTATACGATGAGATGCAGGCCCTTCCAATAACTGACATGAATCCCCTTCTCAACATGGGACTTTCATCAAATGGAGGGGCCCGGGATCCTTCGATCCTGGCTAATTACCCGTTGCGCAAACACAAATATTCGGAGGTTCTCTCTAACTTGCGAACGGTTATGATCGAGAAGATGGTTCGACCTGAGGAAGTTCTAATTGTGGAGAACGACGAGGGCGAAATCGTGCGCGAGTTTGTAAAGGAGAGCGATACTATCCAGCTCTACAAATCTACGCGAGAATGCTTGGTGTTCTTAACACACTTGGACGTCAACGACACCGAGCAAATCATGTCTGAAAAACTAGCTCGACAAGTCGACGGGACCGAATGGTCTTGGGCGAATTGCAATACGCTGTGTTGGGCCATCGGTTCCATCTCTGGTGCTATGAATGAGGAGACTGAGAAGCGATTCCTTGTCACCGTGATCAAGGATCTTCTGGGCCTGACGGAGATGAAGCGTGGCAAAGACAACAAGGCTGTGGTCGCCAGTAACATCATGTATATCGTCGGCCAATACCCTCGTTTCCTTAAGGCGCATTGGAAGTTTCTCAAGACTGTCGTCAACAAATTATTTGAGTTTATGCATGAAACGCACGAAGGTAGGTATATATACCTCCTGCTTTGGCTTCCACTGACCAAGACTAGGTGTGCAGGACATGGCTTGCGACACTTTCATCAAGATCGCCAATAAATGCAGGCGGCACTTTGTCGCTCTTCAGCCCGGCGAGTCGGAGCCGTTTATTGACGAAATCGTGAGGACGTTGAGGAAGATTACCGCAGACCTTTCTCCACAACAAGTGCACACTTTTTACGAAGCGTGCGGTTACATGATCAGTGCGCAAGGCCAGAAGGGCATTCAGGAGCGACTGATTAGCGACTTGATGGAGCTTCCAAACCAAGCGGTAAGTGACTGCGCTTGACTCACTAGAAAATATCAACTGATGTCTCAAAGTGGGATAATATTATTGCTCAAGCAAACCAAGATCCGACCTGTCTCCATGACGGAGATGTTATCAAGATTATTGGCAACATCATGAAGACTAACGTGGCCGCTTGTAGCTCAATAGGGCCATATTTTTATCCCCAAATCGGGCGCATCTACTTCGACATGTTGACAATGTACCGAGCAAGCAGCAATCTGATTGACGAAGCTGTTCAGCGGGAAGGTCTGCATCACCCCAATCCACAGCACAGAACCAATGCTAACCATAGCAAGGAAACATCGCCACAAAGATGCCGAAAGTCCGTGGACTTCGCACCATCAAGAAAGAGATCCTCAAGCTCATCAACACCTACGTTGAAAAGGCAGATGATTTGGACATGATCCAGAGGAACCTCGTTCCTAAGCTTCTCGAAGCCGTCCTCATCGACTACAAGAACAATGTCCCCGATGCCCGTGAAGCAGAGGTCTTGAATGTCATGACGACAATTATCAACAAACTCCACGTACGAAAATCCGTACCTACCTTCTTCAACCGACCGAATGCTAATCTAAGTACAGAGTATGATGGAGGACCAAATCTTGAATATTATGGACAGCGTTTTCGAGTGTACCTTGGAAATGATCAACAAAGACTTTTCTGAGTACCCCGAACATCGAGTTGAATTCTTCAAACTGTTACGGACAATCAATCTTCGCTGCTTCCCCGCCCTGCTTCGACTTGATCCGCGGTCGTTCAAATTCGTTATTGATTCGTGCATGTGGGCGAGCAAACACGATAATCGCGAGGTGGAGAGTGCAGGTCTTTCCATGTGCTTCGAGCTGATATCGAACATGTCCGAGACCGATACGCAAACCTGCAACATGTTCTTCCAGACATTCTACACGACTATTCTCCAGGACGTCTTCTTTGTTCTTACGGATAGCGACCACAAGGCCGGATTTAAGTCACAGTCCATGCTGTTAGCGAAGATGTTCTGGCTTGTTGATTCCAATAAGTTAGAGGGGCCCATTTATTCTCCTGAATTGGCTGCTGCTGGTACACCGAACCGGGAGTTCTTGCGAAACTTTGTGGGCAGCTTACTGTCAAATGCTTTTCCCAATCTTCAGAAGTAAGTTCTCCCATTGGGATCAAAGATGTCCCACTAACATGTATAGCGTCCAAATTGCTTCGTTCATCGATGGACTTTTCGCTACCAACGGAGACCTCAACAAGTTCAAGGTGATCCTCCGCGACTTCCTCATCTCGTTGAAAGAGTTTTCGGGCGATAACGCCGAGCTTTTCGCAGAGGAGCGTGAGCAGGCTGCCAGTCGGGTAAAAGAACAAGAGCGCGAACGTGCCATGAAGGTTGGAGGCCTGCTGAAACCGTCTGAGATGGACGATGACGAACTGTGACTGGATCAAGATTTGAATGCTGGTGCAGCAACCCGCACGCCGTGGGACAAACTCAAAGTTGATTCTGAGTTTGCAGGTAAACATATCAACACGAAGCTTTCGGAGAACTTTGATGGATGGGACGCCTATGGCCTTTGAGGACGCCAATTTTGGACGATTGATCGGTCAATAACAAGCATCGGTACCATGGCGGTCCCTTTTCGTTTCACCGTTGGTGCATAGGCAAAAGCATGGGCCTGGAGGTTGGCTCGGCTTGATTTGTGTATCGAAAAGCATGGGATGTTACCGGGTCCGAGATATCCAGAAGATGGCGAGCAATAGATGCAATATGTGTACTTGTGTGCGTGCATGTGGTCTGTCATGTCTGCCAATCTGCAACCAATAATATCGGATGTTCCTAGCTTGATTTTGCTCTGTCAAATGACTACAGATAACCGGCCGCCAGTTTTTCAGATCGGGTATGACCCTCCCTTGCTGAAGTGGATTTTCTGCTTGTGTGCCTGACTATCGCTGCTCGCCCGCGGAAGAATTTGCGTATCACCAACTGCTCCGAAGCTTTCCATTACCCAATGACACTGGGGTTATATCACCTTAAAGTGTTGAATATTCGCCGTCGCAGGACTAGCGGCTTCCTTTTGCGACCTGGCCCCTGATTACGTAATCCAGCCTCTCCCAAAGCTAAAGCGCCGTCCACAACATGGCTGGAGGCCATTGGACAGTCGCCCCATTTCGCACCCCATTCACTGGCTTAGACTCTCCGCAAAGTAACCGTCTGCCCAGCAACCCAACAGCCTTCTGTCCGCTTAACCACCCCGTTAACGTCTTCAGTTCTTGGGAGCGTGCTCGAATAGCGATCCGTCATTGGCTCCGTTCAGACTCTTCCTGAACGACATGGGCTTTCTGTCATTTGAACCCCAACGTATGCAGCGTCTCGTGGCCCTCTCATAATGAGTTCCTCGGTATCGCGCGAAGCCTGGCCCCTCATTCGATCTCTCTCCAAAAACTGCTAACATACCCTGAGCGACTAGGTCCACGCGAGACTCTAGAATGACCCATCTCAACGGCTGCATTCACCGCGGTAACTTCACTTCTTGACTTTATATCGCCAACGCACGTCCATCCTTACAGATTCGAAAAGCAGCCTCACCCCGTTTGCAGTTGCTTTTCCCGTCGCTCCCGTCCTATAGGCGTCGGCTGACGGCCACCATCTCTCAATTCCCACCCTGTATGGTTCAATTTACCCTACTCCAGTCAGGTATCCTCGCTTGCGCACAAACGCTTTGACTACTCCAAAAGAGCTTCGTCAGGTCGTTTCCTGTTACCGTCAAAATGTACGTCTCACTCATATGGACGCTCCACAGACCCGTACTGTTGTTGTTCTACGAAATGCTGCATCTTCAACCAGCCTAGCGTCGAAAGATGACAAAACTGACTCGCCACGCTTTTCCAGGAAGTTTGGCAAGCATATTCAGAAGCGGCAGCTTGATATACCGGAATATGCGGCCAGCTTCGTCGACTACAAGGCCCTGAAAAAGGTTCCCCACCCCATCACCTATTTAACATAGATCGACTCTAATTAACATTTTATAGCTTATAAAAAAGCTAAGTGCGACTCCGGTCATTCCCCCGCAAGGCGAAGGCAGTCATGGAGCCGAAGCACTGGATCCTCAGACTTCTCTGCAGGCCAACAAGGCAACCTTCTTCTTCCGAGTGGTGCGTACTTCCATGACAAATGCCCAAAGCGTGCGCTCACCACCTCATAGGAACGAGAGCTTGAGAAGGTCAATACTTTTTACTTGCAGAAGGAGGCTGAGGTATGTAGACGATACGCTTGCCCTTGGACAGCACTGATACGACACAGCTACGTCTTCGTTTGACAACTCTACTAGACAAGAAGAGAGTAATGCAACAACACCCTCAATCCGTGTCAAAGGTATCATCGAGGTACATCGCGCTCGAAGAAGGCCTAAAACAATTTAGCGTGGACCTGAACAAGCTTCAAGTGATTAGTCCCTGTCAAGGTACGCTCAGAGGCGCTAACTATTGCTAGCAATTCGTAGAAGTTAATGCCACTGCATTCTCTAAAATTCTGAAGAAGGTCTGCTATGCCGTAATCCGCTTGCACAACGTCTTGCTGACATGCTACAGTGGGACAAAACGTCAAAGGTTAGATATCATATTATACGCACACTTCAACACTGGCTGACTTCCATGCCAGTCAAGAGAGAAGCAACTTTACCTCTCTCGAGCCGTTGAGGTTCAGCCTTGTTTTAATCGCGATGTAATCAGTAGTCTGTCCGACCAGGCAACGCAAGCCCTTCTCGACTTCTCCGGATGGGCTGAAGGCGACAAAATGCAGGCTGCCCCCGTGAGCGGAGAGACCCGAGCTGCCTCAGAACCAACAATTGAAATAGACCTCGAGCTCGACAACCAGATCGTGCAAGCCATCAACACGGCGAACACGGGCCAAATTGAGGAGTGTTTGTTGCGCCTGTCGCAGCTGAGTGGCGCCCAAGAACGGATATCGCGAGCTTTCCTAAGCACGGTCGACGAGGCCCCCGAGGCAGCACTAAGAATCTTACTCGATACCAATCAAGTCAACCTGCGTCAAGAGGATGAAATCAACGAACGAAATTGCTTGCACAAGGCAGCAATTTGTGGACGGAGGAAGGTCCTCCAGATAGGTCTAACAGCCAACGTTGACGTACACGCCACAGATGTTTATGGCCGGATACCCCTTCATTACGCCTCCATGCATGGGCATGTCGAACTAGTTCAAGAACTCATCAATGCTGCGCCAGATACTGTCAATTTCCGCGACCAAGACAGCTTTACTCCACTAATACATGCCATCGTACACTCGCAGCTAGCGTGTGTTCAGGTATTGCTTTCGAACGGAGCACGGATTAGTCGGTTAGGACCATCAGAACACATCCCCTTGAATCTTGCCTGTCAACATGGATCGATGGAGATTGTAGAGCTTCTGCTTCAAGGTCACCCGGAACTTCTACCAGATGCAGAAGGCTTATATCCCCAGCATCTTGTAGCCCGTTCAGGGAAGAGTCCCCAGATGCTACTACTATTGCAAAGGTATGGCGCAAATCTCGATCAACCAGACAAGCTCTACCAGTGGACTCCTCTTTTCCACGCTGCCAGCGAGGGCCATGTCGAATGCCTTCAAACGCTCCTCCAAGGTGGAGTGGATGTTGACATTCTGGATGAGAAGGACCTGTCAGCCATGTACTATGCAACGTGGGAAGGCCACCTTGAATGCATGAAGTTACTGGCCGCTGTTGGACGTGGAGTTGGTCTAGCCACCCAAAAGCAAGTCTCGCCACAAATCACCACGCAGCCGGTTACGAATACAATACCTGGGCCCATGGAGGTTGAGGGCGATGGAGAGGGCATCCCCGAATTCATTCTTCCGCCACCAATAATACCTTTCCGGAGATATGGGCATAACTTCCTGGATAAGAAGACGTTCGTGGTGATCAGCTTCGAGAGGCTTGGACAAGACGCGATTCTGTTCTATGGTGATCAGAAGTATCCCGCGGCAAGACTAACGATCTCTTCCAAAAGCTCAGATTTAATCCCTCGGAATATCTTGTTGCCGATTCAAGATGAGTTCAAAGTAATATCGTTCCAGATCGAGAACCTTGACACGTTCTCCATTGACTTCGATATCTTTCCAACCTTCGGTTCTAGAGTTATTGCTCGCAGCGTGGCCTCGTCTAAAGTTTTTACGAATCGGATGAATAGCTCCAGTCAATGGCATCTTGAAATGTTCGACCTTCGACTTCGCGCGATTGGAAGAATCACGTTCGACTTCCAAGTAGTGAAGCCATTCGTTGGTATTCCGCTGGAGATCACTCACTTCGCTACCTACTGGAAGGCCACCAGTCAACTTGACTCGCAGCCACATGCTCTGATAACTGGTTCCAGTCTGTCAGGAGAGTATGTCCGACTTTTTGTACAGTTGACCGCTGATGGGACACCTGTCCTGTATCCTAGGTGGAAGATCAATTACCAAGGGCTAGATGTTCCTGTCAACATTCTCACCTACGCACAATTTGCAGCCATAGGGGCGAGACAGAATGCGGCTGCTACAACTCAGCTCTCCGCTTTGCAGAATACCATGGAGGATATTCCAACGATCCACCAGACCCTGGCCTCCTCGTTCCTCACGCTTCAGGATACATTGACCATACTCCCATCGAACATCCATGTTGAACTCCATGTGCTATTTCCCTCGCGATCAGAAGAAGAACAACTCAAACTTGGCCCAGCCCATGATATGAATGAATTCGCAGATAAAATTCTCACTGTTGTCTTCGAACACGCTCGTGTGCTTAGAGCGCAGGGAATTGGAGAGGTCCATGGGGCACTGAGAAGTGTAGTTTTCAGCTCCTTCAACCAGGACATCTGCACTGTGCTGAATTGGAAGCAGCCGAATTGTAAGCATGATGCATGTACACTCGGTGAACAAACTTGGCTGAACAAAAGATAGATCCTGTTCTCCTTTGCAACGAACTCGGCGCTGATGCGGTTATATCACCAGACTGCCAGTCACAGACAGTCCAAAGCAGCGGGCGTACTACAGTCTCCGTGAAGGAGGCAGTCCAGATTGCCAGGGATAACAATTTCATGGGCCTGATTTGCAGCTCCCGGCTTCTTGTGAGTTGTCTTTATTTTGGTGACCACATTTGCTTCCATTTCGATGGGCGAAGACCGCAACTGATGTAACTCTCCTCAGGATCTCGCTCCCGCACTGATTGAGTCCATCAAAACCGCCGGACTTGTCCTCATCACCGATATTTCGGACGCTGCGCCAGGTGCGACTCCGCAGGGCGGATTGGGGATCGCTAGACCGAGCGGTGATATTGTACGGAGTGGTGTTGATGGATATTTGAGAGGAAATGGAGTGCTCAGGTTCAATGAAAGCATTGACATGTGAGCTATGTGAAATGACGAAAAGGGGCGTTATGCGAAGGTGAATTCGATCACAGGTTTTACGGGGAATGATATCCTAATGGAATAGTATCCTAATGGACTGGAAATGTTTTCGAGAGTGGGGCTGGCCTACTGTTAGGATCAAGGGGGCCCTGATGGACTTTTGAACAGGACCATGATAGATGATGGGGGCATTAAAAGTTACCGTGTCACAATACTCTGCGTAGATGGAGTCCCGGGTATAGTTGAAGAGTGGGCGGGTGGATAGATTAGCTACTACGCTGTGCGTGACAGCGAGTAGATTTCATGTAGTTTTGTTATTTCGGACTTTGTCCATCATATCCCAGCAACACTTGTTAAATGCCAAGACAACAGGGATCGGACCATGAGAGCCGGCGCTAAGAGAATTCGTCGAAAAAGTTCCGGCCCACCAGACCGCTCCACCATGTGTTTCTTGCACGCTTTTTCTTCTGCAATGAGATAGATCTTTCATAGACTTCTTTCACAATGCGTCCATAATGTCTGGTTGTAACCTCTTCTCTCCTTTCCTCCGCCGATCAGCGCCTTGGACGTGCCGAGCATGTCTGCGAAGGCAAGCCCTCTCGCCGCAGCGGAATGCCTTTTCGACTAAGCTGCCTAAACCAATTGTAAGGAGCAAAAGAAGACGGAGGTTGTTGCTTGCCACAGGAGGACTCGGTATTACTACTGCAGCCGTCACCTTGAATGACGATGCAAAGCACGTATTTACGGCTATACAAAGAAGTAGCAGAGTGGTCTCAACACTCTTTATAAACATAAATGACTACCGAAGAACACTTCAACGCGATAGTGAGGAAGGCTACAGCGACCTACTTAAAGCCTGCCACCTACGATGCGCCAAACGAACCCTCGTCACGCTTGAAAGGAACGGATCCATATTCATAAAGCTGGGACAGCATCTCAGCAGCTTGAACTATCTCCTACCGAGCGAGTGGTGCGATACGTTCATCCCTCTACAGGATAAATGTCCGGTTTCATCGTATGAGTCGATAGAAGAGATGGTGTTGGAGGATACAGGACACAACCTGTCGGAATACTTTTCCGAGTTCGAAGAAAGGCCGATAGGTGCTGCTTCGCTAGCACAGGTACATCGCGCCGTGGTGAAGGGAACAGGGCAGAAGGTCGCCGTGAAGGTACAACACCCGGCGCTGGACGAGTGGGCGAAATTGGACCTAGCATTGACCAGATTCACGTTCGAGACGCTGAAGAGGTGGTTTCCAGAATACGACCTGACTTGGTTATCGGAGGAGATGGAGATTTCCCTCCCACAGGAGTTGGACTTTTACCGAGAAGGCCAGAATGCTATTCGAGCGCGGAATTATTTCGAAGAAGTGCGGGATGCGCCTGTCATAATACCACAAGTCATCTGGGCAAGACGCCGCATCTTGGTGATGGAATATGTGAGCGGCCATCGACCAGACGATCTTGAGTATCTGGACTCTCATGGCATTGACCGAGACGAAGTGTCTGCTGCTCTGGCCCGCATCTTCAATGAAATGATCTTCGGAACTAATGCCCCACTTCATTGCGATCCCCATGGTGGAAACATCGCCATTAGACACAACCCTTCTCGACCAGGGAAGGGCAATTTCGACGTCATAATGTATGACCACGGCCTGTATCGCGACATCCCAATTGAACTACGGCGGTCATATGCTAAGCTGTGGCTTGCCGTTCTAGATGCAGACGAGCCCAGAATGAGGAAATATGCTCACGAGGTGGCTGGCATTGGCGACGAGCATTTTCCTCTTTTTGCTAGCGCGATCACTGGGAGGGACTATAGTGTAGTGAAACAGAACGTGGCTATACCGAGGAGCAGGCAGGAGAAGGATAGCATCTCAGAAGCATTGGGGGATGGGATGCTGGCGGAGCTGGTCCAATTGCTCGGTCAAGTCCCGAGAGTGATTCTCCTGATCCTTAAGACGAACGATCTGAGTAAGTTGCTATCTACAAGGCATTTGTATGCATCAGTTACTAATTCCACGCCCTCTTCAGCTCGATCTCTTGATGAGAATCTTCATACTCGACAAGGCCCTGCCCGCGCCTTCCTTATCCTAGCCCGCTATGCGTCCCGGACTGTGTACGAAGAGCAAATGGAGCATCTGACTGGGAGTCTCATCTGGCCCCCTAACCTATTCGCCTTCCTGCGAGCATGGAGCAAGCACATGAGAGTTGAGCTAAAGCTCAGCGCCTACGAAACCTATCTCTCCATGCGAGCGCTCCTTGGGATGGGCCCTATAGTCTAGACAAGGCTTTGGTCCTGTAGATTTCAGTTTTTGATAGGAGTTTGTGCACATCTCGGGAGACGTAGCCTTGCATAGCCGGGACTTGGTGGAGCAGTCATGCATGGCGTGCGCGTACAGAGTGTGTCAGCATTGTGGCGGTGCATTGCTGAGAGCATGGCCTTCATTGGGGCAGACGCGTGTTTCTGGGGACGACAGCTATGCATGCAGCGAGCATGGGCGCTGCTGAGATGTGCAGTTGGATGGGGGTGCTGAGATGGATTGATATGATATGATATGACATGACGATGAAGACGAGTCTGAAGCCTCGCGGGCCTACGGCCCAATTTGGTCCACCAAGATTGGGAGTCTCTTGAGCTGAGTCCAGAGATCTTAGGGCAAGACACAGATGTTCTCCTGGGACCGCGGGATGACTTCAGCCGCGACGCAGAGCTTGTTTTGCGTTTTGCTGCGACGTTTGATGCTCTCTCGGTCGGCCCGTCATCCGACCATGAGGAAGAGTGCGAGCATGAGTGAATACATATATAGATATTCTCAGCTGCTCCAAGCTTTGCACAAGTCGGCCATGAAGTCGATGGAACTAGGGGTGGTAGAAATCCAGAGTCGTGGATTGTTTGGGTAGTTCCGACAACGGAAGTTGCAGGGCTTGACATCATCTCACGTCTAGTGCAGGGTGCGGCTGTGGAGGCACGACGATGAACTGGTGTGAATAGTATCCAAGCGACCGTTGACTGCAGGAATTCGGTGTGAATTTCGCACCTCGTGACACTGGTGGCTTGTCTAATCCCACCCTCTCATTGCATGACGACGGCGTCTCTACATGAGGGAGTGGTTCGCGACACAGGACAGGCCCCGCCTTTGCCAAGAATAGCAAGAAGCGGCAACCTGCACCAACAACGACCTCAACTCTCGCCGAAGTATTGCCATTTTTGAGCGCGGGACCCTCTGGTCGCATCGATTGTTTAAGCCTGAATTAGCAGCATTAGCATTAGCAGCAGTTGTCTCGTCGCTGTTTACTGCATCCTCACCCGGAAGGTTGGGCGAGCGCCTTGCTCCCGCCTTTGTCACCAAACAGTAACGCGCGCACGGCCTCTTCCTCCGCACAGCCTCCTCCACCCGAGACCCTCGTCCTCGCCTTCACAGGTTGCCTGTCGACATCACCTTGCTCCCACCCACACCCCCCCCCCCCCCCCCCTCGAAGGACCAGCTCGAGGCCTTCAACTGCCTCCCTTTTGCACCCCCAACACCAGCTTCGTGTCGGTGGCATCTGCCTGGCAGCATGGATGGAGGCGGCCAACCCAACCTGCGGGTCACCAGTATGGCTCACCTCAAATGCCCCTGCCTTGAGCCTCAGACTGCCTACTAACACGACATAGTCATCGCCGCAGATGGTCTCTACAAGCGGGATGTCTTCCGTAGGTGCTCCATGTTGCAGTCAAACGAGTATGTGCTCACCCGTCTGGCGCAGGATTTCCGGATCCCTTCGCTGTAGCCACTATCAACGGCGAGCAGACGCGCACGACGAGTGTGATAAAAAAGACACTTAACCCGTATTGGAACGAGAGTTTTGACATGTACGTTCTGCCAGCACCATGGGAAGCAACACAGGTTCAATGACGCTAATACTCCTGTAGGAGGGTCACAGAAGACAGCGTGCTGGCGGTTCAGATATTTGACCAGAAGAAGTTTAAGAAGAAGGACCAGGGTTTCCTTGGAGTCATTAATGTGCGCATAGGCAGCGTTATCGACCTTGACGCTGGTGGTGACGGTAAGTATTTCCCCGACTAGCGGCTACCATTTACTGAGCCATGCCTGCTAGAAATGCTCACCCGCGACTTAAAGAAGTCAAACGACAACATGGTCGTGCACGGCAAACTGATCCTCAACCTCAGCACCAACCTGTCTGCCCCGATTAACCAGCCAGCACAGAGCGCGGCCGGCCGCCCGTCCTTATCGGCACACTCATCGGTCAACGGCATAGGCGCACAGGGTGCCTCGACCCCCCACCAATCTACCCAGAACCTCCACCCTGATATGTATCCTGGGCAGCGCCCCGTCCCCGCCAACCCCACACCGCAGCGTCTTAGTCAGCCAACCCCCGCGGTGCCCTCGAACCCCATGGCACCGCCGCCACCCCAGAACGGAGCACAGCCGAATCGGAGTGGATACAGTGCGTTTGAAGATGCCCAGGGACGTCTCCCCCCCGGCTGGGAGCGTAGGGAGGATCATTTGGGGAGGACATACTACGTTGATCATAACACCAGGCAGACAACCTGGATCAGGCCGGGTGCTGGTTTCAATGAGGCGGACCAGAGAACTGCTCTTGCAGCGCAGACTCAGCAGGAGCGCACTCGACATCAAAACCGTATGCTTCCCGAGGACCGCACTGGTGCAAATTCGCCAACCCTTTCGGAGCGTCAGCCATCTCCCCAAGGTCCTTCCTCCAATGCAGTGTCTATGATGGCAACTGGAGCTACCACCGCGGGGACCGGGGAACTTCCTTCCGGCTGGGAACAACGTCATACTCCTGAAGGACGTGCCTACTTTGTGGACCACAACACACGCACCACAACATGGGTAGACCCACGTCGCCAGCAGTATATTCGCATGTATGGCGGGCAGAATGCTAACAATAGTACCATTCAACAACAACCCGTCTCGCAGCTTGGGCCCTTGCCTTCTGGTTGGGAAATGCGACTTACGAATACCGCTAGGGTATACTTTGTGGACCACAACACCAAGACTACCACGTGGGATGACCCCCGACTGCCATCTTCCCTCGACCAGAACGTACCCCAGTACAAGCGTGATTTCCGCCGCAAGTTGATCTACTTCCGGTCGCAACCCGCTCTTCGCATTGTGTCTGGACAATGCCACGTTAAAGTTAGGAGAACCCACATATTCGAGGATTCGTATCACGAGATTATGAGGCAAAGTGCTGCAGATCTGAAAAAGCGACTGATGATCAAGTTTGACGGCGAAGACGGTCTAGATTATGGTGGCCTTTCTCGGTATGTTTACCTGGGGAGATAAATGGCAGCGGCGACTAACACAATGACAGAGAATTTTTCTTCCTCCTCTCGCACGAGATGTTCAATCCATTTTACTGTCTTTTCGAATACTCCGCTCACGACAACTACACCCTCCAGATCAATCCTCACTCCGGCATTAACCCTGAGCATCTCAACTACTTCAAATTCATTGGCCGTGTAGTAGGCCTAGCCATTTTCCACCGACGATTCCTGGATGCTTTCTTCATTGGAGCATTCTATAAGATGATTCTGAGGAAGAAGGTGTCGTTGCAGGACATGGAGGGGGTAGATGCCGACTTCCATCGTAATTTAGAGTGGATGCTGTAGGTATCCAAAGAAGACCCTTCGGGTTCCTAGCTAACATGTTCTAGGAATAACGATATCACGGATGCACTGGAACTAACTTTCTCCACGGAAGATGAGAGGTTCGGTGAAACCGTTAGCATTGAGCTGAAACCTGGTGGGGAGCACATTGAAGTGACGAATGAAAATAAGAGGGAATATGTCGAGTGAGCTGTCTTTTTTCACTTTCCGAACCTGTTCATCGCTAACTAAGCTAGCCTCATCACGGAATGGCGTATTCAAAAGCGAGTCGAGGAGCAATTCCAGGCATTCGTATCTGGGTTTCACGAACTGATTCCGGCTGATCTCGTCAATGTCTTCGACGAGCGTGAGCTTGAGCTCTTGATTGGAGGTATTGCGGATATCGACGTCGACGATTGGAAGAAGCACACCGACTACCGCGGCTATACAGAGAGCGACGAAGTTATTGTAAATTTCTGGAAGGTAGGTTGTTTGCCAATCAGCGATCTGTGCGCCGACGCTGACATGAACCTAGTGCATCCGGAGTTGGGACGCGGAGCAAAAATCCCGTTTGTTGCAATTCGCAACGGGAACATCACGTATTCCTGTCAATGGATTCAAGGATCTACAAGGAAGCGACGGGCCAAGAAGATTTACCATCGAAAAGGCCGGAGAACCCAATCAGTTACCCAAATCCCACACCTGGTACGTTCACAATTCCCACGTGACCACGAGTCTGTTGCAGGAACATAGAGCTAACATGTGTGCTTAGTTTCAATCGACTCGATCTCCCGCCGTACAAGTCGTACGACGCGCTCAACGGGAAACTTACGATCGCCGTCGAGGAAACTGTTGGGTTTGGCCAGGAATAGAGGACTTGCGCTTCGTATGCACGTGTGTGTTCATTAGGTCGGATCCAATCCCAAGAGTAGAAGTTAAATCGTCGTGTTCTGTGGTGGTGCCCGTGTACAAAAGAAGCGGAAAGAAGTCTCGGGTGGTTTTTGAAATGTCCCCCCCCCCCTCTCCCCACCACTTTTTCTGTGTTGAGGATTTGCGTATACTTAGGAAAGGAAAGGTCGTATTTTTCTGATGTGTATGGACCATGGAGATGCTTTTGAGTCAGTCTTAATGAAGGTTATTGAGAGCGCGTTGATGGGTTGATACGAGCGACTGCGAGGGGCGTTTGGGGGTCTTTTGTGCTTGGTGGTGCGGGTAGGAAAGGAAAGAGAAGCGGGAAGGGTTTGTTAGGTTGTTGGTAGCTGTTTGCATCGAGCGAGTGTGGAATGAAAGGCGTAAAGTCGGTAGTTGAACGCTGTGCTTTATCTGCTGAAGGATGAGATGGTGTTATCGTCCCAGCACATGCATGTTCGGTGACTTCTCGAGAGTGCAATTGATGAGATGATAATGATCGACTGTGCCGGGGCAGAGCCAGAGCCAGCGAGATCCGAGTGTCTTGAGATACCGCGGAATCGAAACACACAGACTTTGAGGCTGCTTTTACCCTTCTCCTTCTCGAGCCGCAATCATTTCGGTCGTGAGGGGATTGATTCGTTGTTGGAGACGGTGGCTTCGCTTCAAGGCGATGGCGACGGTGAAAGAGATGAGGGCGACGTTCAGGGGTTGATTGGCCGCGTGCACGGGTGTAAGGGGTGTCGCTCACTGTGATTGCAGAGTGTCGTGTGCTCAAGACGGACATCTTGCGGGCGTAGATGGATAGGAGTTGGAAGGGAACATGTCTGGAGATTCGACTCCAACCTAGTGACAGAGACAGTCCTTTTTGCAGACAGAAGCAAGGGGAGTTCGTCACGATATCATATGTAGATGCACGTCCCATCCTAGACGAAGAAACAGGAGCCTCTGGTCATCTCGCGTTCAGGGATGGTGGATCAAAACGAACGTCCATATCTTGGCAGGTCGGACCAATCATGTTTGCACTGGACACGAACGACCCCGATGGATCCACCAATGCGAGCCGAATGGCTGTCGTGTTTGGATGCACATGTGGTTTGAGTTGGCTACGGCGTTGAGAAAACGATGGGATGAGTGGATGGTGCTTGGACGAAGGTGTGGTTCCCATTGCTGGACCTCAGCTCTGCGATGCTTGATTGCATAGGACTGTTGTCAAGGTGCATTGGGTGGGAAGCAAATCAATACGTGGAGCACGTTGACTGCATCGGGGGAAGCACTTGGGAGGGTCGGGACCGCTAAGAATAGGGTTTCTCGATTCCATGGCCTGGCTTGATTCGGCTAGGACACAATATCGATTTGAGCTCAGATTTGTTAGTGCATCCGTGCCAGACCATGGCTGGGCTGGCTTGCAGCTGAGCGAGGGCCTTTCTTCCCTCTCGGTTTGGCTGCGTGAACCGATGGATGGGAATGGGGGGATTTCTGTTGTTTAAAATTCCGACCGTTCCCCCCCCGTGGCTCCAGTGCATCCATATTTCCCGTGTCCCTGATTGACGTGACTACAGCAACAGCTTCATTCCTCATCACACCCATCACTCGTTCTGGGTCCAACTTTGTAACCACCTTTTAATATTCACTCTCGCTCGACGAAAAACATTTTACGCTTAATACCACTTCTATATTAATTCAAAATGCGTTTCGCCGCTGTCGCTGTCGCTGCCCTGTCGATGTTCGGCTTTGCGGCTGCTCAGACTACTTCCGCTGCTGCTGCCAAACCGTCTAGTGGAGCTTGTCAAGCTCAGAAGTGAGTTTCTCCCCTATTTTCTGATGGGACGAATTGGATGGAGTCTGTCATTGGTGTTAGTGGTGTTCGAGGTGATGAGCAAGAATGGGTTTCACTGACGCGTTGTCAACTACAGTATCGTCGATGCCTGCTTGAAAACCATCCAGGGTCAAATCGACTCTTGCAAGGCCAACGACTGGATTTGTCTCTGCCAGCAATACACAAATCTCCTGACCTGCTACAATAACTGCCCAGATTCGGCTTCGCGTCCACCAGTCCAGAACCAGGTTACCCAGTACTGCGCCGCTGCTGCTCCGTAAGAATACCTTTTTCCTGCACCCAAGTATTCCTGGATAGATGGATGGGTGGATGATTAGAGGGGGGGGTAGATCAAATGCTAACAATTGCCAAAATAGTCTGCTATCCTCCAGCGCCGCCGCTGCCGCCACCGCTCCCCGCGCTTCCTCCGCCAGCGGCGCCCAAGCCACCACTCTCGCCGCCTCGGGCACCGGTGCCGCGGCTTCTGGTACCGCATCCAAAACTGCGACTGGTGCCGCAGCTTCGAAGACTGGAGCCGCTGGCGCAATTGCTGCGCCCGTTGGTGGTGTCTTTGCGGTTCTCTTCGGTGTTGCCGGCTTGTTGTAAGCGCGAGGTTGTTCGTCTGGTGTGAGCTTGTAGATGATATGTGGTGTGGAGGGATAAAATAGGGACTGGTGTTGGGAGAGGAAGGAAGGGAGGAAGTGGGGCGTGAAGTGATATACCGATAATCTTTAATCAATTTGAAGAATCGTGGATCTGTGAATACTGCTTTGGAGTGTGTTCGCTAGTCTATCAAATTGAACTTGTTGGTGTCAACATCTCAGTGCCTTTCAGAGAGAGAAGGGTTGAGAATTGAGGGAGCGAATAATGCACCCAGAAGCTGTTACAAACTGCCTGTTTAACTAATAAGCCACACCTAGGACTTGGTATTGGATACAGTATTGGATACAGTATGGGATAGTCTGTAGAATTGAGTTGGTGGTTTTCTTATCTTGGGGCATGATGGAGAAGGTTTGGTTGAGTGTATTATGCACTCCAGACGGCGCGGTTACCACCTCAAAATTGGGGTCGTGGCGCCAAAGCCATCAGGGTTAATTCCAGCGGCGTCCCGAGTTTGCTCTCCCACAGTCCGACTTCTTCATTTCACGGTTCATGTTTAGCAGAGGCTTATTAAGCTAGGTAGAGAGCTCTCATTGCGAAGGCGTGTTGTCTCAACAAGCTCTTGAAGGATGCACTCGCGCGGCGGAGGATGGTGCGCACCCTTGTGTGTGATCTCATTGGTTGGACGGCCCAAGTATTCAACCCTCGCCTAGCTGCTGCTAAGGACCTCGAATGGACCTCGAATTGAACTGCTCTTAAGCTCCATATCTTGAATCCCCGAGGAATATCTCAGAGATCAAATCCTTGTGCTGTCTGCCTAACGATACAATATGCGGGATGTTTCGGTCTCGTCGCCGTGCCCTCCCGGAGTGAGAAATTGCTCAGATCACGCAGCCAACGAAGTACACTTCCGGGGGCCAAGACATTCTAGTGACGACATGGCGTTCTCCTCTCCGCATTTTCTCCCCTCCTCACCAATGGCGCGTGTTGGGCCTGTGAGCCGTCCCAACACTGGCAAGATTGAATCATCCTCTTGCCATGCGAGGCTCCACATCGCTTGGCTCTCGCACTGTTTTTCCAGCCCGCGCACGGCAGATTCTGGGGCTCATCAGACCCTCTGCCTGCAAGCCTCAAAGGGCCTTCATCCGCCGCTTCCCCATCCGTGCCCTGGTTGCTGCTACCATCCTCCCGGGCTGCCCTGTCAGACGTCATTTCCCTCGTGCTTCAACTGACGCACTTCATTGCAAACAAAGAGAGGTTCTATGAGAAGAACCACCCTCCCGCCTAGTCGTCGGTATCATGGTCTGCAGCAGACCGGTTGAGAAGGCGAAGACACGATGGCGAAAGACTTTGCAACAAGAGGCCCGGCGGTGCTGGCCGTGACAGCAACCACGCTAGCGCTCTGCACTGTATTTGTTGTGCTGAGGTTGATATCGCGGTTCGCCATCGTCAGGAAGCCAGGATGGGACGACTACACTATGATTTTGGCATGGATTATGGCCTTTGGCACGTCTTTTAGCATCTGCTATGGCACTTCTGTGGGTCTGGGAAGGCACGAAGTGAACGTGCCGCAGGATTGGGATTCAGCTTTGAAGAAGTCGGAATATGTCTTCTCGGTCCTATATGTACGTACTCGGCTCGGGATATACTTGAGATATGTGCTAAGACATGCAGAATCCGGCGTTGATGGCAACCAAGACATCCATCCTCATGTTCTATCTCACCCTGTCGAAAACACAGAAGATCTTCCGCTGGTCGACAGTTGCCACACTTGTTGTTGTTAATGTGGGCGGTTTGGCCTTGACACTGCTCAATATCCTGCAGTGTTCACCTGTCTATGCGGCTTTCAAGACTCCAGTGCCGGCTTCGGCGTCCTGCACCGACATTGTTACCATTTATCTCTCTTCAGCACCCCTGAATATCATCACGGACCTGGCCATTTTGTTTCTGCCGATGCCCATTCTTACCGGCATGCGACTACCAAGGAAACAGAAGGCAATCCTAGTCATTACCTTTGGATTTGGTGTTTTCGTTGCCGTCGTCGATGTGGTTCGAATAGCGTATCTCCAATCCGCCGCCAGGAACCATCTTAGCGATATTCAGGAGCACAAGTCACCCTCTGGAAGCGATTCACGGAACAAGGCTGGCGATTTCCCCTGGTACGCTTCTCTATCCTTCATGTGGTCTGCCATCGAGATTAACGTAGGAGTCATGTGCGGTTGTGTCCCTGCCATGAAGCCTTTAGTGTCTCGTTTTATCCCTCGCTGGATCCACGACAACACCATGAGAGAGAAATCTGCCACCGCTACGGGCGATAGCATTCATCCAGATATTTTTGATACCCGCAGACGATCGAATCTACCTAACTCCGAGGAGTCACCAATGAGAAAACCTCCTCCAGCGCTAGGTGGCGCAATTAAACCTATGGGCATGATGGACTTCTTGACTACTCCTAACATTAATGAATTGCCGAATCCCAATCAAACGAACACGGTTGCAATGTTTGCCACCACCGCTTGTACGCGGCAGAGATCTGCTACTTTCTTTGATTTTGTGGACCTAGAGAGAAGGAAGAACATTACTTTGATGAGCAACCGGGAGTCTATCTACCCCATCCTCATGGTCACCGTTCTGTTCTTCGTGTGGGGATTCGCCTATGGTCTTCTCGATACACTAAATGCCCGGTTCCAGGAAGTTGCGAATATGACCAGTGGTCAGACACTTGGTCAACACAGCGCATACTACCTGGGGTACATCATTGGACCTCTTACATTTGGTAGGGTAGTCTTCCGTCGTTGGGGTTTCAAGGCCTGCTACACTGTAGGTCTTATTATCTACGCCTGTGGGACCCTCGTATTCTGGCCTTCCGCTGTGTTGACATCCTTCCCCGCATTCCTGATTTCAAACTTTATCGTTGGCCTTGGCCTTTCTACTCTCGAGATCAGTGCCAACCCATTTATCGCGCTCTGTGGGCCTCCCGAGCACGCGGAGGTGAGACTCAACCTTTCCCAGGCAGTCCAAGCGATTGGAAGTATCGTCTCTCCACTACTAGCTAAGAAAGTCCTGTTCAAAGCTTCTGCTGATAGCCTTATCGACGTCCAGTGGACATACCTGGGTATCTCATTCTTCACCATAATTCTCGCCATTGTATATTATTACGTACCGCTACCCGAAGCCACTGACGAGGATTTGGAAGAGGCTAGTGCACGTATACCCACACCTCTGGAAGCCACTGTGGCATCATCACACATCACAGTTATCTGGATTACCCTTGCGTTGGGAGTCTTTTCTGAATTTTGCTACGTCGGCGGACAGGAGTCAGTTTCGACAAGTTTTGCAGAGTACTTGCAACTTGTCACCCCCTCTCTCGACTACGTTAACCACCAGGCAGTCGGCCACACCGCATTTGCCGCCTCTCGCTTCTTCGCTGCGGCCATTGGTGTCTGGGTCAAACCACGTTACCTTCTTCTGTTCGCCTACACTGGTGCCATTGCATTCGCAGCAGCTTGTATGAATGGGTCTCGAGCGACACCAGCAGCACTGCTCGTCATGGTCATGTTCTTCGAAGGCCCCATCTTCTCACTCGTTTACGCCCAAGCATTGCGTGGATGGGGTAAACACACGAAAGATGCTGCAATCCTACTCACAGCCGCCATTGGCGGTGGGGGAGTCTTCCCACCGATTTTCTACGGCGTTCAGCAGTCACATAATGCACAATATGCATACTGCGTTGTCGTCGCTACCTTCGCTTTCGGCATGATCTTCCCTCTCTGGATAAACGTTCATCCCACGGCCAGACAGATTGTAGACCCAATGAAAGACGAGCAGACAAGACGAGCTTCGCAGCTAGAAGAAGAAAGACGCGATTTTGCCCAAACAGGGGAGAAACGGCATAAGAGGTGGAGTAGTAGTATTCGCAAGAGGTTTGGTAGGGAGAAAGATGAGTTTCCTGTCATTGAACATAGGGAGAAGAGCAATTGGCCCGATGGCAACGTTCCGAACGGAAGCCCAAGCAGAAGCTAATGCTGTTGCTATGCATTATGATTTACGAATTTAGGACGTTTCATGTTATTTCATGTTATGAGCATTGCATCACTACCAAACTGGCGTCTTTTTGGGGAGAGAAAAGGAGTGGCGCAGTGTCATGGGAGGTGGACTGTTATTTACGAGCAGGGGAAGATACCTGTGATTAGATGTTTTATATATTGTTTATCGTTAATGCTATAAACTAGTATCATGCCACCATAGCTATGGCTAACTTGCATTGGAGCCTCGCTACATTTGCTTGCTGAACAACAGCCAAACTCAGGTCATTACCGAACCCCAGGCTGTTATAACCACAATGCCAGTTCGACCTCGCCTAGGCGCCTCCATCAGAGATCTGACTAGAGATTCCCTTGTCAGCATCTCATAATATCGGGCTCGGCCCTGAACCACTTGTCCTCCGCAGAACTCCAGTTTCGTCATCAGCTATTAAATCGTTCCGATGGTCATGAAGTTGGAATACGTAGGCAAAGGATTGTCAAGTATGAATATGAATATGAGGTTCTGCAAGAGTTCCCAGACTTGTTATTGGGTGAAAATGGACATGGTTTCGGCTATTCATAGCCGCACTGACAAGTATGGTCGCCCCTCGTTCCCCATGCGGCAGCAACCTCGGCTCGCCCGCCCTTTTTCACATTCAAGCTTACCGTGGGGATGCAACTAGCATCTGGCCTTTATTATTCCGAGAGCGCAACCTCACTTAAGCTTTTAAATCGCTTTTCTGCAAAAGTCTACCTCAGCTCGTGCCTGCTTCTATTTCGTTGATCTTCATCTCAACCCCCTCTTCGCACCATCTCAGTACCTACGTCACCTATCAGCTCCAGCTTCAAGACGAGAAAGAGATAGCTCACCCATTGACCCACCATGGTGTCCCAAAAACAGCCCGTCTACGTCCTCGGCGTAGGTATGACCAAATTCATCAAACCGCGTGGCAAAGTCGACTATCCAGAGCTCGGTTTCGAGGCAGGTATAAAAGCGATGCTCGACGCCCACATCAACTACGATGATGTCGACCAAGGCGTAGCCTGCTATTGCTACGGTGACTCTACATGTGGCCAGCGTGTCTTCTACCAGTTCGGCATGACGGGCATCCCTATATATAATGTGAATAATAACTGCTCAACCGGCAGCACGGGATTGTATATGGGCAGAAATATGATTGCGCATGGCGCTGCAGATTGTGTACTCGTGGTCGGGTTTGAGAAGATGTTTCCCGGCAGTTTGCAGTCGTTCTTTCAGGATCGGGCGAATCCGACAGGGACGGCGGGGTTGATGATGAAGGAGACGAGAGGAGTTACGAAGGCACCAGGAGCGGCGCAGATGTTTGGGAATGCGGGGAGGGAACATATGGAGAAGTGAGTCTGCTGCTACAACATCCCTGTTCTGATAGTTGATACTAATTGTATGGATAGGTATGGTTCCAGACATGAGGACTTTGCTGAAATTGCCCGTGTAAACCACGCCCACTCCAAGAACAACCCATACTCTCAATTCCAAGACGAATACACCCTCGAGCAAATTATGAAAGCACCTATGATCCATGCCCCCCTGACCAAACTCCAATGCTGCCCGACATCCGACGGTTCCGCCGCCGCTGTCCTCGTCTCCCAGGCCTTCCTAGACGCACGCCCAGAGCTCAAATCCCAAGCCATCCTCATCGCAGGCCAATGTCTCGCTACGGACAAGCCAGACCTATTCAATCGGTCCGCCATCGAACTCATCGGCTACTCAATGTCGGAACTCGCCGCAAACACGGCATTAAAAGAAGCCAACGTCTCGCCTTCCGAAGTGAAAGTCTGCGAACTCCACGACTGTTTCTCCGCCAACGAAATGGTAACCATTGAGGCGCTCGGTCTTGCCCCCCGAGGCAAAGCCCACGAGCTCATCCGCAAAGGCGGCATCACGTACGGCGGCCAAGTCGTCATCAACCCCTCCGGCGGCCTGATCTCCAAGGGTCACCCCCTCGGCGCAACAGGTCTCGCGCAATGTGCAGAACTAGTCTGGCATATGCGCGGCTGGGCTAACAACCGCTCTGTCAAAGACACCACTGTCGCTCTCCAGCACAATCTCGGCCTTGGCGGTGCGGTGGTGGTTACGGTGTATAAGCGCGCAGATGGCAAGGCTGCTACAGATGTACCGAATTCGGAGGTCGGCAAGATGAATGGCTTGGGGTATAATCCTGCAGTTGAGGCGAAAGGGTTTACGAAAGCGCATGTAGATCAGGTGAGAAGTAAGAAGGCGAGGAGTGAGTGGGCGATTCAGGATATTGAGCAGAAGGTTGAGGCGAGGTTTTAGGTGAGATGACTGGCATTTTGGTGTTTGGGGGATTAGTTGTACATATTTATAAGAGTATTAAGAATGATTTGTTTTACTATTAAATTTTCCAGTAATGGTATAATAGGTACACTCGGGCGGATTGACTGAGTGCTACATAATACGATGAATATGACGGGCAGCATCGGAGAATCGGCCTCGGGAAGAGGAAAAAAATGAACTTAGACAAGTTGGCTTCCTTTAATTCATATACTAATCCCCACCAGCCATTACCTTTCTTCGCTCAGCCAGGTAACAAGATATAATATCAAAGAGGCCGGTTGATATAGAATCTCAAGACAACAGAAACAATAGTTGACCTCGAAATCAGGAGCGATTCATTTGCAACTAACTTCCCATATCGTCTAAGGTTTCGCATTGACTTTCCATGTCCTTTTACATCCATATAACTCATCCCTTCCGAATACGTCTCAATCTCGAGTAGTTGTAAGATTAGTTTCTCCCAGTCACTTGTGACGCAGTATGCTAGTATGTATATGTAACTAGCCACCTGTTGACAAAAGAGGGAAAGACGGAAAGAAATGAGGGCAGCGAAGTCCGTGACGACTAATGTATACACTTTAACTCCCGTACTGCGACTTCCAGACCTATAATATGGGGCCTATCTGTAAAGTTTAATGAACAAATTTAACGGCTCAATATCCACCAAGACTCTCAGAGGGCCGAAATGACCTAGGGCTCTAGTTAGCTAAAAGTGTATTGAGGATGCTTAAATCTGTTGTTTCTTAGTGTTTTAGTCTATCTATTCACAGTCTGCAGTCCTAGAAATACCTATCGCAAACCACTTTTTATTGCAGAGTCGTCCATGTACGCGTCTTGGTGCCTCACAGGCCTCATCTAGTTGATCAGATGCCTATGTCGACCATTTTGCGCAGTCTTGTAGGCTGCAGAAGTCGAGGGCCCTTTATACCGTGAGAGTACACCATCTGTGACTGAAGATTAATCGCAGTTCCTAGGAAATCGCAATCGTAACGCTAGCGTGGACTTTGTAATTGACTGCGATAATATATGGCTATTAGACATAAAACAGGTGCTGTCATCAGCGCAATTGTCTTACTAAGTAAAGAACAAGACTACGTGACAAGGCAACCGGATGCTGCTAAAGCGTAGGCTCATGGCGCGGATTTAACGCTTCTAGAGGAGCAGGGAAATGTAACCTGCCTTATAATCTTAACTGTTTCGACTAGAGTACGGCGCACTTTAATTAAATCGTTCTACCCGTGCAGATCTCGTGAGCCATACCAGTTACTACACGTACACCTACCTCTTCTCCCCACTGCCGACGAACGTGCACAAAATCTCACCCGTACAGGTCTCAAAATTGCTCAGTCTTACAGTACTCCGCCTCGTTGGAAGCGCTGCGTTGGTATTCAGGCCCAGAAAGTCGTCTTGTTTGATTATCGAAGATGGGCTGTCGAGACGAAATGATATTCACCACCTCAACTCCTGAGCGAACTAGGAATGTAAATAATCATCAAGAGAATACAAGTTTCGGACGACTCGGCACTGCAACTTGCCTTTCTTCTCTGCCCAGTCTGCCCTGAGGTTGCCCCCCCTATTCCACACAACAGCAATTCTCAAGCCCAGACTTCCGTGACTCAATTCATGGAAAGTGTTCACTAAGCCTAAAAAAGCATACTGAAATTACAAGAAACAGTCTATAGATCTTTGGTGAAGGAACTCCGTCGTTGAGGTGGTAAGACAAGAAAGTAATACCACAGGGAAGGCCAGCATTGAACGAGAGTTGGGACTTGAGAAGAATAACAATAGAATTGATGTATCAAGAACCAAAATAGAAAACATTGAGAAAGATAATGGGAACGCTCTAGAGAGTGGACGACGTTTTGCATGTTATACATACTAATGGTAGTAGGTTCAAGAAGCTCTTCATAGACGTTGGGACGAAGCTTTGCTGTGGTTGCTGCGATAGAAGGGAATAAACAGCAACGACGTGACAACAACGAAAATGAGTTATATTTTGTCCATACCCGAATGAAGAAAGAATGGAGAAATCATCTCTACCGTGCGTGGATCTTTAGGGGCTTTAGTGAGCAGGGTTAAAGAGGTGCACTACGGGGCAGCGTCGGCAGTATGACAGTCTCGAACCATTGCAAGAGGGGAAGACGGAACAACATCCGCAACGGAGAATGAAGAGGTGTTGGAACTGTCGGATAGATGGTCTCGATCTCAATTCGATCTCCAATCACCCAGTCCCCTCACCAACTGCCGTCTCGATGACCCTCCATCACTCCATCATCTCTCGATAGTCGCCGCGCGACGATCCAACCACGATGTTCCAAGCGACCAATCATCGACCCCGCGATCTCACCACTCCGTCGTCATGATCACCCTGTTTCCCCTCATAAATCATCCCACTACCAGCGCTATCGCAAGTAGACAATCGCAGCAGGACCGGCGATTTCGTCGAATGCGAATTATCAGATTACCCTAAAGCCTGGTTACTGGCTGTTGCGACATGCAGACGGTGATCGTGATGATTATGGCCTGAGGAAATGATCATGGTGGAGTCGCTCGCGATCCATTATATCCACAACCCCACGTTCCAGACCCAAACAACCTCGTGACTCTGCTCATCAGGGTCCAGGGCGAGTGAGTGAAGTGAGACTGCCTTCCATCATTGCCAATGCCAAGCAAGGGAAAACAGGCCAGAATGAACCAAGTTACATGATGATGACGGCATGTCATGAGAAATTCCAATTGGCGCTTGACCAACATAAGCGCATTCTAAAGGGAACTCCTTTCATTGGAGGTTGCGTGACGAGGTGACGAAGAGTTGTACTTCCTAGCGAAGGGTAAATTAGAATGGTTCTTATCGATATGGGTGTGAATATCATCACCGTTGTTGCTAGTTATCGATAAGCCTTCACTAACCACGTAACCCGTGCTTAAAAAACGAACAAGTCGCATGACGACACGACCTTTCGAGACTTGAGTCCAATTCGGCCGAGTATCGCCGAAAACTCGGTGTTACGCCGAAAACTCCAGTCCATGCATCCTTCTCTAATCAAATCACTTCTCTGATTATTCTTCCAGGCGAATAAATTCTATCGTTGCTCGAGTGTCTGCAACTCCATTGGAAACGTGCGTCGTACAAAGCATCGAGCCAGTGGGGCACCAACCCCCAAAACTCTCGTTGCGCTGCACCGCTAACTCACGCCCCGCATACCCGCGGAAGTGCTGTCTGGATCTTAGATCCAGATCCAGCACTTGGCTTCTGACATGCATGCAACCACCGCGTCCCTCCTCTGCTGAGATTTTGCGGAAAAGGGGTGTACTCGGGTCTAGATTCTTAATTTTACAATAGCGGGAGCACACAATTGATTGTTCAGGGCTCTATCAGCTCGGTCGGTGCCAGGTGTGGTGGCGCTTGCGCGGTTCTCCTGCAAGGCTGTTAATGAGAGGCTAGGGTTGTGCGACTGCGTGCTGTATCTATATTTCTATTTGTCCCAGTGATTTAATAGCTGCATGTTAGAAAGGTGGTGCAGCGTACAGCACAACCTCCACAGAGTCGAGACCCTTCAAGTCTTGATATTGAATCGTACAAGATCACGAGGGAGTGCATGTAGGGCCGCGTATCTAGAGTATTCCTTTGCGTTCAAGGATTAGTATTCTAAGCTAGCTAGCTATCCTATCTATTCGTACATCCGAAGTGCTCCCTTGCATTTTCGAGGGGTATCATACTAAAGGAAAGGTGGTGGTACATTTGCCTAGTTACCTGGGCAGATGGAAGTGCAGGGTGCTTTTTGGGGACGAGTACATGATTACAAGACCGCTAGGTCAAGGGACGAATCGTTGTACGGCATACGAAACTTGGAGAAAAGAATAGACTGGATGAAAAGGGGCGGTAACGCAAACAACCAAAAGAAACACCCTCTTGTACCGTTACCCCACCGCTAAAGTTATACACGAACAATTCTGCCCTGCCATGAGGCGAGCTGTATTATGATGAAATGTAATAAAGATTTGAACGAGAAAATGAACCCAAAAATCCCAATCCTGGATCCCAATCCGTTTCGCTGCTGCCAGCTTTCGTCTAATATTCATCACTTTTGCATTCAGTCGACATATTACATCATTTCCGAAATCATCAATCGTCACTCCATCTTCAGCTTGAACGCTCGAGAGGAGATATGAAACCACAACCAGTGAAACAATAGTAGATCACTCAAGGAAATTAGAGAAGTAAAAGGAAGCTTATACCCGTAAGGACTGCTGTATCAAGAACGCCGGATCATTCCCATTTGCATCCTGTCCGGCCTGGGAAACGGGGATGAAGGTGTCCGAACGCCAAACCGGTCCGGATAAAGTGCACGCTGAACAAGCAAAAGAGCACATGTCGAGTCAGGAATGATTTCGGCCGAGAAATATTTCTAACACCGCTGCGCATTGATGCTGGATATGTCGAGAGATGGAAAAGCAAGGCAGGGGAAGTCGATGAGACCAGAATATGCGCCCTGGCTGAGGCCTGGATCATACTTCACCCGAGCCATTTTCGCCCGCTGCGTGGTAATGCACTGCAAAATCGAGCGGCGGTCTCGACCGTGGGAAAACTTTGAGGTCGTTCGTTGAGGATGTGTAATGTGCGAAGGATCGGGCGCGTTCTGGAATGTGCTGGCAACGGACTTGAGTTAGGGCCAGCCGAGCGCCGTAGCCCTCGGCGGAACCCACCCGCTTTGAAACCTCCGCGGACAAACATGTCCGCAAACTCAGTCGTGATTTCCGCCACGACGTCTGTGCTTACCAGGGAAGTCGATCTCAGGATGCACGACGCGCTGCAACATGTTAGCTTGCTTGTGACTAGGGACGGTTTTAGGATGGATTCTTACCATGTGTCGGGTCAGTGCATCGTTGCGTGAGAACGTCTTCTCCTCGACGCACAGTGCGCACCGGACTTTTTGCTTGCGGGCGTTGTGGATCGTGTCCTCGTGGCGAGTGAGGTCATAAGGCCGAGAGAAGATCGTGTTGCAGGGCTTGCCGGTTGTGGGGTTGATGCGCTCGCACTTGTGAGGCCCCGCCTGCGAATTGCGCTCCAGGAGTGCCGCTGATGTCATGCTGGAACCCATGGTCGCAGCATTCGCATTGCGGTGACCTTCGCGTTTATGCTTCTGCAGTTTTTGCGGAGTTTCAAATCGAAGTGTGCAGCCATGGTAGGTACATGTGTACGTACCCGAGTCGGCCGAAGAAGCGGCCGGTTTCTGGAGATGCTCACTCGAAGTGCTGGCTGTCTCGGGTCCGGCCTCACTCGCGCTGGACTCCATCGAGGTGAGATGTGCCGGGAATTCCGGTGGTTGGTCGGATGCCGACGGCATGCTGGCGGGAGTGGTTCGGAACTGCGAGGTGAAAGGCAAACCGTGCATGTTCCCCGAGATAGCCGGGGGAACAAAGGCGAAGGTTGAAGCTGGGGGTCCAGAGGTGGTTGAGGAGTAGTTTGGCGAGAAATGAGGTGTTGCCCAGCTGTCTCGTCTGTAAGCCTGCCCCGATGTTGTGTCAAAGCTGGATTGGGTGGCGTTTCTATATTGGTCGCCACCGTTGTATTGGTGCTCGTACTCGCTTGCGCCACCTTCCGGGAAGAGTGCCACCTTAGACTGATCATCGGCTTCGCGATAGTCTAATAACGCATCCTTTGGCGAGATCGTTTTTGGTTGAGCCTCCTCGGTCGATGCCACGTTCTGCTTCATTGCGTAAGCTGCATCAGCCTCAACCTTTTGCTCACGTGCCAGGGCTGCCGTGGGCACCCGCATGCGAGGTGAGCTGAAGTTGTTGCTGGGGTGGCGGTACGGTGAGGAGTGTCGAAAGGGTGAGATGGGACGAGACGCTGAGCTCGCAGGTGACTGTGACCGCGCGTTCTGAGCGGCTTGCACAGTTCGCTGGAGGATGTCGTTGGGGTTGTTGCTTCGGTACGGCGACAGCAACGATGCATTGGGAGCAGGCTTGGTATGCGGTATTGATGGTGCCTGTTGCAACATGGTGCTTGAGTTGTAGAAGCTGTCGGGGGCCACATCCGTGTAAGTCCTCTCGAACTTGGGCACTTGGTGTCGCAAGTCTGGTTCGTCATCGTAAGTTAGGTATTCATCGAACCATGCTTCGACCTTGTAGAGTATCTCACCGGTAGGAGGCACCTTGAACCTGTCCTCAAAGTCTTCACCCTGCGCAGTGTGAGGGGTCGCCGGCGAGTCGTGTCCGTAGCTTGATACCGAATGCCTCGCTGAGTGTCCAAAGCTGGGCACGTCTTCGTCAGGAACATGCTGGTCCATGAGCGCCTGCTTCATTGAGAAATGTGCGGACATTGTCGAGTCCATGTTGGTAGTGTTGGGGTTGTATGTGTTGAAGTTTGGATTCATTGCGAATGAATCTTGCGTAGGTGTGTGAGTAGGGGTGGGTAAATGGTTCGAGAAGGGTCTTGAAGGTATGTCAGCGGTGTAAGATGACTCAACATGAGTAGCTGAACAGGATGGCAAATTTTCGGGATGGGCGACGTACGGGTAGGTGGTTGTGGGACCTGCAGACTGATACTGGGATCCAGTCGATCCTATCGACGAGGACGACGACGCGCGTTGATGTCCTCTTCCTGCCTGGCTTTGTACGGGCGTCTGCAGCGACTGGCTGTCCGCATGACCATTGTTCGCAAAGTTGTGCCAGTTCTCGAGACCGGAGGCCGTGGCGTTACTCGCTGGGAGCATTGAAGGTTGCGAGAAGCCCGAAGGTAGTTGTGGCGTCGGCGTCGACTGCTGAATCCTAATAGTAGGGTTCAAAAAGTCGTAGGCTCCGTTCATGAAAGGGTTTGAGTTGGACGACAGGTCGCTGTCGACGATGATGGGTGTCGCAAAGGCGTGCTGCTGCGACTCAAGGTAGTCGTGGAGCAGTTTTTGGTCAAAGAAGTTCTGCGCCGAGAGCTGTTGCGACAGTTGGTCGAACGAGAGGTGTTGCGAGGATGGTGGAGACGGTAGGGTGGATTGCGAGTGTAGTGAAAGGTGCTGACGTCTTTGTGGTAGGGCCAGCATAGTGTCGGGAAGAGGAAAAATAACGGCCCAAGGCGGGTGGCGAGATACTTATAGGTAGCGAATGACTAGAGCACTCGGCCTAAAAATCTTGGTGAGGTGATGATGGAAACAGGTGGAATGCCCAGAAAAACCGGCTACGTTCGGACACTCGGGGCTGAGAATTTCTTTACGGGCCGGAATGATTGCAAATTGCTGAGGGAGTGCGTCTTCGGCCTTTGGTGGAGGGAGCTGTCTTCGCGCGGGTTTCTTCCATTATATCCTCGAGCCCTTGCGTCATCGCCCGGGGTGGAGCGTCTGGCGCCGATCGATTGACTTCTAGAAAGCGCTTTGCAGCAGGCTAAAGAGCGCCCTCCATGCAGGGCCATGCAGCATGGGCTTTTCCGACGTGGGCTGTGCACACAGGAGCACTGGAACACACCACTCAAAATTTCTGTCCACTTTTGGTGCCCGTCGGCTCCTATCCGACACAGGGCCCTATTCCTCTCCGCGGAGCCATCTCCTGCGACAATAATAACGGTCAATAGAGTGTCTGCATGTTATGGACATCCGTCGAGCACAATCCTCGTCGCAACGTGCGCTTGCAAAGCGATCCCCGTTGCTCATCATCGTTCGGGGACCTATCCTGACTACTCTTCGGCGTCTCAAGCTTCTCCAGACTGACGGAGACTTGGCTCGGTAGATGCGTGCTCCTAGACGAGAGATCTCAAGAAGTGCGCTAGGTGCAGGCTTGCATCGGCTGTAAAGCAACAAATTCCGACCAGATGTCAGGCAGTGCAACCCTCCCACACTGCAAGCCTCGCGCTCCCTCTGCGGGAGCATGCCCACTCGGGTAAGGGCGATGTTGTAAATGCCCTTTTGAGCAGAGGCTCTTCGGTTGGAAGCCAGGGGCTAGAAAGGGTCACAAGCCATGGCGCGTGACCGTTGCACCGAGTTTCCCTCATGTCATGTCTATTGAGTTTGTTTAATTCCTTCAGCTCACTAGGTATCGTGACGCGCAATATCGGCGAGCAGCAAGGGGGCATCCAAACTGGAAGCCCCCAGTACCACGTTTCCATTCCAGCAAGAGATGGACAAGACAGCTGAAGATGGTGGCCATGGTAGAATGCTGATTCTAGTGGTAGATGTGTTCTGCGCTCCTCTCCACTAAGAATTGGTTTGGAACCGGGACCCTTCCCATGGACCAATACGCTGGAAACGAGATACACCATGGTCCAAGCAACCGTTGCGCCAGCTCATGTTGGAGTTGCGCACATCACCGAGAACTGCAGTCTTCGAGACCCCACACGATGTACAAATTCCCAAACCACCAGGTACAACCGACCACACAAGCAAAATTTGCACTTGAAACAATGTTCCTTGCGGAGCGCCCGTAAAAGAAAAACTTGTAACGTTATCGAAGTGCATGCAGCATCGTTCTGATATGCTCCATAGTAAAACGTGGGCAGGGCTGTGGAGAAGTGGCGGATCGAATTCGGAAAGTCCACGCCCAAAGATCGCATGAGGGGTGATAGGATGAACTTTTCAGGGTCCTGCTGAGCCACACTCCCTAACCCCTAAACAGTAAGGCGCAGGCCAGCCCTATCCGCAGGATGCGGCAACGCCGACTGGCCGAAATCTCGTCCACTGCAGAGGAACGTCGCATCGAGGGGTTGTGAGAGGTGGGTGTCGCACTGCGACATGAATGCGCACCAGCCACAGATAAGCCACTCGTTTGCGACCCGAGAAATCCCCAGACATACTAATCTCGTCGGCTACTAAGAAAAGGGGACGGATGAAAGCCGCCTCATTTCCATGTGTTGCAGTGTCGCTTCACCTCGCGTAATAATGGGAGAGGATCGCCAATGACATCACCTAACACATGCATTCCAATGACCACATCACATATTTGTCAAATTCGATCTCCAGCAACAGTTGCTTCAAGTTTCTATTTTTGCGAAACATTCGCACCCAACTCTCTTCATTCCTTCCCTGATTTGTACCCCATTATCTTGTTTCGAGTCGGCGCAGAATATCAATACTAGCTGTGGCAAGTTCCGCCGTATGCAGTCATGATCGACAACGGGTGCAGAAACCTCCCCGCGCTGCTTGGACCTTTTCAGCGGACACTATCCACCTACGTCGTTAGCGCAGCTGTCATCCAATCCTTCGTCCTGGAAGCAAACGGGAAGTGGGATCTCCAGGGCCCGAGACGGGTTTATTGAAACCCAAAACACTCGGCACTGCCTTTGCCCTGGGTCAACTTCTTGAACACGTTGGCCGCTTCAGCCGTCGCCGATCATGACGCCTCAGGCTTCATTTTTGACACTTTCCGGAGTGGGTGCATGAAAACCCTCCAATGATGACTGCAACTTATCCTCTTATCCACCATTCTCGCCTTGATTTCTATTCTCATCCGCCCTATCTTCAATTTTCGACCTCCGGATATCCGCAAGGGAAGTTGATAAACTTGGGTGAATGAACATGCAGGGCAAAGGTGGCAAGACTCCTGCAACCCAATCATCTCAAAATCCTTCAAGGTTTAATTAAACAATGTCAACTAGCGTTTCTATTCCCGGCCCGAAGTATTGGCACAGCTTCCGGAAGCGGAACGTATGGGAAACTTGGAGGCTCAGCCTGCCAGTGGAGCGGTCTAACTCCTCCGGAGTATTGGGAATACTTTGGGAGATGGAAAGGAGTTAAGAAGCATAATACTACTTCAAGGAACGAAATAGATTCGGCCGACTTCCCTCATCTTTCAAAAAATGTGAAAACCGTCCGGTGACGTGTTGAATGCGCGAACTTTTTCGGTTGAACAGGAAGCGCCAAGTGCCGACTGGTATGCCGACGGCTTCACTTCGGCCGTAGCTCCGAGGCGAATTCTCCCGTCTCAGAACTCCATCATGACTGACAGATGGCTTACACTACTATGAGTTTGGACAACGTGAGCCTGCCAAATTAGCATCATGGTGCAGCGACCAACGCTTCGAGAGAATTACTCCTTTCAGTTGTCCATGAGAGATGGACTGGTTTGCATATGGTTTTGCGAGGCTGACCGTGAGCTGACGATTAAATTTAGGTTTTGAGAGTTAGCCATGGCGTGTTCGCAACACCATCTCCTTTCGATAGCTTATCAGATCCAAAAAATCTCAGTTTTTGCTTGTCCACATGACATTCACCTGAGATCATGAGATTAGTCACGGCTGAGTCAAACGGCCTGGTGACTGACTATACTTGAGTTCAGATATGTCGCATACGAATTGCATTAACCTGATGAGTGAACATAGACAGGAATTCATCAGCTGTGTATTTCAAATTGAGCTGGATATTAGATTGATGAGCTAGCCACGATACTTCATCGCCGAAGTCGCGACCGCCTCCGGTCTTTCGTTGCATACCTGCATATCTCACCATTCCAGTCAATCCTTACCCAACGCCAGTGGACGAAAAAAAAAAGCCCTATAGGGTTAGATTATATGTTGTAGCATGAGACCGACTCACAAGACAGTTACATTGATTCTCGTATGCGTCAGTGGTGCCTGACGATCCTTGCGCTATCAATCATCTGGGGAAATTCTCGCTGAAGTTTGTATTTTCTTAAGGTTTCACGTCAGAGTCGAAGTATGCATAGTAATAAGCTACGCGAGTAAGACGATGGTCACAGAAAAGCTTTGCAATTTAAACTTGGGTCATACTCTTTTAGGAAATATTTTGTAAGCTGTGATGTGCGACATCGCCGAGTCTGTGTGAGATCGCCGAGTCATTGCGAACGGTTCCGACACCCCCGGTGGGATGCCTAAATTTTAGGAAAGAACACGTATAAGGAAATTTGAGTAAATATGAAGTGGAAATCCCCCCCGGATCAGGTGCAGGCCTTTCGTTCATGTCTGTCCATTGTTGAGACAAGTAAGATCTAACCCGATCAAGAAATAGCCTTTCATCAACACATTCCTACAAAACTAGCTTCAGGCATTTCCGAGCAGTCTTTTACCCTCGTTGCCGTAATTGCTATCCTTGGTAGATTTTGACTATCCGGATAGACGACTTAGTTCCAGGAAGACCGTTACTCTGACGCTTCTCGATGTCCCTGGTCAGCCTACAAGAGGGACTGGGAGCTCATTTCCTTTACTGTAGCTCTCTAGCTATGGGTATTTTTCTGTGCCTATTAGGCAATTGAGCCTTTAGCTAAGCAGACTGGACTTAGCATGAATAAATATTCTAGTAGCTTAGAGAAATGATTGGGCAGATATCACGGTAAAGCAGAGTCCAAAGAATACTTAGCATCTCACAGAATCCTTGAATCAATTCTTTAAGTCTTTAAGTTCATACTCGTTTGTTGAGGCTTCAAAGTCTGGTTGGTGGTTGAGGGGGTCCTCAGAATGTGACTTCAAAGTTGCTAGTAGCCGAAAGCATCTCTATCCGAACACTGTTTCTCATTTCGTTTGTATTGGCATACTTTTGCCCGTTCGACAAGATCTCCGGAGTTTGTCTAAGGCGACCTTCATGATTCAAATACCTTCTCTTCTCTGTGGGACCATAGTGTACTCCCCGAGCGTGACAAGCTACACTCATACTCTGCGTCAGGCGGCCGATGACGGAGACGACGACTTTGAGGTTCATCTATCAAGATACCAACATCATCACAGCTACCTAGGAATCTCAGTACAACACAACCATGAACAAGGTGTAAAGGCTTCGCTCATGGTTCGCTAATACCTCCGATTCAACTGCCTATATGGCCGCTTATAGGGTTCAACCCCTTCCTTGGTCCTCTTCTCTTTTCTATTTCTCGAGCCCAATACCTGATGCCAATGTTTGTTAGTTTAGCTAAGATCCGAATATTCGCCGACAATTGTGCCACACCATCATTTAAAGGCAGATCTCGGTAACCAGAGCATGAAGAGACGACTTCAATATATGCCCTCCAGTGTACGACCTCTATTAGTGGAGCAATGGAGACTTTGTTTCTCTTAGCGCCGGTTATCTCCTTCGCGGCGACACAACCTTCCACATAGGAAAATATGGTGGTTAGTTCCGGAACAGCTGGATGCTGGATGACTGCTAACGTAATTAAACAAGACTATCTTGGAAATAATGCGTAGATGGCTTAACCTAGGTAAGCCTTACACATGTGGGGCAGATAGGGATCATGAGAGGGGGTTTCCCGACTAGATTCCTTCTACGAAGATCCTTGTATTCCATAACTGGAAATAGTTTCTCAGCACCATTCACTTGTACCTTTTGTTAACACCAAAGTGCAGCGTAAACCTTTTATCAGAGAATCCCATATTTTTGTGGGACTTTTAAGCCACCCATTTTCGAAAACAACATTCGTCCTCCAGATCCCCTTGAATTCCTGAAGGTTGTGTTTTGACCCACCCATCTTCTTATCCCACTAATCCATTATCGTCACTTGCTAGTCCACTGTGGGCTTCTTCAATATTTACATATGCAGCCAAGTCATAAGTGGGCCTGTACTAATTCGCAGTTTTAGTTCATCAGCATGAAGGGCTCGTTCGCAGAATCTGTGTGCTTTAAAGTGGTTGGCTAGGTGGTTAAGCTGCCGTTATAACTACCTTCGCCCTCGGAGTTGTATAAGTTCATTGGCCCAAAGACCAGCACAAGTACCTTTAGCCGTTCCTTCGAGCCCACAACGGATTACCTGCCCGACGAACGGCAACCTGTTCAACAGAGCAAAGCCTCCGTCTTGAAGACTCAATGTTTCACAATCTGCCGCCGTATTCATGTTCTCCATTCGGCCCGCTAATGCGTGTATTCCAGGATAATGCTCTCGATATCGCTTCTTCCCTAGGTTATATTAAGCCTTAAGAATTCTAACCACTCTATGCACCAATGTCTCCACGTTCACAGGCACTAAGTCCGCAACAGCAGCAAGGGTCCTAATCCTTAGCACAGCAAGAATGAACCATTAGCTAGAAGATTACCAAGGAGACAGCTTTAGCAGTGTGATGTTCAAATTGGCAAGGCAGATACCTCTCTTGCATATTGAAGAATATGTAAATGACGAGCCTGGAATAGTTAATTTCCAGCTTCATACAGACCCGTTCGGAAAATTTCCCTTCCAAAGTTTCAGTCTTGGTAGGCTCACAGTATGTTGCTATTCTCTCAATCAATGTATTGTAGGGCCGGAAGGTTGTTGTTTGCAGACAGCACTTCGCCCCGCGATGCCAGAGAAAAGCCTTCAGGAAACAATTGAAGCAGGTACTGTGCGATATCTGTACGTTAAGGGACTTTGCTGTCCCTTGGCTGATTTATGTATTCAATGCATATGATTCAATGCATATGATTCAATGCACATGCATCTATATCGTAAAAAGCGTTAAAACAGCAAGGTGGTGAATGCATTCATCGACGTTTCTGGTGTTGCACGAGTCCTCCTGGGGAGAGTTGGGAGAAAGCAGGGAAGGTTCCAAAGCGTGTTGCACTGAACTTGGTGCTGAGGTTTGTGACGTTGTGGGATGGGTGCTAGGGGGATTGATGGTGCATTTAGGGGAAACAATAGGTGGAGACATGAGACGGTAAGAAGGGCGCTAGGATGGAGGCTTAAGGGTGAAGAAGAAGCGCCTGTGGTGACGACAGAGGGCGTTGATCTGTAGTAAAAATGCTGGTATATGTCCAGATTGTCAGAGATATCTATCCATTTGCCATTGCTGACCTTGATGTGAAATCATAGTACCTCCTAGAACCTCAAATGACAACTTATTTTCTTTGGTTAACACACCAGATCCCCCATTCTCTACCTAACCCTAAAAATCCTATCCGCCCTCCCGCTCCCTTTCAAAACTTCCTCCACCTCCTCATCGCCCTTCCCTTTAACGCCATCTAAAACATCCTTCTCCACCAGCTCCACGACCTGACAAACCGCCTGCCACGCATTCCCCAACATACTAACCTCAGTCCCCACCAAAAATAACACCGTTACAACCACAAACACCACAAAATGCACTCCTAACACCGCACATACAATACCAAACCCTTTCCACTCATGCGGAATAGTAACCTGCCTAGAAAACGCAAAAGTAGCTGGCGCACTGACATCAAACTGCGCGAGAAAATCATAGTACGCGGACTGAGTGAGTATAGTGAAAAGAGCTTGGACTGCGAGTGCAGGATTGTGTGTTGTGCGAATGATATCCTGGAATACGGCAATGTGGGCACGGTGGATGGCCTGCGAGATTCCATCGGACCAGGGGGTTAATAGTGCGCCTTTGTTTGGTGTCGGGATGTCGGTGTTTCCTTGAACGAAGCCTTCGTCCAAGGCTGTCCATATGAAATTCAGAGTTTTGGTGTTTGTTTTAAGTTCCGCGAGGTGTGCGGTCCAGTTTGCGTGCGCGTCGAGATTAAGGATACCGCGTTCTTCTGGGTTAGAGGGGTGGGAGAGACCATCGTAGAGGTGTAGGATGTCGTGGGTTATATAGTGTCCGGTTGTGTTATCCCAGTTTAGGGAGGGTTCGGAGGTATCGGCTTTGCTCCACATGTTGACTTCGTAATTGAACGGGAGGGGATTGGTGAAGCACAGTGTAGCGCTGATGGAGGAAGGGTTATTGGGCGCAGTCAATGTCGTCCACGCTTCACCCGAGTTCGTCTTCCATTGGCTGAACTTGCCAGAAGCTTCCCAGTCTGTCCCTGAACCAGTAGTGTTGAATACCATATATGTCTTGGCGAACCATTCTCGATCTTCCTGAATGCTGCCCTTTAGATCTGCGAGATCTCTCAGATGACATATTGATGTTTTCCAGTAGCCATTGGTCGGGCCTGTCGAAGATTCCAAGGGGATTGTGCAGTTGAAAGACGTCTCGATATTGTCTCCGTATTTCGGAGGTGAAAGCATAGAATACGACCCTTTCCAGCCAGCGGTGCCGTTCAGCGCCAACAAATCATCTGTCATCAGCCACCCAGTTTTCAGTGAGAGTTGCGGCTTAACGCAGACTGTCCGAAGGTCCAGGACGGTCGCAACCCCCGTGAAATTGCGAAGTTTTCGTCTTTCATTTGCCGAGCTGAATGGAAGGTAAGCACGGTATGTAGGTCCAGTGTCTGCAACTCCGTCCTCTGGATTGGGAGGGTGATGCCACTCCGCGAATCTTGGATAGCTCAACGGGCGTGATTTCCAGTAATTAATGCCTTGGTATGCGTCCGTTGCGCCAACCCGAAGGGAGTCATTGTAATTCAACCCAAAGGCGACATTTGTGGAGTTGAGTCCGGAGAGTATACTTTGATCCGCGAAGTCCAGGAGCAGGATCGTGGACGTAAATTGCAAGACAATTGATGCTACTAGGGCAACGAATAACAATGAAATATATGCGAACGAAGTCGAGCCCAGGATTTGGTACATAGCCGGCCATATTAGATGATGCGGAGAGTTGTTCACACTCCGCATGATCGACAACATTGGAAGACCGCCGAGCCGGCTTCCTGCTCGCTCCAACAGTAATGACGCTATCATAGGTGTTACAAGACCGACCTGAGCTGCGACGGATGTCCGGATTACCACCGAGGAAAGGGTTACTGCGCGAATGATCCATCCTCGATTGATCAGTTTGTGCCACATCCTGGGGCCCCCTTTTCCGGCAACAACATCAAGAGACGTTCTCCAAAGGAATGCCAGAAAACTCAGGGTTGCAAGAAGCGCCACAGAACTTAGTAGCAGAGTGAAGAGGTGGAATCGGCCGAGAGCATGCCAAAAGCGGCGCTTGCGACTTGGGGAAATTGGAGCTTGGGCTGGAAGAAATGACGTTTTCTCCGGTGGAACATGCCCGTAGGGTTGGTATTCCCGCTCATCAGGCTGGTAGTTGTGCCCATAAGGCTGGTATCCTTGGTATGCTGGATTCATCGGTGGGGTTAATGAAATTCCAGCTCGAACGCGCTTAACAGAGTGAGTGTTGGATAGATCAGAGGGGCGCGTCAATCAATCAATAAGCCACCCTGTTGCCAAGGTCCCCTTCTTCTTTCTAAACGTTAGACAAATCTCGTCCGATGCCCCTAGACTCAGTGATCGATAGTGACAATTCCTTCTAGTCCTCTCCGTGGGTGGACCATATCCTGTTAAGCAGTTGTCAAGAGATGGAACTAGCTCCCTTGATAAGAGGTTCCACCTCCAGGCCTCCACTAGGGAACACATGTGGCAGTGCATCTAGCGCCTGCTCTCTCTTCACATCGATATTTCTAGCGTTGGTCGTCTATGCTTCATGTGTTCGGCGATTGGAGAGTTGTGTGTTGTGGCGTTGGACTTTCGGCTCTTCAATACCAAGTTAGCGAGGCTAAAGACGCCTCAATGACAGCAATCTTTTTCCTTCAAATTTCTATCTTCTCTTGGACACTCTCTGGTAGGGTGAGTTTCTTGAGAGTATTCTAGTGCTCATGTCCAGAGACATCTTGTTGGGTTGTTCTGTGTTGCACGATCTGTGAGCCTCAGTCCAAACTTGCCGAGTGCTGAAAATGCTGGCTCTGGGGAATATCTTCGCGGACAGTTCTCTAAAGCCACACAGCATCGCCTCAACCCTTGCCCCAACAACCTCCAATGTGATCATGGTCGCCTGCCGCACTCGGCCCAGATTCGCTCCCAGTGGGCGGCCAAGCCAGCCAAGGAAAGCTGAATTCGAACCTATCTCTTAGTGTATTCTCCATCCCCCAAATTAAATTTTTTTTATCGAAATCATTCGTACCGCATTCGCCTGAGAGCTCAGTATTCCTCGACGGAGAGGGTTGTAAATCACAGCTCGCAGCCCGCTAAGCGGAGTAGAGCTCAAGCTAAAGCAAGCCCTTCACATATCACCTTCTCAATTTCCCGAGCGTTGCCTAACAGCTCAGTATGGATTAGCCTAGAGGGATTGTCATAGATTGCAGCTCGCGGCACGCACCAAGTTCTCCTACATCGTGATCGATTCAGTTTTCCGAACTTAACAATCAGGACGAGATCACTTACCCTGAACACCTGGAGCAAATCCCCAACATCTCCAATATTCAAGATAAAAAGAGCACTGCTAAAGCGAAGAGAAGAAGGAAAACACGACTGAAGGAATGAGAAGAGTCGAGCTTGTATATGAGTGTGTATATGGTGGAAGAAACTAGTCCATCGTTCTTTCCCTCCTAATCCGCTGACTAAACCCTTGAACTATGCTGTGCAACCTTGGCAGCATTCCATGCCCGCTTAAGTGGACTCCAGATTACCCCCATCAGCCAGGGAACCGTAAAACTACCCTCCAAAGTCATACCAAATCCAATCCCATCTTTCCAAAAATCTCCTCTCCATTCTTTCGCTCCTAGACCTTAATGGGGTGAGGTGGGGTAGGTGCAGTCTCTCATTCCTGACACGCTGGCTATGGGCTAATGGAAGTGATGTGACATACTGCGCTATGCTCTGCCCTTCCTCTTAATCCCCTATATCCTAAATAATCTACTCTTCTCTGCTCTTCCCAACCAATCCTCCGCCTCAAATTCCGGGTATCAGAAAACGGGTTCTTTCAAAGCAATGATAGTGCTATGCCATGTCACGTCATGCCGCTACAATTATCAATTCATGCGTCCTCTCGCCTCGCCTCGTGTGAGTATTCCCCCTCCTATTCTATCTTATCCTATGCCATCCCATCCTACCCGGCATTACCGCGTCCAAAATGAACCATTTCAATGGACATCTTCATCTTCATCTTCAGTTTATTCTTCTCAATCACTCTTCCAATGACTAGTCAACCTCCCATCGTCATCCTCCTTCGAAATCTTCAGCTCAATCGCATACAACACCATGGTCGCGGCTAGATTAATCCACCGCCAGAAATTTCCACCCGTGTCGCCACCCTGATTAGTCCACCATTCTCCCGCCACGGGACTTGCGCCATCGATCCCACCGCCGCCGCCGTTGACGTTGGTCGTCGACGAGGCGAAGTGTTGCATGAGCAGGCTGGTATACACGGCGATGAGGATGCTCGGGCTGAACCAGGTCAGGAGACCCAGGACTTTTCCGGCCTCGTCGTCGTCGTCGAGGCTGGGTTCTTGGGACAGGGCGCGGGCTCCGCTTTCGCGGATGGCGGGAATGATGCGTGCTGAGGCGTACATGACGAAGACGCGGTAGGCGAGTGAGATGATGACGCTGGGGGTGATGGTCATGATGGCGCCGACCATGAGGTTGAAGCCTGTGTGTATTATGGTTGGGAGTTGGCCAAGGGCGTGGAGGAGGGTTGTGTAGGACGCCATTATTATGGGAGGTAAAGGAGGTAATGCAGGCTCGGCGGAGGCTTCGAAGGCTGTGGCCGAGCCAGGGGAGGGCTGGTAGTCAGTGAAGATTTGGTAGATGCAGAGCGTTACGTAGGCAAACTGCAGGGTTGTCAGCGACAGCACGGCTGCACGAGGAGTCGCTCATACAAGGAGGGAGGATTCCACAGGGTTGCCTCGCCCGCTAACAATACCCCATGCACAGAGGAATATAGCACTAGTGATGGCTACACCAATGAGAATAGCGTCGACATTTCCGATCTCGGGGAAGGTGGTAATCCGCCAGAGGAAGTAGACGGAGCTAGAGATGATGGATGCTGAAAAGATGAGGAGGCCGATCTACGAAAGTGTCAGCATTTCAGAAAGTGAGAACAGCTTCCATTCCTCCTTACCATCCAGCTGTCGCCGCGCTCCCTGTTGACAACCCATCTTGTAATCTGGCCGGCCGCCTGGATGACCAACAAGCTGCAGAAGCCTTCTCCGACCTGAAACACCGGGGTGCTGTATCTCAGTATCTTGTCCCAGCTGCCAATGGTAGCACTGTGCAGCAATCCATCTGGTCCAAATATCCACTCATGAACACTCGTGTCCTGGGCTCGCTTTCCTCCAAACGTCCGTTCCACCCATCCCGAGCTGTTGTCCGAGTCGATGGAGAACTTGTTCAAGCTCCAGATCAGCAATGTCGGTATCGCTATCCACTGTGTCCAGGCTATCAACTTGCACAACGCCCAGCGAAACCTCGAGCCCTCCGGGGTGGAGAGACGGAGCACCGAGTAGACGAAGTAGTAGCTACTCAGCGAAAGCGAAAAGGCGAGACCACATGTCCGCCCACCAATGTCGAAGGCGAGCGGGATGGTGAAGATGATGGCGCCGAGGAAGGTTGCCGAAGAGAGCACTCTGGTGAGCCACATGTGCAGACGTCGCCCTCGCCGAGCCCGCACTATGACGAGCCGGACCTCTGACGTGAGCTGCGGCTAGAAACGGGCGAACGACGCGCGCGGAGGACGCGCAGACTGCGCGACGGAGCAAAAGAATGCTCAGCTGTGGTTGACAACGAAGATGGGGAGGCTCTGGAGGTCGTCTGCGATTCTGCGTTTCTCTAGCCTGGTGTGCCGCGTCTCGCCTTTCTGGCCGGGCGTGTTGGAGCTTGGCGGCGAGCACCTTATCTTCACGTGCAAATGGTTGCTCCGCAGCAGCGCTCGAGCTTCGTGCCCGGAAGGACAGTGCAATAAGTATCGGAAGGGGAAGTTGACAGTATCAGGCCAGTGGAGCGGTGTATGTTCGTTGTCAGGAGGTGCAGGCAGCTGCGTTGCCGTGTATCTCAGGCACAGGGAGTTATTGGTTGCAGATGTCGCGTGCTGGCAGGCCAGGATGATGGGCGATCCTACAGATCTGGACAGGGGACGAGGCCGAACGGAAGGATAGGGTGGAGCCTTGGAGCAGCCGGCCGTGGAGGAGAGATTCACCAAGGAATTTGGGGGTGGGGGCCAGCAGAAAGGAGGAGGAGTAGGAGGAGTAGTTGGCGGGCTGCTGGCGGAGGAGAAGCCAAAAGGACAAGTTTCTGATTCTGATGTCAAATGGGGCGTTTTGATCTCGTCTGCCACACTGAAATTGAACGCCGTCTAAGCCCAAAATTGCCGTTGGCGCCGCCCACCCAACGGCCCGCCAGATCGAATTGCCAAGCATATTTTGGTCGGCAGCATTTACGCTCAAATACACTCCGCAATATCGACGTTGTTTGACTGCCTCTGCAGCAATTGCATGTTTGGTTTGAAGCAAGCATTTGTCCGCGTCCCGAAAACAGCCCTCAACCTTTCACCGCCTTCGTATCCCATTCTGAACTTTCAGTGCGCACTCCGCACAATGGCCACCGAGAACCCCACGAAGAAGCTTAAGATGGACGGCCCGTTAATTGGGACGCACAAGTAAGATCCCACGAACAAGATGAATAATGATGTGATGCTGACTCAAGCTCTCAGCGGCCACTTCCACGCCGACGAAGCTCTTGCCGTTTCCATGCTCCGCCTGCTCCCCACATACTCTCACTCTGCCCTGGTGCGCACCCGCGACCCGTCCATCCTCTCCACCTGCCACACCGTCGTCGACGTCGGCAGCGAGTATGATGCCTCCCGTAACAGGTACGACCACCACCAACGCGGCTTCTCAGCCACCTTCCCGGGCCACTCCACCAAACTCTCCTCCGCCGGCCTCGTCTTCCTCCACTTCGGCAAGGCCATCATCCAAACCGTAACTGGGCTCCCCGATGGCGCGGACCTCGACCTCCTCTTCTCGAAAATCTACACCGACTTCATCGAAGCCTTCGACGCCAATGACAACGGCATCAGCGTGCTCAACCCGTCCGATCTCACTTCCGCGGGCCTGACCAAGAAATTCGAAGACCGTGGGTTCAGTATCGCCAGCGTTGTAAGCCGATACAGCTACGCTCACTCATTGCCCTCCCCCTCCCCCTCTTCAAACTCAGCACCGGCAAAATCTAAGGATGAGCTACAAGCCGAAGAAGACACCCGCTTCCTCAAAGCCTCCACCTTCGTCGGCGAGCAATTCCTCCTCGAAGTCACCGACTGTGCAACTGCCTGGCTCCCTGCACGTCACTCTGTCCAACAGGCCTATGCTACCCGCATGCAATACGACGCCCAAGGCCGAATCCTCGTTCTGCCCGAAGGCATGCCATGGTCCAACCACTTGTACACCCTCGAAAAAGAAACCCCCACCGCAGACGGCGTGAGTCCGCAAGTCCTCTACGTCCTCTTCCCCGAAACACCCGAGGCAGACAGCAAATGGCGGATCCGGGCCGTCAGCAAAGAAAACGGGGGCTTTGAGAACCGCAAGGATCTTCCGGAGCCGTGGAAAGGGGTGCGAGATGAGGCGTTGAACGAAGTGAGTGGTGTACAGGGCTGTGTGTTTGTGCATGCGGCGGGGTTTATTGGTGGGAATAAGACCTTGGAGGGGGCGTTGGAAATGGCGAGGAAGGCTTGTGAGTTTTAGGTATTGTAGGAAGGTGGGGGGGGACGTATGTATGGGCGTGGAATGCGTCGGTGAAGTCTTTGGTGTGAATTGAGTGTGAGAGTGGGTGTGGGTGGGCATGGTTGGGTTGATAGCAAATGTGCTTCAAGTGCCATTGTGCGCACAGTTGGCGTTTTCTCTCGGGGTCCGGGATCAGGCATGATCCCAATACCATCATAAGCTATGGTTGGCTAGCATAGACTATCGTAATGTATGGTTGAATTTGCGCTGAAGGGCTTTTGCTGTCTGTCTGCCTATCTGCCGCTCTCTCGATCAGGGTCAGCACATTCAGACGCATAACGAGCGTGTGCATACTCATTTAAGCCACTCCTTCCCTGCCTTGCTAAAAACTGCAGTGAGAAGGGGAAGGGGGAAGGAGGAAGGGAGGGTGAGGGGTAGATGTCACTTCCACCCAAAGCAATCACATCAACCGACTAGAAACACAATACAACGCAATGGAGATACTAGATATCTGTTGAATTACACAGACTTAACACCCTTATCTCCATCTCCATCTCCATAACCACCTATCATCTCATATAAACTACACAGAAGCGAAGAAAACAAAAGGTGCGGCTAAACTTGTTCTGTTCGCAAAAGGAAATCAATCGAGGCCGCTTCTCAGAGGCATATACTTTCAGCCAGACAGGTAAAGGGAAGACAACCCATGTGCAGCTGAGCTAGAGTGCAGGTTCAGTTGTGGAATGAAATGAGACGTCTGGACAGGCTTTGGCTGTGAGACGAATGCCGCCTAGCCCCAAATAAATAAATAAAAAGTAGAAGGAGCCGGGAACGCCAAAAACCTGATCCTGAAACCTTAATTTGATGACCGTTGTGTGATCGAGAGGTAGAGCGAGAGAGGACCAATGAAAAGCGGCCGTGAAGGGATACGGCAATTTTGGAGGGGTTAGGGGACCAGCCATTTGGAAATCTGATGCGAATATCATCTGAAACGAGGGAGAGAGGGGCGATAGAAGCCAAGTACACGGACAGCAACCTATCCTCGGAGTTAGGGCCGAAAGCCATCTCTCTATGCCTTATTGCTTCCCTCCTGCTGCTCCTCCTCCTCTTTATCCAGATCCTCAGCGGTAGTTTCCCGATTCAGGCTCGTCTCGCGGTGCAGGAAGCTGTGTTCCTTAACAGGCGATCCACCACCTTGGCCCTTCTCTTGTCCATTCTGCTGGAGTCCGTTGTGTGCGTGGGCAGGAGGCGCGATGTGGGGGATGTTCTCGGGCTGCGGATGCTCGCGGCCGATAGAGGTGACGCCGATGTCAGAAGCTTTGCCGGCTTTGGAGAGGGCGTAGTCGCCGGAGTCGAAGTACTTGCGCTCCTGGAGTGGACGAGTGGGTTAGCAGGGAAATTTGAGAGGAGGTGGATGGAATTGCAGAGGGGATGGGCTACCTTTAGCTTGTTCTGCAGCAAGTCTTTCTTGGTTGGCAGCTTTCCATACAGGCGGAAGAGTCGCTGCTCATCCGGGGACAGTGTCTGTGACGTATCGTTAGAGCTGAGGGGTTCGAGCTGGCGGGGAGCTGCGGAACGACGTCTCTTATTGCAGACGCGCCGCGCAAGAGCAAGTGCAAGTGACGTACGCTGATATCCACCTTGTTTTTCTGATGCGGATTCATGGTTGCAAGTTGTGGGTTGTAGGTACGTGTGGTGTGGAGCGTGGGGTGTGGAGTGAAGTTGTGTGCGTGAGTCGGGGAGAGAGAGTCGCTTGGTCGAGACGGGGGTGTGAGTTGTGTTTACTCTTTGTCTGTCGTCAAGGAGAAAGTTCACGGTCGTTAAAAACTTCGACGTCGTTGGCTCGCGCAGGCCACTTTGGGCAGGGTTAAGGTCCAGGGTTCAATATGTTTCGTCGCTCCGGCACCCAACGCAGGTCGGCCGTCGATTGGGCGTCTGAGACGGCGAGCTCGGGCGTTTCTGGCTGTTGCCTGCCAACTCAGAAAATGACGGCACCGTGGTAACTGTTCTGTCAGTCTGCTGGTCTGGTGCTGTTTGTTGTCGATATAGCAGTCGCTCTTATTATGTCGAGCTTATACAGTGGTGACAAGGACCCCGCTAGAGGCGATAAGCTCGATTGTCGATGCCCGCCCGAGGTTCCGACTGCTCGGGATCCTGCACACAGCACACTCGGTCAGAGATGCCCAGCAACGCTTGCGATGATGACCTGATGCGGACTTCGTCTGCGTGTGGAGAATCGACTCTTGGTGTTGCAGCGCTTAAGTGGTGTGGTCGTGGGCTGCCGGCACGGTGTGTGGTGTGCTTCTTCCGACTCGCTTCCGTGAATGTGTGTAGCTGGTGTCAAAACCTGAGGTGGGGTTGCTGCAGCATATATGTCACAGACAACGAAGTGGGCCGACAGCAGCAATTACCAAGCTATTGCTTATTCTGTGGGATAATTCACCCAGGCACGCAAGGTGGGCACAAGCACGGCTGCCGCAAGACGAAGGAGAGCTGAACACTGAGAATGAGAAGATGGATTGTCATCAACTTTTCCCTTCGTGGCCGCCGGCTTGATGCTCTCTAACGTCACGCGGCTCAGCAATTGCGTCTGGCGTTCAGATCACCGGATCCGGAGCAATTCCACTTACCATCCAGCTGCCATCCCCTTGTTTTTGTCAATTGTCTCTTCTTCTGCCCCGTCGTCACATGCGGAGCTATCCTCTCCGTTACTTGGGAGCTACATCTTCAGATATCCTCTCGCAGCGGGACTGCGGAACACCCCCTCTTCGACTTCGTTTGCTCAGCTAACATCGACCAAAGAGGGAGTGCTCGAGAAACTCCGCTCGTCTAGATTGGCCTTTGAGTGGACCCCTGGCGGCACACTATCGTCCACTTGCTCTGCCCTGCACGTCGCTACTGCAAGTGCTCTTCCAATTAACCAGGAAAAGCTCAGCGTCTCGAAGAGAGACCACACGGTTGACATCCTGCACGCCCGACCACCATCACGCAGAATAGAGCAAACCCAAAACGAATCGAAAAAAGTGCCGTGAGGTGCTGATTGGCCAATTCGCCCGGCTACGTGCAGCTGACTCCCACACCGAGGAAAAGGCACACCGGCACCGACTGCCGCGCTCGCTCTTGCTTCCCACATGGCCAACCTCAATTCGCCCACAGGAAAGACCTTCGTAGTTGAACACTTGGACCCCGAACTGGAAGAGTGGTCCTCCCTCGAATACTTCGCCATAGCCTCAGAGTGCCATGAATCCGGGGCTCAGTTCTTGCTGTCTTCTGTGCCTCAGTCATTGGAACTCCCAGAACGCCTACAGCAGGCCAAAAGCTTAAAGGTCGAGACGAGGGGTATTGAGGAAATCTACGCAAATCAGAAAGATAGAGTATGTCTGTTAGATCCTGCAGCTTCCAGAGACTTGAGCCCAGATGATGGTGACACATTTGATATTTTTCTGTTCGGTGGCATTCTTGGTAAGTGCACAGTGACATGGAGATCCAATCACAAAGAGTTCGGAGAATGCTGACTCCAATATAGGAGACGATCCGCCCAGAGGTGTGTGTTACTATGCTGTGAATGTGCGACTATCGCACGAGTCGGCTGACATGTCATCGTAGATCGAACCTCGGAGCTGCGCAAGAAGGGCTATCAGGGACGTCGGTTGGGGCCTGTACAGATGACGACAGATACTGCGGTTCGTGTTACTAGGATAGTCGTTCAGGATAGAGGTAGGATCCATGACTGCAGCAGATGCTGGAGAGATAAGCCCCTCAACATAAGGTGCTGACGCATGGCAGTTGCCGTGGACAAAATCCCATCTGTGGACCACCCAGAGTTGAAAATCAACGAGAACGAAAGTACGGAAATGCCGTTTCGATATGTATTGGGAAAAGATGGTCAACCGATTATGCCAGAGGTAAGAGGCTAAATGCCATGTTTGCGCAGCGTTTCAGCAACAGAAATTAACTGTCGGGACAGGGAATGGTGGATCTCATCAAGAAGGACTCGGAAAAGGGACTAAGCGATCTCTTATAAGGCCTCTACTCGCTATAAGTGACAAAGCCGTGGGAACGGTTGGGGGGGAGGGCAATGCCGTCAACATGATCCTGCGCCACTGTGGCACGCAGCTTTCCACGAGAATTACAGAAGGATACCTGATCTGGAAAGTGACAGTGATTGAGTGCTGCTTTTGGCAAAGGATTCCAGCTGTGGTGTTCTGAGGGGCCATGGGATTCTTGGGGAAGATGCAGAGGGGGAGGCCCGTCGTGACATGAATGGCAGCTGAGGCCATTCAAGCTGCAGTGCGGTGTTGACACCTATGATAGAAGACGCTCTGTGAGTAAAAATGGAGCCCCAAGAGATTCCAACGAGCCGTTCGTGAGATCCGGGAATAATGTTGATGAGGACATCTCCTATCAGAAAGTCTGGAGGTGCGAACTGAGGTGTTGTGATTGGGCATACCCCCCAGGTCTGTCTTGGTTCAGTCCAAGCGATTCACGAAATAAGCTCTGTTGATCGGCATAGCGCCCGAAGCACGCTGGATTCCTGGATTTTAAGGGTGACACACGTTTGAGGCAGACGGTGATGCTTTAGCCGTGTCTGATAGTCTCGAGATCGCAAAGAGTCGTGGGAAGGAGTGCAGTCCTGAAACCGCCCAACAGGAACAAGTCGAAGCCGAAGGACGGGGCCGCGTAGTCTTGGGGCCAAGCGTCGGTTGGTTGGTGCGCCTCGCCGTTCAGCCCTCCCGTCTCAGAGGACAAAGCTTCGAGAAGTTGAATAGCGCTTGCCGTTGCTGCCCTTACAATAACTACCAAGGCCCATTAATCGTCGCTGCTAAGACTCGACGCTCTCCGACTCCACCCACAGCGTGTCGAGGAATTCCCAACACGCCGAGGAATCCTTCGTGCGCTCCCTGCCTGCGCCTTGTCGTGTCTTCCTCCCTTCCCCCCCCTGGTCACTTGTCAGCGCCCAGGGCCACGAGTCCTTTCACCACCACACCTGAAGTCGCCGGACTGTTGCTCTCTCACCTATCTTTCGCACACAAACACACACAACTCCTTACACGCCGCCTTGCAAGCCAAGCAACACTCTATTCTCACTGACGCGGTTTAATCCCGCAGCGAGTCCATGAGATAGCGACCGCAGCCCGCTCCTTATCTGTCTTTCTTTTTACTTCATCATGCACTTCACACCCCTCTCGCCGCGATGGCGGTCCGCTCTCGTGGGCGGACTTCTGGCTTCTTTATCGTGGATACCGAGCGGCGTTGTGGCCGATAAGACCTCCGCAGACTACTTTGTCCACGAGCTGCCCGGCGCCCCCGAGCCCCTGCTGAAGATGCATGCAGGGTAAGTCAGGCCACTGGGAACAACTATATGTAGATAGACTAATGATTCGAAACTAGTCATATTGAAGTGAATCCTGAACACAAAGGAAACCTCTTCTTCTGGCACTACCAGAACCGCCACATCGCACAGAAGCAGCGGACGGTGATATGGCTGAACGGCGGCCCTGGCTGCAGCTCTATGGATGGCGCCCTAATGGAAATCGGGCCATATCGAGTCAGAGAAGGGGGCAAGCTCGAGTACAACAATGGGTCCTGGGACGAGTTCGCGAACCTGCTCTTCGTGGATCAGCCTGTCGGCACTGGTTTCAGCTACGTCAATACAGACAGCTACCTCCACGAGCTTGACGAGATGAAGGACCAGTTCATGGTATTTTTGGAGAAATGGTTCGCCCTGTTTCCGGAGTATGAGCACGATGACGTAAGTAACTTACCAAAGTTTTAAGTACCTCATGGTTCTGATGATAGCCTAGCTCTACATCGCTGGAGAATCATATGCCGGCCAACACATTCCATACATCGCGAAAGGAATATTGGAGCGAAACAAGGACGCCTCAAAGCGGCCATGGAAGCTTTCCGGCCTTCTTATCGGCAACGGCTGGATATCTCCCGTCGACCACTATCTCTCGTACCTTCCCTTTGCATACCAGAACAATCTCCTCCAAGCAGGCTCGGAATCTGCCAAGCGTGTAGAGAACCAGCAATCTGCCTGCACGAAGATCCTAAACGAGGGAGGTGCTGACCACGTCGACACGCCCCAATGCGAAGCCATCATGGTCGGGATTCTCGAGGAGACGAAGAAGAGGTCAGGAGACCCAATGAAGAAGTGCATGAACATGTACGATATCCGCCTCCGAGACGATGATTCGTGCGGAATGAACTGGCCTCCGGATCTTGCCACGGTTACTCCCTACCTCCGCCGCCCTGATGTTATCCAAGCCCTCCATATTAACGCGGACAAGAAGACCGGCTGGACTGAGTGCAACGGCGCTGTATCTGCCACTTTCCGGGCTAAGAACAGCATCCCCTCAATCAAATTTCTCCCGGATATCATTGCCCAGGTTCCGGTTGTTCTATTCTCTGGCGACAAAGACCTTATTTGCAACCATCTAGGGACGGAGTCGCTGATTGATAGCATGTCATGGAACGGTGGCAAAGGCTTCCAACTCTCCCCAGGTGTCTGGGCTCCCCGCCGAGATTGGACATTTGAGGGAGAACCAGCCGGTACCTACCAAGAAGCCCGAAACCTCACTTATGTGGTATTCTATAACTCTAGCCACATGGTCCCATTCGACTACCCTAGGCGTACACGAGACATGCTCGATCGATTTATGGGTGTCGACATCAGTGCCATTGGTGGAAAGCCCTCCGACAGCCGAATTGATGGCGAGAAGGGTCCGCTGGTTAGTGTCGGAGCGCACCCGAACTCCACCAAGGCTGAAGACGACAAGGCCAAAGAATTGAAAGAAGCAGAGTGGAAGGCCTACTACCGTTCCGGAGAAGTCGCACTCGTCGTAGTCGTGATTGCAGCGAGTCTTTTCGGATGGTTCGTCTGGCGCGATCGCCGCAGGCGCGCTCGTGCTGGATACAAGGGTGTAGATGGTGACGAAGGCCGTGAATCTCTCATCATGGGCATGGGGCTAGAAAACTTCAGAAGAAGAGACGGAAACCGGGATCTTGAAGCTGCGGATTTCGACGAGCGGGAGTTGGACGAGATGGACGGTCCCAAGGGTGGCAAGAAGCCTATGAACGGGCATTCGAATGGAAAGCTTACAGGGGAGAAGGAAAGAATGCCACTGGCCCAGAATGACTCAAGGTACAGCCTCGGAGAAGCAAGCAGCGACGGCGAGGGCAGCGGAAGCGAGCGGGACAGGAGAATGGCGACGCGAGAGAAGTCGTGATACTGATTGGTGTATTTTTTTTTAACTATCATTGACTTACTATACCGGGCAAAAACGGGTATCGCAGGCTTTCCATCAAGACTCAAGACGGAACTAGCATTCGTATGGCGTATGGCGTTTGAGGGACTGAGGATTGGATACTCGAGCCTATACTACCTACTCAGTGTTGAGCAGCGATGTTGTTGGAATAATTATTTTTATTATATCCAGTGTTTGAGGACTTCTTTTGACGTCAAGGGTGGCTTGAGGATGATGTTTACACGGGAGGATATGTCCTTGATAAATTGGTGGGGCCATACAGCAAGCCACAAAAAAATGCAATTCTTTGCCTTGAGCATACCTGTACTCCATCAATCTCGACCCTGGTATATTGTTTGTTTGGCGTGCTAGGGTTGGGGTTCAGGATCATGGCACGTGATCGGGTGCTGCGGCGCGTCTGCCTTTCGTCCCAGCGCGTCATCCAGCCACTTACATCAACATCGATCCCGAACATCGCACCCCATGCTCCCGCTGCCATAACTGGGTAATCATGCCTAAGTAAGTGCTCTCCGACTTGTCTTGTATCGCAGCAATATAATTAGCCCACGCAACTGCAAGTGCTAACAGCAAAACAGCCCCGGCGACCAGTATAACTCGGAAACTATCAAGAACCCGTACGAAGAAGAAAAGGTCAGCAACTTTACCGCCCAAGAGATCGCAACACTCCAGAGTCGACTGAACAAGCAACTCGGTCCGGAATACATATCCTCGAGACAAGGTGGCGGCGGAAAAGTAGCGTACCTTGAAGGAAACAAGGCAATAGCACTAGCAAATGAGGTGTTTGGATTTAATGGCTGGTCGAGCTCGCTGCGGACCGTGCAGATAGATTTCGTACGTCTCGCAGGCTGGCATATTAGTGGAAATGGGGGCTGACATGTTTAGGTTGACGAGAATCCGAATAATGGGAAGATTACTTTAGGCCTTTCGATAACAGTGAGGGTTACGTTGAAAGATGGGACGTATCACGAGGTGAGTGGTTTATATTTAGCCTCCATATCTCATCTTCTAACTTTTAACAGGACATCGGTTACGGATGTATCGAAAACTGCAAAAGCAAGGCTGCAGCCTTTGAAAAAGCGAAAAAAGAAGCCGCCACAGATGGACTAAAACGCGCCTTACGGACCTTTGGTAACGTCTTAGGCAATTGTCTTTACGATAAAGAGTATTTGAAGAAAGTCAACACAGTTAAGGCGGTTCCCATTAAATTCGACGAGAATGCACTCTACAGGCATCCGAGTTTTGCCCCGCGGATCAAAGAGGAAAGCAGTGCAGTAAAGAACGAGCCAGGTCGGACGCTCGCCAGGACGAACCAGCTTATGAGAACGCGGACCGAAGCGGTTGGACTTGGGAATACGGAGTTTGAGGATGAGTTCGGAGGGAACCTGTTTGATGGCGTTGAGATTAGCGAACATCATGGGGATGAATTTACGTTTGAATCCATCTCAGGCCAGAATGGGCCAGAAACGAAGGCCATTGAAGCACCTTCCAAAACTCCGGAGCTATCGAGCAGTACGATATCGAATCGAAATAGCCAAGGGCAAGGTGCTGGGCCTCCCCGCCAGCCTCCTCCCAGAGGTCAGTCTATACCTGCCATCCGCCAGCAGAACGGTGCGCCTCAGCCGCCTCAGCAACAAACTCAGCAACATCAGGGGCCTCAGAGACCTCCAGTTCAAGCACGAGCACCACAGACCCCAAATGCCCAAACGAACAACAGTCGCCCGGAGTTCAACAGAGCACAAATGCTACCGCCAACGACCGACATCCACCTACCACCAAGGCCCCAAAATAAACCACAACAGTCTCCTCAAAACGTCCATCCACCACCCCAAAACCAACCTCTTCGACAGACTCCTCTACAGCCACCCCAACCAAACGGCAACCCGCAGAACCATGTACCGCAGCCAAAACCCAATGCACAAAATAACCCCAATTCAAACCCTAACGTTGCTCCCGCTCCCGCTCCCGCTCCCGCTCCCGCACCACCTATCACCCACCGCCCCCCAATGGGCTTCGTAACCTCACGCGCCGCAGAACTAGTCCAAAACACCGATTCCATCTCAACTATTCTACCTAACCTCCCTGCATTCAACCCGCACGCTGACTCCCCGGTCCCAAAAGAACAACGAACCCCCGGCATTGATCACACGCGTAGTATGAAGATTACGCGTGAACAAATCGGGGCTCCTCTTCCGCCAAACCAAGGCCAGAACCAACCTCCCCATCAACATCAACCTCCACAGCAACAACGACCTTTCTCCCGACCCACAAACTTCATCAACCCGCACCAAGACGCGAATCGCCGAATTGGTATGCCAGGCAATACTCAGTCTCCACTTGCGAACCGGAGCGCGTATAAACCCCCGGGGATGGCAGGCGTCAAGAGGCCGCCGCTTGCGGATGTGAGTAATAGGGAAAATGGAGCGGTTGGGGAGGGGCATGAGATTAAAAGGGCGAGGATTGAAAGGGGGGATGTAGGTGAGAATGGGGTGGCGGGATCATAGATGAGGGGAGGAGAGGGGAGGGCAAAGTAAGGAGCGGGATGCGAGATTGATTCAGGTATGCATGGATGGTGTTGGGTTTGGTATTGTGGGTCGTGGGTCGTATGGTGTTTTCGGTGTTTAGGTAGCCAGGAACGGCTCCAGCGTTTCTGTTTCGAGGTTTCTTGTGATCTTTGCGGGCAAAGTATGGCTATTCATATGGCATAGGATATGATACCTCCGGTTCGTCCGGTTCACGTACAATGTTTGATGTCTTATTGACAACGGAACTACATTCCAGCCAGTCTTTTTAAAAGTACGCACTATTGCAGCGAAGCTGTCACAGTGTAAAAAAGTGTTTTGTGTGTGTGATTTGCTCGAATTGGACTTGCCTGGTTTGACTTGTTCTTCCTATAATTGAAGTTGGCTATCTACTACACTCTCTAATACACTCCCATCCACTCACCATGCAATGGCTTCTGTCTGGTAATCTATCTTCCATTCATGTCGCTATCGACTGGTGGGAAGAAGAAAACGGCTCCTCACTTATTCAAAAGGGGTTCGCAGAAAAATACCAGACTGAACTGAATAAAGATGGAGATCGTACAGGCCAGCCCGCCGACTATGCCCTCGAAACGCCGCTGACACCGGCAAAAAAAAATCTCAAGCTTCGAATGAATCCCGACCCTTAGAAGGATATCCATCTGCGGGGAATCCATTGGATTTTGCATGTCCCCCCTTCGGAGGCGGAGCAGCTCCATTCGTTGACGTACTCTCACTCAACGCCATTTTCCCCCTAGTGCCTTCACACAAACCCCCGAATTAGCAGATACATCCCCCTTCACACAAAGAATTTACCTCTTCTTACTCCCAGGTCTAGGTTTACACTCATCGCCCAAAATAGGATGCAGTTTCAGCTTAATGGGATACTGGGGGGTGTTGTGGCTGTAGCCCTTGCTCCAGTCATAGCTAATGGCGTAGGCGAAGATGTTGCCGTCGCGGCTAAAGCAGGTGGCGGTGATGGAGCCGCCGACTTCGGGGTAGCCTTTCAGGCGGTGCTTGGCGTCTTTGTCCCAGAAGTGGAATGTGCCATCCGAGCCGGCAGTACTGAAGGTACCGTGGATGGGGTGGAAGGAAATGGCGTTGACGGAGTAGACTTTGGCGATGTCGCGCGCGGCGGGGTCTTGTTGGCGGTGGCATTTGAAGGAGAAATTTAGGCTAGGAACGAGGGTTAGCTTTAAGGGATTGAGTAGAGCAAGAATGGGGAGGGTACTTACGATGTGTCTTTGTCCTCGACATATTGGATCGCGCAACGACCCTCGATAGATCCAACAGCAAATCCAGTTGCGTCGGTGAAGCAGCTTACAACCCTCGTCTGCCATTTCAAGGGACTGGTGATCGTCTTGTAGATTTTGGTTGGTTCCTTCAGGTTAACGATATGGATGTGTCGCTCCGCCGTTCCAACCACGAGCAAGTCATCCTTGACGTCCATAGTGTAGACACGCTCGCCGCAATCCAAGGAACCTAGGGGCTGGGGACTTGTCAAGTCCCAGAACTTGACAGATTTATCCCAGGATCCGGTTGCGAGGATGTCCCGCCCGCCGTTCTGAAACCAGCGCACGCATTTGATAGCGGGATTGGCGGCTTGATTATTTGGGTCGACATGACCAGCGACTTGTTGGGCTGCTACTTGGCCGGGGGCGGCTTTGGAGAGGTCGACCATGCTGCATATTCCAGTGGAGTCGCCGGCTGCGACGCGGGTGCCATCCTATTTGCCCTGTTAGCCATGTCTCAATGCCAGAATTAAAAAAACGGAAGTCAGTTTTTGATGGTGAAGTACGTACCCTTGACCACGCAACGCACAACACATGACCTGCCATTTCAAAGAACCACTTCCCCTGCGCGCCGGCATTGGTTACCTCGTAGATCCAAACCTTTTTGTCCCATGATGCGACGGCAAGGAAGTCGGCCGTCGGGCAGAAAGCCATATCGGAGATGCTGTCCCCAGGTAGCTGGTTTTGAGACACTTCGATATCTTTGCTAGTGTCCCCGGTGGTGGTAGTGGCCGCTGAAGATGCAGAACTGCCACCGAAGAGACCGGACATGGTGAATTGTTGTTGGGGGAGGTGGAGTGGATCGAGAGTTTAGTATTCGTATTAGTTCTGGGAGAAGAGCCTCGCACAGGTTGGCTTCGACACAGTGTTTCCGTGGGTTTGGCAGAAGAGCCCTCAAGAGCAGACCGGGAGGAGATCGAATAGACAGATAGGCGGACAAAGAGTGAAAGTGCAGGCCGCTCTTTATGCCTACGGCACGTAGAAGAAAGACGTTCTCTGCCAAGCCCAGAGCTCCCTCAGGCTGAGGCATCCATCAGGTACCTCTAGGCCGCCTTCTGCCTAGTATCGGAAAATCGTTTCGCCGCCGTCTGCAGAAAACCACAATCTCGCCAAAGCTTTACCTCTTCTTTCTCTCTCCAGTTCCTCGCTCGAAGAATCGCATTCAAAGCTTACACACAGAGTGTCTCCCTCATCACGATAGACATCTCACATCCCTTGCTTTGGGAGAAAGTCCCCGGACATCGGTTCCTCGTGAACCGCACTTGCTACAAAGCGCCGCCACAGAAGCGCGGCCTCGCTCATGGACATCAGAACACCGCTAGTCGCCATGCACTCACCGTCTGCACTCTTCTCGGAGCGCTTCCAAAACCGTGGGTAATGGGCCGACACCAGGACGAGGATACGAGTCCGTCGGTACCCTGATCTCGCTGCGTTGCGGATTTGTGATGAGTCGGAGGAGGTGTTGTGTGGACGGTAAGTGGTAGTGAGTCGAGGGTCTTTTCGTCGAGATGGATAGTTATGCGATTGCCTTCTACCAAACCAGTGCCATGGATTGGTTAGATGGTAACTCGATGGGGCTTATTCTCGAGGCGAGGAACTCACAATAATGCTCCTTTCCAGGATCTGAGGATAGCTATCTTCTGGCTCTGGCTGAAAGGCCCGGGCTGGTGGGTAGGCTTATTCGCGCTTGGTCGAACAAGCCAGGTTCGTTCAATTCGTTCAGGTGATGATAAAGCAAATAGAGTCAAGCACTGAGACTGCCCGGAGACGGGTGGTCGTTGCTGTTAACCATTTGTCTACGACGGTATCTGATGAACGAAGAGTGTTTTAGATAGTATGAAATACACAACTGGCCCTCAGATCGATCCTCTCACGTGCCTTGATGATGTAAATGCAGACGTATACTTTTGTCCTCGAAATGTCTATGGCGCTATGGTATCATCTCTCTCTCTAACATCCTTGACCTAAACTCTCGTTACTTGGGCCTCACACAGCTGTCTGCTCCTAAGCACCCTTCCCAACAATGAACTCTCTCACCTCCTGGTACGCCTTGTCCAGGTTGTCATTCACCACGATCTTATCATGCGGCGCCTCTCCCGAATTTGCATACTCCATCTCCACCTTCGCCTGGTTCAGTCTCTTCAGAACCGCCTCTTCCTTATCCGTAGCCCTCGACCTTAGCCTCTGCTCTAGCACCTCCATCGACGGCGGCGATAAGAAGAGAAATCTTGGGCGCGGGAAGGTGGGGTGGTTCGCTACTTGCTTGACGCCCTAGCCCGACCGCATTAGCCCATACACTTCTCGAAATGATCTGGGGTAGGTAGGCCAGAACATAATACATACCTCCATCTCAATATCTAAAATGCAAATCCTCCCCTGCTCGGCAATATCCTCCACGACCTTGATACTCGTCCCGTAGTAATTCCCACTAAATTGTGCATGCTCGATAAACCCTTTCTTTTCCACTAAATCTAAGAAGACCTCTTTTGTTACAAAGTAGTATTCGCGGCCATTCTGCTCTCCATCTCGAGGTGACCGCGTCGTGTGGGAGACGCTGAAGCCGAATTTGTCGGGGAACTCGGCGAAGAGGCGCTGAAGGATTGTGGATTTGCCAGTGCCGCTGGGACCCGATACTACGACGGGGATGTGGGATGAGAGGGCGGCCGTGTCGATTGGGACTGTGGGGGCCATTTTGGTGGAAAAGTGACTTGCTGGTGGAGTGGCGCTTGGCTGGCGGAGAGCTGGTGGAGGAGGGACTAGTGGCGGTTGGGTTGCAGTTTGATATCTTTGGGTGCACAAAGATTGGCACGGCCGAGGGTGGACATGTGACAACGCAACCGCGCGTCGTGGCAGTTTCAATAGCATTGAGACATTCCCAGCTGCTGTTTGCTTTTGACTGCGCTGTGGTGGGCGGCGAGTCTGGCCTTCACCATGTTTGTGGTGTTTGCCTGGTGGGGAGTCTCGAAGTGGGATGTGTGTCGCTTGTGACACCGCGTCTTCGCGTTTCCCTCCGCCAATCCATAACTTCATCTTTGACTTAACTTCCTAGGTGTCGATTATACTGGTATGCTGCCAGAACTAGGCTAGACGTTGAGACCCCCACAGCTCTAGGAGAATTGGAATAGTTATGGTGAGCATCCAACCCAATTGCCCCACCACCCGCTGGAAATGCTAAACTTCACCAGTCGAAGCAATACCTCACCCTCCACACTCTCGACGCCGTCCATCCCTCCGACATCTTCGCCCTAGCAGCTACAAAGACACAAATCCTCTCCGGCTCCGGCTCCAGCTCCATCCGCATCCACGATACCACTCAACCCGACTTCCCTCTCGCGCAAACTCTCGAAGGCGCACATAAACTCGGCGTTCACCACCTCGTAACTTCAAGAGAAGGCAAGACCGCCGCAAGCGCTGGATTCGAGGGAAAAGTAAAGATATGGATGGTATCAGAGGACGGGACATGGTTCGAGAAGGGGGATATTGTTGGTAGGTACGCCTTGAGATTCCATACTATTTTAGAGCTCCAGTCTTGCTATGCAGAGGAATGAAACAAACGATTGATGGAATATAGATCAGCACAACCCCGGAGACATATGGGCCATTGCTCTCAGCGCAGACGGTAATTATCTCGCGAGCAGCAGCATTGATGGCAAGATCAACGTGTGGTCTCTTACTTTCAACAAGGACTGTATGCCGAAGATCAGGGACTATGAGACAAAGGGCAGCTTTGGGCTCTGTGTAAATTTGGTACGTTCTCCACTTCCCTCCCCTAAAGGTGGCACCCTTGTCCGCTTCCGCTAACAATTGTCATAGAGCGCAGACGGTAAATTCACTGCATCCGGCCATGAAAACGGCAGCGTTTTCATCTTCAACAATGACACAGGACGACTCGCACACTCTCTCCCTGGCCTCGTTCAACCCATCCGTGCAGTAGCCTTCAGCCCTGCCTCAAAGCTTCTTGCTGCAGCTGGAGACGCAAGGGTAATTGCACTCTACGACGTCAACTCTGGCGAGCAGGTGGCTAATCTAGTTGGCCATGGAGCTTGGGTGCTGACGCTGGATTGGAGTGATACTGGGGAGTATCTACTTTCGGGGTAAGGTTAAATTCACACTTGACGTACGGCAGGGTGGCACCCACGTTCCGTTGTAGCCCTAAACTCACATATATATCACCAAACCAACTTTCCCGCTAACACGACCTCCAGGTCCCATGACTCCAAAGCTAAAATTTGGCGCATCGACTCAAAATCCTGCGTCACAACCCACACTCACGGTGACCGACCCCTCTGGGCTGCACGATGGCTGCCGAAAACAACGAGGAGCGAGATGTTCGCCCTGGCTGGTGGGAATCAGGCTATTGGCTTTTATCGAGAGGCTGCGGGTTGAGTGAGATTATCAGGTGAAGATGGTGTTTGTGTAATATGATAGAGCGCAATGTGGGGGAGTGGAGTGGATTTTGCGTACGAAGCTTCTCTGAGCATAGAGAAGGGCATGGGTTGGGTTGGTCTTGGTCTGGCTGGCCATTGAAAGGAATGGTGAATGGTGGTGGTGGTGGTGGTAGGATTAGCTTGATGGAGGATGCCAGGAGGATTCCCAGCCGTGTTTGTGTGCTCATGCACGCTTCGATAAGCAGAACAAAAGTAGATGGGTATTGGCATCAGCATCGGTGACTCCCGTTGGGTTTAGCAAGCAACTACTCCCATCGGTAATCCCCCACAAACAATGAAGAAGCATTATATAGAACAGAAAGAAAATATAAAAACCTACTTTCGAATTCCATGAGGCTTCAACCGAAGCAATACAGAGAGAATAAGAAATGCAGCGACAGAGTTCATCCTAAGGACAGCTAGGATATCATTTCTGATCTAAAAAAAGAAGACAACGTATAATTGCATCGGATGGAGTTTAGCGGCTTGGCACTTCGAAATTCTTTCCTTTCGCGATGCCCCGAGCTCTCCTCGTCTCCCCAAACATACATATCCCGGTCTTGAAAGCTCTTTTGATAAGTCTTCCTCTAATAGACTATCCATGTCTTTGATAGACCCAGAAGGAAAAATGGCTGTTCTAATCCTGGAGTTCGTGTTCGCTGGCCTTGGTGTCGGGTTGAGAGCTCCGGGTTCGCTTTAGGCCTACATCCCATCAATATTTGGAAATTTCGAAGTATCCATGGTATTGTTCTCTCCAAACCGTCACTTTTCAACTAAAAAGACCTTTACCGAGAACGAGCCCACGTACTCTTGCATCACAGCGACGTGCAGTGAGCGATGACGAGAGCCTCTCCGGTTCATACATGATACAGTACTCTGCTCTTCAAGGCCCTACGCCGAATGCTGACGTGAAGCACTCGCGTAGCTGAGTTAGGGAACATCCTATGAACCGCATTAACCCGCGGCGCAGTTCCAAAAGCACAGATAGAAATGATGTCAGGACCTTCAGGTGTTCTCCAGCTAGTCAAAAGGGCAAATGCTGCTCCACCACTCGGGTATCACTCCGTCGAGGGGCTCTTCTGCACACTAGAAGGTACCCTTGGGAAGCTCCGCCTTCTGGCCCTTCTCATGAGGGCCGATTATAACTTGCACGAGGGTCATAACAAAGATAATTAAAAGCTTGTTCACCGCCACCATGATCTCTCAATCTTTGCAGCAGGAAGGCACGAGTTCTTCAAATTCGAGTTGTCAGGAGAGGTCTCGTAACGTGGAAGAACTAGACTCGGCTCGTATTGTGGCATTCGCAAATTCGGTAACCATCGAAACAGCTGCATCGCACAAGTTACACAAAGCAATAAAGGGTACCTCCAGGGACAAAAAGCGATTTCATCGGTTGGCGCAAAGTGAATTCAAGGCGCAATAACCCTGTCTGGTGGCCGAGTCACGTCGCTCACAGCCCCACAAAACTCGTGCTAGAGCCGACTCGGTGTCTCCTCACGACCGCCGTGTCTGCTCCCTATCAACCCGCATCTGCAGAGCTGAGAGTTCCCCCGCAACTTCCGCTTCCCTTCCGACTCTCTTCACCAGAAGCTGACAATCGTTGCGGAAGTGGGCGGAGGCCAGCTGGTTGGACAGGGGGCAATGCTCGCTAATAGAACAAGCTGTCTCTGTTAAAGCTTCAGATATCAGTCATTCGCCAGAGGCTCATCTCAGTTCCGAGCACAATTCTCAAACACGTTCGCTAGTTTTTCTACTTCTGGGGCCTGGATGGAGGAGACAGCTCAGCGGCGTCGTCGGGACAAAATCTGCTGATCCCTACTCAGCCTAACATGTTTCCAGCGCCTGAGCCGGGATCTGGCAACGCTTGGGCTTGACACGCCCCCCGGGCCTGAAATCCCACCACCTTCAAGCTAACACTATTGGCCCGGCCGTCTCACAAAGCGCATGGCGCTGCAGACATTCGTCCAAGATGGCGGCCCTGCCGTGGTGCAACGGTCAGCGCCAGTTGGTGGTGCTGGCGGCGCTGCGAATTAGGTACTGGCCAGAGCACCAGATCAGCTCTGCGTCCGCCTTTCTCCTTGACTTTGGGTGGAGCAACCCTCAGCCCTGCCATAACTCGACCTGTCTCCCACAGCTGTGGGTTAGTGCTTCTGCTACCTCTCTCACTTCTGTTGCTCTTTTTCGCGTCGAGCTCCAGTACAGCATCTGCCACCTACCACGAATTCATGTCCGTTCGGCCCTAAGCGATATGAATGCCGGCCATGGCATTTCTCCGATTATGCCTTTTTGCTGTGCTTAATTTCGCTGCACGGTCGCTGCAAGACTCAAAGAACCCCTTGACAGACTTCTGCAGGCGCTGGGGTCATCAAACCGCCCAGGTGGATGGGAAGCTGTATATTGATGGAGGCCTTGTTGCTTGGAATCCGCTCTCTGCGAATCCCCTCAATTACACAAGTAAATTCATACTCTTAAAATAAAGTCTTGCGAACCGAGCTAATATTCTTTCCTTAGACACATGGCTCCTCTACAGCGATCTCAACACTTCGACAACTGACATTGGCATGCCCCAGCAATATGCGAATTTGACAAAAAATAGCACTGTTCCAAGCGTGTCGGGTGGTGTATTATGGGCGGACGAAGTGAATAAGTGCTTTTATCTGTATGGCGGGCAATACCAGAGCAACCCGGAGGACTTCAGCTTCTGGGCATATGACACAATCCTCAACCAATGGAACGAGACTCACTTTACGAGCAACGTCAATTCGATGCAACGCGCAGCTTATGGTGCTGGAACCCAAATCAATGAGTTAGGAGTTGGATTTTACTATGGAGGATGGATAAACAATCAAACTTCTCCTGGGTGGAATGGGCCTCCTATGGCCACCAACAACCTGATCAAGTATGATATGACGGCGGGCACATTGAACAACAACACTGGACCAGACGGCACTGGACGTGCAGAGGGATCCATGGTGTATCTTCCGGCATCAGACGGAGGTCTCCTCATCTACTTTGGTGGTATTGAAGATCCGTACAAGAACGGAAGTTTTGTCGGTGTAAGCTTGTGAATCACACCAGGCATGGATAAGCACTAACTTTTTTTATCATGTAGGCCAACATGAGTGTAAGATTTTGTTCAACGGTAGGAAATATTTCATATTAACGCGTGCTAGACAATTCACATTTTCGACGTGGCTTCGTCGAAGTGGTACACGCAAAACGCCAGCGGCGCAGCTCCTCCTGCACGGCGACAGTTTTGCGCCGGTGCCACATGGGCCGATGATCACTCGTCCTATAATATGTAAGTCAGCTTATTCTCCGAGACCTAGTACATGTAGCTGACTTGCTAAAAGATATCTCTACGGCGGGTTCGGCATCTCGAACATCACCGGATACGACGACGCGTACATCCTATCTCTTCCCTCGTTTACTTGGATTAAGGCTTGGCCGACTGGCAATGCAACCGGCACTCCCTTACCGCATGGAGGCTGCTCAGCAAACGTGATTAATAGAGACCAGATGCTCATTATCGGTGGATGGTTCACAACTTCCGACACCTGCGATTCTCCGAACGGATGGGGCCAGCATAATATGAATCTCGGCTTCAATGGCCCTTCGAAGACATTGTGGGACAAATATGATCCAAAAGTTTCAACCTACTTTGTGCCTACGCCCATCATTTCTGCCGTTGGTGGTGGGTAAGTAACTTCCCGAATACCATGCCAAGCCTCACGAAGCATTTTTGACAAACTCCGTAGGCCTACTGGAGGCGCAACCGCCAAAACGCCTTCTAGTTGGGACAACCCTGACCTCGCAGTCTACTTCACTCGAGTTCCGACGTTTTCCGCCCGCGCCGCAACCCGTACAATTCCATCTGGTACTGCGACGCCGACAAGCACCGGAAAGTCTTCGAAAACCAAGGTTGGTGCTATTGCGGGAGGAGTCGTTGGTGGCCTCGCTTTCCTCATTGCGATCCTCTCACTATGTCTCTTCTGTCTCCATCGCCGCAAGAAAGCCAACAAAACAAAGGAGAAGAAGGAAAAGACACCCTCACCACCCCCCGCTGAACTCGCCGCGGCATCTCCCATCCACGAAATGGCATCTCCAGGCGCCCAAAAATACATAAGTATGCACCAGCAACCAGATATGACCAATCATCCTGCGTTCTCAGGTCCCAACTCCATACACTCTCGCTCTCCGAGCGGCAACACCATGTCTCTCGATTACCAACACACCCCAACATCCCCCTACCCACCTCAGCCATACGGATCCACTACTCCAACATCAGCCGCCCCCTATCCTTCACCTTATGGAACTTACCCATCTGGTACCATCCCCTATTCCGACAACCCTGATGCGTATGATACTGAGCCCTACAACCGGCACAATTCCTACCCTCCTCCTAGCAGTGCCTTCCACCAGCGCCAATCCTCTTACCCAACCCCAACATCTCCAAACCACTCTCAACAACCCCATCTTTACGACCCTAGCCAGCCCGTAACGCAAACGTACTACCCACCGCCACCCGACCCATCACATTCCAACTCGCAATCTCGATCACATCAAAGTTATTCAGACCGGATAGGTAGTCCAGAAGGAACTCAGTATAGTGGGGATACGGAATTTCCGACGAGTAAAACGAATACGCCGGCACACTTTTACGCACAACCCGCGATGAGTGGGGGTGCAGGACATAGCCCCGGGACGAATGGAGGAGAGAGGGGGAGCCTGAGGGGGAGTGTAGACAGGCGCCCTGTGAGGGGGAGGTTTGTGGAAGTGGATCATATGTGAGGAAGAGCTTGGGTTAAGGATAATAAATGCCTGAGATGTGAATATTGAAGAATCAGAGGATGCGAAGAATTATTGTAGAAGAAAGAAGAGCCACGGGTGTGCAACAAAGGAGGGGGAAGACAGGACCGGGAAGAAGAGATGTATGCATACATGCATACATTTCACTTTCAACACTTAAACTGGAGGTAATTTTGATCGGCACTGCTCTCACGCACATGCACTCATGCACATAGCGTTCTTGGACGGACCGTATACAGTAATGACTTGCTGGCATTGGGGTAAGAGACGGAGTTATATATTGGAATGGATACTCATGGGAAGCGTGCATGCGTATATTTGCCGCGAATTAAAGGGTTGGAATGGAATGTGTAATTCGTGTAATTGTAGTCTATATTTAGGAACTATGAAATTTGTGTTGATTTCAGCCTCGGACCGAAGCCTTGTTCTACCGAGTCGCCACTAAGACATCATATTTCGAAGTTGTCCTTCACCATCTTGACGCCACAATCCGACCATTCCAGTGATGCATCCCCGGCCGGTTCCTATCAAACTGTCGGTGCGACTGGAGAACAGGTGTCCGAGTGAAAAGGCTAGGGAAAGGATGGCTCTGGACAGAAGGTCTAGCTTAGGAAATCGTCGGTAGGCTGTTCCCTTTATTTCATGAACGAAGCAGCATACAGAAATCATCTAAACAGGCACGATCATTGAAACAAGTACAAGCTTGAGAAGAGCCTCCGGCTCCTCCGGGAAAGAATTCTGAATCTCGAGAAGGTTCCGCAGGCTGGACAACCTACGTCTCTATTGGTTGGATAGTCCCTGAACTACTTAACTGATTGTCAATATGCTGTGGGTCTAGAGGGGACCAAAGCCGAAAGATCGGAAGGTTTCCACTCGAGGAAAAATATACTAGTAGCTTGTGCATTTGCCTATAGCATCCAAGAGGGTCCAGGAACAGCCGCAAGATGTGCATTTTCCCTAGCCTAGCTGGAGGGAAAGCGACGTGAATCTGTCAAAGTAACTGGCGAAAGTTTCTAGCAGTTTGATAAATCGTCCATTTGTGGCAAGGAATTTTGCCCGCTCTTTGGAGATCCCCCATCTGAACGTTTGCGTGCCAGTCCATTCAAACTACCACTTTTTAAGTAGCCGCTCTTCACTGCACGCATCATCAATTAATTTGATGCTCTTCCTGACGAAGATGGCGTAGTAGCAGAGCAGTCGGATCAAGTCGTCCGCCTTATCGGTCTAGAGATAAGTCCCTTCACCAGTCAGTATCCCCTTGCGTAGTTAACACATGAACTTACATTTGTCACTTAGGGTAGCTTCGACCACGCATAGTCAGTGCCAATTACGATTCCAAAAAGCAGGAGAAACAATCCTTTCAAACTGGTCGTATCATGTGTACGGTCTACCTAGCAGTATAGCCTCAGTCGTCTATCAAGGGCAGCGAGAATCAGCTTTCCTATATAGTCACATGCTTTGTAGATATTTTCAAGAGAGTGCCCTCGGTATGTAGATTCTACATCTTGAAGACATAGTAATGCCGTGAGGCGGACTAAAAGCCTTTAGGTTTTGCCCTAAAGAAGGCCCTAACACTGCCCGGTATAGAGTCGAAGTCAGTGTAGCCGATCAAACTAACAAGACTAAACTCCGGTCCCGTTGACTTGCTAGTCAAGGGGTGCGCGAGGTGCTCCGTTGCTGCGTTGAAGCTTGTTTTAAAGAAACTTGCATACCAGAGCAGACATTTTCGCCAAGTTCTCCCATGATTTGTTTGATGTCAACCTTTTCCTTCACTATGAAGCCTTTACTTCTCTCTAGCATTTCTTTGAAATTCACAAGGATAGCTAACCTATAGGAAGTATGACAAATACTCGGCGTTGTAAACCTTGGTCTGATGCATTCCTTCTGGGGCAATACTCTCGAGCCGATTGCTCCTTGGGATGTTGCCGAGTATTCTTTGCAGGGATTATTACCTAAGTATTGAAATCTATCAAAAGTATCGTCCATAAGGAATCGAGTCCAACGCACGGCTCTTTTCAACAGGCTAAATCTCAGGCTGGTACAGTAGGTGCCAGGAAGTGATCATCCTCCGCACCGTGCGCAAGCGAATACGATCTGCCCACGCAGTTTTCTATGAGGATTTTGGGGATAGATTGCAATTAAAAATTAAAGCTTTTAATTTATATAATAGAATTAATAACAGAGAATCTTTTAGAGTAGCAATTGTTCACTAGCAGGTGGAGCCTCCCTGGGCAGCCCTGACGTCAGCGACGCGCTGGGGCATGGATGATATACACTTCTGCTAATCTTCTGGCTTTAACCTATCCCACTCCTCCTTTAGGATAGACTCCATCTCTTTAATATTACTTATTTAGTGTCTTCTTTTTAAAATCTAAATCTTTATAATGCGCTAGAGGTTCTTAATAGGATTTAAATTAGGACTTTGTGCCAGCTACACTATACAATCTATGCAAAGCTTTTCTCAGAAACCTGCGGTCATCTTTGACCTGTAGTATAAAGCCCCATCCTCCTGCTACAACGCAATACCGCGTTTCTTAAAGACTTTAGCATAAAATAGCTGCGCGTAAGCAGCTAAGACCTTATTGCAGTATCTTCTTAAGTCCATCTGCTTGCCTTAAGGCAGTATAACTAGCTCTAACTTAAAATCCTAGGATATAGCTGCCTATACTCTAACAGAGCTTCTCCTGCTCTTAAAAGTAGGCTTTAGGTATTAAAATTTATACGCACACAATGCTCCCTTCTTCCGCTTGCAGTATTAGGTGGTGGAGACAAGTCCTACTTTAAAAGTTAATTTGTTAGAGAAGCAGACGCATTTAAAGTCATTGTCATCCTAGGTTTTCATGCAGGCACCCCAGCAACAACAATTAAGCTTGTGGGAGGGCTTAAGGTAAGGCTTAGCGCGCAGTTTAAATGCGTAGTACTTGTTTTTTTGCAGGTATCGCTTTACTGTATTAACGCAGATTGCAGTTGTTGTTTTTCTAGGAGTAGCAAGTACTTTATACATTTTAAAGGGAAACCGCTCTAAGTGTTGTACTAATTGTCGCTCTGCGCGCTTATTAAGCTTCAGGGGTCTCCCTGTGCGACAGGCCTTTTTCTAGGGCTTATCCTTGCATTTTCGCAACTGCTTAAGTATTAACTTAATTAACAGGATTAGAATAGGAAAAGTCTTCTGTATCTTTAAGAGGCTAAAACTAATACAAGAGAGCGCCTAGATGCTAGTAAGGGTAGGCTTATTGTATTCACGGCGAGCAGTTTTGGGTTGGGAAGGCATGGTGGTAGTGTGGAGAAGGAGGAGAACGAGTGGTGCGGAAAATTTTGAGGTGTGTGGGTTGACCCGATATAGTAAGTTAAGCGAGAGGATGATGACTTCTTGGCACCTATTGTACCCTTCCTACGAAGTTGCTTTACTTCCTCCTTTTCTTGGTGAACGCTGGTCGTCGAGACGTCTTGAATGGCTCCAGTAAAAAGGAAAAGCACATATAGCCTGGAATATTAGATGTTTTGGGCTTTATGTTGTTTCCGAGTCCCATCGCTACGCTTGAGTCTAACTGCACAGTTTCGTCGAGAATTAGAACTGCGTTGGAGACTTTTTTGAGGATGTAAACTGAGCTCGAACTCATTGCTAGCAGTCTTAGTTTCTGGGGCGGGACTCCTTCATTGTCATCGACGGTTGTGAATAGAGTGAAAAGGTGTTGCATCCGGGAATCTGAAGACAATATATTATATCAGTCAGGTTGGATCCATGTTATCCACCATCGTGGAGATGGGAATCTGAGTTGGAGTAGCGATAGGAGAGGGGAAATGACATGCTTAGGTGTCGGTCAAATGGACTACGAAGAACCCCATTTGAGGTGTGAATCAAGTTCATCGGAGGTTGAAGCAAAGCTAAAGTATGCGTCTTCCGCATCCCAAGATGGCTAGCGCGAGATACCGAAAAGGCTACCACATGCTCGGTCTGTGCCAGTCACCGCAGCCACTTAATTCTGCCCACCACTCAACTCGCCCCGGGGCCTGGATGGCTCTGACCTTTTGATCTTTTCGCGATGCTTTCATGAGACCTTAGGGTGAGTATAAACAGCAGAAGCTTGACCCATGCTAAGCATAACACTATTTGACTTTTCTACTATCTTTCCATGCTGGGGTCTAAACTAATGTAGAGTAAATCTACATCCACTTGACACTCTTCTTCCTTCCTGAAACTGACTTCGTGGAAAGCATCCCTGTTGGTGTTCAAAGGGGTTTCAGCCTCCGGCATGACGAGGCGATGTGGCGCACAGCTAGGCCAAACTTGAATACGATTGTCAACAGCACAGCCTGTTCAGAAGCCTCGTCTCACCTGACATGCTCAAGCAAGCTATTTGGCTCTTCAGAGCCTGACGCGGACTTTTAAGTACTGCGTCTTTCAAAACCTCTTCAGGTTCATCTGCAGTTCCAGCGATTCCTATGGCGCCCATACCGATATCGGACGTCCCACCTACCTGGGCAAATCATGGTGATAAGAATCTCATTTGCATTCCAGCCCAGTGGACTTCAGTCATTCTCTTCTGCTTCGCAAATTATCTCGCCCACTGCGCCACGGTTAAGCCTTACCCCGCCGAAACTCTTCGAGAGCTCGGAATTGCAATGGGGCTCGCCCTTGTTCTTCCATCGTCTGGTATTACCAGAGCAGTGGACTCGATTATTCGGCGTTCTAATTTTCGAAAGCTAAACCAGTTGGAAAAGGCTGCCACTGCTGGGGCACTGTGTATGGTCATTCGTGATAAGTACTGGAGTCCTCAGGAGGGGGAAGTTTTAAGGGATGAAGACTTCGTCAGAGTCGACCAAAACTTTCATTACAAGAAAAAGGTATATCAGCCACCCTTGATATAAACATCCTGTAGCCTGATGGAGGTTTCTAGGGGGATAAAAACACAGAGACTGTTGCTCTGAGCTCACAGACACGAGACTCACAAACAGAGAGCCTTCTTCCTACAAACAACAGCGAGAGAGAGGCCACAAGTCCCGTCGGGTTGGATTATGTTGCTTTAGAGACAATTACCCAGCTGCCAAGGTACGAAAGCAAGCTTCAGAAACATCACTAGAGGCCTTACTGAAGAAATAACAGTAGAAAAAGTGACGATATAGACTCAACAGACGACGCGTATTGCTTTCGGGTTAGACAGTCATCAAGTATGAGAGAAAATATTCGCACCAGTCAACACAGTCAAAGCATCACCAAAAGGCAGTGCCAAGTTCATGGAGCGTACGAGCTTCCTAAGGGCTACACTCTAGGTTATGTCCCCAGCGATGCCGAAGTACTACCTTACATCAAGCGCGAAGAGAACAATGAATTGCAGCAGCCGACTCGCAATTCAGATATCAGAATTGCTAATTCGGTACATATATCGTCTTCCTATAGCTTTACTAAAGCTGCAATCGCAATCGTCCAAACTGTTTACGCATCCACCACCCTCTACCGAGCACGGGGGGATCAGGTCAGAATTTACGGGTATGCTGCCTTTGGATTGACAGTCGTACCGTATGTGCTGATGTCAATCTTGAACTTAATCGGACAGATCGCATCTTCTGAATATCCAACATTGTACATGGTCCACACGGACATCATGGACGAAGCGAAGAAACGCGGAGGAATTTTCGATGGAGTTGTCGGGTCATTGACGCCCGTGGAAGGACCCCAAGCACTGCGTAACCTGAAAATAAAGTCTGCAGGTCCTTGGACTGTTTCCACGCACCACGTAGAAAGAGGGTATCGTGAACAAATGAGGATTATACTGCGAAGCTCCGAGAGTGACCAAGAACCTCAAGAGATACAAATGGAGGCATCCCGAACAAACCCCTTGGGATACATCTATATCGGCGCAAGTCGGCCGTTTGCTCGACGAACTAAAAAGTTCTACCCCCGCGCCGTTGGCGAACCAAGTAGTGTACGGAAACGCTGGGCCAGCTCGTCTTATCTGCTCAACCTTGTGGCTCCTGTTGTATTCGGGTGCATATCTCTTCTCATCGTGGGGGTAATATCTCGATTCCAAAAAGGCAAACATAGCACCTCCATCCAACGAGGCTTCACCATGTCGTGGCTGATTATTGGTATGTTGTTTGGCGCTGTAACGAGAGCTATGCATTTCTTTCTTTCGCCCAAGAATGACACGTTTGAGGCAGTATGCTTGTGGATGTTTTTCCCTATCGTATGGGGCATTTTCCTTGTACCAGCTCTCGGGGGTATTGTAGTTGTGTGTCAGATGATCGTTTCATATGGATCATGCACCCGAATAGCATAATCGCTACAGAATAGTGAAGTGCGCGTATACAACATGAGTATAGATAGTTTTATCTTCATAGCGAGATTCCAACCGCTTACGCCTGGAATCGTGATCGTGACTGAATGCTCGACATTTCTACCAAGTTAAATATGGGACAAACATGCAACTACCAAAACGAACACACTCCGAACAAGCGCAATTCAAATAAGAAGTTTAGGCGTTTTCATCCCCATACCGTCTTTCTCCCGGCTCAGAACCCCATTAGCGCAAAGATCCTCAACGGAGGGCGCATCACATACTGCCTGCGTAATATTGCTAGGGGAAAGGGAAGGCTCTTCTACCTCGTTTGTAGAAGTGTTACCCCAGGTTATATAAGATGCCTGAGGGGGTGAATAGGGTCTCCAAGCTTCATTACATAAAGGTTCGATATTCCAGGGTGTTGACATATCCAATCTCTGAGACCAAGTGCCACTAAACCGCTTCCAAGGTGCAACGTCTTCTGTGCTGTTTGTAGAAACATAGGAACAAGCCCATTTCCTCTTCAATGTTTCATGTAGGCCCGCTGGAGGTAGAGCAGGAACAGGATTGGAAGCTCTGGTGGCTCCTTGTGGAGTTGTTGAATCTAACCAATGGTGTTTTCGAAGAGTTTTATAAGAGCGACAATGAGAAAACTCGGTCATGATTGGTTTTGTGCATTGATCCTTTTGTACTTGGCGTAGCGTCCGAGCCTCGCATTGATATTTTCGGCGTGGAGTGGTCATTTCCATTTTATCGCCCGGAATATCTTTCTTGCCGTTGAAGGTTGCGCACGCTCCTGTCTGAGACATGTACATCACTTCCAAGCTTTGAAGTGGGTTGTCAAATAGGTTGGAGTAAATGTCTGCGAGCTTGTCGCTAGAGAGCTGCAGCATTGGTGGTATGTCGAAGTTCTGCGATTTTTGTGCGCAATGAGTGCAAAGATCTTGCGTTGGTAAATTTGCTGTGATGAACTTCTCAGGAACCATTTTACATTGCGAACAGTAACTAGGATTCCTCGTGGTCTGTACATCTTGGCAATCCGGTTGACATGCATGGTCAGGAACGTCCCCTGGATCTCTTCTAGTAATTCGTCTTCGCTTAGGCCTCCCTTCAAGGGGACTGTCGTCAGGCGTAGTAAGTGGATCTAGACAGGTAGTGTCTGAAGTGGTTACTTTGTCGCTAGGTAGTAGATCATTTTGACATGCCGCAAGGTTTCTCACGGCCAGACAAAAAGGAGTATTAGAAGCCCCGCTGCCAACAAAGGGCTCTAGCGTTTTGCGATGTTCGTCGCATTTGGGTTCTGAGACGGTGGTGGTATGGTGGGATGTAGTGTCCACATCGCTAGGGAGCACTGGCGAGTAATAATACTGATAGGCATTCCAGTTTGAATTAATGTCGCTGCTGAAGCTGTCCTCACTAGTGAAACTGGGAGGATCAACCAAAGCAAGGCTTTGAAATACACAATCATTGCTAAACGCAGGCTGACAGTTCTGGCAAAACCCGTTTTTGTCGAGACTTGACCAAAACGTCTGACACGCTCCGCACTTCAAGAGGTCCCCGTTTAGCGTAAACTCTGCGCCATCGTCCAGGTCATCCAGATCAATATCGATGCTGCTCATGGACTCATCTTCAGAGTTGGAAACTATCCAGTCGGCAGGAGGTTCAATCCGGTAGTGCATTTCAAGTCCCTTAGTGCAGTTCCAGGTAAACGCAGCGGGCTTATTCCACTGGCTTTTCCATTTGCCGACTAAAGTCTTTTCGTCGCTTGAATTCTCCAGAAGTGAGGTGGCTTTTCCGATGTAGATGAGGTAATGACATAAAAGACGTACGAGGGCCTCGGGTTTTGATTCGAGGTCATGGCCCTCAGACGCGGTGCCGTCAATAATCTATAACGTCTAAGTACACCAACGTGGAACTCTAGGTATTGATAGTCAGCTTACCTCGGGGCAGGTGTACCTCATCCCAACCGTAGTCCCTAATATTAACAAAAACAATGCCTTCAACTTGCCGAGCTTTTCGCCAGTTGCTTCGAGCTCCGAGGGTCTGAGAAGGGTATCCAGCGCGAGTAGTAAGCGCTGTCCAACAAAGTCGCGCACTGATTGAATTTCTTCATCCGAATATTCACGATACCCACCCTGCATATCTGTTGTGTACAGGTGGGTCGTAAGGTGAACAAAAAGCCGGAGATCCTTCCCCAAATTAGGGTCCAGTTCGTGTTCTAAGAGATTGGTGTTGGTGCTGCATGAGAAAACGCCAACCACACTGAACGTAGAAGGAGCGTCATCATCAGACAACCAACTTGCAAGGTGTGCTGATGCAGCTTCCACGTTGAGCGCAAAGGGTATGTGGAAGTCTAGGGAAACATCGTCGTCAAGAAGATCTTCCATGATCCACTCGATATGTTTCTGGTCTGGGGAATGACTTCCTGTGAAGAGATGAACATCTCGAAGCTTCATGCTGTAGATCTGTTGGACGTACCTCTGCCAAAGATGTTCATCGTCTGGAAGGAAGGCCGGATACACTCCATCCACATTAGAGCTCTTGAACCTGCAGCTGCCCTCGCAGCAGCAACACAAGTCTTGCATGGGTCCTCTCCAGAGCACTGCACGAAGTTAGAGATGGGATGCAAGTAGTGTGTGGTACGATGTTGTCTCAACATACAGCTCTCTTCAGAAGTCTGCATCTCAAGCAAGCTCCCTTCTTACGTATTCCTCTGACTTCTTCCTTTCGGGTGGGGTCGAACCTAGATCTCCGAGGAATGCCAACATCCTCACCTGCTAGTGAGAAGCATGAGAATATGCCATCAGGTTGGGCGTTAGGTGGGCAGTTGTCGCGATGCTTCGTGACCCGATGTTGAGCCTTCCGTTTCTGTGACTTTGGGCCTGATAATCGGGTTTGAACGAGTGCCCTCGTGTCAAAAACGTTCATACCGATCGCCTCAAGAGACTCCGTGCTCGCGAGGATTGCGGGAATGCTGGGTAGCACGGTTTGTATGCTGTAGCCAAGCTGAACTAGGAAAATGTAGAGGATTGCACGATAGCTTCATGTGCGAATGATCGAAAAGCTGAGCTGTGATGTGTAAATCGAAAAGGTATGAAGATGTAGTGCCTACTTATACTCGCAGGGCATCACTTCAATGATACATGGTGATGCGAGGTTGCCTGAGGCGTTGTGGATGATGATTGGAGGTTGACGCAGGGCTGAGTTTCCGCTTCACCGCACCCTAAAACGGCTACCGCAATCTTGAATAGGAAAGATGTTACGCCACAACAGCCACACTTCCGCTGAAGGTTGTCCATCTTCCTGACCGCAGGCACTGCACCTTGTCCCGGTGGCAGAGAGACAGAACTTCAGAGCAAGATTCCATGCTTTCTAGACTGTGTTGATATATAGGTATGCGATGGATCTCTTGTTCACTATTTTCTTCACTGTGCGACGTTTCTCGCCTGTACCATTGTCCTCCCTTACCAATTTCAGACCATTCAGGGCGACACGCCCTCGATAACCGGCTTACCGTTTCTTATTCCTCACAATCGCCATGCCGTATGGTTCTACACTCGCGTGAAATGTTTAATAAAGTCTCTTCATCCATCTTCTGTCGTGTTTCTGAGTTCGGCAACTAATACATATTTCGCTACGAAATCACCGAATCGATATGCGGCCTGTGGATACTGTAGGGTGGACTCAAGATAGGTGTTACGAACTTCATTTGCACTTTTTGGAGGTTGGTGTCTGCGCGTGCTTCGAGATTCTTGTGGAGTTCGAAGGAATCGCCCCCGCACCAGAGATCGATGGTTTCTTTCGTTGTTTTGGCATCTGCGAGCTTAAGTGCAGGAATGGAGTAGAACTCGATGTCCTAAGTAGAGAGTCCCAACTATTCACCAGCCGACAAGCGTTTACCATTGACCCCGAAGAGCTTGATGGCGAAGCCGCTGGGCTGGAGATGAGATCCATTACAAGGTCAGGGAGGTAGCATGAAAGCTGTGTTGAGAGCAATACTGACATCTCAGCCTAGATTTCTAGGCTCAGTGCTATAGCGACTACTGCATAGGCACTCTCGCCCTTTCTGGAATAGCTCCATTTGCTTGAGGTGCTTCAAGAAGTCATTAGAGACAATTAACTTTCTCTTGATGGCACTGTGAGTGCGCGCATGGGTTCCCGTAAATATTTTTTTAGAGTTTTGATAAATAATCAAGAAGTTAGGGTTGCATACTAACCGCTATATGCATGAGAGATCTTGTTAGAATGCGTCTTTTAGAATCAAGTTTGTCTAATTTGGCACAGCATTGATATCTTCTTCTACACTAGGTGGGGTCTTCTCGACAACTTGCATGTCCTAGCGAAGTTAGTTCCTATCTACAAGGTCTGCTATTCTGTATGGATAACTTAGAAAGAGAACAGAGTCTCACAATACAAAAGCCAAAAGAGATATAGAGTATTGAAAGAACTGATACTAATATCGCTCTGTGCATTTACAAAAATAACACCGAGGGGGTTTTCAAATTCTGATGCGAGAGCGAATAGGATGAGGTACATATCGCCGCGGGGGTTTCCCAAACTTCCATGATGTTCTAGTAGCTCAACGGCTCGGACCTAGATCTCCACTTCAAGCTCCATCTCAAAACGCTAAACACGGTCGAAGAAGTATTTGAATAAAGTTAATTGGCTGGCAGACTACCCCACCCGATGGCGGCTGTCGTCCCGTTCTTGAGCTCATGATGGCGTTGATTACAGTTGGTTACGTGTCAACAATGAATGATGACAGTGAATTCCCAATCCAGTTCTGATCGAGACAGTTCCTACTCACGAATAGTCAGACATACGTAGTCTCTCAGTATGCAAATGCAGCTACAGAAGCTTGAGAGCTTGTAGAGTGAAGTGAAGCTGTTTCTTCAGTTTACGTTTTCTCTAATGAAGCTTAGACCAGGATGAAGCAGGTTGGGGCTGGTATACGTGGCGGTGCGGAGCGCCACAGGCCGCCAGATGCCGGACAAACGTTTAGGGCCACGAATTGCCAAGTCGAAACATCAACTTTCCACGCAAGCTGCCCTTGGCTGCGAATCCGCAGATACCCCAGGCTAATTCAGTTCTCCCCCCACCTGTAATTCACTGTTACCCCCTCCTCTTTAGCCATGTCCGCTCAGGGCAGTTCTGATCCGCTAAAGGACCCAGGTACGTCAGCTCAGGGACGTGCCCTACACTGATGGGCTAGATGCTAGGGAAATCACAGACACACACTGGAGGGCTCTACTGACTTATAGCAATAGGTGCGACGCCGAAGTCAAAAAAGAAGAGGAACAAGAAGAAAGGTGGCGGTGGGGGAAATAAAGCGGAGATAACCAATGGCGATGGAAATCATGAGAAACGCGAAGTTGAGGAGGAGGACGGAGAGGAAGATGAGCAGGTGGTACGACACTGTTTCTGGCACACCATAGTGTAGAGGAAAAGGGACTAATAATCCACAGAAACTTCCTGCACCAGCCAAAGATCCTGACGACGTTGACGACGAAGAACACCCCATCTCCTCTACAGCGCAAGCGAACGGAACGACTTCACACTCGATATCATCTACCGTAGCTCTAGGCCTTGCCCGGTCTCGCTCACAGGGCGGTCTATCGCCATCTCCCCCACCGCCATCTGACGCTGCCGCCCGCCTCGACGCTTTGGCTAAGGAGCGCGATACCCTACGGCAAGAGGTGACTGAACTGAGGAAAAGCTTGGAGAGTATACAAGAGAAACATGAAGAGGAGACTAGTAATTTGCAAAGCGAGCTAGACGAGGCGAATGAAAGCAAGGAACATTTTGAGACTCAATACAGGAATTTGTTAGGGAGAGTGAACACAATTAAGAGCTCTCTGGGTGATCGGTTAAAAGCCGATGCGGTGCGTACAACCTTGGAACTTATTGTGCTGGGGGGGGGGGGGGGGGAGGGGCTGGAGCACACCTCTCGGACTAAGGACATGCTAATGATTCCGCAGGCAAGGCTGGAGGAAGCTCAAACTCGTATATCCGAACTTGAAGACCAAAATCGCGAGCTCCAGGAGAGTAACGACACATTGACCGAGGAAACCTCCAGGCTCCGGCAAGAAAACGAATCACAAGCGTCAGAAATTTCAAGCCTTCGTAACCGAGCAACTTTGTCGCAGCAAAACTGGATTAAAGAGCGTGACGATCTAATCTCACGGGAGGCGTATGCGAGAGAGGAGTTTGAGAATGCTAAGCAGGCAATGCAGGACTGGGAAGTTCTTGCTATGGATGAACGCTCGCTCCGGGACAACCTTGGGGAAAGGGTAGTAGAGTTGGAAGAGCAGCTCGCTTCCCTGAAAGAAGCATACGAAAAGGCTGCCGGTGAGCGAGACACGAATAGTCAGGCCGTAGATGGCCTGCAGAGGGCATTACAACACGAACATAACGGTATGGTCTCAGTTATAGAGCTACGCCTCAAATTGACTAACAACCCACATCAGAGCGCAGAGTTGAGCTTCGACGTTTGGTTGAGACTTATCAATCGGAGACAGATGAACTTCGTAAGCAGCTTCAAGCAGCGGAAGAGACTGCAACATCATCCAAAGCCACCCTGGAAGCCACGCAAAAGGAACTTGAAAGAGCGTTACCATTTGAGAAGGAAGTTAAAGAGAAAAACCTCCTTATCGGAAAACTACGGCACGAAGCCGTGGCGTTGGGCGAGCACCTTACGAAGGCACTTAGGATTTTGAAGAAGGGGCGACCGGAGGACAACGTCGACAGACAGATTGTCACAAACTATATCCTCCACTTCCTTGCCATTGATCGCTCGGACCCAAAGAAATTTGAAGCTCTACAATTGATTGCGGCCTTGCTGGGTTGGACCGATGGTATGTCCCCATTTTATCTAATCTGATATTTTCCCCCTTATCCCCTTTCTACTTAGCCTATGCTAATTGCTTTCATAGAGCAACGTGAACAAGCCGGCCTCGCTCGTCCTGGCGCATCAAGCAACAGTCTGCGCATTCCCATGTCGCCTTTCAGGCGTGTACCGTCGACGCCATCTCTCAATAGCACCGACCCTATGTTAATGGCGAGCAGCTCCAGTAACAAGGAGTCGCTAGCGGAGCTATGGTCCGACTTTTTAGAACGCGAGGCCGTCGAAGGCGACCGTTCGCGAAGAGGGAGTCAAGCAACCTCACCTCCGCCAAGAAGCGACACAGGCTCAGGTCTAGGGATCAGCGAGAAGTGAGGATGAAGGGGAAGTGTGGGAGCATGTTCTTGTATTATATAGATACCTTTTGGCTGCATATCTGGCTATCATGGCGGGTAAATGGGTTTCAGCGGATCGCGGCATGACGTCCACAATTCGAAGAGTGGATCTTGGAGTTCGGCTTCTTTCCCATGCATGGCAGTAGTTTGCTTAGATTTGGCTGAAGTGGGTCGAATCATGACATCTGGGCTCGAGAACTGCATGCCTCACTATGCACGAAGTATCCACCACCCCTGCTACTTCCTGATTCGACCACAAATACCATGACCACATGCATGCTACTGTTACAGGTGCAAGAAGCGCTCTGCCAATGAGGTGCCTTCCCAAGTATAATGTCACAAAATTGTACAGCGCAATCCACTACTGTTCTCTTTATCCCAGTATTAGTCCACGTCTATTTTGTTTTATATGTCGTCGTCATCTCTGTCGAACCTCTTCTTGGGACCATTCTGGTTCCGGCGAGCATTCCTCCTTTCCTCAATCTTCTCTCGTCTCATCGCCCTCAGTTCCTTCTTCTTGGGTGTCTTCACCAGGCTTAGTCCGAAGATCTTGGTCTTGACCGCTGCTCGAGAGTTAGTCAGCCAATCTCTCTCAAATACAAGCCAGAGAAGAAACACGTACCATATACGCAGTAAGGACACAGGTAATGTGCACGCTTCACCCTGCCGCAAGCTGAGCACGTGTTCAGTGATGTGATGTCTCTCAATCCTTTGCCAGCTAGAAACCTCTGTCTCTTCTTACGGTAGGACGTCTTCTTCTTCGGCACGGCTTTCAGAATGCCTTCCCAGATGTCCGATATCGAGGGTATTGACGGCAGCGAGAGTGGGGGCAGGACGAGCGCAGCGAATGGGGAGAGTATTGTGGGGAAGGACTGCGACAGGCGCTGAAGGAGAGGGAGGTTCAGGACGGGTCGAACGGGGGCATTGAAGGCGGGGAAGAGGGTGTGCAGGAGCGGAGGAAACGGGCGTGCGAGGGCCATTGTGATTGAAGTAATTGAATGAAGGCTCGAAATATTCTTGCGGGAAGCCTGCTGATGATGTTCAAGTGAGTTGGTGGTGCTGAGATTAAAATCCGTGCTCACCAGAAGCTCATTCGGCGCTTACCTTAAACCACTCTAGCGCACTTTCGCTTGGTGGCTGCCCCTTTCCGCGCTGCAACACCACGAGAAAGTGTCCACGACAGTCTCTGTTATTTGTATACCCTCCCACCGTCGCTGCTCCTCCTCCACCGCTCTCCTCAATTGTCTTCTGCCCTCCCACTCCATCCCATATTCAGGCCCGAGGCTCACATCGCCCGCAATGGCTGCGTCCATGATGAACCAGCAGTCGGTCTACCCCAAGAGCTATGTCGGCTTCGACAGCATCACGTCGCAGATCGAGAAGAAGCTGGTGAAGCGGGGGTTCCAGTTCAACATCATCTGCGTCGGTAAGCTTTCCCTGCTGTCCTTTCCATGTATTCATCGCAGTGCATCATCTAACCGCGGCCTTTCACCGGTGCAGGCCAGACAGGTCTCGGCAAATCGACCCTCATCAACACCATCTTCGCCTCGCACCTCATGGACAGCAAGGGCCGCCTGACTCCCGACGAGCCTATCCGCAGCACTACCGAAATCCAGGCTGTCTCGCACATCATCGAGGAAAACGGCGTGCGTCTTCGCCTCAACATCGTCGACACCCCCGGCTACGGCGACCTGATCAACAACGAGCGCTGCTGGGACCCCATCGTCAAGTACATCAAGGACCAGCACAGTGCCTACCTCCGCAAGGAGCTGACGGCCCAGCGAGAACGATACCTCCAGGACACGCGCATCCACTGCTGCTTGTTCTTCATCCAGCCCTCCGGCCACGCCCTTAAGCCGATTGATATCGTAGTGCTCAAGAAGCTGAGCGAGTTTGTCAATGTGGTGCCGGTTATTGCCAAGAGCGACAGCCTGACGTTGGAGGAGCGCGCCGCGTTTAAGGAGAGGATAAAGGAGGAGTTCCAGTTCCACAACTTGAGGATGTACCCGTACGACAATGAGGAGCATGACCAGGAGGAGATCGCCATGAACACTTCCATCAAGGTATGCATAGTCCTGCGACATGCATGCATGGGATAGAATGGTACTAATACAGCACAGGGCATCCTCCCCTTCGCGGTCGTTGGCTCTGAGAAGACCATCGTCGTCAATGGGAAGCAGGTCCGTGGCCGCCAGAACCGATGGGGTGTCATCAACGGTGAGCTCTCTCCTTTTCCAATTTCAATTTCAAGCGCATGCTAATGCTATGACAGTTGAGGATGAGAACCACTGCGAATTCGTGTACCTCCGTAACTTCCTCACCCGCACCCATCTCCAAGATCTCATCGAGACCACCTCGCAGATCCACTACGAGTCTTTCCGCGCTAAGCAGCTGCTTGCACTTAAGGAGAGCTCCGCCGTTGGCGGCCACAGCTCTCGACCCATCTCGCCTGCCGCCGACCGGGAGCTTAGCCGGAACAGCCAGAGGATGACTATGAATGGGTATTAGGCTATATCTCTTCAGGAATTCGGCTCGAGCATAGTTTGACAGGCCATCAGAGGGGCAGGGAGGTTGATTGCATGCGGGGAGGAAGCTTAAGTGCGACGTAGCAGTGTGAGTAAGCGATCGTCGTTGTGGGGTTGGTATGATACCAGTGGCAGCGGCTTAAGCACAAAGATACCTTATTGGTGCCGGACGGGGAAATGGAGCTGGTGGACACATACTTTCTACACAATCACGCACTTGACAGGCCCCCTTTTCTTTGAATATTGGTTTTAGTCCCGAACGGTTACTTTCTACTTCTATTTTTCTTCTACGTCTTGGACGCTTTGTCGATCAGGGAAATTTGCTCCAGGTTATCAGGTTATACCTGGGGGAATTTCTGGATAGTGTGATAGGTAGTGGAGTGGAGTGAGTGATGTGGTAATTCGACCAAAATGTCTCTCTCATACTAATCCTTCCGTGGGAACTCTGTCGTGCTGGGGTAATGCACGGAGAGGGATGGCATGGGCTCTTGCAAGGCACCCTCAGCTCCTTCCTCGAAAATTTTGAATCGGACCATTTCCTTCCCTAAAGAACTTACTGTCTGGGAAGTGGAACATTATTCCCAACCAGATCACTATTGGGTGGAGATCCATGCGGATGCTGATGCCGAAGTTAAGGTTGGGAGGGGCAATATCGCTCCTCCACCTTCGTCTTCCTTATCTCATTCATACGCCAACCTCCGCTGCCGTACCACGATCGACCCTGGAATTGATCCATGAGCTGCGTCTTGCACTGCTTCAAGTTCGCTACTCGTCAAAATTTGCCCAAAGAGATGGCTACTTACCTCCTCAGCCAGCTTGGTGATCTCCTCTTGAGCCTCATGGGCTAAGCGCACCAATGTTCTCCTCGAGTTCCCTCCCAGACATCTCATCTTCAGCTACGAGGCCTCGGCGATCAACCGTGTTGACGCGGGGAATTATGAGCTTTGAGGAGATCTCGATGTATGTACTGGCTAATGTCTGCGCGACGAGGAAGTGGCCATGTAGTTTCTCGACGTCAGTGCGAAATTTCTACCAGGTTTTGTTAGGGGAGCCGCAAGACCGTGCTGTAAACGACTCACCTCAATGTGCTGTTCTCTTCAACCGGCCTCTCGATTCTCGGGAGTGCGCTTCAGAGCCTTCGTCGCTCCGGTGGTGACTTCATTCACGCGATCCTGATCAACCCTTCTGAATGACTTGCTGAGCCTGGACGAAGAAAGCAGCTACGAGAGTCGGTATTGACGCTTACAAGCCCGACTGCTTCGAAAAAGGCCTGGACCAAACATGTTACGTTGATCGTAGAATTACTGCTTGTTACATTCAAAGATACATCGGAGGACATGTGTTTGGCTGGAGGAATTAGGCAGTGCATGAGCTTGCTTTGTTGGAGTTTGTTCGCACATGCGAGTAATACATACTAATGGAGCTGACGCATAGTGATGGTTAAGGAATTACATGTTCTAGGCAAACGCACACAGTGCAGTAGAGATTACAAAGCAGATTGGAGGCTTTAATCTCTCCTAAGAACTCGTCTACAGTAGAAGTAAGCGAAACGAAACCAGATGGGAAAGAGAAAAGAGTCAAAGGGTGGATACGATGAACCTCTACGTTCACGATGTCTTTGCTAGCCCACAACCAACCTACCCACCGCCCATCCCTTTCCCCCTCTCCCCCCTGCATAACAAACCCAAGCAAAACCACTTACTTCTACTACCCCTCCAGCTCCGTAACCTCCGTCCCCAACCCGGGCGGTATCATTGGCATCCCACTTTTCAGCGCCTTGATCATCAGATCCCGTTTCATTAAACCTTCCAACTCTTTCTGGGTATCGACTCTTGAGCGTACGCGTGCGAACGCCATACGTGACGGTTTGTCAACGACGGAACTGAATTTGGACTTGCGAGCGCTGGAACAGGAGGGGAGGAGGAGGGAGGGATTGGGTGGTTTGGAGGTGGTGGAGGTGGAAGTGGAGGGGCTGGAAGGGGTTGAGGGGGGAGAATGTGGATGAGGACGGAGGAGAGGGTAATGGCGTCGGCGATGCCGGATGCCAGGCCGAGACCGGCGTAGGGGTTTGTTACTAGGGCAAGCGGTTAGCTATGGTGTTTAAGTAGGTAAGGGTTATTTTAGGTATTAAAGGTTTAAAAAGGGAAATTTAGTAACGCTAGATGGTTGTGTTAGACTGATCCGGATGCACACTCACAATGCGCACCATCTCCCACCAAACCAACCCTCCCCTTCCAAAACCTCTCCGCACATCTCTGCTGCACCTTATACGGCGCCACCCTGACAACCTCATACTCCTCCTCCCCGGGGACCATCCTATCTAACTTCTCCCTCACACCCTCACAAATCTCCTCCTCGGTCACATCTGCCTCGACTCCAAAACCCACTCTTCACAACCCCTGCTCGTCAATCTTACCAATAAGTCCATAGTCCCGTCCATCTATGACAAAATTCGCGTCAAAGAAACTGTAGTTGTTGAACGGAAAGCGGATGTCTATAGCCACGAGTTGGACATCCAGGGTTCCGCCTTCAAAAGGGATGTCCAAGAGTTTTCGAACCGTGCTTTTGGCGCCGTCAGCGCCGATTAGATATTCTGCTTCAATGTCATGCTCGTTGCCGGCGGAGTCGTGGATCTTGACATTCACACTAGCCCCCGTGCCGCTATCTTCAAATCCTACGACCTTTGAACCTAGTCTTACATCCCCCTTATCAAGCTCGCGTACTTTCGAAATAAGCAGTTCTTGGAATTTATACTGCGGTAGTAATAGTTGACTCGGCTCGCCTGGTTGAAACTGGAAAAGGGAAAGAGGAGAAGGGAGAACTAGAGGCAGATACGATGACTTTGTTGGTGATGTTGGATTGGCTGAGTAAGAGGGCGAGGAAGAGTCCTACGCATCCCCCTCCTGCTATAACGATGGGTAGTGGTTCTTCCATGGACCCATTCTTAATCCGAGTACATCCGTTGGTTGTTGTCATGCTGCTATATGTGAAGGATATGTTTTGAATTCTAAAACGTCGCGAGGAATCTGTCCTGGCATTAAGCTGTGATCTTCCGTATATATATATATATTTGCGTAACTCAAGAGGTCGGACGCTGCCAACGTCCGCTCTCTGTTCTCTCTGCACGAATGAAACCACATGTTCCGATCACTTTGCCGAATCTTATTGGATATCTAGAGCCTCGCGGGTCAACCAGAAACGTGGTATTGGATACCCGGCCGTGTTGTCACGCACGTTGCAAGTTTCGGGATACTAGTGCTCGGTTCCCCACATCGAGGTCTTACTCAGAGCTCCCGACGATAATCTATCCCACGTATCCTTGACACTGTTTCCACAGCCTATTTCGTGGGGGATAAGGGGCAGAAGGAAGGGTAACTGAAAGTCTTATCAGATATGGATATTTAAGATCTGGGCCCATGCAGGGTGGCAGACGAAATGCCGTTGGACCCTGAGCAATTGTTCTATGCTTCAAAATAATAAAACCAAGCCTTTAAATTTTGCACTATGGCTTCAGCACTCTAAGTTTCCCTCCTCGAGAATTTGGAGACTCTCTTGAAAAGTTGTTGAGGTGTGCTATGTAGTCCAATCCATTGTGCAGTCAAAGTGTGCTTCCAACCAACCAATCGGATCACCCAAAGCTCCGACTCAGACCTCACCTCATAACCTCTTCCCCAACCTAATCTATTGTCCCATAATCCATGGCACCCTCACGGGGCCTGCACCACCTCCTCTACATCTTAAACCCCCAAATTGCCCTCCGAAATACTCGCCGCACATTCTCCTCCTTCACAGAAACCCTCGCCAACCCGACCAAAAAGGTCCAGACCTACATCTCCCGTTCCACCAACCCATTTCTGAACCTCTCAATCGAAGACCACATCCTCCGCACTTCATCCCCATCTTCCGTAATACTCTTCCTCTACACAAATGCGCCCTGCGTTGTCATTGGCAGAAACCAGAACCCCTGGCTGGAAGTTAACTTGCCCATTCTCCGCCCATGCCCTCCGAAAGCCCAGAAGTCGACAGGAATAGAGATAGGCATAGAACAGCCCGGCCTTGGGCCCATCTCTCTTGTCCGCCGACGCTCCGGTGGCGGCACTGTATTCCACGACAAGGGGAATGTGAATTGGAGCGTGACATCGCCGCGCGTGGCATTCACGCGGGATAAGCATGCAGAGATGGTGGTGAGGGCGTTAAGAAAGCTGGGGGTTGGGCGTGCGAGGGTGAATGAGAGGCATGATATCGTTTTGGATCAAGGGAAGAGGGGGCGGGATATTGATGCGATGGATACGCATCGTACGCCGTATATGGATGAGACTGGAGAGGAAATGAGGAAGCCGTTAAAGGTGTCGGGGTCCGCGTATAAGCTTACGAGAGGACGGGCGTTACATCATGGTACGGCGTTGCTCGCGTCGCCCAATTTGGATGTTATTCCGCAGTATTTGCACTCTCCCGGTAAGCCGTTTATCAATGCGAAGGGTGTGGAGAGCGTCAGTTCCCCGGTTGGAAATATCGGGCTTGACACTTCGGTGTTTCAGAAGCAAGTATCGGAACAATTCGCCGCCATGTATGGTAGCGGCAACGAAAGAGTGCCTGTGCAGATGGTTGGCGAAGAGCATCTGTACATCCCGGAAATCAAGAAAGGATATGATGAACTGCGGACAGCGGACTGGGTTTATTCGCAGACGCCGGGGTTTACGGTGACGAATGAAATTAGCCAGGATACACACTACAACGAAAAGTCACGATTAGCGTCTAAAATACAGACCCCAGTAAGTCCAGTATCGAACCCCCTCCCACATAACATAATCTCAATAAGTCATACAGGATTTCCAAATCAGCATGGCTGTCCGCCATGGCGTCATCAAGGACTGCAAGATCGAAGAAACGCGAGTGCCGATAGGCGAGCTGGAGGCCTTTCAGGCAAGCCTCCTAGAGCAGAAATTACAGGACATTCAAGACTGGCCAGCTTTCCTTCATAGCAAGACTAGCTGCGAGAGCAAGGAACTAGCTGCTATTGCTAAGTGGCTTGGTAAAATTTTGTATACACCAGAGATACCCAGAGACTGAACACATTGGCCGTTGATACCTATGGAAGTAGGAAATACTGCAAACAATTTGAGAAGAACATTTTCCGACGTGCACACCCGGATTCGCCCCGCCTTGACATACTTCTTAATTTGATACATTGCTGATTAGATAACTTGATTCCCATCTTACGCCCGCTCTATTGAGTCCCTTGAAATTAGGAGATCGGAAACCCACACTTCCTACCCCGCATACGCTTGCGACTCCAGAAGTTCAACCACATCCCTCGGCATAGCCGGCGAGTCTCTTCGCGAATACTTATGAAAGTTCTTTGCTACCACAACAGGATCCGAGAGGTAATTCCATGGATATCATTGTTTACTACGATGATTTTGGGTATATGTATGTACATGGGTGGGTAATTGCGACCCACCTTGCGGCAATGATAGATGTAACAACCATTCATCCGTAATACAACCCTTAGGTAATATCGCAGACTGAGCATGACGTTGAGGGCTGGAGGAAGGATATACATGGCGGCCATTACACTACGTAACAATCATCAGCAACTCTACAGTGGCTTTGTGAAGTTACAACACTATAATAGGGAAGGACCGACGGGCTTGCATACTCTACTTTCCGTAAGAGGCTGGGTTCTTGCAATTGTTTGCGACTTAATGGATGATTAACACAATATCGATGGCGAGGAAGAGGAGGATGCATTAGTCATAGGTGATGCGGTTTCGTCGGTTGTATAGCACGTCGGTGGATTTTGGGAGAGGGTTTGGGATGAGCATTTTCGATGGCGTTGGAGGGGACTGTCACGCGTTGGGTACTGCTAAAAGAATAAATATCGGGTGTATATGTTGGAAAGGCGTTTCACTTTGAATTTAATAAAGTGTGCGTGGCTTCTATGGGTCCGTCTTTTAAAGCAACGGTGCAGCAGTGCGGGGTTGGGGAGAGGGATGTGGGCTGTTGTGGAAGATCCTGCCCATTCAGAGATATACTGAGAACAAGGCCTTGTGTTAGCGCTGGAATGATGAGGTGAAGGCGAAGGGGGAGGGAGTTGAAGAATATCTTTACCTCTCCGTGTTTGTGAAGTTGCAGGCAATGATTGTTCATATTGGCAAATTGCAACTCAAACCGTGTCTGGGGTCCCTTCTCTTGCAACAGCGCGACTGTGAGCACGACAAGGGCACAACATCATCAACTCAGAAATCGTGAACCCGCGAAGTCTTCCATGCTATCATCTTTCTTTCCTTCTCCACTAATCTTCACGCTTCGTCTTACAGTTACCTTCCCTCCCTGCTCCGTGCTAGTTCCGACCGAGGCTGCTGAATCTGCTTCCCCTAGCATGCGTTCTATTATTTTAACCTTCGCACTGGCACGCTTGAATCGGTCGTCGAAATCTGCAACTGCATCCTCTGCATTTTCAGTTGAGAAGGTTGAGGGATCAGTGAGGGCATGCAGAGTAGTGACATGCTTTTCCAATCTTGGATTCGTTGGCAGGGTGGGAAGCTCCTCTTTTACATCGCCGTACGCCCCGAAATCCTGAACTCTTTTCCCTTCCTCCCGTACCACTTCTGCTCCTGCTCTTTTCTTTCCCTCTTCTTTCACTTCTACTTGACTAACATTCTCTACTTCTTGCTCAGTAGCAGAGCGGACTGAGTGGAATCGAGCACCCCAAACACAAGCTCTCCCATGCAAAACTCCCATAGAAGCAAACTTCTCGAATCCCTTTTCAAGACCGAAGATTCGGCCTTCGATGCGACCAGCACGTGCTCCGTCGGCAACACCGGCTGCATGAGCGGTGGTGTAGAGGTCATCCTCTAAAGTGAGGAGAGTGTCGAAAGGATCTGGGGACTGGGAGGGAGCATGGCTAGGTGTCATTTTGCAGAGAGATATAGAGATGGAAATATGGTTGGTTTTGACGTTGAACTGGACTTCCGGATTTTCTGGTCCACAGCGTAATGAATGGCTCCCCCTCCGAGGGATGACTGAATTCAGGGTTGTAATTAGCTCCCCTGTTCTCAAAAGTGCCCCTAAGCCGTGGTTACAGGGGCCTGAAGAAGTTGGGAAAGTCTTCAAGAGTCAGAGTCGACGAGTGGCGTCTGTGGCGGTGCGTGTGGCGCAAGGAGGGGCATCGTGCAACAGTTTCCGGCGAGCTTGACCTCCGCGTTTTGACTCACCCACTCACCCACTGACACACCCTCTTCTTATTCTACAAAGATCTTGCCATTGGACTTAGATCGCTTCTTTACATTACCTCTCTTAGCGTACGCCACGCCACTAAATATTCGTGCACCGATTTAACCCCTCCAGCCTCCCCAGTACTTCAGAGCGGGGCATTGCAAGAGCTGCCGCGTAGCAAACATGTCTCCAGACGAGGCAAAGAAGAAGATATTGCCGGTGGAAGGCGAGAGGAATATCCTCATTACGTCGGCTCTACCGTACGTGAATAACGTGCCCCATTTGGGAAACATTGTCGGAAGTAAGATTATATCCTAGCCTGCACGCGACTCCTCCATCTTATTCCATACTAATTTTTTTTCCTAGGTGTTCTCTCCGCCGATGTCTTCGCTCGATACGCTCGTGCTCGGGGCTACAATACCCTTTATGTCTGTGGTACCGATGAGTACGGTACTGCCACTGAGACCAAGGCAATAGAAGAGAACATCACGCCGCAGCAGCTCTGCGATAAATACTACGCTCTACACTCGGACGTTTACAAATGGTTTCAAATCTCCTTCGACCACTTCGGCCGGACGCCGACACAGCAGCAAACAGACATTGCGCAGGACATCTTCAACAAACTTTACAAAAACGGCTATCTGGAGGAGAAGACAACGACGCAGCCGTACTGTGAGACACATAAAAGCTTCTTGGCGGATCGCTTTGTCGAGGGCGAGTGTCCGCTGTGTCACTATGAGGATGCGCGGGGAGACCAATGCGATAAGTGCGGCCATCTGCTGGATCCACTGGAGCTCATCAACCCAAGATGCAAACTGGATCGCGCGACGCCAGTACCTCGAGAGACTAAACACGTATACTTATGTTTAGATAAGCTACAACCTCTAGAGGAGGAGTGGTTTAAAAGAAGCAGCGAAGAGGGCAAGTGGAGCTCAAATGGTATCCAAATCACATCTAGCTGGTTGAAGGAAGGTCTCCATCCACGAGGCATCACGCGGGATCTCAAGTGGGGAACAGCTGTTCCACTAGAAGGGTACGAAAAAAAGGTCATGTACGTGTGGTTCGATGCCTGCATCGGCTACGTCTCCATCACAGCGACATACACAGAAGAGTGGGAAAAGTGGTGGCGGAATCCCGAGCAAGTGAAGCTCTACCAATTCATGGGCAAGGATAACGTGCCCTTCCACACCGTTGTCTTCCCTTGTAGTCAGATTGGTACCAAGGATAAGTGGACTATGCTGAACACGATATCAACGACCGAATACCTCAACTACGAAAAGGGCAAGTTCTCAAAGTCCCGCAACATCGGTGTTTTCGGCAACAACGCGAAGGACACAGGTATCCCGGCAGACGTATGGCGGTACTACCTCCTCTCTCACCGACCAGAAACAGGTGATTCCGAATTCGAATGGGACGGCTTCATTGCAGCAAACAACAACGAGCTACTCAACAATCTAGGTAATTTTGTCAACCGCGTCATCAAGTTCGTCAACTCGAAAATCTATGACTCTAAGATTCCGGACTACACCAAATTCTCAGATCCGTATTTTGACGAGCATAAGAAGAAGGTGAATGAGGTTCTCAAGAAGTATATCGATGAACTGGAGAATGTTAAGATCAAAGCTGCCCTCATGACCACCATGATCATGTCGAGTCTCGGAAACACATTACTGCAAGACAACAAGCTAGACAACAAGCTAGCAACTGAGCAGCCTGAGAGGTGTGCAGCAGTTGTCGGGTTAGCATTGAGCCACATCCATCTTCTGGCGAGTTTGATTCAACCATACATGTAAGTCCTCAAGTTCCTTCCTCTAGCGAGCCCCTCTAACAACTATCCAGGCCCGCAACAACCGACCTCATCCTTCAGCAACTCAACACCACCTTCCTCATCATTCCAGACCTCTGGGAAGCCAAATCCTTGCCTGTCGGCCACACCATTGGCAAGGCAGTTTACCTTTTCTCCAAAATCAAACCTGAAAAAGAGCAAGAATGGAGAGAGCAATTTGGTGGCGATGAAGCGCGGAAAGCGAAGGAGGAAAAAGCCGCGAAAGCTGCGGCGAAGAGAGCGGAAAAGGAGCGTAAGAAAGCCAAGAAAGCTGCAGCGAAGATCGGTGAGGGGGTGGAGAGTGCGGAGAAAGGAGGTCAGGGAGAGCAGCCGGTGAGTGGGACCGTAGTGGAGGAGGTCATGGATGGGGTTAAGCAAGTGAGTTTGCAAACACCATAGTGCGCATATTTGCCTGACAAAGATGTCAACGTGTGAAATTTGGGTGGGTGGAATTGTAGGCCTGTGGAGTGTGGGACTCGGAATCAGGGCTCGGGGTTCACAAATGTTGTTTGGAGATCTGTGGGCGGAATCTGGACTGTTCTGAGGTGGATGTACGGGATCGTGATTGATGAAGTAGAAATGCAGTTCGAGCTGCTATGAACACCCTTTGTGAAGTGGTCGGGTCTTTGGATGATGAACTCTAAGGCTAGTGAGGGTTTGGCCTCTTCAACACGTATAGACATGCATACGCTGTAGAGAAAGGATAAAAAAAAAATGGTCTGGACATCATTGCTTTCAGTATAACGAGCAAACACTGTTACGGGGGAAGTCCTGAGTCCATGCACTTTTACATGCGCGATGTTTTGGTCTAATCCATCCCTCTTCTACTTCTCCACCCTCCTTCTATCAGAAATCTATGAGAAGCATCACAAGTTATTGCATTGGCGATGGCATTCTCCTCGCGACCGCCCTCAACAATCCGATGCACTCTCATTCACTACAGTACTACGGCAGAAGTTTGTGTACACTTTTCCGCAACACTAAAATCGCTTGGCTTTTGTACAAACCTGCGTACAGTCAGGGTTTATATAGGCGAAATACATACTCTTTTTTTTCTAATACTTCGTTTGCAGTCCCGGGCCTTAATGCCATTCCAAATTCTCTTGTGTACCCGCTTAATGATATTATCAAATTTGGCGTATCAGGTCTGCCTCTAGGCGTTTTGTGTATAATCAACAAATTTGTCTATATTAATTGCTCTGAACCCTTGATCTTTGCGCTCTGCGCAGAGCTTATTAATCTTCTGCTTCAGAATCGAATAGAGATGTTCAATAGGGTTAAGATCTGGGGAGTACAAAGGCTGGTTAACTGTTTTAACTTCATATGCAGAATTCTGTACTTCATTCTCAATGAAAGCGAAAATAGCTGTTCCAAGGTGTGGCACAGGCTCACTTATCGGCGCTTAACTGACTGAGATTCTGACAGGGGCGGCACATTATATTAGTGTGAATTAGCTTTGTGTAAGGGACGAGGCTCCGCACCGCTCCCCCATTACAACTAAAAGAGTTAAAGATAATCAACTAACGGTTGATTCGTGTCCGGCATAGTATATACGCCTTATACTTTTGATTGATTTGGGGGTCGGAGGTGCAGAGCTTGGCATTTTAGTGCACAAACTGTAGCGGAGGCGCTGTACAATGTATTAAATCTAAGCTAGTCATGGGAACTGCTACTATCTGTAGCCGGGCATGTGCGAGAATTAAAGGGGCAAAAGAAAGATGAGATGCGCTTAGTTGTTGAAAAGTAGCAAATTATGCAGGTAGGTGAGCGTGCACGTGACTATGACTTTTTCGCTTCAAATCTGCATACACGAAAACTGAAATTTTGAGTCTCCAGCCGCCTCTCTGCAAATGTAAAATTGATTGCTGAAATCTCATGTTGTTTCTTGTGTTCCATGGCAACCTTCTCGCGTTTTGAAACGCTTGGCGTAAGCTCACCCCTCAACACCTCGAACATCGCCCTTCCATTCGCCCCAACATTGGACCCAGAGTTACTCGAGAAATAATTTCGGCGACGATGTTTTGTCTGGGGAATCGTCGACCCAAGTGGTGTGTCGAACACGGGAGGATCTCGTCGTCTGACGTCATCTTACTGGATCGCACAACAGGCTTCGAAACGAAACAGCAAGCCCGGGCACCGGTCAGAGTTTCAGGTGAATATGCATGGCTTATCCATGTTTCGCAAAGGTAGCTCCAGCCGAGTGAGGCTCAGGCAAACATATGGCTTAAGATCCAGGCGTTATGTGCAGCTTTGACTCAGGGAGTGGCTCCTTTGCCGTAATTCGAGCTTCTGCAATTCCACCTTTCCGCAACGCATAACGACAGACATGGAAGGCCACAATACTAACGGATATCCGCTTTACAGCCTAAGTATTCAGCCGGATGCGGACTTTGACAACCATCAGCCTTTTCCAATCTCTATGGCGCAAACACATGAGCACCGTCCGAATACAAGCCGGACTTCCGTGAACCCTAACAGTTCAGGTGAGTCAAGTCCGTATCCCTTGTGCATTGTATGTTGGCCTCCCACGGACGATCCCAAATGTCACCAATTACAACGCCAGAGCTCATCCCTTTCCCTACACCTGTCAATCGTATAACAGGCGCAAAACCCCCTTCCCCTCGTTAAAATGCCTCTGGGAAGGTATTAAACATGATATAGCTTCACACACTAGAGTCCATCACTAAGAAGATATTTCAGGATATTCCAATCACTTCCCCCTCAACTCTCTGCAGGATACTTTTGGCCAATGGCAAGATCCTCCGATGCCGCATTATCACTATGCAGAGTCTTCACGATCATCTTTCTCTGATTTTCGCAACTCCGGCTATAGCATCTTTTCCCAGCGCCCGAGGAATTCCATTGCATCAACCAGCACGACTGGGACCGATTATTCAGATGTGCCTCAGGAGTACCACGTTCATCAGAGCGCAAGTCTACGGAATGTAAACACATCAGCTTTGACCGTGCGGCCGCCGGATCCCGCCGCCGAAGAAGTAATAGGGTGGTCCCCAGTACGGAGCGCAAAATACACTCGTCAGGTAAAGGTCGTGAAAGAGCCATTCCCAACCTGTGTCTCAAGACCGAAAAGAAAAAGCCGATCTACCAAGGAGCCAAGATATTGGTGTACCTCTTGCGGTGGGGGATTCCGGGAGAAATGTGACTGGATACGGCACGAGGAAACGTACCAGGAACGGTCTGCGATGTACCAGTGTGATCTCTGCAAAAAGACGTATTGTCTTGACAAAGACTTCATCAAACACCATCAAGATAGCCACCGATGCCTGACATGCGCAGAGAACAATCAGCACCTAGGTGGCGCAAGGAAGAAGCGGAAGCAAAGAAGAGCCTGGGGCTGTGGATTTTGTATTCACTTTGACACAAACTGGAAGGAGAGATGCAACCACATCGCAACCCACTTCGAATCTGGTAACAAGATGACTAACTGGAAGCACACGTTGGTGATCTTGTCACTGCTAAAACAGCCCCATGTCTGCCAGGAACAGATCCGTCTTTACGAGTCTAAAGGAGTGCAAAACCCTTATTTCGGGTGGAATGAGCATACGACTGGCCGAGCGGAAGGTTACCCGGACGGTCTCTGCGCTCCTCAGCTCCAGGACTTGCTAGAGTTCTTTAGTCCTGGCCAGAATGCTCGATATATTGTTGAGCTAGCCTGGGCTAAAGGATATCGGCCGAATCCTCCAATATCCAATGACACTCCCGAACCTTCCAACCTAGATCGATCCACCGGGAATAAGAGCAGAGGTAGCGAGAAAAGTCGGCCACAGGATTTGGCGTCTACATTGGCTCCTCGACAAATGGGTGCTAGGAGATCGGAAAATCAGTCAACTCATGCTGGGTATTCCGAAAAAGAGCTCCCTTGCCTTCCTCCAGTGCCCCCCGTTCCACTAAAAAACGATTCAAGTGCTGACCTCACATCTCTCTCGGAAAATCCGTTGAATGTTGGGTTTGAGTCATGGGCTCCGCTCACCACTACAATACCCGAAGACGAGATCCTTCCAGATACCTGTGACTTTGACATGATGGATCTAAGTTTCACCACCGACCTGACCCAAGAGCTGTCAATCCTCAACGACTTTGAACGAACAAATGCCTGGTAGTGGGCATCCATGTCAGCACACACACGATTTGTATCACCACGGACGAGCCCTTTCCCCCAATGTCTGTCTACAGGGCGGATTTAATTGTAATGTGAATGATAATGGGAATAGTAACGGGAATGGGAATGGGAATAGTAATAGAGTGGTAACGGGAATAGTAATGGTAATACAGGAGGCGCTGGGAGCCTTCAAATGAGACTTTTGACTTAATACGAAAATCTGTTATAAAACCACCTACTCATTATCTATGCTCCCGCTTTTCTATTGTTTGTTTTCTTTGAATCTATTTCATTGGATCTCCCGAGCTGGGCATCGGCTGTGCTTATGGCTCTCTAGACCCAAAAGGGAATTGCCTTCACCTGAAACACGTCCTCCACCACTACCCCTACGCTAGAATGTCTACATTCGGATAATGTCTTGATGCCATTTGATGCCATCTTAGGGTCCAGCTCTTCACCTGAGGCACAGTTGTGTGCAAGACACGTAGCACGACTTCTTACTGCATCCGGTGAACATTTGTCCACCAAGGAGGCGGGCAATTTTGGTTTATAAGGCTGGCATGTTGCTTGCAGTACTTATCTTACTATAGTCAACCATCCATCGATCTCGCCGACTTCACGATCATTGTCTTCTACCTACTTTGCGCCTTCTGCTCCTCACTAGCTGGATATCTCGGATTTCCTTTCCATAAACCAACTCACTGGAGCCATCCCATTCCTTAATGATCATGGCCACTCAGGTAGGGAATCATACACTTGAACATGGTTGAGATTCCACCAACACAGACACTTCCAGGAGAACTACGAGAATCACCAGCGACAAAATTTCATCCACGATAGTGCCGAATCAACCAGCCACCGTCAGACTTCTCATGCTCCGCAGCACATCCTAGCACATAGAGAGCGAACAAACGGGTTGCAGAGAAACAACGGAAACGAAGGGCTCGAGAATCTTCAAGTATGGCTGTCCCAGAACTTTAGCGAAGAGCCATGGAACGCGTTAGCAGATGCACGAGACGAGCCAAGGATGCGTAAGGTGCGTTATTTTCAGTGTGCTGGCTGGAGCGGGATTCTGACCTCTATGTAGACGTCTTTACTGTGATTAAATCCTAGTAAGAAGAAATGTAAAACATGTGAATGGTAATGGTATGTAGTTGCATGTTGGAGGATCGGAGAACGATCGCACATATTCTGATTAGATTATTGTAATGTATTAAAATATTAGATCGGGTTTCCTCTGAAGACCGCTCTCGAGTTCGCTGAGGGAGGGTGGAAGCGGCTTTCGCTTAGTACGGCCCGCGCCACACTCGTGCGCGCTAGCCGCACCTTAAAGTTCCTCTCGCCTCCGGCTCTGTCTCTTTCCTTCACCTCCCCTTTTAAACTTTTTCTCAACTTTCAACCTTAAAACCTACAATCTCTAGCCGCAACGCTTTCACGATGGCAGCCAGCATGGTAATATCTGTATTGAAATGAATTTTTTTCTGTGTTTATCTTCTCCTTTCACGACATGAACTGGTAAGTGCCCTCAGCCCCTCTTGTGTTTGTTGTTCCTGACTTCACTTCATAGGCGCGTTTGCCTGATTTTGTGTGATGCTACTCTATGATGTCATATCTTGGGGTACTTTTCTATTATCGTAGTAAGCCCATCTTCATATTTGCCACTTTTGTTTTGCTAATTGTGGCTCGCAGCCGATTTTCTCCACCAAACAGCCTGTGATGTCACTCTGCCACTTGCACCTCGCAAAATGGCAAATCACAGCTTGTAGTTTCTTCACGGATGTTTCATACGGGTCTTCGCGTATGGGTTTAGCAGTCGGCCTCCTGGCAAGCGTTTACGCGCGATGATTGTTGAACAAAGGCAACGTCCTAGAATAAGCCTCCTCAGAACCCGTGTCGAGCTGAGCCGGCTTTCCTTTCGGATTGCGGTTGGGGCCCACTGTCGAATGGGGGGTGCAAGCATCTCTGGCGTCATCTCTTCCGTCTCCGGGCGGTTGGTGTAATCAGTGAGATCGACGTTTGTTTCTCGCTTGTGCATGCCATAGTTAGGTTTTATCTTAATCACGTTATCTTTCTCCATAATTCAACCTTTCAAACCATTCGCTTTTGAAAAAGTTAGTAGTGAATATGGGGTTTTTGCTTTCTAGCCTGTATAGCCTTGCTTTCTATGACTCTGTTTTGGCCTCCTATGAAATTCAGGTAGTACCGAGTGGGCACGACTTCTAGTGCCATCCATACACCTTATCCTCTCTTACCATCTGCCCTGAACGCCTCGTGACGACGGGCTCTTGGCGGTACAGCGGTTGCGGACCAACTGTGGACCAACTGTGGACCTCGGGAGACAGCCGAAAGATGATTGACTTGGACTAGGACAATTGGGTTGTGGTAAGCATTGCAGTATCAAATGCAAACCTCCATAAGATCGCCGCTAACATAATACAGCATTCTTCGAATTCGACCTCCGTCGGGAGAACCAATACCGAGAAGCACTCCGAAAATCGCCATTTGGGTAAAGTCGCTCTTGGAATTGCATCAGCTCCCACATGAACGCAAAAGGAAATTGTGCCACAGTGCCTTTCCAATTAGGCTGAATCTGTTTTGGGTATAGCCTCAATCCCACACCGCCCCACGCGCCATTTTGTAAGTCAACTTAAAAAGAACCTCATTCCATTGCTCAGAAGATGACGCCCTTTTCTCTTTCTTCGGGTACGCGATTAAAAGTCCCGTACCTTATATGGAGACCCTAAAAAGTTCCGTTAGCCAACAACTTCTCATTTGCTCTCTGCCTCCCTTCCTCCACATCTCTGACTTCCCGGAACGTCGACTTCGTTCTTTACTGAGCCATCCCTGACGTTTGTTTCTAGACTCTCGTCTCTCGCGGGACTCGACATCAGGGTGTTGTTTCCTTTTCATTGTCCGATCCGGACCATGGGTAGGCTGAATATTTATTGCGGTTATGGCCGCACCTCCTGTTGTTCTTTTGTAACCTAGTGTGCAGATACAAGTTTGGAAGCAAAATCCTGTAGACTGTAGACGTTGTTGAAAAGCTTCCGTTCTTCAATTTCCTTCCTATCACCAAACTAGCGCCTTTTCCGTTCAAAATGACACGCACTGGGGTCGTCCCAAAGCCACAGGCCCTACTCGGCCCCACACAAAACGGCGACCGCTATGAACTCACTAGTCCAACGGCATTGCCCAAGGCTGGCGGCTTCTTGTGGAATCAGCAGATGATGATACAGATCACCTGTCGTGGCTATGCCACTTCGCAGTACATGCAACCGGAACCTGCCAAGTACGCATACGCCCCAAATCTAGAGGCCAAGACCTTCATGCAGCCGGAGCAAAACTACTACGCCCACCACCCTGGTCGCTTTGTCTATATTAAAGATGAAGAAGCGGACGAGCTGTTCTCCGCACCATACGAGCCAGTCCGTGCACCGGTGGATCGTTTCATCTTCTCGGTCGGTAAGAGCAACATCTCGTGGATAGTGGAACACCTAGATATCCGCGTTGAAATGAGTTTTTGCATTCCTACGCATGATGTAGCGGAGCTTTGGACCATAAAAGTGACGAATCTGTCTGGCCGTGTTCGCAAGGTCAGCGTCTACCCGTACTTCCCGATTGGGTACATGTCTTGGATGAACCAGGAGGCCGAATACCGTTCTGACCTCGGCGGTGTGGTTGCAAATAGCATCACGCCGTACCAGAGGGCGTCTGACTACTACAAGAACAAGTTTCTCAAGGACAAGACATATTTCCTCTGCGAGACCCCGCCTGTGTCCTGGGAAACCATGCAGCAAGCATTCGAGGGTGAGGGTGGCCTGCACTGCCCAACTGCAGTAATGGAAGAGACCCTCGGGAATGGCGACGCACGTTACGAAACTCCTACGGCTGCTGTGCAATATCGCGAGATATTGAAGCCCAACGAGCAGCGCGAGTACCGATTCCTGTTCGGCCCAGCTCTTGACGATGCAGAGATCCGCAACATGCGCAGCACATATCTCAGCAAGGATGGGTTTGCCAATGCTGCAAAGGACTACGCCGCGTACATGGAGAAGGGGCAGGGATCCTTAAAGATTGAGACCCCTGACAAGGACCTCGACAACTTTGTCAATAACTGGCTTCCGCGTCAAGTGTACTACCACGGCGATGTGAATCGTTTGACCACAGACCCTCAGACCCGCAATTACATGCAAGACAACATGGGCATGAGTTACATCAAACCTGACGTTACGCGTAAAGCCTTACTTACGGCCCTCTCTCAGCAAGAAGCTAATGGATCCATGCCCGACGGTATCCTTCTCACCGAAGGCGCAGAGCTCAAATATATCAACCAGATTCCGCACACGGACCACTGCATCTGGCTGCCAGTCGCTCTCGAAATCTACCTCGCCGAAACCGCCGACTTCGCCATCCTAGACGAGAAGCTAACTAGTGCAAATGGAGATACTTACACCGTGTTCGAGCGCCTCTGTCACGCGATGGATTGGCTCCTCAAAGCCCGCGACAACCGCGGTCTAAGCTTCATCGCGCAGGGAGATTGGTGCGACCCCATGAACATGGTCGGACCTAAGGGCATCGGAGTGTCAGGCTGGCTTACCGTCGCCACGGGCTTCGCGCTCAACCTCTGGGCAAACGTCTGCGAACAACAAGGCGGATCCGAGATTGCAGCGCACTACCGTGCGGGCGCCAAAGACGTCAACGACTGCGCAAACAAGCATTTCTGGGACGGAAATTGGTTCGCTCGCGGCATAACCGACGACAACGTTCTTTTTGGCGTCAAGAAAGACCCTGAAGGCCGCATCTGGCTGAACCCACAAGCGTGGAGTATCCTCGGGGGTGCTGCCGACCGAGATCAAATCCCCAAGATGCTAGATGCCGTCGACGAGCACCTCACCACGCCATATGGCGTCGCGATGTTCGGCCCGCCGTTCAGCAAAATGCGCGAGGATGTCGGCCGCGTGACACAAAAATATCCCGGCCAAGGCGAGAACGCAAGTGTATATAATCACGCTGGAATCTTCTACGTCCACTCCCTCTACTCCATTGGCGAAAAGGACCGTGCGTATAAGCTCCTACGTCAAATGATCCCGGGCCCGAGTAATGAGGACTATATCCAACGCGGACAACTCCCCGTGTATATCCCGAACTACTACCGTGGCGCGTACCGCGAGTATCCGCGTACCGCCGGGCGGTCGAGCCAGTTGTTTAATACTGGAACAGTGAGTTGGGCTTATCGATGCTTTATCGAGGGGCTGTGTGGCCTGAAGGGCGATGTTATGGGGTTGAGGGTTAATCCACAGTTGCCGAGTGAGTGGGACGGGATTAAAGCTACGAGGTTGTTTCGGGGTGCGAGGTTTGAAGTGGATGTTAAGAAGGGTGATGTTAGGGAGGTGAAGGTGAAGGTTGATGGCAAGGAGTTGGAGGAGCCTTATGTGAAGGATGTGAAGGAGGGGAGGGTATATAAACTTGACGTCGTTGTGCCGAAGTAATGGTCAGGGGAGGGGAATGATGTGGGGAGGCTGGGGGATTAGGGGAAATTTGCATTTCGTGAAATTGTTAGGCTTGATATGCTTAAAAGTTATAATGCTATGCTCACTCCACTTTGATATCTCCGTTTCGGCCTGACATCACTGTTGAACGAGGTCGATTTCTATGAAATAATTCGGCTTATCTATCAAGGAAGTTAGTTTTTAGGTGCGAGGGCAATGGTTCTAGTTTCTCATCACTTTGCAATATGGAACAAAGAGTGTCCATCCCTTCCCTCCAGTTTTCCTCACGTTAGAGACGTAGAGAGCAGAACCCAGGGATAGATCGATATAGTAGGTGCAAGTGGGGGGGGCAGAGCCCGGGGTAAGGCTGATTCTTCACACACTGGCTGCGGGAAGTGTGAGCAATCAACCAGTTAGGTATTAGGAAGTATAGCAGGTGTTTAGTATGCTTAATGCGTATCTTTGAGTTTAATGTAGATTTAAGTATTTGTAACAAGCGTGTGAAGTGCCACCGACACGCTTCTTTTATACAATGGATAAAAATTATTGTGTGGTAGTACGCTCAATATTTGCTACAGCCAAGGTTGAATTTCTAATCCGCAGAGCCATGTATAAGAGCAAGCCTGGCAATGATCATAGTTGAACGCGTACATTTCATTGGAGAACTCTCTTGTTTCCACTTTCAGGGTTCTCACCTTGAAGATGGAATAATTGAAATCCGTGCAGTTCCAGGTAGAGTGTTCATGCTTTCAAAATGGTGGTCTACTGTTGCCGCACTTTTGCATGAATGAGGGGAAGAAAGATTCAGCCAAAGCCTATTAAAAAAGGCTAGCCTCTCTTATAAGTTGCTCCAACCTTTTCTCGATCTCCCTTGGAATCTTAACGGCTCGTTCCTGTCCCTCGCGCCAGGATTCTTCCATCAGCTTCATGGATTTTTCGTCCAAGGCCTATAGCTTTTTCTCCAATTCCATGGTTTGATGTCTCGAATTAGTCTGCCACGGTGAATGAGTTTAGCTATCCGCCTTTTCCGGTCATTATATTCCTCCCAAATTCAGGATGTGTCTTCTCTGGATGCGAAGGCCCGTAAGATAGAGTAGAGGAGAGTAAGAACCCCAGCTCCAAGCGCTACTGCTTGATCAAAATCTCCAATCGTGATGGATGATGTAGGAATGAAGAACAGAATCTTCGACGGGACTGCGTCGCAAAAGCTATAAGTCTGGATACCCCACCACGATATTACTCCAGCTAGCAGGTACATCAGCGTGAAATACCACAACGCGATTGATTCGGGCGAACTCCTGAACGCAATGGTGAATATACGGTCGTGGAAGCCGGGCTCGTCAAGCTCATCTCCCACTTTTCTTGATGTATTCCAAATATGGAATAGACAGACAGCAGCAAACACAACCAGGGCGGGGACAATGGCGCATCGGATATATGTCAGTGGGAGCGGCCTTAGGAGGTTGATTATCGGGAAATTTAGTTCGGATTGCCTAATCCCAATTGCAAAAGGGACGGCAGTGAACCAAAGGGCACATATGCTGATGAAACATCCTCTTATCCCATGGCCACGGGCCCAGGCGACGATACAGAGTATATAAAAGAGGATACAGCCCGTCTCGCAGATAACCAACAGAGCCTCAGTCGTCGCTGAACTTCGTAGATAAATTTCCTCGCTCCTTAGCAATCTCCAACTACTGGACCCATATCTGAAGTATGCTGGGCTGGCGTATCCAGCCACACCCATGAGATTTGTCGCGGCAATGAGAGGAAGTGAAAGCGCGGCGATGAGATCGATCGTAATTATGTCCCTTCTTCTCAGCCAAGGATTGAGTGTCCAGGATACGAATACTGAAAGAACGATGCAGAGCCAGCATCCAACTGCACCAGGTCCGTAGAGCGAAGAAACGGTCAAATAGTCCTTGGTTATTTTTTTACAGTCCATTCTGGAATATATTGACCGTTTGAAGGATGCGGGCGTGAAATCGGTCTCTACAAGAGTATAAGAAGGGTTCCAGCAGCACTCCAATTCCGAGAGAAGAGGCGTTTAGCACGCCCCGGGAAAGTTGTGATTTATATATTACCGCACAGGCTTGATAAGGTTGCACAGCCACCGCCTCCAATAAGCCGTCAAAAATCCTTCCTCGTGTTCCAAGGGTCCCTGTAAAAGGCACAGACTTAACCCCTGGGCAATTTCTTTCCCTCTTCAACGTTAATGGTCTGGCGTGATCGAATTCACTTGATCCTTGTGGCAATGCCTTGCTCAGCTCCCTTTCTCTTCACCTGAATTTGCAAGTTTTCGCTGCAAATGGAGAATATTTTGTTGCCTGAGGCTTTATGTATGGTTTATTGCGACCATCATTTTCAACAGGCTTGAGGAGAGTGATGGATTGTCCTGGTACTTCAATGGTGCCTTGGCCGGACAGCTGAGAAGGAATGAAATGTTTCAGCGTGAAATTCGCGTTCTATGTTAACTTGAATTCCTAAGAAACTGGCGAAATCATGGGGGTAGGAGTCAGAGTGCCGATTTTGGTATTGCATTCGGAGATTGTATTGATTCGGGTATGACTGCGACCACGAAGAAAAGATAGACCCCAAAAATGATAGGAAGCGACATTGTAGGGATGAAGTCGTTCGTTATAGTGCCCTTGCATCGAGATGAACGGTTCACAGTTCAAGACACTAATGCTGATAGGACAGCACATAACCAGCATCCAACTGCACTGGGTCCGTATACTGACGGGACAGTCGAGTCGACTGCTGGACAAGAGGCCGCTGCCGTAGTCCGGCGATGGTAGGACGAACGACAATGGAGAGAGTGAGAGTTCTCTTTATTCAAAATTGTCCTGGACAAGTTGTGGGTGATGGAAGATTGGTGTGTAGAAATATCAGGAGGCCACAGCGAAGACTGACGTTGTGGTTCAACCACCCTAGCGGGTACGCCACAACAACGCCATCAAAAAAGCAAGTTCATGAAACCGCGAATGGACATTTTCAGATAGGATACATTCATTTTTACCGTAAGGTGTCCCATCGGGTGGTTCCTAGGAACTTTCACTAAAATCGGGCTCGTTGAAAATGCTTCTTGACTCTGTTCCCTACATACTACACACCGCGAAACAGGGCGCTCTGGCCTTTGGGATTTTTCCTAACTCATCCCCTAAATATCTTCTTATCCGTGTCTCAAAATATGACTTAGCAAGCCGAACAACACCACAATCGGCTACCTGATAGCTGAACGAGAAGAGAATGAAACCGAGCAAGAATTTGTGGATGTCCGTTCCCAGTTGTTCATGGTCATAGTAATAAATGTCCTTAGCAAACATTTTAATAATCCATGAGTATTTTTTTCCATAGTGCTATTCAAGAGATTGGATCAGTTCGCAAATCAGAATTCTGGTTACAACCCCCGTGCCTATCCGCACCCTCGGTCGAATAACGTATGGTTCAAATACATAGACCTCCAGAATTCATCCATTTCTATAGCTGAAGAATCATCTGCATAGAGTCCGCCCTGATCATTGCCCAATGCATGAAATATCCTGCCATATAGGAATGAAGCAGGGTCTTTGTGCTTCAACTGTCTGTACGGATTAGGCCCGAGGAAAGGGTAGAGACTGGGCTAACATTGTATTCATGTTTTCGGACACAATCGTGCCAGTCATTCTAGCATCCATTTCATTACTGTTGTTGTTTCCTTGGTGAATTGTTTGAAGTCTTCCATAAATCTCGCTCGATGCTAGGGCTAGGAGCTAACTCATTATTAGGGTCGATGAGGTTGGTTGAATGGCGCTCCCTTGATTCGAATAGATCCTATTCTCAAGAGAAAAGTTACCTCATGACTATTTTGATGGATTCCTTGATCAAGATCTCGAGTTCATTGAGGTTTTCTGGTTCAATATTCTAATATAAATAGACAGCCACCGAGTTATTATAAGACCCTTAGCCACGTAAGAGGATATGTTTGCTGCGGTGTGATATTGAAAGTGGGGGTAAATAATAGCGCGACTGAGCTCATGGACCCTCTTGACGATGGGGTGAATTCCTTTGTCGTTTAGTGTGGCATTCCTCATAGCGGCTGAGATTTCTCAACCTCGAGTTCGATGTTGATTAGTGGTTGTTTCTGCTAAAGCCTGCCAATTGGCCTTGGGAAATGCTTGTGCATTGATTCCTGCGCTGTAGTACTTTGTTTCAGTCACATCTTCATAGTAACAATGTCCTCGGGGAATTCCCACAGTCGTTGTCGACGAGTCCCCCACCCCTTCTAGAAGTATATCACCTATTCTTACGCCCCCATAATGACTCCCGCTTATACTCCTAGGGAAGGGGTTATATTAGAATAGGAAGCCGCAGAGGTCGGGCTGAATACTTGTGTCCCTAGCGCTTCCACCACCAGGAGCTGAAACGCCATAAAACCAGGTACGTACTGACCTTAATCCCTTCCAACTATTGTAACACACGAAATCATTACCGAATATATAATGTAGGACGAAGTCGGGGTCCTGAGGAACTTAGGAAGCCTAGAGTCTTCTTCTCTTTTCTTGTTGAATATCGCCATAACATCACTGGAGCATAGTTTTACAAAACTGGCTGCACTAGAATTGCAAAGGACTCAAATTATGAATTCATTCTGATAAACCAATTGACCTTGAATCCCTTAGTTGTAACACATAGTATGATCGCCTGCTGGTCATCATTGAAAACAAGCACATCGCTTCGATCAGCGATACGCCATTGTGAAGGAGCACCTACTAGGAACCGAGAGTACCCTGTCTTGCCAAGGTGTCTATGTACGTCAAGGTACAACAGGTTCAGTTTTCGTATTGTCGTCATCATGTATAACAGGATAGCAGAGCCTCCAATTTGCCCAGGGACATTTCCCTACAGTACATAAACTACTGCTTGCGTAGCTTTCTTTTCTGTTGATAGCAAAATTTGAGGAGATAAGCATTGAGCGCAAAGAAGGTTGGGATTTCTGGGGGCCTAACACAAGGTCTAACATGGTAAAGCTAGGCAGGGCTTCCAACGGGCCGTACTACGGTCTGTACAAAGTGAACCGTAACGGTCACGTGTTCAGTACAAACGTACCGAGTTCGTGAGCCGTACCGTACGTTTAATAATGCCCTAGGTACGGTACGTAGTACAGATTGTATTACCCTTTTAGGAAGTTTGTATAGGGGTTCTAGAGGGGTATAAGGGCTCTGGCGAGCAGGAGGCCTGCAGACGCTTAAATCTCTTTCTAAGGGTTTTAATCTATCCATCTGTCTGTTGTCTTAAAAATGCCTATTACAGACTATTTTCTATTGCAGAGTTATCTATCCACGCCTCTTGCAGCCTTACAGGCCTTATCTAGTCCTATCTGCTCTTGTTACTAGGGAGAACTAGTTATTTTATAGTTAATTAGACCTTAATCTTGCGTCTCTAGGGACCTATAGTCTTAGCTGTTTTAACTAGAGTACAGCGTACTTTAATTAAATTGTACTACTTGTACAGATCACGTGAGCCGTAACAGTTACGATACGTACACCTACCTCTCCTCCTCTCCTCCCTGTCGTACGAACGTACACAAAATCTCACCCGTACAGGCCTCAAAATCGCCCAATCGTACAGTACTACGCCTCGTTGGAAGCCCTGAAGCTAGGTATTGGGTGGCAAAGAGACTAGGGCAAGGCAGTGGTCGCCAGATGCATACGCGCTAGGCCATTGCTTGAGTAAAGACAGTACAGCGTGGAATAGTGACGAAGCTGTCGTGCAACAACCCCACGATGGTGGAAATTGGTTGAGCGGTGGATGGGATCCTCATGTGGTTGGACACCGGATGGAATAGAAAGCTTGCCAAGATGACTAAAACAGCCGTGAAAATGAGAGCAATAGAGTACTTCACTCTCTTCCACAATTGCTGTAGTGGCATGCGACCCGTAAGAGGTAAATCGTAGATTTCTTTATCAAGAACCTTTTCTTCACGATGATTGGCGTCCCGCATCTGGGAGAGTTGGTTTGAGGGTCTTGTACGAATAGCATACAATTATAAAGATAGCCTAGGAAGGTTGTTATTGAAGATACATACGGCAATGTGTCGATATGAAATGGAGAGTGACAAGCAGTCAACTCACGAAGTAAGGCGCTGCCAGGCAAAGTTTCAACAGCTGGCAGCAATAATGACTCGCTACTGCAGTAACTAGAGTTTCCAGATGCTCTAGAGGGTGTAATTTTGACACAATCTGTCGCGGAGATTGTTTAAGTCTGAGTGAACAAGTCCTCGAGTAATCAAGTTGCGCTGTATCTGCAGACTTAATAATAGAAGGCAATAGCTGGTTTTAATTAATTATAATTGTCTTTTTTGCTTTGTTAAAGCACCTTTTGCACCACCATCTCCTCTTCGTCAGCGTAAATTAGGTCCGCGCTGTATTTCCATATATAAGACGTTTAAGTCTTCCTAGAAAGCTCCTCTTCACACAATATCTAAGACCTAGCTAGCGACCTCTACTCTAGATATTGTCCTACTTAATGTTAAACTTTAGGCTGTTGGTAAGGGAAGAGTCCTTAGGATAAAGAGCAGGCAAAGGAACACTAGAGAATAAGGCCTTAACTATAGAGATCTAAGAGCTTCTAGAGGCAGCCTTTAACTTCTTAAGGCAGCAAGAGCTTGCAAATTAAGGCTAGAGTACTTAGGCTACCAACAGCGTACTGTTGCCGCGAGCTTTAAGTACTACACAGAGTTTAGAGGAACTTTCGCATACTTATAATGGCATAGAGGCAGATAGGTAAACAAATGAGTTTATTCACTGGCCTGTGCTAGCAGTAGGTAGGACTGTTTAAAAAAGTACAAAATCTAGTGTATTTGTGCGTATATCGCCGACCAACTGACCTCCCTCGATTTCATTATTCGACCAGCGCCGTATTCCCAGTCCGTCAGCGAAATTACGCCCAGCTCAACGTCGGATCATCCGCCGCTCAGTCTGCACCGCCACGGCTCGGGATACTCATCTTCAACTCACCTTTCCACCCCAATCCCGTTAACCAGTCCAATTATACTAGTGTATGAGGAGCTATCCTTGCGATAAAATTCAGTCAACTTAGGGTGAGCTGGTTATGAGGCCTTAAAGTGGGCCACGTTGTGCGAGTGCCTGCCGTGTCCCAGAACTGGGCCAGTGCAAGATGGTGGCGAGAGCTGTGCTTACTGTAGCTTTCAAACCATGCTCTCGCTATGCTGTTGGCATTACTATTAACAACATATTTGATTAAAAAGTGCAAAGGCTATGCGTGTTTCCCCAGACACAATCAACCGAGATGCGACATATCCGTCACTTGCTAGTCACGTTCCTTCGACTCATTCATCATATAATTAGCTATTCGCTTACGACGATAGTAACATCTGTGAAATTTCCGGGATACCGGTTCTCAATTTGATAAGCTTTAGCTGCCATGACTTTTACTCCTAACATCGTATTCAGCATGTTTGACCTTGCTACGCATAGATTACATCAGACACGTTTGGACGCCGTCATTCTCTGTTGAATCTCTCCAAGTTCATAATAGACAGCGCGTTGAGTCCAGGGAGAAAGATTAATCGGGTTTTTTTTTATAGCTCTTTCGAGACCATCTCCAAGCTCTTTCTCTATCCTCGCCCCCCCCCCCCCGGGGCTTTTACAAGAGACTTGTTACTATCTCCCAACGGACAGAAGAAACCCCTTGGAGGACCTCGGGCCTCCTGGATCCCGGTGGGCTGGCATTCCCGCTGTCTCGGCGGCCTTCCTCTCCCCAGATTCTCGGCATCGGGCGTTTCGTGGATTCCCAGACCTTGGCCATGGTCTCGTCGATGTGCCCTGCGTCTGGATGTTGTGCTGTTTTGACTGCTCTCTGCATCACCACTGCCTCCATATAAAGGTCGATCGGTGGTGTCCCTGATTCTCTCTCAATGGCCGCCACTAGGGCTCTTCTATAGGCGCCAGTCACCTTCCGTAGGCATCTGTTCTGCGTCACTTTGAGCTCTTTGGTTTTTGATCGCTCAGTTTGATTGCCGCTCCTGTTGATAGACCAGATCTGGACTCCGTATGTCATGGCCGGTCTTGCTACCGCAGTGTAGAGGAGCCTCGATTGGCGGACCGGGGAGGCTATTTATAATTATAATCTTAATACTACACCAAAGGCGAGAACATATTAAATTAAGGAACAATAATAAACACCTCTATATAGTAAACTTGCAATATAGTTGTATTAAAGATAGGTCTAGGTATTACCTGTTAGCCGCTCTCGCATCAGCAATACCCCATAGAGCTATCAGGCTACATAGAGATTAGCCTGCTACTTAAGTGCGTGACTCTAGCGCTAGTCTAGAGGCCTAGGGCCGGGTTTATAGTCGTTCTGCGGTATTCCTTACTCTTTTAGTGAGAATGCCACTCGTTATGTTCGATGAGATAAATCGGGCTTATTAGAAGAAATAGTTGTGGTAGGTTATCACGTCGATAGAGGTTGGCGGGCAGCCAAGAATAGAGCAGCGCCACACGTGGAAAGCAGGCTGCCAAGAGGCTGCTCTGGCTGCGCGAGACAGGGGCAAAGACTGGGACAGGAGAGACAAGAGCAGCATCGTCACCAGTACCAATCATTCGTTTGCCATCCGCTTCACTCTCACCACCACCTCGCTAATCTCCCTCGTCGCGAAAGTGCCAGGCCGCCCGAGCCTCCCTTTCCTCCCTTCCTTCCCTTTCCGCTGATAAAGCGTAACGGCACACTTTCGCCATTTCAAGGTACCTACAAGGTACATTATCGTTCAATATTCGGACGCGCTCTGTATCACAGAGCGGCCATTGCCGTGATGTAGGCTTCATCTGAGAATACTGCGCCAATGCTGCAATCCGCCCAGGAAACCTCCATATCCGAAACTACGATATCATCCATTGGAGCTGTGCTACGGGTCTCTCGCAACAAGCATAACATGACCAATTCTTCCTCCCCCAAGGTCAAACTCTTCCAACTGTGTTGCACCGGTCCATCTCGACTGCTCGTCACCGCACTTTGCCGCAAACAGGTTCCTAGCTGCGATTTGGTCTTTTTTGTATTGCCTGACGACTCTCTCCCCATGCCTCCCAAAATTTTCCGGCACTGGCCGTACAAGACCCTCGAGATTGAGCTGAGGAGCGGTTTTGCCGCGCGTTGTAGACTTTATGGTGACGTCGACCTCGGGGCATTCCAGGAGCCTTTGAACAACCATCGGATTATAGCTTGCAGCAAGATGAAGGGCTGTATATCCGGTTTCTCCAATACTATTTACCTGGGCTCGATCACCAAACTTTTCGAGTAGGTAATCCACGGTGTCGTACAGCACTTTGCGATTGTAGAACGGGGTGCGATCTGGGATCGTGGCCAATGAATGAAAAACACTGGCGTTTATCTTGGGTTTTACCAGAAAAGCCGCAGCCGGCTTGCCGACGGTTGGAGGGTATTCCATGAGAAAGCGAACGCATTGGACAGTATCAGCAGTACACCTTCCTAGGACGACTCCAAGAGGGGTTGTATCTCCGTCGTCTAGTCCGTTGATATCAACACCTGCTTTGATTAACATCGCAGCTGCCGAGAAATTGTTCATAGCCACGGCGCAGGTCAAAGCTTTCGGCGGGATCCTCGATGAACCTGAGTGTTTTACATGTTCGCTGATAATCATCTCAAGAATCCGACCGGAACATGACTGGTGGCCAGCACACATCTCCAGCATCGTAAGTGGTGCATTCGTTCCAAAATAGCGAACTGGCAGTAGGGTACTGCCACCTTTTTTGATAAGATCTGCAACGATTATACTCGACCCACCTTGAATTGCCAGATGCATTGCTGTTACCTCCGAGTTTGCGGCTTTGGTGTAGCAATTGATATCTTCCGCCGACACAATCGAGATGAAATATTGCAATATCTCTCGATCTGCGGAGTAGTGCAATGCAAAATGAAGCGCTGGGGCATTGCTAATTTGTAACTGGTTTCCATTGGGTATGGCCATTTTTGCCACTAAGAAGCCAAGGCACTTTTCCACACTCTCGAACGTTCGGGTACCGTGAAGGTACATTCGCTCTGTTCTAACAGTTCGGCAAGCCAGGGCAAGCAGTTCGCTGCTCCTCCATTCCTGGAGATGCGGAAAGAACTCCCAGAATACATGAAGGAGTTCCCAGCAGTGTAAAGATGCCGCCAGGTCGAGCGCATTGAGGCCCTTCTCTTTGGGAGCTGGGTTAACCCCATGCTTCATGAAAACCTTTGCCAGCACAACATCGTTTCGGCGTACAATGCGGCTTAATGGTCTGCCGTCGTCATGTGGCAGGAGCTTGAAATCCTCCTTTTCAAGATCAGAATGCGAAGACGCCTTAGCATGCTGTGCGAACTCGACGCCCAAAAGTGAAAATAGTACTTCGGCAAGGTGTGATTTCTCGTCCGGTTGATCGAACTCAACCAGAAAATGGAATGCTGTCTCTCCATAATTGTTGGAGATACGAAAGTTAGAACCAGCGTCAATGAGCCGCATCACCATGCGGTACCATCCAAGTCGAAATGCCAGCAACAAAGGTGTATCCCCGTTGAGGTCTTGCAGCATCAAGAGCGACGGATCAAAGCCTTGTGCACTGACCATTGCGTCGATAGCCTCTGAATACCCCATGGCTACGGCGAAATGCAGTTCGGTCTGCCTCCAAATGCCAAATATTTCTCGCCGCAAGGAGAACTGGAGCTGGATGTCTTTCGTCTGGACTTGACAAGCGACCTTGGGCTCGATTGCTTCCCTCGGCCTAGTATAAATACCGTACTGCCAAGCTCTACGATAGTCGCTCCGTGTTCTAGCGTAACCGCTCGGGATTGGAAAGTATTGAATCAACTTATGGGCCGCTTCATAACTGCCTAGCGACTGGGCGAGGCGAAGAAGGTAAAGGGTATATATATTCGCTCTGGTTTCCGCCTCGCTGTTCGATGCTTCGAAAAACATGGTTCGAAAGATCGCCGACTTGTAACCGAAATCTGATGCCCCAAGTTGATAAATGATTTCCTTGGCTCGGTTGAGGTCTTGCTCAACCCCCCATCCGGTGGCATAGCAGAAGCCATGAAACAGTATGTCTCGCAAACTGCTCTCTCCAGTGAGACTACCAATCGCATGGACAACCTGCTGTTTCGATGATGGAGGGAGAAGACCGGCCATTCGAGCGATAGATTGAAACGGTCGATTGATGGAGACGTTTCCTAGAGCGGAAATCGGCTCAAAATTGATCGGTTTCTGATCTTCTGAGACCATTGCTTGATACTTAGGGTATCTGCAGTTGTCAGAACTCGGGTTATGAAATTTTAGTGTATAAACGATATATCATCCTCACCTACCCAAGACCAGTGAACCAAACGTCCCATAGAGTTACAATTTGGTCAATCGTGCTGCGAGAGTTCAAGTTACCGTCCAGGGAGTACGCGAAAAGCAATTCAATGAGCAACTTTCGTAACCCATTCTCTCTGTAAAAATGACTGGCCGCGTTGGACGGTAACTCGAATCTCTTCACGCTATTGACTTGCATCTCGAGAGGCGTTTGAGCTTTCGTGTCTTCGGACTTTAAATTATTCGAGTCGGATTTGAAATCATTTAAGTCGGATTGAACATCGCTCAAGTCGATTTCGAAGAGATATTCAAGATTCTTTGTGGACAAAACGCTCCATGCCACTAATCCGTAAGAGAAGACATCTGTTTTCTGAAGTTCAACCCATGTCATCTCTGTGTTGTCCGATTCAGGATCGCTCCAAAGCCAAGTACCGCCCGTGAGTCGAAAGAAGCCTTCAGCTGATCCCGAAACACTGAACCCAAAATCGGCGATTTTGGCGCGAAGTCCGTGTTGCATTCTTGGCTCATCATTGATATGAGCATCGAATATCAAGATATTGTCCGATTTCATGTCTCCGTGGACGATCCCGCACTGGTGAAGAGCATACAGGGCCTCCGCAATATCTCGACAAAGACTGGCCCTCTTATTAAACGGCAATGACGAATATAAGTCGGTCTCAGCAAAGTCAGCTAATGATCCATAGGCAGCATGCTCAAGAAGAAGAACCGGGACGAATGCTGGATATGCATCCAAGTCGATGCTGTTCAGGGTTGCGGCGTTGTATTTTGCGACTTCTCTGTCCCACGCAATGCCCAGGAAGTCCACAATGTTTTTATGGTGCAGCAGGGGACGGTGAGTCAAAGCTCTTATTTCTAACAAAACGGCTGCCAAGCGTTCGGTTTCCATGGCGCTGGTCTTCTCTTCCTCCAGACTCGGCTGGATGAGAGGTCTTTTGTAGACAATGATGCGGGCTGGGTCATCGCCTCGGACTTGGTTTGGGATGTCTGAGCTGTGGAAGCGCGATAGTGCCAGTCTCCGAGGCACTGTATCAGTCAGTTCCACTCCTGGAGCGATTACCGTTCTAGACACTGCAAATGTAGCTCCTTGTCCAATATGCTCAAGAGTTGTTCCGCCGTACGGAGTTGTAGCTTGAGCCACCGCTTCGGTCGCTCGAAAGCCATCGTTTTGGATGAGGTAATTTGTGATGTACTGGAAAAGCCTTAGATAGGTCGGTGAATCGTCGTCTGGTGGCTCTGACACTCTGCCTTTTCTGGAGCTTCGAGATGAGAGGATGCTATTCAGGAAAGGTGTGATGTCTTTATCTACACCGCCAGTGTCATCTTCGGGGGGAAATTCCAGGACGAGTTGTAACAGTTTGGACAGATGATCAGGGTCTTCCTCCGCAAGAGAGCCTTCATTATCGCCAGCGTTGGAATCATGGGCATGTTTGTCGCGATCTTCATCCGATTCATTGCGATGACTTTTCGGAGCTTTCTCTGAACTAGTTCGTAGCACTTTTCTCTTTCTTCGAAAACCAACTCTAGGGCCAGAGGACGAGCTATTCATGATGGTCGCTCCGGTGGGATGTATTTAGGACCATGTATCATGTAATACCTAACAGGCGGAAGTTTGAGGAGTGAGGTGTACGAAAGCTGGAAAAGCACCTTATGGTGGAACCTCCAGGGATTCCGCAAGTCGATTCTTTCGGCGATCTGCATTAACAGCCACGGTTTGCCGGGCGAGGACGAAAGCAAGGTTCTCGGGCGCTCTATATGTAGGTCCCCACGTTGTGTCAGCCACATGTAAGTCTCGGCTCATTTCTGCATGTTCAGCTACGCGTTGCGAAACGTTATTGGTGCGCAGCCCTTCATCGCTCGTACCACCTTGTAACATATCTTCTTGTAGCGTGGTGATTGGAAGAAGGCCACGGTTTGCCGGATTTCGAGGCCCTGTGTGACTTTGTAATAGCCAATCCAGAGCTGCTAACACTCGGGGGAGAAGAGATAAGATGAGCTCTCTCAAAATTAGTCTAATAAGTGCTTTTTAACCTCATTACTCGCGATCCTATCCTTTTCGTCCTGGACTCAGCACGATCTTCGAGCAACTTTCCGTTACAGATTCGGAATTTTCCGACCTCAAGATGGAATACGCCCCCGCAAGCATATCCATTGCTTCCAAGCTCTTCGAGTACGGATTCAAGATATACAAACTCTACAAAGATACCCGCGAGGCTGGAACAAAATATGTTAGGCAACGAATTTTGCTTGATATCCAGGCTCAGCGCTACGAGAACTGGGGCAACTTCGTTGGCCTAGATAAGGGAGAGTACCATCCAACAACCGAGCAGACCCAAGCGCAACTTGATTTGATGGTGGACATTCTGGCACAAATCTCAGATATTCTCGTCTCGGCATCTGAGCTGAAAGCAAAATATGAAGAGGGAGCAAACAGCGGTGCGACATTGGTCGAGGATGAACAGATTACGATCGCTCAAATTACGCAACGTCAGCTTAAACAGCACAAATTCGCAAACTGGATCAAATCACAGTTTGGAAAAGGCCTTAAATTTGCCCTTTGGGACGGAGAAAAGTTTGAGGAATTTCACCTCACGCTGATACATTTCATTGAAGGTCTCGAGAGCTTGACTGGAGTATATCATAAGAGATTTGAGGCTTTGTTGTACACACAGTTGCTCCGAAATAAGTCAAGAGAAGAACTGAGAGAATTGGGACAAGCAAATATACCGATAGGAAGAGTTATTCCAGAGCTTGCTGATCGAAAGTCTGCTTACATGGAATTGTCAGAAAGACAGAAGAGTGCGCAAGGCGCGAGGCTGTTTGGTCTAACCGAAGACAAGTTTAAACTATCGGCTTCAGATATCAAACCGGAACGAGTCAGCAAAAAAACCGCAACAATGTTCGGAACGTACCAAAATGACAAACCGGTGGCAGTTGAGTGGAAGCTTGTGTCCGAGGAGCTGACCCCAGATGAGGCCCTTAAGCGCCTCTCTAACGTCGCCGAATTCTTGTCGACGAGTATAGTTGGTGTAGAGACTCATCTCCCACGATCGATAGGGTAATGCCACCAGCCTTTACAGGCCGTATTGCTAGCAGATATACTAAAAATGAGGAATCCAGGTACTATCGCAATCCGGGAATAACAGACCGTATCGCTCTGGTGTACGAAGACCCAGGACCACACTCGTCTACCCTCTTCGATGCGATTGCCGACGCTAAATTTCAGCATATTAGCTTGGGAGAGCGCTACAAACTTGCCCTGGCCCTTGCCGAGTCTCTGTTCTACCTTCGCCTGACTGGCTGGTTTCATAGGGCGATTCGAAGCTCCAACATCCTCATTTGCGGCGATCCTCCCACGCCAGACATCCGTCTCCTGCTGGTCGGCTTTACGAGTGCCCGGCTTGAAAAACCCTGGGAGAAGTCTGACAAGATCATTTCTGGTCAATACGACGAGCTCTATCACCACCCGACTTACCAGGGCAAGAACAAGCGCAGCGTGAATTACAGCTATGCTTTTGACATATATAGCCTTGGTGTCTGCTTGATCGAGATAGCTACTTGGCAACCAATCAGCGAGCTGGGCGAATACGACGTGGACCATCACAGTCCCGTCAAATTCAAGAGGAAGCTTTGCTCAAACGATTCGATGGGGTTCTTGGAATTTACTGTTGGAAAGGAGTATCGACGAGCCGTCCAATGGTGTTTAGGTGCCGTCGAGCTCAAGGATAAACAAGACGGGAGTGGAGAGGAGAAGGACTCAGCAATGGAGTTCTGGGACCAAGTTGTTCTTAAGCTTGCAAATTGTCGGTCTTCGGTGGACTAAGGATGTGGATTCGGACCAGTTTCTAATCTGCGAATCTTTCGAGACGGAGGGCTATGGAATCTAGGCGAGAATCATGATAGCTCGAGGCCGCTCGACGACACGTCCTTTCGGCAAGTCTACGAGGCATTTTTCACCTCCAGCCCATGCCGGAGGCTGTAGCATGGGATAGAGTGCCTTATTGACGTACCCCTCATTTCCCATATCCTATCGCGATCGAATCTTCTTCCTGTAGCCTGCTCGCATGAATCTGCACTACACTAACGAGGGCTATGAGATTGAGACAGCTTGGCTGGATCCCTGGATGATTTCATCCTTGATAATTGCTCTGGAATCTGCTACATGTTGTCGGTCTGATGGTGCCGTGACTGAGCGTCGGGTGATGCTGCCGCTGGGCCCTATTACTCTTTATCTTTTATCCTACCGGTGAGCATGACCGTAGCAACCTCTAGCTATTACTCTATAGGCATATATCGTAAACTCTGACCGATCATGTAAAATATTAACTTTGTTATTCATCTAATTTACTCTTAATCAACGTACAATCCTGTAGTGCCATATCCTTCATGCTACCTACCTGAACAGCTTCATAGAAACCTATATCTGACTTACTTAGCTCTCGGTAATATATTCGTAAGACTATAAGAATTTATGAAGAGATACCTGGATCATAGAGATAATCATAAGTCTCCGTGAACTCCTAACGTTATGGCTCAAATTGGAAAGAGCGCTATCAGTGGCTGAAGCTCCTTGTCAATGAAGAATAGTATCCTTGTCAAGATCATATTGCCGGCAATTCTTAAAGGAAAGAATAAACGAACTTGAAGGCCTGAATCTGGGCCACCGATGGTCAAAAACTGTGCCATGTATCAAGAATTGGGCCACTGAGCAGGGAAGTGGCCCGAATCTGGGACAGCCAGCCCCGAGCTAGCGTCTCAGATTCTGGCCAGTCTTAGCGTGCTCAGGCTTGCTCAGGCTGCCAAGACCTGCTCAGGGCTGCACCGCCACAAATTCAGGCTACTTAGTCACTGCTTAGTTTTAAACCCTTGTATGCTCAGGTTCAAAAGCGGAAATGGACTTGGATGAGGTCAGTCCCACATGTAGAGAACTTCGCATATCATCGACTAATTGACCTCCTCCCACTTCGTCTTTCGATTAGCACCCTATTCCCGGTTTGTAAGCAAATAACGCCAGGCTCAACTTTGGAGGGTGCACCGCCACTGCTCAGAACGCTCACTTCCGACTTACATTTCAAGCCTAACTCCGTTGCCCATTCGAATTATTTAGTCAACTCTACGCGAAGGACAGTACTCAGGGTAAGCTAGCAATAAAGCCCAGACCTAGGCCATATTATAAAGGCTTGTATAAGTGGCCTAGGCATCCTATAAGGTGTCCCAGAAATAGGCCATTTCTCTTTTCAAGACTCCGCCAACAAAGATCGAACCAGGCTTAAAATTTCAAGCCCGTAACCTGCACTACCGGTGCGAGGAAATAGGCTATTTGGTGGCTTGTTTCTGGGGTAATTCAGAGAGGCTTCATGAAGGTGCGGAAATGATGTGGAGAAGAACGTGCCACAGAAATCTGCTGTTTTGTACGCAATTTCTTCCTGTTTCTTCCCTTAGCCTAACACTGCTTACTTTTGAACGCGACGCTGAGCTTAACTTGCGTAGATCACAAGCGCTTCGCTAGGTGCACTGCCTCAGTGCCATGCTTGGCTGGGTGCATAGCCTCGGTGTTATGTTTTGCTGCGCCTCGCTAGTCGCATCTGCTTCCTCTTGACCTTCAACTCTAATAAGTCTTCCTGATTCTCATCGCTGAAATCGAGTATGGATGACTGCAAACCTTCCGTTCCCGGTATATTCGGCTTCATACCTTCACAAATATTAAACTTCAATGCGTTTCGTGACAATTCTCAGATCCGATAACGCTGATTTAAGTTTGTGCACCTCTTCAAGCTAACAGCCTAATCCAAACGAATCCTAATCTTTAACCGGAGTATTTTATTTGTGTAAATTAGGCTCGTTATGGACCCACTAACAGCATTCGGATTAGCATCCAATGTGGCTCAATTCTGCACTGTCGCAACCAGCTTGGTTTCCGGTGCAAAGGACATATACAACTCCGCCAGTGGTGCTAGCCGTTACATCTTGAATATCGAGGACGTCTACGAACGACTTCGAGTATTAAGTACCGTTTTCGAAGAATCTATCAACAAGAATCCCAACCCACAACTAGCAGCAAGCGACCGCGATCCGAACGCCAAAAACCTTGAAGCGGAATGGAAATCTGGGATTAAAGATCTACTGCTTTCATGTAGAGCCGACTGCAAGATGCTATTGGAAATCACTCAGAAGTTGAAAATTGATCCCGGATTGAGTTCAAGATCCAAATGGCAAGCTCTTAAGGTAGCCTTGCAGACCGTGTGGAAGAAAAATAATATCGAAGAGCTCGAGAAGAGATTGGCTACAAATCAAGGGGCACTTACGGTCTATGTTTGTTCACTGACAAAGTACGAGTCCAACCTTATGCTGTTACATTGACTAACGCAGCAACTAGTCATTTACAGCGTAGTTTACTCTCAGAAGTTGCGACTTTGCAACGCGATATTCGACAGCTGGATTCGAAGCATGCAGCTCGACTCGATAATATGTCACACGCAATCAATAACATTGCAGCTCACCTCCCAGCAATACAAAATGCCCCACAAAATAGCATTAGTCTCGAGAAAGAAATCGATTCCCTAAGGGGTGGGATAAACAAGCTTACCCTATCAAGACAAGACATATCGAAAGAGCTAGCGATACTTAGAACTCTACGCTACGACAGTCGTTCAGCTCGCTTTGCTTCAATACCCACTGCCCATAGAAGAACTTTCGGCTGGGCTCTCCAGAACCGGAGCTATCAGGAACATTTGTCAAAGAAGGGCGATTTGATAGGATGGCTTAGAGAGGCAGATTCCGTGTTTTGGATATCAGGGAAACCTGGATCTGGCAAATCGACACTCATGAAATTTCTGGTTGGCCACCGAAACACCCTTGCAGCCTTATCAGAATGGTCTTATCCAAAACCGGTTGTGATCGCTCATCACTTTTTCTGGAGTCCTGGGACACCAATGCAGAAGTCTCTACAAGGTCTTCTACAGTCCCTACTGTTCGACATCTTCCGGCAAACCCCCGAACTCATACGTATTACTTGCCCAGATCGGTGGCTGAATTTCCGGAATCAGAATTTAGAATGGTCCTACGGGGCAGAGTGGCAGCTCGCCGAGCTCAATGTAGCACTGCAGACCTTGGCCTCTCAAGAAGCGCTTTCATCCAAATTCTGCTTCTTCATCGATGGCCTCGACGAGTACAGCGGAGATTATACGGACTTCTGCAAAACTTTGAAAAACCTCTCCAATTCGCCCCACATCAAGATCTGTGTTTCAAGCCGGCCTTGGAACGTTTTTGAAGACGCATTTGGCCGAGATTCTTCAACTAAACTCTACATCCACGAATTGACAAGAAATGATATCCGATTCTACACTAAGAGTCGCTTGAGCGATCATCCAAGGTGGGCAAATTTGGATATCATTGACGGTAACGATCAATCCTTGATCGAATCAATATGTGATAGGGCTTCAGGCGTCTTTCTTTGGGTTGTGCTAGTGGTACAGTTGCTTCGAAACGGCCTAAACGAGCATGACAGCCTCTCAGATTTGTGGAAAAGGCTGGATAGCATCCCACTGGACCTGGAACCATTTTTCAAGCAAATTCTTGACTCAGTCGAGCCATTCTATCATCAAAAAATGGCAACCACGTTGATGATAGCAGTTACAAGCGGACAACCCCTTCCTAATGCCATTTATCACTTTCACAATATTGAATACGACGACAAGGACTATGCATTGAAATTGCCGACCAAAGCACTCAGCTCGATCGCTTGGGGTGCCATAGAGACTAAGGTAAATCGACAGCTGAAAGCTCGCTCTCGTGGCCTCCTCGAGGTCAACAGTCACAACAGAAATGTCGAGTTTCTGCATCGAACAGTTATGGATTTCTTAAAATCCCCAGACATGTATGTTTATCTTACCTCAAAAGCACCATCTTCATACGATGCCTACCTAGCTTTATTAAAAGCATGTACCGCATATCTGAAAAGGACGAAATTCTACGCAATTCCTTCGTTCCAGAACTCCGGAGGCACTGGTATTCTAGAACAAGCTCTGGAATATGCAAAACACTCCGCAAGTCAGCATGACGCCAATGAAATGGTTGCAGAGCTAGAGCGATGTTTTCCGACTCTCATCACGACCACTGAGTCTGGGGAAAAGGTGGCCCGTTTCTACCAGCTAGACGATATGGACGGGGCTAGTCTTGAGGACCGTGTGGAGCCTTTTGCTTCCACTTCCAATGATAGGAATCTGGAAGCGGATTTTGGATCAATCACTGATTTTTCTTGGATGGAAGATTGAGGATGCGGCTTAAGCTCAGGTATGAATCAAGCGATTCCTTACCATTGGAACCGTTTCCCTCTCATATTCTGCCGATTTCATGCCAGCGATATTGGATGGTTGGCGGCGGGAATGTCGGTACAGACAGAATGGGCTTCTGGTAGCAGAAATCTGTGCTTGGCAAGACTATATCAATGGAAAGGACGTTGTAGATTATGAATAGCCCCCCTTATCAGGATCAAGCTACTGGCAGTTTTCAAGGGAAAGTATGAACGAGGTTAGTGTTCCGAAAGTAGGCCACTTGATGCCCGAAAAGACCACTGAACAGGGGGGTGGTCCGAATCTGGGACGCCGATTGTCTCAGATTTGGGCTAATGCATGGCTTGCTCAGGTTTGCTCAGGTTTGCTCAGGCTGCTAAGACCTGCTCAGGCTTGAATAGCCATAAGCTCAGTTTTAAATCTTTGTATGCTCAGGTTCGAAAGCGGAAATAGACTATGATTGGGTCAGTTTTCCCCTAAGAGTATATCACGTGTTTAGCACCTTCTGTTCTACAGCAGCCCTTGTACTACTACGCTCGAAAAAGTCCGCGAACGCGTTACCAAAACGCAAAGAAATCAATTAGTATAGGCAGCTACTGAAGCAACTGCAGCCTCATTAACTATACAGCCACAGAAGACAATCCACTTTTGTTCTAACTGCTAAGTGATTGCTATTATCAGTAAGAGTAGCAATAGGACTACGCTCTATTAAATACTATGCTCGTTACATTCTTGTGTTTTGCAAACGCTATGCCACTTCCAACTCAAACAATCTTGACATACTTCCCGCCGTTTCTTCCAGAATGCTTCGTACAATGTCCACCCAATATTCAAGATGCCAGCACCGAACACCACTCCTTGTTTTAAGTCTAAGATCGAATGAAAACTTCCCGGAATAAATAAAAGGGAATTAAATGGTTGGTAGAGTGTCCGATCATAGATCCAAAGACCCCTGTACCCTAACACCGCATACGCAATGTAAAATATGGGTATGTGAAGTGTTCTCGCTAAGATCGTTGAGCACTTTTCCTGCTCCTTTATCTCTCCAAAACTTCTAATGGGCCGTTTTCGGATGGCCTGAAAGGAAAGTGCAATCAAGATACTAATCATGAGCAACCCCATAACCGCCCATAACTCGCTGAAGATAATTGGTCGTAAAGTATTGAAGGGGATTTCCGGCGACTTCAGTAGGAGCACAGTCTTCCCGAACAGGCCAACTGCTGCAATTGCAAAGACGCTAATAGATCTGTAACAATGGTCGTGTGCTTCTGATATAAGCATGAGGATTGGTGCGAGCAAGGCGTAGGTCTCATATAGCGCTAATGAAGAGGCGAAGGTGGCGGAAGCTGAAACTTGGTGGGGGCCATAGTCTAATGGTGCACGGTTCGCAGGCGAGAAGATCTCGGGATCGAAAGCTTTGTAAATTGAGTAGGAAGCGGCGATAAGAGGATATAATAGGGTGAAAACGAGGTTCAATGTAATGGTGTCCTGACGTCGGAGAGATGGACTGAACGTCCAGGAAATGACGACGGAAAGAAACACGAGGATCCAGCAGCCAAGTACACCTGGTCCATAAACGAAGGACAGCTCAAATAATACTGAAGAAATTTTGAAAAGAGTGCATGGTGGATGATAATCGCAAAGAAAGGAATTGGAAGCAAGCCGGCGAAGGAGAGGATTAATGAAAGAAATACAGGAGGATTTTGGCGCGGGTTGGTTCGAGTGGAGTTACAGTGAAGACGATCCGACAATTAAAGTCGAGAGCCTGACTGGATGATACATGGACTGAAGGGCCGATCGGTATCTTGCGACCGCCACAGATACCTACTGCAAGCCACGCCATCATCTCTCTTTCCTTCTTTTAAATGATTAAACTTCTGCAGAGATAGTCTAAAGCAATGGTCCCGTTCCTAGCTAAGACTATTTTCATACCTTGCTGAAGTCACAACTCATTAGATGCCTTTAACTACCCCTGCTCAGATCACAGAAGTGTGCACGCGCATATTCGAGCTTTAATTGGTCGACACCCCTCTAAGCTGGGTCTCCTACGTCTACATCCCTTTGTTTCAGAATTTTGCGAACGCCATCAAAATTACGACAAACCTCACCTTGCGTGCCGGAAGACGTTGGGGGTACTTTGACTTCTGAACGAATCAGAGCCTCACGAACGTTGCAGTTCACAGTACACTATTCCTCTACCTTTTGTAGCAAGCCACAAATCCTCAAGACAGCTCTCCTGTAAAAGTTACACGAAATTAGCGGTCAATAGAACCCCTTCAGCACAACAATGACACTCTGCTTTATCGCTATCTTAAATTGAGGATTCAGGCTCCTAGTGCTTGCGATACAAAATATCGCATTGCTGAGCTGTTTTATGTGATATTCGTGGTGTTGAGGACGAATCTTCACTCAGGCCAGAATATGCTGTTGCGAGTATAACTTATTACGGCTATAGAGAATATATTATATCAGTGTAGTGCCTTGCTGTGCTACACGCGAAGTCGTTCAGACGCCTTCTTAACCAAGGAGGTGAAAACGCGATTCTTCGATACGACACAAAATCCCATTCTTCTGCACGATCGCTGGCCTTGACAGCTAGGACAGCGAGCCGCTCTGCTCCACTCTAGTCTGCTGCCTTTCAGCCTCAACGTCTTCTTCTTACCGCACGCGCCTTTTATATCTCCATGTGAAAGATGCGCCTTTTGCGGCACAGTAGCGATGGCGAGTTGAGTCTCACCACCAATTTGGGCGGCAAGGATACGATCCCTCCTTGTGCTATACTTTCTCATACATGCGGTGCAGATTCCGAGGAGGTCACCTTCGAAGACTTGATAATGGCTGTGGCAAGGGCAAGCCTAGCTATGAGAAGATCTGATTTTGTTGAGACCAAGCTAGACAAGACGGTTTGCAATACTTTTGGCTTGATACATGCTGCTTTAACAAAGCAAACAAACCTGAGCTCTTTCAGGCTATCAACTCCATGTTCCATTGGTACCGCGACGCCACTTGATGCTGCGTCTACCTGTCAGATGTATCAAGAGCTACTGTTGAGACTGATGAAGAGGATTTCTCCCTGCCGCTGCGGGTATCGGACTTCCGGAGAAGCAGATGGCTTACCCGGGGCTGGACGCTCCAAGAGCTCCTAGCACCAGATATGGTATAGTTCTTCTGCAGAAGCATATCTATGAAATGATGGAGATTCCTGATTCACCGCTGCAGGGCACCCCTTTGACCCATTTCAGCGTCAACGAACGGTTATCATCGAACGAACACCAGCACACCAAGCTTGAAGAAGATAGAGCGTATTCGTTGCTTGGCATTTTTGATGTCTATATTTCTCCTTTTTATGGTGAAGGGGCAGGCGGAGCGTTCAAACCGCTTATGGAGGAGATCGATAAGCTGAGCAGATGCATCCAAGGCCTACACCTCACTGATCCTTGTGATGACAAGAAATGTATAAAGGACACAAAAGGCCGCCTGCTAAAGGACTCGTACCACTGGGTCCTCGGCAACGCCGACTACTATGGATTAAGGGCGATGCTGACAAAGGTAAGACAATGCTCCTCTGCGGCATTATCGACGAGCCAGAAAGTCAAATTCTAAGGCTGATCTTCTCTCCTTCTTCTGCCAGGGTACGGATTCGCGCCTTAACAGCGCCACAGCCGTGCTGCGAGGCCTGCTGTACATGCTTGTCAAGCAACAATCGTCAGTCATCTCACATATCCGGAAGGAGCACGATCACACAGGCAAAGCGCTCCTTGAGGATGCGAATGCCTGGGTCGCTTTAACTGAGATCTTCACAAACGTCCTGCAAGACCCGAGCCTGAGCAGCACATGCTTGAGAAGTGCGAAACTTGTTAGTGGGCGGGTGGGCAAGGAGTGGATACCTCATGAACGCACTTTAGGTAGGTTTTAGTCCACATAGTTAAATGCAGAGGAAGCCGGCGGTGGAGGGAGAAAGAAGCTGGGAGGAGTGTTAAGATACTTCTAGAGGCGGGACTGGGCATAGGGGACGGTGTCACGTGTGCAAACTTACTCACCTAGCGCTCCTTGCCCCCCAATAGCCCTATCACGACCCAGATCTCACAGCATCTAAGCCATAAATCACAAATCACAAATCACAAATCACAAATCCTATATTCTAAAAAGGAAACCCCATTTTCCATTCAAACAGCTAGACAGAAGTCTTGACGTTCAATCGTAGTTATGATGCGCCGAGCTATGCAATATACCCATCTAAACCAGCGTATGCTGTACCGTATCCCTTGCCCCTGACCCAAAGACGCCGCAGAAAAAGCTAGCAAGAGGGTGAAGTCCCGCGTATCTTGTTGACAGTAGAGGAAGTAATCCAGGAAAGAAGGGGGTGGGGAAAGAGAGTGGATGATACCAAAATGGTAGATCGTCGTAGGCTCCTCGTGCATATGTCCATCCTTGGCCTTGCTCTTCCCCACCTCTTCCACCTTGACTCTTTTACTACCCACACTTGCAACCCTAACCCCCCTCACCGGCACTACTCCCCCTCGATCTCCCCATCTCCCCCCCACTCGTCTGCCTCCTCTGTCTCACGATTTTCAGCCTCGGCAACGGACTCTCCCTCTCACCAGGATCCCCATTCCTAATACCATTCCTCGGCGCCGAATTCTCTGTCTCTCGCTCCCGCTCCCTATCCCCCCTCCGTCTCGTCACCGCTTCCATAAGCGCCAAACTCGTGCGTCCTTGTCGGGCTTTCGGGAGTCGGCTTTCGCGCTTGCCGGAGGAGGATGATGTACCGCCACTACTACCCAAGGAGCCAGAGCCAGAGCCAGAGCCAGATGCAGATCCAGAGTTTGATATCGACATAAGCGATGATGGCTGCGAGTGATCGCGACTCGGCGGCCTCGTGTTACCTGGAGTTCGCGACCCTACTATCCCTAGAGTTGTGGATGCGCGGACTAAGGGCGCGGAGACGTTTGCGCCACTGCCTACACCGATTGGCATCCCGCGTCCACTTCCGCTTCCACTCCCCCCACTTTCGCTAGTCCATTCCTCCCTGACGTCATAGATACTTGCGGTACTCTGACTCCGGCTCTGCCGGTCCCGCGTCCCGGGCGTTGGCGGCATGGAGAAGCTATGCACAAGGGAAGTCGGCGTCGGAGGCGTCATAGCAGCGACGCCACCCAGAATCGTCGAGCCGGTTGAAGACCCACTACCTGCTCGACCGCCAGTAACGGAAGCGCGAGAAGTCGGACGTCGGAATCCGGCTGAGCCGCGGGAGATACTGCGTTTAGTGAAACTATTACAAGCTTGAACCAGCTCATCCGCCATTTGACGGACAAGGATAGCGGGATCGTGGGCGGAGAGGTGGAAGATAGCATCATAGACACCGAAGCCCCTGATTAGCGTGCAATCATCGTCTGTGGCGTCGCATATTGTCCTGAGAATACGAAGAAGATTGAGGCGGGTGACGGCGTCCTTGTGGCCTAGTTTCTGGCACGTTCTTGTGAAGATCTCTGGGACGGCGAGGGATGCAGCGATGGGCGGTGAAAGACGAATGAGTTTTTGAAGTGGCTCTAGCATGTTCTCGAATGTGGATTGGGATAGTTCGGGAGAGGTGTAGGCGTCGATTATGGCGGTGGAGAAGTTGGATGTTAGGAGATATTGTTCTACGCGGGCGGTTTCTTCTTGGAGCCTATAACAAGTTTAGTACATAACCACAAAAAATCGTTTGGCGATGATGCGGTAAGGGGGGGATTGCGGGAACATACCATATAAATATCGCGTCCAGCGCCGTAACCTGCCAATTCCGATCACTCAACATACTGATATAAAACTGCAACCCCCTATTCTCCCAAAGTTTCATCCTAGCAACCTTGCCCGAATGCGCAAGCTCGCACAGTATCGGGAGCGCAAACTCCTTCAGGGGCCATTCAGTTTGAACAACTTCCTTCAATATCGGTATCACATCTGACAGCGCCGCTTCTTCCTGCCGGGACCGATTATGTCGACAAAGGTTGTACATGGTGTTGAGGATCTGGTTGGAGATTTCGCGGAAGAGGGGTTGTTTACGGGAGGATTTAAGGAGTTCGATGAGGACGTCGATGGCATTGGAGTTTTGGAGAGCTTCGTGTGTGGAGGAGAGCATGGAGAGGTTTTTGATGAATTTGAGCATGGTGACTTGGTGATTGGGCTCCATTTTACGGAGATCCTTCAGAACGCCTGGAGGCAGGTCAGTAATTGGCATTGTTGGGGCAGTAGAAGGAAGCATATGCAAGTGGGTGGGGCCTGTGCGTTGGCGAAACTGTGAATAAAGAACTTACGTTTCAAAATCATTCGGTCAGCTACGAGATCCTTTACATGACTCTCTGCTTGCGAGAAGATGAGAAAGATGTTAACTATACGTCCCTCGATGAGCTCAGCGAGTTCACCCTCTTCGTCAACCACACGATTAAGAACGAGCGAGAGTGGATAGAGTACTGAGCTGCGAGAGAAGATGCGGCAGAAGTCATTCTTTGGCGTAGGACCCTATCACAAATCAGCGAAAGCTCAGCCCTTTACACAATGTCCTAACTCACCTGCAGTTCAAAAACACTCCAAACACCATTGACACCGATGAGTACTAGATCCCTCTCAGTGTCTATATCTTCTTCCAAGAACTCAACCAAGACATTGATGCCACCGCAGCCAATGAACATCTGCAGTGTCAGAGTACTAGTCTGATACATCTGCCGTACGAACGCGGCAGCTTCTTTCCGGATCTCGCTCGGATACTTCTTATGCGCAAAGCTGGAGATAATAGGGATACCTCCAAGGAAAGATAACGATTCCTGGGATTCTGCGTCTTCAAGAATGATCATGTTGACGATCTTGAGCAGGCGCAAGACAACATCGCGGGGAGGGTTTGTGCCTAGGATCTCGAGAATGGGAAGCATGCCATGGGATCGGAGGACGATGCTCTTCTTGTCCGGGGACTCGTAGAGGACTTGGATAAGCTGATCTGTTATATCAAGCAGAACGTCATCAGGTTGACTAGTTTTCAGGCAGCCGACAAGATTCTCAGTCTGCTTAGCTAGACGATCATCCCTGTCACGAGCGACATTGTTCTCGAGGTTGATATTCTCCAGACCCTCTTCTAGGTTGGCGAATGGATCAACTTCATCGTCGTCGGTGATAATCTGTAACCATTAGAATGGAACAAAGAGCCTGCAGGAGAGCTCTTACAAATGACGAGGACATCTTCGAAGTAATCATAGCCATGCTATGTTCCGACCCACTGTCGCTATCCGCCTTACTCGGTAAGCTAAACCCCTTATCTCCAAACACATCCGAGAAGTCGTTGTCCTCGTCGTCTTCAGCGTACTTCTGGATCTCAATCTCTGATTGCGAACGCTGCATTTTCCGTGCCGATGTTGATGACGCTGATCGACGCCGAGCATTGCCATTGAGAGCGGCATCTCGGGTCGACTTCGGAGCAGTCTTGAGGTCGCTTGGATGGAAGAGCTTCGGGGAGAAGGACTCAGCTGGTGGAGGTTCTTTAGCCAAGGCTGGCTGGTGAGGGAGGGAACGGGGTTGGACTCCTTGCATGGCTTTCAACTTCTTCTCGAAAGCGCTCTCATCAGCTGGCATTAGGTCGGAATAGTCTTCAACAGAATTCTCTCGAAAGAGTGACGAAGGTCGGGCGAGAGCTGCAACCTTGCTCTTCGATAGCTGGGTAGCCTTAGGGATGCCACGAAGGAATGCAGTTTTTGGTTGGACATCGTGACGATCGTCAGCGGTGGAATCAGATGACATCCGTGAGGAGGAAGGCCTTCCTCTGATCGATGAGGCTCTCAAGGTTTCGATGTCGTCGAATGCGTCTGTGCTCTTTCTGCTCTGAAGACCGAGAAAACTCTTCACCGTGGCCTCACCTTCATCCAAGTTCGACGGTTCCTCGGTAACTGCCTCGAAGCTAGCATAAGCCTTGAGCTTCTCGCTAGAGAAGAGGCCGGCGAAGTTATCCTGTGGCTTTAAGTGGGGGAGATGAAGGGCACTTGGTGAAATACTTTCTGCAAAATCGGCATCCCAGTTATCATTTGCGTCCATATCAGGTGAACGGAAGGTTTCAGCATTTGGCCTGTGCTTCGGCAGGTTCACGCTCACAGAAGCCTTGCGCGAAGACACGGTGGTGGCGGTTGTGGGCAGGGTTTCCCTTTTTGACGGCCCGAGGCTGGTCGTCAAACGGCCACTCCGGCGCAGGGAATTTGGAGATTTAAGCGCCTCGTTCCACTCTTGGACAGATTTAACAGCTTCGTCGTATTCAGTGGGTTTGGTTTGGACGGATGGGACTGTTCGCTTTGCGCTCAATATCCACGGATGCTTGAGCAGTCGCTTAGCAGAGATACGTAGGTTGGGATTCTTCTGGAAGCATTGCATCAAGAAATCTCGGACGGCCTGCGGATGGTCAGTAGCTTTCTCGATAATAACGCGTGTTTGTATTCATACCGGAGAAGCACTACCTGGCAGAGGCGGGTGCTCGTCATTGACAATGCGGAAGAGCGCCTGCATAGCCTGCAGCTTATGATATGGGGGTCTCCCTTCAATCAACTCAATCACTGTACACCCCACGCTCCAAATATCTGAAGCGGTGGTAGCCCCGGTCAGCTCGATGACCTCAGGAGCCATCCAGTATGGCGTCCCAACCACGCTCGACTCATCCAGCCCAGCTGCCTTGGTAGCAACACCAAAGTCTGCTAGTTTGACCAAGCCCTCTTTGGTGGTCAGGATGTTGGCGCCCTTGATATCCCTGTGTATGACACCTTGCTCGTGGAGATACAACAGCCCATGGAGCACTTGAGACATGTACAGGGCGACCAGGTTTTCGGGGAACTTGCCGAAGTTCTTGCAGATGCTGTGCAAGGAGCCATTCTCGCAGTACTCTAGGATGATGTACAGAGACTCGGAGCTCTTGACGAAGCCATGGTACTTAACGATATTGGCGTGGTTCAAGTTCTTTAGCAGGTCGATCTCCACGGTGATGGTCTTGAGCTCTGCAGCAGGCAGGTTCTCCAGCCGAACCTGCTTGATGGCGACTGTCTCGCCGGTGCCCCAGTTCAGCGCCCGGTACACGCTACCAAAGGCGCCCTTGCCAAGACAGTCGCCGAGCTGGTAGTCCTTGAGCCCGACGACATCCTGAGCAGCCCGTTGTGCGGAACCCTCTCTGCTCGGTCTGCCTTCACGACTCGGGGCGCGGTGGTTAGACGATGCAGACGCCTTCTTGGAGTGGCTGGAATTATTCGCATTTGAGCCGCTCGGTTTGGACAGGACTTGCTGCGAGGAGCGAGGCTGGGAGTGTGGGTGGGGATGGGAATGAGAATGAGAATGGGATTGGGATTGGGAATGGGAAGGCCTCGGCGTATTCGACACCATGGTCTCCTCTCGCCCGGTTCGGCAGCCTCTCTGCTGTATCCCAAGCCGTTCCAATGTACCTGGGTACCAATGTTCCGGTATCCTCGGACGGGCGTCAATCGATTGCGGCGCTCGCTGTGCTCGGTCGCTCGTTGTCGTCGGGGCGCATAGCCAGCCAGCTGCCCTCCGCTTGTGTTTATGTCTATTTTTCTTTGTGGGCGTTGGGTTGCGGGGTCGGTTTCGTCGCGCAGCCCGTCGCCCGTCCTATAGGCCTTAATACTTGGGATCCTGGCCGCAAGACGGGCTCGAGATTGTTTTACCGCGTCGCTGCGACAATGTCCTCCAACACACGCGTCGCGCTCCAGAGACGCTGATATCTGCGCATGCGGGGTAGCCAGTGAGTGCGGGAGGAAGAGGCCGCAATCGAGGGCTCTAAAGGCTGTGGAAGCTGCTGGGCGCGGTGCGTCGAAGAGTGAATGGCGTCGGAGCCCTGCGAGGATGTGGGCCTGCATCATCACTCGCCCCCCAAAGGCTGTGGCTTGGCTGTGGCTCCCAATTCACTAGCCACAGGCGCGTGCCCTGCGATGTTTGCTTTGTTTTCTCTCCGACCATCGACAAACTACTCGCCTGGTGAGATTTGAAATCCATGTTGCAGCCGCCGTCTCAGAATCGACCGTGGCTTATTCCCGACGCCTTGGGGAGCACGCTGTCACGTGGGGCTACGCTACTGCTACTTTATCCGTTTTCGAAACTGTCTGTGTATTGTAGAAGGCGCCTTAGCTGAAGGCCCCTGCTTTATTCATGCAAGGAGAGTAGACGAACTATACGCGAATAGCTTTCAACTTCATGGTATAGGTTCCTCAGCTATTTATTAAATGGGTATCGGTTCTAGCACTATCCCTTTCAGCCCCAGCACTATCCCTTTCGGCCCCAGCACTATCCGCGTTCCACCACATCCTGCAGACTACAACTTCTCAAGGTGACGAGTTGCAAATCTATTCCTATACATAACTGAGGAGCTCGTTAAGCACTTTCCAATGGCGCTGGAATCGTTTAAATCTGTTAAGGTTTGACGGAGAATTCTCTCACCTGCTCCTACTAGCTTTATATTCTCCTCTAGTGCCCTTTTAGTTCGCAGCTCTAAGTTAGCCACAGTAATGACCCGAAGTTTAGTGCAGCAAGAGTCTTCGCCAAGCCTCAGGTCGATTGGTTGGCAATAGCAGCGTTACGAAAACCATTCCTCACGTCAATCCCCCATCAGCGCTCAACTGGAATGATCTGTCTCTCTCTGGTCCATACCCGCACTTAAAAGGACATCTGGGACCGTCAGAAACCGAGAGAGATTGATTTGGTATTAGTGTAATGGCCCAGCCAACTCTTCTTACCCCATTAGGCTACCTGCCAGGTGGGATCTAGTTGCAGGTAATTAATAGAGGCCGGGCGAGCCCTCTCGGCTGCCCCTACACTCCACCATGATCGGCCTTTTATAGGGCCCCAAATGATCTTGAGAGAATTTCATGTCTGCGGCTCACATGCTCAGCTGCAGGACTCTATTTTATAAGCCTCCTACCGGAGGGGCCTTTTTATTAATACCCATGGTATGAACAGTCGGCTCCCATATTACTTAGTGTCTCCAACCAAGCTATTTAAGCCGATCCTACGCAAAATAGAAGGACGTCCGCAGCGGACTCAACCGAATCGGCTGCAACGACCAACCCCGCAACGTCCCATCCGGATTTCTCCCCTCTCTATTCATCTTTTCATGGCTTACCGCCGCCGCACACAGCATACTCTCCTCATCTATGCTACTCGGGCTCATTGTTGCGCGGTTTTGCATATAATGTAGGTCATCTAATCGAAGTACCCTACTAGGTTGAGGAACAGAGTCTTGAGGAAGCTTAAAGTTCCACGACTTCTTGCGGAGATAGTGACCGTGTCCAGCTTCGATTCCGGAAGTCGATTCTGGGAGCCGCCGTCGCACCCACTGAGTAAAAGCATGTGTGAAAGGACAGAAGCTATCCAGTTCTGCGAAAATTCGCCTAACGAGTGGTCGTAGTGTGGGCATTGTTGCAGCTACGAAATATGCGCCAGGTTCGATAACGGTCCAGATGGTGGTTTGGACGCAGAGGTAGGTGACATCTTCCAGATAGTTCACCTGAAGGATCGATACAAAGCGAAGAACGGCGGTTACGATTCCACTAAATAAGGGGAGATTAGCGAAGTGGATCAAACACTTGAGACAGGTACGCCTAAACTCACATTGAACTAATTAGGAAGGTCATAAAAAGCCCAATCTTCGTCCACATTCCAACATGCAAATTCCACAGTGCCGGTATCGGAAGGATCAAAAGCGTGATATCCGTGCAAATATTCGGTATGCTGTAAAAGCGAAAAACGGTTACTACATCCATCGTACAATGACCCTGTATCCGCTTGTCCCAGTAGTATTGAAAGGGTCTGCAGTTGGCGAAAATTGACACGAAGGCGAAGACGAATGTTGCAAGAATTAGGAAGCCAGTCGTGTACAGAATATAGTGTGATATCTTGGACGTGAAAAGCCGAAAGTATAAGCACAAGATAGCGAGTTTGGGGAATGGGATTGATAGAGAGTATATAATTTCGTGCGCTCGCATGATCTTGAGCATAGTTCGAACGGTAGCAGGATGCAACGTATCTGCGTGGTATCCGGCGCCTCCAACAGTGATGTGAACTATACATGCATTAGAAAGTTTTTAGGCATGTCGAGGCGAGATTGAATTACCAACTCCGGTCATAGTTCCTGCTATGCAGAAAATGTAGGCAGCCATGATGAGATATAACACAGCGTTGTTTGAATTAGTATTGTGGCTATTGAAATACCAAGAAAAGAGAAAAGCAATGATGAAAAAGGTTTCGAGAATAGCAAAGCTGATGCAGACATTTAGCAACGGCTGGCTTGCATTTGCAGCGGCAAGTTCTGGCGTCAGCGATGAAGTCGAGCTCATCGCGAGGTCAAATCTTGGAGGCACGGCAGGGGAAGGAAGGCAATGCTGGGATTTCCTCGAGGTTCTATCTAGCAAAGGGGGCCGGGGATGAGGGCAATAAGGGCCGGAGATTTGTAGATATGCTTAAAGCACTTTTGGGCTCGACAAAGGGCTCTGCTCTGCGGCGTGGCCAGTGTCCTTCGTTTGCCTTCCAACTGGCAAGGCATTCTGGACCCTCGTGCGGCACAGTATGAAACATAGCGGTTGAGGCGAGACATCTGCCTCGCAAAGTCCGATGGGCGTAACAACAATTTATGACAGGGGTCACCGCAAGATTCGTTCATTGAGTCACATCTTCGCCGAATTAATTGAGCGGATCTCTGAGAGGTGATCTTGTTGCTGCAAAGACACGAGACAGGCTGGAGTCGGAACCAAGAACTATGAAGGCTCAATGAGAACGTGACAAGATTGAAACACAGCGGCTAGCCAAAAGCGTTAGGCTTACTACCAGAACGCGGGATCAACGATGGATGGGTAGGTAGGTGAACCCCATATCACGCGGCAAAAAAAAAAAAAGCCCCAAATGGCTTCGTCTTTCTTCCGGTTGCACGCCGATTTCGGATAGAATGCTGTCTTCAATTGGAAAGAAACCAAGTCGGAGTGGCACGCGCCGAATAGCTGCGCAACGGAAATAATCTGATCTGACACAGTTATGACCTGAGAAGCGGAGACGCGGCGTACCGACTCCACGAACTACTGTGCCAATGTGAAAGCGTTGGGCGACATGAATGTGGAAAACAAAGGACTGGAGGAACTCTTGTAGCCCTAGAACGACAGAAGCGGCGAGGGTGCAAGAAATGACACACGGGCCAATGAAGATACGAATGGATGTTGGTGGTTGCAAATGAGGGAGGCTCGGTACGGTCCGCACGCCCACGCGTTGTGGTTACCTCTCGCAAACTTCCTACAACCGTGCCCGATAACAGCAAATCCTGCTGTCTCTCCCCCCACATGTACTTCATCGGCAGTGACTCGTGTTATGCCGACGTGTAACGTGTTCCTTGGGTAGGGCTGAGAGCCTGTCCACCCATAGGTACTGTGGCTGAACGAGAACCGCAAAGTCCTTGGCGTAGTCAAAGTGGCGAGGGGTACAAAGCAACCAGAAGGCCAAAGCGCAATATAATAGTTGGACATCCTCGCAGATTTTGGACTTCTGATGTGAAGTAACCTTGACCATCCCCAAAGAGTAAAGACCTCTGATGCTGAAACTAAGGGGCGACGAAAAGTCCGAGAGAACTCACAAGGGATATAATTGAAGCAGAGAAGGGCGAATGATCCTAACGTACTCCGCATCTTGCATTGAGCCATCATGCAGCTGCGAGTGTCAAGAGGCCAAATTTGTGATTTGGCCCTTAGTTCATGCCTAGTACTCGTAACGCCGCTTGAGACGCCGGCAAGGTTGCACGCCGCGATAACTGCAGTTAAGCTCTGATACCGACATGCCGCTTTCGTGCATAGTGACGGAAAACGAGCTAGGAAGAATCATGGAGATGCTGTTGTGATAGAAGACGATCAGACCATATCCGAGGTGATGGGGTTCACCGTTCGAATCTGCCCCGAAACCACGACGCTAGGGTACAGCGCACTTTGCCCCTTCTCGGCAGTCGCTACAACATTATTATCAGTCTCGAACTCACAAATAATTTATGGCTAAGATTACACATACTATTAGCTCGTAAGGGCCAACACATAACCTTCGAAACTAAGGTACGGAGCTTCGGTTCTAGCAACGCTCGAAGAAGCTTGACCAGCGAAATGGGGAAGCCAGCAGCCGGGGGTAGACTCAACCAATTCACTAAGACATGGGGGAGTAGGGGTAGCCAGGAAGTAACCGCTCTCCTTCCCAACACCGAAGAGCCACCTATTTTCTCTTGTCTTCCTTCGAGCACTTCCAAATCTCCAACAACTGATTTGACCTACTAGATATACTCTCATCATGTCCCCTGGTAGATGCCAATATGCTGTAAGCGCTCTGGCGTGGTTTCACTGCCTCACATTCTCACATTCGCTTCGTATGCCTTGTTAGGTGTTCGGAATTCACAGTGGCTGCGCCAAAGCACACATCTTTCAAGTTTCAATTTGGAATTTGTATCCACCAACCTAAGTATCCATGCCTGCAGTTCCCATGGCCAGGACTCCTCGGTCTAGTTCAATGAGTCTCATTCATCGCCTTCCTGGGGGAGAAGCAGCTAAAACATGGGATAGCGAGAATTACGTTGACTAGCATATATTTCCTAGCGACCGTATATTCCCCAACAAGACTCTACGGACCAAAATACCAACCCATCTCCGGCTTCCAATTAGGGGGCTAATCTAGATCTTAATGAATCCAGCCGTGTTAGGCTCTGGCCGAGACTGAGGAACGTTCTCCTGCTTCAGATGCTAATGCTGGTAACCCTCTGAGTCATTTACTGCCATTCTGCTGACAGTGTTGTGTGGAACTGGACGTACGACTTGTTGCACTTCGATGTTCCGCTCGGAATTTGGACTCTTCGTTGAAATTAAGTTGGGCTGTTTCAGTTACTAGAGATATGTGATGATTGTTTAGTTTGTTGGTTGATTTATTGTTTCTGCATTGGTGGGGGCATTGATCGTGGTGGTGGTGTCGTTGTTATACTTCGATTTGGTTGTTGTGATTACCCTGAGGAGAGAATGCCTGAAAGGAAGCCGCAGCTAATGGTTTCGAATTTAATGTACTCAAAGTACGATAGGCTTACCCTATGGTTTGAGAGAGTTTCACATAGCGCTTCGCTGTGTCCGTTTGAATGATGCACTTACCGCATATGAGCTGAATATTTCTTTTGGTGACTTAACGGAAGCGATCTTTTCATTCGAAAGCTATTGTAGAATTCATGTCCCTGTGGCATAGAAAACAATTTGTTGAATGGTCAACGACTTAGCATGCTTGCTTAGGCCACAAAGAAGGCTGTGCCAACGCTCTGCGGAAATCTTACTCTATGGTAAATCTTCATTCATATATCAGAACCTTTCATGGGATGCTTAGGTTCGGTACAGGAAGTCTATGCCAAATCTATCGCGGTTGAGCTTTCCCTCCTGAACTACCTCAATGCCTCTTCAACCTGACTCTAAATATTATTGAACACCTCTGCATTGCAATTGAATGGAAATCAGCTGCCTGGAGCTTTTTTTTATATTTTATTTTTATTGGGGGCGAAGCGAGACGGCGGAGCAAAGTGAGCAGAGTAAGCTTCAACGAGCTGAAATGAACCTGTAGACACCAAGTACACTAATTCCTACCGAGACGACTCCGTTTTCCCCACCCTTACTCTTCACACAATCCTCCGTAATTAGGAAGGATCGAGCTTCCATGACAATTAAGTATTGTCGCACCGCATCTAGCATTCGGCTAGGTTCCTATGTTACATAACAATCTACTTTGATGAACTCCGCCACTACGTGCGCGTCCTTCTCCGCTAGAATATTCCAAATGTAGCACTTTGTTACAGTGTTTGGTATAAAGCCTGCAGCATTTGGCGTATTCTTATACAAATCACTAGGTGCGGGTCGTAGCTGACTTTGGTATTGGTTCCGCTGATTGAATCCTTCAGAAAACAGTATATTTCTTCACAGACTATAAAAGGGAATGATTATTCGCATCGGCACCATATCATCTCCTATTGATTCCTCTTTGAGCTCCTGAATAAGTTTAATCTGCACTAAGATTCCTTTGCTTCGATATGAAGGCTACACTCTTCAGTCTCGCGACATTTGTCGTCGCAGCTGCCACCTCCCCCGTAGCCCTAGAGTATCAGCAATGCTACGGTCTCAATGGGAAAACGACGACCTACCTCCCATGTGCTAAGCAATACTCTTCGCAGAAATTTGTCTCGTGCTGTGGCACCGGTGACATTTGTCTCTCCTCCGGTCTCTGTCTGTACGAGGGCGCTCGAGACTCTCGCGGTCTGCTGAGAGCGGACGGATGTACAGACCCAACGCTCAAGGATAGTAGTTGCCAGCCTTGGGCACAACGTATGTAATCTCGAACAGGATATGTTTTGCCATACTAAAGTGGATGTCGAACAGCAACGGTGAAAGCTTGGGCCAACTCGAACGCCGATACGAGCTTCTTGGCCGTGCTTGCTTGTAGCTCAGGAAAGTACTGTGCAATTCCGGCGACCGTGCCAGCTCTTTCGGGGGATGAGGCTGTTGGGGACGATTGTTGCGATAGCCAACAGTTTGAGATTGTTTCCGGATCAAGCTTAGGGAAGCCTGGATTGTAAATTGGGGGCTGAGGAGGGAATTCATGGGGCTAGATTCAATGAAGAGAGGCCTTATTCAAGCAGAAAGATCCTAAAAGTCTGGTTATGTGTATTCATTCCGTTTTCTATTCACCCGGTCATCCAGTTTGACTGCCCTTGAACCCTAGGCCGTCACTTTCTAAGTGGCCTTTCAAACACTACTATCACATCTCATCTATCTCCCAGCTACGACATTTAATACGCCGCCATCGACCGCAATAATCTCACCATTCACATACGCATTTTTTGCTAAGAAGAGAACCGCCTGCGCCATCTCCTCATCACTCCCTGCCCTCCCCATTGGTACATGCCCCTTTTCTTGCACCTTCTCGTCTGGAAGTTTACTCTTCATATCATCGCCGCTCTCCTTTGTCGTCATCTCGCTCGGGAAGTAGCCTGGTGCAATGCTGTTGACGCGGACGCGGACTTTCTGGAACTCAGCCGACATGAGCTTCGTCAGATGTACGGTTCCCCCCTTTGCGGCATTGTATGAGAAATGGCCCTGTGCGTGGCGCATGATGCCCGACATACTCGAGATAACTATCACGGAAGCAGATAGGTGTCCTTGAGTCTTGGTACCGGCCTGAAGAAGTGGAAGTAGAGCGACGGTGGTGAAATACACGGAAGTGACGTCGGTCTTGTACGTCTCGTTCCATTGCTCAAAGGTCTCATTTTTCCAGAGCTTCTCTTTCAGAGATGAAGCTGATTCTTGATCTGGCTCAGCCTTGGTGCCAGAGATGCCAGCAGCGCATATTAGGAGGTTGATGTATCTCTCCTTTGAAGCAATTTCGCCATACAACTTCTCAAGATCATATTTTTTAGTTACGTCACAAGGCCCGAATCTACCTGCGGTTAGTGTTTTTGGTTGACTACATTTGGTGCTCTGGGAGATACGGGATGATCTTGCCACCCTCTCCAGGATCGTGAGACTTTGCGGCCTTTTCAAGAGCTTCAGTTCCTGCACTCGGAGTTAATTCTGAGAATCCTGAAATAAACATGTTATGTAACATAGCATACGTCGTCCCGTAATATACACCTTAGCGCCTACGTACCATTGGTTAGCTCACCCTAAAAGCTCTAGGATCGTCATAGAAGGGTAAAGCTCACCATTTGCAGCCAAAGCCTGCGCAGACATCAAGCCGATGCCTGACCCGCCTCCGGTAACTACACAGACGTAGCCCTTGACAGAAAAGAGTTTCGTAACGTGGAGTTCGGATGTTTTAACCATTATTGAGTTCGGTGTCTAGTCAGGTTTGATTCGGTGGGTGTAAGTCTTCGCAGTTAGAGAAATTTGTTGGAAGGAAACGATGGGAAAGTGTGTGTTGATCGTGTTCCTGGATATCTAAGCCAAAATTCGATGTCAAAGGTGAATACCCGTTATGACGTAGGAAGCCATCCCGATGTAGTCAAGCGCTCGCTTCACGCCTGTTGAGCGTCAACATGCGGGTTATGACTTCGACATTGAACTCTTTGAGCAGCACATTCCGGTCGGAGCGTCACCAAACATTTTTATTCGGCTAAACTCTAACTTGGCAATTCTATCCATTTATATGACCATCCTTCACCAATTTTAATAATTCTTCGGGCTCGCTGTGGTTCATCACACCATATCATCGGCATCCCGGCTCAGCACCGCCTGGAAGAGCTCAAGGGTTTGTTAAAAGGTGTGTTATTGCTGAAGGCGATTTCTTAGGATTCTTTCTTGTTAGGAGCGCTGTATGCAAACCCCCTTAATAATCTCAACCTGTTCAGAACTACCCACTCGCTAGCATCGTTTTTTCATCTAAGTCCCGATTCAGGACATACACTAGTATGCACTTCATGTTCTGGATACAGCAATATTCTTTCGCTTTCTTCAACCTCAAACCTTTCCAGTGATTGAGGCTCACCGGTGTCGAGTACTCGGTGATATTCCCGATGTCCACTGCTGCCTCACTGCCAAGCCCCAGCGTTGCCCCAATGCAGCTTGGCGCGCTCGCTTATTGTCATTGCGATGCATCAGTTCAACCCCGAGCTGAAGAACCTTCTCCTCACCAACCACGCGACAGCTACGTTTAGGGGCGTTTGGCACTTCTTTTCGGCGTTTTGGCCAATTATTGCAAGAGACATTTGACATTTATCTGCTGACAGAATGACGGGTAGGAGCCAATTCTACCAAACTGGACTTGTCCACCATGGACTCCCAATCCCTGCAATATCAAACATATACCAGAACAGATCCGCCTTGATCCAAGACCTCCCAGATAATGGTATTGTTCCCACTCATCAGAAGAATTCGGTTTCTCAAGGTCTCCCCATTCTCGAAATCCTTCAGCGGGTAGCCTCTCGTCTCCGGCCAGGATACAGCCTCGACAGCATCTTAGCGACAGTTGCCTTGTACAGAGCAGCCTTTCCAGTCTTCGCATATCTAAAGCAGCTATTTACAGACTACTTCACTTCTACCGTTAGTATCTACGAGTCTGACGCTGCTGCTAAGGAGATTATGGAATGGATGGTAGTGCATGTTATGCAGAAAGGTACAACAAATGGTCACGTTGTCACCGGCGGTGTTATTCAAGACCCTTTCACGGACTATATGCTCCCCCAACCCCGCAAGCGCTCTCAGGCCACCAATACAAATAATACATCCAGTAACCTTCACTCGACGCTTCCGATGGGAAATAAAGTTTTTTGGTAAGTCCGCCCGTGAGATTTGAGGTTCTAGACGTTGACAACCGCACAGGATTGGTTTGCGGCCGTTCAAGTTTTCACGTGCTTTCCCCTATTCGGCTGGAGATATCTCTGCTTCCAGAAGCAGAAGCCGACAGGGTCAGAGCAGCATTCACGTTAGTACCCTCGGTCGTAGCTTGTCGCCTCTTCACGAGTTCCTTCAGACCTGCCGGGACTTTAAGATTCGTAACAAGGGAGAAACCACTACTATCTACTTCATCGGCGCCAATGGTGGACCCTACCTTGCCCATGGGCATTGGTCGGCTGTCCGGAAAAGCGTACGTAGGCTTGATACCGTGGACATGGATGCAACTGTTAAGGAAGAGTTGATACGAGATGCGGAGGATTACTACCTTCCGGAGACCAAGTATACCTACACTGATTCCGGCATCCCATATCGTCGCGGATATCTCTTCCATGGTCCGCCAGGCACAGGGAAAACCAGCTTCAGTGCTGCTCTTTCTTCTCATTTAGAGTGCGACATCTATATGATTGATCTCGCAGCCAACCAAATCAACGACTCCTATCTCCATATGCTATTTCTCTCTCTGCCGGAAAAGTGCGTAGTCGTCATCGAGGATATCGATTCAGCGGGCATTGGTCGTCAAAAATCGGCTGAACCAATTGAAACTGACGACGACATGTACGTAAGAGCTCCTCGACTAACTCTTAGCGGTCTTCTCAACGCTATCGATGGTACCGCATCCCAGGAGGGTCGTCTTCTGATCATGACCTCCAACAACCCGGATTCACTGGATGAGGCGCTCATCCGCCCTGGACGCATTGACAAGAAGATCTACTTTGGATATGTGTCACTCGATGTTGCAAAATCGATGTTCATGCGACTTGTCGGACGTGCTGCTGTCGCTTCGGGTATCGATCAAACTGAAATTCAGGGCATGAGTGAAGCCTTTTCGAAATTCATTCCGGAGGATGCGGTTACTCCTGCCCAGCTTCAGAATTTCCTCCAGGGTTGTCGAGGCGATCCGAAGAAAGCCCTCTTGGAAGTTAGTGATTGGGCTGCTGGGATGATGTAAGGCGCGAAGTGATTCAAGATTGAGTAGGATGAAATAGGATGAAAGGGCGTTAGTTAAGATGAGTAGGTATCTGTACTTCAGCGCAGCCTTGCTAAACTTCCTTTTGGGTAAACTGAGTTTTGCAGTTCTGAAAATGAGAGCGGCGTCTCCTTTTGATTTGTGAATACGGCTTATATAATGCACACTACGCCCGATTTGGCTTACGCGATGTACTGTCGTCAACATCAAGACATCCTTGGTCCGCTTGCCTTATCAACCATGTTGCATTATTGCAGAATCGGTTAATCTAGGCATTTGGAAGACGTTTAATGGACGTCAATGACCTTCGTTCCCCTTCGAACACTTGAGAGTGCTTTTGGACCCCAAAACCCCTCACCCGTCTCTTGCCGAGAAGGCAAGGCTGTGACTGTGGCTGCACGCGAGACTTGGCTCTAGGCTGCTTTCGCACAGGCTTGCCGTATTCGCTCTTCGGCCTCGAATCAAAACTAACGCTTGCATGATTGACATGATTGACATGGGGGAGATAGCGCGACATGGTCTAAGTTGGTGTCATGATGCGAGCACAGCGCCGACCAGGCTTGGTGGCTTGTTGACAACTCAATTTCTTGGGGATGTTGAGCCTCAGGAGGTTTGATAAGGGGACAACTGAGATCTTTCCCGCGTTTCTCGTCTCCTAATCAATATTTTCCTTCGAACTTACGTCGCTTTGTCACTCCTACATAGATACAATGAAGTCTTCCAATTTACGCGCGTCGTTGTTTCTCAGCATTGCGCTTATAACGTCGAATGTCTTTGCTCAAGGCCTTCCTGCTTGTGCAGTATGTTTCCGACCATATGCTCAGTCATCAATCTCTCCCTAACAAATTCATTAAGCAACAATGCGTCGGTGTCACAAAAACCACGTGTAAAAACACAGACTTTGTCTGCGCTTGTTCCGATGGCGATTACATCCCCCGGTTGATGAAATGCGTGACCGCCTCGTGTGAGGGTGGACCATTGAGTGAAGCACAAAACTTCCTTCGCGAGCTGTGCGCAGGTATGTGTAGAAAAAAGCAATCCTCACTTGAGATTGAATCGTTCGCTAATTTGGCCTGCGAATAGCCGTTGGTTCTCCGATTGAAGACTCAACCGAAACTACTGGGGACCGTCTCGAACTCCGTTTCCCCGATCTTGAAGACCGTGCAGCTGGCCCAAGTGGGTTCCCAGAAAGCGGTATCGACATCTCGGTCTCGCTTTTCGACTCCTCCACATCATTTGATGCTTCTTTCACTAGCTCAAGAACATCAATCCCGACCGGCACTTCACGAGCTACGAACAGCCCTATCGAGACGGGGCCCTCGAATTCAAACAACGGTGGTGGAGGTGGTCTTAGTACTGGTGCCAAAGTTGGCATCGGTTTGGGAGTTCCTCTAGGAATAATTATACTAGCTGGACTAGTTGGACTAGGGTTCTGGCTTGGGAAACGGAACAGAAAGAATGCCGCGATAGCTCAGCAACCACAAATGGCTGGACCTGGGCCAGCGGAACTCGATTCGAGTGGACAAGTCTTGGGAGCGGAGATGGCAACGAAGAGCAACGTGCCAGAGATGCCTGCTGCGCCTGTACAAGGATATCATGTGCCTGAAGTACAGCAGCAGTATTATCCTGGAGTACAGCAACCTTATAATCCTGCTGAATTGCCGGAGAGGAGATAAATAAGAGATATACGCGTAGAAGGGCACAGCCACCGCCTGCCCTACAAGGGTGGAGGAAGAATGGTGGGATTTTAGAAGAAAGGTTGGTGGTTGTGAAAATAAGCTTGTGACTTTGTAAATAACGTTACCGGAGAAATTAATATGAAGCCCTATTAATTGGATGCCGTCATACAAGCTTGGCACCCCTGATACAGCTACGCCTTCTTCTTTCTCGCAATCCTATACCCCTCACTTTCTTCAGCTTTGCATTGTTCATCTCGCAGATTGCTCTTCTTCCTTTTCCCCTCCCTCTAATCCTCTTAACTCACAGTCATGAAGCATCGCTGGTCTCCATAAATGCTTTCAGATGACGACAACGACGAGTTGACTACTTCGGAATGTCCGATCCCTTTTCGGTCGCTTGGTATTCTAGTTTGCTGGACCCTGATACGATCCTATTCGTAGTTTCGGTGCTTCAATGACGATATCTTGGCTGTGGCGTGACGAGTAGAAGTACTTAAGGGAAACATGAAGTTCTAGACGCAGAAAAGAAGAAGAAGACTACTATGAACCTACTCTAGAATGAATCTAAATTAGATATTTGTCATTTCGGGTACCCGTTGCGGCGTATTTCGAAAAGGGCTGGGAAAGGCACCCTCACTAACTCACCATCTAGCGAATGGATCGGGATTGTGTTTGGACCTTTCAGTGAATGCAATGAGGTGTTTTGCCAGATGTTGATGTCTAGCGAAAAATTTGTTTTTAGCTCAATTCCTAGTATAAATAGAGCATTTCTCAGACGCAGCAGAGGAATAGGTTAAATTACTTTATGCGGTGTCAAATCGTTGTCAAATCAAGCAGTCTTAAGAGGCCAGATTTCGACAGCCACTAGTAGTTTTCCCCGAAGGGATCCTTTTAGGACCATAAAGGAGCAAAGACCACTATGTATTGGAAAAGTGCCAAACCCCCAGGGTCTACCATTTCTTCCTGGAAGCTATATGAGACCTTCTGTTACTTGAATGTTGAGGGATTAAGCCTACTCGGATTTAGTAAACCTAAAAGGGGGTCTGTCCCTAGGTAGATTCTCTTTGGAGATTTGCAAACAAAAAAAGTAGAGCATGCTCGAAAGACTTCAAACACGCAATATCTCTCCAAGAGACGCTTTAAAGTCAACTTTGCAAAACCCACTCATCATTTACTCGACAACCTTAAGGAGCACGGCCCGGCCTTAGCTAAAGGCAGCAATTTGGAAGGGTAGGATGGTGGAACATATTAAAAGTGAATGCTCAGGAACCAGAACTAATCAGAGTACGGAGACTCAAATTGAATATTATAATGGCAGATCCATCAGAGCTACCTTCTGATCATGCTACTCACAATCTTTTATTGAAGCTATGCTCTCCTTTGGCTCGGAATTGCAAGACTGGCCCATCCTTCATGCTTGCAAACCGGTCTTCAATCTGATATTCACTAGACCTCGTCCGCCCAATCTCCAAGTCTGAACCGCCTTCTCCCAATGTCGTTCCCGGGGCCAGCCGTAAATCATACAAGAACAGCACTCTAGCGATTGTGACGGTTAGCTCAACATACGCTAACCCCTTTCCGATACAGCCCCTGGGTCCAATGCTAAATGGACAAAATGCATTGTGTGCGTCTGAGAGAACCGCATGGAGAGGATTAGATCTGTGATCCGGCAACCAACGCTCTGGAATGTAATCGAATGGTTTGGGATAGTAAGCAGGGTTGTGGTGTATCGCGTAGTGGGGTACTCCTACGTCGATGCCGGCGGGGATGTGATGACCATCGATTTCAATACCTCCCGGTAGGACTTCCCTGGGCAGAGCGCCGGCAACCGGAGGGGTCATACGCATGGTCTCGTCGATACAGGCACGCAGGTAAGCGCATGCGCTCAACTTCGGCCCTGACACGATTTCCTCGACATCCGAGAACGCCTGCCGGATCTCCTTGGCAATTTTCTCTAGTGCGTTGGCGTTGTGCGCGAGGTAGAAGAATGTCCCAGCCATTGCTGTAGATGTTGTATCGGAGCCAGCAATGATGAGAAGGTTCGATTCACCCCATAGTTCGTCCATACTGAATCCTTTCCCGGTCTCTGGATCCTTCGCATTTAGGAGATAGTAGAAGAAGTCCTTCCTATCGACGTCGACCCCAAGCTTCGTTCTTTCCACAGCCTGGGATTTGCTGTACTGCATGTACTGGCCCCTTTGCGCTGCAATCTTGCGGAACAGAATTTTGTCAAGGTGCCAGTTGTGGATCGTAAGATGAGTTCCGCACTACCATTATCAGCAACTGGACTCCTTTAGATATCTTCCTTAGACTTACAATGAGATGTCTATGCGCGGCGTTCCCTACTAGATCGACCGCAAACCTATTAGCCGGACTCTCCAACATTCCAAACGCCTTTCCAAACACTAAATCTCCCATAATATCAAATACCAGCCAATTACACCAATTCGCCACATTCCACTCCTCCTTCCACCCGCCTAACCCACTCTTCTCAACCCCCCCAACACTTACATTCCCTGACCGTTCCCCTAGCAACCTACATGCCGTCCTCACGTTCGCCAAAATATACTTCTCCAAGTTCTTAATCGCAGCATCGCTAAACGCATGACTCATCACGCGTCTCTTCCTTGCATGTTGCATTTTATCAATACTACTGTGCACGTTCACCGTCTTCTTATTCGCCGGGAACGCAGTATAAAAGTCGGCTTTCTTGACATTAGCACGAAACCCGTAGATCGATTTTAGCGCCGTGGAGGTGTTAATGGAGAGAAAATTCGGACCCATGCGTACGTAGGGACCATATTTTTCGTGGCAGCGTTGGAATTCGAGGTGACGGGAGCCACGATAAGCGTACCAAGCCAGATGGCAGTCGGTGATTTTGGCGAGGAAGGGACCGGGGTATTGAGATAGTGGATGGAGGGTTAGACGGTAGGTGATTATTACAGATACCTGGGGTATGGTTAGTCTTGGGATTGGAATTGAAGGCGCTGAGACGGAAACTCACGTATAGTATTATGATACCGAAGATGATGGCGAGGAGGAGAAGTGGAGACGTGAGGAGATGATGCGCGACGCTCAGCAGGAACTCCATCGTCGCAATATTGTTACTTGGCCGTACTACCGGATACAATCTATCCAAGTAATAAAATCAAGCTCTAGTATTCCGGCCGTGAACCGGTGCTTAATACCCCAAAATAAAACCCCAGAACAAAGCGCAGCCCAGCCGTGATAAATACACCTACCCTTCCTTCCCCATCCGCATCTCCTGGAAATGCCACAGAAATTCAGACCTTGCATCATTACAAAAGCGAGCCTTGTTGGGACCAGCTATCAATCGGTCAGGTGCAGCTGACAGTGTCCGGGACCACTGGGTATATGATTCGGCTTCCGGCGGATATTCGCGGGTATCGTAGAACAAAGGCACTTGAACGGGATGGTGGCGGGAAGCCGGCGGGTATTGAGGCATAGGGCGACGGTCAGTAAGCAGAGGGCGAGAGTGCAGCGGGTGCTAGGATAACAGCGGAATGGTGGTCCTGGCTTCTTGCTGGAACCAAGGTGAAGGCAAAGGGGTTCCATATTGGGCTGAATCGTAGCCTTCATGAGTTTCTCGAAACGATTTCGTACAACAATGAATTCACGTTAATGTACGATCATATGGCCAAATATCTAAGACCTTTTTCTTCAGGATAACATTGTAGAAGACGGAATGGGAAATCCTAACCTAAACGGGCTAAGCGTGCACCTGGTGCTAACTCTAGAGTTTGATACTAACGAAGAGTGGTATACAGAAGGAATATATGAGATACTCGTTGCATTCGGCATTGAGGCTTTGACAAGTAAGGCTGAGTTAAATTCCCGCCCGGAGAAATATCTTCAAGCAGGAATTCTGGCGGAGATGATAGCCGTAGATCTCAAACATGCTCTCGCCTCCACGAAGGCATGAGTAAGGTTTCTGCGGCTAACTTTTCCAACAAAGTAAGTGAGATTGGTTGCTAAGAGGAATTTAGAGGTATACTGTCCTGATATCGATGCGGCTAGGGATAATCTCAGCATTTTAAGAGATCTGAGGGCATACGTTGAGACTGTAAACGATAGCTACATTGGTAATCCGGTGTGGAATATTTACTACCTACGGCTCCATGACGCATTGACCTTGTGTTAATCCAGCGCGGCTGGTTATGGATTCCCTTGTCAAAATCGGGGACTTGATACTAGAAACCGAGTGGAGATGCCGAAGAGTCGAAAGTTCGGGTGAAGAAGGCTGCTTTGGGAGTAAGTCTCCCTAAGTCCCAGGCTAGAGGGCAGCCCTTCGGCCTCTCTATATAGTCCAATCAACTCCCTTACCGCCCTCAGGGTTCTCACTAACACCACTCTAAGCTTAGTGAATAGAGGCATGATAAGTCGATAGAGTCATCCGACCGACGGATCCACAAGGACGGTCGGCGACAGATTTACATTACAATCTCTGGTTTGACGCGCCGAAGTCAGTCTAACTCATCGATTGACCAGTGTGCACAGATTTTTCTTCCACTACTTAAAGCCGCTACTAAGAAGATTCGAGCTTACGCTTGGGTTCCGTGCAGGTGGTCTGGAGTGGGAGTCAAATCGTCGATCTATTAGCCCTTCAAGGAGGCATCATCTCTGAACTGACTACACCGCCAAAAGACAAGGCCCGAGCTTATGTGACATGTGGAATAGAGTACCTATTCCTAGATTCAGTACTTGCGCGTCGAAGCGATCAGTTGCATGGCATCATCAGAGTTGCTCAGAACATAGGCGTCGCGAACACCAATTTATATAGGCATAACTCTGTGAGTGAAGTATCTATCTTGGCCACGACTACATATGAATGCGTTCGCAGCTAAGACGGGGTTTTATGCGCGTTTGTCTTCGGAGATGAATAACGGTTGCTGTATCGTGCCTTGGACTAGAATCTCCGAGACAATGAGGAAAGATCTTTTGGATGAAATGAAGGTGAAAGAGAAGAGGGAGCAGGAGGAGCAAAGGAGTTTTTGGGATTTTGTGAGGAGAAATGGATGAGAACAGGTATTGGAAAAAGCCCGTATTCAGAGTCGGAGGCGGGAGAGGGGCGGGTGTGGATGGGATGGAAGCGGAAGGGGTGGTGACTGGGGGTTTGGGCTTAATGAGCAGGGTTCGTAATGTGGTAATTTGGTGTTTCGGTTTGATGTGATGCGAAACGACACTATGAAAGTAGCTGCTCAAGTCTTACATTAAAGCTATGATATAAATGCGGGAAGGCGAAAGTCGTATTACTTGATTTCCACCGCTCGAACTTAGTACTCGAACGATCCACTCGGTGTTAGCATCTTGAAGACCTAGGATTATCCTCTCAAGCCACAAACCCGCTCGAGCAAGGCCCAAACCCATAAGTATTCCCATCACCCGATAACAGATCTCCGTCCTGCAGCCCAAGCGGACACTCGGCTGTCACACATCCAGCGCCTGTCTTCTTCGAGAAGGAAACATAACAGATATCCACTGCTGCATTGACCGCGTAGTACACGCAGTTTTTGTTCATGTAGCAATTTTCGCAGCATTGGGTGAGGCTTCCTGTGTCGCCAGTCATACCGAGCTGGACGTTGAGGCTGGAGGGTTTCCGGTTTATGCCAAGAGTAAAGGGAGTCGCACAAGCGTCGAAAGCTACTGTTGTTGTGGATGTGGTTGTAGATGTCTGCGTTGAATCGACGATGGTGATAGAGCTAGTGATGGTGCTTGTGTTTATCGTGGTACTTGTGGCTGTCGATGTTGCAAGTTGAGTGGTCTTGTTAATAGTCGCTGAGAAGACAGTTGAGTATACGGTTATGGTTTTTGTAACTAGAGGAGTAATTGCTGTCTTAGTCACCGTGCTCGTGGCTGTCCCACACTTCTTAGTAGTCGTGAGGAAGCATTCTGCAGGATTGTTTTAGAAAAGGCAGTTAACAGAAGGGAGTCAGTATCGCTTACTGCAACATGATGGGACTTCATCTTTTCGCTCGAGATGAACATTACGGGGCACTATACACTGGCGTGGGTAACCCGTTGTGGTAGTGGCGGTTGATGTTCTAGGACGGGGTTACTCGACTGGTTTCCGTCACAGGGAATCCAGAAGAACTCACGACGTGGTCTTTACTGTCTGGTGGATAGTCTCGGTGACGATGATGGCTGTTTGACTGGAGACGATATTTGTTGTCACAGCAGTAGAAAATGCCGTTTCGAGAGACGTTCTGAAAATATTTTGTAAGATGACATTTTCTTAGACTTGATATAATGAATCATACAGGCCAATAGATTGGACAACAGTCTTGGAAACTGTCGTGGTCTTTTCATTGGGGGTCACAGTCACAGTTTCGTGACTGTAGTAGAAGGCACCTCACAGGTTGTCTTTTGGAGCCGTTTCTCTTCTGATCTAATTAGCCTGGTACACTAACAGGGCCCATACCTGCATACCAATGATGGAACTGCATGCCTTGCTCTCAGATGCTGGAACCCTTGAACATGAAGCGGGCAGAGAAGAACATATCGAATTAGGTGGGAGAGCTGTCAACGCCGATAACGCAAGGGAAAGAAGAGAGAGAACGTAAACAATTGATTTGACCATATTGCACAATTCAGAGTAAGGCTTAAAAGAGAGACTTCTGTGCGAAAGGTGGGCACGTATATATGGCGGCATCTCAGTCTTAAACATCTTCCGTTCTGTGGAGCTAGACCGCAACCTCATGCGGAAGCCGAAGCAACAAAGGGATAAGCACCTTTCGTTTAACTTCAGTGGAGCTGGATACCGGCCCTATGCAAAAGCCGAAGCCACAAAGGGATAAGCATCTTTCATTTGAACTTCGGTGGAGCTGGGAAGCAGCCTCGTCCAAAAGCCGAAGCCACAAAGGGATAAGCATCTTTCGTTTTAACTGTGGTGGAGCTGGGCAGCAGCCTCGCCCAAAAGTCGAAGCCACAGCCGGAAATATTGAATTGTGGAGGCCGAACAGTAAGCGATGACGACGAGCCACAAATATGGGATTTCGCATGCCTAGGCGAGGCTGGCGAAAGTCCTTGCGAAATTCGATACAACCGGCGCGCGAGTGGTTGGAGGTTTGCTGTCCACTGGGAGTGCCGAGGCCAATAAGGATCGTTGTTCTCTCAGCCAGAGGAACCCCTGAAAGTAAAGAGTCTGGCACGTCTTAGTTTTTTTTTTTTTTAGTTTTTTTACAAATCTCCATCTCCGCGCTACTTGTTCTCTACAACTTCATTTCCCTTTTCAGTCTCCTATACGTACTCCATCTTGAAGGAACCGATTGCCATGGGCATGCGCGTTTCCTGCCAATCTTCAAGATATGGATTCTATCATTAAGTGTAAGTAGGTAGGTGCAGGTGGCTCGCCACTACAGAAACCATGAAATCCAAGAAATATTTCCGCACAAAAGGCATCGTCAAGCCTGCGCTTCAGTAATAGAAGGTAGACACCTTAAGATGCAATGTGATATTAGACAGACTTGACAATCTACTCTATTCGTACTCCCCCAAAAATTTCTAACTTTTAAGTTTGTTCTTTCCAACCACTTCTGCAATCACGATATTATTGTCTTTTTTATGGTATGGTGTCGGTACTTTGGTCGTCGCCTCTTTGTTTCCTGGCTGCAGTTGCCGGCATGTTTCCTGCAGCTACGCTCGGATATGATGCTCCTTTGGCAACGAATCCCGTGCTCAAGGGATATTACCCCCGGTAGGGCTGCATCCTTTCGAATATTAACCCGGTGGGCGGGCAATATATACGGTGGGCAAGGCACCGGACCCGATCTCGACTTTCGCGTCCATTGCTCCTCAGAATCGCGATGATGTTTTGGTTAACACTCACTCTGTCTGTGGTGATCCTAGGGTTGGCAGAGGCTAAATGCAACGCCAATGGAACGGCCTTCGATTTCGTATGTCTCGCTCAAATATCTCCCATCCTACAAGAGGCTCTCTAATTCGCATTTCAGATCATAGTAGGTGGCGGTACAGCCGGCCTTGCGGTCTCTGCCCGCCTCTCGCTCTCGCTCCCACAATCATGCATCCTTGTCCTGGAAGCCGGCCCCGACGGTCGTGACGAACCCGGTATCTACATTCCCGGGCGCAAAGGTTCTACTATCGGGGGGAAATACGACTGGAACCTTACTTCAACTCCACAGCCCGGTCTTAGTTCCCGGGTCGTGCCTCAGACGCGCGGAAAGGTCCTTGGTGGAACTTCAGCGCTGAATTTGATGGTCTGGGATCGAGCCAGTGCGCAGGAATTCGATGCATGGGAAGGTCTCGGGAACCCAGGGTGGAATTGGAAGAGCATGTATAAAGCAATGCTGAGGGTGGAGAATTTCTTCCCAAGTGAGGAGTATGGGGAGGAGGGCGTTGGACATAGAGGACCGATTCAGACGTTGATTAATCGAATTCTGCCCGAGCATCAAAAGACATGGATTCCGACGATGAATTTTCTGGGGATGGAGTCGAACTTGGAGAGTTTGGGGGGCTATCCACTGGGCGTTATGAGGCAGCCGACGAATATCCGCGAGTCGAATTACACACGATCGTATTCACCGGAGTACCTGAATCTTGCAGGACAAAATCTGATCCTTAAGCTCGGAATGAGAGTTGCGAAGATCAATTTCAAGAAGCTAACAGCGACGGGGGTCACGTTGGATAACGGTTCAATACTCACCGCGACAAAAGAAGTTATTATTTCGGCCGGCTCTTTCCAATCTCCACAACTCCTTGAACTATCCGGCATCGGCTCTTCTACCGTACTTTCCGCCGCCGGCGTTTCAATTATCAAGGAATTGCCCGGCGTGGGAGAGAACCTACAAGACCATGTCCGCATCATGAACTCGTATAAACTAAAGCCAAACTTCACATCCACCGACATCCTACGCGTGAACGCTACATACGCAGCGCAGCAACTCGCACTCTACAATGCTGGAGAAGTGAGTTTATACGATTATACAGCAAGTGGATACACATACATGAACTGGTCTTCCATTTCTTCAAATACTTCAACCTACCTCACCAACATAGCTAAATCTGCAACCCCAAATCCCTCACCAGTTGATAAGCTGAAACTTTCATGGCTAGAGGCCCCATATACTCAGACGGTTCCACAACTGGAAATAATTTTTTCCGACGGATTAACCAGTGTTGCTGGATATCCAGCCGCGAATTCGAGTCTCTACGGCTCGTTGTTCTTCACGCTTATTAGTGCGGTCCAACATCCGCTTTCGAGAGGCAACGTACATATCACTAGCGCTAATATCTCTACTCCACCAACGATAAATCCCAACTACCTCTCCCACCCATACGACCTTGCCGCCTTGAAAGTCGCCACGAAATTCGCGCGGCAGATCGCAGATACCTCCCCCATGAAAGAAGTTTGGGACACGGAATACGAGCCCGGGGCTGGCGTGCAGACGGAGGCGCAATGGGAGAATTTTGTAAGGAAGACAACGTTGAGTATATATCACCCCGTGGGTACTTGTGCGATGATAACGGAGAAGGATGGAGGGGTTGTCAGTCCGGAATTGAAGGTTTATGGAGTCAAGGGCCTGAGGGTGGTGGATGCGAGTGTGGTGCCAGTGGGTGTGGGGGCACACATGCAGACTGTGGTTTATGGGGTTGCGGAGAGGGCGGCAGAAATAATCGCGAAAGAGTACAAGTGAATTGAAGGTGGGACGAGGCAAGCCCAACACATTCGCATCGATTATGGAAGATAAAATAGAGATGACTTGATTGATTAAACTTCTTGCTATACCCTAACTGACCTTGAGCTCCTGTCCTAAGCCACCCCTGTTATGTTCCGCTCTACGAAATTAGGTGAAGTAGTCTGCCGAGATACCAGAATAGGAGTTATGGGAGTGCTGTTATACAGCTATTGCAACTCATCTTTCCATCACGTGCCATCAATGCATTCTCATTTCCCTCTCCTCACATCTTCCCAAAACTACTCTCAAGCCATGCTCTAAGCACCTCTCTCCCTCTTAGCATCATCTCCAACCTTCTTCTCATATTCTCTATCCTTCTCCCCCTCTGTAGTCTTCTCCTTATCTGTCACATCCTCAATCCTGCCCTTCGTCTCTACCTCCTCAATTTTCCGACCCGCACTATCATACTCAAAGCGTTCCTCTTTCGGAGCTTGCCCAGGCTCTTGGCTCGTCCTGCGAACTTTTGTGCCCGATGGATCACTGTAGATTTGCTCGCTGTAGCAGCGCTGTTGGCCGTTGATGTTGGAGGAGAAGGAGAAGTTGGATATTGATTGGAAGGTTAAACGTTGGGAAGGCATTGTGAATGGACGTGGATTGTGGTGGTAGTGAAGGGTTTTAGGATGTAGTTTATAGTCGCTGGTGAGAGATGTGTAGGTTGGGGCTAGATAGGATTGGGGTGGGTGGATTTTGGCTTGAGATCTAGTTTAAAAGTTGGTTGTGGCGTGAGGCATGTTTCAAGCAGGTGTGACGTCATCGCTCCCCGCGTGAATCTGAAACACCATTCGTCACTGTAGTCCCTCCAACCTAACCTCTGCTTTAGAAGATTATTTCCACGGAATCTAATTTCGTTCTAAATATTTCTTGCTAGTACGAGTACATTCCGCCTAATGCTCCACCGTCCTCTGCTTAACACGCCCACAACCATGTCATCACCTTCGTATAGATAAACTCTTCGATTCAAATTTTATCGGAGTCGAGCATTGCCCTCAAAGTGGCCACTTGGCGTAATCCCATCTCTTCTCTAAATCAAGGAGTTCCCTGCGCAGCACACCAATACTCTTCTAGAGCTTGACAATGCGTCTCTGGAGATCGGGAGATTTAGGACAGGCACTCACGACTTACGCTCAGTCTATTTATGGCCAGGCTTTCCCCATACCCTTCATTGGCTTCCTTGGTCAGGCCGGTGAGCAGCATGCTGTTCTTGAACCCGATTGGACTTTCCACATCCTGGGGCTGCTCAGGATGCGACGGCTCGAAGTCGACGAAGCCTGTTTGGAAACCCAGTAGTGTAACCGAATGCGAAAAGTCCCTAAGACCTACCTATCATCGGCAGTGTCCGCTTTTATATCTCCCGGCACGTAAAAGGGTGCTGGTTCATATATCCAATGCACATACGTTCAACTGTGGAAGCAGTGAACGACTTCGGGTACTAGTAATGCGACAAATATGAATTGGAACTACAAGTCCAGGCAGGCTGTTCATTTCTGGCCATTCACAACCTCGCAAATATGCAGGTGTATATGGTGTAAGCCTATCTGCTTTTCGGATACCTTTTCTTCTGGAACCAGAGTGCCGGCCCAGATTACACGTCTTCCTCTGTGATTGGGAATATTTTATCGTCTGCTGCCCACGCCACGACTGTCATTCGTGCATCGTTGTCGCTTGGTGGCGCTTTAACAAGTTGCTCTTGCAAGGCTCTCCTAGGTTCCCTAATATCCTTCAGCAAGTCAAAAACCTCGGAGTCGTGCTCCAAGAACTCCCAACTTGTTTTCATTCCGTAAAGGTCCGGTGGTGCCTCAGAAAATAGCTCATAGTACATCGTTATCCGCAACCCTTGTGCAGAGCCATGCCCTTAAGCTTACCTCGAGTCTCTCGTTCTTGACACTTCTCGTCCAGCGCCGCGAGATATCGGCTCTCCGTCCAGGTTTCCCTGTTCTGTGAAAACCCCGTACACCTCATCTTCCCGTGGTGAATATGCCCTCAAACCCCTCAAACCCCACGAATCTTTCTTCAGTAATGAGCAGCGACGCGAGTTGCGGTGCTAGTATGAATTCATATTCGTTCTCTTCAAGGTTCTCGAGAATTTTCTTACGGGAAAGTGGATGGGAGTTTGAGATCGATGGGCGGCAGATTCTCCACCTCCATCCATCTGTGACTCCGTAGCCCCCCAACGTCTCTCCTATCAGGTGATGTAGTTCGGAGTAGAGATGCGAATGGAATGCGCCTATGAGAGGGTGTAGGCTAAATATAGGTCTTCTATATATGGGTATTGACCAGTTTTGGTTCCGCGAATGCGATGTCCAATGAGTGTTGATGATTAATTTGGAATCTAGTGATGAGGAACGGAAAAGGTCGCAGAGCTTTGTATTTTCACTGCCTCTGTTCGCAAAATCAATTCTCGGTACTCTTTATTCTTGAAACAAAGAAACAAGCGTATCAATGACTTGTTTGAACTTTGTAAGTCATTCCTTGGCCTATAGTCCTTTATTTTCCTTTGTTCCGTGTAGGCCCTGATCAATTTCAGAATCCGAGACATTTAATTAGCCTATGGCTAAGTGGATTCGTCTACTGCTGGCACTTGCCTAGCTTCATTAGGAAGCCCATTGAATATTTGTGATCGAAAAGCGGAAATGTGTAATGTCCGTCCCTGTGTCGCGAGCCACCCTCCGTGAAGAGCCAAACCATAGTTACTTTGTCTTTGAAGCAATCTTGATTTCGCACGCACATCTTTCAATTACTTCTTTCTGAAAACTTGCCCCCTCCAAACGGCAACTTAAAGACCAACTGCGCGATTTCGGCGAGGAGACCTGTTAAAAAGGTGCTTCTTTCCAGCAGTCCGACTGTGCTGCCTACTCAAATACAGATTCCTATCCCTGATAGCAACAACTAGCTTTGGTACCTATCTGTTGCTAGAAAAGATATCACACCCACGCGCCCCCAGATCAATACCACAAAGGACCAAATGATAAGTTTTTCACTCAACAGCCGTTTAATTGCGAGGAGTGTGGGGTAGAATTCCAATCAGTGGGAGAGTTCAGGCAGCACCAAACTAAAGACATTTGTCCAAGTCCCTACTGCTTCGCTACACCAGCGGTTGACCTCCTCTACAAATACAATGTCTAGGCTATTACGTGGTCTGCGGTCCCTAAGTTCTTCCATGCCACTCACAGACATCAAGGCCAGTCGTGTCCTAGAAAAACCACTATGTATTAGTTAGCTCAGCGGATATGGGAGTTGCAGATCAGGTGGGGAATGCATAACATAATAGATTATACCATTCCAGAGAGAATAAAGATCAAACTTAACACTCAGCTTTTCCAGAAAATAGTGTACACGTTATAAAAGGCCTCGCTATTTTAACGAAATTACTGCACAGCTATATAAGAGTTTCTTAGATTTTAAATCTCTAGATTTGTTGCAGGGAAGGAAGTGAAGGACAGAAGGACTTAGAAATTTATAGCAAAATAAGAGAATCTAATTTGTAACTAAATCTGTTGTCCTTTAGCTGTGGTGGACAAAATGTTGTCTATTAATCACAAAGTCTGACTTCTGAACATGACGTGTTGGACTGAAGCGTGTCGCCTAGCGCCGAAGCTCCTGTCTGCTCTTCGTCTGCTCTTCGTCTGCGTGTCTGAGTGATCATGGACATGCTATTAACTTTAAAGCGCTGTTCCAGGTCTTCGAAGGCTGATGCAGAGCCTGCAATTGTAGGTTTTCTGGAGGTTGGATTGTCTGATTAGGAGATAAATCGCGTGACGTATTCTATCAGAAGCTGCGCACCCGAAAATCGCACCTCAAGATCTCAACAACGGCAAGGCAGAAAAATCTAATCATATAAAATTAGCTTTTTATATCCATTCTAGGACACATATTAGCCTTACGTTCTATACCTAAGATGCTGTTAAGATATCAAGCTTTAAGACCAGAATTAGGCTAGAATTAGGTCAAAATCAGATCTCTTAGGAATTCGTTGGTGGTTCTATTTCTTTTATATATATATATAGTATGCTCTAGAAAGGCAACGAAACTATATTAAAAAATCTTAGCCTATTCCTTCAAGCTGTTGTTGAGATCTTGAGGTGCGGTTTTTGTCATTGGCTGCGGCACCCCACATTTCTGCGAAATTTGCTTGCTGCTTTGACGCGCCACCAAGAGCCTTTGCGGCGTGCAATTCCCTGTTCCTTGTTGCCGTGTCCTGAATTAAGCTAGTACAGAAACAGAATTCGGAAAGCAGGAAGCAAAAAGGCCTAAGAACAGTCCCTTGACTGACGGTGGATCGGAGAGGATTCAGACGTAATCTCCGCGTTTCACGTCGTAAGAGCCAATGCCTAAGTAGCCGCCACTAATTAGCAAAGGCCGCCTGGCATGAGCAACAGCAGTTGCTCACAGTATTCACCTAAGCCATCTCTCACTAAGTCCTGCATAACAAGTTGTTCCATGTTTTTTCTAGCCATAGACTATTTTACTTTGTCAATCATCATCTGTGAAAGCCTTGGCTTAATGGTCCCTTGTCTAACCTCTTGATCCGCAACGGCGGTACGATACGTGGCGCTTCTTCGTTCCTCAAATGTATCGCGGTCGCTGTAAACTAGGTTAGAAAAAGGTTTCAAGTCTCGTAACCACCTGCTAATCCCTCCGACTTCCCAGATCATGCCCACCTCTTCTATCTTCCCAAGAAACCTGCTAGAAAGAAGTAGCACCATACTTTTGTTCGCATCACCTCTACTTGCCTCGTGCGTTGTAAGCTTGCTGCCACCAGCTGAGAAACTTGGCTACAAACAGCTGAAAAAAGGTCGAGCGGATCTATCGAATCCTCTTTGTTGTAGAGGTAAGGAACGACTCGGACGCTGCCAATCAGGAACCCATGATGGTAGCCCATCTCGATTCATTGCGGGATCGGAGAGTGAAAGGACCTCGGTATAGTCTTCTTCAATGAGTCTGGCTGCAAGGTTGATATAAGTGTCGTTGCAGGTTTGACGGTAGTCTGCAAGAAGACCAAGTGCTTCTGCATCCCTGGACAGAGCCAGTAGAGCAAACACTTTATCTCGCAGATCTGCAGTTGCAAATCGGCGATGAGTTCGAGGTAAATGAATCAGCGGATACGATGCTTCTGTTCTACGAGTCTTCAGGACGTTGATCAATTCGCGAGGGCTGATTGAAAAGATGGCTTGCTCCTCTGAAGTTTGCGGCGTTATCAAACCGCTCTTGAAGACGACATACTGTCTCAAGTTTCTCAGTAGCCTTTAAGCATGATGAAATACGTCTTCCGTAACGGTAGAATTGCTGCACATGAATACCATGCATCGACCTTGTGCCATCTCTTAGATCACCCAGATGCGACTCTAATAATGACAAATAGCAATCTTCGACAAAGAGTTGCAGAGTTTGAGAAGCGCTGGATTCGTCGTTGAGAATTGCATCCTCAAATCCGCCAAAAACATCTCTAGTTCCCCGCCAATAATCCCTTCACCATGTTCATCAAGCTGTGTGAGCAGATGGCGCAGTCTCATTTCGAGTTTTGTTCCTATTCCTAATTCACGAAACTAACTACCAAACTTTAGGATCCATTCGATGGCGAAGTCGCTGTCGTCTTCAGCTGGCCTCAACCAAGAAATGACGGGAGTCGCTCGCTCATATATCTCTCCCATCTGCTGCACCTGCTCGCTTCTCTCGACTTCATCGTCCTAGTCTATACATAAAAAATCGATCCGTAGGGTCCGCGTTTCTCGAGGCAACCGCAGGTGACGAAGCGCAACTTCAAGATTTTCGGATACCAGGAAGGGTAGTCCGTTGAGTTGGATCGCACGTTTGTGATCGACATCGCCCCAAGCGTAAGATAGTGCAATGTAGGGAGGCACTTCGTCAAAGGAGACGTGTGACACTGTTCAAGCTACTTCGACTGACTCAGCAGACGGCAAGGTGGAGATTTCGTGCGAGGAATTATTGTCCAGAGTGCTGCTGGCAGTAGGCTTGAGATGAACCAGTGGAATTCTCAATTTTCCAGGCGTGAGTGAACGGTAGACAAAATACGTCATTATTGTATGGCGTTGATTAGAGATTGTGATGCATTGCAGACATGCTCAACAGGTATGATTACTAAGCTAGTGAAAATATCTTTCGCAAATCGAGTCGTTCACATTTACATCACTTTGAACAGGGGAGCTGCTATGTACAAAGCTAAAATCTTCAAGATGGAGAAGACTTACAAGGTGAACAAGACTCTGCCATCCCAACCACGATTCACTAATTGAACATAGAACGCCATCGAAATCTTGAATCGCAGACGTCGCCGATCGAGACCGGGTTCAAAGCCCGCGATAACCTTCAACGACTTAGATCATATGCCCAACTTGAACGGAAAGTCAGATCTACGAGGGACACCGAGCATTGTCGGAATGAAGCAATGGCTGCAACAGCTCGGACATTCGGTACGGCTAAACCCCTGCTTTCTCTTCAATTGCTTAGGACACAGGATGGGGACATTGATGGACTCAACATTATTCACATCGCAGGTACAAAAGGCAAAGGCAGCACGTGTGCATTTGTGGACTCTTTTCTTCGTGCATATGGTGAAAGAGCTGGATTTCCGTCCAAGACTGGTCTCTACACTTCACCACATCTAATATATCCAGAAGAGCGGATCAGAATCAATTCGAAGCCACTCGAGCGAAGTGTTTTTGCCAAATACTTCTTCGAGGTGTTTGAAACGTTATCGCAACGTGATCCAGCAGTTTTCGAGACCAAGCCTCGCTTTCTTCAGCTATTCTTGCTAGTAGCCTTTCACACCTTTATCCGAGAAGGTGTTGATGCAGCTATTTTCGAGACCCACCACGGAGGGGAATACGATGCCACGAATGTTATCAGGAGACCTGTAGTCACAGCTATTACGTCCCTTGGTATGGACCATGTGAGCCAACTTGGTCCATCCATTGAGAATATTGCTTGGCACAAGTCGGGAATATTCAAACCTGGAGCAGCTGCGTTCTCAGTCATTCAGGAAGCTCACGCTGATAAGGTATTGCGGCAGCGAGCACTGGACAGAGGTGTGGATCTGCACTTTATCCAGAGCGATTCCTCTCTGCCTAAGCAGGAGATGAACCTGAAGCCCGATGTCCAACGGCTGAACTGCTCCTTAGCTTCAGCCGTGGCACGTTCCTTTCTGGATCAAAGAGCTCCCAGCGATAGTCCACAGTTTGGCTCGACCGATGTACTTAATGGCATACATCAATTCTCCTGGCCGGGTCGATTCCAGACCATCATTCAGGGTGTCAATCAGTGGTATCTAGACGGAGCGCATAACGAGATGAGTGTGACAAAGGCAGCAGACTGGTTTATTGAAACACCAGGAACCCAAAGGTTTGGTTCTTGAATCCTACAAGAAGACGAGTGCTGACATTCCAAGGCCGCCTCGCCCTCGAATTTTGATCTTCAGCCAGGTCAGCAAACAGAGGGATGCAACAGCTGTGCTCGAAAGCTTGGCGACTTCATTCAAGCCCGGTGAAATCCATTACGCCATCTTCCCAACGTACGACCCTCGTCAAGATCTTGACTCGATGACTGGTACACACCATTTCCTTGCGCTCTCGTCTAGTGCTAACTTTTGTTAGATCTAAAACCTGAAGCATCAATAATATCTGAGCAAAGGAGTTTTTCAACCATCTGGAAGAAGATACACCCAGCTTCAAAGGTCATAAGTGCACCAACTGTGACGCTGGCTCTTGACGCAGCGAGAGACATTGGGAAGATGAACAGTGGCATGCAGACTCTCATTACTGGAAGTCAGCACCTAGTTGGAGAGGCCCTTTTCGTTTTAAAGCGTGCTGTTTGATCATAGTAATTTGTCGAAACCTCTTCTAGACACACAACATTGTGTTGCGTTAAACTACCAGCAAGACAGGGAATTATAGCCTCATAGAACTCGGCGCAGTTCCATCGTTCATGCCGGGCAAGAGTGCACTAATTAATGCAGCTCTTAATCTTTCCGGCACGCAGGAAGGGTGCCAACTCGCATTGGCAACACCCTTGTGTTCGATCATATCATACGCGTAACCTGCTCCTTCGGTGCTTTGTTTCGCACCGATCAGAAGCCAATTTGCAAGTCACGTGCTTTGGATAATCACCATCCAATAACTATCTTTTTCTATTTCTCTCTAAATCTACCTTCTTGCAAAGATGCTTGTCCTCGATTCCCTCCCAGTGGAGTCTCAAGAATCTGAGATTTGCGCGCGGCTAAAATGGACAGGCCCAAAAAGAGGCCTATCTTTCAGGGTCAAGCTCGGTCCCACTCGTTTCCTTCCTACCACCACCATCACTAAAGTAAGCTAACATGGACAAAGCCAGTTAAGTACTAGTACAAGGCGTTCCTCCTAGAGTACCTAAATCCGTGCCCTAGCAGATCATAGCTATGTCCCTCGCACTACCCTCTAGCATTGTGCACAAGGACGAAGGTTAATTAAAGAGAAAGGCTGAAGCCAACACTATCTCTACCCATGGGAAGCAAAAGCCCTTATTAAGCTTTTAGTACAACAGGATGTTATTAACTTAGACGCTCTGTCTAAATAAAGTATATACATTTAATAGCCTTTAGTCTTGTCTAACAGCAGCTACTACTAGACAGACTAAGTAAGCTTTCTAGAAAGAACTAGCTTTAGTCCTTCTACAAACGCTATCTAAAACTAAAAGCAAGTAAAGTAGAGCACTAAACTAGAACTGCTATAACGTTTACAATAAGGTTATATACTAGTTTAAAGTAATTAGAAAGGTGTAACGGCACAGGCAAGACAATGGGTCCAAATGCGGTAGGAATCCACTCAGAGGCATATGGGAGTGCGTGGGGACTCAATGACCTGGGAATCTCATTGACACTAATAGGCCTTGTACGAAGGATATCAGAAAACTACCGAGCTAGCTACGGGGGAGAGGTGCGACTAAATACATGAGGGAATAGGGGTAACAGCAGGGGTCGGGACCAGGTCGGGGTCGGGGCCGATACGGGGGCCTTCCGGGCCATCCGAGATGGAACGATTCATGAGGATTGTTACAAAAGGTAATATAAGATCTAGCTATCCTATAAGAAAATGTTTATAATATAGACAAGATTAGTGTTATGCTTTCTAAGCTAAACAATGTTAAATTTCTTAATAGTACAAATAACTAGTAAGGCTATAAAAGTGCATATGTTAGGTAAACAACAGAAACTGCTATTAAATATATAAGTGCTAATAGTAAGTAATTAAACCCTATAATAATCTAGCTTATATTAACCTATTAGAGTAGCTAAATTATACACCTTACTTCTAGATAGCATTCTACATACTTAGATAGTAGATACACTACCTTTTATATTAGCTTACAGTAGCTTAAGCTTGTATTCAAACTCTAAACTAAAAAAAAGCTAACTAAAAACTATAATATAAAAGGTATTAAGCAGGAAGCACAAGGCACAGAGAGGGAATGCAGGATAGGGGGGTAATATGAGTAAACTTATGTAACAGCGCAGGCAAGACAATGGTCTAAATGCGGTGTGAATCTGCTTAGAGGCATATAGGAGTGCGTAGAGACTTAGAAACCTAGGAATTCTATTAACACCTATAGGCCTTGTACAAAACGATATTAGGAAACTACTAAGCTAGCTAAGAGGAGAGGTGCAGCTAAATACTTAGAGATAGAGGTAGCTTAGAGAGCAGGGCAGGGTCGGGGCAGATACGCGAAACCATCGGATATAGGTCCGTTAGGTAACTTTGAATAGAACGATTCATGCGAATCGTTACACCTTAAGGTCAGAGGCAGAGGTACAGAGGCTAAGAAGCCTATATACCCTGTGCTAAGCCCTTAGAGTACTAATATGTAGCAGCTTTAAACTATATAAAACTTTTTAAATCTTAAAATTTTTATTTTAAAAATAATATTATTCTATACTAAATTCTTTTTTAACACCTTTTATAAGCTTTAGCTTTGTAATAATTTAGTATTTAACTTATATAAAACAGCATATTGCAACTAAGTTAAACAACTAGAGTAAGAAGGTGTAGAAAAAATTAGTAAGAAGCATTTTACCTCTCTATATAATTTTACTAAGGAAAGAGCTTTTATGTCTAGGAACATATAAGCTTGACAAGCTAGGGCTAGTTTATTTCTTTTTAACCTAGACAAAGTACTAAGCAACATACTATAGCCTTTTGCTAAATAAACTGCTTTCAAAACTAATATAGTAAAGGTAGGTTGTTATATATAAACAAAGTACTATAAACGCCTGTAACCCTAGTGTTAGCAGAAGCTTGTAACAAGGTCGGCACGGTCAACCACGTGGGCTTCTCTCGTTTATAGAGGTTTAGGCTAGGCTAGAGACAACCGCTAGTGCTAGTGCTTACCCTAGCATTACCTAATAGATATGTATTATACTATGCAAGAATACTTAGCTTAAGTATCGGCTTGGCAGGCGGAGCGCCTACCTTATTACAAAGCTGTTATATTACTATATAATCTAATTAAACAGAATGTTTATGTACTTAATAAGACAAGCAAACAGCGCCTAAATAGGCTTGTATAAAAGCTTACTAATGCTATCTAACTGTTCTGTAATAAGTGTTTCTTTCTTTAGAAACATAATTAATTCTTAAATATAATAAATAATAAAGCTAAAGCTTGTTGATTAACTAAGGTAGAGATAGTAGAGACAGCAAGGGTAATAAGTTATAAGGATCTTAAGAAGTTACAAGCAGAGCATACTGCGAAAGCAGTTGCGATAGAAGCTAAGAGGGCTAAGAAAGAGACTAAGAAATGCAGAAAGAGAGGGTAAGAAGGCTGCAAAAGAGGCTAAGAAAGGCGCAAGTGCTACGCTAGAAGCGGACAAAGCCACTGTGGAAAACGTAGTTAGAAGCGGAAGAGTTGTACGCTAAGGGCAGATACGCTAGAGCCGAAGGCTACAGTCGTTCTAAAAAGTCTGTCCCATAGCCTAAGCGCTCGGCTGTAGTCCCCTAGACTTTAAAAAAATTCCCCTAACTAATATAGTAGTGTAATTGTTTGCCTACTGTCTTCTCTATCTATAGACTATACCTACTTACTTTTATAAAGCTATTGTTACTTATATATAACCTTTTTTTAATATTAGAATGTTATTTTTTTTAAATTGCTAAGAAACTAAAAATATTCTATAAGCCTATTTATAAAATCTATACTAGCTTAGATTTATAGAACTACTTGTATCCTCTGTTAACACTAAAGTAGAGGAGACTTAAAGTAATATATAAAGACTAGGTTTAAGTAAGTAGCAACTACCTTAGCTTTTTTTATTATTATTATTATTATACTAATGCTTTTATAGAACTTAATTATCTTTTTTAAAAATTCCTCTACTATCTATTTTAATAAAATATAAAACTTTCTACATAATAAGTATAATATTAAAGAGTTAGCTAGTACTATATATAATTAGCTATTAAATATATAATAGTTAAAAAAAGTTATTTTATTAAATAGACTTCCTTATACAGTTGGGCGCGAGGTGAGCGGGCCTTGCATACAATTCTGTATGTGCACTTTCGCACAGTCTATAGATATAAGAAGGGGGGTTATTAGTTGTTTATTCTTGTTCTATCTAGGATTCAGGTGGGAGAGATTATGTATTAGAATCTCTCCTGCTAAGGTCCGCACAGGCACTGTACAACTACTACGTGATTAGGTTACGTGATGTCTACTGTACAGTTGTGCAGATTAGAGCAGTGCGTGTACTATGTATAGACATATTTACTATTACTTTTAGAGTGTGATTTAAAGCTAAGAGATGCCTAGTGTTTTTAATAGTAAAGCTAGTACATAAGCTAAATTATTATAAGGTATAATATATTTTACAAGCAAGTAGTCTACATAAGTAAATAGTCTACTTTAATAATATTTTTATAACTATAAAAAAGCCTTGTATAAAGATTTTATAATTATAGAAAAGTAGTTTACACTTATATATAACACTGTTACTTAGTATAAGATTTATAAAAATAAGTGTCTGTACGCACAGCTCTAACCTGCACAACTGTACAATCGATATCACGTGATTTTCTGTACCCTCTAGGCCTATAACTGAGTGCTTTAGCTATAGGATAGACTTTTTAGAATGATTGTAAGGTGGCGCGGATAAGCGAAACACAGACTGTAGAGGATAGCAAGTCAGTGCGCCAGAACTAACAGCCCCAGTGGCGCGGATGTAGTAGCGGAGACTGCCCGCAACGAGAGATGGAGTTTGGATCAGTCTGAGGCAGGCTTGCGCGAACTTCGCGTCCTGTTGCTGTAAAATTAGTAATAAGAGAGTTCGTCTTCGTTGCAATTTTGGCGTAATGGTCGTACAGATAGGGCTCTGTCTTTGGTATCCCTTTTGTGCGCTTGTTATGTCTTGGGATGGCCGTTACGGCTATCATTGTGCCCATCGCCATGCTCGCCATTATTGTGCTCAAACTCTATTATGCCTCGTTATGCTTTTTTCGTCGTTGTAGCCATTGTCGTTCTGCCTCGTCATGAACGCTGTGCTAGTGCGAGCGTTCTTATATGATCAGGATCTGCACAGCCACAGGCTTACCAACCACAAGATCAATTTACCTTGATTATAGAGATTAAATTGTACCGCAATTATAGTGTAGTGTAGTTGGCATAAGGCGGGATCGCTGTTCCATTAATTGGAAGGTACCGATTAGCGTGGCGACGTTACATGAATCATCCTTATATAGCAGCTGCATAGTTAACGATAACTTATCAGCGTAATAGTAAGGCTCTATGGGTCCGATACTGCTATACTATAAGTATCAGGGGTAATAAGAGTTCAATGGTAGAGCAGTGGTGGAGGTGTCTTATAATGCCACAGAAAGGAGACTCTCCGCAAACTAGGCGATGACGCGGCAATAACAGCTTAATTTTTAGTTGGAAGACATCTCGAGGGTCTAGGGTTAGCTAAACTATAGGATTCATGCATAATTAAGTATATGCAGTTGTATAGGTGGAGTCGAGATTGCTGTAAAGATAAAGTACCTATGATTTAGCTCTCAACAGAGGGTGACTCGCGACACAGGGATAGACATTAAATGATTTTCTTAGAGGAAATGCATGAGTCTTATTGGAGCTCACTGCCAATCAAGTGTTTCGTTCTCATCGTTGTCATTGACTCCTTATGTTCTAGGAGCCTTACATTTTCCACTTCACTCGACAAACTCACAGCCCAACCGCCTCCAGCAGCTTGTCAAATCGCTAGAGACCACAAATTAGCACAAATTCATAGCATAATGCCATTAATTAATGGGGCATTAATTAGCGGGACTCACCGGTGTCCCAAACCCAGTAACAGCATCCCAACCCTTCGTCGCCGGAAACCCTGTCGTATTGCAGCCTAACGCCGAACCACTCGTAACATCCACAAACGCCTTCTTACCCTTCTTATACAGCCAGGGATTCAAGAACCCTAGTGGCGGTTTTCCATTCGAGATTAATGCATCATTGAGTAGCGCAAAAATGGCAGCCATAGCGGGCGTCGAGGCGCTTGTACCGTCAACGAGCCGTAAAGTGCCGTTCCAGATGATAGTATAGTTGACACCGTAGGCGGCAAGGTCGGGATACGCGCGGCCGGATTTGTTGTATAACGGGGAGAATTCTTCGCCGATGGTATCGAGGTATTCGGATACAGCTTCAGCTTGATATTTTGGTTGGGGGAAGTAGTTACTGAAGCCGCCGCCGCTGGAGAATTTGTTGCGCGGATCGTAGGCGGCGACTTCTGGTTTGAAATTTACGGTTGCTGGGCTGAGTTAGTGCTCGGATTCCAATAGTTGAGCTTAGAAGAAAGGAGAGTCCTTACCACCGACTGAAGTAACGTAGGGGCAACTGGAGGGGAAAAGAGGAATGAATTGGGTTTGATTGTTGACGTTTGAAAGGCACGATCCACCTGGTTGCACGCCACCAACACCCCCATCTCCACTTCCGAAGAGAATGGAAACTCCACGTGCGCTGAGCTGCGCGAATTGTGAGCATACCACATTTGCGTAAGAGTATGGAACTGTCTGCTCGTTGTCTTCGTAAGAATTTGAGATGACTTGAGGTACGAAGTCTTGCTTGAGCACATAATTCACCCAGGTAAGATAAGGCTCGTTGTCTACAGTGGGATTGTCGATGTCCGGTGCGAAGGGGGGATCTCCGGCTGTGGACCAGGCTAGAAGCGGTGTAGGCCATGAGATACCAAGAATCGTCTCGGCGTCGAGATTACCCTCGATGCCAGTGCCTGCTCTAAGCTGGGCTGGAGAGTTCGGTGTCTGCTGCAAAGTGCCATTGGCAATGGAAATTTGACGGAACTTGTAAGCAGCAGAAACGGCTTCCGGCCTGTATCGTTGGAGATATATTTCAGTGTCTGATCGGTTGTTTAATTCTCCTAGATAGTCGGTTAAGGCGACTTGGTTTTGGCCGGGAACTTTTGGTTTGTAGTCAACACTGCATATGTTAGCTACCAGATACACGTTGAACTCGATGTGCCCGGACGACTTTCGAATGCAACTTACGTCCCGTAGAGCGTTCGGAGGCACAAGGGAGTTACAGCTCTAGTGTTGCAAACCTGATCAACTGTTCCGTTGCTTGGCCCATAAGGCAAAGGATGACCAACAGTGCCTGGAACATTCAGGTAGGTCTTGCTCTGAGGTACTGCACGAATGAACGATGTTGTTGGCTGAATGGCTGTTACGTGGTCATGCAGATGCAAAGGCAACTTCCATTCCGGGGTACGGATAATAGTGGATCCATCCACATGACGGTAGACGGAGTACTTTGTCTCCAAGAGTCTTTCCACCTTTGCTACCGGCAAAATGAAGGTAAGGAAGTCTCTAGCAGGGCTGTAATTGATGTTCTTGGGATCGACATGCTGGTGTAACCACTCCTGGACCAGTTCGAGCGATTCATCCTTAGGTTTGACTAATTCGTTCACCTCATCCAAGCTGAGGTATTGTCCGTAGTGGGAATGGTCGGGATCCGAAACTTTTCGAGTTAGGGAATGCAAAGAGCAGATAAATTGACTTCAGAGACTTACTTTCATACAATTGCTTCTCGAGCTCATGGAATCTACCCTGCTTCAGACCCACGGAAAGGCGAATGAGGGCTTGGCTGGGTGCGTTGCCTTCTCTTGAGAACTCATGAGGGACACGATGAGTTTCCTTGACGACATATCGGCTTTGCAGCGGCGTCGCTGCACAGAGGCTAAGTAGAGCTGCCGTGAAGAGAATCGTCGACTGCATCGTTGATGAAGTTGCTAGGTACAGAAGGAGGAGGAGGAAGGTACTAGTGTCGTGAACAGGCAAGGTTTATTATAACCGGCAATCAAATCTAAATTGCGGAATGATCCACTGCAGTGGGACAGCATCCATGGGTGTCAGTGTCGGTATCACAATCGCTAAGGTACCTGCCTATTAAGGCAGGACTTAAACTATCCTCATTTACTCTGGACCAACCGGGCTTAGTCATGGGGGGTAAGAAAAGAGAGTTGAGGTTAGGAGGTGCAAGCGTCAACATTTGAAGACTTCTTCCAAAAGTTGCTCAGCACAAATCTGCTGTTTCAAACCCAGATGAAGAGTTCGCTGGGCACGTTTTAGCGTCTTTGTGGACCGAGAGTGCCGAGGTGGTGTCAATCTTGAGCCGTGCTACGAAGGATTCTTCCTCGCCCTTGAAAGAGAGGCTTGGTGACTAGACTATTTCGATTCAATTAGAGGGTGCCAATAAATGTTCTCTTCATGGCGTTTGAATCATTCCTACTTGGAAAGATTCGTTTTAGTCACGTGAGCTGGCGGGTAACTGACGCGTCGGCCTCGCGTCTCGTGTAAAATTAAAGTACCCTGTTTCACGTTGGAACCTCCTTTCTTCTAACATACTCTGTTTGGACGCCAAATCTTTTGGCCTTCGACTGTACTCACCATTGAAGCCAACTGGTACCTTACGAAAATGTCCCAGAGGAGCGATTCCGACTCCATGGGCTCGGAAACAGACGTGTCCGACTTTGTGGACGAAGACTTGAAGACAAGATTGCAATACTGTTTGGACGATATCCAACACGATGGAACGTACTCTGCCTTTCGCCACTTCAATATTTATCCGAATCCTGGGCTTCGCGTCAACAATTATGGATCGGTGGGATTGCCGCTATCGACTCGAGACGCGGAAAGCATTGCGCGTCTCTGCAAACAATCGCCATTTGGAAAGGGCGCGGAGACGATCGTGGACACGTCTGTGAGGAAGTCTTGGGAGTTAGATTGTGGGGATTTCCAGTGTCAGAATCCCGCCTGGGCAGTATTTCTAGACACCCTCGTGGCAAAAACAACCCAAGACCTTGGTGTGCAGGTTCCGTCTCGGGCAGAGCAGTACAAACTACTCCTTTACGAGGAGGGTGCATTTTTCAAAGCCCACAAGGATAGCGAAAAAGTACCTGGAATGTTCGGAACATTAGTGGTCTGTCTGCCATCTGAGCATAGTGGTGGTGAAGTTCACCTAGCCCACAACAAAAAGAAGCGAGTGATGGAGACCGCACTGGGCTCCAAATTCGACCTTTCGACTCTTGCATGGTACTCAGACGTGCAACACGAGATCAAGCCTATTGGTTCCGGTTATCGGTTAGTCATGACCTACAACCTAGTCCAAGACTTAGGCATGCCAAGGCAAACAGCTGCGGCGCTTGATGATAGCCATGATCGCCTGGAACGACTGCTGCATGTTTGGGGAAAAGACTTTCACTACCTAGACATGTTTGTGTATCCACTGGATCACCAATACACCGATGCAGGCCTCTCCCTGAAGAGCTTGAAGGGTCATGACGCAGTGAGAGGACGATACCTTCAGCATCTCTGTACGAAGAACGGAGTGTACTTGCTCCTCGGGAGGATGACCAAGACAGAAGACCAAGAAGGGTATGAGGATGAGGATGAGGGTCCTCTTGTTTCTCTTGAATATGTCGTCACCCCTGCCGGGGAACGAATTGATCTAATTTTGGATGTTGAGTCGAACCAGATTCTTGCGGAAGATCTGTACAATGGCCGGCCCGTGGACAGTGAAGATGAGGGTGATTATACGGGAAACGAGGCAATGGCCTCGACGTATCGCTACCATGACACGGTTCGTGGTTTCATAGTGACGCTCAGGAAGCTAACTAATTCATGCTAGGTTCTCATTCTCTTACGAGGAGACCAGCTCATGAGGCATTTATCATTCCCAAGACAATACAACTTGAGGACTTTCCGAGCTCTTCTTGAGCTGGTCAGGAATGATCAAGCGGCGCAAGCTAACGAGGAAATGACCAGACGAGGGACGGAGGAGTTGAAATTCCTTTTGAAAAATCTAATCCAAAAATTGACCGCGAACTCCCAACATAGTCCTAAATACGGGTCCTATGAATACTATGGATATGGATTTGGAGGTCGACCCGAAGACATTCATGAATTGTTCGCGCAAGTCTCTGAACTCTGCCAAACGCTTGGGCAAGCAGTACTGGTCCGCGAAGCACTACAGGAAACCATGCTAGACACAAATTGGTCTTCATCAACTGATTTGGTTCGCGTCGTGGCAAGGGAAGTGGCAAAGGATGCGTCGAGTGGTACGCCAAACGCGTGGGCTGCATGGTATCTTGAAGCACTCCTAGATATACTTACAAGCAATCCATGCTAATCTACCGCAGGCTGAACCAAACTTCGGGAGAACAAACCTTCCAAACGGCGTGCTCCCTAATAAGTTCCCTCGAATTCTTCAAATCCGAGCTTCCCTCATCGATGATACCGTCATTCGATGATTGGTGGAAAGCGCACCAAGAGAATATGCTGCGTTCTGTCAAATCATATTCGGAAAAGGATGTCCCGGCTCTATTAACCATCATCCGCTCTGTTTCTCATGACTTATATTTTGACGTGTAAGTTTCATCGATTGAATGTGGTGGATCTTGACTGATATTATTAGTGTCCTCCCAATTCTGATAAAGAGCCCAAAACGAGTTGCTCTTGCTCGGTACCTAAGCCAGCTGGCCGGCACTAATTGCGAGGAAATTACCAAGCCGACATTTGAGAGGGCCATATCCTCCGCTGCTCAGATTCTGAAGATGTCGTCTAATGACATCGGCATCGAGTCGCCACGTTCTACATTGAGTGGTCCCTACTTATACAACCACCGTAGTAACTCCTGGGGAAAGGATCTGCCAGAATTTGTAAACGAAATATTGGTGATCATTGAAAAGACCATGGCTCTGGGGCTGGACCAAGAATCTTTGCCCTTGGTTTCTTCCATCTTGCCTAAGCTTCCAGATGTAAACGCCACTTTCTGGGAAAACTGGAGCAGACTGATCAACTTGGCTGACAAATTGATCGGCATCCTTGCGCGACACCCCAGTAGCAGTGCGCACGATGCAATCATATCCTTCGTCAGCTCCATCATAAAGCAGACCGCAGGATCCTTAGCACGACGGCGTCCTTCGAAGTCAAAGAGTTGGAAACGCACACCTCGAAAAATCTGTGGCTGTGAACCATGCCAGTCATTGGGAGAATTTCTCGCTAATCCGAATCAGTCTGTTGGGAGTTTTCGTTACGCAGAGAAAATTCGTAAGCATCTTGAACGGGATATTCTTAATTATCGAGAATACGTGTTCGACACCGACCGAAGCCAACGACCACCATATACTCTCGTCATCCACAAGACCGACAGCGAGTACTATGCGCTGAATTTTAACTGGAACTTGGATAACGATGATATGCGATCACAACTCGGTCACTTGCAGAGCCAGGTGAAGAAAATGGCGCCCCAAGGAAATTTTGGAGAACTGTTCGATTTGATCCAATCCCTCCTTACTCCCGATGGCCAAGGCATGCAATCATTTCGGCCGATCTCGGTGCCGTTACAAGATTCGCGCGCCTTACCTCGAGTTGCAGGTGTGAAAAGGAAGGCAGAGGTGGTGGATTTGACTGATGATTGAGGCTTGCACTTTGGACAAGCACATGGGGTACATCGTACGCAGTCACTACTGGAATGTTTATCTTCGATAATTTCTCTTCACCTTCTCAACTACGACACCCCACTCTATCTTCTAGAAACGCTAGTACTCTTTTAATCCAGATCCATGTTGAGATCCGTGTGCGACACGGAGCCATACTCGTCCTATATTGTGAGATCTGCTGATTGCTCCTTAAGTATTGTTTAGCATATGCTGTTTTCTCCATGGTAGTTCCCCCTTCTCTACCCGAGCTTCCAAGAGACTGCTCTTACACGAGTGCTTTTCCCGTCAGGCCACCAGTGGTATTGTTTCGACGACCTACCCTCGCTTTTGCTGCATTGTTCGAGCTTGAGGGGACGGTTGTGATCGCGGACATTGCCGGGACCGCGGTTGAGAATTCAGGGCAGGTTTCGGGTAATGTGAATATTGCAGAGGAGACTCAGTTGTCGAGTTTACGAGAGCATGGAGCTTGTTTTCAGCTTCTAGGACTTATTTGAGCGCTTTCTGAAGTCCCAAGGAGGAATTTAGGAGTTTAGAGAAGGCGCTTAATAACCGTTGGATGGCTGGCTGACGGCAGAACACCACCCCTTCATGGCGAACGAAAGTAGCATTTCCGCTCTCGTATAGCTCCTGGACTCTAAGCAAAAGGGCAGCGGCAATGCCAAATCCCAAAACTTTCGCTTGGGTGTACTTCTTCATAGATACATTTTCAGAATTTCGCCCACTCTCAGACATATGAGGGTAAAATCTCCCTTCAAATATAGTCCCTTATACACCGCTACCTCCCCAAGCAGCGCAAGCATCTCTTCGAATCTTCACCCCGTCTAGCCCCACCTTCCCTAAATCCACCTCCTTCAGATTCTCACACAAATACTGCATGTACGTTCTCTCATTCCCTGCATGAAACAGTTGAAACTCAAACAACCTGCCCATCACCTCCCACAACCCCCTCCTTGCCTCCTCAACACCCACTACCACCTGTTCTTTCTCACCACACACCACCCCCCTCGCAACCCCCTCATCCAACCCCATTGCCCTTATCCCCTCGCCCCACCACCGCCACCTCTTCCCCTCACACACCCATCTCACCCACTCCTCATCCTTCAACACAACCACTAATACTCTTGCCAGAAACTCGCTAACAAGGCTCGTTGCCTTTTCATGCACTTCTGTCCCAACTGTGGCATTCGTGTATGTAAACCCCGGACCACGGTCATAATAACCCGCACTCGCGCAAAAGCTGCCTTCAACATCAACGCCGCTTCCGGGCTCGATGTCGTAGTTTGGGAGCCAGAGACCGTTGAGGAGGGTTTCCTCCAGGTAGTAACACATCGTTGCCATATATGTGGAGTTTTTTAGATAGCCATGGTAGGTTTGGATAGTGAAGATGCCTGCGAGGTAGGATTTTAGGTACCAGGCATTTCCGCCTACTTTCTCCGGTACAACGGGGGAGGTGGAGGGGTTGGCGGCGGCATCGCAAATTGCGGATTTCGCGAAGGCGGTGATATCACCATTAGTAATAGGAAATGCGTCGACGTAGCGGGAAGTTAGGGAGGAGAAGTTGGTGCAGAGGTATTGGAGAAAAGAGGTGGAGTTTGCAGGGAGAGAGCCGAGGATGCCATACGAGAGGGAGGTTAGGGTCCAGGAGGTTATTTCGCTAATGTTACCACCCACTAGAAGCGGGTGAGATTGTGTTGGTAGAGCTAGTTCTCGAAGTTCCGTAGGGGTTAGGGGTTTAGAGAAGAATGCATGGAGGAATAGGAATGAACGAAAAGCTGAGAAACTTACTTGTGTGTCTGCCTGGTCCCCTAATCAGTCTCTTCGAAAGGGCATGATTACCATTGCTTGCGCTAGCTACACCTATGGCTAGAAGCCACGAAACATGAACTGAGAGTTTCATGGTCGTGGCGTGGCGATGCTAACCTGGGAAGTTTCAATGAGTGACTCAAGGATTGAAAATAGGAAAGTGAGAGGCGACGCACACCGTATATTCTCAGAATCATAACCGCCAGCCATCTGAGATCTTATACCATCCTTGGAGATTGATTGGAAGGATGCATTCCCTTACCCTGAATTCATATTGCTATAAAGTTTAAGTATGTCGGGGACCTCGAAAGTAGATCACTAAGGGAAATAGCCAGAAATCCTCGCAGATTTGATAGCCTGTTACATAGATGGGCGAGAAACTTGACCAAATGAAAGAAAATTGTCAGCTAGCAATTTGCGTAGACTGCGGCGTTCATTTATGAATCTTGGCAGGGCGTTGGGTGAAGCGGGGAAGCTGCATGTGGCAGGAAATTGGGCGTGAAATGTTTTGGCATTTTTTTCGTTTTCTAGAGCGATTGAGGAGAATCGCGAATGGTTTAATTACCTAAGAGGACTTATTTTTGCAAAGGCATGTTCATCATGCAATATCTCCTGTACCTTAGAGGTTACATACACCTCGCGTAGCCTTTTGCACGCCTGTATTAAGCACCAAGAAGATCTTAGAGCATGGCTCCTACCATAATGACCTGAATGGGTGCGGAAAGGAATTCGAACACCTTTCCCCTCGGCGAAGAGGTAACGGGGATTGCATTATTAAAGACACGTGCAAAAATTCTAAGCGCTTAGAATGTAAAATAATCTTTACGTTTTGCTTTTAGCCAAGATCGAAAAGATCGTTCGCTTGTTTCTGCGCGTGCACGTGCTTAAGCTGAAATGCTGTGACTTAATCTGCGCGCCCGTGGCCTAAAATACGCCAGGAGACTGCTCTCTTATCGGATTGGACGTATGCACACAAGCAGCTTTTTCTTGTTTATCGATCATCTTCAGGCCAAGCACCAAATACAACAAGCTAGAGCGTTGCAGGTTGTTTTTGTTGCGAGCAAATTATATGATGATATTCTATTATGAAGGGTGTAAACCAATAAGTGCATCTGCTCAGCCACACTAACTCGAGATCCACAACAGCACTTGCCTCTGACCAACGACTTCATGATGTCGCGCAACGCCGTGACTGGCTGATGGATTAAGACTATGTGATGACACAGCCTTCGACACAGCGTTCAAATTATATTAAATCCCATTCAGCTGGACCGCTTCTATTGAATCATCTCGCAAGATTTCGCTTCATTAGGGAATTTTCTCCTCACGATTATATGAGAGCACGGAGTGACGGACCTACAAACACTTCATGACCCGGCGAATGGCCTGTTTGGAAGGCGAAATATTTGTAAAAGCGCACATTATTGCGAAAACTATAGGGGCTAAGATACGGCCGGTTTGAATTGCATGAGGAGTACGCCTTGATTGCTTAAGACATTTATTGGCTCTAACGGCAGTTGTTTTCTTTCCCTGTAGGGTGGAGAAAGACGAAATACAGAATGACCACCGATATTAACTTCGAAATATCGCACCATCTGACTCCAAACGTGGATTTTATCAAAGCCCGAAAGGAGACAACCGTGCCATTAAACCACCACATTGGGACCCTTCTTTCTCCTTTAGAGACGTCGCGAGACTGTAAGCGTAATCAAATGGTAGCATGATAGCATATGGAAGCGTCAGCTCAGTGGTGATCTACCCAGCGCATTCTCTCACTGAGAATGATTCACCGACAACGAGTTCTGCGAGTATGTGGTGTGAAGAGTATAAAGGGAAGCCTAGATCTTCGCCGACAAGCCTACCAACTCATTCTCAAGCACATTATTTCCACACTAGAGAACAAAATTAGATTCACTAAATCTACTCCATAACATGAAGGCTTTTACTCCCTCCCTCATTCTCGCTCTTGCTGCCCTTGTAGCGGCAGATTCCCATCTTGATAGCTGGAGTGGTTCGAATTGCAACAGCGGCGACCACCTCACTTGGACCGCACCTCCATCCCATGGTCCTAACACCTGCAAGAGTGTTGGGAATGTCAAAAGCATTAAGGTCAATGATCTTGGATCTGGCTGTACTGGTATGTCTGTGCTGCGGAGTAGTATTCCTCTAACTCGAAGTGTGGGAATTTCCGGGGACTGTACTGACAAGTTGTGTTAGCGACCGTATATACCGACAGCAACTGCAGTAACAATGCCAAGGCTGCTCGTGTTGGGCAGTGTGTTCAGTTTTCGGGCAAGATTGGGTCTTTCTCTGTCGACTGCCCTTAGAAGTTGAATTCCCGGGGTAGGAAACTCGTGAGAGAGAGGAGTATTGTGGAGCTATACGGGGTGGCTGGGAGTTGTGGGTAGGGTGGTTGTATACTCCATTGGACGCTGTGGACTGATGGCCCCTCCCATTCTCTCGTTCTTGAACCATTTGAATATATGATTGCCTGATGATGGGGGATGTACCTCGGTCGCTCACTAAAATCGAAATGTGCTTTGGCCTAAACAAAACCTCATCTCTGCCGTAATTGAAGTGTTTATTACACGTGAATGGTTTCTATAACACTTATTGCCACGTCCCAATTCGCACACAAGCAGTTTCCCTTCCAGTTCAGGGGACTGAGCTGCTCCTGCTCCAGCCTGAGCTGTGGGTGCGTTAGGGTGAGCGGATCCTGAGTTGAGGCTGAACAGCCTGAGCACGAGCCTGAGTTGCATAAACGCACCCCACACGCTTGAGCGGGCCCCTTGAAGTTGGCTATTCTTGCCTAATCGCATGTCTGCCGGCTTCACCCAAGCCTGCTGCCTCACGCTAACTACACATCATCAGAAGCTCCCAGAAACCGCCCCGTCCGTCCTTGTGATCGCTCCACTCCACTTCACTTCTCATCCACCCAGATTATGATCGACGGACTATAGAGCACAAAACTACATGGCAGCTGTATTTGCTCTCATCGTTGACCTAGTTTCTTCTACTTACGATCTAACAGCACTGATCATTTCTTATCCCCCGACCCCCGAACTCTTCACAACTGTGGAGTAGAAGAGCTTCGATGCCGGAGCGAACCAGATGACACCATTGGTCAATGCTGGCGAATTCCTCGGTCCTTACGAGCGACTCAATGGCAGGCCCCTTGACAAAGGAGTACTATAGGCCTACTCTACTGGTAACCCAAGCTGAGTGACAGCCTCCGGCAAACCGAAGCAAATTCCAGGTGTATAGTGCTTGGTGAAGGACGGAAACGAGCTTTGACGAATAACTCTTCTCTTTGGACCGAGCGAACGGCGCAGGATCCATACTAAGCGGAGAACAGCGGTTACGATTGGAGCGTTGGCATTCGCGGATGGAGCTCGGCCACGGCGAGACATTGCTGGCTTCGTCAGCTGGCAGAGCGGCGCAGAATCTATGCAAAAATGGCTCAATCCTTACGTTGGTATGACCGAAGGGAGCCAACTCACAGCGGAGGAATTATGCGAATGCAGCTGAACCTCTAGAGGGTTGGTATTCAATCTACTGCTGTAACCTCACCAACACCCAATCAAGCGTGTACTATAGTTTCGTTACTAAAGTTTCTAGATACAATTAACTATAGTCGCTACGGCGTTTCCCTTCTATTATGTCAAGACTCTCTGCGAATATGGCATATGCTTTCCACACAACGAATGCTCAAAACAATTAGACACAATTCTGCCCTAATATTCCAGTGAAGGGCCATTCACGGGGGTTGTGGTGATCATAGAACAAGGAAGGCGATGCTTAGCTGACTCAATCTTAATAAATGAATGATGACCTGACCACATACTCATTTGACCGAAAGCTATACAACCTTGACTACGCAAAGCTAAGGGACCAATTAGCTGAGACTACTCTAGGTGTGTTTACGAGCCACTTTAATTGGATAATGATAGCCATATCCTCACATTTAATGAAGAGAAGGATTTCAAGAGGACACAGATCCACTACGGACTGGCCGCACAAGATCCATACGAGCATGGCTTCGGTGTGTGACCTCATGCGAACCAAGTCCTGGTCAGCCTTGATTGTACGGGCCACCGCACCGGCATGAGCTAGCCTCTCTAGCTGACCGGAAATCATGTGGAAACCCCGGGAAGCCTTAACGTATCCACTAACTGGGAGGTAAAATCAAACGAATCTTCCGTCGCGCGTCAGCAGTAAAACACTCTTGAACAACAAAAAAACGAGTCCTCAGACATCCCCATTCCGCCCTCTCACTACGCATGCCCAGCACCTCTCCTGGCTTCGACTCTGGCAGAATCAGGCGCCCCTACACTCCTTCCCCATGTTCAACTCTGCTCTCGCCCTCTCGTTCCGAAAACGCTTCCGCAATCCACTCCCATTAGACAACCGACGTCGACCGCTCTAGTCTATATATGCGAATACGAAACGTCGCTCACTACGGCTGGAGGATAACAAGGCAATGGCCCTAGATTAGGCAAGGCTGGTTCAGGGATAATGGCATCTTGTCGGACGAGGGCTTATGAGAATGCTATCCTCGAAGAAAGCGCGACAAGGCTAAAGCTAACAAGGTGAGATCAATAGCATTAGTTGGCCAGCTATCGCCGGGTCTAGCTGCATTCTCCACAACCCGTCTCGCCACGTCCAAATCGTGCATCAGCGCGATCGCTTACTATCCCGTCCTCAATTCATTTAACACCCCAAGCACCTCCGCACAGTCCGGGAAATTCGAGGTTGGAACAGAATATTGGTAAAGGCGGACACTAGGAAAACAGATCACCGGAAACGGGATCCACAGCAGGGACCAGACTAGGACCAATTAAACTAGGCGCAGTGACACCCTAGCGCAGGGAAGCATTCCTACTTCACGTGCCAGACAGCTCGCGACGATGTCGGCCTCGTAGTGAAACTCGATACGATTAAATACGGTGCAAGTTGAAGGTCACCACTGGGGACCACAAGCCGCAGTGGTATTGCTTGATGCAGTAATCGCTCTTTTTGTGAATGTGCCCTGATGGATTTTATTTCTCCTTTAAAGGCGACGTTAATTAGTTGTAACCTCCTCTTTCGGAATAATGTGGAGCACGGAAAGACATCTAACGCTACATCTCTCAGTTCACCAACCACATGAACAAGCATAGCCTGCGGAAACCAAATCTCACGAAGAAAATCGGACCTTACACTCTGCATCATAAGCTTTCAACTGGTCCATCTTTAAATCCATCAACTTCTCCAGCTCTTCTCTCATCTTGTCATTAAGCACATCATCCCCATCCTTGTGAAGTGCAGCCCAATAGACCGCATCTATGTCGAAACTCTTCCTGATTCCATAGTCGAACCAGAACCTTCCAGTTGCCCAGGAGTCACGCATCCGCACAGAAAGAAGTGGGTTTCTCTGGCTTCCTTCCGAATTTGTCCTCGCCTCCACCCGTTCCAAGGCTCGCAAGAACTGTTCCATTCTTGGCACGTAGCGGATCATAAAATCTTCGATGGAATGGTTTTCAAGCCACATATCTGGACCCAGTAGAAGTAGCCACCAAGGTGGGTCGTATGCAAACTGCGCTGGCATGGTGTTTGTGAATTCGAAGTCCAGTACAGCTGTGATACGGAGAGTGTCCGGGTGCGCAAGCATGTTTGTAGGCTGCAGGTCGTCACAGTAGGGCTTGAAAGGACCGGCATCATCGAGGCAGTAGCGGGAGATTAGCTGCTTGAATCGATGGCGTGCAATGAACCGCTTCTTAGCATCTTCCCGGTTATTGGCAAGGTTTCGTTGGGTTCGAAGATGGACAAGATGCTCTTTAGCGAGAGAGTGAAGAAACTCCTTTGCAGACGTGAACGGGGCTGTAGGATATCCACTTATAGGGTAGTTTGAGACGACAGTCTTCAACTCATTTATGTTGTAGGTTAGAGGTCTTTCGCTAGCAAACCATTCATTTGAAGACGGACTCTTTGATATCGCGCCGATTGTAGAAAAATCTAGTCGGGAGAGTTGTACCATGTAATCGGCAAGTTGCTCGTAGACATAATCCAGTTTCGTGTCGTCCACGTCGGTCGCGAGGATCACTTCATCTTGTTCGGTCTCCGTTGGCTGCTTTAAGATGGTCGCCAGCGAGATGCCATCAACATAGTCCATAATTATGAATGGACCGAGATGCCGAGGACTGTCTTCGATCATACCCCAACTTGCTACCCGAGGTATAGGAATAGTAGTCTTCTCGCTTAGAAATTTCAGGAATTGGACTTCATTCCTGACCTTTTCATCCCGGAAAGCTGTGGCTGTATGACCTGGTTTTGGGAAGCGAATCACAGCTTTCGGCCCTCCATCGCTAAATCTGACGACGAGACTAAGGTTGAATGAGCCTTTAAGGTAGCCGTCAAACTCTCCCGCGGGCTTGCCTTGTCGTCGAGAAGCGACAAAGGCGACAATCTCTTGCTTTGCATCGATAACCATTGACAACCAAGCCTTGAATTCATTGTCCCCATCTGTTTCGGCTAGTTCATCGAATACAGTCATCATCTCCGCAGGCCACAGTCAGGTGCAGAAAATATACCAAGGTAAGGAGCAAAAGAAGAAGAATTGTGTAGCTAGAGTACAAAGGTAAAGAAGGCGAAGAATATCTGTACCTGTGCAACTAGCGAGATTAGTTATCTCGGGTGCTCAGCCGACTGTGCAGAGAAGCTCAGAGCCCTTAAGGACCTTCTCCCCCTGCAACTAGCAGGGGGACCCCTATTAGCTCCTCTAATGACAAGGCCACCTAATTAGGGGCTTAAAAACGCATTCTCTGTCCAGCTGTACAAGAGACTTTTGTAATATTTTAGGTACTCTAGTAATTATAACCCTCTTTTACTATATACTAGCTAAGCTAAAAATTATTATAGCTCTACTACTATTTGTCTAAACTAGGTTAGATTTTAATAAGTAATAGAGACAGCCTCTAGCTATGTTCTAACATTTTTATCACCTGTTTCTAACAAGATTTAGTAAAGTATTGCGATGCTAAGTCCTATAACGTACCTTATAAGCAAGTTAGACTTCTAGGCGAGTTAGCTACTCTGCTAAAACCCTACTAAAACTATATACAGCTAGCTAATAGAGTTTTTTATTTTACTAATAGTATTAGTTATACTTACTACTAAACTTTACATAAGTTTAGAATGTCTAGCTTTACCATCTAATAAATATTAATATTATAGTTCACATTTATGTTAATATCTATTAAAATTATAGAAGCTTATAGCTAAAGTTAAAAATACTTATTTACTTATTGTTAAAGGTATACTAGTGTAATTTATAAAATATATTAAAGAAATAATTTAAATAATTTAACTATATAACTACTACTAAGTTAGTCTAGTAGTTATTTTAAATAACTTTTTTATTATTAACTATAATAATCTTTTATTTTTTAAATAGGT